GACGATCCCAGACGCTGGTGCGTATATTGTCAGTTTATCCTGGTCTTCAAAACCACGCAAGATACCAGCGATCTTCCCGCCAATATCGGATCGGGGATCTACCAGTCGGGAACCTCCAAACTTCTTTGTGTTTCGCCGGGCCTCGCGTGCCCTGATGTTAAGAACCCAATTGGATTGCTTTTGTCTCCACGGTTGTGCTTTGCGGCGTATTTCCACCTCACCAGTAATAGAGTTCAGCCAGTGAAAGCAATCGTCGATGAGGGTGGACGGCAAATCGTATGGCCTGAAAATGTCACGGTTGACATACTCGAGGGCTTGGCCTCGGTACACAGCCTTGATAATAACTCGTCTCTCCTTGAGGCCAGGCTGAACTGTATCCTTGAGGCCAAAGTGAACAGTATGACCTTCCACGTCGCTCGCAAGTTGATACTCCATACCAGCTAAAGATGAGGAGCGTGTGAGCAGATAACGGTGTCCAAATAACTCTTTGATTGCTTCATCTTCCCTCATGCTCAGTGGCAGCCTTCCCAGAGGCTTCCCATCGACGAGAAGGTGTCCCTGCAATATATGGAAATGAACAACCTGCGGACGACTGATTGAAAGATTGCTGGAGGCATGGGAAGCAACCCAAAATCTTTGTGGCCCAGCCAAAAAAGTCCAATTCAAGTATGAACGTGGCTGGCCACCTTTCGGCCAAGTTTCGTTAATTACCTCTTCAAGACTTTCCATGCCGGCACCAGCCAGAGATTCTTCGATCAGATGTCGCAGCTTATAAGACTGATACAAATCTTGCCCAAGCAAGAGTCGTTGGTGTGCTGTAATTTGGTTCAAATCAACCACAAGGTGTTCCTGCATCGCGATCGAAGCGCGGAGAAAGCAACGTGTGTTGGCTTTGTCTGCGAAAGATTGACAGTCTTTCGTATCCGCCATAAGCTCGAGGCAGATCTTTCGACATAGTAGAGAAGCCTGGAAGGCAAACATAGCTGCCTTCTGTGCTGAGCTTGGGTCGTTAGCAGACCTAACGTCGTCACGCAAGCGAACAATCCAGTTTGAAGTGGCATCCCTCGCTCTTGCGAGAAGCTTTTGTGGCATCCATTTCAAGCTTTGTGGGCAAAGATGCAGCAGTCGAAGACTAAAATTGATAAGGGTACTCATAAAGAATACTTCTCGCCAGCTCATGGAGATGGCTTCCAGCCTCATATTGAGCTGCTGGTAGAGTTGCTCACAGAAATCGGCATCGTTGAAGACGTTATGAGCTTCTCGTAGTACGTTATCATCATTGCGCTTGGAATCGTTTGGGCCTGCTTGAATAGCGAGGCGAATAAGAAGATTCATTGCGGCCTGGCTACTAAAATTGACATTAGAAGCAGCCAACTCTACGAGAAGAACAATCCAACGTCTCCCCCTTCCAGAAATTGCCCTTTTAAAAGCTGAGAGCTCTTTGAAGGATATATCAGGGGTGCAATCAGCCTCACTAGCAACAATTTCATAGCTAGAAGGTGGGTAAAGCTCTTGGTTGAGAAGTTGATCATGCGTGTAGGGATCAATAATGAGCCGGGGGTGTGGGATATATGATCCAAGCAATCGTTGGTAATTGGGAGTGCGAGATTCGAGTTGACTCGTCCAGATCTTATTAACCGAATCATACAACGAAAACTTAGGGCCAAATGGTAAAATAACCTCGTGGACTTGCGCAGGTAGGGCTCTGCTCCTGTAGTGTGTGTTCAGGATTGACTTCTTCATCGAGGCTAAGATCAAAGATCCAGATGTAGAGGGAAACCAAGCCTCCAACTGGCCAAGGTCTTTCAGGGTCTGGGTTGGCGTGCCTTCTGCTGCGTAGAAGGATGAAACATCAGGAGTGCCAAGAACGATCAAGCTCCATGTGGCCTCTCGGTAGGCGTCCATGAATTTTGGTAGTTCCATCTCCAACAGAATTGCTGCGCGTTGGCCCTCTCGCCCTCGCCCACTTGGCAGAAAGGCCTCATGTACGGCCACCTTCAATCGGTTTCGACATCTCCACTTGTAACATCGATCACAGCCTCTCACGTCTTTTGTTCCATCCAAAAGGTATGTACAAGTGCAAACCGCAGCGTTTATATTATCGGTGAGCTCATGATACTCGATCGTTAATTCTTCGAGCGTTGCCTCTGTGTACAATCTGGACTTCATCGAGTGATGGTCGATCTCAGCCCCCAGTGCGGCCATCTTTGCTCCCACCTTAGTTGAACGAAAGAACTGTAGAGGGAAAGCAGACAAAGACTCGGGGTCTCCAAATATGGTGGTTCTTGTTGGCAAGCATCCCGTGACACGACCCTTGATGTACTGCTGGACTCGCTGAAGGCGAGACATTTCGCTGCGCTTTGGCAAGCAAAGGACATCGAGCATATGAGGTACAAAAACAGGGTGGAAATCAAGCAGGCCAGGGAAGATTTCTGCTGCAGCTTCGTCCATGGCTATCCACAGCTCAAAAAGTTTCAACAAGCATTGGCTCATCAATACTGAATCTCCATTGTAAAGAACTGAGGCCCTCTTCATGTAGGCGATGATATCCTCGGCAACCATCTCGCATCGACTTTCAGGGTCCAAGTCACCCGAACCAAGTTGTGCTTCAAAATCGTGAAGTTCAGTATACTCCGTGGCAAGGTTGTTGATCTGGCAAACTGTGCCCTCAAGCATAGGAACATCAAGCCCCATCAGTCTGCGAGCGGGAATGACAACTTGTGACAGAAGTCCTTGGAGCTTCGGGCCACTGCTCTCCAGGCGAAGACGGAAATCGCTTACATCTGCGTATCGGGGAAGTCGTGGAATAAGTCTTGTGATGGATTTCTTGTAACGTTCCCACGCTGATTTGACTTTGGCTTTGGAGTCCGTTGTCACTTGTAAGAACATATTTTTGGTTTGACCGAGAAGAGAGTCATAGGCTAGACGTGCAGCTCCCTCGGATGCCTCTCTCTCCGACTGCAACTTGGCAAGTCTTCGAGCCAACTTGGCCAGAAGTGTCATGTTCTTCTCAGGGTGAAGAACTCCAACACTAGTCTCTAGGAGTTTAGCAAGCATGACAGCAATGAGAAACTTGTAGTAGATTCTGCCGACTCCAGAATCCTCACGATGGTCTTTGTCGAGAAGCGAAGTGAGATGGCGGCGAATGAAGACCCTCAGGACGAGCCAGAGAGGTAACCTTCTCCAAGGAGCCTCTGATGCTGCAAGGACGACGTCATCCCTGACCTTCTTTCGAAATATAGGGACTTGCTGGGATTGGCCTAGGCCCTCCAAAAGCGACATGAGCATCTCGATGATGAGAGCAGGGCTCGAGGAGTCGCGAGTCTCGACAATCGCTCTGCCAGCCTTGTGCGCTCGTGCTGCGAACCGCTCAAAGGAATCTTTGGTTGCCTGCTCAAGAAAGGTGGCAAGATTCTCACGAAAGGATGAGGAGTTGAAAATGTCGATTGGAATTCCCACAGCTCGGTCAGGAAAATCTTGCGCGATGGCATGGGTCGCTTTGAGTACAAGGGCTGTCGGAGGGGACGCGTGAAATGCTTCGAAGACTACATCACTACAAGAGGTTAGAATATGGCAAGAAGAGGGAAAGAGTTCTGGCTGCTGATGTTGGGATGGGAAAATACTTGGGGGAACGCTTATGGATAATCAAGCCGGCATTCTGCTTTGCCACATGAAGTGCAAGCCAGGCACGCCTTGGGTCAGCTTCTTGGCCGAGTTTAGTGAAGGCGGCGATGAGTGATTCCTTTTCGGCGTTGGTCGATTGAATCTTCAGCGTGGAGTTGACGGCACTTTGGAGTGCACTCCAGACTTGGTGATTTTTGTGACCGTCGAGAAGCAAGGCAATAGATCGCCGCAGCAACTGGCCGAGACCAAGAGCCAGACCCTCATCCTTTCCGGTGGGATCGGGGTCGCTGATCTGGGCTGGAAGAACGAGATGATCAAAGATGGCCTCCAGACGGCCCTTTTTGTCTTTATCTTCCATGCTGGCGGAGCTGCATGGGGCGGACGAGACGCGACCAAGAAGAGAAAGCTGAAGAGGTGGGATGAAGACTCGGTCGCGCCTGGAAAGCTCGAGCTGTTGAGATAATTCAGGCGAATAGAATGTTGAGAGGTAGAGAACAGAATAGAGTAGAGGAGTTGAGATGGAGGTAGCTGCAAAAGCGGGAGGAGAGGAAATGAGAGGAAGAAGTGGTGAGTGAGGTGGAAGTGAGAGAAGCTAAGCAGGTACAGAAAGACGCGTCGTGGGTGGCAGAAAAACCACAGCAAACACCGCCTTCGCGGGCGAGCAAAGGAAAGAGCGCGTGACAGGTACCTGCCTGCTGTCAGAGAAGCCAAAAGCAAAAAATTAGTGAAGCTCAGTGCAGGCCGCTTCTGCAAGCTTGCAACTGGCAATCACATTCTGGCGGTTGGCCTCCGGCAGCTGTCCAATCGACAAGTGACAGCAGCTGCAGACGCTCTGTGACTGGTCCACGCAGCTGAGACGGTGCCACCAGATCAAAGATGCAGTTTAGACAATCATTTGTGAATGAACTGCGTACGGTCACAGGTCAGGCTGCATACTTGGTCTTTGGAACTGCCATCTGGTCTGTCCGCCATGTCCAATCACCACGCACAGCCTGCTGAAACAGGAAATCCCAAGTTGAGGCAACTCGCATAAGGCATGGTGCAGGGGTTTGTTCGTTCTGTCATACACCCCACAGATGCATAATGCATAGTGACCGGTCTCGAACGTGGTCGAGGACTGGCCCGTGGTGATCGAGTTGCATCGAGAGAGGGTATCCATCCAGTTAGCAAGTGCTGTCATTTAAAAGAGGTAAGCAACGCCGCATTCACCTCAAAATTCATGTCATAGGAGTCTAAAATATTATTTATAGTCAAAACACTCGCTTCTATTTTATTCTATTCTACATTAAACGATTCGAAACCCGGTACCAGCCCAGCTCCAAACAAACAACTTTTACCCAACCATGTGATTACTCCATCCCAAGTCGACCAACTCTCTACTTCCTAAACACGAGGCCCTTGGCGCATTCAAACTTGCGGTCGTAGTCCTCGGTGAGCTCGTTAACAACAAGCCCCCAGACAGTCTTGTCCCAGGCAAGGCCGGCGTGGCCAACAGCGTCATCAGGGCACGTGTCCTGGACGATGATGTTTCGGGCTCCTGGTTCGTCGATTCGACTGGTCGCGGGGGCGACGAGGGTATCAGCGTTGCTCATGATGATACTGGCCTTGTTTCCCGGCTGGATGATCTTCCCGGCATTGGCCTTGAAGTCGTCGTAGACGTCTCCATCGGTGGCCATGTCATCGCAGGCAGCGCACCCGAGGACCTTGAGGGCAAGAGAGGCCAGGTTACGGGTAACCTCGCCACCGAAGTAGAGCAGATCCGTGAAGCCGAAGTACTTGGCGCCGTGGATGGCAGGCCCGAGAGCGATGTTATGGTCGACAATCTCAGCAATGCCGCTTTGTGTCATGGGTACGTAAATTGCCATGACTCCCTGATTAACGATTATTAGCCTAGTTACCTAAGAGTCATATTGGGTTCTACTTACGCCTTCGCTGTGGCCGAGAAGATCAACCTTCTGAGCACCGGTCTTGGTCTTGACCTCCTTGATGAAGGCTGCGACTTCCTTGGCGCTCTCCCTCATGGACTTGAGACCTCCAATCCAGGGCACGAGGGTGTGGGCTCCGTAGGTCATACTGAACACGCAGTAGCCCGCATCCGTCAAGTTCCAGCCCAATGTGTTGAGATCTACTTCGCGGTTGGCGGAGAGACCGTGGAGCATAATGAGAGGGTTAGGGTGTTTTTCGCTTCGACAATTGAAGTTATTATCGACCGCGCCATACAAAGGGTTCTTCAGTAGGTCCGAGGGCAAAGACCAGTCAATAGCCGACACCTGCGAGCTGAGGGCAAGCACGGCGGCAACGCCCTTGATGACACGAGAAATGGAAGGCATGTTCGCTGAGTAGAATAAAAGAAGTGAGGATCAACAAGTTTGCACCAGGCAAGAATTAGGAAAAGAAGATGATAGAAAAGACTGGGGAGAGAGATGAGACTGCCGGTATTTAAGCTTCAACATCCGAATCCTCCAGAACTTGTGACTCTAAAATTACTCGGGACTGAAGAGGAACAGGATGGCGATCCCAGTCCCCGCCTGTCACTACCGGCAGCTGTCAAGTAAATATATCCACCTCCCAGCCAATGCGGAACCACTTTTCATCTTAATCTCCAGGAACGAATGCTGAGTGGTTAGAATACGGATCGGGATTTAAAAGAGCCAGGGGTAGCGTCAGTGGCACAGTCAGCAGTATCCCTGTCACGGAGAGCTCAGGCACGACGATGGTCATGGCTTGTCTTGAATCTTGCCTACCCTGTGCTATCTTGCTGTTCGAGGAATATGAACTAAAATCATTAAAATGGCCTATAATGAAATTATAAGGGTAAGCTCAAAAGTCTAGGTCTTGCTTTAGCAAAATGAGGTTACAACTATCACATGCATGCGGGATCGCGGTTTTCAGAATATGTTACAAGAATTTTAACAAAGTTCAGTCCTTCCAAATCACACACAAAAAGACCTACCATACGTTTTTGCGCCCTCCGCAGAGCCGCCACCCGACCAGGGGCAACTGGCGTTATACATGTAGTTTTGAAATCGATCCGAGGGTAAGGCGTCGAAACGCGGTCTCTTTTGGATCGTCAGGTACCCGTGGAAATTCCCACTGTTACAATTTTAAGTAATTATAGACGCAATTAAAGATCTCGAGGAAAATTGTCTTTACGACTTCGATTGGATATCTATACCTTGGAGCCTGGGAAGCGATTCACCAAAAGTCGTACCTAGGTACTTATATTAGTATTGGTGAACAAGGATTGTCTTTGTGGCCAAGAATAATACTGAATACGCCAAACGCAAGAAACCTTTTGCCAACAAACAAAACCGGCAAAGGCGGAATCCATGCGTATGCATTTCACCCAAGAGAAGATGGATTGTGGCAAGGGAGGTTGGGAAACAAAATTGCCAGACAAAGATGAAGAATGCAGACCACGCTTGCTCGCTCGCCGCGTGTGTTCTGCCACTAAGGTGCATACGCGTTTGCTGAGGCGGTGTGAAAGCAAACGTGAATGGAAGTCAGGCGAGGCAATGGCCAGCAAGCACTGCACTCATGGTGAGTGAAAAGTGAGGTTGGCGCGTTGCGCAGCACGTGGCTGGAAAAGAACATGGCACAACCAAGCCTCCATCTAACTTTGAACTTCAATACAATGTTAAAATAAATAGCAAGTTGGCAAGATGTTGTGTGATTCCGAGGCGCGCTCGTGATGTTTGTGGATTGGTGTTGAGGGAATTGCGCTTGATGCTGAATGGATGGAGATGCCTATTAAAATAATTAATCCAGTAATAAACACAATAGCAAGCTAAATATTTGAGAATAATGCATTTATATGGCTATTATTGTATTTATGATTGTAGGTAAAAAGGAAACGAGGTCACTAGCTTGCAGGAAAACAGCAAGGTCTGGTGTGCGGGTGGGAGACAATACCTTCTCCACGAAGTGAATGTTGTATTGTAATTAGTGATGCATCAAACTAAGTCCGTTGAGTCTAACGTGGTATTGGTTGGATTCTTTCACAGTGGCTATTCAGCTCTTTACTTGTCTGAAACCGATCTTAGCAGTCATGAACGGTACAGCCGTATGGGGAATGTCTCGATGTTTGACTTCAATATGCCGATGAAGAGCAGATTCCGTGGGACTCTCATGAGCGCAGATTTCAACAGGGCATTGTCACACAATAACAGGCCGAGCCTTGAGTTTTGGCTCCGCCACGTTTTCACTCAGTGATTTGTGTGGTCAGTTTCGCTACAGTTGCCAACGGTCCGCTGAGTGTTTGTTGACCTTTTGAGTCACAACCATCGCCCACCCACCCACCTTTCCTCTCCCTCCCAGTTTCTCACTTCTTTCTTCTTCTTCCTTCTGCATCACATCGTCAGTTCTTCTCGCCATTGCATTGCAGTGGCAGTTTTTTACTCTCCTCTTCGCCTCGTGTCCGTTTTATAGATAACAGTCTATCGCCTGCTCGCCTGCCAGCCTGCCCGCCCATCTCTCCTCGCCCGCCGGTCCTGCGCCCTCGAGCTCTTACTTTGGAATCGCGTCGTTCGCTTACCCGTCTCGAGAGAAGCCAGTTTGCTTAGGCAGCTGGATTCTGTTCGTTTCGTCTAGTGCGTCACGATCCCAGATAGCTCACTATCTGATCCGTTCGCTTCGTGCCACGGATTCTTTCTTCTTCGGGATGAAACTACACAAAACTGGCCACGTATTTTCAACTAACAAACCAGCAGCCTATCCTCGCCCTTCCCGCGCGTTCGAGATCATTCGGAATAATTTGCTTAGTGCACACGTTTTTGGCTGGCATCGTGTTGTTGCTTCCCCTTCTCGAGAAGTACCAGTTTGCTTAGGCAGCTGGTTCTTTCAAGAGACTACCTAGCTAGGTATGCAACTTACTGCAAGAAAAGATAAAAACAAGGATTTTAGCTAATAGGTCAATAAGTCTCAATGTCTCAACCATCGACTCGAATTTCTGCACCCAAGGCCCCAATGAACTTGTCGAAGGCTTCCTTGGTGGTAGTGAAGCATCCCGCACTCACTACCAAGTTTATTGGAGGGGACGGTTTGGACCTCTCGAGCGAGGTGTTTGTCTCCCTGACTCTGATCAGAAACCCTGGCCGGGAGATGTATGTTGGGCTGAGCATCCAGTTCCCACTCTGCCGGGCAGAGCAGCTGGAGTCTTCTGGCTTTGGTGTCTCCTACACAAGTAAGTCCGAGGTTCTCTCCACTATAAGTCTTCCATATACTAACATTGCGGGACAGCCAACACGGGCACCGCTGAGGGTGTGGAACTGGCACAGCGCTACAAGATTGTCGTCAAGTTCCCTCGCGAGGGTCTCACCACCACCGTCTCCGGCGTTCCGAGCGACCTTGCCATCCGCCTCCCCGCTAGTGTGCGAGACAAATGCTGCCTCCTCAAGGTGAACATTGAGAATGTGGATGATATCCGCATTGACGGCCTCGGGATGCCACGATTGAACTCTGGTCATGAGTGCGATGCGTGGCTCCAAGGATCACCAGTCGTCGGCAACCTCACTCTGCTCGACATCCTCACGTCCCCAGAGCAACGCTTCATCGTCAAGTTCAAAGGGGAAGTCTTAGAGAAGCAGCTGAAGACTGAGACCTGGCCAGCTCCTTTTGAGTACCCATGGGGCGACACGCATTTTTGGGACGCGGACAGGTTTCGACAGCAGGCGGAGGAGAACCCTGGCGGTAGATTTCTCCCAGCATGGACCTTCGCCACAGACAACGATCATGCTGCTGTCCTGACACAGTCCCTTGCCCAAGACATTGTCTGGGTAGACGATGCTGCCAAACGCCTTTCCAACCTCCGGCTTCGAGCATACACCGCCGAGTCTCATGACTCCAGTGCTTGGACCTGCCTTGTTGTGCCATGCGATCAACAATTCAGAGAGACGTTCAAATATGCTTGTCGTCGCCTGGCCCACTGCCGCCTCTCGGTCGTGTTCTTCGACGAGAAGGGCAACGAGCGTTCGATACGGCACGCTGAGATCTGCGAGAACCCGGAGATCCTGAGTGTCATGCGAAATCACCCCATCGCAGAGCATGAGCTGGTCCTTCGCGTGTCTCCAGAGGCCAAGGACGAGGACTTGGACGAGGACTTGGACGTGTGCCTTGACGAGGTTGAGCTGCCAGAATTCGACATCAAGACTTTCAGCGACCGAATACTTGCTCTGCAGGCCTTCAAGCAGTCTAGCAGCGACTGGAATATCGTTTCTCTCAAGTTCCATATTGAAGTTGAGGAACACGAGAGAAAGTGTGATGCCGTCAACGAGATGTTGCCAGGAAGCCGCCCCAGTAACCCAAGTGTGTTCGGCTTGACGGTGCCCAAAAAAGACATCTACGCTCAGCTGATCGGCAGCCCCGAGGACATCCAACATGTCGCTGAACGCCAGAAGCTGGCTCGCGCTGTCATCCGCGGCACTGGCTTCCAAGGGATTGCGCTGGAACAACCTTGGCCCAAGTATAAGATGAGCGGTATGTTCCCTGGCCTCCCAATGGCGAATTTTTTCCAGTTCGAGAATGACGTCGAGCGCCGTGCTGTCTTGGAGCGTATGCTCCCAGGTGATCGCGAAAGATTTTCCAGATATCTTTCTAACCGCCATCTTGGACTGGCCATGATCACTGCTGTAAGTTAAAACCGATGTCTATCATTCCTGTCTACCTATTATTGCCCATGCACAATAGCACAATCTGCTTATTATTGCACAATACTGTCTGCTTATTACTGCACGATACTGTCTGCTTATTATTGCATAATGCATTCTTTTATTCCGCTAACCTATAATACCAGGGCCCCGGATTCGGAAAGACGACAGCTCTGGCCGTGGCATCCTATGGACTGGTCAGAAGCGTAGGGCGGGTGTACATGTCAGCCCCGACCAACATCGCCTGCGATAATGCAGCTGACCGTCTGATGGACGTCAGTACAGATGTTACGCGTCGCATCAACGGTAAGGCAGACACGGAGCCGCTCTGCCGCCGTCTTCTGGTGGTCCGTGGCTACAAGTGGGAGGACGAGGTGGCTGCATTCATGAGTATACTCCAATGCCCCGAGTCCATCAACGATGCCGTCCCCAAGCATGGCAGGCATGGATCCCCGTGGAAGCTCGAGAACTCGATCGCCTTCTGGCTCTTGAGGGCTCTTGGCTCGGCCGTTGTTCCAGCGGTCCGGCCCGACGACTGCTCTCGGCTCCATGACGCCAGCCGCGGCTTCCAAGGCGACAAGAAGCTGGAGAACATCCTCAAACTTGCCAGCATGGACATGACCTGGGAGGAGTACGTCAAGGCCGGCGAGGTCCCAGAAACCCGGATCCAGAGCATGATGAGATATGTCCTCATGCAGGCAGACGTCGTGTGCACCACTCCGGCCGAGTCGAGCAAGTTGCCCTACTCGAAATGGAAGCTGGAGCAAGCCTGCGGCTTTACCATTGACGAAGCTGCCTGCATGAGCAGGCCAGACTTTTACACGGTCTGGGGCAACACCATGATGCCCTGTGTGATGGCAGGCGACCGTCTGCTGCTGAATGTTGCTGTCAGGTCCTTCCACGACGTGACCTCCGATGGCGATGGCGTGTACCGGAACCGCCACGGGCCTGACGCCAGAATCTCCATCATGGAGTTTTTGCAGGCTTCTGGATGGCCCATTTTCAGATTACACACGCAACTTCGCATGGCCAGGGGCCTCTTCGCCCTCTCCCAAGAGGTGATTTACCCAGAGTTGCGTGCCCAGTACGGCGTCAGGTGTCATATCTCGCTCCCTTGCCATGCATCTGGCCGTGCCATGGAGGCCTTCATGCTGCGCAAGTTCCCAGATATTCTCAGGCCATGCCCCGAGGGTACCCTGCGTGAGGTCTTTGTCCATTGCCCAGGCTCCCGGGTGAGAGTGAGCCCTATGACCAAGTCCAAGTCGAGCCCAGACCAGGTCAGGATCGCGCTTCGCCTCCTCGACGAGCTTATTCGGGATACCCAAGCTCGGGGTACCCAAATTAACCCATCGGAGATCATCATTATCGTTCTCCATTCAGCCAATGTAGAAGTAGTTAAGCACCAACTCAAGCGATACGCCTCTCTGGTGGGTAAAGTCGTGGTATCAACCGTCGAGTCGATCCAAGGCAAGGAACGTCCGATAAGCGTCGTCATCTTCGGGACCAACGAGATAACGGGACCAGGGTTCTCCAAGGAAGCCAGACGCCTCAATGTCGCAATATCGCGACATACATCTTTCCTTCTCCTCATCGGAGATATAAACGTCACTGGAGACTTTCGCAGCGGCGTATCCACGACCAATGCGCACGGTCGAGGCGGAGGACGAGGAGGACGTGCAGGTGGAATGGACCTCTGGAAGTTGGCCGGGCAGAGGTTCCTTGCCAGAAATGACAATGGAGAGTTGGAATGTCAGGTCGCCCAGAAGTTGAGGGCCATCTTAATCCTCATGCATCGGGCTGGGCGTGTTGTGACGGTTGTTGGGGGGGTGTAGATGCCTTTAAAGCCTCCAATAAAAGTCGTCGTTCTATTGAACAGTTTCGTGTCATGATTCAATCAAGTTGATAGAGTCTCAGGTGCACTAGGTAATTTACATTGATGAATTATGCCCACTCTCTAGACAACCAAGTGGTTGTCAGAAAAACAGGGACTGGGTCACATCGACAGAACTATTGTGGCAGACAGTCACATTATAATGCTTCCTATTGTGTAATAATAAGCAGATAGGATTCCCAAATAATTACTGAATCATTTCTTCTCCTTGTTATTACGCTAGCTATTGTCTGTCAATATTGTGACCCATATTGGAAGCAGGTATCTACCCAACTCCAATCCATCGCGATAGCCTGGGTTCTGGACGCGATATATCATGGGTAGCATACCAGTTCTCCTTCGTTCTCGGGGTCTGGCAGGCCGAAGTGGAAGTCGAATTCCGCCCTCACCAAGCGATGTGCTGCGTTTTGATCGGCTCTAAGCGAGCACAAAATCGTGTTGTGATAGCATTAACGCGTTCTTCATGTGGAAACTCGTTCCAATGTTGGATGGTAATTTTCCCAGGCATAAACTGTTTTAGCTTTATAAGCAGAACAATCTTCACCTGGTGTTGTGAGGCTCTAAACCACCATCTCATCTGTTGTCTTAAGGCAGTTATAGACCGCGAGCATCCAGTTTCGACGACAAGAGCTGGCCGAGTTCCACCTCCACCTTGCCATGTTCCTCTACCCTTATTCCTCAAATTTCCCGGTACATCAAGGGCCAATCAATCACCTCCATATTCTTCCAATCTGAAGGATAGACGCTTCTTTCAGAAAAGCTTCTGAACAGGTTTGAAACAGCCGCCAAAGCAGAATCCATCTCAGGCGTCCTGATGCCAACACGCAAAGCTTCCAGCATACCTCTCTGCTTCTCTTCGTCCCAGGAACTCAACTCCACGAAGCGTCTATGCCTGGCTATCCACTGCTCGGACACCTGCGACATAGAACCAATATTGCAGAGCGCCTTGTAACACTATTCCTGCATTCCTTTGCGAAGTGCAAAATCTGGCTTCTCTGTCGCCTTCTTCCAGAGGCCTATTATATGAAGTAGACATGCCAGCGATGCTCTTTTTGCCGTATTAACCCATGTCGAGGTAATACACATATTTGGAGGAAGGTGGAGGCCAAGAACTCTATCAGACACTGTCGTTACCAGGTATAATGCTTCAATAGAAGTCTTTTCAAACTCCCCAAGCAGGAACTGTTGAGTCTGCAGCCTTCAACACACAACCTGCGCATCTTCTCCATTGCGTGCAGGGCGGCATCGCTGTCCATGTCGTCCATGTGGGCCAGGGTGTTGTGTGTCTCTTGGTAGACGTACCAATGGTCGTCAATCTTGCCATTGATGGACTCGACAGATCGTTCAATCTCGTTGTAGGACATCTTGACGGCTTGGCGGGTTATCTTGCTGGAGAGGAGGTTGACTCAATGGATAGATGAATCTGTAAAAGATCGACTGCACGAAGCGAGTCGATCTCGAGACCAGTTGAAGGCCGAGGGTCCAGCGACGAGGGGATTCCGAATCCTCCAAGTGAAGACGAGGGCGAGCCACGCAAAACGACCGACTGCACGAAGCGAGTCTGTCCTTCACTGGAATTCTTATCTACCGGCGCAGAGTCTGGGCGCGAAGGCGAGGGCGAGGGCGACGAACGATGCCGAAAATGTCGGAGCAAAAGTCGACACGGTGAATAAAAAGGGGCCACGATGGGCCGTGCAAACGAGAATTCGGAGCCGAAACTCCACAAAACGGGCAATTGAGACTGGAGTTCCTGCTATGGATGAAGGGTTGAAAGTGTAAACAATTTGAAATTTGTGCGGATTCTTAGATCATTTGTGGGTAGACTCTGCCACAAGTGGTTTGGGAAATCGGTAGTGTTAGCATGGCTCACTACCATTATACAGCCCTTGGTAAGACATTGTATTGCCCTGGGGTTGGGCGGGGGGTTGAGTCGTCAACTCAGGAATTGTGTCTGCTGGCCTGTTAATGTGAATGATTGTCAAACGTTTCTCCATTGTTTCATACCGAAAACTAAAGAATCCGTAGCACGAAGCGTACACATAGCGACTTCTAAGACGAAGCAGAAAATCGACTGCACGAAGCGAGTCAGTTGTTATCGAGAGGAGAGGGGCCGAGCAGCGAAACCGAAATAACAGACCGACTGCACGAAGCGAGTCGGTTGTTCTCGAGAAGAGACGGAACGATCGGCGAAGACGAAACAACAAACCGACTGCACGAAGCGAGTCGGTTGCGTCCGAGGGAGGCAACTGTCGACACGAAACAGAGGGCTCAAAATGATTCCGAGGAATCACATAGACGCAGCGAACGCGAAGACGGGACAGGGCGGGCTGTCAGGTGACGAGAAAGATGAAAACTGCCACTGCTATGCAATGGCGTCGAGTACTGGTAGTACGATGAAGAATGAAGGAAGAAGAAACAAATTGAGAAACTGAAGATGTGATGCAGAAGGAAGAAAGAAGAGGGAAGAGAGAAACTGAGAGAAGGGGGATGAAGGTGGGCGGTGGTGCTTGCTGACCATTGTCTACTGGGAAGGAGCGGGAGCAGGAAGGAACGAAGGACAGGACTCAGTGTGCTTCGGCCCAAGGCCGATCTCAGTTCAAAATATGATGCGTCCTGGCGATTTAAGGTGGCCAAAATACATATTAAATATCACATTTATCAATAGACTTGCTAATTACTTGTATTATGGTAGTGCAGTATTATTTCAATACCAGATCCTACTTGCGTTCATTCTGCCGCAATTGCAGTAGGTATTTATCCAAGGGATCCACGATCCGCTGATTGGCAGACCCGAGGACAGAAGCTGGCTCTCGCTGTCATTCGTGGCACAGGCTTCCATGGGATCTCGTTAGAATCTTAGAACGACCTTGGCCCGACGTTCAGCACGAAGCACAACATGAGAAAACCTTGAATGTGTCCCTATAGCTCTCTCGAAGGCAAGATTTGCTGGTGTAATTGCTCTGCGTTGACATACCTAGCTGAAATGCATTGGGCTGGTTCCGCTGTTTCTGCCCAATCCTTTTGCAGGCGTCCGGTATTCGAACCCTAAGACTGCATTGTAGCGGTTCTGTCTTTTTTTTCCTTTTCTCCTTTTCTCTTTTGCTATGGTAAGCAGCGAATAGCTCTACAAGGGTTCTTCATTCTCCTGGAAACTTCTATCTCATGAATGAAGTGCATTAATAAATTATTAACGAGTAACAGCCCCGACGGGTTCAGGCTACCACTTCAAAAGGCCCACCGATTTACTGTGCTGAACGCCCATTACTCGATAGAGTGTAATGCTAATGCACCATCGCCTTCGGGACTCATGCGGGTGGTTTTATTACTGATGGCCCAGCAGTTGTGTCTTGATCTTAGATATGTCCCTTCTGTCGTCCTTGTTCATCTTCCAAATCGGAGATTCAGGGTAGCACTTTGTAAGAAGGTAGAAAAGGAGAAGTTCAACTGCTGGCTAAGCTCAGCTTTCACAAAACAGTGCTTTAATTTGTTTCTTCGTTGGCGCTTTATTCGATAAACATATGGTGGTCTAGTAATTGAAGAAGACTTGCCATACTTGCTATCGCTCTCTTTCCCAATTTGTTGAAGCGGTGAATGCGGCATGGGTGATACACGTCAGGTCCAGGTAGCTGACATCAAGCGACATTGAGGGGCGCGTTATTAAAATTAGCACTCTCAACCATGCAACGATGCGCTGACGTATCAAGGCTAGGCAGGGAGCCTCGACAGCAAAGAGGAGGAAATGATGCCACCTCGATGGAAACTTTCCTTCCACGCTCATTGAGCCGTTGGGCAACGGATGGAGCAAGCTCCTGAAGCAACAAGGGCGTCTGGTCTGTGCTTGGCCGCGCTAAATTGTCAGATCAGATCAGATGTGTGGGCTGACACGCTCCAGCGCTAGAAATTACCATGTATGTTAATTTTTCGACTGGACGGATGGAGACAAGAAACAGAACTCCCGCTAACGGCCATTGGCTGATGGTCACTTGACTCTCAACTGAATGCCAGTCAGCGATTGAAACTACCTATAAAACATAATGTGGCACAACGCGCCATCTCAGCCGAGGCATGACGTCGAAGCTGTTGGCCATTGCGACTCGTCTTTGTCGCGCGACATTACAAAATCACGGCGCATCTTCCTGCTGATCCTTGGGTCAGATCAAAGATGCGGAGCGACTGATCAATCTGAACCACCCCTTGGAAAATACAGACAACAGCCAACATGTGGAGACAAGATCGAGTGTGCGACGTGCTAAAAGTGATCAGCAGGAAGGACATCATCGACGCGTTTCAGAACCTCAAATACGAAGATGACGTCCTCATGGGCATTTTTGGTATCATCTCGCTGGGCATCTGGTTTACGATGAGCCCATTTATCCTCGCCATCATCCACCTCGGTATCCTCGAATATGAGATCGAGAGGTGGTGCACAAACTGCAAGAGAAAGCGCGAGAGGATCCGTCGCGACCGTACCTTGGAATTGATGTGCATTGATCCAGAGAGCCGGAAGAAGAAAGAGAAACAGCAGAGTCGCAATCGGTTGCTGAGACGGTGGTTTGGAATCCATCCCCAGCCCGACCGAGCGATCCGGAGCCCCAGTCGTGGCCCCTGTCTTTTCTTTACGAGGCTGCCACCGGAGATCAGACGCCAGATCTTGGTTCATGCATTTGGCTCGCGCACTGTGCATCTGGATCTCAGCTTCAGACACCCGTTTCGTGTCATTAGCCATGACAAGTGCCGTTTACTGGGCCAGAGCCCCGAAGCCCACCTCCATGCTGGGATCCACAGCCGCTTTGGTTTATTCACCCCCAACATTGTGCTTTATGATGAATCAGAGAAGAAGAAATGGCGGTGGTTCAGCTGCGTTTGCCATCGAGCGCGGCCTGACGACCCAATGCTGAGCTATGGAAGGCGAGGCTATGTGAACCGGGGAGACTCAAAAGACGTCCACGAAGATAAATGTCTTTCTGCGGAGGGAAGCTGCACTTATTGGCCTGGCGAGATTCCTGAAAAGTGTTTCGTTGGCGCGACAGGCTGGCTGTTGGCTTGCAAACAAGCGTGAGTTCCTCTCATTCACACATCTCTTTCGCCCGGGTAGCCCGTTAATTCAAACGCGAGCAGTTATGATGAGGGCATTGGGGTTCTCTACCAAACCAACACCATCCAGATCTCCTCTCCGGTACTTCTACAAGGAGCCCACGATATCCTCTCACCCTTCAAGTTGTCTATGATTAGGTCCCTCGAACTCTCGTTGGACGGGTACAACGTGCGCCTAGCTCAGGTACTCATGGGCGTGTCACCGAATCGCCCGACCAGCTCGTCGGGTGCATCTGCCTCTCGTGAGGCATCCAACCCGTTATTTCCATCGCTAGCATTTCTTCGACTGTTCCTGAAGAGCGACCAAAGATTTTTGGATGATGACTTAAACAATAGCCTAAAGCAGCTTGGATACGGCCGCAAGAATACTGAGGAACGCCTTCTCACGTTTACCCTGCCAAGCATTGACGACCTTGTGAATAGGATTGTTTCGCCCAAGACTGATGTTACGATTACCTTTCGAGACTGGATATTTTACTCTTTAATGGATCTGAAATCAGTAGAGATGCAGGGCTTGGACGTGACTAGATTACAACGAGCGGACATTGGAGGCCTGAAGTTTTGGAGAAAGATCCCATATTCTGGCCTCGAACAACAGACGAGTGATGTTAATGTATTATCAAAAAATAAACCGAGAGAAGGCTATTGGGTTCACATATCCCAAATGCCTAAGACACACGGCGGCATAGGTGAGTACTTCACACTAAAATTATCTGTAGCCACTTGGGGAAGCTAACATGGCATCGAGATGAACATGACGAGGAGCGCCGCAAACTTTATGGTCTTGATTGAAGTCGAGGGCCCTAATGTATTAATGATGACTTAAAGATACGAATTCTATCCTAACTTAGTGATCTATCCTGAGTAGTTCCCGATATCGAAGCGTCATCTACCTTCACGCTGTATGTCACCGACTTCACAATATCTCTGTCCCCGGCAAGGATATTTTCTCGGCTCCCTGTCTCCGATGCGTTCTCTTCCACGGGCCCGGCCCTGCTCGATGAGAGCACCTTCATAGAGAACCTGGACCCCTGGCCGTCCGTCCTGCTCTTGTTTCTTCCACTTGGCGTGTTGTAATCATCGGAGTGTTTCGATCGATAGTCTTTCGCTTTTCGTATGAAGAGAGGGGCGAGGAATGGGAGCGATGACACAACATTCTGCCGTCGTTAGATTGAAGTTGGATATGACTCGGGGGATAACTTACACCAATGTTGAATTCAATCGTCCCCCAGAGAACGAGTAGAGTGGAATCGCCATCTCCGTGTTGTATCCTATCGATCTGCAAGTAGCGCATAATAGAGGCTACGGTTGTCAAGACTCCCAGCATGAAAATCGAGACGAGCCCGATCTTCTTGCTCGTCCTGACTTGAAGCTTCAAGAGCACCGGAAGAGGGAGCAGTGCTGTGACGATATCCGAGATTATTGTGACGACGGCGTAGCCAGTGAAGGAAGGACCTGGGGCCAAGCAGGTGCCCTGGGCCTTTGGATTCCAGCTCTTATGTACCTAAGAAAATAGTAAGCTCAAATCCGGGTTTCTGCTTGTTTGTTAGAATCTTGACCTACCGGTTTACAGGCAAGGATAAGCGCAAGCGCACATCCTAGATGCGCTAGAAACACGAAGCCTATGGTGACCCATATGATGATCCTGTAGACCTTGTGATGAGTCCCTTGGATCAAGCGTAGGTAGCTTATCAGTAGCGCAATTTTGAAGAAGGAGATGCCGAGCTGATAAACAGGTCTACCAGAGTAGTTGACCCGCGTATACATGACGAGGTTCGGCTCGGGTCGCAGCTTTAGTGGCAGTCCGAGGCCATACCTAGTTTCTATTGAAGGATCATTGCTTAGGATGGTTGATAAAGACTAAAAATGTCAAAGAGCAACGAGACGTACGTGCGATGGTGATGCCTGAATAGGCTATGGCAAAGATCGCAGATAATGCCGACAGCCAGTCATCGGCGGCCAGCCCACGAGCCTTTGATCGGAGCCAGACTCGCGCCCCCACAACGACGGTAGAAAGCACCGAGAAGACGGCACATATGGAGATGATGGTGGGATACTTTGATTGTCCGTTGACATCTTCGGTCGCGTTAAGAACCCAGCCCATGATGGTTTGGAGTGGTGCCCATAGCACGGAGATGGGGTATGCGAGGAGTCTCGGAATGGGTCGGTGGGGAGGAAAGGGAAGAAAAGGGAATTCAGGCGCCCATCAGAGTCTGCTGGCTACCTGAAAGCTGGGTTCGGATTGTTATTTGATGAGAACAACTCCGAGGCCCAATGCTCACTCCCCAAGCTTTGACCAGCCACAATCAAAGTCAGAACATGATTGTTCTGAGATCAATCTCGCTTCAAAGTTTTCAATCTATTGTCTGTCTGTCTATTGTCTGGGGTCTGGACTTTCCTACTGTGTACGCTTCGACCACCAACTGTGCCCAAGCCCCGAAACGCGTCGTTTGTCTGGCATTCTCCAAACGGGGCACATCATTCGCTCTCCGCCTCTCGGGCGGGTTAAACCGATGAATAGGCCGATCCGCTATTGGCGAGTTCCGTAAACCATCGCCTCATCATCCCTGTCTTGTCCCGCCGGGGAATACGGTGCCTTGGACCGTCGAGGCAGGGGGCAAGGGGGGGGGCATGCTAAAGGGGGTAGGTCCGATAATGTCTTTACGCTCGTCAACCAACAACTGCAACGTTGACAAGGGCCCTGCTGCGAATCACAGGCTACGATGGCTGCAGTAGCCTGTGATGGGGGCGTTTACTGCATAATGAGTAATTATTAACTGCGGACCGCCGGGACCAACAGGTTGCATTCTGTGAACAAAACTGCTTCACGCTGCATCAGACCCGGACCATGCATGATTGCAGTCTCCATCTAGGGGCGATATCCCTCACAAATTGCGCAAGAGAACTTTCGACCTGCAGCCGAAGCTAGCCAGACATCGACAGAGGCCACCCAAATCTGCTTCTCGAACGCCCAAGACCTCAGACCATTCGGCTGCATGTGTCAAGGGTGTCGGTCATCTTCACCGACCCTGAACGTTCAGCCAACAAGGGAAGCCAGCCCAGGGCGACGCATGTCTGAACGCGTCTCTCTTTTAACTGGACACCTGCAGACCAACTTGTCTAAGTCAACTTGCTTTTTCTCTACTGTGGCACGACTTATTCCTGGTCGTCACTGAGCCTTTCACCTTCGGAAATTCTCCCAGGGACACCTCATTGGTTAGCTGATCACTTTTCTTTTCTCTTTCTACTGTCACCATGCCTGAAAAAAGCCCTACCGAGGGCATCATGCCTGAAAAGGGCCCTGCCGAGGGCATCAGCTCGAGCAGCAGCTCCGTGAACAAACGCGACGATGTCGACAATGCATGGGAGTTCCTCAAGAACCACCAAGACGCGGTCGGCACCGACACGAACTCTGTGGACATCAATGCCCTGAGGCGCAAGATCGACTGGCATATTGTGCCATTGATGTTCGCATGCTATTTGATGCAGTTCCTCGACAAAGTAATTCTCAATGTTGGTGCCCCCCTTTTCTCGTGTGATACGTTGCAGCAATGCAGCCAGGCTGATTATGCATGCTTTCTTTTTGACAGTACGCTGCCGTCATGGGTCTCAAGAAGGACCTGAATCTGCAGGGAAATGACTTTTCCAACATCGCCACCTTCCTATTTGTTGGGCTCCTCTGCTTTGAGGTCGTCAATGGTATGTTGCCTTCCCCCATCCAGCCTCCCCAGACGCTCCCCTGACCGGCTTTAGTCTACTTCCTCCAGATTGCACCTGCTGTTAAGTGGTTGGGCGCAAATGTGATTCTGTGGGGTGTTGCTACGGCTTCTGGTGCTGCCGCCCATGACTACCAGACCCTTCTCGTATCACGCGTCTTTCTCGGCATATTCGAGGCTACAATCAGCCCATCCCTGATGCTCATCAGTAGCCAGTGGTACACCAAGTCGGAGCAGGCGCCTCGCTTCTCGTTCTGGTACACCGGTTTAGGCATCGGCCAGATCCTTGGAGGTGCCATTTCTTATGGGTTCCAACACGCTCAGGGAGCCACTCTGGCCGGCTGGCGCATCATGTTCGTCACACTCGGGTGCCTGACTGTTGTTATCGGCATCTGTACTGCATTTCTGATCCCGGATACACCCATGCAAGCTAGCTGGCTGTCCGATACCGAGAAGGTTGCATTGCTGAAGCATGTCAGTGTGAACCAGACTGGCATCCGGAACCAGAAGTTTCGTCCCAAAGAAATTCTGGAGGCCCTCTGTGACCCGCAATTGTACCTTATGCTACTCTCTGTTGTCTTGGTAAGTGGCTGTCCACGATGAAGCCCGACAGATACCTGACCATGCCTTAGCTATCTGTATCGAGTGGTGTTGTTACGACATATTCCTCCACCCTCATCCTGAACCTAGGCTATGACTCGAAGCGTGCTGCTCTCATGAACATGCCATCAGGGGTTATTAGCATATTCTTCACGCTTCTTGTCGGCTTCGGTGTACGCAAAAGTTCTCACCGATGGGCATGGTCCATTGGGTGTATCATCCCAGCGTATGTCCCACTAGCCCCATGATGCTGCCTCTCGTTCTTATGGGCTGACCTTGTTTTCTAGCATTATTGGTGGTGCGCTCATGTCATTCCTGCCCATTAATAACAAAAAGGGCATTCTGGCTGGTGAGCTCATTGAACCAAACATCAATTACCGATTATGGATTGATTTACTAAATTCTCTTCAGGAATATACCTTGTAAATGCGGTTGTGGCCCCTCTTGCCATCTTCTACAACGTAAGTAGTACCAATTTTGTCATGGTAGCCTCACACCAGCTGATCAATCTCCTACCTGCAGTGGACTGCAGCCAACTTTGGCGGTGCTACGAAGCGTGCTTTCGCAGCCGCCATCGTAAGTGGCAGCTTCAGTTTGGGTAATATAATCGGCCCCCAGACTTTTCAGGCTCGCGATGCTCCCGAGTTCCGCCCTGCAAAGTTGGCCGTCATGGGAACCCAGGCTGGGTGCGCTGTTACTACATTTTGCCTCTTTCTCTACTACGCTTGGCAGAATAAGAAGCGAGGAAACCGAAAGGCCCAGTCAGAGGATGAGTACATGTCTCCCGAGGCGTGGTCTACGATGACAGACAAGGAGAACAAGCAATTTAGGTATACATACTAGCTACGGGGTGACTTTCGGGTTGCAAGTAGGCTATTGCACTGCCTTAGAATGCATGGACGACACATTTTATTGTATTACTACGTTAATATTTGCGAGAGCTGTCAATCAACAGATTACGGAGCTCTGGCGCAGGGAAATTGTAGTTGCGATGCTTGCCGAAGACATCACACGAGCTGTCTTATCATCCTAATGAGTCGCGCCTTTCTTTCCTTTCCAATGTAGAATGTCGACTGGCGCTGTCATGATATCATTTGTGAGGCTATAGTGTATATCCAAAATCAGGCATCAATTTCTGATACGATCTCGCACTCTGGAGAATATTTTGGCCGTCGGTGGTCGGATATACACGAAATGTTGCCAACATTTGCTCAAAAATCAGGCGCCTTGTCTGGTGATATCTCATTAATTGAGCTCTGCCATCGTAATTATCGCCTTCACACCTGACGTAGCTACTCACTGTCTTATATGATCGTACCATCGCGTTGGTTGGTGTAGTACTTTGGTGATCAATCGGGAAGTTGAGTGCGTCCCGCATGAGTAGCTTTGGCTGTTGGTCACTGTGACAGAGGCACAGCAGGCTGCCGGTGTGATTCTGGACCCTCTAGAAGAACTTACGGATGGTACGAGATGCAGGGGTTAGACGCTGCGACTGCATAAGTGTCGGCTATATCTTCCTTACTGTCCGATGCATAATCGCACTCTCTCCACCTGTGGTAGCATTTGCAACACAACCAAAACACCAGCAACATATCATCACCATGGCTAACGAGCCTATTATCATCATTGGGGCTGGAGTGAGCGGCCTCGTACTTGCCCAGTACCTCCAGAAAGAGCAGGTCCCCTTCCACATCTTTGAGCGAGATACTGACCTGGAGACTCGTGGCGTCGGCTGGGGTTTGACTCTGCACTGGTCGCTGCCCGCACTTCGCAAGCTTCTCCCCGATAAGCTGGTGGCCCGCCTTCCCGAGGCCTACGTTGACCGCGCTGCCGTCCAAAGTGGAGATGTTTCAAGATTTCCCTTCTTCGATTTGAGCACGGGGGAACTCATAACCCAGTCTCCTGCGCTCCCGGAATGGCAGCGAATCCGCGTAAGCCGTCAGAAGCTGCGAGAGCTTCTGGCCACAGGCTTGGATATCCAGGTGAGCAATTGCCGTGTTCTTTCATGGTGTTAAGATTCCGTGGCTGATGTTATTTTGAAACGTGCAGTGGGGGAAGTCATTCTCTGGCCTTCAGCAAGATGGGCAGTCTGTTACCGCTCTATTCGAGGATGGCTCGTCCACCACAGGTCGACTTCTTGTAGCCTGTGATGGCGCCCAGTCGCGAGTGAGAAAAGAGTTATTCCCTGAACAGAATAATTTGCATGAGATACCGGTGCGAATGATTGGAGTCAAGCTACATCCCTCGCCTGAGAAGGTACAGGTCTTACGGCGTCTCGATCCCTTTTTCTTACAGGGAACGTGCTCCAAGAACGATTCATTTGTTTACCTCAGCTGTAGGCCACACCTCATATTCAAGCGCAGAGTTTCCTCTAACCGATACTTGCAGTACTGGAAGCACCCGAGGCCACTCAAGGTGATGGCTCGGGGCGATACGTCTACCAGATGTGTATTTCTTGGCCCTACCGTCCAGGCTTCCTCGGGAATGAGTCGCCCCTTGACGTACCGGCATCGCAATCAGAGCGGTACCGACTTTTGCGACAGATTGCATCCACGTGGGCAGAGCAATTTCAATCTATTGCATACGAATTTCCCGAGGGCGAAGAAATAAAGGATCTTGTGCCTCGTGATTTCCCTCCCCCAAGAACGCTTCGTTCGAAGGGCCGTTCCGTTCTCATGGGAGATGCCATTCATGCCATGGCAATGTGTAAGTCACCAACACTCTTAAAAAGATCAGTGTTCTAACAAATAATAGACCGAGGAGAAGGCGCCAACCACTCCATTCTCGATGTGGACGATTTTGTCGAGGCTCTCGGGTCCAAGCTCAAAGAGTCGCTTAAGCTTGGAGACCTAAGAGCATCGCTTGATGTGTATGAGAGCGCGGTCGTTGATCGCGCCCGCCCAGGTGTCTTGGCTTCTCGTCAAGCTTGTCTAGACGCACACAATTGGTCGCGCATCAGCACGGAGAGCCCGTTGCTGACGAAGAGGGAAATGAAACTCCAATTTGATGAGTCAAACATGATTGAACCATAAACGCTTTGATGGAATGTGCCTCAACTAGCATGGAATGCTCATTGGCTGGCTGGCATACTGGCTCCCGGAGCGATGACTATAACTTAAGATGGGTGTTCATAACACAATTCTCCAACTTTTTGATTCTGTCTTTTTACCCTTCTCGAATATGGCCAAAGAGTAATATGTCGAAACCATATTACAATACCCTACGGGACTTGTTTGATAGATGACCGATGGCCCTTCATGGCCCTCAAAGGGATAGCTAGAGAATAACACGAGAATTCTGGAGAGGAATTTACTTATAATTAAGCCACATTTCTATGCATTCGGAAGTTACCAATTCCCGACCTCATGTACCGCATTGTTGAGCCACTTATTTTGGACAACTTCTTTGAGCTTGAATAGTAACCCCAGAGTAAGAAAAAAATATTATATTGAAGCGGTGAGAGGAAGCTGTACACACACACAACACCCACAACCACACAACACAAGGGTATGTAGCACACAGCAGTTATCGCGTTAGTTGGCAGCTTCATCACCCGCATTGTGATTCATCGTACGAAGACCTTCCTTGTCTCGAGAGTTTGAATGGATTGAGAAGAGAAGGATCTCTCATGAAGGAAGCATTTGAAACGCTCACCGCAGCGCCTCATACGGCCACAGCGGGCTTCAACTGAACAGAGGCTTCGCGAGGCTTCACAATTGATCACTCAACAGTTACAAGTTAGGGTCTCAACTGAATGAAGGAAAAAGCATGCATTTCTCTTTAGGCTACGAAAAACAGCTCCTTTTAACTAGGCCGCTGAGCGGCATGACTTACGAAACCCGGACCTTTTATCCCTGCTTCAATGTAAAGTTAGGTGATGCTAAGGCTAATATAGTTTCGGCAGGTAGGAACCATTGACAGGAATCGAGATCTACGGCTCATCGCAGATCTAATTTCAACTTGCAACTATATCTATCTTTAGTAAGTGAGAGAGCTATGCAGCTGCTGAAAAAAAAAGGGGGAAATTCCCAAAAACCAAGAATTTAACAACTTGATACTATACCCAGTATCACAACACATTACTATATCTATCTTTATGTCTATATAGATTTGGTGTTATCCCTTTAAGGTGCCAAGAAACCCTTCTTTACGACCCCCGACACCTGTTTCTGAACACGCCGCTACAATCGCTTTCGGTTGGTAGCTTCTAATAGTTAAGTAAGACATATCTTATATGCGAACAATGTGATGCTGAACTTTGAACCCACTTGCTCAAGTAGTAGGATAATAAACTTACACTTATAGCAAAACAGTGAATAAATAACACAATATTGTTGTAACATCATTTTGTTATCCTAATGATTCACGCTTTGTGACGAGTTTTGCTGGCCTCGGATTTATGAGTTCCAGCCCCGTTATCTGAACGTTTATTTTGCTCGCTACATTCTCTAAGTAATTATTTTCAGCGCTGAAAGCAAGTGGTACTCTAAATCTTGAGACTAGAAGCGATAATGTATAATCAGTATCATGTAGGGCATCTTTCATGTATGTTTCAGAAGGCTTTTACTCGTAAGGATAGGGTTATCCATACGCGTACCGGCAAGACTAATTGTGCCATATCTTTCATCTGCTATCGATCATTCTCTCTTCTTTCTCCGTAGACATCCTTAGACCGAAACCTTCTTCAGTGTTGACTGTCATTTTTTTGCATCGAGGACTAGTAGTGATGCGCATTGACGTCCCAGCACATATTATCTTCATAGCACTACGATGTGAACAAGCGGAAATCCATCACTTGGGCTTGCTGGGGATGGAGATCAGAAGCAAAATTACATTGTTAGCGAGCATGGGAGCGTTTACGAATGACTGAGGCTGGCAATAAGTGGAGGCAATAGGTAGATTGATAAAGAAAAAATGGACAGTCACACCTTGATGAGCAATGGGTCACAGTCGGACATTTGACCCCCGGATCAGTCGATTCGTGGTGCCAGTGGAGGCGGTTCCAGTCAACCCTGGCAATTCGTATGGCTCGAGTCTCCAAACGGGCTAATGTTGGCGATTCATCCCGACTGCTTGGCCTTTTATGGATTGTACCGACCCAGCCACGACGTGAACGAACGGCCGGGGGATTTGAATTGCTCCAGCCCGCGACAAATCCTTCAGACTCCACCATGATAATCAAAACATTGGCACGGCCCATGAGTGGTCTTCCTCGTAGGCTGCTTTTGCGCATAAAACAACATCTTTGCTGATGCAAGGGCATCTTTGGTGTGTTTCCTGAAGATACAGCACTTACACCCCGCGTTGATCTCGGCTGTGATTTTATACCATACCAAGATGGCTGATGGTAAGCCTCCCAAAGGGATAGCGAATACTGGCAGCACAACACAATGCCCCCTGCCCGAAAATGAGAAAGTGGGCATACCCGGTGTATCCGAGGTCAACCACGATCCGAGTCCATATCTTGAAGGATTGAAGCTTTTCATTCTGATGGGAGGGCTCACAGTAGTCATGTTCCTTTCCATGCTAGATATGGCCATTATTGGTACTGTATGTCTAATGGATCTCTTACCTGTCGTCTAGCCTATTCTAACAGATCGCTCTACAGGCCATTCCCCAGATATCCAGTGACTTTCACAGACTTCAGGATGTAGGCTGGTACATTGGTGCTTATCAGGTAGGTTGAGGCAACCTCCTTGAAAGAGGTCCCGCTGAATCATGTCCAGCTTGCAAGCGCCACCGTGCAACCGTTCACTGGGAAGGCTTACACCTACTTCAGCACCAAGGTAGGGATGCAAACCATCCTATCGTCGGAACATGATTTGACTTTCTGATGACTAATGGTCACTGTTCTTCTTTTTCGTCTTCGAAGTCGGCTCCGCAATTTGCGGTGCTGCACAAAATTCGATCATGTTCATCATTGGTCGTTCGATTGCGGGTCTAGGTTGCTCAGGTCTTTCCAACGGCTCTCTAACGGTTCTCTCCGGAGCAGTGTCTCCAGAGAAAAGGCCTTGTTAGTTTCTCTCAAACGCTGTTTCATTAACTTAGGCTAGCACACTGACATTCTCGACAGTGTATACAAGTCTCACAATGGCAGGTTCGTATATTGTTCCATTGGCACAAGCAAAGACACACTAGAAGTCCTACTGACAACTTGATACAGTCGGACAGATCGGTGTTATCCTCGGGCCTGTACTAGGAGGGGTGTTTACCGAACATGCCACTTGGCGATGGTGTGAGTAGCCACTCATATTCATATTACCCGAGACACCAACCCTTGCTCGGTTCTAACATGCCTGAGAGTGCAGGCTTTTATGTGAATCTGCCACTCGGTGGTCTTGTAGCTGCATTCCTCGTCTTCCTCCATATCCCTGATCACATCGCGAAAGAACCAGTAACCCTTCAGCATCTTCGGGAGATCCTTCCCAAATTCGACCTCATTGGGTTCGCACTCTTCGCACCGGCAGCGATTATGCTCCTCCTCGCCCTCCAATTCGGCTCGAGCGACTATTCTTGGAACTCGGCAACAGTAATCGGATGCTTTTGCGGAGCCGGCGTCGCAGCCATCATTTTTCTTCTCTGGGAGCGACGTATGGGTAAGGATGCTATGATGCCGCCTCAAATGATCTCACGACGCATTGTTTGGACGAGTTCCCTGTTTTATGGTCTTCTCATGAGTGTGTCGGTTGGGGGAGGTAGCTTCCTCCCCATCTACTTCCAGTCTGTGAAAGGTCAAGAGCCTCTAACGAGTGCTCTCTACTTACTGCCCAGTATTCTGAGCCAAATTTTCTTTCTTCTCCTATCGGGAGCACTAAGTTCGTTTGTCCAAATTTATGCCTAATTCTTGAGAGCGGGATCCTGACGGCATAACTCCTCTCTAGTGACTAAATTTCGATTCTATATTTCATGGCCAGCCTTCGCAGCATCCGGCACTGCTCTCGGATGCGGACTTATATCTACGTGGACACCGGACTCGACACTTGGTGAGCTATTTGGTCATCAGGTGCCATACGCAGCAGGAGGAGCAGCTATTCAGATTGTAAGTGGGGTGTATTATGGCAACACGTCTTATACGCATTCTGACTTACTCAAAAGGCATTTCTGGCGGTCCAGCTCACACTACCAGCAAATGAAATCGCTCTGGGAATATCGTTCCTTGTATTTTCGCAGAATATCCTCGGCGCAGTAGTTGTGACGCTCGGCAATACGATTTTTCAGGAAACCTTGAAGTCTAAGATTGTTCTATATGCCCCAGAAGTCTCTCCCTCGGCAGCAGTGGCGGCTGGTGGAATTGCTGACGCAGTGCGTCAACTGGCGGCGCAGGGTGACGATGCTCTACTGGGAAATGTTCTGCGAGCGTTTTCGGATAGCTTTGACAATATCATGTATCTCTTCGTGGCCATGAGCATGGTCTCGTTCTTCTTGTGCCTTAGTATGGGCTGGATGGACTTGCAGACCCATGGAAAGAAGCCAGACGAGGCGGCCGCGAGAGAACAGAAGGAGAACAGTGAGAGGCAAAAAGGATAGCAAAGGACTTTGACATACGTTCTATTTAAATATTCTCCAATAATACTCAATAAATGACAGTCATTGTTATGCAAGAAGAAAGGTTTCATGTTACTATTGATCCAAACCAGAGGTTGTCACCAGACGTTTATGATAACCATTTAGATTAAGTGAAACAGATTGATTGAAGTCACCCCTCCAAGGCCCTACTTTGAAATAAGGCGCTGAAATTACAAGTACGATTATTCGGTCTTCATGGCAACAAATGTTGGGAATTGAATTGCAACTCATGTGTCACTAATATCAGTCTCGTCTATTGCCACGAATCCCATCATCCAACTGCATAAGAAAATCAGCCCCAAAGAACGTGGTCCAATCGTCAGACTCTGGAAAGAATGCCACATCCCCGCTTGCGTAAAGCTGAGGCTCGGACGAGGAACCAAGTTCGTCACTCTTGTCCGGGCTAACTTGGCTTATTGAGATCACCTCCTTAGCTGACGATGCCCCCTGAAAGACTCGGGGTGAATCGGTTGAGGCAAAGACCGAATCAGTTCGCCATTCCGTCTCCCACTCCTTAAACTTGTCATAGTCTGACGGTCCTTTCTTCTCCATGCTAGCGGCCTGGTCAAGCCTAGCAATTACTTGCTCAAAACGATCCACCAATGACGCCTCCACGTGTGCTAGTCTGCTGCCCGATGCCATGTGCTTCAACATTGAGAGACCATCTCGGAGTGCGTAACGGAATGTATGGCATTTCGTTTGGAGACATTGGGTCGTAATGATCAACAAGGCCGCGCGGCAGGAGCTAAATTCCGTATAGGATGCGCGAGCCAGGCCGATAGTGTTGTGAATATGTCGGCAGGTCTCAATCGCTTCAAAGGCAGCCTTGACGCAATCCCGCACGAGAACAGAACGGGGGTGAGTAACATCAGACGCGGCGGATGGGGATATCGCGCTGTGTTGCTCTGGTGTTGTCCCCGCAGCGTCATTGGAGAAGATGAAACAGCGGCCACAGAACATCCGTACTAGGCAATACTCCAATTTCAACTGAAGGCTGTATCGTTCCGGTTGGGAGGACTCTTCTTGTAGGAGAAGATCAGTGGACAACTCTGACCACCACGCGATGAGCTCGCCGTGTATACTGGTCAGCCTGCGCATAATCGCTTTCTGTTTAGGTGCACCCTTCAAAAGATCACTGGATTTGTTCGTTAGCGTGGGCGACTTAAATTGGTTATTTCAAGGCTGAACACGTACATTTCGTTCCATACTTTCCTTAGAAATTCATTTAGACGCAGAGTAGCGAGAATACAAGGTACGGTGATTGTCGTCCATGGGCATATGTGGCTCTGTTCAGATGGCATGTCGGTATCAACATCAACAGGTCTGATCGACATGGGTCGTCCATGAAAGATTGAAATTCGTCTTTCAGGGATTTAGTATCAGTGAAAGTTCCAAGGAGCCAACATGAAACGAAGAAAAACGCTTGACCCTCAGGCCACGTACCGTTCTATAGTATAGGTGGTCCACCAAACGCGGTTGCGGATTTCGCGTACTCTAGTATCCAAATCATCTCTTGAGTATCGTCGATGCATGCCGTTTTGAATAGAAACATTGATGGCAATATTCAAATAAGAGTATGATAATCCGGCTGCATCAATCGGAAGCAGATAGACAGCAATCAGCAAGCACGCCTGTACACACTCCAACGAACCCAAGGCAAGGACTTCTGGCAGCAGCCGAGAAGCCTGCTGGTAAAACATGACACCAACTGCATCTTCTGTAAATGAAGAAATGTTTGGCTCCGGACCTATGTCTCCGTTATCTGCTCGATCAGATTCGATGTAGGCGTACTGTGTCCCGATCGCAAGGATGGCAAAGAGAATGGACACCACACCAACATCACCACGGCTTAGTACGTCCGGTTTGGTGTAGCATAAGTCGAGCTTGTCTTCTACCCAAGTCTCTTCGACATAAAAGTAATTTGTCTGAGCATGCTTCAAGAAACAGCGAAGGAGAAAGTTGGCAATGGGCCGTGGTGGTAGAGAGAATAAGGCTGTCGTGGCTGCGGTCGGGCTTTGCAACTCGTCGGTCCGATAAAAGTCTTTCCAGCTTGAAACTGAGTCTTGGGTTTGCTGCAGCGGTCAGTATTTCTGTCAAGAATGTGAAATACTGTTGGGCAGTGACTACCTCTTTGGGTAGAGTGTTCATATATTTCCTGATCCTCTGCGAGAAATTCCAATGTGAGAATTCACCCGAGTAGTCTGTCCTTATGTTAATTCGGATCAAATAGTGAGCCCAACTGTGACCTACGAGCTATGTTATTGTCAACAGGCAAAATGTCACACGTCTCGTTAACGCCCACGGAAGTTTCAGAGAGAGAGGATTCGCAGTCATCAGCCTGGGTCATTGGGGCGTGATGCTTTTTATCTGCCTCTGGAGTTTGAGAGAGAGCTTTGAGAGATTCCAAGGTCAAGTCCACGTCGCCCACATATTGCCGAACGATATTTTCTAGATATGCAACTCTCTGCCGTTGTGAAATGTTTCGGTCACTCGCATTTGCCATAGGTCTCACTCTTCAACCAAGCGTCAGCAAAATGGAGAATAGAGATTCCGGTTGACAGGCTAAGGATGAAAGGGAAACACACGTTATGCTCCCTTCAGGAGACTTCTTGGACGGGGCTTCGTCTAGTTGCCTAGCACTCCGGTCTTTTCCGGAGAAAACACAGGGCCGTCGTATGCGAGAACACCGCCGACAAGGTTGGTGTCCGTCGCATTTTTCTTTTTGCTGGCGACAGGTGTCGCAACTATTGAGCACAGGTTAGTTAACACAGCCGCGGGTCTTACAATGAGGGGTTACGCACGCTCGGGCGACTCGTTTGCGGTCAGCATCTGCTACGAGACGCCGCCGCCTACCTTTAATCACTCCTGGAGGCTCCATTAAATGTGCGGATGTCAAAGCATGGATTGAAGAGATCGCGACCGGATAAGAGATCGTAGATGGCAGACATCCGGCCTTTTGATCGATTTCGCCTTTCCGGTGGGGAATGCTTATCTCTGGGTTCCTCTCATTAGCCAGGCGGAACTTATCTATGCCATTTCTGTCACGTTCTATGTCATAACCCCACAGAACAGAAACCCAATCTCAGAGCCGGATGATATGAACCGGATCCCGTCCCATTTCCACCTACCCTGCACCTAGGCTTTGCCCAGGAGGCGCCTCCTTGTTAAATAAGATATTAACGGAGAGTTTTCGGTCTCTATTTCGGATTGAAGTAGGGGTTAAATATGTTCACAGAGATAAACTAAAATACTAAGGGTTTTCTTGTGCAGGTCGAGGTCAGTCATTACCCGTAGTCATGTTGGGGAAGTGATCAATACAACCGGACTTTGATCTCGTGTATATCATTCATTACGTCAAAGAGCATAACTAATTGTAAATACTAGCTTCCTAATCCAACGTGAGGTGCGCCATTCATAGCCTTGATTCTACTAAATAAGTAACTACCTAGGTATTAATGGTGGAGAGTTCGTTCTCTGCCGAGGCTCGACACTTTGAGGACCCATATCCTTCACGCCCAACGAATGATGTTAAGATTCGCCGTTACAACCGATTGCGACCATATTTGCGGTGGTCGGGCAGCTTTATGTAATTGCTCCGTCAACTCGTATAACAGACACAGATAAGTGGTGGATTATACTTGCACAGACGGCGTTCGGAATTGACATCATCCCTTGCTACCCTGATGTGACGAAACAATACCGAGGACCAACGTACGGCCTCCGTAGAAGGATATTTAGCTATGATAATTTCCTGTCTATATATTCGCCTCTTTCCGAGCTGCTTGGATAGAAAAGGCGGATCAAGCTCTATTCAGGAACACCCATTGTGTTTTTCGTTCCTTGACCTATCTACAACTCGTTTGACCACTCACGCAAAGATTTATCAACAAGCTCTAAGCAACTACTGGAGCAGAATTTCAAAGACGATTTTTGAACATCAAGGCAAACCTCCCTCAGGCACAAATCATCAGGTGCAAAAATAAACATGGCATATCAAGTCATGATCACTCCGGAGGGAGATGCTCCCCAGGCCGAAAAACGTCGTCATATATACCTTCGGCCATTTATCCTCTTCTGGATTGCCACTTTTATCTTCGAGGTGACGATGCTTGCAGTGAGCATCGCTGTGTTCTCTGGACTACGCGACATGTTCCCGAAAGTGACGTGGACGCTCGTCTTCTGTCCTTTGGGAATGTCTGGCGCCCTGTCAGGACTTGTCAACTACTTTCTGGTTGACAATATCTACGGTAATAAAGCGGTTCACTTCCTGGCCATTCTCAGCGTGTTGGTGTTGGGAACATGCAACAACCTCTGTTACAATTTGGATCTGGTGTTTGGCTGGTTTGGAGCCGCCGAAAACTTTTGGTGGTGGCATGCAAGGTATCCTTTTATCTGGGTCGTCGGATACATCAACGGGAAGTTGATGTTCACCGATGCGGGACAAGAAACGCTTGCTCGATGGGGGGTGTAAGCTTGGACTCAGTGCTAGAGTTGCAAGCGGCTATGCGATCCTGGTTAGAATTATTTGTGGCATGTGAGCAAAATCCTCTGACTGTTATCGGGGTTGAGTTTACATACATGTTGATTGCTCAATACAACAAGGAAGGTAAACATGAACATACTCATCGATACGACGAAAAGAAATTGAAGGAACACGGGGTTACCATAGGGTTATCCGATTTCCTCTAGCCGGCAACGACTAAATTAGTTGATATTGGCTTATTTGTCATTTAAGTTCCACGATAGTGCCCATCGTAAATCGAGCAAGGATTCCGCGGCTCCTTATACAAGAGCCTCGCCGTCTCCTCTCTATACTTAGAACAGGGCTCATATAGATGACCTGGCCATAGAGGCTTTCAAAGTGGGATAATTTAACATTTTACATTTGCCCAAGTCGTCCCGAATTGAGATGGTCAACTAAATCTTGTCACCTTGTTAAGTGGGTGATAGGAGAAATGAGACAGCTGATGGAAGAGTAATTAAAAATAGACTAATTTCTGTGACGAATAGATGCGTTCACTAGTATAAAGAAATAAACTGACAATATATACTGTATTGTCGCTTGAGTATGTGTTATTAGTACTCAATAATTTGATAATTTTCGCCCGCAGGTCAGAAAATAAGCAGCTTAACGATTGAGTGTCTCAGTTTCAATGTCACCTACTTGCTTGTCTTCAAAGATCGTCTCCACTACACCCTTAGTTGCCACTTCAATAGATTGTGTCTAGACTAGCCCATTCTCCATAGGACTAACACGAGGTCGGCCTTAGCTCTGGCCGTTCCAAGTCTAGGCTCGTCGATAGGAAGTAATCTATTGAGAGAAGTCGAGCCCCTCACTAGTCTAAGAGTCACGCTGCTTCCTTCTATTCAATCTGACATCAATCTGAATACGTCTGATTTAATCGTAGCAGTTGTCGCATCGAGATTGACGATATCGTCCCAACAGCAACAGAATGTCGGGGCCATACTACGAAGACTACGAGCCTCCTCCAGGACCACCACCTGGTTTTATTCAGAAACAACAACAACAGCAACAGCAACAGCACCAATATCAGCAGAACCAGCAGGCAAGCACGGCGCACCCGAGCGCGCCGCCTGGGTTCCCGTCACCACCCAAACAGCCTGCCGCTCCCGCTTCGCAATGGAATGAGCACATGTTTTACTCGAATGGGAACGGGACGCCTTTCTTCAACAGCCTGATGAAGGAGTTCTTCGGCAAGCTTGACCCACAAGGGACTGGTTATATCACACCAGAAGCCTTCTCCAACTTCTTAGATGCCTGCCATTTCCGTGTCGATGATAATGTCTGTATGTTGTTGCCCCGCCTCGCATCAGGTTCACATCTTGAAACTTACATCAATTGCAGGGAAAAGAAGCCACAAGGGTAACATGATGTTCTCGGCGGACGACATGGCCGACTTCGAGCTCAAGGCTGCCCTGGAGGGATTCTACTTCGACCACAAAGTAGTGGTGCGAAATCCACGAGCGAAGCAGCTTCCGTATGGCGGAATGCCCTTGCTGAGCCTTGTGGGTTTCGCCGACTTTATGGCGGTTGAATTCTGCGCCGACATTGATCAGCACCTGGGCGGGCTGAACCATGCCTTGCGTTATTACGGCATCTGGCCTGAGAAGGGAGCCATCCCGCGCCACGTCTTTCTCGCGAGGTGCCCACCCGAGCTCCAGCGTCGCATTGACGAATCTTCTGTGCGGTGTCGCGGCGCAGCTCAGACAAGAGTAAATGCGCACAGGGCCCAGAAGCAGTTGGAGCTTCAGGGACAGCAAAATGCGCTTGACCTTATTGATGGACCGCGTCGTTATTATTATTACTGAATATCATTGGATGATTGGAAGCGAATCTCTGTCGTTGAACAAGGATAAAACAAGCAGACTGCCCTGTTAGAAGTCTTAGAGGTAGCCGTCATCTGGCCTTTGGATCTTCTGGCGCTTAGACAATACACAGCCACACGCACACTCCGGCGTCGAGTCATAATGTTATTTAAAGTCATTATAGACAGTCAGATGATCTCTTAGCGCTACATGTAATCCACCATTTTCTTTGACAATCCTTGTGGTGATGTTAAAATTGCTGTGCAGTTTCTGTAGATAAAAGCTCAAGACCGCCATCTTCCTATGATTAGAAACTCTAGAGCACATTATTCTCTCTTCCTAGCAACGCTAGCTAACTGGCAATACCTCCGGTATCATAATTCCGTTGTGAAGCCGGGAACTTAACAGTTGAAGAATATATGCTATATATTGCATTGATTACCATCTTATAGAGAGAGAAAGGTTGTAGAACTAAAACAGTACTCTAATGCAAACATTTAGATGTCCCCCCTAATGGCAGCGGATGAATGAGACGATCACCTGTCATGTGTGTTATCTGCGCATCATACATCCAACAGATACTAACAGAGGGACACTCTAGAAGAATCAATCTCTTAGACAATATACTTTAAGAGAGGGCTCTTGTCTCCCACCTGGGTCAACTCCTCGTCACCATACTTGGCACGAACCTCCTCCTCGGTGCCCTCAGCCTCCTTGCGACGGTTAAGACGCTGATACTCAAACTTGAGCACAACAGTGGCAATGATAGCAGCGACCGAAATGCCCAGACCGAACCCGAACCCGAGCCAGTAGTTCGGCTTCTGATTCTCTAGATAGATGTTGGAACCGATGGCACTACCAAAGTTACCCATGCAGATGAGAAGAGCCATACCAACGGCTCGCTTCCATGATGGAGTCAGGTTGTTACCCACCCAAGAAACGAGGCCAATGAGAGGAGGGTAGACACCAACCGGGATGCAGAAGAGGAAGGCATAGGTGAGGCCGGGCAGACTGGGGTGAGGGATAGAGAGGAGACCGAGGAAGCCGATGGCGGAGATGTAGTAGGGACCGACGATGAAGGGCCAACAGGTCCGGTGCTTGTCGGTGTAGAAGGCAATGAGCGGGGTTCCAATCACACCAAGGGCGTAGATGGGAATGGTGAGTAGCTGAGCGTTGGCGGCAGAGTAACCGAGACCAAAGATGACACTAGGAGCAGTGTAGGCGAAATCGTAGATGGAAATAGTGCTGCCCTGGGTAGCGGGTCAAGTTAGTTGCGCCGAGTATTCAAAATAATCAAGAGAGGCATGCATACCCAGTAGATGATAACTGCGAGCCAGATCTTCCAATCGGTAAAGGCGGCGACGATGGTAGGCCAGTGAAACTTATCCTGGAGATCGACTTTCCCGCTCTTAGTACCGGCGTCGTGTCGCAGTCGGTGGCAGAGAAACTTTCGCTCTTCAGGTTTAAGGAAGGTTGCTGTTTCAGGGCTGTCTGGCATAAGGAAGAAGCAAGTGGCGCCCACGACAACGGTAGCAATACCCTCGATGATGAAGATCCACCGCCAGCCAGCAAGATTGGCAATACCATCCATCTGCTGCAGCCCAAACGCCAGAAGACCGGAGAAGGCACCAGACATGGAAGCAGCACCTTAGACGGGGTTAATGGCTGTAATGACGTAGAGAAGACCTGTGTGTACTCACTATAGAAGACAGCCATGCGACCTTGAAGCTCTAGACGCTTGTACCAGGTGGTCAGAAGATATGTACTGGCCGGGAAGAAGCCAGCTTCGGCGGCCCCGAGCTTGAGGTGTCATGTCAGTTCCGCTGCATTTATCGAAGGAGTCGATGGGGTTGGCTTACAGCAGCTCGAGCACCAGCAAAACCATGGAAATCCTTGACAATTCCCATTAGAGTCATGACTGTGCCCCAGACGAGCATCATGGCGCCAATCCAGATGGAAGGCCGGACGACCTTGAGAAACATGTTACTGGGGATTTCAAGAAGAGCATAGGGAAAAAGAAGACGGTCAGGCTAGCGGATTATTAGCTAAGTAAATCTGCCGTAGCTACCTCGAGAATGTTTGAGATTGACTTACGCGATATTGTATTGACTGCCCGTAAGACCCAAATCCGTGTTCATCCCAGCGACTTTGGCATTACCGACTAGATGACGGAATTCAGTTAATTATGACAATAATCAGATCCATTGAGTTCAAGACGCACTGTTGCTTCTATCAATGAAGGACAGCACATAGAGGACGGTCAACATTGGAATCAATCGCCAGTCGACCTTTCGAAGAATGGCCTTTGTCTCCTTGTCGTCATATTGAATGAGCTCATTGTTCTCATCTGAGGCGGCGGTCTCGAGCTGGTCCTCGATGGACTCTATCTTTTCCTTCTCCAACATATTTGCCGATAATAAAAACTACAAGGGGTGTTCGAGAATGGAAGGCCGAGATGGGAGGATGTTGCTGAAATCGTTGTCAAGACTCAGACTCAGACTCAGACACAGGACAGGACTCGCTGGTGAAGAAGCGACGACTGGATGCACAAACTGATCGACGGTTGATGCGTCTCAAGGGCATTATTTGAAGTCTTTCTGAAATACCGAGGAGTTGAGCCGAGAAGGCCACCGACTTCACCCATGGCGGTGCGCTAGTCATGGATTTCTCGACTACCCCAGAGGAGTCCCCAAGTCTCCAAGGACATGGATTGGTGGGCCGAGACTCTCCACAACTTCTGAACTTCCCCGCATTCCTTCAAGGTTGTGAAAGCTCGTCTCGAGTTTGCTCAACCCTGCAGCCACCCTTGATCTTGACTCAACCTCTGCATGCCACGACAGGGGGAGAGTACTTTTAATCAGCCGCATCGCTGTTTTGTTTCGACTCGAAGAAGTTGACCCGGTCACTCGGCTCTTGCCTGGAACCCTGTCTTCGAAGCAGGTAATATCTCCACCGTCATCGATGGCCGAAGTCTCTGTTCCTCCAGCTGTGCCCCAAGAGTCTTCCTCGCGCCGAGGTCTCAAAGCTCGCCGCAAGCTGAGGGTCAATACTGGTTGTCTCACATGCCGCCAACGCCATGTCAAGTGCGATGAACGCAAGCCAAGCTGTGTCAATTGTGGGAAGAAAAGCCGCATTTGTCGTTATGAATCCTCCGGGGACCAGCAGTCGAGACGAATAGCGAATGAGAGGGAAATCCAGAGTCGGAGCCGGGACAAATGCCCGAGTCAGACCCAAACCTCAGCCTCGGAACCCCAAGCGCAAGCAATAGCACAAACACAGCCCTCACATTCATCACCAGTGTCTGTACATGAGCTCAGAGGCCAACGCGTTCCCATACGCGAACCAACGCCCAGTCATGTGCAGAGCCCCCATACTCATCCTAGCGGAAGTGACCTGTCCCACTTCGTCCCCTTTAGTGATGATCAGGACGGGCACGATCCTATTATCTCTGCATCTTTCACCAACCCTCAAGATTTGACGGCTGTGTCTCCCTTCTCTGCTACTTTGGGGTCCATCTTACTCGATGCTGAGTTTTTCCCCGAACAACACGGAGATGTGCTGCAACAACTCTACCAACCCACTGACCCGGGACTGGATCAACCAGTACATCAAGGTCATATTAGCGAGATACATACGCCGTCAAATATTGAACTTCGGGTCGGCTATCAGATACAACTATCGACCCATGAGGTCCCAATCTTCCGAAATTACGTGGAGAATATCAGCAAGTGGGTAAGTATACCGCATCATCTCCGCACACCTGCCCCTGACCTGATTTATCATTTCTTTGGTTCGATTTTGCTATCCACATCTTTGGTTTGAGTCTTGGCTAATGTAATAATGTTTTTCCTGTTTTCTCGGGTATCAGGTTGACTCCTTTTCAAGCGACCAGCCTTTCCATCGGCTAGTTCCCATCTTAGCCTTGCGATGCCCGTCACTGCTGCATGCATGCCTCGCCCTCGCCTCCAAGCAGATGGATCTTGTGGGGACGACGTCCCCGTTTGTCGTTTTGGAGAGTGAATCATTGCGTTACTACCGGCTGGCACTTTCGGCTATCCGCACCCTGTTGCTGCATCCAGAATATGCGCAGAGTGACGAGATGTTGGCTGCATGCATTCTATTGTCTACGTACGCAAGTGACCCAGTCTCTCCATTTACCTCTCCACATGTTCTCCTTCCCATGTTGAGCTACCCCAAGCTAACAGGGAATGCATTGCCCCCTTTTAGTTATGAGATGATTGATGTAGTTGGAGAGTCCCTCGGCTCGCATCTCACCGGTGTTGCGTCCCTTTTGCGAACTCGTCAAGTCCATGGCAACGTGGCCGGGATCCGTGGAGCATGCTACTGGACCTGGTATCGTCACGAGACCTGGGCAGCTCTCCGCACAGGGCGCCAAATGTCCATTGACGAGGCATACTGGCAACCTGAGTCTATCGCTAGTTTCAGCCACCTGACCCCGGAGGACGTTGCCAACCGAGTCATTTTCATCTTCGGCCAGTGCATCAACTATTGCAACGACGATACCACTGGCAATCCAAGGGAGGCCAAGGCTGCGGAGCTGGATCAGGCACTAGACGACTGGAAGGCGAAATTACCTTCGAGTATGGCATGGTTCTCGACTGAGAAACCCGAGGCTGGTCCTATGGGCTCTAATCACTTTGAGGCCATGTGGTTTGTCTTTCCCCACAGTGGTACGTTTCCCCAAAGTCCAGACTCGTGTGTTGATAGTGGACCCCGATGAGTGAAACTAACAAAGACCTTGGAAACCTTCAGCCGTGGCGAATCAAGTATACAACGCAAGCAAGATCATACTCGCGCTGAACCGTCGCGAAGAGACGTCTTCAGCCGCACTGCGCGGCCTGGCCAACTCGGCGTTCCTCTCCACACAACGTCGTATCGAGTGGCATCGGCGGCAAATATTCTCGACGGCTAATGCCGGAATACCTGACGCATGGAGCCTTGTTTCCTCGCAGTGTTTATACATTGCGGGCCTCGTGACGAAAGGCGTGGAGGAGAGGAAAAAGACATTGGATCTCATTGACCAGTGCCAGAGGTCGAGTGGCAGGAAGACAGGGGTGCTCTCGAATGATTTAAAAAATCTCTGGGCCGCTGAAATGGAAGTTTTTAGTTAATCGGAACCTTATCATTAAGAAGTAATCATATAATTAAAAGCCTAATCAGCTGTCCTCGTCATGTATCATGGCGTGCTATTTACTTATTAATTGTGTTGAGATGTCGGGTCTGGCATCATCCATTCTTGTTTAACTTTATACTTGAACTCTCTTCCGTGCTATTTGTTTGGAATCTCTCAGTCGTTATATTCAATGAATGTCAGATACCTTATCATCGATGCAGTAGATGAGTAATACATGATCTACGATTGTACTAGACATTAATGACCGAGGAAGAGACCATACCTATAGTTACAATCATTTGTTAATACTAAGAAGAAGTAAAAAATGAAATGAGGGTTTCAAGATATAGATAGTGAGACAAGGTAACGCCGAAGCGGAGAAAACTGAAAATGAAGTCCAGGGGAGAAATGCACCTTAGTAGACTGGAGCTTCAAAATAAAAAATTCTCCGACTTGTAGACATAAAATTAAGAAAGGACGTAAAAAGCATAAAATATAGATATTCGCCAAGTAATTGGCTAGCCTTGTTTTCTATTTAAACCTACCTAACTTGAGCAACAAATACTAATATTGCAGCTCTCGATAAGATATACCGGTGTTAACACGGATGCAATGTGATAATCAGCTAAAAATAATAATAATACAAAACAGTAATTTATTGAGTCTTATGAGGCGGGGGATTTCGGTGTCCAAAAATCTATCACTGCCACGGCGGAAGTTTCTTTATCCTCTAATGTGCGGTTGACACTCTTGAACGTCTGATAAGCAGCTCCAAACAAGCGGCCTGGATAATTGATCTTATTCATTGTCTTTTGAAGAATGGCCTATAGGAACAGTGTTAGTTTCATATCGACAGAGATTTCCACAGTCGAGCACGTACCAGGTCTTTCATCACATTCGTAAAAGTGGAATTGACATTTGACGTAATTGAGAAGTCCCGTTTCATCATCTTGGGGAATTCTTGGTTAAACTGGTCGCTGGAGCCCGCAGCCCCAGAGATCAGACTGTAGATGAGCTCTGTTGAGACCCCCTTTGCAACTGCCAGGCTAAACGCTTCAGCAGCTGCGACGAGATGAACTAGTGAACCGAGGCGGATGGCGAGCCACATAGAGGATGCTGACCCTACAGGGCCAGAGATTCTGGTTGGTGCGGTCTGTCGGGGGAGGGCTTCTTTAATCGCCGAGACAACGTTCTCATTCTCTGTGCTAAAGATTATCTAAAGTTGTGTCAGTAGAAACTCAACATTCACGCGAAGGATGAGTACTTACCTGCAGAGCTGAAGAATCCGACGCTCGGTATGTTTGGTAGTCAAAGACCTGTAGCTGAGTGTGCTTTATCTTGATCTTCTGCAAAAACTCGCTTCCAACGCCTGAAACTCCGACGATGCTCCCTTGAGGTAGCTCGCTAAGCCTGGTATCCAGATCACTCGAGGTCTCCGAAATGTGGATGAGCCCTTTGTTTTCAGCGGCAGTAAAAAGACTGAGGAGTTCGGCATCACTGTCTTCAATGACAAATATCACTTTGACATCGCCGTGGCTCTCTGAAGGAGGTGAGGGTAGAGAAGCTTGGCCCTTAGGCTCAGCGACGGGCTTGCCAGTGATGCCTTCGTAATTACATACAACACTAGCATCGTCGTCTCGGCCGAAACCACGACCAGCGCGCTCAAGGAAGGCATCTCTCGCAACAGAAGCAATAGGGCAAGGCACGGACAACTCATCGGCGGTGTCATTGACGATTCCCTGCCATTTCAACTTATATTAGAGACATTAGATGGGATATGGGGGATTAGAAAGCATACCAGGTCTTTGGTAAAGATGCTGACGGCAGACTTAGGAGACCAGTCGGCATTGATCATTGAAAGACCTCGGTCGCCCATGATCCAGCTCGTAGCTTCGCTCTTGGTCAGAATACCGTATGCCTCCCTGGAGGAGAGGCCAAGAGCCTTAGCGAAGGCAATGACCTCGGCAGCAGCCACAACATGTACTCCTGCAAGGTGTTGATTAAGCCTGAAAGTTCATGTCAACTTTGATCTGTTCCTGTTTGTTCCTATGTTTGTCTTACATCTTGACCGTGCTGGCCGATCCAAGAGGGCCACACCTGAAGAGTCTACCGGGGGAAGAAATCGCCTGTAGTGCAAGGTCGACCTGATCCAAATCTTCTTTGTTGCCGCCCAACATGACCTATGAATCGCGTTAGAAAATTTCCACCTATTTCTCTTGAACAAAACAACTTGCAGTTAGCTTGCCCGCATTGGCACCCACAACACCACCTGATACCGGGCAATCCACGAGCTTGATATCCGTCCTCCCGGAGGCATCCAGTCTACCGCGCAAGGTCAAGACGTATACAGGGGGAAGGGTGCTCAACAAACAGATCACGCCTCCCATAGATAGGGTATCCAACACCCCATCGGCTCCGAAGATGACAGAATCAACCTGGGCGGGTGTTGCGACCATGATTAGGAACAAGCTCTGACCAGCACCAGCCTCACCGGCAGTTGTAGACGTAGAACCACCAAGCTCTTTGAAGTTTGTTAGCGCAGTTGGATTGACATCGAAGCCATTGACTTGAAAGCCAGCCTTTAGAAGGTTTGAAGCCGTGCCAAAACCCATGGCCCCAAGGCCTGCAAAGCCTAATGACGTTTGCTGTCCGCTCATCTTGTGTTATGAATTGGTCCTTGAGACTGGGGAAAGTCTCTTTGGTTGATCGCCTGATATTATGAACCGACTGACAATACGAAAGAAGGGACAATGTAGATGAGGCCTTGGGGAATCAATGATGGGTGTTCGAAGAAAGTGGCTCACTTGTATGCCATGGTATCAAGCCTTATCGCTTTATCAACTAATTAATTCCACAAGTTTCTCAATTATTTGCCTCGCTTGAATCCTGCTATCACCTTCTTTGCCGAACTCGGGCAAAAACAATAAGCCATAGCTACAAACACACAACGATCCGTGGATGAGACATGGATACATGGGACATGGGGAGGAGAGATGCCAGCTTCTGAGCCAATCATAGCATGGAGCGAGAAATGGGACCCTAAATCTCGAGCCGAGTATGTGAATGTGGCCCTTGTGATTTGCTTGACTCAGGTGACGATCAACAACCGGGACTAAATTTCCGTCTCCATCTTTTCAAGTCTCGCTCTCGAGACCCCAAACGCAAACCCCTCATTTGCTGTGGAGAATAACCTGTCGCACTACCCTCCGATGCTCGCTCGGAGGGAAGTGCGGAGGGGAAGAAGAGCGCGGTTATTGATGACGATATGTAAGAACGCGGTCTCGCTCCCCCTGATTCCTGTGATTCTCAAGATCACATCCTAGAACCTGGAATCGCCGGCACCAAATACCCCTGTCCCGATCGCACTGAATCTCTCGTCGCATTTACCATGGCTATCAAGAACCGTCTCATCCTCGGGACCATGACAATTGGTCCCGATGCTGCTGCCGGCGCACGTATCACCTCTCTCGACGAGTACAAGAAGTGCCTCGACTTCCTCACCTCCAAGGGTTACAACGAGCTCGACACGGCTGCCCTCTACGTCGCCGGCAAACAGGAAGGCTTTACCCGCGAGGCCGGTTTCAAGGAGCGTAACTTTAAAATAGCCTCTAAGTGCATGCCCGTCAACCCTGGAGATCACGCCCCGGAGAAGCTGCGAGCATCCTGGGATGTGAGCTTGCAGAAGCTGGGCGTCACTTCCGCTGATATTTTCTATCTTCATGCACCTGACCGCGCCACGAGTTATGAGGTGACCCTCGAGGCGTGCGACCAGCTTTACAAGGAGGGCAAGTTCAAGCAGCTCGGTTTGAGCAACTATGCTTCCTGGGAGGTTGCCGAGATTGTCGGCATCTGCGAGCGTCGGTAAGCGACGAGGCATTGCATCTTCATAGGTCAATTGAAGCTGATGTTTGTCACAGCGGGTTCGTCAAGCCTACAATCTACCAGGCAATGTATAATGGAATCAGTATGTCTTACACTAGGCTTTCCGTCTCACCCCAAAGCTCGAACAGACCATAAATATTAACCTTCAACTAGCCCGGGCCCTAGAACCCGAGCTGGAGCCTTGCCTGCGCAAGTTCGGGCTTGACCTTGTGATTTACAACCCTCTCGCCGCTGGCCTCTTCAGCGGAAAGTATTCCACTCTCGAGCAGCCCGCCGAGGGCAGGTTTAGCAGCACCAACACCCTCGGAAAGCTCTACATGGAGCGCTACTTCAAGCAGTCGACGATGGAGGCCCTGGCTATTATCGAGCCGGTCGCCAAGGAGCACAATATCCCATTGATCGAGGTCGGCCTGCGCTGGTGTATCCACCATAGCAAGCTGAAGCCGGCTTCCAAGGGCGGCAATGACGGTGTGATTATCGGCATTAGCTCTTACGACCAGCTGGTGCAGAATGTCGAGGCCCTTGAGAAAGGACCTCTGCCAGAGCCTGTGGTGGAAGCTCTCGACAAGGGCTGGGCAAGGGCCAGAGGCGAAGCTCCTACTTACTGGCGGTAGTCCAAACGAAACGAAAAAAAATTTAAAAATAAATTCCTTATGATCAAATAGACATGTAAATTCTGTATTCACGCAACGATATTCCTCACATTATGTTCAGATGTCGGGTCTAGCATCTTCGATTGCTGTTTTTTTTATTGTGTAAGTCAAACTACTCGAGCTCCAATGCCCCAAAAGCTTGCAATTCTCAATATCTATCCGAAGTCACTTAACCACGGAGAGCCTGAGAGATGGCAGCTAGGCCACCCCGAAGCTCTTCCCTAGTTGGCCACGCGAAGCCGACGCGGAAGAAGGTATCAGGCATCTCGAACCAGTGTCCCTGGCCGACGTAGGTGCCATGCTCCTCCAGCAAACGCTTGTAAAACGCCGCGGTGCCGCCAACGGGCTCCGTTTTCATATGAGGGAAGCAAACTACGCCGCCCACGGGGCGAACCCACTCCAACAGGTCTTCCTTCTCGATCCACTCCGCTACGATGTCAAGGCGAGCCTTTTGCTCCGCGTTGGTGGCGGAGAGGATTTTGTCTCTGTTGGATAGCATGGATTCGGCAATCCATTCGTCTATTACGCTTCCGCTGATAGAGATTTGCTCCTTGGCAGCCAGGAACGTCTCTTGTAGTTTCTTGTTTTGCGTGGTCAACCACCCCAATCTGATTCCCGGAATCCCGTACGACTTGGATAGGGAGCACACGCTGATGACATGATCCGCGAGAGACGAGGCGACGGGGAGCGGAGTAGTGTAGCTGACATCTCGATAGGTCTCGTCGACGAGCAGGATGGAACCGTTGGCCTTGGTGATTGCAACAAGCTCATCCAGATCAGCCCTAGAGATGCAAGTGCCAGTAGGATTGTGCGGCGCGGTAATAGACACAATCTTGGTATTGGGCCTCAAAGCATCTTTTAGCGAAGCAATGTCGGGTTGAAAGCCGGCTCCGAACTCGAGGTCGACAAAGCTGATTTCGCAGCCAATAGCCCTGGGCGTTTCCAAGTTGGTCGCATAGTTGGGTCGCATCACCACCAAATGGTCAGCAGCCGTGAGCTGCGACGTAGCGATGATGAAGAGCGCACCTGCCGCTCCCGACGTGATGAGTACATCGTCTTTAGTGACGCCGGACTGCTCCGCAATGAGCTGTCGCAGCTTCGAGCCACCACGGTGTTCGTTGTAGAGCAGAGTGAGGTTCGGGATCTTGAGGTTCAGGGACTCTAGGCACTGATCGGAGCAGGAGCTCTCTGAGAGGTTATATTTGATCTTTTCATATCCGTATTCCTCGGGAGATTCGATCTCGATAGGCATTCGTGCGTATTTCATGTTGGGAAGATTTCCAGTAGGCGCGGGGGACGATGATGAATAACGAAAGTTGAGTGAAAGATTTCAAGAGGATAGGAAGCGGGGGAATATTAGGATGCCATAGGGTGGTTATTATTTGCAGCATGCCAGCATAAGTATATAGGTAGCCAACTATTCACTGGTGTATCGTATTGTCAGATGCAACGAGGTGGAGTCCGAGAGTCAAATGTTAGCTCGATTTTCATCTTCGGACTCTCAGGATGCTTTCCCCGCACTTTCACAAGGTCATCTTCGGAGTTGCCACTCTCCGAAAATGTGAATACGGCCCTAGTTCTGATTTGTTTGTCTGTTGCAGGCCTCCGAAAGTATTTATTTCTAAATCGCCGGTACATCAGACTATATTCACGTTCGGAATCCTACAGGAACTATTATTATCCTTAGTCACTATGGTGAAAGTCTGTAACTAATAAGCTTTAAATACATTAAGAACACATTTCCATGCATTGGTTTAAAGAAGAGAGGCTTGTGAGCACCTGTTAGTAGCGAGCTAATACGAATTAATTATATGAGAAATATTAAGTTTTTGAAGGGTAGCCCTTTTAGTGACCGAGAGAAGTCTTCCATTCTACTTGAGCTTGGTACATTATGAATCGAGAAGATTATCACTGATGATTTCGACCAGTTTAGAGCTAGGCTTCAGCTGCCTTAATGGTTTCTGCCTGCACCGACTTTGCACCGGTGTGAGTGCCATGGAGCCCGTCATTGGTCACCTCCATTCCATCTACAATGATGACCTCTTCGTGCAAGGTCGCTTCAACTAACGTTTCATGAGCAGGCCAGACCCAACTCAGGGCACCATAAACGAGAAACGTGCTGGTGAAGCCATAGAGATAGGAACATGTCAAAGATATTCTTAGCCCCCCCGATATCCAGGCTCGGATTCACTGCAGCCGCGAGACCAGGCAAGCTTGGAACACTTCCCACTAACATGGCGACGACAGCTCGCCAATTTGTGCCCGCCCGGGTTCCATAACTGTATCGACCATTCTTGCGGTATAAAGCAGGCACGTCGATTGCTCTCCGTTTGACTACCCAGTAGTCACAGGCCAAGATTGCAGCGATGGGGGCGAGGAAAACACCCAATGCCCCCATGAAGTTAAGGAGAGAGGCGGCGGATGAAATGATTTTCCATGGCACCGTGATCCAGCCAGCCGTAACGGTGGTAATAACAACGCCGCATTTGATGTTGATATACTTCGGCCACAAGCTGGCCATATCGTTGGCGCAGGAGATCACATTGGCAGACAAGTTGGTTCCGATTTGAGCGACGCACCATGAAACGCCGACAAAGAACGCTGCAGCTCTTCCGGAGGGCCCATCCCAATGCGAGGCAAGTTCGAGAGGATCCCAGATGTACTAAAGTTGTTAGAAATAAAACTCTTAGAAAATTCATCTCATCTGGTGTTAGATGGTTTCGGATAGATTGAAGAAACACTCACCTCGCCATAAACAACCTTTTCTGCTGAGGTACTGATAATACCAAGAACCCCAAGTAGTGTGCAGATTCCCGGAACAAATAATGTCTGCCAATAGACACCCTTAGGCCTCTTCATATGTCGTGTGAAATCAGCCACATTAGTAGCCATAGTGGCCCAACCGCCTGTCATGCTGCTCATGGAAGAAACAATAAGCCAAGCCTTGGTAGATCCCGAGACTGTGGGATGCTGGTCCCAGATATCGCCCGTACCACCTGCTAGTCTGCTCATTCCGATTACAGTTCCCACAGCAGCCGTAAGAACAATGACTGTCTTTGCAACAAAGAACCACCACGAATCTTGTGTGGCGGAATTAGGAGGATGGGGAACTGAACGGACCAAAACAGGAAGTGAGACACCATCTGCTGAGTGGTTATCCCTGCTGAGGCCGGTAGATGATTGGAAATGTTAAGATAAGAAGGCCAAATAGCTCTGATGATTTGTATCATATTAGTTGAGCCGGAATAAGTTTGAATGGCTGCGTTGGATTAGACACACGATATCAAAAGGCCGAGGAAATATAGGTGTACAAAACATACCGTGCCAGAAGAGTGCGGTTGCCATTATGACCACCACAGGAACCCGACTGAAATAAAATCCATACCCAGAGCGTGCAATGACGGGGAACGGGGTGCGAAGTTCGGCACTGGCTGCGCCGTTCAGGTAAAATGGGACGGTCACCGTGAATGTACAGAATATAAGATAGTAGACCGCCTCTATACTGCGCGGAGAGTTCAGAGATTAGTATTAGGGATTCGGGTAACGGAGTATCGGGTGGGTTGCACCAAGGTTACGTGCCATGTCAAACCAACGGCGATAATTTCAGACACACCAGCCCAGCTCTGAGCAGACAACGCATAGCTCATCCAGTACCCGAGCACTGTCCAGCTTGTTTAGGTGCAGCGCTCCAAAGGGGTGGCATCTGTGTCTCGGTTACTCTAAAAAATGCGTATCTGCAAATGTCATTGGCTGTTTCTCAAGAACCCAGCCATGGCGACTGGTTTTGCGTGTGGCGTCCGCTTTGATAGCGGAGCCCCCCGCTCGTAACAATTCCATCTAAGCAGGGCTGGACTTGAAGATGGAACGAGGGATGAAGAAACTCTCGAAAACTCAGACGATCTGTAAGTGACGCAGATTTACGCCTTTCGGAAGAGCAGTCTATATAGATTTCATGAACTACCGACTGCGGATATCAAAAACATCTTACAATCAAGACACTTGCCAATGGGATGCTGATGGTCTCGTCCTTGTCTATGAATATAGCACTGATCACATAACTGTATCTAAGCTAGCAGACTCACCAACCCTCCTCTCCCTCTCAATTTCTCTAGTTTCACTCTTCAAGATGGCAAACTAGAAACTTGTCTCCTACAGCGGAACTATTCAACGGGAAATACAATCTGAGACAGCTCGAAGCGCAAGCTTCGATAAGTTCCCGCTCATTTCCCTTAAGGCTCCCAAGAAAGAGCTTTTAGACCAGTTGAAGGATGCTTGCACCCGTGTGGGGTTCTTCCATATTAAGGACCATGGAGTGCCTGCCGATAAGATTGAAGCTTTCTTCAGCATGGCCGAGAAGCTTTTTGCTCAAGAGAAAGAAGTGAAGAACCAGATCAACCATAAGCAGAGCAAGATCCTTCGAGGCTATGAGCCCCCCCCCACCGAGGTGCGAACAGATGAAAATCGCAAACCCGATGTGAATGAAGCATTCAACTGGGATTACGAGAAAGAGCTCGATCCTCTCTGGAACGATACGGAGGCCACAGCAGGTATGATTCAGTCGAAGGCTTTGGTTCCTTCAACAATCTAACATTTGTAGAATGGGCGGACAGCCCCATGTCAGGTCCAAAGGCCAGATATGCCCGAGTTCAAGAATGTCTTTTTCCCAATGTTATGCCGAGGTTCTATCTCTTGCACGGGGGGTGAAACAGCTCTTTGCACAGGTCCTCGGTCTGCCCCCTAATTACTTTTATGAACTGGTCACCACTCCCGGGACAATGGGTCGATTGATACATTGCCCTCCCCAAAACCCTTCTGACACAGATGCGCTGGGTATCGGTGCCCATACTGGCATCGAATTGTACACCATCCTTGCCCCAGGAACTGTTCCGGCACTGCAAATTCTCAACACTAATGGAGAGTAGATCCAAGCACCGCCGATTCCTGGTACATGTGTGGTCAATATTGGCGATATGCTGGCAAGATGGACAAACGATTGCTTCGTCAGTACAGTGCATAGAGTTTGGAACATCACTGGTAAAGAGAGGATCTCGGTTCCTTTCTTCTTGGTGCCAACTACGATGTTACGATTCGCACAATTGGGAGTTGCTTTAAAGACAACGAGACAAGCAAATATGAACCAGTGCTGGCTGGAGACTACGTCTGGAAGAGACTCAGCGCAAGCCGAATGGGCCAGTAGGAGCTCCGAGCTGCTGCTTAGCTGGGTAGATAGAAAATAACCCTCAAAAAGCAACGAGTTCCAATAATCAATATCCCCCAAATCTATCACTATGTTTGGAATGCACGTGCTACCTGGACGTAGTTTACTTGAAGTAACCCAACTGTCACTCATACACTTTATAGTCATTGTGTTCAGATGTTAGGTCTAGCCTCTTCCATCGCTGTTTCTTGGTTTATACTCAAAGTCTCTCACAGTAGTCACTTATACACTCTGTAATCATAGGAGATAATATCATGATAATACACTATAATGGAGCTAGAAATTAGGAGACTCTGATGGGCACATCCATATGCCTAGTCTACTGGATGCCTGGTCTAACCCCTAGTCTTGCACCGGGCACTCCACACCACCATGAGGCGCCGAACTGGGGTTTTTTAATCGGTGCCATCGTATCAAGAATCCTCGTCTTTGACTTGGCATTACGTAAAAACTTGTGTCCTGGCTTACGGCCGCCGGCGCGATTCTTCAGAGAAAATACCCTGGATTCGAGGTAAGCCTGTAGGGACTTCTTCAAGTATTCACGGCCGCAAATATTAAGATGACATGGAACACTAATTTTACCATACCAAGCATCCTCATTCACTCATATCGCAGCCATGCGTAGGAGAAAGAAAATAAAGTTCAACAGCAATGAAAGCTGCCAGGGCCCGACAACTCAACTCAAGGAAGAGCTTAAAAGTATCGCAGCCATGAACAGCCCCAGCGCAAGTGTGTTCTCCCTGAAAATGGCGAAACTTTACCAATTTCAGTTTGACCCTACCCGAACGGCGCTGGTCATCATCGATGTCCAACGTGATTTTGTTGATGCCAATGGCTTCGGGTCGATACAGTATAGATCCTTAATTCCAACCTTCAAAAACGCTTGTACAGCTATACCATTAGCCCGCGCGGGAATACTCTTCTTTCAAACAACACCGTGCCCAGCCGGAATTCGAGCCCGGAACTTTACGGTCGGGTGTGCCATGTCCGATAAGGTAACCCGCAAGCCTTCCTGGTCAAGTCTGAACCCACTTGACCACTGGGCCGCCATCTGATGCTTATCAGTTGTCATCTCGTCGATTTCGCCGACGATGCGATAAGTGCCAATTCAGGCCGTTCATTGGCTCGCGCTGATGATGAATCCAAGTAATCGAGGTTGGGGTAGCCGATACCGCCGTCAGGGGCCGCCAACCCTCCTCTTATCTTCTGCAAGAATCCACGAGTGCATGTCCACTGAAGGTTATCAGCTATGCCGGCGGTTGCGGATCTTGCTTGTACGGGGAGCGATCAGAATGCGAACAGACATTGGATGTCCCAAGCCGCCGACGGCCGCCGTACGAACCATTCAGGGGGCGCAAGGAAACAAGCCCCGTCTGCGAGGTCACGCCCATGCGATACCTGCCGCCTGCGCAAAACACGCTGCGTCAAAGAATCAAGCCAGCTTCGCTGTGTTCTCTGCACATTTCATGACCAGCCCTGCACTTATGTACGGGGCCCCACGCGTCGACAGCGAAGGACAACCCGATATCCCGAATTTGAAGCTCAAGTCCCATCGTCCATAAACTCTCAGACTCAGTTGAGCCTTGGTGATGAGGTCAGGGCAATCCAAATACCAGAAAACGAAACGCCTGACTGTGTACAAACATCTCCAATCTCTAGCCAACACACAAATGCAAGATCTCCGACAACCAGCGTCGAAAGCAATGGCACATCCAACCTTATCAGCCCAGAGCTTTCAGCCCAAAAGCAACAGTCTCGTTCGAGCACGCCTGCCCCCCGCCCAAGAATACTGAGCAATACTCTCGGGCTAGATCTTGAGACTCATGCCGAGTACATAGGTCCAACCGACTACCGTGATCCTATACTACTCGACTTGCATCGTGCCCATCAAGGACTAGAAAACAACTCCCCAGGTCACCCCGGAAGGACCCTAATGCGCCGTCTTGATGAAGGAACCGCCTTCATTGTTCACACAGATGGATCCACTACGTCAGAGTCTCAATGCATTGCAGATCTTGATGCCATCGAAGATGCGATCCGCCCTCTCGGTCGGACACTGGTAGACCTCTACTTTCGTGTTGTTCACCCAAGCTTTCCCATATTACATAAAGATGTGTTCATCAGCAAACACCGCGTATCGCACCGCCACTTTGCACCATCTCTGCTCGCCGCAGTCTACCTTGTGGCGCTAGACTGGCAGTTGTACGACAGTTCGCTTGCCGGGCGAGAAATGGAATGCATCCCAAACCCCAGCGCGCTCGAGGAGCTGGCCGAGCGCACAATGGCTCACGATATGCGGCGCCCCAAGCTTAGCACACTGGAGGCCGGGTTGCTGTTGCTCCAGCGTAATTCTCGAAATGCCGAGACCAGCTCACACAGTCATCCGTCTTCCAGCCGCATGTTCACAGCGCAACTTGTTGCCATGGCTCAAGATCTTGGGATACATGTGGACTGTAGTTCGTGGGATATCCCGGACTGGGAAGTAGGACTACGACGCCGGCTGGCTTGGGCGTTATACATGCAAGACCGATGGGGCGCCTGCGCTCATGGGCGACCGTTCCTCATCCATGACGCGGATTGGGGTGTGAGACCATGCACTGACGCTGATTACCCAGAGCTGGATGGAGAGGTTACCATGGACCCATCTAGCCCTTCTACCACGGCGACGGGCTGGGCACAATTTTTGCAACACATTGAATTGACCAAGTCTCTGAGCGAGGTCATGGGGACGTTCTACAATGCAGCTGTGTCACGTTCTGGCTATGGCGCTACTCAGATAGGAACAGTCACCCTTGTAGAACTAGCCAAACCTCTTGTCCTGCGTTTGCGAGAGTGGTATACCAATTTGCCTCAGCACCTACGTATGGAATACGCCAAGGACAGAGAGCTTTGCGCGAATGGGGCACTGCGTCTGGCTCACATATCGGTTGAGATCGCTCTGCACCGTGCCCTCATACGGGCAATAACACCAGATACACCCGAGCCCCTTCACTACGCTCTCCGTTCAACGGCTCGTGCCAAGGTCCAAGATGCCATATCTTTACTCAAATCGCTGCAGCCCGAGCAAACAGCGGCCTTCTGGGGCAGTGCCGCTTCCTACCAGGTAGCCCAGGTTGGCTCACTGACTGCGTTGATGTGGGCTACAGCAAGTACCCCTGAGGAGGTGGCCTGGTGCGTATCACGAGTTGAGGACTTGAGATGGGCCCTTCGAGTCAGGGCTTCTGCCGCGCCGTTTGCGCGAGAGGCATTGAGGCTCATTGAGCGGGATGTTGGTGGCCTAGGCATTGTTGCAGTTGCACCTGACTACGGTGGCAAGCGCGTAGAGAGCCAACGCTAATGTGTAAACATTTCTTTATATTTACTTCTTTAAGGACACTGATCTAGGTGTTGGTGTTGGGTATTCTGGAATTGGTGCCAATACCACAATGCTACTATAAGGCGGGATGGCAAGGTCAATGGCACGTAGGTTCATGTTAGTACGAAACGAGGATATATCTACGATGACCCGAGACAGCTTTGAAATAAAATCTAAAAGCATAGTACTTAGAAATCGAAAGAAGTAAGAAAGGAATGAAACAAGAACAATAGAACTCTAATCCAACCTCAGCACCCTCCCCATGCATCGGTACATTTGCATATATCGACCCTTTGCCAGTCCCCAACCAAGATGGTGACCTGAGAAATACGTAGTCAACATTACTAGAGGCCTCCAAGAGTCCCGTCAGTCTGTAGGAGAGGCTCGTCAAGCTCGCACAAGGTCACCTCTAGCATGATGCCGCGCCCAAAGAAGTCGGCGATGACATCCTGTAGGCACTTCGATGCCGCGACAACAGCACCATGCTGTTCACAATCATTAGCAACTATTCCCGCAAGAAGGCAGAAGTAAGGTTTCATGTACGTACACCAATCTTATTCACTTCCACGACTCGGCTGCCCGCCAGCCCTGCACTAACATTGCGCGCCAACTCCAACGGCGTGGCCGGATCGTACCTGTTATTCACGATGAGCACCGGGTTCTTGGTCGAGACATTGTAGTCCCCGAGGTACCGTTCCTTGGCAGCAACCCGCCACTGCGCGCAAATGGAGCTCCGGAACCCGAGCCCGTTCGAGGGTCCTGCTCCACCAGCGATGCGGCTGATGCGGCTCGCGGCCTCCATCCCGTCCGGCACGAGCTCCGGGTCATCGGATCGCGGGGTCGAGTCGCCGCATGAGATGCCCAGGCAAACCTCGCTATCCAGCTGGCTCGCAAAGGCGCCGTCCAGGGCATCCCGCCAGGCCGCATAGGTGGCCCAGTCCTCGCGGAGGGCGCCGTCAAGGCCGGCCAGCATCTGGGTCTGGGTACCAGCCGCGAACAGCGAGAGGAAGGCCATAGTCTTGAGGGTGCTATAATCGACTACCGTGCCCCGGACGATTGTCGTGTCGTAGCGCGCGTGCTCAAGGGGTAGGGCGATTGGGTTCGCGCGGGCGGCGTCGATCATGGCGTAGATCTTGGCCTGCAACTCGGCAGCCGTGGAGGCGTGGCGGGCGAGGGGGCACTCGATTGGGCCCTGGGCGACGCACTGGGAGAGGAGGGCGTCGAAGGTGGCATCAGTCCTGGCTCGGCTGCCGAGCTCGTTCCTTTCCAAGGGCAGAAATGTCAGAGAGTGGTGCCCTTCTGAGAGTTGTGTTTCGTTGCTGTTACTCACATGTCATGGATATATCCATGGGGGTTGCCCACGGAGTCGAGCACCACCTTACCCACCTTGTTTGGAAACATGGATACCAGCGTTGCCCCAAGCACAGTACCGTAGGAAATCCCTGAAGCAGTCAGGATCTCCCCCTGAGTAGACGAAAAGACACTAGGGAACTTACCGAAATAGTTAACCAGCTCGTCGCCCACAGCCTCGGATATCTTGACAATGTCCCTGACCACAAACACCGTGCCCACGAGACCGCCTACATCTCCCCTGCTCTTGAAGCACTGATCTGCGCGCAGCTTGGATTCCGCCCAGATCATACCGGGCGCCACATCCGACTCGTCGTACCACATCTCGGCCAGCGGGTCAGGGTTGAAGACGCGCGTTCTCTCTTCCTCTGTATAGCAGGAGAAGAAGAGCTCGTCCTTATTCGTTCCCCTAAATCAGTCTGTGAGATAATGGGGTTCAGGCAAAGCTCATCCCAGATAGGAAATGAGATGAGAACGGCACTCACCTAGGGTTGAAGCTGATGAGGTCGTAGTCGGGACTCAAGGAACTATGTAAGGTAAGACTTAGCAAACCAGCTCGAGCGCGAGGGGATTCGACTTCTGGTAAAACAGTCCGTCCACTCACCTCCGAATCGCTTGAGCTTGCGCCGCCAGCAATGGGATCCCTGGTTGCCCGGGGCCCCCAAAGTTGATTATGATGGACCCTCTTGATGTAATGTTAGCAGCCACGGGGATTCTCAGCAGCGGCAGCGTATACGTTGCCGAGGCGTTCGCGCTCGTGTAGTCTAAGGGCACAGAGATGTTCCCGCACTGCGCTGGCGGACTGGCCTGCAACCCATCGTCGCACTTCCCCCATTGCACGGTAGAGGCTCTTGGCAGGACCGAGGCAACACTCGCGCCAATGAAGAGGAATTGGGTTATGAGTTGGAAGACCATTGTGAACTATTTCTGTCGAAATTTCGTTTAACTCTCCTCTTTGGTTTTAACTGTATTGCTACGAGTGGTGAGGATAAATCGTGTCTTCATGATGCCGAAGGCAGTCGTTAATATATCATCCTGTCAAATTATACAGGCTCAAATAGGCTAACAACTGCGAAGCATTTTTACCCGATTTGGACAGTTATGTCATTACGCCTCCTTCGGGCGGCACTGGCCCGGAGAGATCTCACGAGAGAATCTCGCGATATAATACAGTAATCGGCAAAGCCGTGCGATTTTTTAATGACAATCAGCTCAATATCTCTAGAACGAGCCGTGATTCGTTTTCGCCTCTGGTCATGAGGATCTGTGCCTAAGTTGGAAGTGGAGGAAGAGACTAAGAAACCAATGCCAGCACTGACGTGAGAACTCGAGGAATTCTGTGTGAGCAAGAATCTAACGTGACTGACATGTCAATGGGCAGCTCATCTGAAGTTCTTCCATGTTTAGGCCCTCCGAAACGGCTCCCCATTTACTCCTTTTTTTCTTGCGTGAAATTCTAGTCAGCATCCATGCGGTGGCGAGGCCGACGGGACGACAAGAAACAAACATATTCACAAGCCTACTGATAACTCATTTTTGCTGTGGCAAATGTTGAAGAGTGAATAAACTTGATCTCACAACAAATCATGACTTTAGAACGTATAAACATACCTCTTCAGCAGTGCAGTGTTTTTAAGGTTGGCATTAACAATGGGATACTATAAACATGGCCCCTTCGAGGCAAATCATGACTTCTCTTCTGCAATCGATCCTTTTTTTTTTCATTTTCAATATTTCTAAACTCACCCAGATCAATAATCCTACTTCAGTAGTCATGGTACGCCTCGGCTGGGTGCTCTACTTTCAGGAGTTGATCTACAGTTCTCTTCCAAGCCCCTAGTGCCTTCGCCAACCATATCTACTTGAGGCAGTTAAATCTTTAGGTAGAGCTGACGCTATAACCTTGACTCCCTAATCAGCTGACCTGCACGAATCAAAATATCATCATTGTGATAATCAAGTATTAATACCTTGGGCATTGCGCATGGTTGCGCCTTCCTTTGTATCTGTAGAGCGACAGCCACCTGCTTCTAGTAAAAGAAAGGCTTCAAAAGACTCCATCATCTCATTGTCAATTTCTAGAGGCACACATTCATCTTCTTATTCTTCGACCCTGGTTGTTCACCAACACCATGAGATTTAAACTTTACCACACTCTGCTTGCTGCTTTCGCTGCACAAGCCTATGCTACCACACCACCAACAGCATCGTTCAATAACTCCATCTCGTGGGCTGCTTGCAAATCCGGATTGCCTGAAGGACTTCACTGCGGTCAACTCGAGGTTCCGCTGGACTGGTCAAAGCCTCATGGAGAGATGATCACACTGGGGCTCATGAAGCTGGAAGCCATAAGCAAGTCCCAAAGACTGGGGAGCCTCATGTTCAACCCTGGTGGCCCTGGCGGTGCTGCCACGACAATGTGCAAGTACCAAGCCGCAGGCGTGCCATTCTTCGGTAAACCGCTCACTGACCACTTTGATATTATATGCCCTGATCCTCACGGAGTCGGCACCAGCAGTCCCATATCATGCGACGCATCTCTGTGGAACCGCCTTCTTTCTCTCTTTTCCAACAAATGAGGAGGAGTACCCAAAAATTTTGGACACCTCAAAGACCTTTGCCAACAGCTGTCTTGAGCTGTCTGGCGACCTGGTAAGGCATGTTCACACAATAAGCGTTGTGCATGATATCGAAGCACTCAGACTGGCTCTGGGCGACGGAAAGCTCAATTGGCTCGGGATATCCTATGGCGCCCAGATTGCTGCGCAATACGCCGCCACCTACCCAGAGAGCATTCGCTCCATTGTCATGGACGGGAACGTCGATCACACTTCGACAGAGATATACACAACAAACGCCGAGGCTGCCACGTACGAAGACGAGCTGGTTAGGTTCTTCGAATGGTGCAGCGCCACAGAGTCCTGTCCGCTCCACGGGCAAGACGTCTCGGAGTTGTTTCTTGACCTGGTGGCGAAAGCTGATCGTGAGGCCATCGCCGCTCCTGGCTGTTTAGCTACAGCAGACACTTCGTCCGCCGGGAGCTGTCGATCCAACGTGACCGGGGAGGACATCCGCTTCAACGTGCAAGGAAACAGCCTATTGACGCATAAAGACGAAATCGCGATTGCACCAGGCTGGGACTTGCTTGGACAGGCCCTGAACGAAAGCATGCACGGAAACGCCACTCTGCTATCGTCTGGCTGGGCGACAGACAACAACTCCTCCCTTTGGCAGGGACTCGTGATAGGGTGTCTTGACTGGTACGCGTCCACCGATAGCTTTGCCCAGAACGAATATCGTCAGTCCCTAGGAAACGCCACAGCACCGCACACAAAAGGAGCATCGCAATCCTACATGCTCAATACAAGATGCATCGACTGGCCTTCAAACCAACGAATCTGCCAGAGAAGATGAACGAGACGGCGCTGCGTCAAGCCCCTCCCATACTCATGGTAAATGCCGAACACGACCCAGAGTCCTCCTTTCTCTGGGCTCAGAACCCCTATTCGCAGATGCCGAGCGCCACCCTTCTCACGAGGCAAGGCGACGATCATGCAAGCTATGGGAACAGCGGCGAAGCTCAAGCCATCATGGAGTCTTACCTTGTTAATCTAACGATGCTTGCAAAGAACACAATCGTGAACTCGTGAGTATGAGAGAGTGCTGGCATACTTTGATAGCCAGATTGCCCCCATCTGTTTAGTTATTGAGTATTTTAGAAGGGACTCGGAGGCTTAGGATGCCAGAATTCGAGCAACAATAAATGAAGGTCATAGCAGAGCCCATGGGGGAGGTGTAAGAAACGGGTCAATTGAGTTCATAGAGCTAGTTCCCTATCATTATATTTGATCTATGCCTACGTGTGAGACCGCCCTGTGAGACGCAGTGCGTGGTCCAAAAGGAAGTCGATCGGCTCCGGTGGCAGGAAGACAGACCGAGGACCCAAGAATTCGACTATCGTTCTTACGAGAGTGTCGCTCCATGTCGAATCAGCGTGCTCCAATGAGAGTATCAGAGGCACAACCGTGCTACCCCGTTGTGCCAAGGACCTGCCTTGGACGTATGGTATCGACATCCACATGCGCTTGCTCAGTTTTCGAAGCCGCTGGCTCAGGTGATATCCTGGCAGAGCAAGAAGCTCGCAAGTGGACAGCAGGATCTGACAGACCAGGATACTAATTGTGACATGTGTCAGAAGGAGTTCGCAGTAACTTTCGTCATAGAACTGGTAGGCGAAGCCGCCCAGCACGCTATCATCAGGCACAGTCCATATTTTGGTCTTGTCCTCCAAGATCGGTGCCAATTTGTCCTCTTCGAATCGCAGTAATGCGTCCGCGACTTCTTTTGCTTCAGCCATCAGTGTGAGGACCGAGTCTATGGCAGACGCTAAGAAAACACGACGCAGGCTAGACGCAAGCTTGCACCAGTACATCGTGAACAGACAAAGGCGGTACTGCTCCGAGCTCATGCCTTGTGTTTCATTATCCTTGTGAAGCGCAGTGTGCATAGCTTTAACGATGCGCGGTCCTTGAAACGCATCATCATCACCGTCGAGAATCATATTGAGGACGATAGTCCCAACGCTATCGCAGAATAGGTGGAGATCTAATTCGTCGAGCGGTGATGGTAGCCCCTTGATACTTATGATAGCTCGAAGCCCCGCCATGTGTTTGACTTGGCTTGCTTCTCGGTCTAGGTTGAAGTAGAACTCAGAGGATTGCAATAGTAGGATGGCGGCAGCCATGGGCGTATCTAGAATCGGTTGCGACTCAATCGCTGGCCGAAGACTGCCCAAAGCCTTTTGGTAGGCATGATGATCAAAGGGAGAGATGGATTCCTTTTGCAAAGACTTATCCCAGCAGTTTGAGAAAAGCCGAACAGCGTCACAAAGAATCGGCGATGATGGTAATCGCGATGGCAATAGACGAAGCCAAGCCTTTCGTGGAATTGGACTGTTGCCTGCATCAGATTCAATAACTCGAACGAGCTGTTGAGCTAACACATCCGTGGGCGAGGAAAGCGAAGTTTTCACTCGATAATCTGATGTTTGTCTTAGCCTTGTGAACGTTCCTCCACCACGTCTTGCCTGTTGATGACGTGTCTCCACGAGGACGACGGCTTGATTTGTCTCATGGCTGTGGCTGAAAGTCTTGGTCGCTGAGGTGTTCCCACCATCACTCTCAAAAGAGTATTTCTGTTCTATCTGCTGCTGCTTATCATCTGTGTCTTGACAATAGGAAACAAAAGTTGGCACTCTGGTAGGTGGGCCGGAACAGACTCGAGCTGAGCGCTTGCACTGGCCACAAGTTGGCCAATTCTCGTCGCACTAACCACATGGCCTCTTTTATTAGTATGATGTCATTATCAAAACACACTTAGGCTCAGCTAGCCTTGATCTTCCGCTGCTTGCAAAGTCGACACCGATTGCTCCTTGGCCACATGGTATCTAGGCGAGTCCCAAGATGCAGCGAGCTGTCAGTGTCGTGAGGAAGAGGCTATGGGAGTGCGATGCGATACTAGCCAAAATAAAGAAATCTCTGCATTAAGCTATAGTCTGCGACAGTGTTATGTCCTAACCAATCTATATATCCCAGGCTACCTGGGAATGACTTGGCGACGCAATAAGGGTGTGCTGACAGGTTGACATAAGTACATCTAGGTCTATTTAGTAGGTTGAATATTCATCACCTCAGTCTCAGTGCAGCCAGACGTGTCAGTCTTACTATACCAGACCCTTGTAGCTCGCAATCGACTTCCTCAAAGGGCAATTTCTACCTCCTTATACGGTAGTGATCGGTTTGAACATTTCAATCCAACCAGCAGCTTAGTCTCACGTATCACGTTATCTCCGGCGAATTTCCTTTCACATTCTGCCAGATTGGAATAGATACCCAAGACATTCTAATAGATCTAGGAGATTAAATATCAGATTTACTATTATAGAAAGTATATTTATATTATTAACTCAATATTGTTGGAATTTACCTCTATATGCTAGACCGTCGTTGCCTTTGAAGATGACCTGGATCCCGTATCACGTGATCTTGGAGTGGTTTAAGAGGTGCCTTCTGCTGACATCCCATACAAATCAACCTATCTAGACCTCTTAAGCGCTGTTAATAGACCCGGGCAGTGGTTTAAAGAGAATTCTTCCGACTAACAGCTTATTGTAATTAATTTTAAAAGTGCTTATAAGTTTTGATACCTACTCCTACATATCCATATAAACCCCCTGCAGTCAGACTTCTGATCTTCTCCATCGCTATCATTAAAACATCTCACTCCTGCCAAACCTCTTAAATTAAGTTTTATCAATCATGGAGCCGAGTTCTGCCACACCAAGCCTGCAAGACCTTCCTGCAGAAACACTGAACCAGATAGCCAGTTATCTTACCTCCCATCAACCGAGTCTTTACGCATTCAGTTTGGCAAGCAGAGCGTGCCATTGCATTGCTAGCCCGTTCATTTTTCACCAACTCAACATCACAGTTAGTAGTCCTACGTCATTGAAGCGCGACGTTGATGGTATTGTTTGTGCTCTGTCTCGCACAGAGTCCGCCCGCCACGTGAACTGCCTGAGTTTCAAAGGCTCCCTGTGTTTCAATGGCGGTGAATATGCCGAATCAAGGAAAGAAGCAGCATATTCGAGAGATGCGATAGATTCAGTGACGAGGTGGTTCAAAGCCACGGGCACGAGCGAAATTCTGACTCAGGAGGAGCCTATACCGTCTGGGGCCTATGTGATCTACGACGAGCCTGTCATACAGAAGGCTTCTGAAGAGGATATGGCATGGGCCCCGGCTGTTGGTTTGATTAAACTTCTGCCATGTCTCGCCAGGCTATTATATGACTGTCAGAATCAATTTCCACCCAGCCTTCTGGATGCTCTCCACGAGCACCAACCTCACTGCAAACTTTACCACATGACATTCCGACTAAGAACATTGTTCTGGGATACCCCGAATCCCTATGAAATGGCCTTAGCGACGTCTCCGTGTCTATACGGTGTGAAACTCGCATGTACTGATCGAGATACAGATGGAGATGACGACTTCAATCAGGCCGCGATGATGGACCTTGTGTCTGGTCTTTCTCCTAATTTGAGGGAAGTTACTATTGTCAACTTCAGGGCATACATGCCCTCGCGTTTTTCCCGACAACCAGAACCATGGCACGGTCTCCCGGGCTTTATTCCTGGATCGTCTATTGGATCTCTGACTTCTCTTTCCCTCATAGGCTCGGTGCGCAATTTATTGTCTGGTGATCTCCAGAGCTGGGCCAAGTCGACAGACTTTCGCTGCTTGCATCACTTGGCTCTTGGTGGAGGTTTTGGGGCTGAGTCAGTCGGAATACCTGGCGACGTGATGGAATGGATATCTCGGACCTGTTCATTCCCTCAACTAAAGACCCTTATCGCCAGACTGGATCGCGATAATTTCGACGACCAGAAGCCCGATTACAGCAGACAAGCTGTTGAATTTTTCCGTGCCATCAAACCTCTTGATGAGCTTTCAGTCTCCGGCCCGCTAGACCCTGACATCTTGGATGCAATTCTATCCGGACCTGGGCAAACGGTTAAGAAACTAGATCTACGTCCATACGAGAGTCCATTTCAGGTGGATAACCGTTGGTTTCGACGAGACATTCCTATGATATTCACGAAGCAGCATATTCTACAAATTCGAGCCCAGTGCCCAGGGTTAGAGGAATTGGCTATCCCTGTCAAGCGCACGAAGTCCGACGCGATTGAAGCCGACATTTATAGAACCTTCTCCAAATTCAATAGCCTGCGATCTCTGTTCCTCACCTTAGATTGCTCCAACTGGCGGGTCGTTCGAGATCCCACTTACCAGCCTGCATTCGATGAAGAGGATGATAAACCTTGTGAGGTACTTGGCGAGTGGCTCAAGGAAGGCCACGCACGTGAAACGTTCATGAACTGTGCCGTGGACGAAAGGCTAGCACGATCAATCTGGGAGATAGTCTGCCAGGACAAAGTGGGGAGAAAGTTGGAGTCTCTTAAAATCTGGACCAAGGGAGGGGGAGAGTTTGGTAATACCACGTCGGGGGGTAACATGCCGGACATCATCGCAAACCTGAGTCGCTCATGGCTTATCGAACTTGTTCCTCGACATGATGAGAACATGATCAGCGTTAGGGAACTAGGTCTCAAAGCCCGGGAAGCGCGGGACAAGGAAGGAAGAGAACGAGATGAACGTCGAGATGTCTACTTGCCAGAGCAGGGGATCGAGCCAACGTCAAGAGACTGTCACCCCATGCGAGCATTTCGCCGAGTCTGGCCCTGTAAGCAAGATTCCAAGGATTGGCGTCTGGAATGGTCAAGTCTTCCACTTCAGAGTTGATAGTTTGGAGAAACTTCATTATGTTAGCCTATCTAGAGATGACACAATTATTCTGAATAGTAGCATAGACCATCTATCATTCAAATTTGATTCCTGTGCTAATTTCTGGGTGGCTTACATAGATTCACGTTACCAGCACCACCTTGATTAATGATTATCATTATTATTGGAGTTGATGATCTTCGATCGGAAAGCATAGAAGAATGGTTCTAGTTTCCTCGACCTAATGTATCAACTTATGTCCAATATCTAGGTCATAAGCAAAGAGACGCGCCAAGCTTAAGCAAGCAGAACTACTCAGCCAAAATGTCTCCATCTCTCATTTCAATAATTTAGTTAGGAACAGCTTTCATTTTTTTTAGCAACCTACCATAGCAAGTCCGTAGTACTAGCAGGTGTTAAGTTAACTTGGTCAGCGCCTATCAGACGGAGTTCAATTTGTCAGGCACTCGAACCTCCTGCCGTGTGCCCAACAGTGGGCTAGAATGACCAACATTTACGAAAAACATCTAAGTAACTAGCTTTCTCATTGATGGAAGTATCTAGCTTATAGTGATGAAGAGCTCGTTGGTCCAGTCTTGGTCGCAATGGAAAGTGCCTGATGAAGCTTTGCAGATCAAGGGCACGATTGCGCTCCCCTTCCGACTTTTAGAAATCGTCAGCACCACATCAAAGATTAAAATCTTACAATAGGGCACAAGCTCACCCGTCCTCTTGGTGATAGAGGGTTACGCGAATGTTGGCCTCATCGATGATTTCATCGATTGAAAAGTCCAAAGGATAAGGCGACGTGACGGTTCCCTGCCCTGGCACCATGGTGTACAGCAGACATTCGCCATCAACTCTATTAGTTGGGATCGCCTTAAACGCGGGATTGCAGGCTATGTCTCGAGGTGTCCATTCATCGAGAGTGAAGAAGGCGCCTTCGCGATCTCCAGCAGGATTGGTGAAGTTTCCAGAGCCTATCATGTACAGATTGGCAAACTTAAACGTATCTGGCTCTGCCGTTGCCAGGGCCGCGGCAAAAGCAAGTACGGCAGAGAGAGATTTCATATTTGGTGGGATAGGGCCCGGGGATTGACAAGAACAATAAAGATGCGAGCGTGATTCACAGATCTTCCAGTTGCTTCTTGACTGCCCAAACCTCTTCTTTATATATCTAGCTTGCCAATATTTAAAATGCGATCTGCTTAACCAACGGACCCCGTTTCCAGCACAAAAGAGGCTGCAACCCATTGCTTCTTACCCGTTTCAGTCGCTCACAGATGTCCGGCTTACTACGCCATTGGGAAATATTGACAAAAGCCCCATACGCACCCCTCAACGGGTCAGATGATTATTACACGTCGGTGTCATGTCTACCAAAAAAGGTATTTTTGGAACGACATCCCTCGTCTCTGGGCTAATGCTTTCAAACGAGCGGAGTTCAATCTTCCGCTTTGTTGTCTTTCCCCAACTGACCGGGATTGATAATAGCTGGCAACTTCTCGCTTGGCGGGAAACAGCTCAAACCAGACTATGAAGCCTTGAATGAAGGTGTACATCGTCTAAGGAGAGGTCTCCATTTGCGTATCTATTCATCTGGTGTTACATTAGCTTATGGCCAAGCCTGCACCATACGACTGAGGGCTTAAAACCTGCGCTGGGATCGCGCTCACCGCATGATCTTTGAAAACCGCCAAGATTACCAAAACGGCAAGTGGAATCACATGAGACTGCGTCCAAAGAACCAACCTCTCTTGGATGTTACGCTACATGATAATACGAGACTTGGAAGTAGGAAATGACGATAAAATTGGTCATGCTTTGTAATCGAAGCGTTTATTATCCAAGTCCCTACAACGTAGAGACGGAGATATTAGAAAAAGATTTCACACTATCTTTTTACGACTAAGTGAACAATTCATAACCATCTAAGTCTGAAGGCTAGCAGGACGAGATCTTCAAGCCAGGGCGCCCAGATCCTGTTCTTCTTCAGTAAGATCACACTCCCCTTGTTCACTTCCCGCCAGCTCTTCGATTAAACCATAGACTGTAATTATGGACAGGGAATGTCCAGCCGAACATTCATATCGTCAACTGCAGGGTTAGAGGCAACATGAAGCTATACTCTTACCCTTTCTTCCAGCTCCAGTAAGCTTGAAACGTCTTAACAGATGCTCATAAAGAGACTCTATTGCACGGCCTACAATGGACCTGTCGGCAACGACATGGTCCTCGCCGCTGTCCTAACTCTGAGATATAACGGGCTCATTTGGCTGATCAGTCTCTACTGGCTCCAGACCACGATCCTTAAGCAATGCAGTGCCGAGGAAACACAAGCCAATAAGCGGAAGTTGTAATATGAAAACACTGTGACTCGCGGCCATGTATGCGTCCAAAACACCCGGAAATTGACTCTCTCCCGCACTTGGCACGGAGTATGTTGAAGTAGCAAGATACTTGTATTCGGCTGGTAGGGCTGAACGGAGGCGAGCTTGTAGAAGGGCCGCAGATACAGTCAGTCCGCAGGCACCACCGGCGCAGCGGTAGAAATTTCGGTTTGATATTATGATTGCTCGACGAGAAATCGGTGAGTTGGCTTGAAGGGCGATAAGTGTTGGCTGGAAAACGCTGCCCACCCCTACTCCAACAACAGATAATATTGCCGCGATTGCTGCAGGGTGCGTGTCCTTATTTAATATCAAGGCAAGTCCCGCACCGCTATTTGATGAAAGTGAGCAACTGGCAGATTTTCTGATGGTAGCTTGTTGATACCACTTACAGAGTCCAAGTCCCAAAGCCGAACATTATGACTTCTCCATACCGCTTAAATCTGCTGATGTATTGCCCAGAGAGAATGGATGAAATACATTGGAAGATAACCATAGGCATATATAACAACGCAGATGTCATGACTGAGTACTGGTGAGCATTCTGAAGGTAAAGCGGAACGTAGTACAAGTATGATTGATACACAGCCCCAAGAAGAAAGCTTTGTGTTAGCATTATGGAGACCGCATAGTTCTTGTAGATGTCCACTAAAAGATTTGTGAGAAACGATCTTTCACCAAGGAAAGTAGCTGGACTAACCTGGCATGAGAGGAAGCTTCGCCAGCTTCCACTCCCAAGTAACAAAACCAATAAAAGAAACGGATCCAATGGCGAGCATGCTAATGATCATCGGAGAAGACCATTGAAAATAAGATCCGCCTGTTCATTAGCAAGCGCCATCACGTCACCATCCCAACGATTCGAAAGAATAACGCTCACCTCCTGAAATAGGTATCAGAAGCAGGATGACCCCTGCAGATAGCAATAGAGCACCAGCCCAATCGACCTTGCTTATACTAGCTTTAAAGGCTTCTGTCGGTGGTTTCGATGGTAAGAAGAAGTAGGTCAAGACCGCTGCCAATACCGAGAGAGGCGAGAGCATCCAGAAAAAACCCTGCCAACGAGATTTCTGAACAATAAGCGCGGCAATGAAAGGTCCAATAACATTAGCAAAGCCAACGATGGATCCGATGATTCCTTGGTATTTCCCACGCTGGTCGAGTGTCACAATGTCAGAGACGATAATCATGCTCAGGTTGGTAATGCCACCGCCCCCGATGCCAGCAATGCCTCTGAAAACGTAGAACATGGGGGCATTTTTACTAAGGCCACAGAGGAGGTCGGCAGCTGAGAGAATCAATATCGTGGCTATGAAAATTGTTTTACGTCCAAGAATGTCTGAGAGGCGCCCATAGAGCATTTGGAAGGTGGTGTTGGCAAGCAAGCTCGCGGTACCAGCCCAGGAAATGGTGGATTCCGCGCTGAGATCGCGAGAAATAGTGGGAAGCGTGACCGAAATACCATTTTGGTCAATGCAAGCAATAAGTAGAGCGGCAGAAAGAGTTCCAAAGGCTGTGAGTAGCTGTTTGCCTGGGAGTATGTTGATTTGATCGTGCAGGCTCTTCTCGGCCTTGGTGAGCTGGCTAGGACGCATCTTGACGAGAAGATTCGTTCACGAGCCATTATCTGGAAAAAAGAAAAAAGAGGAAGCAGAACGGCTCAGCAGATACGATGGGCCAGGTGGATTACAGGCGGCAATCTTCCGCGCAGTATTCCCGAAGCTGTCTGGGGAAAGCCCCCGGTATCGGTGTTTGAGCAATCAAAACTCGCCGAATGATGATTTCACATAAGAGTCAGCGTTGAAAACGATCGGCGGAGTACCACCGAGGCATATATGATTCAAGTCTGACTTCAAATCGACGTAGGACGTTGGTCTAAGAGCATCATCAGAGTCCGAAACTACGCGTTTACCCCATTTCACTTGTATTTCTTCGATGTACTCTGCATTGTGTCTGCCAGACGACCTTGTTGCTTTTTCATCTGATCTTCCCGCGGCGATTCGGCAAAATTCCCCATTAGTGTTAGGGGATGATGAGGCGAAGTAATGTGCCGGTATATCCGACAACTTTCTACAGCCAGGAAATATAATTATTTTCATCGAGTTTTAACATAGTAACGTAGTAGACACAACTTGCCATGAAAAGCACTGCGCCTTGCGTACCGTGTTTACCTTGATAATCAATTTTGAAAATTACAAGATAAACCGACTTAAAAGAACAAAAATTCTCGAGAACTTTGGGAATTTTGAGTCAATAATCACCGTAGGTCTTTCCTTTCCGGTCATACATCTTGCTGCCTCGCAAAGCAGCTCAGATGATTTCATCGATTTAAAAGTCCAAAGGTTAGGGTGGCGTGACGGTCCCCTGCCCTGGTAAGTACCACCTACCATATTCTACATCGAACGGATGATAGGGGGGACCGGGTCTATGGTGTGATGGGTCTATTCTCCGAAACATTCAGGGCTAGAAACCAGCCCCAGTAACTTTTGGGAGTTGGTGAGGTCTATCGCGATTTCGTTTGCTCTCATCTTCAGCATAGAAAAAGCTAGAGCTCTTGAGGGACTGTCAACTCGAAGGTCGGACCGTCGATGCCCCATCATGGGTGCCTGACTTCTCTCTCAGCAAGTCAACCGTGAAAAGTGTAGATTGGCAATTTGCTTCCGGATACTCCCTATGTGAAGTTTCTTTTGCCGGTGAAGGAATAATAGTAGTCGCTGGGGTATATTGCGGCGAAGTTGGCACATCCCGAGAGATACCAGACTACCGTTCCCAGCGTTACCAAGGCATCACGATACAGGATCCAGTCAAGGCTATAAGGGAAATGACAGAATGGATCAAGCTGAGGGCTTCAGCAGACAGTATGCCATGGCATGCTTTCGCTCGAACAATTACGGGCAGCTACTTGAAAGACAGATTTCCTGAAAACACAGTTAAGCCCTTGCAACAGTGGGAATCATACTTTGAGGCCTCTCCAATATTCAATCGTCTTCAGATCTCTCCGACATGAAGGAAGAGTTTTTCTCATTCCACGAAGAGTTTTTTCTTGCCTTACTCTTGGGTCGAGAAATCATCATAACAACCAAGGATGAGTTGATACTCGGATCACCTGGTACGAAAAAAAAGTGACCAGATTATCTGTTTTCTTGGTTGCGATTCCCTTATCGCCCTGAGGTCTGTTCCAGAGAGTGAAGACTTTTACGTAGTCGGAGAATGCTTTGCTCTGGCCTTGAAGGACAACCAAGCTTTTCTTGGACCATTGACTTCCCCTTGGGTCGTACAGCTTTTCTCAAACTCCCCCGACTGAACAGGCTTCTATCGGTACTACAACGCAGAAACATCGGAGTTGCAGACGATGATCCTAGGCTTAGAAGGATTTCGGAGAGCGGGCTTGAGCTTCTAGAATCGGATCGCAAGTCGGATAACCCGATCGAATCCAGAACATTCTAAGATATTTCCACGGGAACGATCTTCAAGTCGGTCCCTAGGATAACTACGCAGACTCTTTCTGCGCGTGGGGTAAACATCAGCTGGTTTTCGTTGATACAATTAAGTAACGTCATCAAGAATGAATGAGCCTTCTCATGAGTAAGCCTTAAGCCTGCAACTCAGCAATAAGATTTCTGCAGCTCAACGATTTTACTGTTATTTCAAATGGCCTAAGGCAGCCGAGGGATTACCCAGCCTTTCGACGTCTATTAAAAGCGCACCTTCTCAACAACGCGAGCTCGCGTGATATAGTCAAAGACTTAGCGCCAATCGTCAAATACACGTATACAGGGCTAACATCAATCTTCTTTTCCTAGCATTCCCGGAACATCGAAGACTTGCGTTTAGCAATCACAATGGACTACAGGGTAGGCAGCTTGACACCTCCAAATACTGATTTGAGTTGGTCTAGGAGACCCTTTGTGCAGGGCTATCAACCAAAATCGCAAGCTTGTTATTGTGGTGAACTACCATAAATTTGAGGTCACCGAACTTAAGCGGAATTAAGAGAAGAGTTAAACTTCTTTAGCTCCGTATTTGTGAGATGAATGCCGTGATGATGATGATTATGTGCTTCGGCCCACAGTGGACCGCCACAGAAGCGATGTCGGCAGCTGATTGGCTGTTCGGTCTTTCTGCTTTGACCGAGAGTTGTGAATAAGCATTTTTACTGCTGCTGATTGGTTCCTTTAGGCTTAGCAATCGTCGCTTTGTCTTCGGGGTTCCGCTTTGATTGATAACCGAACCAGCCCTACGGGGATGATTTGAGCACGAAATGGAATGACAAGCAACCGGGATGCCTTGAGATTCGACAAGTATATAGTTAGTTGTTGCGCAAGTGGCTCATCTAGTTTTCATTAATCACACTCAACTCATCTCACCTTTCAAAGTCTACTTTCACAGACCTACTTCTCACACACACAAATCATCAATCACATCACAAATTCACAATGGTTTCCACCCAAACAATCAGAGCCTCCAATGAGACGGCACTCCCCACCTCTATTCTTCAAGGAGTAACCGCCGTTTTCATTGGTGCATCATCCGGAATCGGACAAGCTGCTCTGAAGCAATTTATCACTGCTGCCAAAGGCAAATCTCCTCATGTGTACATCGTTGGTCGAAGCGCAACGAAATCAGAGCCCCTTCTTGAAGAGCTCCACCGGACCGACGAGTCCGCTATCATTCACTTCATCGAGAAAGACGTTTCGCTTCTACGAGATGTTGATGCTGCCACTGAATTTGTCAAGAAGCATGAATCAAAGGTTGATCTCCTCTTTCTCTCTGTTGGTTTCATCTCATTTGAGGGCAGAAAAGGTCAGTGCAATGACATTTATTCAATTCCTAAGGGCTAGGCTAACAATTTCTATAGACACTGTTGAAGGTCTCGAGCCATCAATGACTACCAGATTCTACAGCCGTGCTCGCGCTATCCAACAACTTCTCCCCCTCTTAAACAACTCGGAAAATCCCCATGTAAACAACGTCGCAGCAGGGGGTTTGGAAGGCCCCATGCTCACAGATGATCTGGGCCTCATCAAACCCGGCAACTACTCTCTTCCCCGCGCTGCTGCACACTCCACCTCCATGCTTACCCTCACGCTGGAACGGTGGGCCAAAGAGAACCCGAAGATCAGCTTTGTTCACTCCTTCCCTGGTCTCACCAACACCCCGCTTCTCTATCGTGGATCCAGCGGCATTACGGGCTTCATCCTCCAGAAGATCATCGCCCCATTCATCAATACCTTTATAGCTTCCAGCGTGGAAGACGTGGGCGCAAGGTCATTGTTCCATGCCACAAATGCCCGATATACGGTAGACGGCACAGCCTCCTTGTCGGCTGCGAAGCCCGCCGGTTTGGAAAAGGCACCCGTGACAGAGGGCGGTATCTTTCTTGTCAACGATAAGAGCGAGGGTGCAGGCGACGAGAAGGTGCTGGCAGAGCTCAGAAGCTCAAGCGCCGACTTGGTGGCGGCCCATTTAGAGGAAGTATTCTCAATTGTGGCCAGGTCTTGAAATATGTTCTGGGTCAATGGAAAAAAAAAGAAGAAGAAAAAAAGACAAAGTGCTTTAGCCAGCTAGAATTCTCTTAATATTTTGTTATCAACAAACGATGACAATAATCATTTAATCTAATAATATTTCTTTTACCCTTCCGTGTGCTCAGTGTTTATTCCAAGATGACCACGGACTGCGAGTGCAAGGTTCAATGTTCGTATATGCTCCTTGTAAATGGTAATTCCACTGGGGCTATCATAAGATTATCTTCTAGGCGCTTAAAACCTAATTATTATACGCCCAATGTAAAAATCAAGTTCGTTTGCTATGTCTCGCAAACCACCATTTAGATAGATTCTACACAGTTGACCAACGCTCCCTTACACGTCGGACTGCAAACTTTCCCGGCAGACCGATCGATTTCGTAAATGATCCCGTAGCACGTCCCTTTCAGTAAAGCGAATGAAGCTGTCGGGTCGAAAATGTGACCTAGATTGAGAGGGTGGTGTGATCAACAGGGGTCTCGTTTGTGGAGGAATTGCGGAGAGCGGCCAGGGTGGTCTCCGAGAAGTCAGCACTCCCCGAACTTTTTGGTGCACAATTCTTTTGTTGTTCTGGTTTCAACAGTTCTCAACGGCTGCTGATCTTCTTTCGTGTCATTGTCCCACCCCATATGCAACATTGTCTCTTCGAATCTTTGCGAGAGATATGTGAGAGATATGCCTGTGACGATTTATCCTCTACTCCGTAAGCCGTCAGGACTCAGGGCGTAGTTGTAGATCATCTATGGAGGGAACTGTAGCCCGCTCCGGTGATTTCTTGTCGACTTCCTCCTTGGACGAGTTGTCGATATCTTCCTCTCGAGGCTCTAGCGTTTCTCGCAGTTCGATCATGGCTGAATCAAGAGACGAGATTCGCTCGTCACAGGGATCTCCCGCAAGAGTCAAGCCATTCTTGTTTCCCTCCGCTAACTGTCTCAACAGCTCCTCACACCTCTCAAGCCTTTCTACCATCTCTTGGTTTTTCCTCCGTCGTTTTCGATGGGGTGCTGGCCGGCTTGCCGTGCAATTAATTCCAAGCTGTTTGGTCTGATGAGCATCTTCTTGTGACGATTATGCCAGGACTTGATTACCAGAACACAGTTCGAACAGGGATTGTTTCTGTCGCATTTCTTCTTGCGCCGCTGGCAACTCACGCAGGCGAGCACCTTCTTTCCTTCCCGAGATGCTGATTTGACTTGCTCCTTCCCCGGTTTCGTGATGCATGATATCGAAGTTGACGACATTGTGGTTGGGAGGATGGGGTTGCTGAGCTAGGTAGTCACGCTCCAGTTGGTAGTAGACAAGTTGGTAGTAGATCGTAGATGACACTTTTACGTTGGGAAAGGTGAGACATTGGTAGTTTCAGTTTGCGTATCTGTGAATAACCCAAGCCCCGTGGTTCACATAGATGCAGATCTACAATGCAGCGATTTCTCTCTTCTTGCAGCTCCATTCTCAAATGAGAACTGCCCAAGTTGGAAAATCCGAAAATCATATGACAGAAATCATATGATGTAACTCTTCCTTTTCCGGGATCCTTTTAATCCAGGGAGGCATTGGTTCGGGGTCTTGGAAGCCTCCGTCTGCGACAAACACGTGAACTAAATTGGCTCAGACAAATTCCGGCCAAGTGCGTACCTTCGCGCATTCCAACGCGACCAGACTCGTCGGACTCTTGTTTTTATCCTTCCCGAGAAAAAGCTCTTAATTGATCTGCCAGTGCCTTGTCTGTCGCCCTCGGGTGCGGGAAGCTAAAGAGTGCGTACACTGACATATATGACGCTGCGGGAGAATATTTCAGTCACTGGCGCCTCCTTCTTGTCGGAATTCTTGTTCTACTGTCTGGTCGCTTGCCTGATATGAGAATATACTCCATGTGCCCTCGCACTCTTTTGTTCCCTTATTCAATTCAACAAACGGGTGTCCAGGGGCCTACGCCTCGCACTTCCCAGCCTGGCACGACGACAGCTTAGCCTTGATCACTAGCTGTTTCATCCGAATCACAACTCTCTGAGGGTTTGATTCCTCCCTTTGATATACTCATTCATTAGAGGTCCAATTCTATTATTCCCTCAATATGGCGACCAACCAGGGACGTTTCGAAATGCTCCCAGAGGCGGAAGATAGCGAAATTCAGGATGAAAGCGCCTCATCCGAAATGGAGCATCGTCACTCCACGGTACAAAGTCTCGCCCGTCAATTCTCTCAGCACTCTGCTGTCGGTGATGTTCACGAGAACCCTAAAGCCCTGTTCGCCAATGATGACCCGGAATCGCCATTGAACCCCTCCGGCCATAACTTCAGCGCAAGGACATGGGCCAAGACGCTTGCTCAGTACAACATAGATAACGGCATTGGCTTCCGCAAGACAGGATTCTGCTTCCAGGACTTGAACGTTTTTGGGTACGGGACTTCGACCGACTATCAAAAGAACCTGGGCAACATGTTTCTAGAGATTCCTAATCTCTTTCGGAAGGCATTTTTGAAGAATAAGGGGCAGCGGCGCATCGATATCCTCAGAGGATGCGACGGCGTCGTGAAGCCAGGTGAAATGCTTGTTATTCTTGGTCCTCCCGGTGCTGGATGCACCACTTTCTTGAAAGCTATTGCTGGAGAACACAACGGCATATATCTCGATAGCGCAGCCTATTTAAACTATAACGGAATAACGGCCAAAGAGATGCACACTCAGCACAAAGGAGAAGCCATCTACACTGCCGAGGTGGATGTCCACTTTCCTATGCTGTCTGTCGCCGACACTCTTACGTTCGCCTCGCGAGCCCGGTGTCCGAGCAAGATACCACCCGGCGTGACTCGGAATCAGTATTGTGACCATTATCGCGATGTCGTGATGGGCATGTACGGCATCACACACACCCTCAACACTCAAGTGGGCAACGAGTACATTAGGGGCGTCTCCGGCGGCGAACGCAAGAGAGTGACGATCGCGGAGGCTACATTGTCCTATGCGCCATTGCAATGCTGGGATAATTCAACACGCGGTCTCGACTCGGCCAACGCGATTGAATTCTGCAGAACTTTGCGGTTGCAATCTGAACTCTTCGGGCACACGTGCGCTGTTTCGATCTACCAATCGCCCCAGAGTGCGTACGACCTTTTCGATAAGACCCTCCTCCTCTATGAAGGAAGGCAAATCTACTTTGGATCGGCGGTCAAGGCGAAAGAGTACTTTGTTAAGCTTGGGTTCGAGTGCCCCGATCGTCAAACAACGCCTGACTTCTTGACTTCAATGACGTCGCCCTCGGAACGTATTGTTCGTAAAGGCTGGGAAGGAAAGACTCCTCGAACGCCAGACGAATTCGCAGCATGCTGGAAGAGTAGCAAGGACTATCGCAGCCTCCAAGTAGACATCGAGGCCTATAAGAAAGAATATGCTTTTGATGGGCCGCACGGCGATGAATTTCGCGCGCACAAGCACGCATCCCAGGGGAAGGGGCAACGCCTCAAGTCACCATACACGCTCACGTATGGCCAGCAAGTCCAGCTCTGTTTGTGGAGAGGCTGGAAACGACTCGTTGGAAACCCTTCCCTCACGATCTTTGTCCTCATCGCAAACACATGTGTCGGTTTCATAGTGTCGTCCTTGTTCTACAACTTGCAACAGGATTCAAGCTCCTTCTATGGAAGAACAGCCGTCTTGTTCATGGCCATCCTCGCCAATGCCTTTGCTAGCGCTATCGAGATTCTTACTCAATATTCGCAACGCCCAATTGTTGAGAAGCATGACCGCTACGGCTTCTACCACCCATCATCTGAAGCTTTTGCATCCGTATTGGTCGATTTGCCCTATAAGATTACCAATAGTATTTTCTACAATTTGACCATCTATTTTATGACCAATCTGCGACGCGAGCCAGGCGCATTCTTCTTCTTTTGGTTCGTATCCCTGTTGATGGTTATGGCTATGTCTGGACTTTTCCGATCTATGTGAGTTTGATTCAATACGCTTGAGCGAGTGACCAGCTTCCTAATTGTCGGCAGTGCGTCTCTTTCTCGTACATTATCTCAGGCCATGGTTCCAGCCTCAATTTTAATGTTGGCCATGGTTATCTTTACGGGATTCGTTATTCCAGTCGACTACATGCTTGGCTGGTGCCGCTGGATCAATTATCTCGATCCAGTTGCATATGGGTACGAAGCGCTCATGATCAACGAATTTTCCGGACGCACCTTCAAGTGCTCTGCCTTCGTTCCAATGCCAAACATCCCCGGATACGAGAATATCTCACTAGAGAATATGGCCTGTACCACAGTAGGAACTCCTGCTGGGGTCGCTACCGTCAGCGGAGACGACTATTATATGACACAATACTCCTACCTGCCAGAACACAAGTGGAGGAATGTGGGAATCCTCATTGCCTTCGTCATCGGCCTACATCTCATCTATTTCGCCGCAACTGAATGGATCTCTGCGAAGAAATCCAAAGGCGAGGTCCTAGTATTCCGCAGAGGTCACGTCCCCCAAGAATACCGCGGCGCTAGAAGCGACATCGAAGCTTCAGTGAAGGGACCAACAACTATCATGGAGAAGATGGCTCCCAGCAGCGGCTCTGAAGACGGCGTCATTCAAGGTTCAACTAGTGTCTTCCACTGGAGCAAGGTTTGCTATGACATCAAGATCAAGGGAGAACCGAGAAGGATCTTAGACAAGATTGACGGTTGGGTTAAGCCGGGTACGCTGACAGCCCTCATGGGGGTGTCGGGCGCCGGGAAAACCACTCTTCTTGACTGCCTCGCGGATCGAGTCGGAATGGGCGTCATCTCGGGAGATATTTTGGTGGACGGTCATGTCCGGGATGCTTCTTTCCAGCGAAAGACCGGGTACGTCCAACAGCAAGATCTCCATCTCGAAACTACCACTGTTCGCGAAGCGCTCGAGTTTAGTGCTTTGCTTCGCCAGCCGAATACCACACCCCGCGCTGAAAAGCTAGCCTACGTTGATGAAGTTATCAAATTATTAGACATGCAAGCGTACGCCGATGCTGTCGTCGGCGTCCTCGGGGAAGGATTGAATGTTGAACAACGCAAACGTCTCACGATCGGGGTCGAATTAGCCGCAAAGCCACCACTCCTGCTTTTCGTTGACGAGCCTACCTCCGGGTTGGATTCTCAAACTTCTTGGTCCATTCTAGACCTCTTAGAGAAACTCTCAAAGGCTGGCCAGTCAGTCTTGTGCACGATTCACCAGCCTTCCGCTATGCTTTTCCAGCGATTCGATCGTCTCCTGTTTCTAGCTGAAGGCGGGAAAACAGTCTACTTCGGTGAAATCGGCAAAGGCTCCCAGACGATGACATCTTACTTTGAGAGACATGGCGCCCCGAAATGTTTGAAAGACGAAAACCCTGCTGAGTGGATGCTCGAGGCGATTGGAGCAGCGCCAGGAGCGACCACAGAGGTGGACTGGCATCAAACCTGGCTTGAAAGCCCGGAGTATGAAGAGGTACAAACAGAGCTGGAACATTTGATATCCAACCCCGTAATTCATCCGGATAGCATCGGAGCCGCAGACACGGATTCGGAGTTTGCATCTCCCCTCTGGCCACAGCTTCTCATTGTCTCGCATCGTGTCTTTCAACAGTACTGGCGGACCCCAAGTTACATTTCGTCTAAATTCGCCTTGCTCACACTAATTTCCCTCTTTATTGGACTAGTGCTGATCGACGCGCCTCTGAGTATTCAGGGTTTACAAAATCAGATGTTTGCCTTGTTCAATATTCTGAGCGTCTTTGGACAAATCGTACAGCAACAAATGCCCTACTTTGTTACTCAACGCTCACTATACGAGGTTCGCGAAAGGCCATCAAAGACCTACAGTTGGATGGTGTTCATCGTCTCCCAACTGATGGCAGAGATTCCGTGGAATACAGTTGTCTCCGTTCTGATGTTCGTCTGTGTGTACTACCCCGTTGGCTTCCAGCGCAACGCGGCCAAGACAGACACTGTCGTCGAGCGTGGAGGACTAATGTGGTTGCTCTTCTGGCAATTCCTGCTCTTTACAAGCACCTTTGCCCACGCCTGCATTGCGCCTCTTGATACAGCAGAGGGAGGAGGAAACGTAGCAAACATCCTCTTCATGATGTGTTTGTTCTTCTGTGGTGTTATGGCAACGTCGGAAATGATGCCTAGATTCTGGATCTTCATGTACCGCGTCAACCCTTTCACATATTGGGTATCGTCGGTCCTATCAACCGGCCTAGCAAATCAGGATGTCCAATGCGCAAGGAATGAGCTGGTCAAAGTTCATCCGCCAGACGGTCTGACCTGCGGAAAATATTTGGAGGTTTTCGCTGTTGCTGCTGGCGGCAAGATTGCCAACCCGGACGACACGGACAGCTGTCTGTACTGTCCTATGTCGTCCACAAACAGCTTCCTGGACCGGATTAACTCCAACTACGACAATCGCTGGCGGGATTTCGGACTTGGGTTTGCCTTTATTGCATTCAACATTGCGGCCGCTATTTTCCTCTACTGGCTTGTGAGAATGCCAAAGGGCAGGAAGAAGCAGTAAATTGTGCTTCAAGCTGAGAGGGATTCTCAAAGGGAACTTTCCATATCACGTTACAAAGACGAAAGCTAATCTAACAAAAAAAGCATTGGGAATGATCGTTTGGAAACTATCAAAATTAATCACTGATAACTTAAATGTATGAAAATGGAAACCCGCAATCCAGAACACATAGAGATTACTACTTCTTTAGCTTATTTGCACCCCTTCAACTCGTGTTCGCTTTTGTCTCAGTAAAGGGCCTCTTGGCATTCCATCAACGGATTATGTTTAGGCCTCTATTCGCTGCCCTTTTCGAGGGCTGCCTCAAACTGAGACACCCCTTGTTACGTCACCAACCAGTATTTCGGTATTTGACAGTCAATAAGTGTCCATAATTGTCGTGGTTTATTTACAATCCAAACCTCGTCTGCTCAATAGAGTGGGAGAAGGGGGGGCAATTTGGCATCGCGTCTTCCTCTTTCACTCTCCTCTTCAAACGCTAGGCGGTGGTTTATTTTAGGTCTCCAAACAATCAGGATCATCTAATTCATGCCGCTGGCAAATCGATATTGTTTCAGACGCTCTCTACGCGTCTCGATGAATTCCGCATTCCATCGCAGCACTGGGATGACTCGTTTGAAGGAGCTCCGCTCTTATGACTCTATCTACGACGACCGAGATTCTCCAACCCCTTTCTTTTCTTCCCTCTCTTCCGTTTCGTAGTATTGATATTTCGAGGCTTCTAAGGCCTGAGGCGGGCCAAGTCACAATCTAGCTTAACTTCTTGCTTTGACAGCTACACTCCATCTTCCAAGCTGCCCGCAAAATCAACTCCCATGGCAGCCAAGAGACTCTCACAGGAGCTCGACATGGCCCGCATCACCGAAGAGGCAGAATCCCTCCCCTTCTCGCCAAAGCACGAGAACGACTGCTTCCGCCAGAAATTCCACGATATCCCCCGCTACCTCTTCCGCGTCTTCACCCCCATCTCCGGCTCCGCGACCGACGCCGCCTGGGCCCAGTCCCTCGACTCGCGGCAGGGCGGCACCAGCAGCAGGGTGGACCTCTTCGACCGGGGCGACAACCGGCTCGTGGCGGACATGCTGAACAAGCACCTCCGGTGGCAGGACGCCAACGCCGGCGGGGACGGGGAGGACAGCAACGTCGTGTCCTGGACCAGCTCGCTGCTGTACGCCCTCGTGCACGTGTACCAGCTGCACGCCAGCACGCGGGACGGCTCGGCCCTCGAGGACATCAAGCTCTGTATTGTAGATACGACCGAGTGCCCGGACAGGAGCTTCGTGCGGGACATTGACCTCATCCGCTCCTTCAGCCTGTTCGACATCGGCTTGCGGGATCTCAAGAACCTGCGGCTGGGCAAGTCGCAGAGCAAGTCGTCCGGGTGCTACTACTTCGGCGAGTACCTCTCCCAGGGCGCGCTGAAGATCGAGGGCAGGTGCCAGATCGTGTCGGCGATGGATATCATCAATGCTGGGCTGTACAAGATGCTGCCTGAGCTGGAGGAGTTTGAGAACTGGAACCGCGATGAGAAGCCCCCCTGCGCGCGGATGGTGGTCCGGCTTCGCAAGAGCCTGGGCTCGAGGGTGGTGCCCGCGGCGTGGAGGGAGGTTGACGGCGAGATCAACGCCGCGCTCAGAATTGCGCAGCTGTTTGAACCTCGCTGGAGACTACCCATGGCTGCGAGTTTGATTGCACTCGTCCCGAACTTATGCTCAGATGCAGAGATTCTGAGGGCATTCCGAAGAGAACTATTCACAGGTGAGATGAGACGTTAACAATTCTTATATATCGCGAAATTTGCTGACGGACGAAGACGCCGAGAGAAGGTTGTGTTCTCGTGAGAGAACCGTCATCATGGCATATGATACTCTGCCAGAGGTTCAGAAATTCAGCGATATCATGAGGAGTGTCTACAAAGACTTCTGTCTCTCAAAATCAAAAGGTGCGTCCACCAGAAATATCTTATTTACTGCATCGACGGAACATTGCCAACCTACGGTCACTCAATAGAATACGTTGATCGGGCGGAAGGGCTCGTCCGCAGCGCTCTACTCTGGGGAGGATCAACAGCCAGTCCCAGTGCTTCAGACCATGACATGACTCTCCTCGACCCGATACACGATGATATTGTAGATCGTTTGGACGACATAATCAGATGGAGCAGTTCACTACGTCAGGAGATGCTCAAGTCCCGGATGGTGTTGGTCGACACTGAATCATCGGACAAGCAGAGCTTTGATGATTCGCTTGAATTCGAGGTTGGCGACACTACGCTGTCATCATCTCCACGTACCGACATGGAGCATAGTGAGATCATTGACTGTGAAGCGTTCCCCTTCAGGTCCTTGGGGAATCGCGAGAAGTCGGTCATCGGAGGGCTCTACATCGATCCAATCTAGAGTTCGATGTATTTTGGCAAATCTACTTTGTCACAGTAAGTACGGAGAGTGAAGGGTATCCATAAACATGTCATTGTGCGAGGGTGTTTCTATTTTACGTGCATTGTTTGAAGCCATTCTGGACTTTCTTTTGTCATCAGTTAGAAATCTCATTTCTCTTGCAGCATAATAATTCAAGTCAATAACGTCAACTTCGGTTTCCTCCAATAGCCACTCTATGCAATCCAGAACCAGATACGCTCCAAAAAGTTCCGCGGTTTCACGACGGGCCATAGAGGTTCCAGACGGTCAATCTCAGCCTTGCCCGACCAAATATCCATCTCCTCTACCCGGACGAACTTGGTCTTCTTAACAAACTTGTATCCAAAGAACAAACAAAGCACAATCGGAATGTCAATGTATGGAGGAATGAATGTCTTGGCGCTGAATTTCCCGGGGAAGAAGCAGTCGAATCCATTGAAGAAGGCGATGAGAAGGCAGAAGCAAATGGAAAACCACGCGAGATATGGCTGCAGAGGTGATTTGAAGGGTAGAGTATCGCGATCAACTCCATTGTACCTCAGTGCATGGTAAAATCGGACATAAGTATACGAGATGGCGGCCCAGACGATCAAGGTACTGACGGCAGAGATGTTGCTGATCCAGAAGAAGACCTCATTTGACTGCTCGTTGACATTGAGATAGGTCAAAAGGCCCAAGGCAGACGTCATTGCGACACATCCATACGGTACACCAAACTTCTCATACCTCAGGAAGGCAGGCGCCTTGCCGTCTAGAGCAGCTGAGTAGAGCACTCGAGTGGAGGAATAAAAGAACGAATTGCCAGCAGACCAGGCAGAAGTAAGGACTATGCCGTTCAGGATGCCAGGCAGGGTCTTGATCTTGGCGTTGTCAATAGCAATGACAAACGGACTCTGGTTGGCGCCGGGCGCGTTGCTGCTGATGGCATTGAGTAGCTTCGGGTCTTCGGATGACACACACATACAGACGAGGAACATGGCGAGAACATAGAACAAGAGGATTCGCCAGAACACTCTGCGTACGGCCTTGGGAATGTTGCGACGTGGATTCTCGGTTTCTCCTGCAGCGACGGCAACCATTTCACTGCCACCATATGAGAAGGTCGCCTGGATGAAGACCTTCCAAAAGGCAAGGAACCGACCGAGAGGGCCTTCTTTGAGATATTCATTCATTGGGCCAGGATCTCTCCAATACTTGAAGCCAATAACCTCGCCTGTGGGAGTACCGCCACATGTAACGATGAGCATGAGCAATATGAGCCCAACAATGGTGGTGAGCTTGATGGCGCCAAAGACGAACTCAGCTTCTCCATAGATGTTGACTGGGAAGCAGTTCACGATGACCATGGCGACATAGAATATGGTGAGAAGCCCCGCTTTGGGGAGACTGTGGTCCCAGTAATCGATGATGACGGCACAGACGGTGCACTCGAGCGGCACGCCAATGGCCAGCTGGTACCAGTAATTCCAGCCAAGGGTGAAGCCTAGAGCCTCGTCTACATATCGAGTGGCAAAGATGGGGACGGCGCCAGGGAGGGGCAGCCAGGTAACCATTTCGCCGAGGCTGTTGATAACGCAGAAGAGGTTGAACCCGGTGATGGCGTACGAGAGTACGGCCGAGAGGGGGCCAGCCAGCGAGATGACCTGGCCACTGCCGACAAAAAGACCTGTGCCAATGGCACCAGAGAGGGCAAGGAATTGCACATGGCGAGACTTGAGTCTACGCTCTAGAGTGCCGATGTGCTCTGTCTCTTGGTTGTATTTGGCCGGGTTTTCCACGTATTCGCCAGGGCGTGGTGCTGCTTTCTCATTGGTGATGTTGTCACGGTCAAGCTGAACAGCCTCGATATCCGACGCTTGGTGTGCGCCGGTCTTCTCCGTTCTGGCCATAATGGATGATGCTCCTCAGGGAGTTAGTTGGGGGAGGAAAAGAGAAGGAACAGGCTCCCCAGGCGATACAAATAAAGAACTGCAAAATATAAGCAGGGCGATGTGAGGCCATGTCTCAACGACGGCTGATAACGGCAAGAGACCGGGCACACCAAATAAGCACCCAACACATGATGTGCTAAACCCTGCAGCGGCCAGCATCTTACTCCCCCGCAGTTCTTTTGACACTTGGGTTCGCTAATCACCTTCCAGACCGGGTAGTGTTAGACGGTGATCAGATGTAACAATCAAGAGCCAGCGCTGTCTGAATGGTGCGTGCATGCGGGGAAATGCGTCAATCAGCATTCATCGTCCAGGACAATCTTATCTTGTAACCTTACCACATCCCTGTGATGTAACCACGTCGATGTGAGGCCGAGCAAGGACGCACGATGAGGGGTCGAATGCTCCGTCAATGCCTCAAATGATGGGAAGGGGGCATGTGTTTGTGGTATGATTCGACGAGATCGGCCTGTGGCCAAGTGTTTACCTTCCGAAGGATTGATTTTCATGCATGGATGCACGCCTCGGTCGGGCATTCCGTAGTCTTCAGCCCGGAGAATCAGACCGATGGAATCGGGTAGAAGAGGCAGCAGATCCCGCTCTGCGTCATTGGAAATTGATCCATGACTGCACCATTTGGCCGGCCCAAGACAAGCAACTGCTCAGCTCAAATCACGAACTCTCCTACGTGATCCCCTGTGATCTCGCCCACGCGGCCAATTGAATGCGCTGATAATTGCTCCTTGTCATCTTCGAGAAACATGCTCCATTTGCGGAGGAACCAAGGCGCGGCAACCCAGCTCTCTCTCTGCCAGGGTTGATTGGCGCGCCAGCCTCGGCCATTCCCCTTGGATACGCCGAGCCCACCGCGTTCGTAGATGTCGACTTTGAGCTCCCAAATATTGAAGACGGTCGGCATGGCTGCGGAGAGCATGATGGCTCTGTCCCGCAAATTTGGCAGGGGAATGAGATCGAGACTAGCGTGGTGAGGAATCAAGACCTGGGCGAGAGTTGGGCGCAGGTAGACTGGCGGCTCAACAGCAAGATGCGAGATGGCGGAAGCCAAGAGAGCTACCGGATCGTCTTGCGGGGTGGTGGGACGATAGAATGGGGACATGCATTCAATACTACAGTCGGCGATGGTTTCCAAGTCGAAACCAAGTGAGAGGCCATTGTGAAGAATGGCTGAGCAGATTGTAGTTTCAAGGAACTCTTGCGTGTTCGCTCGAGGGTCAGGCATGGCCAGTTGGTGCCATGCCTCCTCCAGCTGACGGTCAGTTTCAGATGGCCGAGGTAGCGGTGAAGTCGAATCCGGCGGCGAGGGTAGCAGGGCAAGGATGTCCTGCGATCCTACAGACGTCAGAGGCTCGTGGGGTATCTCATCTGAGGGGGTTGAGGGCACTTGGAGCCGCGATCCATGGTTGGTGATGGGTTTGCCGGTGTCAGCTCCGCGCGGTAAGAGCTCCCGGTGCTTTTTCACGCCGGGTTGATTCTTAGCTTCGGCCTTGGCTCTCTGTCCCAGCTCCTTCTGGCGTTGGCCTTGAGCAGACGTGTCAGTCAATTGAGTTGAGTTGGAGGGAGAGAAGGATGAAATGAAGCGGCGTTTGAATGGCAAGCGGGACGACTTACGAAAAGCTCTCTGAGCGATACGGTTCTGTTCCTTTCTCGCCTCTGTGATGACTCGCTTCTTCTTCGGCTTAATCCCCTTGTCGCCCTTCACGTTCTGCCCTGAGGGAGCCTGGTGCTCTTTGATGCCCTCGTCGGCTGGATGTTCCGACACTTCGGCCGTCGGGAGCGGGGCAGCGGACATGGCTCCTGGAGAGCCTGTGGAGAGCACAGGCAGCTGGTCCAACACGACGGCGGTATCCATTTGCTGGGTCTTGTCCCGTTTCAACGAGCTCCTCTGGTATGGGGTGGTTGATTACTGTGACATGAAGGAGCAGGAGGGAAGAGTCGTCGAGATGGAATAAGCCACTCCAGCGCTATGACGAAGAAACAGTGGAGTCTCCAGCGGAGTGACCGCCTGGCCTTCTGATTGGTGATGGTTGACAGAATTAGCCGAACAACTTACTGTATCTTTCACTGCTTATTCTTCCGCTTTTTTTCGTCGCTTCTGTCATCACGCTTATCTCTGCTGGATTACCAGTTGGCTTACGGTTTTCCAGCCAATCAGCTCTCGCTCCTCCAATGGCACCACCAACACCAATTTGAAAGCTCCCTCACGACCATCATAAGCCATTCTTCAAGCCCGGAGATTGAAGCTTCGAGAGGCTTCAGTCCGCGAATATCTCCAAGTCAACAATGCATCGAATATCTTGTATAAATACGGCGTGTCTCCAGGAGATGCTGCCGTCAATCACAATAGCATCATCATCCCCCTTCTCAACAAGCCCCCATCATTCAACAGGCACATAACAGTAAACGAACCTCGACCATGTCTGCATCAAATATCATCGCCATTGTAGGCGCCACCGGCAACCAAGGCTCGTCTGTCGCTCACACCTTTCTATCTCTTCCCAATTGGCATGTCCGGTGTCTCACCCGCAACACATCCTCACCTACTGCCCTCGACCTGGCAGCGAAGGGTGCTGAGGTGGTCCAGGCCGACCTCACAGACAAGGAGTCGCTCGTCCGCGCCTTTGCCGGTGCCCACGCCATCTTCGTCAACACTGATTTCTGGGCTCCGTACGGCGCTGCGGTGAAAGCCGGCAAGTCGCGTGAGGAAAGCACCCGCATCGGCTTCGACGTCGAGTTCTCCCACGTCAAGAATGCCACTGATGCTGCGGCCACGATCCCCACGCTGCGCCGCTTCATCTACTCGGCCCTGGGCCCCATGAAGGTCGCATCAAACGGAAAGTACCCTCATTCAGGCCATTGGGATTCCAAGGCCGTGGCTGTCGACTACATTGAGGCCGAAACGCCCGAGCTGGCTGCCAAGACCTCCTTCATCTATCTCGGAGCCTACAGCACCAATCCTCTCCTTATCCCCCAGAAATACCCTCATCTAGACGACTGGGCGCTCATGCTCCCTGCCCCAGCCGAGGCAAGGATGCCCGTGATCCGTGAGCGGGAGTCCACGGGTCCCTTCGTGCGAGCCCTGATTGAGGACGAGGAGCCGGGGCTGAAGTTACTGGCCTACGACGCTTACCCGACGATGCAGGAGGCTGCCGACACATGGAACAAATTGACGGGAAACAGCGCCAAGGTCGTACAGGTGACGCTGGAGGAAATGCAGGAGCGCACCGGGCTGCCCTACGAGGTGCTTGACGGGCCGGCCTTTATCGGCGAGTTCGGCTTCATGCACGGCGTCAAGGGCAAGGTCATTGAGCCCAGGGATCTGAAGAACAAGGTGCCTACCAAGACACTGGAGGAGATTCTCGAGGCGAAGGGTATTGATCAGCTGCTGGGTTCGAAGCACCCCGACATGTAGTGTAAATCTCTAGTCTTTACTCTTTATTAACCATTCTGTAAAACTATGTGACGAATCGATCTTCAAATTGAATTTTGTGTGTGTTGCTAACGTTGCGGATCATCCCCAGGCCAAACCACTCGTGAATTTGTTCTCGATAACTTGTGGTTCGAAACCTCGTTCCAGATCGATCTATACTTTTCAAGCTTTAGACTTGGGATTTAATTTCTATATACAATTCAACTTAAATCTAGATATAGTCTTAATTAAGAGAGACTAGGAACAGCAATTGACTGAGAAAGATGAAAGCATTGTATAGGGTAGATCAATTAGATGCATCTTTAGCCAGTGTCGCATCACGTCTAAACGGCCGGAGCTTGGCCAGGGGGACTTGTACAATGACGGGAGTCCCAGAAAAACATTGATCAATGTGTACATGCACTCATGTAGGTAGTTGATCTTGGACCGCTGCAGATGACGATGCATGGCCAGCCAAGAATAGCCCTGGCTTGCCGTTGGTTGGGGCTTTTCAGGCGATCCGAATACGCATACTGGTAAACATCAGGTAATTACTTCCTGGTAATAACGAATCGAATCTGAACCAAACCAAAATAACGCTGACTAACTGGGTTTTGGGGGTCCGTGTGCACTTTGGCTCTATATTTGGGTGCTGAGGTGGGCCATTCGTCCAGATTGCATCCTCCAACACACGGAAGCTCGAGCTGAGGCCTGTTCGTTGCGGTAGCCAGCGGAAGGCTAAATTGGCCATTGCACCGTGGCCATGTCCATCGTAATCAATGGCAATTGGCCGTGCAATCAGTTGTTTTGGGTCCAGCCGGGAAACAACCCAGCGCACTCCTAAAAATGGCCTCGCAAACCCGAAACAATGTCCAAAGTCCCAGCTGACAGGGGTGCTAATGGCAGACGAAGCGGTGCAATACGGCCAGCCTCGTCTAGGCACTTGTACTGGGTAGCTGAGGGCAGATGAATATAAAGACTTGAAGCCGTCTGGAGTCTTCACTTCCCTTCCTCACTCTCAACAACAACCATCAAAACCAACCACCATTTTCTAGAGCTGGTCTCTTTCTTTTCTCTCAACCCTTTTAATTACCATTCTCTTATTTCTTATTATCTGTTGCTGGTCAACCTTCTCCTTTTACACCCCTTCAAACCAGATAATTCATTCAAAATGGTCGGAATCAAGCGCGCCTCTGTCTCCGCAGCTCTGCTGCTCTCCATCGCCGAACGCACCATGGCCAACCCCGTGGACATCGAGGAGCTCATGCTCCGTGATATCGATGACGGTGAGATGCTCGAGACCCGCGAGCTCGCCTCGGACCTGGACCACCTCCTCTTCCAGCTGCGCGACCTCGAGATCCGCAACGGCGTCGAGCACGACGACCCGACCATGAGCACCCGCGGCTGGGTCCGATCAGTCTTCGGCGACGGCCTCGAGGAGCGTGAGATCGACACCATTGTCGACACCATGGTCCACCTCCGCGACCTCGAGAGCCGCCAGAGCAGCCCCGTCCTGTCTTCCGAGAACTGGGCCCGTGACTACGTTGAGGACCTTGAGGCCCGCGACTTTGACGACTTTGAGGAGCGTGACCTTGAGGATCTCGAGGAGCGTGACTTTTACTTTGAGGACATGGAGGAGCGCGACTACGATGATGAGCTCGAGGAGCGTGACTTCTACTTCGATGACTTGGAGGAGCGCGACTACGACGAGGAGCTCGAGGAGCGTGACTTCGAGGAAGAACTTGAAGAGCGTGACTTCGAGGAGGAACTCGAGGAGCGCGATGAGGAAATCGAAGAGCGCGATGAACAGATCGAGGAGCGTGAGGAGCAGGTCGAAGAGCGAGACGCCGAGCAAGTCGAGGAGAGAGATACCGACAAGGTCGAGGAGCGAGACGCCGAGACCGTCGAAGAGCGCGCCGAGGAGAAGGCGGAGGAGAACATCGCCAAGCGATCCTGCACCGTCATGTAAACGCCTCAACTACTACATGAACACTTCTCTCGAGACTGCCTCAAACAACAAACGGCATCTCTGTACACAAAGCGACGTCTTTTACAAAACTGCATTTTCCTTTGTCTTCGGTCGGGTTCCGGGTTTATAGTCCCATCTGCATCATTAGCGTTCTGATTTCTGCTGCTTCTCAGGTCACATTATTTCAATGACCTTCAATTGATATGAATCATCATTTTTTTTATTATTAAATTAATTCCTTGCCCCCATTTGAACACACAGTGATGCTAAACCGTAATCCCCTTCAAACCAGCCTAAGAAACAATCGTTACAGCATTGTCTGACGAAGCCGTAAGCTCACGGCCAGCTGGTCCCTCCACTCCGTAAACACGCGGGCGATCAAGGATACCAGCCAATTCGCTGTTGTACTGCTGAACTGTTTCGACCAGGCACCCGAGCTCCTCCAAATCCTCTGCGATCCAGCGTGCTTTATCCCATGTTGCTAAATTGCGCGTTTCAGCCACCCGCGCCGGTGATGGCGAGGTTGGCGATGAACCTCGAGACGATGGTGAATCAAGGGCGCACATTTCGCCTCCAGCGTCGTGACAAGGAAGATTCGCTAGTCTCTTCTATAGAGCTAAGCGCAGGTCTACAATCTTTCTGGGTTACGCGGAACCACCCATTTCTAGATCCCTGGATTCGTGATCCTTGGAACGTCCAGGATCCCCCTCACTTGGATTGTATCCTTCCATCCCCCAGTCATATTCTGTTTTCTACGCATTCGGAGCAATCTACCTGCTAATCCCATCAGGCATGTGTACGGTCCCAAAGGCGTTTTCTCGGTTTCCGTAGCATACAAGTTGAAGCTCATAGTCCTGGCCCGGATTCAGAGAGCCCAGTTCAACAACGTTGAGTTGGAACGCAATTACCCCAGCCCGCGCACCATTGAAAGACATGCCCAATACTTGGGCGGAAAACTGCGGCAAATTAAATGGTTCACTCAGCTGTAGTGGCGGTAAACGAACATGTGTACTCGACGCTTCCAGCGTAGAATGGAAGGCCTTGGTTGACCCCGTTGCCAAACGAGACTTTTCCAAGATCGAGGCCCTGCAAGGTGCAGCTCTTGCCACAAATCTCGACAGCAAAGAACCCTAACAAATATTTTCTCTCCAGATTCGTCAAAAGTCTATCTAAAAATGGACCTCAATTTCTGGTAAATGGTGACCTGGGGGAATCTCGAATGGGACGTCGACCACAGATATCTCTTCATCTACCCATCACCCACCCCTTATTGTTGGCACGGCTTTCCATCGAAGAAGACCTTTGTGCTAAGGGACAGCCCGAGGGAAATATGAGAAGATGTGACATTTGCTTCCCTGATATATTGTATTGGAGCCGCACTGTAGCCCGTGGCTCCCGTTCATGAGCCGACACAGCCCAAGGTTACCGGCAGGCCTCGCCTTTGAGTGGCAGTGACAGATGGTCTCTGACAATATCCCGTCGTCTATGCGCAGAATTTCTTCTGCCTCCCTCCAGGGCTCATCGCTGATCCTATATTTTGCATAGTCCAGGAGTAGATCGTTTGGTTCCGAGAGTTACGCTCTTCATATGGACCTTGGTACCAACTTGAGTCGATCCCCTTTTCTCAATGAGCAATGTCTACATCTACTTGTACTAATTCGTTTCATTAACACTCATGGTCTATGACATTGAGTCTTGGCATATCCCTTTTATCTCGCAACATTATTTTCCTACTTAAAACTTGATTCGAACACCCAAACTTACCAGTCATGAATCATGGTTGCTAGCTACCAGTGCCGCAGTAGTTTCCAACTGTCTGGATTCACTCACAAACGAGGTCTTTTCGCTAGGCCAGTTGCCAGCTAGTTTTCAAGCTTCCCTCTCCATTTCATCTAAACCGACTGTCACATTCACGGCTCTACCCGGATCGTCAGTCCCTTGACTTCGTTCTTTTCGGAGCTTTCTTCTTGTTGCGGCAATGAGTCGTCATCTCGTCCTCGGCCCGGGGTGGGGCTTCCGTATTTGCCATCGGAGACACCTCGTCCGCATCAAAGCATCGGCCCTAGTGGACTATTTCTTCCGCTGCTCTTCCCATCAGCAATCTTACCATCCGAGAGACTATAGTTGTCTGCGTAACAGAAAAACAATCCACGGCTATCGGGTTTTCTCTGCCCTGCTCAAGATATCGGAATAGCTTACAGGTTCCGGATCACCCCATCACGTGGTGTTATACCGCAAAAGATTCGTATGAAGGGGCATTGGAACAAGATTGCAGGAAATCTGACCGCTTCCCGGCAGTTGCATGTTAGTCTTTGTTGTCGATTCTAAGCGGGTTTCATGGCACTTGAGGTGAATGCCGAGCCTTACTTGGACTTGGCATTTGGCATGGCAGCGCTAGAGATAGCCTAATACCTAAATTTTGGTATGCTAATTGAGTCTTTGTTTCATCTTCAAAGCTCAGATCCCTGGTTGCTGCTGCTGCTTCTCGGTCCACCAACCGAGGGATGACGCGGCCCTCGTAGAATCGCCTCAATTTCCCAGCGCCCCATGTAGTAGGATACTCAACCCACGTCAGCCAAAGGGACAAGGATTACAGACCAAGCGAGACCTAGGGATTAACCTTATTAGCCTTGACAGGTGATAGACAAAGGCTTGGCTGCAGTACGTGGCCTGCGGTAGCACTTCCCAGTTCGTCGAAGCAATCTCAGTATGGTAGCAGGAGTCCAGGACTGAAATTCAAATCAGTCCTAGGGAATCTGGCTTGTTTCAGGTTACATGGTCACCAGATATTGTCAGTGTTGGGTCTACCGACACACGATATGGCATGGTCGGCTTCAGTTACACACGGCTGTTAGTTGCCGGCCAAGGCAGCTTGGCATATGCCTTGTGGAGTCATTGACTGCAAGTTCTTCGTACGCGTCTTCCAAGAGCGAGAGAACTAGATTTTTACTTAAATATGCCGAGTTTCTCGTGGTGTTGATCAATCTTTCTTCTTTTCCGCATCCTCTCACCAACAGGAGTCTCACTTACATTCCCTTGCACTCTGCAATAATTTTTTCCGTTTTTCGCTGAGATTTCTAGACCGGCTCTGGAATCCTCAAACTTCATTCTTTTACTACAACAAGCTCCATTATCCATTCGTTCACGATGAAGTTCTCCAGCATCTTCGGTCTCGCTCTGGCGGGTCTGGCCTCGGCTGTCCCAACACCTACCACCAACGACGATGGTGCTAGCACTGTTGATCTCGCCAAGCGTGCTTCCATCACGGAAACCTGCAACATTGGTTATGCTACCCAGAACGGAGGCACCACCGGTGGAAAGGGTGGATCTACCACCACCGTCTCGACCCTTGCTCAGTTCACCAAGGCTGCTGAGTCCTCTGACAAGCTTAACATCTACGTCAAGGGTACAATCTCGGGAAGCGCCAAGGTCAAGGTCAAGGGTAACAAGTCCATTATTGGTGCTTCTGGCGCCAAGCTTGTCGGTGTCGGTCTGTACATTAACAAGGTCTCCAACGTCATTGTTCGAAACCTGGCCATTTCAAAGGTCAAGGCTGCCAACGGCGACGCCATCGGCATCCAGGCCTCCACCAACGTCTGGGTCGACCACTGCGATCTGTCCTCTGACATGAGCTCCGGCAAGGACTACTATGATGGTCTCCTTGACATCACCCACGCCTCCGACTACATCACCGTTTCCAACACCTTCCTCCACGACCACTACAAGGCTTCGCTTGTTGGACACTCTGACAGCAACTCCTCCGAGGACAAGGGCAAGCTCCACGTCACCTACGCCAACAACTATTGGTACAACATCAACTCCCGCGGCCCCTCGATCCGCTTCGGAACCGTCCACATCTACAACAACTACTATCTCTCCGTCCTCGACTCTGCCGTCAACACCCGCATGGGAGCCCAGGTTCGCGTCGAGTCGACTGTCTTCGACTCCTGCGCCACCAAGGCCCTCTTCTCCGCTGACTCCTCCTCCATCGGCTATGCCACCACCAGCGACATCTCCTGGGGCTCGAGCAAGAACACCGCCTCCACCGGTACCCTCGGCAGCAGCTCCATCCCCTACAGCTACACCAACTACGGCAAGAGCAGCGTCAAGAGCAAGGTCTACGGAACTGCTGGTAACACTCTCAGCTTCTAAGCTCCCCCGCCGATTTCTATCGTGGAAATCGGGATGGAAGGCCTCGGCTACGCATCCTTTAAGATATTCAGGAATGTATTATTGCTATTCTAATTTCTCCTGTGGAGATCAAAGAGTTAATTTGATAGATCTTAAGAAGTCTACTCTAGATATTTAGTCATCTATTGAACAAAGCTCGTATCTTTCTATCACTCATGGTTCTTGAATTAAAAAATGATCAAGTGTTCATCAATCCAGAAGCAGTATTTGACAAGCACGACTGCACATTCAAGTGACTCAGGTGAGACCGTTAGCAGAGTTTGCTCCCTACTGCGGCTTGTTACTGCGATGAATGGCGTATCAAAGCCGGCTGCAAGCGTACTCAAACATTTGTCAAGTCATCCCGTTAAAAAAGATAATTTCCCTGTACAGTAGCAAGTGGCTGAAATAAAATATGGCTCGCTAAAGCTCTTTTCACATAAGGCACGGTTCTGATTCCCTTATCAATAATACTAAACAAATTAATAAGAGGAGAATAATAAATAATTCTACAATATTTAGCCTGGTATTGTGTTTATTACTGGGTTAGTTGTCTTCATATCATATCGAGACCTAACACTGAGGTCCTGGGTCTGCCATGTTTTATGTCAGTCGCTTGAGTAGATCTAAGCGATGCTGTTCTAAAGATCAGCCCCCGACACAGTTTCATCTCCGCCAAAATATAATAGCGAGAAAATACTCAGCTGTTGTGTTGCCTAAGTCAGGTCACGCCTCTTTATGTTGGCAGCTAAAACTGTGTCTTGCCTGTTCAATACTTCATACCCCCAAATATGGCTCAGGGCACTCGAAATAGCAGGTCCATGAGATCCGGCCCATTCAGTAATGCCACAGCTCGAGCTTTTTTGCGGGTTGGGTTCAGTTGAAAAGGAGAATTTCCTACTGGTCACTGGTTTAAAATCTGCCAATGTTGCCTTTTTTTTTGTTTTTTTGCTGCTTCGTTTTGGTTTCGTTTTCGGACTACGGACAATTGTAGGTCAAGAATATAATAAAATGGGAGCTGGGCTAAAATCCATCTGTCGAAAGTAGAGTCAAGCAATATTCTTAGTTTCGATCTTTCTTCCTCGCCATCGATAGAATTTTCACTGTTATATGTTATCAAATGTTTCGTTAGTAGGGGAAACACCTGAATTGCCGTGCTGAAGTCTTTGTTGGGCGGTTATAGGGTAAGCAGTCATAAATGCCTGAAAACCCCGAACCTTGTTGGCTGTTGGCTGTTCAGTTGGTTGAACACAAATTTCCGACATTTCCAACAACACGTTGCTTTCCATCGCTCAACGGAATCTCGCACTTCATAGACAAGGTGCTGGCCATAATAAAGTCTCCGGCACTCTATGACTCAGACGAGTCTTTGAATCTAAAATGGACATCAACTCTATCCTCACCTTTCGCGAATCCTGGCCCGTGTCCGGCTCCCTGGAATCGGATGATCTCTACAAGGAGTTGCGCCGTGTTGATCTGTTCGACCAGATCCTCCACGCATATTACTCCCGGCTTGAAGAAGGATGGGGGAAATGGGGCGGCTTTTTCCGAGACAGCACAAAACACCGACCGTTGTTTCTGAGCGTGGAGGCAGAAGATGCCGCCGTTTATGCCTATTTACTGCAGGCGCTTCCAAGGTACACGCGCAGGGATGAGGAGGACCCCGAGGCGGACTGGAACAAGTTCGCCAAGGACTTCGCGGCAGAGGTCACTAAGCCTGATGCCATGAGACACCCAACAGACTATCGTCCCATTGAACTTATTCTCATGGGCCGGTGCCTCGCTGTGAGAGGATGGTGCTCTCGACATGAAGAGTTTCTCAGAAGAAGAGAGAAACAGCTTCAACAAGGCAAAATACGAGCACTTCACATCCTTGATCTGCCAATGGACATTCTGGAGGATATATTTGACAACTTTCAACATCAGCCTAAGTCGGGTGCAGTGGACTGGGAACAAGAACAGCACAAAGCTCGAGACAGAAAGGTCCGTCTTGAAACCATCCGCAGTGCGCGGCTCGTATGCCGTGCCTTCAACAGGCTCGCATCAACTCTGCTCTGTCCAATTCTTCACTTGAGCATCGACCAGCAGTCCATAGATCGGGTGCAGAAGATTGTCGGTAATCCTTTGATCAGCGCTGGAGTGAGAGGCGTCAGGCTAGCGCTCAGCTATTGCCTATCCGAGATTGCCATGGACGAATCTCGGTTTCTCGAGATAGCCCGAAGAGAGGTTGGAGATCTATATGACCACTGTTGTCACGTATTTAACAATGATGATGATCATCGGATGGTGGCGGCGCGAAACGGCTTCGAGACGATCAAGGACGCCATGACCATGTACCGAGAAACTGCCACTTGGAAATCGGCTCTAACGACAGGCCTGCGATTCAGAAGCGTATCTAGGTACGTCGAGGCACTTCGTCGGGGTTTCCAAGGCTACAGAGACTTGCACAATGAGCAGGCTGGTCTCTTGGGGCATGGTGTGTTCTCAAGCACTCTCGCGTCGCTTCTCGCCAAGCTCCAAAGACCTATTGCCCTAAACCTGTTTTTCGACGACCCCGAAGGTCTGCCATATGTCGAAGCGAATGGCATACAGGGCGCGCCCGAAACGAAGCGAACACCGGACATATTCATAAACCCAGACTCACTGACAGAATGGATACGCAAAGCACACAGCCGCCACTTTGACGGGGACATCGAGTTCGAGTCAGCCAAGTTCATCTGCGAACTGCCTATTGCATTGCAGAAGGAGGGGGTTCTGGTCACTCGCTTTTCCCTAAACGACATGACTCACGTACGCTCCATCGCACCTCTTGATCCACGGATGTATCGTCCGATCTTTGGGCCACAGATCGATTGGACCAATCTTTCTTCCTTCGGCGAAAATTTGAAATCGTTTGAGTTGCTCTCTTGGGGAGCATCTTCGCTGATGGATGTTGGAGAGGAGATGTACACATCGTTGAGAGCTACTTGCGGTCGATGTTGTCGAACAGCGGCCTCGTTGACGTAGATATCACCTTGGCCTTTCTGAAGGCCTACATACCAGCCCCTCCAGATCTGGAGAATGATTCAACTCCTCACAAGGAACTCTACCAGATTCAATCCAGCATATTCACTTCCCCATGGCCTCGCATACGCAGGGTCTGCATCGAGTGTTTTGCAATTCCGGAGGCGGAGCTTCGACGCTTTTGTCAGAATCTAGGGGATGAGGTTGCCCATTTTTTCATGAGCAACGTTGAGATAACAGATGGTGATTGGGGTGATATCCTTGACGTTCTTCGTGGGAAGCTTGCCGCGAGGGTTAAGCTGGAGAGATGCACGGTCAGGATACCATCGCTGGATGGCGGCGGCACAGACCTGATTGGGTCCCAGGAATTGGGCAGGATTGCTCAAAACTATGTGACGGGGGAATACAAGGGGAGTCCCTGGAATACTGTGCTGGGTGGGATTATATTTGATTGATGGCCAAGAAACCCTACCAGCCACGATAACATTCATGTTCATATTCTTCCCGCTACGAAAACACTGATTGGTCAGAATAAAATTAAGTTCCTCGTAACTCAACCGACGTGGTTTATTCTCAAACTCTAGAAAACGCAAACTTGATGACTCGGCGAGCTATTTAACATCCAACCTAAGTCTCTTTTTTTTTTTTTTTTTGGAATTCCCAATAGATACAGACGAATATAACCGATGAATAGCTCAAAGAGATCGCTTTTGTACGTAGCTATGAAAAGCCGTGAGCACGGTTCATTTGTTATAGGAAGATGCTTTGATCTGGGTGGTTCACACACGAACAGAGATGCTTGTTATAGTATAGCGATGAGATCAGTACAATTATTTCCATTATCAATACTACATGTAACTAGTAACTTCATTTGGAACCAAAGAGAACAATTTCGAGCGGAGCGAACTCATGTCACGAGCAAGGCATACTGTTGCATAAGGAATTTCTATGCTTCAAGCGGCTCGAATACAAAGTGATGGGGGGCAGGACACACAGCTCCTGAATCAGGCTGGTCTTGCATCTGTGTCCTTCCAACATTGGCACGTGTCGTAAAGCCTCCACAGTGGTTGGTGAATGCCAAGTGTCTAGACCTACGTCAGCTGGCACCCCCAGATCGAGAGGATTTCTCCGAGGTTTTCCTATCGGGACGGAGGTCCAAGGGTCTGCCTCGATGAAGGACGATATATTTATCTCCTAGAAACGCATGTATTAGCAACTTAGAATCCAGAATTTGATACCATAAGATCTCTGGGGCTACAAAGTTAATTGCAGTTGTTAGAGTCATTGGAGCTATCTTGCGCCCAAAGAACTTGTATTACATCTCTCTATATGTTGAGCAATTCATTCGTAATTCCATGTATTCTGAGAAAGAATATGAATCAGGATAGACACAAAGAGTATCATCTTTCAGAGTGAGAAACTAACACAGAACTCAGCTCGAGGCAAACTATTCTCAGTTTAGGGAAAGCGACTGTGTAGCTCCATAACCAACTTAAGTTTCCAAGCTACCATGCCTCTTAATTGCGTCACTGGATATATTGAAAACGGATTACAAGGAGCGGAAAACCCCTCTATCGGGCACATAGAAGTATAGTTTATGAACCTCATATCATCATGCCTTCAGCACGTTTGCTAGCGCTCAATATGACCGTTATCCAGCGCGAGGTTCACCCCAGCCCACAATCTACCAAAGTACCGTGTCTTTAGACATCACTTTTCTCTAAATCGGACTCTGGGAGGGGAAGAACAGCACGGTCCAATAATAAGGTCAGCCATCAGTACATGAAATTGTCTTCGGATTCCTCGGGAGATCGGTCGTTCCCTTCAAGATTCGATCCTTACAGTGGACCTTCCAAGGGTACAGTAGCCAGTCGCCTCATCCGAGCCCAGCCCCGCAAACGCCTTGTCCCCGCGTCGTGTAAGAGCCATTGCACTTATATAAAGCTATTGGTTCGCTCACAATGGTGTTGGCCAGGAATTTCCAAGACTATGAGCGTTCATAGTTTGTTACAACATTAAACTACATTTCAACTTTAAACCCAAACTTCCAATATACACAATGGCTGAGAAGCGGAACAAAGAGCAATCGCTCATCGATGCTCAGATCAGAGAGCTCGACGAGTCCAATCAAGAGTTCGAGAGCCTCTGGCAAATGTGGCAGGCCATCTTCCCAGATTGGCCCATTGAGCGTCAACGACTGGAGAAGATGATCCACCAAATGCCCGGTAACCATCTCATCCACGAGCACGGATTCTGCCTCTCCTTCCTACAGAATGGAGTGCTCGGCATGATCTCTGCGGTGGGGGTACTGCCCGACCATCGTCGCAAGGGCCTCGGGACAGCCCTGGTACACAGAGCTCATGAGGTACTGAAGAAGGCAGCCAAAGATTCCGGCGAGAAGGAGCTCCAGTCTCTTGAAGTTGGGTCTTGGGCGCCTCGGTTCTGGCCACAGATGCCCATCGAGATGTCACAAGAAGTGAAGGATTTCTTCTTGCACTGCGGTATGTAAAAGATTCCCGTACGACAACCCAAGATATCCTCCTTCTGACATGATTTAGGTTTCAAAAAATCTCCAGATTTAGGGCCCCGTGACTTGTTCAAAGACATCCGCAATGGTGATGTAGTGCCCGCAGATGTCTTGGAGCGAGTTGCCAAGACAAACATCATATATCGCCCTTGGTCACCAGAACTATATGAGGAATGTTTGGAAAAGCAACGGGCCAACTTTGTTCGTCTCTAACCTAGCCTTGAGATCTTACAGCTTGTAGACAGGAACGCTGACTTGGACCGCAGAATTGGTGGAAGGGCTACGAGATTCTCGCCCAGTACGGCCAACACTCCCAAGCCATGGTCGCCATCGACCCCGATACAAACGCGCAGGTTGGATGGACATTCATGTGCTCCCCCGATGCCATCATCAGTGACATGTACGCCTTCCTGCATCTGTCCCCCACCAAGGACAAGACGGGGTCGATTTCCGCGGTGGGCATTGACCCTAACTTCAGGGGTAAGGGTGTGGGTTTGGGGCTGGTCGCGAGAGCAATGGAGAATATGAAGGAGAGAGGGATTGAGGGTATCATGATTGACTCGACCTGGCTCCGGGGCTTCTACGAGAAGCTGGGGTTCAAGGCGCAGTGGGAGTATGAGCGCTGGGTATGGGAAGATGCTAAACAGTAACCTTTCTCCTCCACTTCACTGCTAGGCGTGTCAAAAACATGAAAGAAGATTTCACTCGGTATCTTGAGGGAAACGATTTGAAAGTTGTCCATAATCATCAACTCGTGAGAGCGCAGCCTCTAAACATAATAACACCAATACGTCAAAACATAAACCATAACAGACATGATCAAAAGTCGAAATCACCTCCAAAATCACCTCCACCATCACCCCAATCATCTCCACCACCATAATCACTACCACCACCATCGCTGCTGCTGCTCGAGCTGGAACCACCGCCCCCGTGCCCTCCTCCATAGTACCCCCCGCCGCCCCCGTAATAACCTCCACCACCGCCGTAGTGCCCTCCGCCGTGATGGCCACCCATCACGCTGTGTCCGAGAGCAGACATTGCCACTCCTCCCAACACACCGGCACCCGCTCCTCCAGCGAGCGCAGCCGGCACTCCCCATTTGCCCTTCTTGTTCTTGGGAGGCTTGCCGGAGCCCGACGCCGCGCCCGGGATCTTGGTCTTGCCCATCAGCTTCCCCAGCAGACCGCCGCCACCACTGGCCTTGCTGCCACCTGAACCCTGGGGCTGCTGCTGCCCGTAGTTGCCGGGAGATGGGGGATACTGCCCGTACGCCCCATTGGGAGGCGGCTGCTGGCCAGAGTAGTACTGCGGCTGGTTGTAGCCTTGCTGTCGCGGATCATGCTGCTGCCCATACGGCCCCGGGCTGACTCCAGGACCTGGGCTGGGACTGGGCGGGCCATACGGGTTCGGACTCATGCCCGGGCCTGGGCTGTGCGACTGCTGATGGCCATACTGCCCCGGCTGCAGATATCCGCTGCCGGCGTACTGCTGCTGCTGCGGGGCTTGGTATCCGCCGCCGTGGCCCTGCGAGTTTGGGGATGGCGAGTAAGGCGGCGGCACGCCTTGTTGCGATGGCGGCGGCTGATTGTATCTGTGGGCGCGGGCATCTTCTTCGGCTTGCAGTTTGGCGGCGAGGGCGGCATCACCGCTCAGATGAGGGGGAGGGCCAGGCGGGGCGGGGGAAGAGGATGGGTTGGGAGCCTGCCATTGCGAAACGTTTGTGCTGAGGTTGACGTAGTACCTGATGGACCGAGAATTAGTATATTGCTGCTATTGTAGACAAGAAAAAAGAGACAAGAAGCCAAGAAATCAAGATGTCTTACCATGCACTGTACTGGCTGTTCCACTCGGCGACCCATCCCGGGGGAACAGGGGGTGGTCGGCCTCCACCGGGGAGATTCTGCATCTGCAGGTGATTGATGTGCGTCTAGTCGAGTGATGAGTAGTCTTGTGTCGTCTCTGGGCGTACGATAATGCGTAGGCAGAGAGGAATCGCAAAGTGTAGAGGACTGTCAGTAGGAAAGGGACACTAGAGGAATCAGTCAAATGGGATGGGCACTCTATTACTTATCCAGACCAGCTCAACCTTCGCTGCCGTCATCGGTCTAGTGGCCATTATCGCCTCCCGCTTGCTCTCCGCGGCCTTTGCCAATCACAATCGCGAGGCCACGCACAGCGAGTGGTAGCATCATGACCCATGACTCGGCTCCGCCACACTTCCGCATCTCGCCCGGCTCGCTTTTCATCATTGGCCTTAGCTCAGGGCAGCCTTTGGGTTGCCCTTGCCTTGGCTTAGACTAGTGATCGGTGGCATCATTCGCTATCGGTGCCCGCCTCCATCCATCGATCGATCACCCCACGAAAGCCGTGGTTTCACAAGGTTCTGGAAATAATCATCGTTGTCGACAACTCAGATTGCAGCGATCGCGCGGTAGGGAATATGTTTAGGTAAGGCTTAGATTAGTTGTGGAAGTCTGCGCGGCGCATCATTTTGGCGACGGCCGTCCATCCACCTGCTCATACAGAAGATCAAACACCATGATCACTTCCCACAATGTCGCAAGAATCGAGGATCCTGAGCAAAAACAGCTTCAAGATTACTGCCCAAATCTACATATACAAAGCACCCAAGAACGCCATTATCCATCTTCTTCTCGGATCTCCATGTTGGCCTGCAAACGAGTGCAACATGAAGACGAGTTGATCCCATGAATACTCTCCACCTTCTTGTCCCAATCTGAATGACCATCAGCATCTTGCACTGCTCTTTTCTTGCCTCTCGTATCCCATCAAGAACTTATGCCGCCAACGCTGCATATGCATACCGCGGCAGCGCAGCGATCCTCTCCTCCGGACTCGTGTCGGCGTCGTCGTAGATCATCCTGCCCTTCTTCTCCTTGTCCTTCTTCGACGCCTTGGCTGCAGCATCTCCAGCGTCAGCCGCCGCGCGCGCCTCCGCCATCCGGATCAGGTTATCAATATCGTCCGCCTGGGGAGCCAGACCGTCACCCGGTCGCTGCGGCAGCCCAAACGGCACGCCGGGAGGTGGTCGCGTGGGGATGTTGTCACCAAACGGCTGTTGAGCAAAGCCCGGGTGGGAAGCAGTCTACAATCACCAAACGCATTAGTAAACCAGTCATCTCCTCGTCTCGACAAGAGACGTTTTCGTAGCCAACAAACGTAAAAAACTCACCGTCGTCGCAACAACGTCCTCCATAGCACCGCCATTCTTTCTCTTCTCCCTCCACTCTGCCAGCCGAGCCTTGAGCTCCTCAGCCGTCTCGATCGTGATCTTCTTCCTCGTGTTCTGCGACTGGCCCGGGAGGGGGTTGCCCGTCGCGAGCCGCCTGTCCTCCTGCGCCTGGTAGAAGTTCTGGATCAGCCGGCTGCGGTGGCTCTCCAGCACCTCGGCCGGCACGCCCTCCATGCCGAAGATCTCCACGTCGAGGCCCTGGCGGTTGGGCAGCGCATTCTCGACCTGCTCGAGGGTTTCCTTGTGGACTTGGTTCAAGTGGACGGAGAGACCTGGAAGAGAATCATGCCTCGTCAGCAATGGTTCCAAACACCAAAAAGAGAAGCGAACGGCTATCGCCAGGAGCTTGAAACAAAGAAGATACTGGTAATCATGCAAAAGAGACAAATTTCGCGCGCCACAATGTCAAACGTACCTCCAGCTGTATTCAGTCGACGACCACATCGGTCGCATTTAAAGTGCTTCGCCTTCTGATGGGAGATGAGGAGCTTCAGATCTTCGAAATCACGTTCGCCTATTATCAAAAAAAGACATGTTAGCCCAGGATACAAACATCCCTTGAGTAAATTGACCAGCGGTCAAAGCCTGCACGTACAGTAATAGCACCACGGCCGGCCGAGGATCTCCTCGATGTCGGGGTGACCGCCACGCTTCTTTTTGCCCATTGTCGACCGACTTGACGTCCCGCACGCCTTTGAGGAGTGGAAGTCGAAAGAGTCGCAGGTTAGAGCCGTACCTTCTCGTCGTCTTGTGCGCTCGTCTGCGTTCGGCAGCCGTAGAATTGAGCAGGCGAGTTGAAGTGTCAAGGTCAAGACGCGCCTGGTAACGTTGAGTGGATGCCGCAGCATGGAGCTGAGCTATCCAGGTTTGCTCTCCACAGCCTAACCTATAGTCTCGGTGTGGGCCGAATCACACATCGAGTGCTCCAGGGGTTAAACTTCGGCCCAGTTCACCGAGAGATACTCGGTGAAACCTGCCTCCTCACCACCCTCTCCAGGAAGCTCATTACATGTGCGATACCTATGCACGAACCCAATCAAAGAAGATGTGTAATTGGATCTTGCGTTCCGGCTTTTTCTACCTAGATTACTACTGAAGAATCATAAATAGCGCCAAGTATTTAGCTTGTCAAAATTAAGCCGTTCTGTAGGTCCCGACCGACACAACCGCGGCTCCCATTCCCAAGAGTTATGATAAAATTGTCTATTTCTTGCGCCAGCAGTGAGTTCTGCTTATTCGTAAGCCCTCAATAAGACAAGGCCTGAAAAGAATCTGAGCTCCCAAAACGACGTGAAATTTCCAACTTTTTCAAGAAAAAAAAGAGATCAACTGCCCGAGAAGCAAATGAATGTAGGCAGGCAAAGGACACAGCATCACTATTGTAACCTCCAGTCCTAACTCCAGAACATAGCAGACATCTAATAGCAAGATTATGAAACAGTGAAGGGAACGAATGGTGTGGAGACAAGCATGCAGAAGGTGTAGTACCTCCTTATCGTAGCACCTCAAGCCCTGCCAGCGGCTTAGAAGTGAGTGGACGAGCCGGGTCGTGAGTTCAACTAATCCATCACAACTAAATGCGCTCGTGGCCACAGCAAAATAATACGCATAGTAATAGAGTTATACGGCAATGACAGGAAGCCGACATATGGCCGATGCAGGTAACCTTGTCACAACCAGTAATGTGACAGCGCGGGCGATCCAGATCGGTGAGTAGGTGTCATAGTTGACTTGGTGGGAAGAAGAATCACTGAGAGAGAAGAGAGCAGATGCTCAAGACAAGTAAAGGACAGCTTTATGGGATCAAAGCCAATCCATATATTACCCTCTGTCACTGATCTAAGTATCTTCTATGAAGAAACAATTCATTATTTCCAGGTTGCCGTATAAGGGGTATAGTCCATCCATGAGCTTTTTATCTCACATGGAGGGAGGCAACCCTAGTCGAAAGCAGCAGTACGTCTAAGCAGGTATCATCGCGAGACATGTAATCTCGGGATTGCCCCTTGATAATATTTCCAGGTAAGATAACAAGAATGAGCCATTAATCATATCCAAATTAATGCATGACTGTGCATAAGGTATGTGCGATGTAACATCATCCATTTGATGGTTACTGATGCACATGTTGTTGATGGTGGGGATGCTGAGTATGATGTGGGTGGTGCTGTTGCTGCTGCTGCAAATGCATATGGGGATTCTGATGATCAACCATCGTGTTGATCACCATCGGCCACTGAACTGCGATGTCTTGAGGGTTATGCTGGGCGCCAGACATAGAGGCAATCGAACCTCGCTGCCCAGAACCCGATACAGCAGCTGTATTTCCGAGGGTGAGCAAAGCGCCAGCTCCATACCGATCATCACTGTCTGCAATAGCTGCTGTCCAGTCTTGCCAAGCGTTTCCGCCAGCTCGCTGCCACATTAATTGTTCGGTGGTATTGACATGCTGCGCAGCTTGAGACGCAAACGCAATGAGAGGGTTGGCTTCGGCGCCGGGGGTTACTGATACAACGGAGGATGGTGCTGCGTGCTGTGAAGTCGCCGAGTAGTACATGGCCGTTTCATGGTCGTAGGGCTGTGCCGTGAGAGTGCCATCATGGTGAGAATGATTTGCGTAAGTAATGGGATATGAAGGGGGCCCGTTCATTTCTTGGGTATGGTCATGGTAGTAATGCTTCTCGCCTGTACCCTCAGGGTGCACCTGTTGTTGTTGTTGTTGTTGTTGTTGGGCGATCTGATGCGGGGAAGCTCGATGTTGAAGCGAGTGCTGATGTTGCTGCTGTTGCTGCTGCTGCTGCTGCTGATGTTGATGATGAACCTGCTGTGGTGCGGGAGCATTTGTGGGTGCGGTTGCTGGCCTAGCGTCAACAGGGCCGTGGGCTTGAACGTGGGCAATGGAAACGTCCGCGGGTGCCTGATCCGACTTGAGTCGAACAGCTGGCGCATTGTGGCTCTGAGCGCTTTGAATTTGAATATGCTGCGGAGCCTGAACGCCGTGGTGAACCGACTCCTGCTTGATGACAGGTGGCGGCGGCGGACGTGCGGTTTCATTCTCGATCCAAATAATTGTTCGCTCTATGATGCTGCCGATCTGATTCAGTATGCCTGGGCCAGATCCCATCAGTTGGCTCAGCTCACGGAGCACCCCCATCCAGTCTTCCATCTCTTGACGAAGGGTAGCGATCTCATCCGGTGTCGTCTCCTTTCGCCGAGTCCAGTATGATACAAGCAGTGAAAAAGCAGCCATGGTGTAGATCGACATTTGTGTCCACGTCGTGTCGAGGGATTTGAGCTCTGAAACATATTTTACCGTTCGTAGTAACTCTCTGGCTGTTTCTTCGCAGATTTTGGTATTCTGAGCCATTGTCTCCTGGTCTGTTATGGGGCTCGTAGATGTATGCCGCAGGGAGAGCCGCACCTCTAGGCAGTAGCCCTTCAGGTACAATGCACCCAAGTTGTGTTGTTGGGGAGCTTGCTCCAGGTCCAGGCGCAAATCCGCAGGCAGTTCGCTCTCCCACTTGTCCAGCTCCTTCTCCAACGCAGCTACGATCGTGCCATAGCTCTGGGTATCCCTCCGGACGCTGTAGATGTTGGAGTACATCTCCATCATGATTGGAATCAGCTTGAACGTAGCCAAGCCAACCTGCCAGTTACACGGCGTGGACTGTGTCCTATCGACACCAGTTTCTGTAAGTTGCTCGTCGTTCAGGGGCTCGGGAAACGCTGTATCGAACTCTTCCACAGTGATGGGCATAGGCCGGCCTCGTCGCCCAGTCACAGCAACGTAAATGGTGATCAAGACCCACCAAATACGCTTCCGTAGTTCAATTCCCAAGTTCGTCCCCGTCTCCGGAATCTTGGGATTCCGATGGTATTCCAGATCAATGGCTCGCTGGAAAGCCAGATTGGTAATCAACAAACCGCATCCCGGCTTCGGGAAAGAACGCGTATGAGCCGCAAGCAAGGTCATGGCCTGGAGGGCAGCGATGTCGCGCGAGGCATATAGCTCATAAAACTTGCTAATAGCAAAGTGGTAATGTTTGTTGGACGTAGCATTAAGATGCGCGCTCTGCTCAGCCTCTTGCCAGTTCCGTACACCGTACTGATAAAAGATGATGGCGAATACCATGTGGACTTGTACCAGCTCGGCGGTTGTAGGTTTGAAATCAGGTTCGTCATAGACCCGCTCGAGCTGGACAAGAAGTTGTCAGTAAATTCCGGGATTGCGGGTATGGAAGGCTTGTTCTGAGCAAAAGGGTAAAATAGGAAACAACGTACCAGTCTCATAAAGGTGGGTTTGTGCAAAATAGGAATGTAGGACGCCATGAACATGAAATAGTACTGGGTATAGGTGAAGGCCTCTTCTCTTGGTGGGAGGCTGATTTCAACTGGAGGGTTGAGACCTGAAGCCGACTGCAGAAATGCTTGGACGGACTTGTTGTAGAGTGGCGTGGTGAGATTCGAATCTGAAGGAGGTTCGTCCATGTCAGGGGCGTCAAAAGACGCCGTGTCAATAGTTGTCCCCATAATCGTTAACGTGGTGCCGTTAATGGAACTAAGCGGTCGACTATCCCATCCCACCCCCAACCACGTCTCCTCGGGGCGTGACTCAAGACGGCTGCGAGGAAAATTCGGGACTAACAAGGGTTTGGAGGGAGCATCCTTCGAGTCGGAGGGCTTCACCCACAACGATCCAAGTTTATCCCACCCATCTTCAAGCGGAACCGAAACCTTCATAGGGTTAGTAATAGGCTGATCTGCACCGTCCGGTGCTGGGCCTGTCTCTGATTGCACGGTGGCAGCGAACGGCCAGACTTCAACGCCCTTTTCGGCAATCAACTGCTCTAGTTCGCGAATGTGAGCCAGCATGCTGTCGTTTTCTCTTTCTAGATCCCTGAGATAACCTCGTCGTTCGGTACGGCCGGAGACACGGTCGGTTACAAAGCATTTGATAGCCTGTGAGGCGCAAGAGGAGCAGCCGTCTGGAAGTGCATCGCAGCGTATCTTTCGGACCTATGCGCCATATGTAATTAGCATCTTATCGATATCGTCTATCCAGAGTCTAGGCATGCCAAGCTAACACGCAGACAGAGGAAACACTGCCTTGCATTGGATTGCAGCTCGGGAAGTTTACGTAGTGTGGGAAGTATCCATACCTTGCATCTGTCGCAGGCCTGGCCAGTCCGTGTATATGTCGACATCCTGGTCTTAACTTTAGCCGAATAGTCCTCCTGGGCTCGATCTCCACGTGCCAGTTTCTTCGGCCCAGAAGCTGAGGGAGCTGTTGCGGTCTTTATTGGGCCTTTTGATCTATCATTCTCGTCATCACCCTCTACAGCAGGACGCTTCACATTGCCCGCGTTGCCGCTCGCAGGGCTAGGCATCGTGGCGTGAACGGCACGCCGTTGCCGTGCCCGTTCCTCTGGTGGTGGCTGAGAATGTTGCTGAGGACGTAGCTGGACAGTTATTTGGGCTGGTATTCGAGGAGAGGTTTGGTCAGGCAGTTGGGCAGGTGGCTGAGCAGCTAGGTGAGGGGCTGGATGAGGATTGTTTGGAAAGCAGGCAAAGCCAGCAGTTGGAACAAACGGCCGATCTACCGGAGGCGCAAGTTCAGGGATCCGGTTAGGGTCTATATTTGAATCAACTGGCGGCGTGTGATTGTGTACCGGCTGCAACGAGGGGGAGTTGGACAGGGATGGAACGCGGACGTCAGCCTGTCCTCGGAGGGTAGAGACTGGCTGCGGCGTGATGACGCTGTTGTCGAGGGATTGAGATTGATTGAAGTATCCGGATGTCGATGGAACAGGAGACAGGGGAGATTGGGGGTCGATGCGATGAGGCGGCCGACAGTGTGATGGCCGATATTGTCTCTGCAGCTCTGCACGTCTCGCCCACGGGCCTCTCTCGGGCGAATTTCTAACGGTCGCAGCGCGCCTCGGGGGCTGGCGAGAAGGGGAGGGCAGCTGGGGAGGCCCTGCGGTTGGGTCGGGTAGCGTGCATGAGCGTGAGCTGTCGGCAGTCAATTGCGGCGCATCGGGGACGAAGGTGTGTCGGTCGTGGTCCTCCAGGCGATGGGGATCGACGCAAAAGTCGGAGGGAAGATTGGAGTTGGCGACGGTAGCCAGTGCCGGGTGCCCCCCTAGGCATAGACCGGGGGAGTGAGCCATGCGCGGATTGGATTGGCGAGGGTGACAGGGCAGTCCACTACCGAGTCCCTCCACCCAAAACCGCGGGTCCCACTGGAGCTGCACTGCGCTGTGCTCTGAACTGCTGCAGAGCCTACCGACGGTTTGGGTTACAGGGGTTGATCGGCGGGGACCTTGCAGCACACAGCAGCACGCAACGATGGGTCTGGCAGTCGAGGCAAGGTTCACCGCAGCGTAGCGCGCAGCGTAGTGCAGCATTGGGTGGTGACAGTGGTGTGATGCGCCGGTGGCTCCTCAACACCTACCTGCTTGGGTAAGGTACCGACAGCGCGCTGGCCTGGCTCTGGTTAGCAGGTGGGCACCAGCGACAACTGTCACAGCGGTAGTGGAGGGGCCAAGCTAGGCCAAGGGCCCGTGCTGGCCTGGGGTTGGTGGGCTGGGCTGGGCTGGGCTGGACTGGGCTTACCTGGGTGAAGGGCCTGGGTCAGTCTCCGTGGCGACGCAGCGAATCGGATCTCGCTGAGATCTATCGGATCTGGTGGGGTGGCGTCGTAATTCGGTGCAATTTGATATTGAAAAGGCCTACCTCGCAGTTGGTCAGCTCAATTCAGGAATGGGCTGTCGTGAACGGACCTAGGATGAGACACGGCGATATGCGACAGAGCCTTGGGGAAGTGCCGTCGACTGTCCTATTTTATACCTGCTCGGTACGAAAGGTCGCAGAAAAGTCCAAAGCCCACTCCAGTTGTCATCAGATACAAAAGAGTTTCAGATGATGGGCCCGTGGATAGCGAGCTGAAGGTGAGTCGAGACATACCGGATGCTGGCCCCGAGGTTTACATGTTGCTTTACCGTCAGAAAGTCTGGCCTGCGCCTACTTACATGTATCTATACCCAGCCGTCTATCGCCTAACGCTTTCATTTCGCAGGCGCTCGTCGGCAGAATTTCGTCCGACTTTGGCTGCAGGTGGCTTCCTCGACGATGCGCCATGTGCCCTTCGACCTTGGAAAATCAGGCCTTGGCTGTGCCGGACCAAGACATGGCGCGCGTCAGATCTCGTGTCAGCCCGCCAAACTCCGGATATAATCGATGCCTACCTAGGCTCCATCATCTTGCACCTCAGACTCTGCTCACTGCCCAAGTCTTGAGACAAGGCCACGTCAGGTGTTGTGATGAGGAATCTGCTCTTCGACTGCCGCTCAAGAGGGGGAAAAAATATATCCGGCGTCGATACTCTTGCTGTAAAATGTCTTGCTGGTTAGCCAAGTCACCTATGGATTACTTACTTGTCTCTTCGAACACCAGTCAGAGACACCATAGGGGCTGTACAGATCCATTCCATGCGTGGCTTATGCACGGTAATACAGTCAATTCTCCGGTCTCGGGCTACTAACGGGGAGACACCAAAACCGTCGCCTGCCGGACAAAGGAAGGATTTTCACCTCGACTTCAACATTCTCGACGGCCAGGCGTATTCGGCTTGAGGCTTTGATCATCTGCGGGTGCGTTTCTTGGTAATCTTGCTGCAGGACTCCGCTGAATTGTTGGTTCAAATTAAACTTGTCTATCAGCGAGCAAAAACCATCATGCCTCGATAGATTCTTCAATTGTTCAATGATCTCTCGAGAGGCGCAAATGAGATGAGTCCATCCCTTCTCAGTCGAGCGAGACGGTGTGTCCACGATGTTCCAAAGAGAGGTCGGAAGAGGCTCGGAAGGGGAGGGTGCGACAAGATCCAGACCAACACCAACACCGCCCCCAACGGCACACCCCTAACAGCTTAGATGGCGAATGGCGCCATCCAAGGGTTTTACTCTCTTTTCAAAGCGATCCGGTTGGCGGCGAGGGTAAGATGAGTGCGAGCAATTTCCACCAGGCCAAGTCCAAGGTGCGAAATGTCATGGTGGGAATTTTGCTGCCCAGGAGAGGAAAGAGCTCTGGAGAGAAGGAGCCCGGGAGCCCAAGCAAAGACTTCACCGACCAGCCAGACCATTGGCCCAAGCGCGATGTGACATGCAGAGGCAATTGGGAAGGATCTGCCACAGGTCGGCGTGTGTTATTCTCTCGCCTTGGTACAAAAGTCCAAAATCAGACGATCGTCTTGCGCATCGCAAGAGCAGGGACCAACAATAAGTACTTCAGCCCCCCGGCGACTCCGAAATGACACGAGAGCTTGTTTGGCGGGGTTTCCATGATCAGGATAAAGGTGGTATCGGAAGCAATATATTACGTCTTTTATACTGTTATCCCCGTTTGGATCAATATTCCGATATATTAATTGTACCTGCCACGATGGTTGGCGAGCCCATGCAACAGTACAGTGTGAATTGCACGCACGTGCTTATTGTCACTGTCCCCGCCATTGTCGTTTCCCCGCGATCGTAGTTTTCAGCATCACCAACATCAAAGCAAGCTCCCAAGCACACCCAGTCCCAGATCTACAGTGCTCGCCTCGCATCTCTCACCATGGCTCTCGAAACAGTGGCTCTCGACCATCTTCCTGCGTCGCAAACCGTCCACATCGCATACTTCCGCAATGTGCGCAACGCTGCCTTCCTCCACAGCCAGCTCCTAGCTCGCAATCCCGATTTCGAATATGGCTTCGTCGATGCCTCCATCGTACGCCCTCCTCCAAGTCGAACTAGCTTCCACATATTTCCCCCTAGATCCTGACCTCTCATTAGATTGTCTCCCGACTTCACCTTCTCTCCGCCGTCTTCCGAGCCGCGACCACAGCATCAACCAACTCCCTGATTACGCCCAACGTCCACTCCGAGATCATCATTTCATTAAGCCCCTCAAACAACGTAAGGACCCCTCAGCATAACCACGCACCTGCCCTACATTCCTGGACTGACAAGCCCCAACCCACAGATCTCTGAGGCATACCGCCGCTACGGAATATCCCCCTCGACCAAAGACCTCCTCGTTGTCAAGATCAGCGGCCCCGGAGGCCCCTCCCACGACGACATCGCAAAGCACCTAAACCAGCACGTCGAGGGCGACCAGCTCCCCGTCACCGACGAGAACATCGCCCCGGCCACCGACAACTCCAAGGTGGCCAAGTACTACAAGCTGAACGGGCTCAGCTGGCTCGACGCTATCAAAGACCAGCCGCAGAAGCGCAAAGAGGTGGAAACTCTCGTGGTGGGCACATTAGCTGTACGGGGTATTTAAAAGACAAAAATACGAGCACCGAAAAAAGAAAATCAAACCAAGGAAGAAGAGAATATTAGAATGAAAGTCTTCAAATTCTTCTAAGTTACTCTATGACAATCCCACAGGGTGTGAGAAAAAAAGGCCAGGTCATGCCGTAAGTCGTTCCTTCACCCGTCGCAAATCTTCATGCTCGTAAAATTCCAATCTAATCATCGTCCCTAAACTCCAGTCGCTTTCAAACAATACCCATGACCAGGCTGGGTCTTCCAGCCAACCATGATTTAAACTCCTATTCTCCCCTTGTCTCGTTTTAGTGGCTCTTTTACCACCTTCGGTTTTTGTCTTGGTTTTTTTTTTTTTATCATTTGTCTTCTTGTGGTGTTTATTACACAAGACCAACAACTGCCTTGCATCTTCGGACGAGCTCGCCAAACATGGCATCGCGAGTGCTCCTTGTTCGCTGAACAGCGTCCTTGTTCTCCTGAGCACGTCGAAGAAGGTACTTCATGCATTCGCCAATGGAACCCCACACGAGGTACTTGTAGACAGGGAGCTGGACAGAAGCACCAACGGAGGCACCTGGGGACTTGGAATCGACAATCTCGCAGCTGACCTCGTCGGCCATGCCCTGGAGCTGGGCGCAGGAGATGTACGACTTGGCACGACCAGCATCAGCGATGGCGCGGGCCTGGCGGACGGAGTCGGCGTTGTGGGTAGCAAGGACCATTGCTGTGTTGGGGTAAACACCCTCGCCTTTGACGGCGCTGGTCCACTGGCGGGTCAGAACACTCTCAGCGATGGCATCGAAGCAGGCATCAGTGTCTGCCTTGGTGTCGTGGAGAAGGTGGCGGGGGTCCGATCCAAGGTAGGCGCCACGAACCAGCTTCACACCAAGAGTCCATCCTTCTTTCTGAGCAATGGCCAGGTGCTCCGAGATGATCTGGGGGCAGTTCTTCTTGTACGCCTGATATGTTCCGTAGATGACAGCGTCGTGAGCCTCGGTATTGTACTTGCGGGCATACTCAATGGTCCAGTCATCGATACCAAGTTGGAGAGCATCCTGCTCTGCGTCGAACAGAAGACGAACACCACGTTCACGGGCGAGCTTGCAGATGGAGTCGATCGAGTTGGCCAGGTAGGGAGAAGCGGGGAGACGGTTCTGAAGCTGGTAAAGAGCCAGGCTTCCGGCACCAGTGAACCTATCATATGTATGTTAGTCACATTTTTTCCCCCATACTAGTGATCAAAATTAAACCTACTTGAGAGCAACGTAATCGCCGGGTGAGGCAAGGCGGACGGTCTCGAGAGTTCCCTCAGCCCAGGGCTTGATCTCGTTCTCGATGTTGTGCGTCGTCTCCTGGCCCTTGGCACCGCTGAGGCTCTTGATCTGGTCCTCAGAGAGGACGACCTCCTTGGCGTAGCACAGAATCACACCGTTGAAACCGATATCCTTGAGACCCTTGATCGTCTGGCGAACCTCGGAAGGCTTCTCGCCGGCGCAGAACTGAGCATAGAAGGTGTACTTCATGAACAAGCCAAGCAGGGGGTTACGGTCAGGGTTGAGGATGGGGTTTGTCGAGTGGGCGAGCATGGCCATGATACGCAGAGAAGGAGGGAGCAGCATGTGAGAAGAGGAGATGGTGTTGGTGATGAGGGAGCGGATGATGTTGGTCAGGGGGAGGATGGAGAGCGGCGCGGCGCGAGGCGGTGATTCACCAGCCGGGGGCAGCAGGGTCTCAACGGCGGGCTCGATCATGCTCGTGGCCGGGCGCTTCTCAGAGGAGGAGATGGCTCGTCGCGAGGCGGGAGTCTTAGTAGAGTATGTGAAGACGGAGTTGGTGGCAGAGACGGAGGCGATGGTTAATGCCTGGCCCATGCGGGACACGGGCAGGCGAAGGCCTCGCCCAGCAGCGTTGAGTGCCATCGAACTGTTTCAACTTGTATGACGCGGTTGTTTGATTCTATGAGATATAGGTTGGAGTTATTGATTAGGGAAGGCTGAGGAGATAGGCGGGAGGGTTATTTATGGGTGCGCCACCAGAGATAAGGTGTGACGATCAGGATGGTGTCGTAGGTGAGAGGCAGGTGAGAGTTAGATAAGGGAAGAATAAGTTTCAGAACACTAGGTGTGGCGACTAGCCCCAGATATTGCACGCGTCCAGACAAGAGGAACTATCACAATGCGATGAGACGACCAAGCAGAGAACAAAAGAACAAGCCTCGTTGTTCCAGCCCAGCCGGGCCTACAAATACCTATGAGTGTGGTGGCCGTGGACAGCCGCTGGGGGTTCGTCGCCCCTCGTTCCCCATCTTTCCTTCCCCGTGGCGTCCGTCGTAAACTCCGTTGCCGGTAGCTGGACGACGCTATCGTGAGCTCTCAACCTGGCCAAAGCACGCCCGCCTGTCTGGCTTCTGGCATGAGGCGCTGGCTGGAAGGCTGCGGCCAGCATGCTCCAGGGCTCGTCCCCCCACTGTGATCCGCGGCAGGCCGTGCCCAGGGCTGCAGCCACCGAAACGCAGGCCTAAACAGGCAATGGCGACTCAGACTAGGCTTATCATGGCGTCACGTGGGTGCTCCGCTGCTAGTCCAAGCCGAAGGAAGCCGCATCCGTGACCGGCGCAACTCATAAGCTCGAGCCAGGGCCTGGGGTGCGAGACTGTGCAGACGCACAAGGAGCTGCTAATTGGGACGCCCCATTGGCGAATGGCTCCTCCTTTGGTCGCTGATGAGGCTCCTTGCCTGTCGTCTGTCTCCTGCGCTTCCTAGTGGATCGCGTGTGACCGATCTGGCTCCACCCGATATTTGCTGCAAATGGGTCCCCCACGGCAGGTATTAACGTAAGAAAAACCGACCGAAGAGACTAGAATTTGAAATCAATCTCGGCTTACAGACTTTAAGCCGACCACGCCTGGTGTCACAAGAAATCGTGATTCCCCTCTTCTCTCCTCGTGGCAGCATGGCTATGTTGGTGAGTAGCAGACTCCGAGTCGCCTAAGATAACTCAGGCAAGTGGGTTAGGTGATATGGGCAGTCCCCGATAACGGTACCGACACCATCAGCAATGCCGCCAACCACACGCCTCTTGTCTCACCTGCACAATCAGTACCCCGGCCAATGCATCCAAAGGATCAGCTCATGCATGGTATGCGTAAACTCGATGCTGGCCGATAGCGAGAGGAATGTCCCTCCATCACTCCCTCCATCATCGAACATGAGCGCTGCCCCCCACCAGACAGAGCAGCACTGCACTTGTTGGTTGGCCCCGCAGATCAAGACGTAATTCTGTATCAGATCGATTGTTGCTTGAATGTGTTGTACAGACTATGATTAGGTCATGACGCTATCACAGACAAAGTTCGGGATTAGCTGGCCACGACGGCCCACGAGATAGGCCCCAGCCGCGCCAGAGCCCAAGAGGCAAAGACAAGGTTCTGCATCGTGTGGGGAGTGCATGCCGGCCCCAAATTGCCGCTAGTCACCCGACGTGGTCCCTTCGGATATCCAAGGCTTTTCTGGTTTTTTTCTTTTTGCTTTATTAATAACAAGGCGCTATTGCGCATCGCGATCATCCAACGCAGACGTAGTGGAACCCCTGCCCAGCCGACGTCGGACAAAATCTACGTAGCCTATCGGCCTGCCTCGGGCCAGCCCAAGCAGATCTTGAATGCCTCCATACACTATGCCAAATAGAAGCCCGGACTTTGCTGTCCGTGCTGCTGTGCTAACGGAGAATCGGTCTAAGAGCTCGGCCGGGAGCGTTAGCTTATCGTTGTGCCTGGCCCATTTATGATTGGGTTAAAGGAAGGGGGAGTTAAAAAAAAATTAAGATGAAGGATGCTGGTATCACGATCCATGAATCATTGGGTTATGCCAAGCAAAGGAGGGTTGCGTGTAGTGGTGGGCACTTCAGGATACAGGGCGGCCCTGTTTCACCAAGGCACGACGATCAATGTGTGCATAAGTCATGGAAATCAAACGTACGCCATATTGAGAATGCTCCCGCTACCGTCAAGGATGCAATGATTGTCGAGAACATGTCGGTGGCCCCACGACATCGGTCAACCGTGCTCTCCAATGACAGCGCCATGCAGCTCCAGAAACCAGTCCGGGCTGCCATCTTGAAACCTTCGCGAATTCCCCCTTGCATCGCGTGATAGTTCTTGGTTTTATGATAGAGATACCATCCGGCTGTGGAGTCGGGCATTTTGTGAGCATGTTCAGCGCGAAATCGCAGTTGTGCGGTGTTGCCCCCCTGGGTGGCGCCCAGGGAAAAGCCGATGAGGGCCGAGACAACAGAGCCTGCGGTGATGCGGGTAGGCGACACGAGAGAGAGGCGGGGATGCGAATCGTGGGGGAAGTTGGCCGGCGGTAGCGAGGACGAGGACGAGGAGCTGGAGGGCGCTGCCACGTATGGCCGGCTCGCACCGGCAGGATTCAGCAGACTGGCATTGGCCGGGTCCATTGCGAAAATGGAGTTGGTTGTGAGGGTGCGCAAGCGCCTTTGCTGTGGTGCAGATTTTCTGGTTGGGATTCGGGATTTACATGCCACCACATGATGCGACTGGAGTTGGCCCGCCTTCAATTTACACGACGGCACGTGACCTCGCGCAGCTCCTCCATCTCCAAATGTGCTCCTCGTCGCGTGTCTGCCCCACCAAGAGCTAAATTCACTGCGGCCTACCACCAGACCAGACGAAATACCACCCGTCGCATCCCCCTCAGCTCCACAGTGTTAATTCCGACAGAGAAGAAGACATCCGAGGCAACGTGAGTCCAGCCCAGCCGAAGGGTCTACGCCCCTCACCGCATCCATTCTTCGGTTGCTGACCCCGCGCAGATGGAGATCACTGATGGGCACATTTCTGTTCGGTTCAAGCATGGAGTCCACACCATCTACCTGTTCGTGGATACCCTAGAGCCCATTCAAAACGTCGGCGAAGAGCTTCGATCCCTGTTGCGTGAACGATACCCCGACGGCCTCACCACATCCATCGAGCAAGCCAAGACGACGCCGGTGCCGAGCGAGGACGAAGATTTTACCATGGCATATGCCGTCCTTGCGGTCCCCAACGATCCAACTAGAGGCTGGAAGAGACTAAAGTTCGGTGATGAGTCTACGCCAGCTGGCAAGGCCGGCCTGAAAGACAATGGCATCGTCGCATTCACCTTTCTTCAGTCCGAAGACGACGAGGCAGTGTTCGATGTAGAGTGGCCAGGCGAGGAGGAGGAGTTGTATGAATAAGCGCCGCGCAATCACAGCCAGATCCTATCACCTTACATGTGGTATGAGCCAGGTAGGCTCGCCTGGGTCTTCACACTCCTCACGAGTCGCTATCGTATTCCAAGTCCAACGAAACAACTCAAAGCTCCCGCCATTTTGCTCTGGACATGATCAGGGCATTTATATCAAGATGCATTAGCTTGTCCGGTTCAAACCATGCAATCAAAACAGAATATTACCGGAATGGCGATGACTCTGTATGGGAATCTGGCTGGCTTTTCACCTTGTATGGGTTTCTTTAGATGTGGCGCTATGTTCAAACCCCATGATGATACGTACTAGACGGGTCAAACAAATAATGAATAATAGACATTTTTACGACATTCTCTTTCGCCTCACTAAGGATCCTTTGGTAAAACGTTTCGTCTTCTTCGGTGAACATATTCACAGCAGCTAAGGTAGATGGAAGAGAATGTAGTTTGGGCAATGTGTTTACGTACCTTAGGTAGGTATGTGTGATGCGTGTAGCTCAATGCGGCAGCCATCAGACAACTTATTCCAAGGCCCCATTATTTAAACAAACAGCCGGGTTTTCTCGAACCACCACAACCCTGAAAATATGCTTTTTGGGGCCACCAAACCATCAACGCGGGTGCATGTTGTCGGATGACTAAGCATCCCCATCGCGAACGGAAATATTAGCACTTTGGGAGGAAGATGCGACCTCCTAAACGGTGGAAGATGACAGTTGGCACGCACCAGTTCTGCATAATTTAGACACAGCCGTCGGGACAATCAGACTTCCTCGCGACTATTGCTACCCAATCACTTATGCGGTGAGCAAGCAGCCTGATTTTCCTGTCTCCTCGATGGCCGTCACAGGCGCGCTGCGAAAGAGCCTTGGCCTCCTCGTGCCTTTGGCCATAGCATGCACCGTCTACCTCTACCTCTTCCCTTTTTTCTCAGGATGTGCCTTCCCTCTGCCCTCAAGGGACTCCGATGAGGCCTTTGAACAGACCAAGGGTCTGCATTGGCCGTACGCGCAACCAGACCAGCAAGCCAACGCCACGACAAAACTAGCACCGTTCCGACTGCTCACAATCGGAGACCCTCAACTCGAAGGCGACACCTCGATCCCGGTGAAGGTCTACGGGTTCTTCCCACACGTCAAGGAAATATACAAGCGTGTCACGTTCCAGACATGGCACTCGACGCTACGAGACCGCTTACGGATGATCCTCCACGATCTCGTCGATCTCTACTTCGAAGATATCCCAAACCTCATCGAGTCAGGGCGAAAAGTATTTGACCTCTTCGGCAACGACTTCTACCTTGCGCATATCTACCGCACCGTCCACTGGTGGACCAAGCCAACCCATGTCACCGTTCTTGGCGACTTGCTTGGCAGCCAGTGGATCGACGACAACGAGTTCGAGCAACGAGGCGACCGGTTCTGGAACAGGGCCTTCAAGGGTGGCCAGCGACTGCCTGACGAGATAGCACAGTGGCCGAACCGCGAGTACAACATCTCCGGTCGCCTCGATGGCTCCCCGGAGCAGGACGTATGGATCAACAGGATTCTCAACGTTGCCGGCAACCATGATATTGGGTATGCCGGCGACTTAACCGAGGAGCGCATGGAGCGGTTCCAGAGGGTGTTTGGAAAAGCAAACTACGAACTGCGATTTGAGCTGCCGATCACGGACCCGAAATACACTTCCACCGTCTACGATTCAGAAAAGAACCCCGATGCGCTGCGTATCGCCCCTGAGATCCGAATCATTGTCATCAACGACATGAACCTGGACACCCCAGCCAAGAGCAAGCCGCTCCAGGACCAGACCTACGAGTTCATCAACGCGGTGATTACAAGCTCGCACGCGGTGGAGTTCGAGGGTCATTTCACCCTGGTGTTGACGCACATCCCCATGTACAAGCCTGCTGGCGTTTGTGTGGACGCGCCCTTCTTCGACTTCCACTCTGATGGTGACGGCATCAAGGAGCAGTACCTCCTCAGCGAGGACGCCAGCAAGGGCTTCTGGGAGGGCATCTTTGGCGTCAGCGGCAACCCCATGGCCGCTGGAAAGGGTCGCGGCCGACCTGGGCTGATCCTCAATGGACACGATCACGAGGGCTGCGACACGTACCATTACATCAACCAGACCAACGGCACAAGCGCCAAGGATCGATCATGGGAGATAAAGCGCTGGCACGAGGCCAAAAAGCTCAACATTGTCGGCCAGGAGGGCATTCCTGGCCGCCGGGAACTCACCGTCCGCAGCATGATGGGTGACTTTGGCGGCAACACCGGCCTGCTCAGCATGTGGTTCAACCCCGAAACCTGGGAGTGGGAATACGAATTCGCCCAGTGCCCACTTGGCAGGCAGCACCTCTGGTGGTTCGTGCACATCCTGGACTTTGGCGTCGTTTTCCTCATCCTGGTGTACGGCCTCGTCTCGATCCTCCAGGCTGCCGGCGTAGATGTGGACGGCAATCTCGGCTCCTTCTCGCGGTGGCTTAGCAGCGTCGTAAGCGAGCTGGCGTACGGGGAGCCATCCTCTGCCGCCCCCAACAGCAAGTTGAAGGGCAAGTTATGAAGAGAAGGGACGGAACTGGAGTTGTATAACTGTGATTATTATCCCAATTGCATAATAGCATAATGCCTCAGCGATCTATCATTTAATTTTGAATTATTTTCTATTTGGACAGACATACATATTACACATACAATATAGAACATTGTTATCACCTCAATTTACTGTCCGGAAGGTTTGGCTGTAATTCGTAATCGTTACCCTATATCAACATCACTCTAAAGACCAAAAAGCCCTGTGATGCCAGGATCATGGAAATAGTGTTGCAATCAATGGATATTACGAGAATGTCACATCCCATTCCTTAAGAGTATTCTGGTTTACTTTATGGAATATATTTCTCTACTTTGTCGGGGTACAAAAGAGACAACAACGCGTCAACGCCAAAACATGAAGCGAGACATGAATCTGCCATCGTGTGATTTGTAACGTCTTATCCGCGTAAATCGTCGCTTACAAAGAGTGACTTGCTGCCGCCAGTGGCCCTCGCGGCTTGTTTGCCTGAGCAGATGACGACGGCACGGAAAGAACTGAAACAGCCCCGTAACATTATGTCATGAGCCAACCAGGAGACTTCAAGATATTGTCTTAGTTGCGAGAGAGCTTCCCTGATTTCAGCGACGGGATGCCTGTTTGCCAATGTGAACAAACCTGACGATGGTGCTGATTCTGTTTGGTGCTTGCTCGCCACTTGAGGCGTCTTGGATGGACTGAACTCCTGGTTGGGTGAAAGCAGCGAGCGCAGCTTCTCTGTGCTTGTGGCAGGGAGAGAGCTGAGGCCCTCATCAGGGAAGCAGATCCCCTTCGTCTTGGATTGGATTGGCTGACAGCCCAGCTCAACGCTTCAACTGAACCGACAGTACGACTTGATATGAGATGTACGCGTCGTCTATGGGAGTCGGAAGCATTGCCCAGGTTGAATAATATAAGACCATTGTCGCCCCTTCTTGAGGCTGCTGTTTTCAGCGATCAATAATGGCCATCCCTCGCTCCAGCTCATATAATTCTTTTCGCCCTGGCTAGGCAAACAAACACATACCCTCCAACAACTTCACATCTGGCCACAATGAAGTTCATCCAGGCGTTGCTCTTGGGCTTCTTGCCCCAAAGCCTTGCCTTCGCTTATGGCGGAGGATTGCCCGGGTTTGGGAAGAGACGTGTTCGAGTGCAGACCCGGCCTTGCGTGCAAGGCTGTGGGTGTATTTCTGACTTTGACACCGTGGACGAGTAAGTATGTTGAGAGACAAGAGGTGAAGAATGATTCGACTTACAGTTCGGACTTCAGATTCATAGACTGTATCAATGGAGTCCAAAGAGAAATGGACATGCGACTGGCTCGAGATAGCTCAGTGTCTATCACAAGTCCACAAACCACGCCAACGTCCACCAAGACGAATAATTGCAACGACAAAGGAGGTCCCTGCGACTGCGATTACATCCAGGATAAAAACAGTGACGAGTGAGAGAACCCTCGAAGCATCTGGCCCGAAATGGAAAGCTAGCTAACAAGCTCATCAGATACAGGCAATGTCTCAGCAATCCCGACTGCGAGCGCTGCTATTTCACGGCGACCTGGACACCAACAACTACACCGATCACCACTAAGAGCTCGTCCATCTCCCTGATCTCGATTACTATATCAATGCCCCTTCCCACGACGCCAATACAATCATCTTCATCGTCATCGTCAACGACTTCGTCCTCCACGTCCCAGACAACCACTGGCGCCCCTCGACTGCCCGATAACTGCTATATCGGCGGCCCCTGCGACTGCAGCTTGATCGCGGACAAGAAAAGCCCAGAGTAAATTCCCCCTCTCGCTATTAGCCCTAGAATGGATGAAAGAACTGATACGTTGGCAGCTACATCCGCTGTATATCGAACCCGGCCTGTGAGCACTGCTTCCTCAACAACGGCACCTTGACCACACGGCCGAGCACGCTCATCACTCAACCAACAACCCTGGACCTCACGTCCATTTCTTCAACGGTGCAAGCAACGGCGTAGTAGCGGGTGGCGGTGGTAATTTGCTTTCGTAGTAGCTTGGACTGGATGCGTATCGTTTCCGACGCGTGGATATGGGAGGACGAGACATCTGGGAAGGTCTGACAATGGTAATATAGAGACACAGCCAGGCCTAGCACAGGTGATAGAGATTTCACCGCACACCATCATTCGGGATGACACCTGCCAGTCATCCATCTGTTGGAAAATAATCTTGCTTTTTGCTTTTTGTGGTCATCTCGCCTAGAACAACTTTTCGTGCCTCCCGCCGTGACATCGTACAGAGTGAGTGTTAATATACAATGATTTTTGCGGACAAGCATCCAAAAGCCCAAGTCGTACACATCCACCCCTTCTCTCGCCACCCCTCTTCGTGATGCTTGTCGAGTTCTATATGCCGAGTTTCCCTATGCCGACATTAAATAATAATAAAACGAACGAGATGGTAAAGACATGTGCCCTCTATGTATCAGAATTTTCAACATGCGCCGCCCCCCGTTCCTGACTCTCGTCGTTTGGTTTTCCCACATTATACAAGTAGTTGTGAAATAGTCGGTAGAAGTGGAGAGATTCGTGTCTCGACTGGGAAGGACATCCCAGTCAAGATGTATTTCGTTTGCCAGTCGGGTTTACTCCTTCTTGGGTTGTTCCTCAGGCTTCTTGCCCATGAACATGCCGCCGAAGGAGCCGAACATGCTATCCATCATCTCCTTCTGGGCCTTCTCCATGGCCTCCTTCTCCTCCTTCAGCCACTGCTCGCCGTTCTCCCGGATCTGTTTCTCGAGCTCCTCGTAGTTGCGCTGTCCCCGCTCACGCGCAATGTCCTGGAGCATCTTGCCCTGGGCGAACGCCTGGCTGGGGTTGATCTCGCCCTCGGGGCTCATCGAGAGGTGCTTGGCGTCGAGTCCTAATAGGCCACCCAGGGCTCCAAAGCCAGAGGGGACATGCTTCTTGTGTTTTTGGACGGCTTGTTGGGCCTCGAACTCTCTGCGGGCAATGGCCTCGCGGCGGGCGAACTCGGTGGGGATGTGCTTGCCGTCAAACGACTTGAGAATCTTGCGGACATCGGTGTATTGCATAGTGTGGATGTACTCGAGGAAGGGGATGAGACCAACTAGATCGGTATCGTTGGGGTCTCCCTTCCACGGCTTGAGGACAATGGCGTTCTCGGGCTGCTTACGGACGTACTTGGAGTCGGTGTCAATGATGATGACCTTGGACAAGTCACGATTGAGGTAAGAGAGATCCTATTTCTGGTTAGAAATCGCCAATTGATGCGACGAGAGACGGGTGTGTAATTTGACTAACCTTGACGATTTCTCCATTCTCAAACTTGGTCGCTTCACGCCACAGAGGCCACATGATGAATCGGAATGGGTCAAGCTTGCGGAGAACAGGCTCGCCCAGACCGAAGGGAGTGGTGGTGAAGAGAACCAATTCATAGTACTGGCTCAGGTAGCGGATAAAGTAGTCGAACCCAGGTCGCTTGGCAATGCGCCAACCGTGCTGTCGAGTCCATTCAGAGTGGATGAGCAGATCGTCGAGGCTCAGAACCAATGTGTATGGGCGCTCGAAGCTTGGGTCGGGATCGGGAAGAAGCTTGTCGAATTCGGGATCTTGGTAGTATGACATAGACTCGGAGAGACGAGCCCTGGCGCGTTGCCACCATAGAGTAGGAGAGATGCCATTAGGAATGTCGGGGTGGCGGTTGGCTTGGATTTCGTCTTCCCAGTCGCGGCCTTGGTAGAGCGCACTGGCGACGGAGCCACCTCCGGCTGTGAAGAGCAAGAATCGGGTCCACCATCGTCGGTTACGGTCGCTGGTAGATACGTAGGAGTCGCGCTGGCCACCGCCTCGCCTCTCATACTGTTCTTGGTCGACAGCCTGCAGGGCCGAGGTGACGGTATCCTGGGTGGAACCTCGCTTCTCATGTTCGAACGTCGAAGGAATGCCCTGGGTCAAGTCGGGCAGCTTGTGGAATGGAATTGGCTCTTCTTCGGCAGGAGTCTCGGGGGCTTTGCTGGACTCGGAGGGCGTGGCTTGTGAAGGCTCGGATTGAGAGGGCGTCGATTTGGAGTCGGCGGACTGGTCTGGTTTGCCACTTTGGTCGAGTGGGCTGTTATTTTTGTTCTGAGAGTAGGCTCGCAGCATTGGCGAGATGGCGAATGCAGGTCGCGCTCGGGCAATGAGCATGGCCCGTGTGGCAGCGAGGCGTAGGCCCGTGGCCTGAGCTAACCTGGGCAACATGGCGCCGGTGGTGATCTGGTGATGGTGGGAGAGGCTCGAAAGAGGAGAATTGAACCACATCCAAGGGAGCGAGCGGGAAAAGTTAAAATCGGAAGACAGACGGAGGGCTGTGTTGGATTATACAGACGGGGCAATCAAACACAGCATGGCCTGGTGTCGAGCTGCTGGGTGACGAAAGCGTTGCCGCCGTGTCGAGAAGAATTACAGTCTGCGAAGGTTTTCAATTTCATCCAACTTCGAGCTTGTTCTATTCCGCACAGGCCCGTCAGTTCATTCATTCAGCTCTGGCATCACTCTGGTCCCACCGGCGCATTACATAAGGCAATTGAGCCCACCTTGCGCCGGATGAACAGTTTCTCCGGCACAACCTCCACCAGCTCCCCCCCACTTTGCTGGCCGATGCTCACGTGCACCCCTGGCTTGCCGCTTGCTCGTCTCTGCCCCTCGTCCAGCCGAATCTCGGCGATGCATTGATTGGTCATAGCGGCGGGCTGCCAAGTGGTCTGTGTCCATGCCGTTCCATCATCCTGGTCCATCAGCTAAAACCCGTCCGAGATACGCAGCATCGAAATCCGACATCCAAACGCCTGGGGCATATCTCCGGTCGATTGCCTCCCGCTTCTCTTCATTTCTACGTTACCGTACAGAGAAGTCCACTAGTCCAAGATCGACTCGCGACAACCACGATGCCCGTCTGCGCTGCCGTTTAGCGGGTAGCTCTAGACTGACTGTCAAAAGTGTCTGCCACCTCGTCATGGAACCGCCCTTTACGTCGGAACTGTCTCACGAGACCACTTGGACCTCCACCCGATACTTCGCCGTTTCGTGAACTTGCGCATTGCATTGTCTCTTGTCTTCACCGTAGCGTGTTGGCTTGATAAGAGTCCTGAGCTAGCAACAATCTACGTCAAAAACGACACCCCAATATCTCGGAGAGAGCAGTTTCTGCTCTTCGAATACGACTACAACCATGCCTCGACGAGCAGCTCGGAATACGGTTATGGTGCGGCGGCCAACAACTGCACAGATACAGGCCATGACCGCATCTAAGAATGCAACCCCGCCCCGCGATATCGATGTCGAAGTCAGCGGTCTGGACATCGCCTCCCTCACACTCGATACTCCCTTGATCCCATTCGTACCTAAACGACGGGTTCCAAAGACGCCGTTTCATTTCCTCTCCCTCCCTGCCGAGGTTCGGATTTCAATCTACGCACACTTCTTTGATGACGACGAGAATGAGGAAGGCGACGTGCTCGATCTCGAACCAAGAAACTACCGACGTTTCCACAAGAAGCTGGCAATCATCCGCGTCTGCAGGCTGGTTCGCGAGGAAGCAACCCACTACTTTTACAGTACCCGAAGCTTCCGCATCTTCCCTATATTCCCTGGCCGATACTTCAAAACTAAGCGACCACTCCTCGCCCGCCTGAAGCCCCATCAACGAGCGTGCCTCACCTCGATTCAACTGCGTGTTGGCCCAGGCTGGGGTGCACCCCCGCGCGGGTGGGTAGTGAACGATGCTCTTGGATTGGCAGATTGCACCAACGTACGTACTATCTCGGTATTTGTCGAGAACGACCCGAGCGATAGTATTTATAATGGCTTCCGACGTGACGAAGGATTCTATGAAGACTTCTGCCGCAACCTTCTGAGCAAAATCTTGGAAAGCATGCCGGCAATCACCGCCATCCAATTTGATGGACACCCGAGCGTGAAGAAGACTGGTCATATGATGAAGGGGCTTCTTGACCTCGCTCATACTGCCGGCAAGTCTATACAATGGGGTCCTTTGAGAGGTTGGACCGATGCGGATGAGCAACCGGAGCTGCCTATGAAGAAGGCATCGTGGGAAGAGATGAAACATCGGCAACAGAATAACGAACTACACTCGGTCATGACTGAAGCACATACTTAGCCCGCTGGGTGTTAAACAACATGGCATCGGTTATGAAGCCTGGTAGAGTGCTTTTTTACACCTCGGCCAGGCGATTACATCCTGTCACTGGACTTCATTCAATGCACATGGCCACCAGTATTTACGAAACCCTTACGATGTATTTAAATGATTGACTTATTTATGAGTGCTAAATGCTTATTTCTTTTCCAACTTGTCCTCATTTGATAATGTGCTTATCAGTGAAAGTTTAGTTCTCCTCGTAGCAAGTCATTTCTTACCTTAGTGTCCCCTAGCTAGTTGGTGTCCCCTAGGACTTAAATAATCAAGGTAGGCTGGAGTACATTCTAGCCTTGGTGGATTTGAAAAGTATTGAAGGTGACAGACTATATCTAAAAATATGGCGCTAGAAATGCCCCCGAAGAGACAATGAATGAGGCGAGACGACTTCGGTTATGAGAACACTAATCTTGGAACGTGAAATCAGCTATTGTATAGTTAAAAGGACGAAGATCGCTATGAGAAGTTATAGATACGCGTCTCAGGTAGGTAAGCTGCGTTCCACATTTAGTATTTGACTCAAGAGCTTACAGATATCTATCTGCTGGTTGGATTATATTCCTGGAGGTCATTACTCCGGATGACATTTTGCGATGCTTGCCTTTTAGACTTAACTCTGAGAGACAACAGCTGTCTTTCTGACATGGGTGTTTCCAAGAACACCACTGTTACTCATTTCATCTCGGCAAATTGAGAGAGGACAACAATAGGAAGTGAGGCTTGGATGGGACATTTTAGTTGCCGACACCCTACTTCGGTCCTGGCTTACCCGTATCGACTTGCTAGCCAAATGAACAACTACTTGCTTTTCACTCCTTTGGCAAAAGAGGACTCACAAAAGCACTAAGACTAATGGAGGAACACTAGATTTCTCGCCCTAACGTCGGCGTGGCAATGAATGAAGACATGCTATGACAGAATGAAACCTCAGCTTATATGCGTCCCAATAACTCAACTTACAAAATCCCCGAAAAGGTTTAACGTAACATATCCAACTCGGACATGGTTAACCCTCGGGAATTCCTGAAAATCCTCTTGCCAGTAGCAATTTGTAAGTATTAATAACAGTTTATCTTGGCTCACTCATGGAATTTCGGGCCAGCTTCCTTTGTAGCCATCTCATTTTGCGGCGCTCGGAAGCAGCTCGCCGTGGCCCATTTTCGATAAATGTGGGCGAGAGAGTCATTAAAGAAGCAGGTTCCGATGACACCATAATATCACACCAATAAGCCCACGAACACTTTGCTGCCGTCTTGCGGGGGACCCCAGGATTAAACAGGCTAAATCTGCTATATAGCATTGGCACCAAGCTGCCATGTTGGACATGAGGGAGCTATCGTCAGACCTCAATTGAGCTATTGAAAAGTCACATGGGAGAAAAAATATATTTGCTCAATATTGCAGCCGGGGGCGTCGGATCAAGACACTGACAGTTCCGCCCCGGGAAAATAAAATCCGTATTGCTTCTAACTAGCTGGACTTCGTACTATAGCTTTAAGAACTATTTAAGCAGACATTAATGGTCAATTAATTCGTCATGAAGATTCTATACACAATTAACGAGAGCCAAGATGAAAAGAAACGTGGTAATTGTGTTTGCGGTAGCTCTGTGGCAAGGAGTAGCCGCCCAGGCTCCAGCATACGGCCAATGTAAGTATCATCATTCAGTGTATAAGAATGCTAAGCACTTGATATTAACTTGAGTAGGTGGTGGTAATAATTGGACTGGGCCAACAACCTGCGTAGCTGGCTACTACTGCCAGGTTCAGAATGAATGTAAGTTGAATGTTCAGCCTTGGATAGAGACAGCAGATGCTAAATGAGCAGGGTACTCGCAATGCGTACCGGGAACTGCTTCAACAACGAGTAGTACTCGTACAACTCTGTCTACCTCAACCACCTCAGCTACATCTACCAGGGCCAGCTCTCAGCCTGGAACTACGAGTACCTCGGGTGCCTGCACTGGCACATTCACTCCTGTTTCTGCCAGCAGTTATGTTGCTGCCCTTGGTGTCGGGTGGAATCTCGGAAACAGCCTTGATGCAACACCGAACGAGGATTCGTGGAACAATCCTCCAGTGACAGAGAAAGTGTTCGACTATGTGGTCTCAGAAGGTTTCAAGACTGTCAGAATACCTGGTAAGTAGTTGATTGGGGTAAGTCGAAGAACGAAATATAGCTAATGAAATCAGTGACATATACACACCATCTGGACAGCGAGTCTCCTAATTGGACAGTCAATGCCAATTGGCTGCAACGGGTCGAGAATGTGATTGACATGGCTCTTGCAAGGAACTTATACGTCATCACCAATCTTCATCATGGTACGGGTGCTAAGTTCCCCCTTTCCATTTAGTTTCTAACGATGAATAGACTCTTGGGAGTGGGCAGATGTTACAGCTTCAGGAGCTGATATAACCGCCATCCAGAGCCGCTTCAAGGCCGTATGGACGCAGGTGGCGACAAAGTTGCGTTGTAAATCCTCGCGCTTGTCATTTGAGTCCATCAATGAGCCGCCTGCTACTACAGCCGCTCATGGTGCCCTTATCAACCAATTCAACCAGATATTCAATGACGCGGTTGTTGCGAGTGGCGGCTTTAACCCCCAGCGCGTCTTGCAGTTTGCGGGCGGTGGCATGGATGCCACCAAGACGACTCAGTGGTTCCAGGCACCTTCAGGTGTCAACAACCCGTGGGCGCTACAGTTCCATTATTATTCTCCATGTAAGTCACTCGTTTTGTTATTCATACGCAAGGTAGGATGCTGACACATCATAGATGACTTCGTCTTTGGGGCCTGGGGCAAGACCATCTGGGGATCTGCTGCCGACAAGACCACAATGACCAACGAGTTCTCCATTGTGCGCGGCAATTTCACCAACGTCCCGCTGATCCTTGGCGAATTCGACGTGAGCATTGTGCACACCGAGCCCGCCGCACGGTGGAAGTGGTTCGATCACTTGGCAACTACCATTAAAACCCTTGGTATTGCCCCTATCGTTTGGGACAACGGTCTTGACCACCTTGATCGCAACACGGGTATCTGGCGCGACCCCGTCTCCATCGCTATACTGAAAGCTGCCCTTGCTGGTCAAAAGAACTCTTTGCCAGACAGCACAACAGACGCCAGTGCTACGACCCAGTCCAGCTCGGCCTTCATTTGGAACCGAGTCGGCAGCGAGGTCGCCGACTACAAGCTGCCTTGGCTGTTCAACGGCAATACCCTCACTGGGGTTAAGACAAATAGCGGCAAGACTCTTTCCAGTGGGAGTGACTACACAACCGCCTCCGACTCTATCACATTCACGAAGAGCTTCCTATCGCAGTACCTCGGGCCCAGTGTGTCAACAGGAAGCAAGGCGAACCTCACACTGACATTCTCTGCCGGAGCGTTCTCTAACGTTGAGATTATTCAGTGGGATACACCAAAGTTCCTCTCGACCCCAGCACCAGTTCTGGGCCAAGATTTGAGTATTCCTATTAACTACAATGGTCTCAAGCTGGTTGCGGCTGTGAGAGCCAAGGCTACAGATGGCACATATCTGTTTGATGACTGGACGCAGTGGCTTGGTCCCCTTCAGCAGGCAAGAATCGTGAGTATTATCCGTCTGCACCAAACAAATAGACAGTACACTGACATGTTTTGATATTAGACATACAACGGCCAATTCTTCTTTGATGGGGCCCAGGTGGTCCTTAAGGATGCTACACTCCAAGCTGTCAAGAGCTTGGGTAAGCCGGTAGAGTTTTTGTTCGAGTTTTACCCTCGGGTTGAGGGCAACTCTATTTCGTACACGTTGACTCTATAGCCCCGATAAGTTATCCCCGCTAGGGGCAGTTGATAGATCGGGCTTATGCCTGATGTTCGAATAGTATTTCGCATTTGTTCAGTCTTGTTGTGCCACACCAGGAAAAAGGGGGCTCTATTAAACCGACTCATTAATCCCGGGAAGACTATGTCCGAACTTATCAATATAGAAGTCTCTCTACTACAACTATCCAAGATGCGACTATAATGAGCACGGGATATGCAAACCCCCTAAACCTGGTAAAACATCAAAGAACTGTCATATTCCCCCCCAACATGAATGATGTGATGACCCCGGTTATGATTTTCGTAGGGCGGCATCGTTTCGAACTCGGGAAGCGTCATATAATGGCCTGATACATAGAGCAATAGCCTCTCCCCGGCATCAAATATCAGCCCAGTTGGCCACAATTGTATCTCGAGCCGGATAATATCGCCAGGTTCAACTGGCTCGACCTGGCTGTGAGACAGGGTTTTCCAGGATTTACTCCTGCTAGACAGAGCTTCAGAAACGTGACGTCTCGATGCACGAAGCATTCCTGTAGGCCCCAAATACTTCATCACGTTAGTATTTGGCACCTCCGAGACTGTGGAAACCCCAATGTCCTTCAACGGAATGTTGGCGTAGGTTAGCAGTTCTCCGTTTTTATCCGCTTTGCGCAGCTGAACATGTACATCCATGTCATTACCACTTGGAGAAGAGACGTAGAGGATAGCTGTGGCCGGTCCTGCGAGCCTGGTTTGTTGAGGAAAAGTATAGGAGAAAAATGGATCATTAGGGTCGGGTCCCATCAACTTGGATGGAGCGTCTGCTTGATAGCTAACCTGACCCGGTTCAGACGCCTTCGTCGGTAATAGTTTTCGATCAGCTGATAGGAAAAGGCGTTGTTCCCTTGCGCTGGAAAGGTTCCATGGAAGGTCAGCGAATGGCACATTGACTTCGGCGTCTTCGTTGAACCTAATAAAGGCGTATCGGACACGAGGCGTTTGCTCCCAGCCGTTCTCAATTCCCTTTAAATATCGATTCATAAATTTCTGAAGGTCATCTGTGCGCTCCTTGCTGTAGAGGTCGTACCACTCTTGCGTCGCGTGGACGGATATCCTACCAAGAGTTAGTGACGAATAGGGCAAAAGAATTGAAAACAGTCGTTTATACCATTTATCCTTGGATGCCATTTCTTCAAACCCGCGGAAAGAACCAATAGTGTGTAGGCCCGTTGAATAGCTTGCGACAATGTAGCTAGGCACCTTTATTTCCTCCATATTTGCGCGTTTGTCGTCCCAATACTCGTTATTATCTGGATACTTAGCTGCCATTGCTGGCATATCATCTCTTTGTCCCCTCCCTTGGATCTGTTAGCACACTAAATGCGAGTATGGAGTTTGAATGAAACTGACCGATAAACGATGCCGACAAAGGAGTTGCGAATCGCGTGTTCAGAATTCCACCGCGGTAAATATGCTCTCTGAAGGGATCACTGATGCCTTCCATGGGAGCAATGCAGGCCAGGTGAGGTGGCTTTTGAGCTGCTGTGTACCACTGACAAGCCGCTAGCCAAGAGTTTCCGGCCATTGAGACCTTTCCCGAGCACCACGGGAGTTTAGCAACCTCCTAGACAGTGTCGTGCCCATCCTCTCCCTCTCCAGAACCCCACCATCTCACATTTCCTTCGGAATCATTGATACCTCTGGCGTCAACGTTGACAATGGCATATTGCTTCGGTACCCATTCGGCAGGGTCGAGGCTGGTAAAACTGGTGTTAGTGAATGCGCGGTGTACAGAGATTAATGATACTGATGGCTGTATAGACCGCTTTGGGGCCTTCGCTGGCGAGGTTGGCTCACCCTTCGAAATTTTCATAGCCAGACAACTTCGACTCAGGTATACCAACACGGAAAGGAAATTTGTCTATGTTAAACCATCCTATTCATGCATTAGTGGGATATCCTGAAAACTTCTCTCTCTCAGGTCTTTAGGATACACACCTGATCCAGATTTACCATAGGGGCCATACATGATGATGGCTGGTACTCTCTCGTCGGTGACAGGGCGAAACACATCCGCACGGAGGGTCACTCCATCACGCATGGTGAGGATTTGGTCACTCTCGAGAATTGTTTCGACTAAAATAGGACGGTTCTTCTCAGTTCGCCTGTGTCCTGGTTTGAGGATGGTGCGCGAAGGAGATCGAGGTTCTCCATGAGTAGGCCTTATATTGTCTTGATGAAGTACATCAATTTGGCCAATTTTGTACGAGGACATGATTGTTGAAACGAAAACTTCGGGCGATGGGTTATTGTTATATCTTGCTAAGCCAAATGTTACTGATAAGTTCAAATAAAGTTTTGGTTTGGCTTATCCAGCATGTCAGCTGTATAGTACCTTATATATTAACAGCTCGGAGCGCGTCAACTCCAAAGCTGTCCGATTCCGTCAGCCCGGACACGTTCGAACACCGAATACTACGTAAATTCTGCTCTGGGCTTAGATTCGCATATACGGATATAGTGGTCTTGTTCCACGGCGCCTGACGTCCAAGGATGCTCGTGCTCGCGAGAAAGACTCCCCGACGTCTCCACTTCCCTCAAAAGTATCAGTCTGATCTGCCCGAGGAAGCCGGAAACAATTTTCCTCTCGCCAAGAGTCTTTCCTACAGTTGAAGAGAGAATAAGCACATGGGTCGCGATTCACGAAGCCTCTTTCCGATCTTGTCCATGTTTACCCAGTGCGAATAGTTAACCTGGTATTTCATCATCCTTAGACAGCTAAGCGATTCGGTCTAGATCGGTTGGGAAATCTAGCTTGCGAGCTTCCACAATCAAGCGGCAGTGGATTTCTTCTCAAGCTTGTGGATTGTTCATCTTATAGTCGATTGTGTTCATCAAGATTAAAGAGAACAGAGGCAGAAGTTGTTTCTTTTACTTAATACTCCATTATAAATGTCTACTACGATAAAGAAAGAGCTCTCTAGATGCAATAGCCTCAGCAACACGTTCCCTATATCAAAAGCGCAGACTTAAATAAATACAATGTAAGAAGAGTATTCTGTGAAATTTGCATACTCCGAGGAAGAGAAAATCAGATATAGGAAGGAAATTGTTTCAACGATGGCTGAGTCCAGCATCTTTGGGGTTAGGTATAGGGTATGTTATGATGGAGAGACTGGGTCGAAGTACGCTGGACAGAGGCGGCGAGCGTCTATTTTGCCGCATATTCTACTGAGAACATTGAAATACTTATGAAAGCCATATGCCAATGATACTAGCAGTGAAATTCTACAGATTTTCCTGGACAAGGGTAGGGCTACCTCTTTGCTGAGATCCTGTGGCCCGTGGCGTGTTGAGCTCCGTCTCGAAGCGGAGCAGCATCATGAGATGACGACCACCACTGTGGCGAGCATCCGCGTGTTTTTGTAGAATGTACGATGAGTAGATTAAATCTCACCTAGCACCTGAGGCCATGCAAATATCCTCTTTGTTGCAGTCCGTCGTTGTTGAATTTACGCGGTGCGCAATCGGCTCATTCACAGCAGGCAGATGTCCAGTCACCGGAATAGATCACGGCTCCGAACAGGGAAAAAAAAAAACCAACAAAGAAAATATTATACTAAAGTTGCCAATATTACAACACCATCCTGAGCCGTGAGCCCATCATGAGGAGGGTTTCCATCCTGCCCATCTACCACCATGATTCTGAAAAAGGGTATCCAGCTGCCTTGTATCCCAGGGTATCTTCCCAAGGTATCCGATATGACGACAAAAGAAAGAAAATAGAGGCGCGATTGACTGTTTAGAAAGACACGTATTTGATGTTCTTGACCTTCTTGTGGTGCACCGATTTGGCGGGCTTGATTGAATGTCCATGCTGAGTCGCGCACTTGGCTGGAAGCACTTTTGTGCTACCAGCTTTCGTCGTTTTGACCTTGGCGGGCACGCAGACTTGGTCCGCGTCACAGATCTTGCCGCCGCATCCTAGCTCGCGTCGGAATAGATGGGAGTTGAGGTCGAGCTCATCGGCATGGCGTCTGGCGAGCGCGACGCCGTAGTCGGACGAGGAGGGCGAGTAGGCGACGGCGAGAGAAGAACCAGCCAGACAGGCCAGCGCCAGGGCCGTGGATGGGATCATGATTTATATTGAGGTGGAAGTATGGCGTAGAAACGAAGGGAACAATAGGGGCGAGAACGAATCGAATGGGACCAGCCCTGTAGTTGGTATATTTTGTTTTGTTTTACAATTAGTTTACAATAGAGAATGGATGGGATCGAGGGCCGCGGCGTGTTTGGGCTGCCAACAGTTAAGTAGCCTCGCATTACTCAGTCTTTGCCCCAGTATGACACAAGAAGGCTCCGAAATAGATAGCATCAGCTTGGGACTTGGGTGCAGCGGTTCAATCAGGATCTGCGCTCAGGCTGAGCTCCGAGCTTACCAAAGCCTTCCCCCCCACTGACATGGATGAAAATACAGCTAGCGGCGCATTTTCCCTCGTTTGACGGAGCTGTGCCAGGGATCTGCAGCGGCAGAGTGGCAGCCCTGCAGGATGAAAATGCTCGGTTTCTTGGCTTCTTTGGCAGAAACTATGACGGCAGCAAGCCGACTGGTTCGTTCTTTGTGGTAATATCTGTGCGTATAAAGATCTAGAGCAGAGGTGCACCAAGTTTGAGACACACACCATGCTGTACGTGCTCTCGAGATGCGCTCGGCTTGAGCCTATCTCAGGGGCGACCTTACCAAGGTACATCACAAACTTACGTACCTTATGTGGCTGAGGACGATGGAAAGCAGGCGAGTCAGAGTCTCGCAGTTTCTCGCCAATCGTGAATTGCCCCTAACCCCCTAACAAAGGGCAAGTGGATGCCAATCCGAAGGCTCGGATAGAGCATGAGCCCATTGGATCGCGATTTGAATTTTGACCCACCATCTTCCGAGTCGTTTGACACTGTCGAACTCTTGGATTCTATCAAAAGACGAGCAATCCGAGCAATGCGGGCTGGGGACCGTCTCCTTCGGTCCTCCTTCATGGCACAGAGCACCCAACTGCCGCCATGCGGAGAGGACATACCAAGTCACGATTCGGATGCAAGCAGTGTAAGAAACGCAAGGTCAAATGCGATGAGGCAAAGCCGTCGTGCCTCAAGTGCGTGTCTCGCCGTCAGCACTGCTCTTATCTGCAAACCACTCTGCCAGCCCCAATATCCCCGGCGTCAACCTCGACACCAAGTCTCTGCAGCAGCACGACCGCCACTTCCCCATCCCAGTCCCAGGATCAACTGGCAAGAACTCGACCTCTATCAGCAATATCTACTGGTGGTACCTCGAGTTCTTCGTTTGGCGCATCATTCTTTGAGGCCAGATACACTCTGCTCCATCTGGAGATCCTCGACCATCTCAGATCCCACAGGCTGGGGTTTGATCAGCGATCAAATCCAGTAACAGACAGGTTCCTTGAACTTGCATTTGGCGAAGCATACCAGACGCCGTATCTGATGGATGAGATGTTGGCACTCGCCGCAGCACACAAGAGTACACTAGTCCCGGGAGACCTACAGCATTTGTATCGCACTGAGTCGATCAGACTGCAGACGCGTGCAGTATCCCAGGTCGACTTCGACCAACCTTCTGACAGCGCCTCCCTCGCCCCCTTCCTCTTCTCCACGCTCCTCGGCCAGCACGTCCTCTTCGACGTCTTCTCATCCACATTCGACTTCGCCAAATCACTCGATAAGCTTATACAGTGTTTCAACCTCCACCATGGTATTCGAAGTACTGCCAGCAAGAGTTGGGAGACCATCCAGCATCTCATGTACAGCGATCCGTCGGTAGATTACACGGTCTCTAGGACTCTCGTTCCATTGACCACGGAGGGAAGCCACTGTGATGGTCTCGTGGACCACCTCGAGCACAGTGGCCTGGACCAGCAGGTTCTTGCTACGTATAGGCAGACTATCAAGATTCTGCAATATCTGTTCGACTCTGCACGGTCGTCGGATACACGCCGGATGACGGCGCTGCGAGAATGGCCCACTAGGATATCCACAGACTACATCCAGCTGCTGCAGCAACGGCGACCAGAGGCCTTGGTAGTTCTGGCGTACTACGGAGTACTGCTGCATTATGCGAGGGAATACTGGGCGGTCGGAGATGCCGGGCGCGTTCTTGTATCTTCGATATCGAGTCACTTGGGTGATTATTGGGCGGACTGGTTAGCATGGCCGCAACATGAGGTCGAGAAAACGTGAACAATTTCCATGATCTTCTGGGCAATTCTGCCAAAGAAAAGCCTCGCTTTTCGCTTTGTCTACTGGTTTCTCTTTCTGTTTCCTGTAACGAGGTGTATTTTCTAATTTACACACGACTTCCACAAGGGTTGATTCTTAGGCATACCTTAGAGGTTTCATACTGCCTGCTTGAACACACCAAAGGGTTATCAGGTTGCTGCATCTGGAAACTACGTTTTAATGTATATCATTCACGATTGAAAGACACTATGAATTCTATTCTATATGCCCTGTGCGCTGAATATCAACAACTTGAGCCTCTCATCTTCTCACATCAAAGTTGCCCATCTCGTACCCGAGACGAAACAAACCAAGAAACCCACCAGAGCCAGCAAAATATCAAGAAAACGCAAAGAAAATGGCCGCTCCGATAGAGAGCCACCTGGCAAGGAAACATTACTTTAGCATAGATTGCTGGGAATCCATGTTAACATCCTCCGATCCTCCAGGCTGCCCAACAACATCTTCGGGGAATTTCCAAGCAAAGACAACAGTGGCCGCGAACATGAGAAGGGAGTCAAACACGTACAATGTCCACTCATGAGACAAGGCATACCCGGTATAACCTTGGAAGTACTCAACCACTCGGAAGATGGAGCGGGCCATGATGAGGAGACTGACAACGTAGAGCATGATCATCGTGCCCTCCCATGATGGCAGATATGCGTTAGTTCGAGACGCTAGGGCTTGTTTCATCCTGCTGTGGAACACGACGGCTAGAACACAGAACAGGGCGAACATGATGACCTGGATGAGCAGACCAATCACCACAATCCGTTCAGACCATTTGGCCAAGTTCTGGTTCTGCACTACCGACATTCCGGCCCCGGCACCCTGGATGACAAAGGAAAGGACATCGCCCAGGACAAACGTTAGTGTGATCCTCGGGGGCCTGACGAGGGAGTGCAAGGTGCCCCGGACAGTCGTGATCAGCCTCCCTAGCGTCATGTAGATTGTGGCCGCGAAGAGGACGGGAGCGACGAGGATGAATAGATTTTGGATAATAAAGGGCATAAGCAACCCCGTCTTGCTCTGCACCCCTGCGCGGATGCCGTAGCCGACCATTTCCACTGTCTGGTGTTAGCTTATACCGGCGTCTCCTCCAATGGTATCGAGGGGCTTTACACTTACTGAAACCTCCGACGGCGAAGGCGATGCAGAACAGGGTTCGTGTTCTCCAGATCCTCCAGGTGGTGTAAAGAAATGTGGCCATGAAGAGGATGAGGAATAGAGCGGCAGCCCCCACGTTTGGAGAGTATCGCCAGAGATACACACCGCCCATGGTAGGCTCGACTCCCGGCACTGGCGTCATCAGACCTTCTGTAGACATGTTGAGTTCTCGAGGGCGGTCCGTCAGCGCAAGGTATTGTAATTGGGAAGTTGGCAAATGACCACTGAGCTCGAGAAGGTAGGATTTTGGAGACCAGGGGATGAGAATGGATGTCAGGCAAAGGACAAACTGAGTCTGGACGAGCTCTAGGCTTATATACGAGCAATTTTGATCTTAGTCATAATCTACTATAAATCACTATGGTATTATACGGGAGTAGTTGACCGTCCTAGTGCCTGAGAACCGGAGCGGGTCTGATGGAATCCGAGTTACGAATCTGCGTTTCCGAGTAGACACACTGGTTGGTGGTTTCGCTTCAAGGAACTATAGTGTTGACCAGACCACACCCCTTGGAGATTCTTGAAGCTTCCTGCCGAGATCTCCACGCGGCTGTGTGGATGCGGCGTGTTCGCTCTCAACCCGAGTTTTGCGGACCAATCGCTTTGCTCTGAACCCGACGACTCCTCCAGCCAACATCTCCCCTGATACAGCCAAGCTATAGCCCCATCCACTTTTGAACATTCGAATGGCTCAATGCTGTTATAAAACACTGAGTGCATGTTTGACCTTGCTATCGGTAATTCTTCACCTAAAATGGAAACCCCCGGTCCCGTGCTACCTACTCACACAGAACAATATAAAGACTCGGCCTCCGACCGTTGTGAGTGCTGGATCCCAGTTACAGATCGAATTCTCTATGAGTGCCTGCAGCTTCATTTCCACCCAAATTAGCCACTTGTTTGGGATCAATAGATCTTGCTATGGCCCTCTCATCGGCCGAGTTCTGCACACCGAGTGCATTCAACCCATCTCTATATGGAGCTGAAATCTTGTCAATTCAAGCCAATCTGGTCACAAACTATAGTACCTCGGTGCCGGAAGCCTTTCGGTACACGTCCCCTTCAGTAGAGCTAAAGAATGCCACGTTCTGCAATATCACCGTCATCTACACGCACCCGGGGCAGAATGATAATATCATCACGGAAGCCTGGCTTCCCGCCGAATGGAACGAGCGATTCATGGCTGTTGGGGGAGGGGGCTGGGTGGCCGGACGATTCTTTCCGAGTTACAATGCCATGAACGGTGCCATCGCCGACGGCTATGCGACCATTACCACCGACGCTGGGCTTGGCTCCGCGAGTGAACCTGGTCCGTGGGCTCTGAACAGCCCTGGAAACGTCAATCTTTACAATTTGCAGAATCTCGGATCCGTGTCCCTGAACGACGAGGTAGCCATCATATCATTCACAGTCAACTCTAGATACTTACTTTCAGTTGACAGGCAGCGATTGGCAAGTCTTTGATCAAGAGCTTCTACGGAAAAGATCCCAAGTTCTCCTACTGGGCGGGATGTTCCCAGGGCGGCCGCCAAGGGCTCATGCTCGCCCAACGCTACCCGGACGTTTACGACGGCATTGTCGCTGGCGCGCCCGCAATCCATTTTAGCAAACTGGCTACTTTCATACAATGGCCTCATCAGGTCATGAACGAGCTCGGGGAGTTCCCATACGGGTGCGAAGTAGATGCTATCACGGCGGCAGCCATCTCGGCCTGCGATTATCTTGACGGCGTCACTGACGGCGTCATATCAAACGTTGATGAATGTCTCAAGTCGTTTGACGCCTCCTCTCTCATCGGTGAGCCGATAACGTGCGCACAGAGAAACGGTACGCAGGTCCTCATTACCGAAGCCGCTGCGAGGATCGTCAATGCCACTTGGCACGGCCACGTAACTGCGAATGATGAGCATGGCTATCATGGCATTCTGCCCGGAGCGGACTTGACGGGAAACAGTCCCAGATCATACGGCCAGCCCGGTGTTGTGACCACGGCTTGTGACGAAAGCGGATGCAAAAGCGCGCCCAACTATCTTGCCACTTCTTGGTTCAGTCTTTTTGTGGCCAAGAACGCTACGCTCGACTTGACAAATCTGAGCCGTAAGGAGTTTGATATTCTCGCACAAGCCGGCTTCCAGGAGTTCGCATCCCTGATCGAGACGAGTGACCCGGATTTGAGAAGATTCAGGGATGCTGGAGGAAAGATGATAACATTCCACGGCCTAGTAAGTATAGCTCGAACAGGGTGTCAACGCCGACTCTCTTTGCCCGGCCAGAGGATAATCAACTAACACATTGTTCCACAGGCCGACAATGTCATACCTCCGGGCGGTACCCGAGGCTACTACGAGGCTGTGGGGAAGATTATACCTGATGTACACGACTTCTACCGTTTGTTTGAAGCTCCTGGACTGGGCCACTGCTTCGGGGGCGCAAGCGGCACACCAACCGCCCTCTTTGAGCAACTCCGGGGATGGGTGGAAAATGGAACGGCTCCGGAGAAGACTCCAGTCAAGGTGTCGGTGGGTAACTCGACGCATGATAGGATACTTTGCTCCTATCCAGCCGTTCCTCATTTCAGCCAAACTTGCGGAGATGCCTCCAGAGCCAGTTGCTGGTCCTGCTCCGACCCGCTGCCGCCCTACAATACTACCAAGAGTAGTGGTGAGACAGGATATGATTATCGATCCCACGAACTCTAGCTGTGTGCGATTTTGCATCCCCTTAAGGAATTTTGTCCTGCATGGAAATAGGAAGCTACGTAAACGAAGCCAAGGAGTAAAAGGAAGGCTAAAAAGGGGAGTGTAAGGGCGGGGGATTACCATCGAAGGGGTGAGGCTAGTTCATGGACAATAATCAGTAACTCTAGTAGGAAAGTATACCTTAAAGAACTTTACTGCGTATTACTGCAAGAACCAAATTTCAATCTGACACTGTAAAGCCCAAACCAATGGAACGTGCCACATCTGGCATTCCTTCCCTGAAACATGCCAGGAGTCGGGCGTGAATGAAGTGCAACATAACCAATTAAGTTAACCTGTAGATCTCCCGGGAAGTTCAATGGCTTAGGTTGATCTGCAAAACTCTCTGACGGGGAGATTTTAGGCGGCCCGGTGTCAATATAGGTGAGCCGACGGGGAGCTATTGGCTCGGCCAAGTGCGCATCGAGTTCATTCTATCCAGGGTGTCTGTATAAGCTTTTGATCAGAAGCTAACCAAATATCGATATGAGGCTTGGCAATGAACCCCGGGGAAGCAACTGTATAATGGAATGGCTGGGTATGATCTGTGTTCGACTTTGCCGTGGATGATTTGAGCCCTGAACTCAACTATATATAACACATTATCGCCAAAGCTTCCACTAATTTCGCCCAAGTTATGCCTTACATTTCAACCCCGAGATCGGGTCTCATTCTCCAATTCGAATCGAAGAAACGCACCAGCCGTTGGAAGAATTTGTCATTATGTATATTCGATAGCTACCTTGTACAGAGACAGTTGCTAACCGTTACTTTTCGCTTCCAACGCAAAAAAACCATGTTTAAAAGCATACTCATCATCGCTACCGTGCAGATCCGAAAAATAAAGCGCTAAAAGACCTAGGAACTAGACGGCTATGCAAGCTCCGTAAAATGCAAATGCCAACCCGCCGGTAAATCCCACAATTCTAATGGGCGGGCATTTCAACGGCAGGAGTGTGCCTGGCAGGCATCTCAACTGGAGGCATGGACGGCCCTACGGGGAATCGAGGATCATATGGCGGCGAAGTTGTGTGAGGCGTTACATGGGGAGTTGCGTAGGCCGTGCCATGCGGCGACGAGTAGGCTTGCGATTGCGATGTGCCCCAGCTCGCCAGCTCGGAATACTTGCCGGGCGAGTGAGGATATTCCTGTTCCTGCGCCTGCGCGGCTGCCCGTTTCTTGGCCTCGTACCAGCGGTTTAGGAAGAACCCGAGGCAGAGCAGGGCGATCACCCCGAGCGTGACGCCGACACCGATACCCGCCTTCGCCCCTGTGGTCAGCCCACCGCTGCTGCTGCCTGAAGTACTCTCGTCGCTGGTCGAGGTCGGTGAGGGGGCGGATGTCGTGGTAGTTGCGCTGCTGGTGGCGGATGAGGTTGACGACGACGACGATGATGTGCTTGTTGACACTTGGGTGGACGAGCTCGAGATCAACGTGCGGCTTTTAACAACCTCATATGAGCTCGAAGAGTTGTCATATGATGCCCAGATACCCGGATTGGAGGGCAGCAGCTCAATGCGGTTAACTCCAGTCGAGCAGCAGCTGTCGGCCGAGTACCAACAGCAGTAAGAGGTGTCCTTCTTGGTGGTGGATGAACACGACTTCATGCCAACTCCGTCGCTGGCATCGGTGTCTGCGCCGCAAGAGATGTCAGCGTCCCTTCTCTTTTACGTCTCATCGTTGTTCTGCGATAGAACTACAACTTACCCAGACAAAATTGAGGACAGTATTCCGAGTTCCAGTTTTGATCTGTACACGATCCACGACTCTTGTGACCGCCGCTATTCTGACAGAGACCATTCTCAAGACATACTGTGCCTTCCTCCTTGGAGCAGCAGACGCTCGCTTCGGCATTGGGATCGCAAGGGACATCGTTCTTGGCGACATTGGAATTGGAAAAGTAGCATGTTGAATTCGAGGCCGCGAGTGTCCTCGGCACCAGGTGTAAGAGGAGCGAAGCGAAGAGAATGCCGTGCATCTTTGGCTCCTTTCCCGAAGCTGACCAAGGGCGAGGCTGTCTAGCACCTGAGCATTCTTGAATTGAGCTCGAGAGGAATGGAAGAGATGGAGAAGGGTGTATGTATGATTGCTAGGTTACGTGCGACGCCTCACGTGTTTGACCTGGTAGGATCGACAGGGAAGCAAGGCATATCTTTAACGATGGACGGATGCTATTTTCGGTTACGTGGACTAATTCCCCAGTTGGCTTCACTCACTTAAATCCCGGCCTTGCCTCAATGCGTGAGATTTTGGTGGATTTCGAAACACCTCGACCCATTTCTCGTGCGCAGCCCATTGGCAGCAGCAGGGACGACGAGGATCAGGAGGGAATCGGCATCCGCTGTGTTTTACTGCCGATTCCAAGGCCTGGCCAACAGTTACACCATGACATAGGTTGAGACGAGTCTGATCCTTCGGCACTACCCATCTCATCAGGGGTACCAATCCCGAATGGAGTATCTTGCCTCTGACCTGTAGCTTTACCTTCTCTAATATCACTCCGGATTGGAGAAAGGGAGCCATTGCAGGTTACTCGGTGCACGCAGGGTCTGATACGACACAAAGGTCTTAAGAATGACTCGATCATGGCAGGAAAAGCTCTTTGATGAAAGACAGGGAACTTCTGGAGGGCCTCATTTTCGGACATACCCATACACGGCAAAACAACACCGAGCTTCGCGATCCCTGTCTAGTGACTGATACACCACGGCTCCTCGAACACATGGCGGGTAATTAGCCAGCGCTTACAATGCTTGGAAACGACGAGCCCAGCCTCTGCCGAAGAGCCCTTGGCTTGGCCCGCGACTACCTACAGTAGCTGCTGTTAAAAGCGCTATGGGAGGAGTTAGCGAGACGAGACGAACGTGCCCCAACGGCGATGTGACGGCGTCATTGATTGCAGGAGTCACCCCCTGGCCTGACCTTTCCTCAGAGTTAGTGGCTTTCTTTCTGCTTGAGCAGATCGCTCCCGTTTCGTGTCTGCTGGCGTGTTTCGTGGCACCAATAACAATGCTACTCCGTCCGACCAGTGGAGTTTTATTAGAAGCACAGGGATGAGGCACAGTAGACCTTTGGCGATGGTACTGGCGCCGATATGCATACCTGCTTGAATATAATAGCCTGATCTCGGCCGAGCGCGTAATTCTAGGCCTCCATCCTTGCCTATAGAAGCGGCTGCCCGTGTGAACTGTATCAAGGTAATTCTGGCATTACAAGGCGAGTGCTTTGCATCTGTCGTGTATCCTACTCCGTACAGAGCGGCCAAATACCCTCCAACCTATTCCACATTCGTAAAGTCGCCCCGATGGATCATGGTTGCACCCCTAGGGCCTTTAGCTATGTCATTCCACCTGGAACTATGTCATTCCACTTAGGATGACTGTGAATAACGTCATTTCTCGATCCTCACAGCTCACACTCTGCAAATCCAGGCAAGAGGGCTGCTGTTCACATCCAATTTCATTGCCATGACAGCGACTGTCTCTTGTTACTGCCTGTCTTCCTTGTTTTAGCTGACGTATGAGTCAGTCATATGGGTAGGACGGCGCTGACGCGGGGACGCGAATCTGCCCCAGCCACTGCTAAAGTCTTTCCAACACCGGAGGCTAAGAAGTGAGATTATCAGATCATGGCCGGGCGGATGGACATAGCTGATAGGGCTGCCTTACTGGTGTGTGTTTCAGTAGCGCCCATGTGCAGGAACATTTATCTCAGCGACAAGGGGGTTACGCGGTTGTTGCACCCAAACTCTAAAATAACGTTGATTGATTTATATATCCCTAGCTTAAAACCTCGTAAGTGGCGTATGCACACGTCGATACAGAGCTGCGAGAAACCATGTCTACAAAATCAAGCTTCCGTTTCCCGCCTTGATAAAATCTCAACATGGGATCACATCTAGCATCTATATTCTTTGCGATAAAATAGCCTCCAACCCAATATAGCACCAGTGGATGGTACTTCTTTTTGTGAATCTTGTTCAGAAAATAGGTCTCTCTCTTGTGTAATTCCTAGGCGTGCCAGAGTCTCGGAGATGATCCGGCCCCGGGCTACACAAGGGAATTTTAAGTTTGGTTTTGAGGCAAAATACTGTCAATTTTTCATATTCAAATTACTTAACTCATACTTGGTACATATCATCTTGTACAGCATGAACTATAGCCAGAGCGTCTACTGTGATGTACAAACTAACCTAGATGGGCTGCGGGCCGTGCCGAGATATGCTTTTAACTAGCAATTAGATGGACTGTTTCCCTTATATAGACCTATCTTCCGTGCATAAAACTCATCCTCTTAAATGTGACAATTGTGATCTTGAAGAAACAGTTTCCGTAATACTGCGTTGCCTCTACTAGATATTAACAGATTATCCTAAGACTCCCTCACTAGTGTATATAATCCTACATGTCTGACTTTTTAGAAATAGAAATCCAACGGAGAGATGCATGCAAGGAATGTGGATTGGATGGTCAAATTGTCTGGATAACTTGTATCATTCTTTGACTTTTTTGGCGTCCCGAGCCGAGCAATGGAGGAGAGCTCGTAAGATAGTTTGCTGGAACATATTAAACGATAGAGCTCATTGTGTCGAGATATCGGGTCTGGTATCTGTTTTTGCTGTTTTGAACTTGGCGCTTAATTTCTCATCAGTAAATGATAGAGCGACTTAGACTACAGAGAGAAACTCAGAGCAATATTATCTTGATAAACCAAAAGAAGTGGCGCGGCATGGCCAGGGACTTTTTGGCCAATAGTCGAGTTCTATGATTAGGTGCCCAGCGTTTGCTCTGCTGGTTCTTCATACAGTAACAAATTCCAAAAGAAGAGATTGCTAAAATATCTAAAAGTCTCGTCTATCTTTTAGATCTATACACTAGGACCGGAGATTCGGAGGTCATTACATGGAAAATTAGCAATGATTCAAGCTATCAAGCCACATGGAGTATTGGATCTGATAACGTTGAAGCTATGAAGCTGAGCCTTTATATTCTAAAACTTCTAGTAGTTCCTATTCTTCATATATTCATAGCCCTAAGGATGAGCGTTTTCTGTTCGCTGCTTACAATGTGGGCCAGTAGCTTGTTCTTCCCCAACGTAGTGACCAGGAGCGGGTAGAGGAGAGACATACGCGCGTAAAGGAATTGGAAGAAGCAAGGGTAGAGTATACAAATGGCAGCTTGTGGATTTATTGCATGAGTGGAAATAATTGACCATGGGTTGATCGTAAGTCTGCCTTGGGCACCAGCCAGCGAGCTGTCAAGTATCACGTGCATGTCGCGCTGGTGAGGCTGACAGCATGAATTATTTGCTTTTTGCCTTTCCTGTCTCAGTCTCACTAGCTTTTATCTTTACGGCTGATTTTAGGCGGCAATTTCTTCCAGGCGGAAAAGAGGCGAGCCTGACTACTTGGTTCTCGTTTACAGGTCACACCTCAATATTCGTGTACGCCTTTGCTTACCGACAAAGAGAGCATCATGAACCGGGAGAATATTTTCGGCAGGAGTCCAGTACGAAACAGAGGCGTGCGGCAAAACGAGCCCCCGATTCCTAACAAACCTACCCATTTACTGAGCACCGCAATGGTAAGAACCAAAGAGCGAGAAAGCATGATTCCTCAAGATACACAGATCAGGGTCAAGCAACTTGAGGGCGACCTGCAGGCAATCACGCGAGAGAGAGATGAAGCACTCAATGGTATTCACAAAGTTTTTGACGACATCATTTTGATCGAAGATAAGCTTCATGAAGAGCAGCGACTTTCTGCAGGGAAGGATGAAGAACTTATGAGATTGAACGAAGAGAAAATGCGACTACTGGGAGAGATGAAGACAAAAGACGGGGAATTGGCGAATCTACGTCGATTGAACGAAGGCCAGGAGAAAGCTCTCAGCAGGCAGATCTCAGATACCCGAACTCTACAACATCGGTTCGAAAGCATGTCTAGAAATGGAGCATCTACGGCAGCAGCACAACAGAGTCAGAAAGATTGGGAAGCGAAGCTCAACGCCAAAGAGAGCCAGCTACAGGAGATGGCCACCCAGCTGGAGATGCTACAAAAACAGTGTATTAGCGATCAACAGCGACGGGAGGCCGCCGAGGCACAATTGCACAATTTGCAGGTTACTTCCGTCGTTCAGGACTCACAGGCCAAGGATGTGGCAGAGCTCCGGAGGCTATTGACGTGGCACCAGACTATTGGGGAGCAGGCATCAAGGAATACCAAACAAACTAGCGAGGAGAACAGAAAGCTCCGGGAGCTGATTGCGGACCAGGAACAGAAGCTCCAGGGACAGGAGGCCCTATTGGCCACATTGAGGAGACAGGGGCAGGTAGTGACTGTGCCAGGCAGCATCGCTTGATAGCAACAACAAGAAATGCAATGCTTTCCAATCCGCCTCACTTTGTCCCGGAGCCACGTAGAGCGCTGAAGAGCTGCAGAGGTGCCCAACATGGGTGTATGCAGGAGGCCGTCGGAGCGCCATAATGGGTTGCTATCCGGCTGCAGGCGAACAAGTACCGGTACAAGTGCGCACAAATGTGTAGTGCTGACAATGTCTCATTCAGCCCCAGAGCTTCACGATGCAAGGGATGGGCGCTTAGAGAGAAAACTCATGCCAAGTTAGAGAGGCGGCCCGGCTTGTATCGTTATCTGTATATTCTCACCAGACTGGTAGACTAGCTCAAGGAGTGTCCGCACAAGGGAAACTCTTCTCTAACGTCTTTCATCATAAGGTTTTCGACATATCTATCGAATATTCAGGATGAAGGAACAAAAGCCCAGTCCGGATCAGATACAAGATGTCATGGATGCATGCGATTGCACAGCAGAGAAAGCCGTGTACCTCCTTGGAGTAAGTAATCGATGGAGCATACAAGCCTAGGCTTGTCGCTTACTATCTCGGTCATCTACTGCTGCATACAAGCCATCTAACAATTGCTTTTGGCAGCGTGCGAATAATGATGTCGCCCGGGCCAAAAGGCACCATTACTTGTATACTCGTTTCCTTCAATCTCCGACCCCCCCTACGCCTTCGACTCCCTCGTCAGAATCTATGACGCCTGGGCGAGACCAAGATCAACAGTCGAATAGAAGCTCGAGCCACAGCTTTGGGTCTAAGCATTCTAGAGAAGAGGAACACGCACCCAGACCCGAGTCTAGAAAGTCGCAACCTCCAGCTCCGGCTGAAACACCTCAGTCGCCCGTCGAAGGTGGCGCTGGAGCCTCCCTACATCCCAGCGAAGAGTTGAATTCGCCCGTATATGGTATGCCCGGTGACATGAGTCAAACAAGCCTCCCTTTGAATCTTTTGCAACCCCAACCAGCATTGGATACCAAGAACGCGACCCCAGAGTCTTCCGAGATGGGGGATCCTGTGCCCACTGAGCCAGTGGAATGGGATTTTAGTTTGCCTCTTCTCCCACATCCTGGCGATCTCTCACGAGTGGTGATAGAAGAGAATGATACTTTCAGCCCCAGTGTTCTTGCAGCTGCGGTCCAACATAATGCAGCACCTCAGCATGTTCGAAACTATCTCGACTTATATGGACCAGAATCCGTGAAAAGTCAGATAAACGACGAGGTGGACGGTATACCGCCCGTCTTCTATGCAGTATCATCCCATAATGATAGCCTGATACGACTTTTACTGGACTATGGAGCAGATCCTTCCGCCCTTCATGGCCAATCTGGCGTCCCATTGCTTGCATTTTCCATTATCCATGGGGAGATCTCCCAAAGGGACACGTCCAAGATAGTGGCCATACTTCTCAGCTACGGTGCTTCGCCTAAGGTTATACCGCCTTGGATTTACTCACCCTATGACAGAGATCAGTCTGGAAATCCACCAATCGAGGCTTCAGTGGAGGAGGACAACAAATTGACAGCCTGGTGCACAGACACGGCAACGAAGAAGTTAAGCAAAGCAAACATTACCCAGAGATATTACCTAGACAGAGCCGCCAAGACCAAACCGCCATCCGAGAAAAGACGGCAAGTGGCTCGTTTGCGAAACTCTGAAAGGCTCCTTGGAATTCCGTACTTCATCATTGGCCAGCCCATTGCGACTGATTTCTTGATACGCAGACTGGTGGCTTATCTGACGTTGCCATCAAAGAGACCTCTGGTTCTTTGCTTCGCCGGCCCCAGTGGGCATGGCAAGACCGAGCTTGCTCGTCAGCTAGGCATGCTCCTCTCTTTGAGCCTAGAGGTTGTGGATTGTACGGTGATGAACCGGGAGATCGAGCTTTGGGGCCCGCGGGCGCCCTACTCCGGCTCGGAAAATGGATCTCCTTTGAATAACTTTTTGGCAGCTCACTCTGGAAGAAGATGCATCGTCTTCTTGGATGAATTTGAAAAGACCACGAGGGAGATTCATCAATCACTTTTGCTTCCTTGGGATAATGGTAAGCCAACAGCCGGTGAATCGCCGATTCTAATTTCCTAACAGATTTGATACAGGTGAATACCGCGATAGGCGCAACAATAACCGGATTGATTGCTCTAACACAATCTGGATCATGGCCACAAATGCCCTGGATGAGACCATTCTTGACTTCTGCCTGAAGAATGAAGTGATCTTTGGACAGGATCAGTCAGAGCAAGCTCGACTCTCCAAGAAGCTCTCTCGCCAACTCCAAGAAGATTTCCTCCAATATTTTGATGTAAGGGTTTCTAAATCTTTCCGTCGAGGCCATGTCTCCATCTAACAAATACTTCAGGCACCAGTAACCGGGCGGGTGTCCGAATTTGTCCCCTTTTTGCCGTTTACGCCCGGAGAACAAGCTGTAATCACACATAAATGTCTCTTAGAACTGGCCGACGACCTTCGACGACCAGTCAGCCTTTCAAAGGGGCGCGAGGAACAGCTTGTTGGGAACATAAGACTGTCAATCCGGAAAGATGCCACTGTCTGCCTCGCCTTAGCCCAGGAACATTACCATAAAAAGCTGGGCGCGCGTAGCCTGAAAACCGGCGCAAAAAAGGTCGAGCAGGTGATCCTAGATGCGTATCTTGATGAAGATGAAGAAATAAAAGAGACTGGGGAGATGCGTGATTTCTTTATTGATTACCATGCCGGCGAAATAATTGCGAAGGCTGGAAGGACCATCAAGACTTAGAGGTTTCTATGGCCACAGACGATAATTTCTATGTGTTTGGTGTTGGTCGTATTTTAATAGATACATTAGATCAAACGTATCTCATTGTTTCACATTGAACGTTTCCTATATAGACTTTCCGCAAATAGGAGAGCCGAAATAGGGACAGTGAACCATACGAACACCGTCAAAGCCTTTACCATGTGACAGATGTCGGCACTGAAACCCTGGCTGCATCTTGATGAGCCAACCGCTAAAGCTATCCCGTCCCCAACTGCGAACAAGAAATACAGTGGAAGTATCTCCGGAACCCATGGGAAGATGCTGAAAAAAATGCCAAATACTATGCAGAACATGGTGTATGTTATTGTTTTCCAGTTTACACCATGGTCGTCCCTCATCAGAAGCACAATACATAACGAGAAACAAATGACAAAACAGCCAAGAGAGCAAAGCTTCATGCGTAATTTAGTGAGTATCGGCCTCTAAGATAAGCAGTCATGGACTCTTACTCACGGTCAAAAGTACCCGAATCATTCTGAATAGCAGGCCTCCTCCTCTTAGTGTTGGGTCCGTCTCGTATCGCTGAGAAGGCCTAAAGGAAGGTGATAGAGAACGAGGAGGCATAGGCCTTGGAAATGGTTGCAATGGTGGCAGTTGTGGAATTTGTGGTAGTAGTATCGGCTGTGGTGGTTGTATCGGTTGTGGTGGTTGTATCGGTTGTGGTGGTTGTATCGGTTGTGGTGGTTGTATCGGTTGTGGTAGTTGTGGTAGCCATGGTGGCAGTTGTGGCAGTTGTGGCACCGGTATCCCGCGGAGGTGGTGATATATTTGTTCTTCTGAGTGGCCCCATTCGTCTGGAAGAGGCCTCTCGAGTCGTGTTCGTTCCTCTGTGCAAACTTGACGATGCCTGGGGTTATGGAAACACCTTGGAGCTATAGAATCTCCACAACCTGTAGTATACCAATGCTCAGGGTCAATGTTTCGCGGGTCGCCAGTATACTCATCCACCATGCTCAGGCTTTCAAGTGCTTTCAGTCCTACGTACTCATGATCACTCTCCCGTAGAATACTCGCGTTCCAGACAACCCAGTGGTTGCTGAATCTGCGAAGTGGTGTGTCTGGCTCGAGTTGGTCCTCAATGTAATGCCACGGACCGAAAGGCGCAAGTGCACAGTTTTGGATAAACTTCTCAAAACAGAAACGAGAAAAGTTCTTGGCCTCCAGTCTCTGTGCTAGAACATAAGCTGCCGCGGTATTAGATAGCCATGGCTCCTCCTGATATGCCTCTAGATTAGGACCGATGGACCATCTACTTGACTGCCTTCTCCTCAACCAAAAATCAAAAAGGCCGAAGACGATTGGTTGAACATTGTGTAATGTGACTAGATGATTCGGAGCGCGCCGCCCGAGTCGTGATAGGTAGGGCGATGCCGAGAACGCCTTCTGTTTGTCGAGCTGAAACGTTCTTGACGAGTTATTATCGTCGACCACTTGAACGTCAAGCGTAGTGCGTTCATGAAGCTCCATGTCAGCTTTGAAAACACCACAATGATAGAATCCTGTGCGAGGCCTGAATTGCGGCCATTCTGAACGGGGCTTCCTTGTACACCGAGAATCAAAGTCTGCACTTTTGTGAAATTTGCACTGGTGGTAGCGTGTGTTGTAGAGCACGGCGCTATCACTTCACCTACCGCTCTGCCTGAAAGGCATCCACAGGAATGAGGGGTCAGATGTGACGAGTCTAGAAAGGTGCGTCGTGGCTCGTCAATGTCCAATGGAAGATGCAGTTTGGTGTCAGCTCAGGCGGTAGTGCATCTATGTGGCGTGGGAGCTGAGGCAGGTCTTACTGCTTAGGGATAATGGCGCGTCGATGATAATACAAGGTGCGTCGATTGTGCAAGTATCGGTACAAGGAGGCAATGCCAATATTAGTTTCACCATATGAAGTGCCAAAGAGATCAACATGTGCACATTTAGGCCGTGATAAGAAACCACAGCGTTGCGTCAGGCAAATGGACATTCCCGCCATGCCCACATGATCCTGCTTCCTCCCCAGTTTCAGTCCCTGAAGTTTCACTTCCTTTGATATTCTCATCTTAAAATTTCTCTGGATACGAATGCAGATCTCATAGGATTGCTCTAGAGATGAGTAACTCAGATCGCCCGGCTTTTGGCCAGCAAGTCGCTCTTGGGGCTCTTTATGATGCCAAACTAGACATCTTTCACCCGGGCTCTATTCTGACTGGCGTGCCCCCAGCTGGTGCTGTGACTGAACGGCCGGCTGAGAAAACCAACAGCTCCGTCACAGTTGGGGGAACGTATCGTGAGCGCCATAATGCCCTTGATATCCAAGGTGACACCGCCGCTAGCATTCTCGCTGGTTTGATTAAGCCACAGGGATCAGGTGTTTATCTTCGCAATGCCTCGAGCGACAAGCTGATACTCTGCGGAGCGATTCATCATCATGTTTCCACTGTACAGGAGAAATTGAACTTCATGGCCCCAGAACTCCACAATCATCTTGATTTGGACTTGCTTCAAAATCGCGATAGCACCCATGTGGTTTTGGGGATCAACTGGGGCTTACATACCGTCCTGGAGGTGAAGCAGCACTTATCCCAAGATGCCAACTACAAGGATTCCAAGGATGCGTTCGAAGCCGATCTGAGCAAACTTCGTACTTTCTTCGAAGCTGAGAGTCAGGGCGCACCGAGCACTGCTTCATCTCGGATGAACCCAGAGTATGATTATACATTATACAGCGATGCGTTTGAAGAGGAAGGGCTGGTTTTGCAGACAACGGATGAGGCCCTGCAGTTCATCCGCCTAATACCCGATCATATCAGCCAGAGCAGCAACGGCAAGGGGTGGCCATTGTCCTATGCCTTGCTTCCGCTGACCATGTTGCATCACTTCATCCAGTTGCCTCATGAGCTCCAAGTCACTTCATCCCCCATAAGCCCCGAGTATCTTGCCAAGTTCACCAACCTGTTCGATAACTACGAGATTGCGGAAGCCAAGCTACGAGCGTACTACGCTGATCTTAGTCGGCATAGCCTCCACACATCAGAGAGCCACATCGAAGAAGTGCGTCGGTCCATTGATCAGCTTCGGAAGGCGAAAAAGCTTGCCCAAGAGGAGTTCAAGGAGGGATTAGTGAGCGTGCGACGAGGCCAGACAGCGTCAACGACTCTTTGGGACTTATTCAACCAGTACAACAACGGGGATTTCTCCCCAAGGAAGCTATCCGCAATCGCGGGTCAAGAGAGCTCCAAGCTTGATTTCATTAATCATGTCGTCTCTAATGGAGCCATCTATATCGGCCATAATGGGCTCTCTTATGAGGATGCCATAGATTCTCATGGCGACAGTGGCTGCTATGCCTTTCTCTTCAACCGAAATGGGATGAAAAGCCAAGGTGTCTGGAATGACAATTGTGCGTTGCTGATGGGGCTGCTCACACGCGCCCGCCAAACAGCTCCTGTCTATGTTGTAGACTGTGATGCGACGTCCAAGTCCTTGGATTCGGATGCTCCTCGCATTTGTCGCTTCCAGAATGGCGAGGAAAGCATCTCCGATTTGCTCGACCACCAGAAATTTATGGCCGAGAAATCTCTCGCCCAGTACCAGACGAACGCTCTAGATACCAGTCTAAACAACAAGCCCGTCAAACGCCGGTTTGTGAAGATACCATGTCCGTGTGGCAAGTGTGATCCCACTAGAATTTGCGAGTGGTCGTGTTCCTTTTGTCTCGCTCCTATTGAATATGGCTTCACGGACGAATTCATATACTGTGAATGCGGACGGGCCCCGTATAGAAGCTATCAATTCAAATGCAATGGTGATCGTCATGGAACTGATTACGTCCCCTACTCTACCAAGACTCTCAGTGGGCTCCTGGGCAACTTGGACCAGTCAGACTACATCAACATCCTGATTCTGGGCGAGACTGGGGTAGGGAAATCCACCTTCATCAACGCCTTTATCAACTACCTGTCCTACGAAACTCTCGATCTCGCCAAGGCATCTGACCAATTGGAGTCGGTGATCCCATGCTCCTTCTCTATTCAAGTCATGAACAGAAGTGATCAAAATCAACCAATTGAAGAGAAAGTTATTAAAGTTGGTGGCCGGGAGGATGAAGCAGATGGATCCAAGGGTGCATCCGCAACTCAACAGACAAACGTGTATTCAGTCAATATTGGCTCAGCCACATATAGGTTGATTGACACTCCGGGAATTGGCGATACCAGGGGAATCCAGTATGACAAGAAGAACATGGCAGACATCCTTAGCACGCTTAGCAGCTACGAGAATCTGCACGGAATATTGATTCTTCTCAAGTCAAACAACGCCCGCCTGACAATCACATTCCGCTTTTGCGTCAAAGAATTACTTGCACACCTCCATCGAAGCGCTGTTGAGAACATTGTATTCGGATTCACCAACACGCGAATATCGAATTATACCCCTGGAGATACATTCCAGCCCCTCATGTCGCTTTTGAAGGAACACTCAGACATGGGATTGACACTCTCGAATTCAACAACATACTGCTTTGATTCAGAAAGCTTCCGATACTTGGCAGCATACAAGAATGACTGCCTTCTCCCCAACGAGGAGGATTTCCGTCGCAGCTGGGAGCACTCGAGAATGGAGTCAGTGCGGCTTGTCGACTATTTCAAGACCAGAAAGCCTCATAGTGTCGTGAGCACTATTAGCCTAAATGGCGCTCGCCAACTCATCATGGAGCTCACCAAGCCTATGGCCGAAATCTCCAAGTTGATTAGAGATAATATCACCGCGATGGAAGACAAGAAACAGCAACTTCTGGACACGAGGCTGACCGGTGATAACCTCCGTAAAAGGCTTCAACTCGATAAAATTCAATTCCAAAGTCGGCAGCTTGATAAACCTCGAACGGTTTGCAGAAACACGACATGTTGTGACTTCAAGGACAGTGGAAAGGGAGACGGGGAGACTGTCACCATCTACAAGTCCCACTGTCACCCAGTGTGCTATCTCACTGATGTGAAGCAAGACGTGGTTGCACACCCAAATCTAATCCGCTGCGCCGCTTTCAGTGGCAGTGATCATTGCAAGAGGTGCACACATCACTGGCAAGAGCACATGCATGTCTTGTATGAGCTTGAGCAAGTCACCGTTCAGGTAACTGACACGGAGATCCAGAGACAACTACAAGCCAACGCTGGAGATGTCACGCTGCGTCAGACTGGTATCGCGGAAGCGTCAAAGCTGATTGGGGAATACAAATCAGAGCACATGCAAATTCAAGAAGCAGCAGCTCGATTTGGGCTATTTCTCAAGGCGTGGGCTTTGACGCCAATCAACGATGCAACCGAGGATTACATCAACATGCTCATCCAAGATGAAGAGTCCAAGATCGAAGCTGGGAGACAGCTAAGACACAATGTGGACATTAACAAGAAACGTCTTCAGGGCCTAAAAGAAGACAAACAAGCGCACCTAGAACTTGTCAATACACTGACCAAGCATATGCGTGCTCCACGCAACGCGAAAGAGCAACTACTGGATGAGAAGGGTGTCGAGCAGCTTGTTGCCAGGCTTTACAGCCTCCCACACTTTGGCTAGAATCTCAAAGCGGTGAAGAATACAATCACGTCCGCCCATAAAGCCACGTACAGAGAGCGGCCTTACCGTATCGGCGGAAGAGCAGGAGCGGGATTTGGAGCTCGGCGTTCTAAGCCTCAACAGGCGCCGGCACGTGTCATCACAGTACAGAAAAGGTCTCCGCCTAAGGTGGTTACCAAAGACGGCCACCGGAAACATGATAACCGCAGCTCTGGCCTGTTTAGTAGTATGTTTTCAGGACTTTCTCTAAGATGAGCAAACTCGCAGCAGGGTTGGACGTCCATGCAAGGATTTATGATGGCGGTCTGGCCACGGCATTGGGGGAATACGAATTTTAATGGAATTGGGCTTTCCGAGTTGAGATTTTGAGGCTTCTATTAGCTAAACATTGGGGTATGTAGTTTTTGACCAGCCCAACGATTTTAAAACTATTACCACAGGCAGGAGGCAGATAGGTTGAAGTCGGACAATCGTTTCTAGTTCCATTGTGAAATCCATAACGTAAAAGAAAATAGGTGTATTTATAGCTAAGAGAGCTCTAAGCTCTGCCCATAAATTTGTTGCATATCCCTCGGTGATAATCTTGAGCGAACCTTGCTCTTTCATGAGAATGAAAAGCCACCTTGCCAGTCCTTCTAGCAACAATGGACACACCAGAAGAACCACATTTTATCTAGTTTCGTTATCGAGAATCTCCAAACCGCAACATTTTCTTTTTGGAAATCTCGCGGCTTGGTCTTTCTGCTCTGTGGATAAGCAAGTCCTTAGCCTGCCCAACGGAAGATAACTTAGACCCTCTTCTTGGCGCCGGCCTCTTTGGATGGCTTGAGACCAACATCAAGAATGAAAGCAAGCCGGTTGACCACCGCGAGAATCGTCAATACCCAATTCACCCAGTCCTCTGGTCTCATACCAGACACGGACAATCCCTCAGGGGTGCGAGCCTTCAGCTCCACCAAGCTGCACACGATCAACACATCCACCACCATGACGCCGAAATTGCAGAACTTCCACACGCCCAGATCATCGGTGTAGCGCAGAAGACCGCCTTGTAAGATGGCGATGAGTAAGTACAGGCCGGCGAGTTGCCACATGAGCGGGTCTAGAACGGGGTCCTGCTGAGAACGTTCAGCAACTGGCCCGGCCTGGGCGAGGATCAGGTCGCGATTGAAGAAGACAAGGAGGGCTGTCGCGATGGATGTTATAGGATCTATCCAGCGGAAATAAATATCATAGTAGAGGGGAACCGTTGTTTTGGCCGCCATTTTAGCAATTGATGGTGAGTGATGATATAGTTCCAAACGTAAGGATGAGGAATGTAAAGTAATGAAAAAGAAAGAGAAGGAGAATAAGCAGATGCGGGGAAAAGGGTGAGACCAGCTTATTTATTAGTTCTGTCGGCCCTCAGCACTTGGCATCTGCTTATGAGTGAGATCCTATTCCCCGATAAAGTTAAGGCTCGCAACAAAAATACTGAAATCGTTCCAAAATTTTGATGTGGTACTTCTACCATAATTTAACTTCTCAGTCTTCAGGGCATGGACTATCCATGGGGTTGTGCTATGCCCATCGCGGACTTTACACATTCTCAGACTTCGCTGCCGCCAGTATCCTGCGCGCAGTTGGTAGGTCTAGCTGACAGGCTGCAGCCACCCCTTTTTTATTTCCTCGTGCATACAGTTCGATGCAGGCCGTCTCTGTTGGTTCCATCTCGTCACAATGGTAGTGTTGGTTGCCAATCATGAATGCTCCATGCTGCTGTGCCTCATGCCAGCATGCGAGAAAAGACCCATCATCTACAAGCTGATAAGCGAGAGTGAGACGCCCGGTTAAAAAAATAGGGTCAAGGTGCAGATTGTCGTCAAATCAGGCTTACCAAAGGAGCCTGTAGCAACAACATCACCAGACATTGGGTCACATTGTTCCTCCCTCTAACCCCCGTCAATACACTGCAGCCTCAGCGGCCCTCGGAGGGACCAATACTCGGTTCATCTTGGCAACAGTGCACTTAAAATTAGCAGCTATTTCGAGTTAAGATGGCATGCCGGAGAGATGTGTTGTTCCATTGGATAGAATAGCGGACAACGTCGTTGCACTCTTGCGTCGTCCGGATCTTCTCCTGTCTCACGTCAGTCAATGCCTGAAAACGTGCTCTACGGAAGCGTGGTATTGTATTCTTCTTCTACACGGGGGCAGATCAGCATCAAGTCATTGTCCCCGCTTAACAAAGGTCGTCCGCCTAACCTAACCTAACCTAACCTCCCTTTCATGGCGGCGGCTTTACCGATCCGCAAGCTGCTCCATGGCTATCATCAGCTAGAAGATCTGCATATCACAAAGATGCCGGGGAGCGGGGGTTTGTTCCTACTAACAGGCAAGAAGTTGCTGCTGAAAGAATTTATGGAGCAATCCACCGTGGTATGCAGTTGGTTTGTAGTCTTCATGCGAATGGTTCTTACTTAGCCACTGGATTACACAGTGCAAGGACACATGAGGGCTATATTGGACGAGGCCTAGCCTTTTATTCTATCACATTGCCATTTTCTCTACGCCATGATATCGCTAGGTTTTCAAATCCATATCTGCGTTTCCAGCCCATAAAAGCTTACCCATTATCCTCAACATGGAAATGTCCTGTGCTTTCCAACTCGAAGTTTCCCCCAGGTTGGCCATGGTCTATGGTTTCACTCTGACTGACAAGTATCTCATCGCTGCTGCGCAAACATGTGTCGTGTATAGCCATGATCCCCTCCGCCCGGGAAAACAAGCCGACTTTAATATTGGGTTTAACTGGGAGGTGAAGTGCCACCCGGAGTCTAACCTCTTGCTTGTTGCTACATGGGATGCCGCTGGCAAGGTAGGATTGTGGAATTATGAGAATGGGTACGTATGTATTTATTCCAGCTCATTGCTACCGCTATCTAATTAAAAAAAAATTATAGTACGTACATCCAGGACTTTATCGGGGGCGGGATGGCACGTTCTGTTGCATTCATCAACAAGTCCCAATATGCATCTAGTTCTAGCAGTAGCGAGATTCTGCTATGGCAGCGAGAGAAGCAAGAGCCTACCCGCACTCTCCAGGGTCATAGAGGACGGGTCACACGGCTAGAAAGCAAGGAGAGCATGTTGTTTTCTGCATCTGAGGATGGAACTGTACGAATTTGGAACACAACGTCCGGTGAATGTATTCAAGTGTTGGAAGGCCACCCGGAGGATACCTCGATTCTGAATTTTAGCCCTGATGGCTCTCCCCTTCGCGTTGGCGGCGGCACTGGTCAAGTTCGCATTTGGGACTGGAAGAATGGGTAAGAGACCCAAGCATTGAACTGCATTTTCCACTAACCAGAAATACACCAGCAAAATGAAGGCAGAACGACAAACTGAAGCCAGGCATACTACGCTCTACTTAAATGCCAATGATGGGAACCTAATAACTGGTGGGATTGATGGAACAATTAAGACTTGGACACAGGATGGTGAGCTCGTCGACAGCTTTGTTGCGCATGGAGTCCCAGTTCGTGGGCTTGGTAAGGTTGGTCAATTTCTAGTCACTATTGGAACAAGTGATGGCCGTATTAAGCTTTGGGATTGGCAAAGCCGGAAGTGGCTCGTTGATCTTCAGGAGCCAGTTGGTTTTATCAGGAATGCTACGACAGGACATGGGAAGTTGGCTATCTTGTCCAAGGGTGAGTCTGGGGAGACTCACAATGTACAGGTTTGGGCTCTGGATTTGATTGAGCAGTTTGCATCCAGGCATGTTGATAGCGCGTTTTAGGTTCTAACATCAAGACAGAGCAACATGAAAGGAGTTGTCTCGATAGAATGAGAGATGTTTCCTTTGCAAGCCTCTTCTTCACTTATGCTATCCAAAAATCCCAAAACTGGCGTGGTACTTCCACCCCCTTTCGATCAACTCACAACGGCCCTTAGAGTGATTGACTACTTTCGCACCGCGCTGGATATCTCCCGAAACGGCAGACGATGTCGACCGTCCCCATCTGTCGCGGCATCCCCCTTGCCCCTCACCCATTGTTTTTTGTGTAGGTTCATATATTCTGCTCTTAATTAAGCCGTCGCCCTCTGTTTCTCTTTGGTTCAAATTTAGCCGTAAATTTCTGCCCAAAGGCCTCAAAATACTCCAGCTGACGCTTTCTCATGTATTCTTCAGATGGGCGATTGCTCGTCTAACGAAGTGTTGCCAGCCGAGGCCTAATCCTAGGGCTCATTTTCGATCTCAATCATCATCGGCTTACAAATGAACATACGGCAGAATCATAAATTACGTTGCGGAAAAGGCTAGGAGCCCTGACGCCCGAGGATACATCTCAATAATCAACCACAAGCAGTTACGCCAGGGGAGGGGGGGGGGGTATGCCAGGCTCTCTATTCCAACACAAATATCTCTTCGGCCAAGTTTCTGTCAGCGGCAAATGCCTCACCACTCATGACACCATCAAAATAACACTCCCCAATAAAGCGGTAAGTCCCAGGTTCTCCGGATGGCCGCAACAGGTAGGGCACGTCTCCACCATATAAGATCACAACCACATCTCCCGCCATCGCCGTCCCAGGACAGAGCCCAATCCCGCCATCTTCAGTGGTAAACATGCATTTTCCATGGCAAGGGAGCCAAGTCGGCTCCTCGTCGCTTGAATCCCACTGGGAACTGTCATCGGAGCCAGTCTGGGCATCACTCCCGCAACCGCTATGGGCATCGCTCTCTGAATCACTCTGGGCCTCACTCTCAGAACCACTCTGGGCTTCACTCTGAGAATCGTCGCTAGTGAAAGGGTCAGGCGGGTACCTCTCCCAATGTGCCATATAGTGCCGAAACAGCTCGTTGTAATGACGATCGTGCTTTCCCAGAACCCCCCTGGCGTTGCGTGCGTTCTGCCACGTCCCGAGTGTACACGGAGGGTCGAAAACTCGCATGTACGCCTCCTGGAGACCTGCCGACAAGGGCGGCTGCTGAAAGTACGGATAGTGGGTTGGCTCGGCCGCGATCGAACCGACCCGTACGCCCCTGAGCTTGAGCTTTACAGCGAAGCCGTCGGTGTCTTCCCTGCTGGCTGCCGCGGGTAGTGTCAGGAGTCCCTCATCGATGGTTTTGCGGTCGCTGCAGGCGTGATATACGCAGACGTCATCCTGGAGGGCGAGTGTGCCCCTTACCCAGGAGCTGTGGCCCGCGGACCAGAGAGCCCAGGAGGGACTACGCTGCTGGGGTAGATTCCCATCGTGCGCCTGGAGCTGGAGCCATTGCCTGCCCACGAGAGCATGGATGGCTGATAGGATGCGCAGCGATCGATGCTGGAGTATCCACCAACGCGTGAAGTCGGCGTACACCCGCCCGGCGCTCTTGGTGTAGTCCGGCCTGAGCAAGGTCGGCAGCGTGGCAATCTGGTGAGTCTCGTGGCCAAAGATGAGCAGTGCGAATATCTTGTCTCTGGGATCGGTGGCTTGGAGATCGAGTCCTTCCAGGGCGATGCTCAGGATATCGCGGCGATCGGCGGGAACACAAGTTAGGACGGACGCTTCTCGATCTCGAAGAATATCAAACAAGCCCGTGAGCAGCCGCGGCATGGTGTAATTATTGAGGTACTTGAGCTGATCGTAAATGCAGCGATTTGCCTGCGCAATGTCTTCCCACGGTAGCTGTTCTTTCCCGCAATGGACCATCACTTGGCGCTGCGATCTCGTCGTTCCGGACGGCGGGTTCCAGACCTCTTGCAACACCCAGACACGGCGGAACCAGGGCCGGATGAAGATGGAGTCGGCGTCTACGAAGATGAAGGTCTCGTGGGCGATCATTTCATGCGCTTCCCGCGAAGTTGGGAGTCCGAGCTCAGGCTTGGTCCCCAACCTTTCGTGATATCGCTGGGCAACAGATCGAATGATGCCAAGATCCTCCGTCACCAAATCATCCGCCTCTCCAAGCCATACCCGGACTAACCTGGCAGATTCGAATATCTCCCCCATCAATGCGACTTGGTGAGCGCGTTCCGCAGGGTCGGCTTGGTTGATTGAGAGAAGGTCGACCCAAAGCACTGCTGGCTCGTCCAAAGACCTGAGGTGCCGAAGGGCTGATGCAAGATTCCTCCGAACGTAAATCTCGGTGTTTTGTAGACCTAACTCGCCGTCACTGAGGAGAACCGCCTCTCTTTCTGCAGAGTCTCCCCAGCAGTACGATAGTGCGTCGTATGGGACATGATCTAGATCCTCCAGCGACGAGTATCGGAGTGACAACCGGAGGGTGGCATCCTCACTTGCGCCACGGCCATCAGGCTCAACCACCACCAGCCGAATTTCCTTCTTGTCGAAGCTCAATGGCCGATAGAAGTCTTGGCTCTTGTCAGTCGTCCCAAATAGAGGTTGGTGTACAGATGGCTGGGTTGAGACAAACTCAACCCAGAGCTCGATCCGAGCGAACCGCACCACGTTGGTCCACCCGGGATACCAGGCCTTGGGGACGATCATGATAACATCACCTCCGTGGAGTTCCCCCAGCCACTCAGCCAGCGACAGGCCCTTGCTCTCTGTCCTATTAACCCAGGCGGCAGCACCGGGGCCAGCCTCGGCCAAGGCCTCGTCGCGCCTGTCCCAGACATTTGTGTGTGTGCGGAACACGTCGCTTGAGTGATAATTATACTGGATACGGCGTTGCGGCACGCGGAGAGCCCCAGTGGACGGGTCTGATACATGAGCCTCGAAGAAGGAGTTGGAGTCGCGGTAGGTGCCGATGGCGCCTTCGTTGTCGCTGAAGCCTTGGTCGTGAGATTCGGTGGTGAATACAATGCGATGGACGACAAGCGAATCTGAGGGACTACGTTCATTGTTCGAATCCGGGGTAGGAAGCCTCAGCGAGACGTAAGCGGCTTCTGGGCAGAGGGCGGAGGTCTGTGATGAGTGGGATGAGGAGGTGGAGTGATACTCCCAACGAGGGTCAACTGAGAGCTGGATGGCAGCCATGACGAACCAACACCAGACTGAATCAGCGGGCTTTGCCTAGTTTTTGGTACTAGATGATCGCACTAACGCAACTGTCCTGTCTATCTCGGTAAGTGATGAGAGTTGGTCGACGTCAGCAGACGGGGAATTTTCCAAAAATTCCGCAATCGCAACCAACAGTTCCTATTATTAGCGATAGCAAAGCTGAACATGCGCAGTTCGGAATTTCAGTACCACTCCACTGACTAATCTCAGCAGCTGGAACTCATACTGCATTCAGCCTCTAACCTGTGTCCAAGATTTATGTGTCGTTGGTCCCTACCTCATGTAAGACAGATGAAGATATCACGGTTGAGCGATGTATGAGCGATATACAAACAGCCACATTCATGGAAGATCAAAGCGAGAACTCTTGATTATTTTAGATGTGTTGGTAGCCATGTATAATTTCATGGAAATTATTGTTCCTGGTTTATATATCAAAAATGTATGCAATTCTAAGCCCCCCTTGCCCGAAAATTACTTCATCTGATTTCTAAAGTGACCTCTACAGTCTATTGGACGTAATAGCTCTATCAAAAACATCAATGATTCTCCTGTACATGTCCTGCATCGCTTCGGAACTACCGTCCGTACCAGTCCACAAGGAAGACCCATCCCTCGATTTGAACAGGATCTGGCGAATCTCCTCAGCCGACCCTCTTAGTGACTCGAACTCGGGTGGGAACTCTGCAATGATGGTGGCAAAGTCCTCCTTCCTCATGTCCTTGAGCTTCTGCTCCGCTAGGTCGTCGAATGACTCTCCAACCCATTTCTGTAGCCTGCTGGAGTCGGGAGGATCGTCATCTCCATTTGAGATTAGAACCCACACAAATACGTAGAAGAATGATTCCAGATCGTGTCGGTATGTGTGCCGTCTGCCCTTCAAGACGTCAATCGCCATGAACGGCGGCGTGCCCGTGATTTCCCTCGCGTTGCTTCGCCCCGAGTCGAGCTGTGTCGCCACATCGAGATCGATCAGTATCCCTCTCGGCTCATCGTCTCTCGGTGCATCTGTGATCAGAATATTTCCCGTGGAGATGTCCTGGTGGATAATCCGAGCGTCTGTTAATAATGACCTATGGGCTTTGATGGCATCTCGTAGGGCTTCAAGCAGCTCTGTTCGGCTCTTGAACGAGCGCAAACTCCTTGCGACGGGGGATGTGACAACACAAGTGAGGATGAGATCCTCAAAGGGCTTCCCGGACTCTTCGGTGTAGTCGTAGATATCCTGCTCGGACGAGTCCCACGTCTTGACCAGTTCATCCTTCTTCCCCAGGTCAGGAACAAATCTCCGGTATGAGGAATACTGTAGGCCTCCGCGCAGGTACGACGTCCGCGTAATGTACTCGTAGTAGTCGATGGACGTCACACCCCAGACGTTCTTCTCCTTGATCACCTGCAGGATATCTTCCTCCTTGCCATCATTCTTGGTCCGCCACTTGAACTTGACAACGTGACTCCATCGATCTGATTTGGGGAGCTTTGCCCGATATGCCGTCGTGCCAGGTCCGAAGAGATTTTCCGACCTGGCAATCGGCTTGTGCTCCAGATACAGCCTCTCCAGTCCCTCCGCATGGCTTCCATGGGTCTCCACAAACTGACCAATCTTGTCCGCCTTCAGGACCTGAGCAATGCCGAGCTCCTCGTCGTCCAGCAGGGCGTAGTGATCGATGACGGACAGGAACTGGTTAAACTCAGATTGGATGTCGATAGCCGAGCTGCTGTACATGCCCGATCGATCAAAGACCCACAGCTCCATCGTCTGGCCGCAGATGTAGAATCCGTGGATGAAGAACCGCGTGGGCTGGTTGGCGAAGACGTCGCGGGCCTGGTTGCAGAAGCGCAGGAAGCCCTCCTCGTACTCTGCAGGGCCATTTTCCCGGCTGAACTGGCCGATGACGCCCACCCGGGCCCATTGGGACTGGGCAGCAGCATCGGGTTCCGTTGGGCGCAGCAGGACAAGATCTGCACCGGCAGCATTGTCGACGGTGGCCTTGGCAGGCAAAGACAGCTTCCATCTGCCCCCATTGGCGTCGTCGGCGAGATGTGCGGCCAGCCATTTGAGAAATGCGCTGGCGGTGGGAGGAGGGGCTGATGCTGACGAGGGGCTCAGGAAGTACTTGTCCAGGAACCCATCAACATCGACATGGATGCGGGCGTAGATGTCGTCCAGGATATCCTCGGTGTCTGTATCAGACAGTCCATCCAGGCGACGAATGGCACCAGGGTCGATGGCTTGGGTGTGGTTGGAGATAGCCATGCTGGGTGCTTCGTCAGTGAAGATCACACTCTGCTGTGTGTGTGTGTGCTTTAAGGTGCTGTAATATGCTGCTGAGCTGTAATATCTGCCACGGAAATGACGTAGAAAATGAGCAGCTGTTGCGGTTTTTAGGCGACGGTGAAACGCACAAATTAAATAAGCAGGAATTGCGGTCTCGTGATTCGATTTGCTTTGCTTTGCTTTGCCCCGGCTCAACTCAGCTCAGCCCAGCGCCACTCGCTTGTGCGTTTTACTGTTAATTTTTCGGGCGCGAACCTTGATCAATCAGATCAGATGTAACTCAGGTGGGCATCAGCTATTTCCCCTCCATTGTTTAGCAGTAAAGCCGGTGGTGGGGTTCACTCTGGCATGTGGATAGCAGCCATACTCAGTTACTGACATTTACTTATTTATTGCAGTTGTTCATCTATTTACTATTAACCACTTGATCACTTGGACTCTGGACTCTGTAACTTGACTCACTCGCCACTCCGTTCTGTTCACATGCGCAAATGTGTCATCCGGCGTGGCGCTACAACTCTTCAGCATCAATGATCAGGCCATCTTCCTCAATCCATTTAGCTCCATTGCGGCTTACATAATTCCATTCCCACTAGAATCGTTCATCCAGACTTTGCGTGAAGTGCCGAGGTGTCTGCTCCCAGGCAATCAATCAGGTTTCCATCTGTTAATTGCGGTTGCATCAAGATGATCATGGCGAGAGGACTGGAAGCATCTTGGAAATCCGAAATGTTGGTCGGTCAGTAGATGATTGGAGCCCGACAATCTCGCACCAGCGGAGTGTTAAGAGAGGAAACGATCAGCGTTCTCCCACCCTAGATTCAGTCAGCTAATAACTGATCAACACCTCGCACTTGTTGGGGCTTAAGTCTCGCTAGTGCTTTGCTTACTTTTATTCGTCAACTGCTTGGTCTTATTTTTAGAGACTTTGACGGTATTTCTGTTGAACGATTGAATGTTGACCTCGGTTATGTGTTCGCTTATCTTTGCTTGCCAACTCTCGACACTCAGTTCTGTGTATTGGCCATCTCTTTATTTTTATTAACCATTCGGCGATATGGGTCGTAACCAGGTCTACTGCTGTATCTGTGGAGGTCCGTTTCTAGAACCTGGTACCCGGGGAGCATTCTTTCGCATGGCCAAGTATGTCATTCTCCTAATAGCGCTGTAGTGAAGATGAGCTGGGCGATTGGCTATGTCATCCAACCCTTTGGACTACTGTCCATGATGTAAAAGATGGCGTCGAGTTAGACATGTACAAGTGGGAACTAGGAATGTATACCTATGACCTTGTCGATCCGGTCGATGATTCCCAAAGACGAGTGCTGGAACAGGAGGCCACGTATCAGGAGCATAATGTGTTCTTGATCTCAGAATCAGGCGAAAAGGTCACCGCCTTTCACGTTGTTGACAATGAGAGCGCCCTGTACCTTGCTGTCCACGGCCGATGTTCCCAGCTGGTACAGCGCTTTATCAGCAGCAGACCCGAGGCTCACGACGTGTTCCAGATCAGCGACAAAGATGAGATCTCTTCCGTCAAGCAACTATGGCAAGTTATTTTTACTCGGCTATCGGCATCTGGGCGTGGGTTTGCTTATAATATAGATCATCCGACCCGATATTACGGTATTGCTTCTCTTCATTTGACAGAGTGGGAGCCAGACAATGACCCGTTGGTTGGTGAAGTATGCAAGTTCAAGATTTTCTTTTCTCAAAGATCCGTTCTAATAAGAAAATTAGTATGTAGAAGCAGACCCAATCGAGGTGCCTCAACTGACTGAGTGCATCCTGGATAATCTGGAACTAGGTGCTTCGGGGATTCGCAGTGAGGTAACTTCAACTGATTTAAGAGATCAAGGTTGGTGGTTCAATAAATTAATCACCAGGAAGGAACTTGCTTGGCTGTGGGACTTGAACGAAGACATAGTCCGCAAGAAGCAACGCACTGGTGATTGGAATTGGGAGCGTCTGGTTAAGACGCTGTCCGGGACTGACATTTATCGTCCCGAGGATGAGACTCTGTGCCTTCCTCTAGGTCTTCGCAACCGACGGAGGATCTGGAAATGCATACAAGACGCAAGACTCGGCGATATTCAGAGGCAGATAGGCCCTCATCTTCTTGGCTTTGCAGTACCAATGGAAGGGAACCTTTGGGATGGCTATACACCAAAGAGCTAACAGCCAGCTGTATGATCGAACAAAAATTAGAAACGAGTTAAAACTGTCCTATTGTCTTTAGGAGCGTGGAGAGACGGCTATTGAGGAGCTCTTACCGTTCATCTTCTTGTGATCATCGTGCTCCTGCCTTCACGCCCTTTTGTGTTTGATATGGGCCAATATATAAAGATCGTGTGATGAATAGCTTAGTTTCACTGATCAGAAAGACTGTAATCTTTCTTGGATAACAGGAAAAGAGGCCTGGCAGAATGCGCCCGATTTCAACTGAGAATAATCACGCAATCAGCGAACCGTATGAGCCATATGGACCTGGATGCATGATACTAAGCACCTCTTAGCACTCAATAGCGAGTAGAATGTGAATATTTCCTAAACCAAGACTTGGAAGTCATGTTAGGTTGACATCAATATGTGCAATTACTAATCCAGCCATATCGTCATGCCAATAAGATAAGGCATCATCATATCCAGTATGCAGACCATCTGATAAATGTCGCAATAATTCCAGTTGTATTAGGCGGAATTTGATATCCTCCATGCCAAGTACATCACTCAAATAACTCAAAATTCCAGTGAAAAAAACCTGTTGTATACTTGAACATCGCGAAAAGCACATATCACGTCTCCTCGCGTAAACATGTCGCATCTCGAATCCTACAAGCACATATCCCCCGAGTCTGGCCAACCTATCACCTTGCATCCTCTTTTCAATGACAAAATCAAGAACCACGTACCACCGGACCCGATCAGAGATGAGATTACCCCCTCACCTGACAGGGCTGGCTTTGCAGATCCGGAAAAGAGAGATCTTCTCTCTGTTGCTAAAAGATCTGATCTGACCGAGTCGATTGGAACTCTCCTCGAGGATGTACAGCTCTCACAATTGACTCCGACCCAGCTAGATGAATTGGCCTTGCTTGTATCGGAGAGAGGTGTTGTCTTTTTCCGAGATCAAGACCTCACAACTGAGAAGCAGGAGAAACTCTTTGAGCATTACGGTGTCCTGGACAAGCACCCTGCGCAGAAAGACGTCAAGCATATCGTCATCCGGGGAAGCACCAAGGACCACAGGGAGATCTCCAAGTATACCCCCTGGCGCTCAGATGAATGGCACGCGGATACATCGTTCGAGCTCAATCCTCCGTCTTACTCCTTGCTCCGGATGGAGGAACACCCCGAGGTAGGAGGAGACACGGCGTGGATTTCAGGGTACGGACTATACGACGCCCTTAGTGAACCCTATAAGCGACTTTTGGAAGGGCTTCATGCGGTGCATACTTCAAGAGTAAGTCATTCCACGCGCTCCGGTACATCCCTGAATGAGTGGCTGATGATGTCTAGCTGCAATACGAAACAATCTTGGATCTCTGGGAGGTGGGTCCCAACCGTCCGCCTATTGATACGCATCATCCCGCTGTTAGAACCCATCCAGTGACTGGCCTCAAATCATTGAATGTGAACTTGGGGTTTGTGTCAGGCTTCGCCGAGTTGAAGAAAGCCGAGTCAGGTAAGATATTTTCCAAAAAAGAACTAGATACGTGCATTACTAATTACCTGTCTTCATGATGTAGACAAACTACTCGACTTTTTCAGCCACCACATTCATTCCGCGGATGATCATCTTGTTCGATGGAAATGGACAGTAGGCGCAGTAGCAATGTGGGACAACCGGTGTGTGATCCACCGGGTTATCCCAGGTTCTTACAAAAGTCCGCGGCGCGGGATACGCACAACCGTTTTCAGCGAGAAGCGTAAGCAGATGCACCCCATCAACCTTCAATGCAGTAAGATGGTGTGCTGATTTGACCCCTGTCTCAAGCATTTTATGACCCGAATAGTGAAGGGCGGGCAGACAGGGAGAAGAGAATCGAAAACGAGAGAAAACAGACACAGCCGTCCTCTGAAGTCTAATCCAAGGGTTTGGGTTCTCAAGTTTTTCATATATCACAAGTATAAAGGGTTGAAGACAATCTACCTCTTCTGGATATGGAGGATCTGCTCAATATAACCCTCCTCAGAAAGTGTGTTGATATTTTGATCAAGGACATTCATAATTTATGAAGTATGTGATATCTATCTGTAGAAATTCTGTTCAAAGTTGAACGACTTCTAATATCTATTTTCTCCAAACGTCTAATATCATTATGTATCAAAAGTGTCATAAGTGAGTTATCATGGCCTTCGTCCTGTCAAAAGCCTAGCATACATAAGAATCTGCGCCTCTAAATCATCCCTCTGCACAGGAAGCCGTCTTCGAAAGCTGTCCATGTCTGAAATCAAGTCCAAGAGATACTCTTTTTCATCGACCCCTGCAACTTCAAGAGTGAGGTAGAGAGAACGCTGAGATGTGACCCCAATAAAAGATTCGACGCTGCGTAGAAATCTAGCATATTTCCAAACATGCTCTGAAAGCTCCCTCAGCTTTGAATAAATATTCCTCGTTTCTGGGAGCCCATGGGCAGCGCTCCAGTCGTATCGCATCCGAACGATGCATAAGTGGACACTGGTCAGACCAAGGACGATCTGTGCCAAGTAAATTGTCGAAAAGTAATAGCTTGTTTCACAGAGAGAAGCTTCATCTAGTTTCTCCTCGATGTCGCCTGTGCCCAGAGCTCCCTCAAGGAACTTGGCCATGATGTCTTCTGCCACCTCATGTGTCTCCTTAAAACAATTTGTTATGTATATGCTGGAGCCGTGGTTAAACTCGCCATTGGAAGGCTCCCAGAGGGACTCGCAGGCACGTATCAAGACGGGCAGTGCTTTCGTGACGGCGTCAAACCTGTGGAATGCTGTCTGCACTAGCGGGGACAATCGATTGTTTCCCGTGTATTTCGCAAATCCTTCGATAATTGGGGTTCTGAATGGGGACTCATTCATGACATTTTTCCATCCTGACATTATCCAGTAAGGGACCTGAGAATCATCATTAGCCATTCTTACGCTCAGAAAACGGCACTTCTCGCTAAGATTGACACGATTGCAGAGGAAATAAGAGAGGCCCAACATACCAGAATGCTATAATCCTCGCACAACACACTGATATGAAACTCATCACTCGGTTCAGGTGGCCCTATATTTTCCAATAGAGTTGCCATCCCCTGGTCGTGTATCATTCTCTGTCCACCAGGATTGAATAGCTCTTCGGTTCTTTGCAAAATCGTGACGGCTGCCAGTGTCTCCACTGCGAATGCCTGCTCAGTTCCCAAGGCACGGCGTAAGCTCCGGATTGCTTTCCCATAGGCGGGTAAATTAATAAAGTCAAGCGACTGCCTTCCGCGGCGGAAATTGGACCAAACAGTACAGAAAAGGGCGATCGTATCCCGAAGGCATGGGAAATATGCGAGTCGGCCGGGAACGTACTGCAGATAGCTCTTCGACAGAATCATGCCACGATCAGTCGCCCGATTTAGGTGGCTAACCAGCTGAGCGGCAAGACGATCTGTTACTGTGGTAGGCAGAGGCCGTAGCTTGGAAGGGAGTCGGAAGCAGGTGAGATGAGCAGCAGGAATAGTTGCAATGTTGGCTGGTCGTCTTCTTTTATCTGGGCCTTCGGGCTCAGGAGACTCTGTGGATCGTCTAGGCCGAGCACACACTTCAGACACCCAGGCTGTGGAGATGTTCCCCCTTTCTACATATAATTCTGATCGAGAGTTCTTGTGGTTTCCGTCCCTGATAAACTTGACCAAGGACGTTGGTCCGGGGCAGTCGTACCCTCTCAGGACGCAGGGAGAACAGGCGGGCCAGTTCTCATCACACTTGGAAAGACATGTAAGTAAAACTGCCACTGAGAATTTCACAACTGCATACCTTTATTCTTCGGGCTTTGCAGGAACGACACCCTTTGGATCTGGGAATACCAGGCATGATGGCTTTGGAAAGGGAGCTGTATCAACTAGGCATAGATGTAAGAATTTGACAGCTGGATATATTAGAAGGAGATTCTGATCTGACTTGAAAGCATTCATGAAACCTTAGGTTATGTCTTTATTAAATACAAAATCAAGACTGCAGCCCTATGGTAGTACAATGCAGCTCAGATTGATCGGGACCCGCTTCAACCGCGTGGAGATTTGGTGCTTGACGATATTACCGCATTTGGAAAGACACAGCGGTAGGTGAGATTTCCTGCTGAGCCACACCTTGGCTGGGCGTAAACAGCAGATGGCCTTGGCATAGGGCTACAGTCTTGATGACAACGGGAGCCGAACGGGAGGCACCCGGACCATCGAGCTTGAATATCGGATCATTGAGATCAGGCAGTAAGGAATGCGGCAGATGACGGGATATGTTTCGGTTTCCGGCTGGACGAAAACTCTTCATTACGACCTGTCTGTTTATCAATTGTATAGAGTAAACATAGACATTTAGGACCCCCCAGCCCATTCCTTTCCCGTCTGGTTGGTGAGAATCGTCAGCCTCAACGGGTCTTACTTTGCGTAGCGATGGGGTGAGACTTGCTTGCAACAATGACGATATTGTAAGCACCGAGGCTCACTCAGGTTAATTATTTGGTGCCTCTTATTTTTCCCTATTTGGACTTCGCCAAGACCATGCATGCTTCGCCTTCTTCCTTCTTGCTCTCATTGGATGGCATACTTGATGTACCTCGCAAATTTATTTCTTGAAATGGGTTTCAAGGTTTGAGACTTGTTTTGGAGATACCTAATGTAGTATTCCAACTCTTTCACGTGTGGCTGAATTGGCCAATACTTACAACACAAGTGGACAATCTCCACGTTCACAGGTAAATAGATCTTCATACTTGGATTTTGAATCGCACTTGCAGAATTGAAGCCAATCCCAGCTACTTTGACATCTAGCCGTGATTGGACATAGTTATTATCATGATACAACTAGGATAGGAGTCCCGTGGCCGAGAGTTGTCCTCTCGTCTAAGGAAGAAGATCTGTGTCCCAACACTCCCTACCGTAATGCTTCTCCAACCACGTAACGGCCTCCCATTTGACACAACGGTTGTTCTTCAGGTTTTTGAGCGCGGCTTGGTACGCATTGCCTTTGCTCCCGCCTTCGGCGCAAATATCCACGCCGTGATCTCTCAGCCATTCCAACGCTCCAACGTTTCCCTGTTGGGCAGCTGCTTGTACCGCCGAGTTCTTCTCATTATCCTGCGCGTGGACATCCGCGCCTGCCTCAAATAACAGATTCATCATCTCAATTGTCCCCTGCTGGCCGCCGCCACGCGAGTCGTCACAGGCAGCTGCTCGCAGCACGGTTCCATGGTCGCCCGCGATGATATTCACATCCGCCCCGTGGTCGAGCAGAATCTTAGCGGTGGCCAGATCTCTCTTGTACGCAGCAGCGTGAAGCGCCGTGCCGTACACGCTCTCATCATCTGTTGCATTTACATCGGCGCCTGCGTCAAGCAGCGGACCGACCATCTCCGGGTAGCGGAGTGCAGCGGCTTGAAGAGGAGAGTGATACTGTCCGCCAAATCCATTCACATCTGCCCCGAGATCCAAAAGTGGCGTGACGAATGGCTTTTGAGCGCTCCCCCAACGTCCGCCTGCGATAGCAAGCGAAAGGGGCGATGCGAAAGTAGTGGAAGTGTCGATAGGATAATTCATGAAATGGCGTTTTCTTATGTTGGACGTCGTCCGTCTCGGCTTCTTCTCCATCCTTGGGGGGTTAACATTGGCACCTCGCTCGATAAGCAGGCGGAAAACGAGCATTTGGTTGCCCTCTTGACTGTAAACATGGCCGAGGGTCGCCTGGAGGGGGCTTCCATCGGGGAGGCCAAAATAATTGACGTTTGCGTCGTGTTCATCGATTAACCACTTGCAAAGAGCTAGATTGGAGTTACTTGCCGCTATCTGGAGGGCCTGTCCTCGATAGTCTGCCGTTTCAGACGGGTTCTTTGACAACTTGAGAAGATAGGATATTGACTTTTGGCAGTCTGCTTTCGCTGCTGCCTGGAAGCATTTTCCGAGATCTGGTTGAACAGTTTTCTCTCGGTCCATAAGAAACTCGACGATTAGAAGGTTGTTAGGCGCACCGAAAGCCTCCTGTATTGCTGCTGCGATATCAACGTCGGCGCCGTGTTCGATGAGGAATTTTACCATCTCAATGTGACCAGTTTTGCAGGCGCTCCCAAATGCGTGTTGACAATTATCTCCGCTTAGTTGCACTCCTGCGTCTATCAAAAGCTTTAGAACGGCTGTATCTGCATTCGCACAAGCGGCTGCAAGTAACGATCCATAGTTCCTTCGCTTGCTGTTTGGGTCCAGGCCATGATCAAGTAGAAACTTCAGGTCATCGAGTGACCCCTTCGTGGCAAGCTCTCTTGCGAGCGCATCACTACCTGTGGAGAATGTAGCACCTTGGCTTAGAAGATACTGTACAAGACTGTGCTTGCCAGATGAAAAAGCCAGCGCAAGGGGGCTTTGATCCTGATAATCCTGATTCAGGTCGGCCTCCTTCTCAATGAGAATGGGGACGTATTCGTCTAAATCATGCTTGATCGCGTGCCAGATTAGAGTTGAGTCCTTCTTAACAAGGGCTCCATTGTCCAGGAGAAACTGGACCACCTCTTTATCACCCGACTTGAATCCATAATGCAGGGTTGTCTCAACTTGGCTGTCTGGTCCATTGACATCGGCCCCTAGCTCAAGTAGCAACTGGAGCATGTCAATGCTGCCGCCTTTAGCTGCAAGCTGGATCGGGGTATAGCTATTGCCACGGAAATCGCCATAGACAAAGCCACCTTTTGCCCGTTTTTTAGGGCCAAGAATCTTATTCAAGTCAAGGCCCTTGTGCGATAACCAGCGTATGATCTCGGGCTTGGGCGTCTGTATTGGCCAGAACGGTCTGTTAAATATCAAAAGAAAAGGTTAGCATTCTACTGAGTCCGAGATCAAATATAAAAGCACTGCGGACTTACGCCATCTCCGCATTATTAGCCAGGTTGAAACCACTTTCCAAGAGAATCTGCGCAATTTCAAGTGATCCACCGTCTTTACAAGCATGAGCTATTGCCATTTCAAAGGCAGAGTAATTAATCGTGCGTTGAATGTCCGCCCCGAATTCGATCAACAAACGGACGATATTGGCCGAACCATCCTTCGCAGCCAAAACGAGAGGTGTGGTGTAGTGACTTTCGTCAATGGCATTGACATTAGCACCTCTCTCTAAAAGTTTCCGCACGACATACTCGTCACCACAGTCACGTTTCATCACGGCCACGTGTAGTGGTGTGCTCAAAGGGCTGCCAGAGTATGCTGCGGCGACATTCACATCAACATCTCTCTCCATGAACGCTTCGAATACCCACGGCGCCTTTTTATATGCGATCACAGCACCTGACACTCCACGCGGGCTCAGCTCAGCACCATTATCTATCAGCATTCTAGCCAAATCAAAACGGCGGTAGGCCACAGCCTTTGAGAATATCGAGTCATGAAACGTGGAGCCAGATTTGGCGTTGATATCTGCCCCAGCATCCAGCAGCATCTTGCATATAGCCATCGCTTCTTCACTATGCGAAACCGCTTCCTCAAGGGCTGTGACTCTATATTTATCCTTTTTGTTGACATCTGCGCCCGCCGAAAGAAGTATGCGAACGATTTCACTCAGACCATTGTTGGCGGCAATCTGAAGCGGGTATTTTGCAATCGAAAAGTCGTCTGGACCTGCTTTGTTGGCATCGGCACCGTGCGCGATGAGTAGCTTCACAAGTGGCAAGGATCCTGCTTTTGTAGCCCCGTAGAGGGGAGAGGGATCATGGCTAGACGGAGAGCCGTTCACATCAGCGCCGGCAGCCAGCAGCACTCTCGCGAGCTTCACGTCGCCAGCCACCGCTGCCCCGTATAGCGCCGATCCCGTCTGTTGAACGCCCCCGTTGAGGTCCGCACCGTTATCAATAAGAAGCGAAACAATCTCATGATGCTGGTTAGCAGCGGCAGCGATTAGAGCAGAGCCCCATTTCTGGCCACCTGGGGCGTTGACATCGGCACCAGCCCGCAGCAGGCGCTCTACCATGTACTTGGAACCTCCCACCGCTGCGATTTGAAGAACACTCCCAAACCTATTGCATTCCGTGTTGGGACTTGCCCCAGCATAAAGAAGATTCTCCACCACTTCAGTGTGCCCGCGGAAGACAGCAACGCCTAGAGCGGAACCAAAATAACCTCCTCGCGCGTGGATGTCTGCTCCTCGACTGATCAGCGGCCCCATGAGGAGCGGGTCTCCGAGAAGAGCCGCCCAGTATAGCGGCTGGGGAAACAAGTCTGCTGATTGCTTGATTGGTTCGAAGTGACGGTAGCCAAACCGGGCTTCGAAGTCAAGATCTGGGGAATAGATATTAAGCCAGTTGACGTAGGCCCCGACACCTTCCGGCTGAAAGAGCTTCTCGTAGACCTGGCGGAGAATGGCGTCGGTTCTCATAGTGCCCGCCTTGTCCCAGTGCGTTATCCATTCCACCGCAGCATATTGCAGAAGTGGCCATCCTTCGAAGTTCAGATCCGAGGCAACCTTGCCCTGATTGAACTGCGTCAGATAGAAGAGGCAGCTGCGGGCGATGAAAGAGTTCCCCTCCTCTTCGGAAGCATAGTAACCAGCGAAAGCACTTTCTTGAAGCCTGGAGGATACAAGATATTCTTTCACGGAATAATGACTCAGCGAGACAACAGTGGCCATCTTGTCGTAGAAATTCTGTCTGCCACGAGCATCGACCTCTCCCTTCTTCCTCAGCCATTGCAAGCTCTCCTTTCGTGGATCGATTGTGGTCTGCGCGACCAGAACACCACAAAGGTCCACGATGGCTTTTGCCGTAAAAAGTCGAGAGGACGCGGGGTTGAAATCCCCGTGTCCCGGCCTCAGGACGACAGCTTCTGCGAGTTCCTCCAGCAGTAGCGGGCGAGAAGAGAAGGCTAACCATTTCAGAGCCGATTGCACGAGCTCCCGGTGAACATCGGGTACTGAGCTCAAAATGCGCTCGTAGGTCTCATCCAGAGTTTCAGGCATTGATTGAAGCTCTGCACGGATCATAGCCGGAGACAGGCATTGTTTAATTCTGTCAAGTTGGCACGTTGCCCAACGGAACCTATTTGATAGCATGGTCAGCTAGTTCACTTTCATTGTGTTAATTAGAGAGCAGCAGGAAACTCACATGCCACCTGCACCGGTCACAATCTCATCGCATATTTCTTTCTGAATCTCCTGCGGCATTGCACTCAAGGTCGAGTCACTATGTATGACGCTGTTGACATGTTTTCTGACATCTTCGTCAACCTCCGCCGCTTCGAGATTTATGACTTGGGGGGAGAAGTCTTCGAAATAATTCTCAATATCAGGCTCTTTGCGGCTTGTAATGAGGATGCTGAAATTGTTTGCAAGAAGCTTCTGTAAGCACTTCTGGAAGAATTGTCCTCGTTCACCTTTTTGTGATTCATCCAGAGCATCGATGATCAAGAAGGTCCTACCATTGACAGCAGCCTCAGCAAAGCATACGTCGAGGAGCTCTTCAGCGTTGGCTGAATCTCGACCCCTGCTTTTGAGGCTGGCATGTAACTCCATCGCCAATTCCGAAGGCTCTGGATTCTTCGAGAGGAATTGATAAACAATTGCCTCCAAGAGACTTGCAAGAGTTTGTTTGTTGGTATCAGCAAAGTCGAAATAAAAGTACACCACACGATCCGAAGGACCAATATCGCCCACTTTGGAGCGAACATGATTTTGCATGTGGTCGATGATTGTTGAGGCCAAAATTGTCTTCCCTGCTCCTGGTATCGCATGAAGCCAGAGCAACTGCTCTCTGGCATTTTTCCACCGTCGAAATTCGGGATTCGCGAAGATCCAGGAACCCGTCCCCTGTTCGCGGATCTCTTGGCAATATATGTGTTTGCGCTCAGGATCGCTGGTTTTATACCACGCTAACATTTCGGTTTTTTCCCGCTGCGATTGAACGACTTGGAAGTCGTCGCCATGTTTTCCCGGCGTGGAGCTCTTCTCGTTCTGCGACAACTCGTCGCCGGCCGACAAAGCGCTTTGAAGAGCGAATGCTGTCAGATTTAGCGTCGACTTCGCCTTACGAAGTGTATCAAGCTTCTTCGCCAAGGTAGCCGAATCTAATGCCCACGTGGGCTCGCCTTTGTATCCTGGCTTACTGAAGGGTCCAATGACATCGAGTAGCTGTTCGAAAATACTGTCGACCTCATCCAGCGCGGATTGACAAGCTGTCAGCGCCAATTGACCTTGCTGTCCATCTTCGCTTGGCACTTCGACTTGAGCAACTGATTTATTTTCTCGGGAGGCCTGATCCAAGGAGTCTCTAACATCCTCGGAAATGATAGAGAGCGATTCGACTTCGATAATGAGGCCATCAATGTCATCCTTCGACTGCGTAACCCGGTCGCGGAGTCGGTAGGAAGCGAGAAGGATCTTGCCAGACGAATCTACCAGACCCGCGATCTCGTCGTTTATTGCATCCATGAATGCTTGAATTTGTCTATTTTTCTGTAAGTCTCTTCAAACGGTAAAGTTCACTTTGTTGATAAATCCAAGTGTTCATGAATGGAGGGAGTCGAGATCATGTCAGCAATGCTTTTCAAATCCACAATGCAGATCAGTGACATTTGCTATTAGGCAGCCGTTTCCCATGTCAGCCCGCCTCACATTGGTTCGCTCATGATCTCCAGTTTTGGTGCCTCTCACTACATGCATCTAAAATAATCAAATATTTTAATTCACTCCTCTTTCCAATTGATCCGAGGGTTTACATATAGATATGTTGCCTTCGACTTAATAGATCTAAATATAGAAAGTGGAACGCAAGATTGAAGTCATCGCGGCGCGCATCTTAGTGACACAGCCACAAAGCCACAGAGTCCTTCTCCCACACTTCCGCACAGCCACATTGCTCTGCTTTCTCGACCACAGGAGTTCAAAGCCTCAACTGTTTATCGATACACTCCCCCCTGCCCAAGGGATGGGACTGGTTAGGATAACCATGTTCAACAAGAATATCTATGATATAATTGTGTTTCAATGTGATGTAAAGTATCCTTGTCCTGCTACTTTTGTTTGTGTTATCCGGTTCAAAAGCGACTGGATACCCACAGCCCTGCGAGTCTGAACGCAGCCCAAGTGATGGGACAGAGCGCGTGCCGCGGTCAGCCTGATGCACATACGGGCGAGATTGCGTAATTATGTTGGTTGTTGATTCCAACTTAGACAAAGGTTTGGTTGTTGGTTCTAACTTGGACAAAGGTGCGTTCTACCGCATGGACCAACATTTACCACGTGAGGGATTTGAAGGGCAAATGCTCAAGGTAATACGGCCGTAGCCCGGATCATATAAGTAATGCCTAATCACACGGTAAAAACGTTCAGCTCTGGATTATCCATATTTCCACTCGACCCCCTTCCACAGCTTACAACATCACACAGTGCACCGTGATGCCCAACACAACAAAATGCAGCGCCAGTCGCGCCCACCCAATCCAGGTCCATGACCACTGTCCTGATCGACCGTACATTGAGCTTCGCGTCCCCTCTGATGCTAGAAGCGTCGAGGCTGTGACGTTCACGGCTGTTTCGCACGATCAAGGTATGTCGGATCCAATAAACTGGAAATGATCTATGAATGGAATGGTCTTGAATAACTAACCACATTGAATTAGGCTGGGCAACTTCTCAGAATGAAGTTTCATTTACTTGGTTTGAAGCATCAGTCCGACGCCCAGGCGGTCGCTCGAATTTGCGGAGCATGACCGTTATGCATAACCGGCTTGCAGACCCTGAGTTCCATCAACACACAAGCCGCTGGTCAGCCGAAAGTGGCCTACTTCAACGCTCATGGGTTCAGGCCCTTCAGCAAGGCGATATAATACAGCTCATACCAAAGGCCAGATACCCATGCTGGGTCAACATCGTGAAAGAATGTCGCATTGAAATCGAGTATAAACAAGCCAGCGAAGAGCAGAAAAAGCAGCAACCGAAACCTTTTCCTGGTGCAGATAGCTATACACATGCACTCTCCCTTACAACGAAGGAGATACGCCTCTTGGTGGTTCAGCCCGCTAAAAACATTACAGACAAGTTGGATGTTTCATGGAGCATCTCTAACCTCGATGATAGAGAGACCAAATACAGTGCTCTTTCATACTACCGGGGAACGCCGCTAGAAACAGTTGAAATTACGGTTTCATCGGACCTTGAAATAGACAAAAGAACCTTCGGCATCAATCCGACAGTTGACTCGGCACTGCGTCGGTTAAGAAGGAACGACCAAGTCTTGCAGATATGGATCGATGCTATCTGCATCAACCAGGAGAACTACGAAGAGAGGTCACGACAAGTTGAGTTGAAGCAAGAAATATTTGCACGTGCGGAGACAGTTCATATTTGGCTAGGTGAAGGACATGACGGGGTCGATTCTTGCTTAAGAATTGCTCGGAATATCTACAACTACAACCTGAGAGGCTGCCCTGGAGGGAGAGACTGCAACTGTACTGGTACCCGTCACTCATTGGCAATCGGAGACGTGGACACGCTGGCTGAATCGAAACGAACTCAAAGCGTTGAGCATACCTTCCATCACATGGATGAGATTTTCAGACTCTTAGAGCCTAGCCTTTCCGAAGATGTTGTGGAATGGGCTGGCGGATCAAAGGGAACTACTTTGGCGACTCTCATGGTCGCTCTCATCTCAAACCCATGGTTCTCACAGGTCTGGGCTGTGCAAGAAGTCTTGCTCAGCCAACAAGCCTTTGTGCACAGCTCAAACGAAAGCATCCCTTGGATTGAGCTAAGGCAAACTATTGAGTGGCTCGAGGATCCAAACTTCACACACTGGCATTTCGATTATCATGTCCAGTCCCAAATGGCAATGCAAGCGATTTGGAAGCGTCTGCGAACCAACAACGAGCTCCCGGATATCCTTGAGGTCTTCTTTAATAGTCATGATCTCCGGGCTGGTGATCCCAGGGATAGACTCTTTGCACTTCTGGTCCTTGGGAATGAAACACATGCTGTCCAAAGCCTAGACAGGCTGATCCAGCCCAACTATAATAAGTCAACCGAACAAGTCTTCGCCGATTTTTCCAGATGGTGGATCAAGGAGAAGCGATCGCTTGATATCTTATCCGCCGTTCATAGCCAACACGGGCGCACTTGGCGACAGACACTGTACGAATCCGATAAGGATGACCAACTGATGCATCCTACCTGGGCATTAGGTGCTACCGGCCGCTCCAAGTGGTCCAAAGCGTCATTGTGCGCGCAGTTTGACTTTTGTTCCACCGGCAAGAAAGAACCTAATGTTGATTTGCTCGAAAGTGGTGACCCTCTAAAGCTTCTGCTCCGGGGCCGGCGGATATCCAGAATATCCTCTATGGGGTACATTCCGATAGAGTACATGTATCCCTACGGAGAAGACTCACCGGTCCAGTCCGAAGCTTCGTCGATAGTTGCAAAAATATTTGATCCTTGCGGATTTACTGGTTTCTGGGGGATTGAGATCATAGTACATGACGACGAAGACAGAATGAAGAGGGCCAGGGCCGAATATGCAGACCACAAGAACGCACATTGGAAATATTGTTCTCGACCGAAATTGCCGAGCCTTTGTCCGACCGAGGCCGGAGGGTTCTGTACCTATGAGACAGACAACCTTCCAACGTGCATGGAGAAATCATTTTTCGTGACAGAAGATGGCATGTCTGGTCTCTGCCCTTGGATGGCAAAAGAAGGAGATTTCATCGCTCTACTCGACGGAGGCAAAGTACCATACTTGCTCCGACAAGTCACAGGTCCAAATATGGGAAAGGGGGAGGAGTTCCAACTTATCGGGGAATGTTACGTTGAGGGAGTGATGCACGGTGAATATTTCGAAGACGGTCGAGACATGACCGATTCAGAAGTATTGGCGATAGTATGAGGTTTGCTACTAAATCCATTCACGTTTTTAACATATTCCTTCCAATAAGAGCATCTACATTTTATCAAGCCAGAGTGCAACATTGGCTCAACAGGGCAACTGTTTAAGTGCATGTAGATCGTGCATCTCACTCGCTGCCCAAAATGATTCGTAACGTGTTTAATCCCGACGGACACGCATCGAGCTAATTATGGACTGTCTGAATAACTGGCAATGCGGCCCCAACGTCCCCGCCTCAGCCTATCTCTTGGTGGCTGGCTGAGTCTAGAAAAATGGAGTTTTTTGACATTTATATTCCAAAATAGGGAATGATGTTAGAGACAAAGCTTGGAACTAGCGAACATTAGAGACTGCTGATTCACACCCACACTCAAGACTAATCCACCCAAAACAACTTCCTAATGCAGTAATTAAAGAGGTTATTAATACAGCGCAACAAATCTTCCCAACGTAACCGTATAGCGGCGGATCCTGTCATTGTAATGATAAGAAGTCTGCAGCTTTGACAGTTAGTGCTCTGAGCGGATGAGATCTGACGCAATATTGACTTGGGGATTACATATCAAATCCGACTGGTGGCATTTTAGGAACTAGGTATAAAAGTGTGGCCGTTTCTTGCTGTTCATTTTTCCTTCCATGTCAAAGCAAACATCATCATCTGCTATATCAATTACCGAACATTCCCCATTAAACCTCTTCAAGACCAAACTGTAGCAAACATGTGCCAGCACGACGAAGTTGGTCAGAACGGTTGGACAAGTACACCCGCAAATGCCGGTGTCATTTTCGGCGATCGACCATTCATCAACGAGCCCAAGCCTTTGTCATTTACAGAGATCGAATTTCCTCATGCCGACCCTGTCGTCAAAAAGACTTATGACTACGCAAAGGCAGCTCTTCATGCCGAGACTTTCAATCACTCCATGCGAGTGTATCATTATGGTAAGCAGCTGAGATTCTCTTAGAATAAACTGTGCGTTCCTCGTTGTTGACAAGGACCAAGGAATCGCCATCACAAGGCAGCAGTTCCCTGGCCAAGCCTCTGTGCTCAACCCAGCAACTTGGGCTTTGACTTGCTTGCTGCACGATATCGGTACTGCCGAGGAAAACCTCACTGCAACCCGCATGTCCTTCGATCTGTATGGAGGAATCAAAGCCTTACAGATACTCAAGGACTTGGGAGCGACGACCGACCAAGCCGAGGCCGTTTCCGAGGCCATTATTCGACACCAAGACATGGGTGTGGATGGAACCATTACATTTATCGGTCAGCTGATTCAATTGGCTACCACCTACGATAACACCGGGGTTCATCCTCATGTCAAAGATTTTGGGAAGCTGATTCATGATGTTACGCGCAAGGAGATCAATGAGGCCTTCCCGCGCTCAAAGTGGTGCTCATTCTTCTCGAAAACCATAGAGAAGGAGGAGAACATTAAGCCTTGGTGCCACTCGACTCATCTGGTCGACTTTGCCAAGGAAATCAGCGCCAATACGCTGATGAAGGAGTGGGAGTGAAGATTCTTGTTTTTAAAATTTCATCATATGTAGTCTTCTAGAAATCAAAGAGAAGTGCCTACTGAACTTTGGTCTTCCGTAGGATGGCTCGATCTTGCAGTGTTGAATGCATTCCAAAGAAAGAAACTATTCCAAGAAAAGAAACCATTCCAAAGAAAGAAACTATTCCAAGAAAAGAAACCATTCCAAAGAAAGAAATCCCTGAAAATAAAACCGTCGCCAAGACCTTTTCTCGACTTGTTCTTCAACTGATGTATGATATGTTACATGAAAAGCCAAACACGGCCAAAACGCCCGCTATCGAAAGGCCATGGTATCGAATTACTGCCCCCTTCTTGCCAATAATCCTCCAATATCTTAGCCGCGTGTATCGCGTTCAAGCATTTGGTAGCCATCCAAAATTTCTCCAAGTGTATGAGGAAATGTTTTCTTTGGTGTGGGGACTGGCATTCTAGACCTGCGACAAATAAAGGCCAGAGGACACACTTGAGAACGTTTTGATTATCCCGCAGGGTATCGAGTAAGCTCAGTAATTCTGATACGAGGTCGACAAGGCTGGACGTACGGCCTTCAGTGAGTGGTTCAAGCACTCGCTTTCCGTAAATCAAGATGCCAATTCTATAAGCTTTGGACAAGGCACCCCGGTGGTGTGCTTCGTCCTGATTGCCGGAAGAAGACGAGAATTCCTTTGGGATATCGAAGGGCGACCTGTCGCAGTCAAATGCTTCAACAAGTGAAATCATTTCCTCCAGGGATCGCTTGCGAGTCTCTTGTGCTTCAAGCCCCAGATCTTGCAGCTTTGCCAAGATTAGGTCTCTCTCCGTGGAGATAAACCGGATGGCTCTCAACAAGAACACCGGGCACCCCAGAAATGAGTCATCGATAGATTCATGTGTGATTGAATATTCGTCAAAGGTGATAGCTTGCGGTAGGGATGTAGCACGACCAGGGCGAGCAAACAATGATCCCAGGCTCTCGACTCTAAGGTATCATATTATTAGCGCTTTAGAGCACCTAGAGAATTGCCTTAGACGTACAAATAGAGTTGGCGCATCAAGAAGGCTTGAAGGTCCTGACTCATGCCTCGCCTCTTTTGTTCCGGTAAAACTCGGCCTGTCACTTCACTCGTGGGTTGGTTGAGATGGAGTAACCGTTTCGCACCTTCTAGGTGGGAATCCCACCCAGAGCTCCCAGACTCCATGAGGTCAAGTAGAATGAAGAGGAAGATACTGGCTCTGGTTCTGTCGTTACTAAACTCTACTGGGTCGCTTAGACTCTTTAGCAATGCCTGCATCGCTTGTTGTTTGAATACGAGGGCTTTTTGGTTGGCTGTAGTGCTGTCTTGGGATGCAATTGCGTCAACTTGATGGAAAGACTGCCCTCTATTGGCGAGATGACGGGCAGCAAGAGCGATCAAACTCTTTTGCAGTGCGGAATCGTTCAGGGAGAATTGGACCAGATCTTTGAGCATATTTTTATCTGTTAGCGAAAAGACAAAGTCTTTGCACATATGTTCAAGATCTAATTTACATATCAGCCTTGAGCCCTAGGTTTTCGTAGTGAACTCTTACAATAGTCTAGGTAGTACTTGGACCCATGGTCTGGGTCCAGGACAGTAGAATTCGTCAATACTGTCCCTAGTGCACGAAACGGTTAGCACAGGTGCGCGTTTCATTGGGGTAAAACAGAAATTCGTGCTTTCGGTGCTAGAATAGAGGCCTACCATCGTTGTCTGTATTTCGCCGCTTTCTGATAGACGGTTTCGACAAGGAGCGATTGCCTTTTGACACAGCACTTCCACGGATCGACGGCCGCGTCGCATGAGTCTTGAACACAATTTTGCTCAACCTTTTCGACAACGGAGCTACTGGCTTCTCTGCTGAGCACATGTACATGTGGCCCTGCATCTTACCGCGGATGGCCACTCCCTGGACCCAGCGGACAGGCCGCTTTTCACTGCATTCAAGACCAGCCTTTATGCATTTTGCACAAGGCATTCGCGTTTGATCACACTGGACGTGGCGATTCCGGCATGTCCAACATGGTTTGGATAACTTGTTCTCCATTGTAGGCCTGCGTGGTGGCAATTATAGAGGTCATGCAGAGATGACATGAGTTTGTGGAGCCAGCAAAGAATGGGGATAAGTATGTCTACATAAGTCACATGACCTCCTGTTGTAACGGCCAGACAGGCAGGTATAATTTACAGCTGACCAATGTCAAAGAGGCAATAGAATCCAAGGATGGTCCCAAACTAGTTGAATTCAAGATACTAAAACTCATCTATGGCTATTTCTATCTCAACAACCAATGACTTGAACCATAATTAAGTCAAGCCGACCATAAGCTACTGTTAGCACCGTTATCCTAGTTAGGTGATATTAGCCGCGCTCACTGTTCATAGCACAACGACAGTTTAAGAAACATGCATGTCTTTCTTAGTGTTTACTATGGCTATCGAATACATTCTGAGCCTAGCCCTACAGCAGAGGATTTGATACCAATTATCTTGTAACCGACCCATGAGAAGGCGCTTTCTGGGGAGAACCAAGGTTTTTTAGTCGCTTCTTCTTATACCATATACCTTCCATGGCTAAGTTTTACCAACTCTCATCTCCATCTTCGTCCCCGCAATACTTGCGCCCATGTTGTCGGAAAGTTCGGCATCGAAGGCCAAGTTGTTTCTGTTGACTCCTGATCGGAAGGAGTACTTATAGAATCAGCGCCATCCTTCAGCCAGCCACAAAGAGCCTCCAGATCCCATCTCTCGATTCTGTCCCGGTCCCAAAATACATATCCAATCATACGGAGAGTTTCTTTCTCCGGGTTCGCAACCCAGCGATAGTCATGAGTGCCTGTATGAGCTAGCCTCCAGGCTGTATATGGGCCTTCGTCGGTATCATCATTCCTTGTCGCAGCAGGTATCATGGCCTCTATTTGACCTTCAGAAAAGTACGGCAGAGCTGAATCGAGCATGCGTTCTGCTACCCCCATCTGGTAATCGATGATGGAGTTCCGGGGTTGGGCTGTGCCATTTGCCAGACCTGTGACCAAAATGTCTCTCTGATCTTCATTTGACTCGGCCTGCTCAACCCTACGAAGAAAATCTAGTCCTTGGGACAGCTTATAAAGAACGTTAGCTGGGGACGTTTGTCTTGGGAAGAAAATAGATGCACTTACCCAGGTTTTCCAATTGGCCTCGTATGGACCAAAAGCCCCCGCGCGATATCTCCCCACGGTTTTGAGAGTCGCTGAAATATTTAAGTCAGCCAACAACCGCAAATTGGGCATTGAGGAGTTTTTTGCCACAAACAATATATGAGCCTTTCCTTCAGGAAGTCGTGAACAGCTGCAAACTGCTCAAGCTCCCATGGAGGGTGCCTGGCCAAAAACGAGTCTCGCAGCTCAGCAAGGGTGGGCTCGACTACGCCCCTAACCCGAAAGAAGTGAACGAAGATCTCGAACCGGTATACTGCACGAAGCCATCGGAATTTCTCGCCCTAGGATAACTCGATTTCGGTATGCATTGCCGTTGGTATTTGATTTCTTCTGAAGTTGAACAGTCTTCGGAGTTTGTGGTCATGTACGTTCATATGAGTCCAGGAATCGGATGCCCACTCATGGACGAGCGAGCAAACGTAGTCATGAAAACGGCCAATGCGTCGGATCTCATTTAATGGCATATTCTGGTACTCAGCCCTGATTATCTCGGGAGCCTCGTAGAGATTGCTAATAAGGAACGATGCTCTCTCAAACGGGCGAGGCAAAGATGCGCCAAGATAAGCAACGGTCAAGTAGGAGAGCAAGGCCTCCCCTACATCTGCTTCAGTAACATCCGCTGTGATGAACCGGTGGGCTTCGATGCAAGAATTCAGTGTCCGATATGTCAAGCTGGCTGCCGTGAGGGATTCCCTGTCGGGGAGCTTCCGGAGAATCTCGGCGATGACCTCGACGGGTAGTGTCACCAACGTAGGCATATTGCAATGTCGAATAAAAGCTTTCACCAAAATAAATATTCGTTCAATTTCTGTTTCGAAAGAAGAAAAAAGGCTGAACCGGGCTGGAGACGCGCAATGTGAAGATATGAGACTTGGCTGCTGGTCACATCTAAACAATATTGACATCCACGCGAGGTGACGATGTAGCCGGTTGCCTAGCCAGATTCTGTTGGCGACGCGCTATTGAACCTTCTGTTGTGAAGCACCAGTCTCGTTGTGATATATTAGGGTTTGAAGTTATACCCAGCGCGTTGTTTACTTTTGTGATTATGTTTGTAAACCTTGCGTAGTTTGATAAAGATTTAGTTTAGATTTCAAATAGAAGTTTTATCAAACTAAATGGCGAGAAAAATCATATATAATATAATGCTATTTCCCACCTCTTTTATTGGATTTATATATTTTTGGTGAGCTTATCTTAACCAACGCCCCTCTCTACTTCCTCGAGGCCTTACACATGCTACCAAAGCGTATCCTCCTACAAATCGGTGGCAAGATCTATGCCGCGTATCGGGCGCATTCAATGCCCCATTGCATGGTCCGATCCACGGCCGGGAAAGTCAATACGGAACTTTGACTATACGCCGGAAGACTCTCTAGCCAAATTTTGCAACAACCATCCCGAGGTCGGCTGGCATGCTTTTCGGCCTCATAGAATTATTGGCGCTTCAGCCTTTCTTCCTTTTGTCCGATCCAATCTCCAAAAAGAATAGAATGAAAAAGGGAGACTTCTTAATAATGTTCTATCTCTAGATTCTAGGGGGTTCTCTGACCGTTTCTTCCCAAGTATTCTCATGATACGCCCCTGTTGACTCTACCGCCTGCCCCAATTGTGAATAGTTCTCGCCTAATCGTACAAGATCGGACAGTAAGCCTCTTTCGCGTGGTCATAGTCTTCGTAAAACCCTACCCACATCATTTGATCCGCACATCTAGACTGTCCGGAGCTCCCATGTCATCGTCTGGACATTCCGGCATAATATTCTCGAATTGCTCCTTGGTCCTATGTTTGCATGGCTTTGGTAGAGGCCAGTCACTGAAATGGACCAAGACAGACCGCGAAACCTCACCCATAGCGTTCCACTCTTCATCCATATCTGGTGCCAGGTACTTAGAATGATCCTTGTTTCGGAACTCTCCGGTTAGGAGGGCAAGCCTGCGGTGAGGGAGAATCATGGCCGAGTCTTTAAACAAGTGATTGAGAACCTCCATGTCAAACTCGCCGGATCGTTTAGCCTCTTCAATGATCTTCTGGTAACGATCCTCATTGGGCTCCAGGAGCATAACATGCGACCCGAGTACTTGCTTGGCGATGTTCGTGTCCTTGTCCTTCTCGCTCAGCCAGTAGGCACGGGGCATGGCGACCGTGGCTAACGGGCTGAGAAAGTAATGGTCCATCGAGTTGAGAACGAGAGAATCCGAATCAAAAGCCAAGACTCGGGTCCATTCGGTCAGAGCAAACGAATGGAATTTAGTCAGGCTGTCACGCCATGTGGAATCACCCTTGGAGGTGGAAATAACGTCGAAGGGTCGGAGATGGATATCTGGAAGATGTTCTCGGATCTTGGAAATGGCTTTTGCTTCCTTTGAAGTGCCTTCCGACCACTCCGTCGGGTAAATGAGGACCAAGTCATACTTGACCCCGTATCTGCGCAGCTTCGTAAAATTGATGATCTTACGTCGAGTAAGTCGAATGAATATTGGGATACCAATTGCAGGGGACTCAAGTTAAAGAATGAACGAAAGAAGATCCAATACTCACCGAGTTGCAGAGATAGTCCAAGTTGGTGGCATACTGGGCGTAGGCAAACTTAGGCCGCTCTTGTTCTGTTGTCCACCAGGGAATCTGTCCCATGGGAGGATAAAAAACAGGTTTCTTAACTACCTCTGGGGCGTTTTGTGAGTCTTCCGCTACCGATGGCCCTGTGTGGGCAGCTGGGCTTGCGCGACGCCATTGGACGAGGAGGATTTGAGTTGTTAAAATGACGATGAGGACACCAGCGAAGGCCACAATATTGCGAAGCACCCGCCGGGGGGGATTGGAGAAATTAGGCAGGTTGAAACGCATACCTTGCGCTTTCCTTTTTTCTTTAATCTTGGTGAGTAAGCGACATCCGGATGACACGCAGTGCCTGGTTTGTATGGGAAGAATATCAATGTCGCCTGACGGCCCCTTTTTCCTTTTTTCCTTTCTTTTTTTCTTGTCTAAGTAACCGAGTCGGCAGTACGCCACTCCACTGTTCATTGGTAAGACGTGGGACCATTTAGCTATGGGCATGGCATATCTAAGCTCTAGGTATATTGAAATAAATACAGCTTTTAACATATGTTATGAGAGAAAGAGATTTAAATCTATTCTGAGTTTATTTATCACCTTTTTATAGTAATAAAATTAAGGCTAATAGTTGTTATCTCTTATTGAGTGATAAAAGAGGGCTTCATAGAGCGGAGATGGTAGTCAGGTTGGTGATAAAATATGAAATCAGTGTAACCTCTTGGGCGAGACGGTTTAAAGTTGGACCTATGAAACAACTCTGTTCAATTGTCCAACCGGCAGGAAGAGCAGACATAACATAATACATGTCTATGGTTAGCGCTATCCAGTAATTTCAATTTGATTCTAGTTTCGTTCCCGTCTAATGTTCGCTCCATGCTGTCCAGATATCATGTATAGGGTAGCTAGACGCTCGACCAAAAGAATGATCATGACGTTGTCCTCTTCCACAATGAGAAAATACACATTTACTACACCTCCAACATCCTGAGACCAGCTCGTATCATTGCTTTTTGTGCTGTGGAACAAACTCGACATGGAAATAGGAATGTAGGCTAATAACCTACTACCAAGGAAAATCGTACCACATGGATGCTTCTGCAAGCTAATAATCGTCATGATGGCTGCGATAAAGATACATTTGTCAAGATTGGTTCTTCGCTCAGCCGCAGACTTCCTGTTAGGGTGTTAGTACCTGATGATCTCGGTGCAAAGGCGGCGGATTTACCTTTCGCTTATTCTTGAAGTCTGTATAGAATCCATTCCAAATCTCTCTCGCTATACAATCCTGCTCGCCAGCGGCATTTGTGGTGCAATCGGGTTGCATCTTCTCGCGTAAATCTGCGGGCGTAGACAGCCAGGGCTTGGGGACAGGCCAATCGGAGAAGTGGGCGAGCTTGGCTTCGTTATAGACCATCACCGGATCCCAAGGCTCGCGGTCGGATCCAAGGTACTTGGAATGATCACTGCCGCGGAACTCGGCTGTGAGCATATCGTAGGGTCGGTGCGGAAGAACAAGAGCACTGTCGCGATACAGCTCGTTGACAATCTCCATATCATAGTCGTTCGCGCCGGCGGCAGATACCTTCTCCATGACGCGAGCGAATTCCTTCTCCGTGGGCTCGATCAGGATGACCTGGGATGAAAGAATCTCCTTGTCCGGGTAGAGCCAATACGCCCTAGGCATGGCGACCGGAACCGGAGGTAAGAGGAACAGTTCATCCATGTGTTGTAAAAGTATTGAGTCGGAATCGATGGAAAGTACACGTTTGTACTGAGTCTGGTTGAAAGCAAGAAGTTTGGTAAACGAATCGGCCCAGGTCGCTAATGGATGAGGTTATGTTAGCATTACTAGCCGGCAAACATGTTGATTCGAAGAAGGGACGAGGGCAAAGCTGGTCTATCATACCATCTGCACCGGTCCTATGCTGCACAGTGACGGGAACAAGCTTTGCATTGTAATCGTCTCGAGCCTTCAAGATCAGACGAGCGTTGTCGGATGTGTCTTGTTCTGACTCAAGCATTGTTGACGGATACATCAACACTCGGTCGGCGCGGCTGGAAAGTCGATGCAGGGCCTCGAAGAACATGACCGAGTTGCAGAGATATGCGCCATTGGTGACATATTGGGTATAGGCAAACTCGGACCAATCGACGGGACGGGAGGCGGTGGTCCGTGAGGGCGGGAGAGGCTGCTGGTGGCCGTAGCTGTAGAAGAGAAAGAGAAAGATGGTGGTGAACGCAACGCCGCCAATTACCCAGCGATAGCGCCTGGACCACAGGCGCAAGAAGTTGGAGCTGGCGAAGAGGAAATGCGAGGACGACTCTGTCGAGGCGTCGCCTGGTGAAGACTGCATCATCTACCGGCGCGGCCAGCGGCGATCTGGCAGGTTGGCATATGAGGCCCCTTGGGAGCTGGATCGGAGGGAAGAATGACGGAACAGCTGCCCCAACACCACTCAGTGTGGGGGGGAACGAATGCAATATACCAACCACGGATGCAACATCCTTACTAAGGCCATGGAACGACCGGGGTGGGTACTGGGAACGCGTACGAATTATCACATAATCCACACTTGATCCCAGTCGCAGCAGCGGATCGTCGCTACGATACGGGCGGAGAGGCTGAGAGAGGCTGCCCGGCTCAGCGCAGTAATGCGTCTTATGTGTCTTAGTGCAGCGGAATCGACTTTAGCCCGGCTTTTGGGCGCATCTCCGGCACATCTGACTGGCTCTAATCACATCTAGCCGCTGGGCGGTTGATCCTAACCGTCACCGGTCTCTACACCAATACAGCTTGCCGGCGCTAACTTTATCAACTGGTTTCTTTCTTCATACCTTCGGCTGCCTGGCCTCGGTTTCGGGACGGACGGTTCTTTGAGACTCGTCAGCGGGTTGGTCTGACGATATTACATGTCTCGTCCTGACTCGGGAGGGCGCAGGATGGTGGAAATTATGGCTGAAAATCCCTCTTCTCCATGCCACCAAAGTACCTGTTGGTTGTTGGTCTTACTGCGTAGTCTGTAACAGCTGAGTGTGGGCCTTGGTGGCCACCCAGGGCGAATCAGCTGTCCAGAATCGAGTTGTACTCCCAACTCTGCCTTAGGCGACATGGGAGCAACGATATGCATGTTGGCTCTGTGATACCGAGCACGATCACCCATTGGGTTGCGCGACTTGGCTTTTGCCTGGGGGCCATGCAACGATCCATAAACAATACCACTTGCAGGGCACGCGCCTGCTCGGCCAATGGCAAAAAGCATCTCGATATGGATACCCAGGCCAGGGCCAATGGTCCCCCCGAACCCCCAGCCGTACCCGTGAAACCGGGCATTTCCATTTTTCCTGCTGCCTCTGAGCGCTTGGCAATACCCAGCATATCACTTAGTCCCTTCCTGTTGCCACAGGCTGTTGATTGAATCCAACTTCTCTCTCCTCAGCTTACCCTCCACCCGGCATGTTAATCTCTACACCCTAATATTTCTATTATTTCTTCTCTCGAATTCAAGCGATGCTACTAGCCATGTCACGGGCTCTCATTGCCATATTTGCCTTTCTGGTTCTCACTGTCTCTGCCATCCCCTCTCCGCGAGAGGTCCTATGGAGCAACAAAACATTTGGACCTGATGGTCCGTGGCGCGCCGTCCAAACGCAACTAGGACCGAAAGGCACCAAAATAGATCTATTCCCAGGTTCCAGCTGGGAGACATACCTGATCGATCAGTCGTACTGTAAACAAGACACCTGCTATGCCTCCAAGGCTGGTACATACGACAAGAAAGCCTCTGGCTATTCTGGTGGAATTGGCATACAGGGTCCCCTCGAAGCCTTCATGCTCGGAGTGAATTTGAACGGTGATGATGGGACTCGTTGGCTAGACGAGGTCTCGTTCAACGGCCAGACCGTGAAGAACACCAGTCTCGTTCTCCTGACGGATGCCCAGACGGTGTCGTACCCTGGCGGCCAGAAGTCACCATTCTTTGCCGGCTGCCTGAGTTTGGGTGGCGATCGAGAGACGAATCAGTCCTTCACTGTCAGTGCCGGCGTCCCTTCGATCAACGCCAGCCTTCCCTCAGGCTACTTGTGGGAGCATGGAGCCACAGATTCAAACTCATTTGGCATGCATATTGGATCTGTGCAGCCTGACCTCCCTGGCTCCCTCTTCTTTGGTGGTTATGATAAGAACCGAGTTGCCGGAGACATACTCAGCATGACCGGGAGCTTCAGAAGCGGCATTACACTTTGGGACGTTGGCATCGATGTTGTCGACGGGAAGTCGCCATTCAGCTTTCCATCTAACAAAACCGGCCTCCTTTCCAAATCAGCCGGCAGTGGTATCAAGGTCCGCATTGACGGCTGTTCACCATACATTACTCTCCCCAAAGCAGTCTGCGACAACATTGCGGCCGAACTCCCCGTGAACTTCGACGACAGCCTTGGCCTCTATCTCTGGGATACAAATTCAGACAAGTACAAAGAGATCGTGCCTTCGGCGACAGCCTTGAGCTTCTCGTTCATCTCCGACTCGAACACCGACCCGATCAAGATCCGAGTGCCGTTCATGCACCTGAACCTGACCCTCACGGATCCGATCGCGACGAGCCCGACGCCCTACTTTCCATGCCATGTCAACAACAGCACAAACTACGTACTGGGTCGAGCGTTCCTACAAGATGCCTTTGTTGGAGGCAACTGGCACCCCGATGTCAACAAGTGGTGGCTAGCTCAGGCTCCGGGCCCCAGCATCCAGGCTACTGCCAACGTGGTGACGATTGGGACCAAAGACTCGACCATCCAGAAGGGTGGAAACAACTGGGAAGCTTCATGGAAAGGGGTTTGGACCGCCGTCGAGGCAGCACCCTCCTCCAGCTCTACCGAGGACACCTCGAAGAACACCGATAATGGTGGCAGCGGAGGCTTGTCGACGGCAGCCAAGGCTGGAATCGGGGCTGGATGCGGCGTCGCAGCACTGGCACTGCTCGCCCTGGCCGTGTTCCTCCTCCGCCGGCGACGTCGGCAACGGGAACTGGCAGCCCAGCCCGTACACATTTCAGTTGCCCAAACCCCACAGACCAATTCCGTGTACACATCCTACACGACGGTCTCCAAGACACCGGTAAACGACGGCGTTCCGTATGCGCCACCTAGTGAGCTGGCCAACGATGTCTCCATCCAAACACTGCAGCGAGAACAGGCGCGGTATGAGAGGTTTGAACTCGACACCTAGCCACATAGCCCAGGTCGGCGTTGTGGTTGGACGTCAATGTGATGGCGTATTTTCGGAACATTCCCTTCTAAAACTGTATTTAGTTTAATTCCCCCCCTTTTTTAAGTTCGTTTTTAGTAGCTATGATATCCTATTTACTTTTACTGTTCTACCTACCTACTTGAGTTCTTTGAGTGATGAGTGTGCCAAGGTGAGGTGCGCAACTTTTGGGGGGGAGTGGGCATCATCCATGCCCAGACTGAGAGCACCACTTTACCTGCAAGTATTGCATCTTCAGCTTGTTCACGACCAACAAGCAGAAAGGTATCCACATCGCATGCCGGATACGAGGGTTTTTGCATTAGCAAATTAGGCACCAAGTCCGTGGTGTGTATGTCACCGGTGGATCCTCATCCGCCGCGTTCCTTCGAATAAACACGGGGGGACTTGGTGGGAGCATCTTGTGTCAATTATGTTTGAGTGTCCGGGCTCGGTAGAGTCATCGTGCCTAAAGGCCCCCAAGATATGCTGCCACAGGCGAAATTCTCGTCGCAATCACCGAAATTATCACTCGATCATGGGCCAGCAGTATTGATGCTGCCAAGAAATGTCTCGGATGTCATCAGGTAGGTACCAGTTCCGATCCATCTGAGTGCTGCCACACAAGAAACTGTACATCACATTCCTGGCAAAACACATAAAGATACGTACCTTCGCTACTGCAACCTGTGCCTCCGCAGCCCGTGAAGACAGCACTCCCGCGAGACCATTGGAAAAAGAGAGGTCAGTTTCATAGTGACCACGCATCTTAACAGACATACATCTAAGCGAGGTTTATCATGACCACTCGTCTCTACAACAGGCGGCTAGGCCAGCTCCTGGAATGATACTGGATTGTCGTAGCCGCCGACTGCTTGTCGAGTAGGGCTGGCTGTCTAGGGACCCCAGTCAGAGCCCATGAAAGAGACAGGGATGAGTGAGGCCTACCGCGCCTCACTGCCGCCGTCCAAATTTAAAAAAGATCACAGCAGCGGTCTGGATATTGGGGAGCGTGGGTTTCTAAGATAGGTAGCAGAGAAGATCGATGCTTACTTCAAAGGTTTCCGGTATTCCGGTACCTTATCAAGCTGGCTTTTGGTCGACATTCAGCTGAGCCTGGCTCTCTTGAGCTGACCAACCATTCAAGCATCCGAACAGGATGAGGGATGATTGTGGTGGGTATGTGCCTTTGAGACAACTGCAGGGATTGCTTGTTCCGGAGCCCCGTGTACCCGTGCTCTCTGCCTAACCGTGTATGCATAGTAGCTATGGCTGATTGGCTGGTACAAAATGTTTAAGCTGTTGGCCGGCTGGCTGTTGAAATGAGAAATGATCAGCCCCCCACGGTGTGATGATGGTTGTTGGCTGCCTATTTCATGACTGTGGATGAGTGTTCCCTGAACTCTGACACCAGCTCTGCCCAAGTGCACCACCACCACCAGTATCACATCGCCCTCATCTCTCAGTACAATGCGAGACCGAAGGAAATGTATGGCATCATAGCATTCCCCCTCCTTTTTTTTTTCCTCTCCCAATTCTTCTTTCTTTTTATTTGTCATATTCAAAGTGGTTGATGATAGCGTTCGAGGATTTCATACCCATAGCCTAGGGTTGCTTTTTTCTTCATTTATTAGACACAATTTCACTCCAATTAATTATCGTTCAGAATCAGGCTCGGAATATAATTTATCAGATAAATAATGAACAATAAATGAACAATAGAAGGTACAATTTCGGGAAATATCATTCTTGAGACGCATATCAATTGCGCCACCTGCCTCCAGTAACGCATCTGGAAGAACAATCCCATCATAAACATTGCTAGGGGGAATTTGGCCCACCTCAAATCTGTCAAAATGCAATACTAAATCGTCACCGTACATAGTAGGCTCCTGAATATTTGAAAACTCCTTGGTGGTTTCCAACCTCAAGTCAAAGCTCTGCAACACTTGAAACACCAAGCGACTGGGCTGTTAGAATCTAGAGCGTCCCTGTCGAGGGGAGAATATCAGTCAACGAGACCCAGTGATGCCTTTCTACTTATCTCAAAAGCGAGTCAAATATCTGGCTGATCACCTTGGGGAACACTAGATGGCCTAGAGCTGTCACAATTGTCCGCTGGCGAAATTGGACAAAATGGGGGATCCCAGCCAAGATTTCCCCCCCGTTGATCATCGTCGATGCCGCAAATGTGTCACACTTAGTCCCGATGCTCGAGAGGTAACCGATCATCGATGGCTTTGAGAGCGAATGTGTCCGTATCTGCATGCATCCCACCCTCAACGCTGAGGGCAAGGTCTCCTAGGAGATCGGATCTCATCACGCCATTTTCCATGTTGTTGTAAGCATTGGTAATGCCGAGTTGCGTGTGATAGTGTCGTTGCAGGATTCTATTCGCTCCCCTCTCGCCTACTAGGATGCTGCGGCACGCAACATAGTCAGTTAATAATGTCCTCAGTCACCAATTCAGTTGGGCCACAAAAAGGGATTCGTACGATTGGTAGTCGGAGGTTTCCTCAGGCCATGAAGTAGTGTCTTCACCATGATGGGTTGGCTCGCCCAAGGAGTTTGACATTGGTAGCATGAATAGCCAAATTTTCTTGGAGATGAGAATGCCGTTCCAGAAGACGCAGTTCAACGTAGCCAAGGTCGAGGCTAGATGATTACCATTGGCATTATCTGAAACTCTCCAAACCAGACAGAGTGCAAGAGTGGTGATAGTAGTAAGGGCTAGTTGTTTACGTCTTCGGGAGAGATGGTTGGGTGTCTGCCCCCAAACTGAGGATACCATTTCGTCATTCGCTTGTGTCGCTGTCGAGTGCTTCATTGATGTGTGTTGTTCTTGCTGGCCCATAATGAATAATGCAGAAACGAACCGATGAAAGAGGGCCAATGGAAGAATGATGGGAAAAGATTGATGGAAGAAGATTGATGGAAGAAGATTGATGGAAGAAGATTGATGGAAGAAGATTGATGGAAGAAGATTGATGGAAGAAGATTGATGGAAGAAGATTGATGGAAGATGTCGATGAAAGATATTGATCAAGTATTGAGACTCAAGCCCTTAAGAAGGGTGCTTTCCTTTGTTCTTAAGATTGATTTTTGGCGTTCTCGTTGGCTCAAGACCCCCAAAATAGTTATTTCTCGTTGGTTCAAGACCGCCCCAAAATAGGTGTGATGTAGGATGCGCTCCGCGACTGCAACTTTACAACGGCTAACTGGGTGAGGCTGGCTTACCAGGGACCCCAGGTTATGCCGGGGAGGAGCGGGGGGTCGGCGCAAGAGGTGATAGCGACGATATCACAGCCGCTTTGTTGGCGTAAAAATAGGATTAGCCGTGATTGAGGCTAAGCAGGTCGGCTTTCCTAGAGAAGTGGAAAGTAACGGTCATAGGCGATGGTCCACCACCGATATCAACGTTTCTAGCAGCTGAGTGCCTCATCAAGCCGACTTTTTGCTGAAGTGCCTGAGGCCGGGCGCCAAGCGCGAGCTGCTTCGGTCCATGCAGTGGGCTAACCAACAGTCAAATTATCAGTTTCGTGTCATGGGATGATAAAAAAATACCAAGGCATTCTCCATGCAACCATCCAATTCCTCTAGCCAATCATGTATACATGCTAGCTCTAGCTAGTACAAATGTTTATGCTGTTGGTTGACTGCTTGTTGGAAGCAACTCAACGACCCCATGCAGGTGGGCTCAATTACGGCATCTGCTTTCTCGCGCCCAGTCGAAGTACGAGCAGGGGATGAAACCGGGAGAGAATGAGTGCTAAATTTGGACGGCAAGATGTTGTGAGGTTGGATGCGAGGTGTAGATCAACAAGGTCATGTGTGAAGGACGTGATAACGAATGAGTAGTAGCTCATTCATAATATTTTCAAATTATGCTGCGTTCAAGCACAAATACCAGCCTGAGATGTTACTTGAAAGCTGGATGGGCGTTAATAGTCGTGTGGGCCCTTCAAGTTGGGATTCTCTATACGAGCTCGAGTGCCAGCAGTTAGCTGTCTCCTCGGTCATACATTGTTTTTGGGCTTGTCAATCGTGCTGGGAGCTGTTGGTAGCAGGAACCTGTCCCGTTTTATAATGTCACCAATACCCAAGGGAGTATAACGTGTGACGATTGCAGCCAACGTCTCGTCGCAGAATGTTGTCAGAGTGATGATGGAACCAAAGCTGACAGTTGAAGTAAAGGCTGCCCCCAAGTAGATGCGGGCGCTTCGCCTTAATTCTCCATTGCTCAAAATGCAAGGCAAATCTAGAAAGCAAGGTGCTTATGATCAAGCGCATCTCAAAGTTAAGAAAAGACCCCGCAAAACCTCTTTGTCTTGATTTTGCCTAGACAATCTATCATCCCCTGGCTCCAACTTTTCCATTTCCATTGAACTTTCGAATACTGTCGTTGATGCCATTTGAATGCCTCGCCTGCCTACATCGAAGACAATATCACCGGAAACTTCTGTAGTCTCGACACCAAATGCACAACCGCCATGGTCACTAAGAGTACAGTGACCCGGAGAACCTCGGTGGGCCACCTCGTGCGCCATCACCTTGCATGGCTTTAATAGTTCCCTTGCAGTTGGCCAAAGACGGTGAAACATCACTTGTTCTATCTTAAAAAGTGTAATAAGTGCGTAGATCGAGGCTAGGGGAAAGATCACGCGGGTATTTTGGCTTTGACCCTTTCCCCGAAGTCTCTCACAAATCCTAGGCTCGACTCGGCTTGCAAACTAGTATGCGCATAAAGCCTGGCGCAAGAATGTTAGCCTCCAATAAATTGGACAAGGTGGCTCTGTCATTTAAGACAAAGGTTTTGTCGGCACTTGAGTTGCCATTTACACCATATTCCCTAAAAAAAATTGAACAGTCAAGTCAGCCTTTCCTTGACGACGATGTAATTCAATTTTTTTATCTTCTCTCTAGCAATCACCCTTTACCACTTGCCTCGGAAACAAAAACCGAAAGTGTCCACGTATCCTTCAACTAGATCCCTTAAAGTAAGGCCAGAATCATGAAGAGACCTCAACCCCGAAGGTTCGCTGAACTTATCGTTGAGACAAATGTGGACACAATCTACGGCTTTGTCTTCGGGGTAAAGGAGATAGTACATCTCGCCATCAAAGCAGACCCCGGCGAAGGCATTGTGTTTGTGCTGATTAAACGTTTCTTCGTTGCTGTCGCAAGGGTCTCCTGACTCCATGACGAAAATACATTATCATGGCGAACACCAGGGGAGTGGGATAAAGAAGCCGAAAAATTGCCTTGTCAATGGTTTTCCTCGTTCATTCCGCTACTCGGTCTTTGCTCTTTAATGATCTTCCCATACGGCTATCTCTAAGATTCCTATCAGACTTAAGGTTCTTAAGCATTTAAATTAAAATACTAAGCTAAACAACTCCCCAACAACCTTGATTTTGAGATTGGCCCAACCGTTGGCGGCCTTGGCCAAGTGCGCAGAAAAAGCGAGGTACCGGGTTGTCCTCCGTCCACCCTGTGCCACCATTGTCGTCGAGGAGTCATCATTAGGTACCTTAGTGTCAATGGAAAAATCCTATGAAGGTTTATACGAACCGAATAAGGTTGGCTTTACGGCATTCTCGAACTCTACTTGCCGTACTACTGAATTATCATTCATAGTTAAGCGCGCTGTCAAGTTTGATAGCAGGTGGGATGAAACTGAACGAGAGGTGAGATTGATAACAGACGCGCTCTTGACACTCCCCTCCAGGTGACGCGACGCGTTGTTTGCCTGTGTCACGTATCCGTTGCAAAACTCTGCCACGTTTCCTTCACATTCAACTCTTCCTTCCATTCCGTGCCCATCGTATTGCGGTTCCATCCCAGATTCCCAATATCTGCCATCGATCATGTCGAATCCACCCGGAGAAGAGACGGCCAAGGCGGCGCTGGAATATTTCTTCTCGCAAAATCCCAGCGACGTAGAAATCCAAGCGTGTGTTGCTTTTCTTGCGGCTGACATTTCGAGCGAGAGCCAAGGACCAGAAGACCACACCAGCATCCACGAGCTCATACAGCGAATCGCTCTCGCCAAGAAGGCACAAGCAAAAGTCACCAAAGCGAAAGGGAATAACCCTGCCGCAACCCTCCTGCCTCTAGAGCTCAATCTCGCCCATTTATCATACTTTGTCTACGCGGAGAAAGAGGGCCTTGAGAATCTGATCGACGAATCACCAAAGGTCATCGACGCGCGTTTACGAACTGTCGAGCCTTTCCTGAAGATGAGTAAGTCTTTACCTCTTACTGCACCCTTGCTCACACTAATAAAACGACAGTGCTTCAGAAATCTTTCAGTCTTCCCCTCCCCATCAACATACCAGATCCCGCCAGTGGTGCAGCGGATGCCTCGTATCAGCCAAGCGTCAAACGCGTCAAAGTCGGGAAGGGCGGCAACACAATCGATAGAAATCGGGACGCGGCAAATGAGGCACGACAACGCGATCAACATTGCATTGCGACTGGCTGCCCTATCTTCGAAGCTTGCCACATCATGCCGTTCTCGGCTAACAACACATCTGCCAAACTAGAAACTGCACGCGAAATTTTGACCGATATTGTTATGCCAATGATATCTCGCCCTGACTGGAGAATAGTTCAAAAGCTTGTGGTTCCAGATAACGGGGAAATCGGGACCTCGGATGAAGCTTGTAATATTTTATGCTTGAACACCCTGGCGCATCAACTTTTCGATAAGGCATACTTTGCCTTGGAGTGGATTGGTCTAAGCGACAAAGGAGAGCTCGATGATGAGGCCTACAAAACTGTACGACTCCGTTGGCACTGGCTGCCAAACTGTGTTGCTGACGCGCTGGGCCAAATCCATCTTCACGAGAGGGCTACGCGTAAAGGCGACACCGGGAGACTTTTGAAGTTTGGTGATGGATCAGACCATGGTATGGCCACTGCCATCTATCGTCACCTTGCCAATGCGAGCAAGATCAGCTCACATGGCGTGTCTCTGTCCCGTACAGAGAACCACAGGCCCTTGGTGACTGGAAACATCCTCTTGATCAGGGTCAGAGAGGAGGATTTGGACAAGACGAGGGTACTGATCCAGATCCAATGGCTTGCTCTGAGAATGGCGGCGATATCTGGGGCTGCGGAGGTGGTGGACGACCTTGATTCCGAGCCTCCAGGCTCTCTCGACGAGCTGCCAACATCCACCAGAGCAATTATGCAGGCTGAAACTGATGAGCTTCATAACGTCGTTCTGCCGATGCGCAGACAGATGTTCGCCGCACAACGCGCCCCGGAGTCTCCCGATACCGAAGAGGCCGGCCCAGCTCCAAAGGCTGAAGATGGCAGGGCTGAGGATGGCCCAGCTCCTAAGGCTGAGGCTGAGTTGGAGGCTACCATAAGCCCCACGCTACGTGATGATTCTCCCCCGGCAGACGACGATAAGCGGCCACAGGATTAGGGCAACCTGGAAACCGACGCACGTACCACTGCAAAGGAAAAGTCCAGCACTCTGAAACGGGTCAAGCAGAAGCTCAAGACAAAGGCCTCACGCTTGTTCCTAGGAAAGGAGGGGCCTCAGCAGGAAGAGGCTTGAGAAACTGCAGAAATTCGACAATCTTTCGTGTATGGTCTCTCCTGTGTTTAGGTAGTATTAGCACTATATGAATCGATGATCTTTCTGTATTGTCTCCCATATGTTTGTTACTGACAACCAATAATTCGACAATATTAATCATAGACTCGATAATACGTAAGCTCTTTAATGCTTGGGTGTTTCGAATTCAATGTCCTCTCTAATCGTTGTACGTTCCATCTTGAAACGTCTCTCGCGGTTACGTAAAGTCCCATGAAGATATTTCAGCTTCTTCCGTGCCATAAACCTCGTAAAGTTTTGTTTGAGCATAAGTCATCAATCATGCTACTGACCAGTAATGTCGGGCTCTGGCATCTTCCATTGCCGTTTAACTTTATGCTCAATTTCTTTTACGTATGCTACTGACCGGCTACAGGCTGCCTCATCCAGCTAGCCTTCTTTGAAGCCATAAGCAAGCTAATTAAGCAAAGTATATCCTCTTTTCCTTCGGCATCCTAATTCAGGGTCAGGCCGTCTCTTCTGCCCCTGATGCTTCTTCCCATTTAGACACAATGCTATCAACGTCACAGCTTATTGTAACGGCAAGACAAAATTTCGAACTCTAGGCTTCTGATTGCTAGGGCGTGTATCACGAGGTCTTTCCGATATCTCTATTTTGTATACGACCAAGATTGTCGCACTTTAATTGATGGCCCGGGTGAGGCGATCGACATCTGACACTCTTGGTATCCTAATCAGAGATCAAAGTGTTCGGCAAAATGGCGACGACAAGTTTTCGGTACGGTGCGGCAAACATATGGAAACGAGCATCAGCAGACAGAACCAGATTGCTCTGCCTCTCACTCAAGCAATTAATCGTGGTGACGGCATGCTGGAGATGCGAGTTGCTGATCGGCTGTCCCGCGTCTCACATGAAAAAAGGTCTATGGTGAATCAGCAGACAACCACGTCTCGAGGACTCGGATTCTCCACCCCTCCAGCTTCTCGAACTAGACCCGGCTGGAAGCCCGTCCGAGTCGTCGACGAAAACTCGACCGTCTCTGCCAAGCAAGGCGCAGGGTCAGCTGCCTCGGGCATTTCTGCGAGTAATGGGAAAACCCCGCTTTCAGCCCCAAGCCATCGGGTCCAAAAGCTTCCAAATTGGTTGACGCTATTAGGAATGGTGTCCACTAGGCAAACCTGGGGCAGAGCGGTGGTCGGCCTCCCCCGGCTTGCTCATCCATTGTTTGGTCTCACACTGTTCTTGGCCACAGTGTTCTTGACAATACAAGTGGTGGGTGTGGCGGTGAAGGCGCTGTGGTTATGGTGATATGACGGAATCTTATGCAGAAACAATGCAAAGTGCAAGACAGCCGTCAAGCCATCGTCGGCTCGGTCAAAATGTCGGAGTGAACCGCCAGCTTCGACGTAACTACTGGATCATGTCTGACAATCTGTCCATCCTCTGCGCTCGTATAGATGACACCGCCAGCAGCTTTGCATATGCATAGTCCCAATAGTCTGAATAGTTGCGAGACATGTAAGCCGCATGTTCTCCTCACTTCGGGTGAAAATGTCTGGTCCTTGGCCAAAAGAACCACTTGGATTAGGCTTCAACAGCTGCAGATCAATGCCATCATAATCCCGAAGCTCGAGTATATTCTCCATTAGGTGATCTGCATGGCGCCATGCGGTCACCTCCCTCGTGTTGCTTTCAGACTGGCACGGCATTGATACGAGGCTGATGGCATGACCGACTTTGCTTACGTCGTGGACTTTTGAGCAGCCACATGATGGGCCAATTTGAGAAGAGTTTCTTGAGCCACAGAAGCTCGACGCTTTTCGCCGAGGAATCCAGAATCGAGGCGGAGAAGAAGAATCGAGACGGGAAAGTTAAATTTAGACATAACGCTTACTGTTTGTGAGCTGTCGTCTCTCGCTGGAGCCGGCGTCTACTAGTCTTGGTAATTCCGCCTGCTTACTTGCCGGTCGGACGCTCCTTTTACCGTCTATTGAGCTCCGCGCGAGGCTCACACTGCATTGGTGGCTGTTCAGCTCGGGTGCGCCTATTGCTGTATACGAGTAAGCGCGCAGGCTCGGACCGACCAAGATGCTTGGGAGTGAGTTGGCGCGGGGTTGATTCTAGACAATACGAGAAAACGCCATCATTCTTAGCACTTCGTCGTCTGCTGACCGATGTTCTCATTGATTCTACTGAGGCCATTGTGAGACAGAGCTGTAAACACACAGGAGGCTATGCTCTGGCGGTGTCGTGATGTCACTGGCGTGGTGATTGATGCCATCGGCGATGCCAAACTTGGCACAATGGAATGAACTCTAGCATCTGGACAGACACGGCTGTGTATATAAGATGCATCAGACGTCCTCGTTGTTGTCAAATCCATCATCCTCATCCTCATCACAATCACATCTTCTCAGTTTTCTAATAGCTCTTCTTCCTTGAAGAAAGCAACTCTTTTTCAGCCGCTACTTTGCAATAGCTTCTCCCATCCTCCTCAGAAACACCAAACAGCCTCCCAGTTCTCCAGCCCTATCTACTCAACCACCAGCCACTCCAACCATGCGCTACTCCCTCACTCTTCTTGCCTTTGCCGCCACGGCTCTGGCTCTTCCCACCCCACAACCTGCCGACGATGGCAAGTGGGCTCCTGGGAAGTACGAGGGCGGCAAGACTGGCTACGACGACGGAAAGTGGTACCCCGGAAAGTACCCAGGCCGCAGTGAAGACGACACCGTCGAGGAAGCCACAAGAGCCGATGACGGCAAATGGGCCCCCGGAAAGTATGAGGGTGGCAAGACTGGCTATGATGATGGCAAGTGGTATCCCGGAAAGTACCCAGGCCGAGATGAGGCTGGCAGTAATGATGAGACCGAGGAGGTCAAGCGTGCCGATGACGGGAAGTGGTACCCTGGAAAGTACGAGGGTGGCAAGACTGGCTACGATGATGGCAAGTGGTATCCTGGAAAGTACCCTGGCCGCAGCGAGGAGAGTGTTGATGATGTGAAGAGGGAGGAAGAAACCGATGAGGTCAAGAGAGCCGACGATGGCAAGTGGTACCCCGGAAAGTATGAGGGCGGCAAGACTGGCTTCGACGACGGAAAGTGGTATCCCGGAAAGTATCCCGGCCGCAGCGAGGAGGTCGAGGTCAACGCATAAGAAAGCATACAGGGGGACTTATTTTAGAGATGCCTCTCGGTTGAAGAGGTTTGCATGATGACGGCCATGGATGACATTTGATTTTCTGCATTTTAGTTTGGCATTAATACTTCTCTTCTTTTGCGCTTCACCAAGCAGGTTCAGTCTTTGGTTGCTTGCTTGGTCGACTGCCGCCCCTTTTTGCATCTATTGTAATTGGCTAGACTTTCCTTAACGAAGCATGCGAGTTTAGATAATACATACACACTCCCTGAAAATTCTCTCGATGTCTTATTCTTCCGTGATCTAAATCCTCTAACAGGGGTAAAAGCCTCTAACAAATCAGGAAAATGGTCTTATGCAACATATAGGCAGCCGGTGGGTTGTTGATGGAGTCAATCTGAAAATCACAGTAACTCATCATTGGCCTATTTGATGAGGGGTCCCACCATCAAAATAATCACATGCTAAATCGACAGGTTCCCGTATCCTACCTTGTTAAAGAAACTCCGGCTGGGGGATATAGCTACGGGAATGAATAATCAAGCGTTCTGCCCTCACAGAACACTTGGCCAAACTCCGTATAGACGTGCATGAAGGAGTATATCCTCCAATCCCCTTGTCATAACACAACCCTTTCATCGAGTCCAGCGAGTCAAGCAGGATATTCATCAAGTCATTTCCCCACAATCGAGCAATCACGAGCTAGTGGACGATGAACCATGGGATCATGGTTCAACGGGCTAGCATTAGGTAACTTGCAATGACTCGAGACCTTCTGGCTGTCTTCTGCTGCTTCTAGTTATTCAGCTAGAAATCAAGGGCTCGTGGCGGCAGGTTCGGAAGTACAGCCGATGACGATGGAGGTCCAGGTCTCGAATAAAACCTCCAAGCTCGGGCCCCCCGTCCACCTACCATCCCATGAGCCAGGCGTGGCAACGTGAGTGCAACGGCAGGCACTAGGAGCGGGTATACGGCAACAAGGACTCTATATGGCTGTTAGGCTACCGGCTGTTTGGGAATCTAATCCGGCCCCAGATATTTGACTTCAGCCACATGGGGGTGCCGATCGATGTTCCGCGTCTCAAGACATCCACCCCTGACAAGACATTTGATGCTCTACTCTGGGCCTGGGTGCAAACTCTAAGTCGATGGAATGATTGTTTTTGCTGATATTCAACGTCGGTAGATGACTGATTCGTCCGCGTGGGACATGTGTATCAATCACATGAGCAGGGCATTTTCGGCAGAGAATATGTATATGTATTTTGAGCACCTCCAAACGAGATGCTCCCTTAGTCATGGCATGGAACGCCTCCTCGGCTTCTTACCTAAGTGATCGATACTTACATCAACACATCACAAGCAAGGTTTGAGCTACAGAAGTTTGGGCACCACCTCCGCACCCCCTCCGAGATTTTGCGCGGCCACTAAAAGGGGATGCTCGTCATCCTCTCAGCGCTATAACCAAAGCAGACTGCCGGTTTCCAGACTTTTTGCCTCTCCCATTCCGTTTCATACGATTTCTTTAAAACTTCTCAAATTCCTGTCTCACTTGCTCTCATCACCGCACCTCCCCATGATGTTATAGGACTCTTTTCCTCACAGAGCGCGCCGGAATGATCACCCTAATACCCGATCGATATGTTCCTGAACCGGTGACCCAGGAAGATCTCGTTATTGCATCTCTCGCGTGGGGCTTCACTCTGGGCATTGGCTGGTTGGCATCATGGACGGCCATCGTTCAGACAGCGAGCGTCATCCGGCGGCGCGGTTGGCAGGGAGTAGCCAACCCTTATGTCATCATGATTTGGGGAGAAATAGCCGTCTGCTTGGCTTTCGGCATCATCTGCTTCATGTATTTGCTGGGAGCGATCCCTCCTAGGTGAGATCCTATAGAGCATCTGCTCCTCTCTACTTCTCAACTTTCATCAAACTAACTACGATGTAGCTTTGCTTTCTATTTTTGCATTTGTAAGTTTCGGCTCATCATGTGCTGCCGATTACCTATCTTTTGCTTGTAAGCTTGCTAACGATGGTTTGAAGTAACCACATGGGCTCTCCAAGTACAATTTCTGCTTCAGATCATCATCAACCGATGCGCAATTCTATGGAGGGACAAAGTCAAGGTCAATCGACTGAAATGGGGAGTAGCCGCGCTTATCACCGCCATCAATATCACAGTCTACTGCATATGGATCCCTGCGCGGCTGCAGATCTCCGATGAGTACGTCCATATCAACGAGTATTGGGATCGCACCGAAAAGATCATATACCTCCTTGTGGATGGCTTTCTTAATATTCTTTTTATCCGGATCGTCAAGAAAAACCTAGTGGACAATGGCCTTCAAAAGTACAACAATCTTGTCCGGTTCAATATGCTCATCATCGGCTTCTCCCTCAGCATGGATATCCTTATCATTAGCATGATGAGCCTGAGAAATACGTTTGTGTAAGTCAAAGCTTTTGCTGGATATGTAATCTCATTTATAATATATCTGTCTAATCATTGCTTATAGGTATATGCAATTCCACCCACTGGCTTATATCGTCAAACTCAACATCGAGATGTCGATGGCCACCCTGATTGCAAAGATTGCCAAGTCGAGCGGCAAGATCCAAACACCCAACCCATCTCCCTCCCACTCCCGAGGATTCAGTGGGATCATGAATACCAATTCGACACTTGCTACTGTGAAAGAAGAAAGTGTGCAAAAACCTTGGGCCACCGTCACCAAGACAGTTGAGCTGACCAATGTACGGGCACCATCGCCCCCGGTAGTCGCTACTCCGCGGCTTAGCCGTGCCAATACAGACTCATCGATGTCCTTCAAAGACGGTTCTTTATCCTTCCGAGAGGGCCACTCCTATTCGGTTCACATCGAAGCAACTCCTCCCAACAAGGGAGGACCTTCACGGGACGATGCTTCGTCGAGCCGGCGACGATCATCCGCATCAGAAGGATTGCTAGATTAAACGCGAGATATCCACACAAAAAGGTCGACGAAATCGTCTTCTTGTTGTTTTATTAGCTGCATATTATACACGACCTCATACATGCTCATAGAATATCATCATAAGCGCCATGTGGCTCGGGAACATGATTCCAGCTACATATGTACAAATTAAAAATCTTTTTTTTCTTCTCACTCTTATTCCAACCGTATGTGACTTTCTTAACTCATTAAAAATGAATATAGCCACCCTAATCTGACTCTGGTTCTTTGGAAGCTCAAACGGGGGCCTCCTCGCTGCTGTCATGGAAACCCAACGGCCTGAGATGTTTGGGGCTATCGTCAGCGACGTTCAATGACGGATATGCTGAGATATCAGAAAATGGGGATGGGTGCCGCCTGGGTGAAGGAGTCCGGTGATCCAGAAGATCCTAAAATGGGAGAAGCTCTGCTCTAACATTCGCCTTTTCATAATGCAAGGGAGACTGTTAGATACCCTCCGTTTATCATCACAGTTTCTCGGCTGATAACCGAGTAGGGGCGAGTCAGACGAGAAGATTAGCCGCACGGCTTCGAGAAGTAGGAGCGCCGTATTGTTTTACGAAGACCGAGAGGGCGGCCACGGTGTCAGTGAGTCGCTGAGCAGTACTGCATTTCTGTCAAGGTGAATAGCCTTCTTGTAGATACATTGATGGGAAGATCTGATGGTTGAATGTTACTACGTAGCTCTAGGGTTCTATATTCTACAGCCAGCTAAACGGCCATTTGAATTGAATACTTACAGGATTGAATAGTTAGTAACGAACTCATAAGAGTTGGCCCTTGACTATTCTAACAAAAGTAGAAATGGGTTCAACAAGCCGACGAGTGCAATGGTGCTTCATTTCTGCGTCGTATCGTCTCGACCACCTTTGTCAGCTAGTCTGCCAAGTAAAAGACAATGAAGAGAATACTAAGCCAAGTGTCTTAAAAAAATATTCCTGATTTATCAAGAATTATCAGCGTTTGTGCTCTTTATCGGAGCTTGTGGGCAGTAGTGAAAATGCCACCAAGACTATAACGGTTTCCACAGTTTACCAGACGTAGACAGGTGATATACCAGAGAGTCATGTTGTCCTCAGAATGTTCCATAAATAAAGTTGAGGTCAGGGATGTTGGAACAAGCGCACTGGCCTACCCATCCTAAACACAGCGGACCGTTCACGGTTTTAATTAAACAGTGCCTCACTTATGCAGATCAACCAAGAAAGTAGCACCGAACCATGGTGATGGTACCAGATAGGTCTCACTCAGTTCGAGGTCTATACCTAATTTGTAGCACGACCTGCGAATGTCTCTCAGCTTCCAGCCACAGCTGTCTGAGAATTCCTTGTTCCCCATTTTCCCTGGGTCAATTGGAATGAGTTTACAATTTATACATCGTTCGATTCCATCGTCTCGATAAGCTACGGCTTACCCCAGCCGGACCATATGTCTTGGAGTTGAGACAGTTCTGTCATGTTTGTTTCGCGTCAGCCACTCCTTGTCAGACATGATGACGCCTTCCTGTTTACCTGAATCTAGTCTAATAAGCGTCATTCTAGCGCTTGAAAATATAAAGGATTCAATGAGGATATAAAATGCCCTAAGTTCCGACGGAATACAAGATTCTATCCATTTCACCTTTCTATCATCTTACACACACCGATCTTCAAGCCACAACACACTAGCCCTCCAAACTTGACATATTCACCATGAAGTTCTCGTCTTCCATCGTCTCTTGTTTCCTGGTAGCAGGCGGACTTGCCGCTCCTCAAATCACATCAGAGGCTCTCGCATCACGTCAAGTCACCGAAGAAGGGATCGCAGAGCTCTGCAAGAGCCCAGCTCCTATATACGTCCCTGCTCTTGCTGCGGCCTGCAAGAAGGGAGGACACCTCACCTCCCGTCAGTTTACCGAAGAAGGAATAGAGGAGCTCTGCAAGTCCGAGGTTCCCAAATACGTCCCCGGCCTTGCTAAAGCCTGTCAAGATGAAGGGCATCTCGACTCCCGTCAGATGATTGAGGAGGGGATCGAAGAGCTTTGCATGTCCGAGGCCCCGAAATACATTCCCAGCCTTGCCCAAGCATGCAAGGACCAGGACCGCCTCGACGGTCTCAGCGCTCGCCAGGTGGCGGAGGAAGGCATCGAGGAGCTTTGCAAGACCGAAGCTCCCCAATATATTCCCGCTCTCGCTGAAGCCTGCCAAGAGGCGGGACACCTTGAGTCTCGTCAAAATGACGAGCAGCTTTGCAAATCCGATTCTCCAAGGCAAATGCCTGCTCTTTACAACTACTGCAAGAAGAAGGGTTACTAGAGTGAACTTTGGTCCGACAGCTTTTCCCCATTCGCACTTTGTTAAATATCAAGGAGGTTGCGTTGAATTCGACCCTCAGAGTCGAGGCATTATGGGTGCGAGGTAACAACTTGAAGGAATAAATGTGTGTTTGCTTAAAATCAATTTTTTTGGTCATCTAAGCAGATAGAAATGCAAACAGAGTCCAAGATTGTGTCCTTGATTTCCTTTCCAGTTTTATCTCTGTTATATCATTTGAGTTGAATTCTCCTGTCAGGTTCAAGTGCTAGATATGCTAGGATGGCAGTCATCGTAGATGTTGTCTGAACGCCTCCTGGGACACAAGATCTCTTAATAAATCTTATAGACGACACCAATCAGTCCTTTGTTCAGAGACTTTCGGTAGTCAAAGCCCGACACATTTTTTTGGCACTGTTGGGCTCAATTGATTATGTCTGGTCTCTCGTTCCGCCCTCTTGTCTACTGTTCTTAACCACTAGAACAGAGCATCTTCAGCATCATATTGCATGGGCGGTTCAGTCAGGTAGGTTAGGCGATATCATATCTAGCGTAATAGATTAAAAAAGGGAAATGTAATATATATCAGGCCGGCTAGTGGTATTACTATATAAACAAGTGATTCCTCTCAAGTTTTAGTCAACTACTGCGTCCCTAGCGCAGCGAGTGCTTTGCGCAGCTCGGCGACAGCAGTGGGCACATCATCGAAGTTGAGAGCCGATATGGCAAACTTGGCGTGCTTTTGGGCTTGATTTATGTCCTTGTAATGGACCGCAGCTGGGACTGGCGCAGGAGCTACTGGTGGTTGAGGAGCAGGAATGGGCGAAAAGGTTGCGGGGTTCGCGGGGACAAAGGGAGGCTGTGATGGTTGAGAGAAAGCCGCAGGTTGTTGAGGAAATACAGGAGGTTGCTGTGGGATAAATGGAGCTTGTTGAGGACTGGGAATTGGAGGGGGGACAGAAGGATTTGACGGTGTGGAAGCCGTCGTGGACCACAACGGAGGTGCGGTTGGCTCTGAGTGTGGCACGGATGGTGAGGTTGGCGCGAATTGCGAGGGGACGGTAGGAGGTGCATGAGGCGAGGGGATAGGGACAATTCGCTCTGAGGGAGGACCTTGAGGCGGCACGACCGGTGAATCGGTTGGGGCTGATGGGCTGGCCAGGTCGGCAGGAATGTTCGAAGGGACGGGAGGGAAGTATCCATCTGAGACTGAGGCGGTTTGCTGTCCTGGGGGCGAGGGCTCAAGCGGTGAGGGCTCGCCAGCATCAGGCACATCTTGCACAGACACGGGCTGGGGAGCAGTTCCCGTCGGCACAATATCCTGCATCAGGGTCTCGTCCAGCACCTCCTCCTCCGCTGGCTTCTCCTTGGGATTGGATTCGTTCGGATCACGTCCCTCCCGAATGGCCTTGAGGATGCGCGCGGCGTGGTATTTGGCGTACTTGATCTTCTGCGTAACCTCTGGGTCGATTTCTCCCCACTCGCTGAGGAGGTCGAAGAATGTCGCGGCAGCTTCAAACGTGTCCGCAGTCGTCCTCGTGACGCTGTTGGCGCGCATGGTTCGTCCAGCCCGATCTAGGGTCTCCTGGGCAAACATCTCGACATATGCCTGAGCGGCATCGTTGTCGACAATGGAGTCATCGTCAGGGTGTTCGGTCTTGGTCTTCTCGAGGTTCTCAAGCAGATACTTGGTGTAGGCGTATGCGTCGTCGTCGCTCGTGTGGATGCCCTTGGCAACGATCTGGTTCACGGCATGGTACTCGCCTAAACAGAAGAGGGTTTGTCAGTCAATAGTGGTACAGGCGACTAGGGAAATCGAGATGCGACGAACACCAGTAGGCAATGGCGGGCTTGATATTGCGCAGCTGGTTGGCGCGATTGACGAAGCGGTAGACCTCAGGGATCTTGAGGGAGGCGGGGAGCGGCTGAACCATCGTTGCGAGGCACCCGCCAAAGACTGGCAGTCGGTGGCAGCAGTGGTGGGAGAATTGGAAGCGTATGGCGCGTGCCCGAGGATTGCGATGCAATGAGAAGAATATACGGAGTCTGGAGAGATGTTTCCTAGGCAGCTCGCACCGGCAAGCACCCAGGCAGAATGACGCACCCCGCAGGTCGCCACAAGCTAAAATCATTCATCTGGGACCTGGTGATGGCGCCCTGTGGCTGGTGTTACTGACTTACGCCACACTCTCTGCCCCGCTCCAGCTCTCGCCACAGCGGGCAGAACAGTGTGACAGAAACAGCAAGAGCGGCCGGGCAACTAAAGTTCCAGGCGCTGAGCTTGCCTCGCCTCACGTTGAAGCCAGCAGCTGCTGTTTCATTCTTCCAGCGTGGCCTTTTTCCCTGGCTACCACCCCCTCGGCCTGTTTTCCCGACAACCTTCACGGTGGCCTCTTTGTTTCTATTGACACCTGTCTTTACTTCTTGATTGGCATTGGGCACTGCGTATTTATTTATCCTGGGTCGATCCCTCCAGCCCAGCTGATTTTCTTTCCCCAAAATTACCCACCACCAACGTTAAACATCACCACCTACCCATGCATCAACAGTCCCTCATCACAGCCCTCGCGGCTGCGCTTGTGTCGGTCCCCGCCGTCCAGGCCGGGATCTACACCAAGTCCTCGCCTGTCATCCAAGCCGATGCAAAGAACTTCGACAGCATTGTCGCCAAGTCGAACCACACCTCTGTAAGTCAATTGCCTGCTAATTAATAAACATGTCCCCAATCCAACCCAAGCTCAATTCAATCCCCACGGCCCGTCTGTCAATCAGAGGCTAACCTACTCCCCTCTTCCCTCCAATTAGATTGTCGAGTTCTACGCCCCCTGGTGCGGCCACTGCCAGAACCTCAAGCCCGCCTACGAGAAAGCCGCCAAGGACCTCGACGGCCTCGCCAAGGTGGTCGCCGTAAACTGCGATGAAGACTCCAACAAGCCCCTCTGCGGCGCCCACGGCATCCAGGGCTTCCCCACCCTCAAGACCTTCCGACCTGGCAAGAAACCAGGCAGCAAGCCCATCGTCGAGGACTACCAGGGGCCCCGTACCGCCAACGGCATCGCCCAGGCCGTCGCCGACAAGATCAACAACCACGTCACCCGCCTTACCGACTCCGATTTCGAGGACTTTGTGGCCAAGGAAGGCCCCGACGCTATACTATTCACAGAGAAGGGAACCACCAGTGCCCTCTTGAGGAGCGTCGCGATTGACTTCATGGGTGTCATAAACGTGGCTCAGATTCGCAGCAAGGAGACCAAGGCGGTAGAGAAGTATGGTATTCAGAAGTTCCCTACACTAGTCCTCATCCCAGCCGACAGCGACGCCGAACCCATCGTCTACGAAGGCGAGCTCAACAAGAAGGACATTGTCGCGTTCCTGAAGCAGGCGGGAGAACCCAACCCTGATCCCGCACCAGCCAAGTCCAAGGCCAAGGCCGACAAGAAAGAGAAGAAGGAAAAGAAGGAGCCCAAGTCTTCTTCGACTTCCTCGTCGACCAAGTCCGAGGAAACTGCCGAGTCATCCTCCACCGAAAGCGCAAAGGCCGAGTCCACCATCATTTCTATCCCTCATATCACTTCCAACGAACAGCTTGTCGAAAACTGCCTCCATCGCAAGGCAGCCGCCTGTCTTATTGTCAACATCCCAGCCGGAGCCTCCGAGAATGGAGACAAGGTGCTCAAGGCCGTTTCCGAGCTCAACACCAAGTACCACCAGAGCCACCGCCCACTATTCCCCTTCTTCTCCCTCTCGAGCGAAGTCGAAGGCGTCTCCTCTTTTAAGTCCTCCCTCGGTCTTACCAACGAAGTCGAGCTCATTGCCGTCAATGCCAAGAGAAAGTGGTGGAAACAATACGAGGGAGACTTTGATCTCCAGAGCGTCGAGGCCTGGTTGGATGCCGTCCGTCTCGGTGACGGCGAGAAGAAGAAGCTGCCCAAGGATGTGATTGTCGATTTGCCAGAGAAGGACGAGTCTGCATCTTCCGCTACAGAATCCGAGAAGGAGGCCAAGACCGAAGAAGCCAAGACCGACGAGAAGATCACCCACGAGGAGCTGTAGCGCAGATTCGGAACTGGGATATTTAACTAAAAATGAGTGTGAGATAATTGGACGGTTAAAGAAGGTGAAGAAAAGATCGTAAAAATGTAGTGTTCGTAGCAGCCAGAAAGAAATGTAACCTACCAATTGATTTACTCATCACTCATTCGTTTCGAACATGCAGTGCAGCTACCATACTAGTAGCGATTTCACTCGTCCAGATCCATGGCCATGGCATCACTCTTCTCAGCGGCGCCTTCACGGATCATCTTAGCGCCCTTGGCCTTGATGGCCTTGTCGAGAAGCTGCTTGACCTCCTTGCACCCGTCGACAGCGACAGCAAGCATACCCTCCAGGCGGCTGACCTGCACTCGACTCTCGCAGTTGAGAACGGCAACACGGTCGGTTTCACCCAGGGTAGCCACTGTAATGAAAGGTAGTTCCTGCTCTTCTTGTGTATTCAGATCGAGCAGGGGATCGGCCGAGTCGTCGGCGGCAGCGTACGAGGATGTTGATCCAGCGGTGCATGCGGCAATGTAGTCGGACATTGGGATACCAGCATCGATGAGCGCGAGTGTCGCAGCGTTCAGGAGGGCAGCGAGGAGGGAACCGTCGGCGGAAAGAACGTGGAGGGCGAGAGAGATGCTCGAGTGGGGGAAGAGATGGGTGTGAGCGACCGAAGCAAACGTCTTTGCGATTATAAGCTCAAGCTCTTGGGTTCGCCTTGTCTCGATTAGCATTCTCCAGAGAAAAGAAAATCTTGGGAATTGTAGCAAAGGTAGGCTACTCACTTATCATTGCGTCCTCGCTTCTTGTGGTCCACAGAGGCGAAGCCAGCCACGACGATACTGACATTGATGGCGGCGTCTTTACCTCCGCCAGCGGTGGCCTGCCCCCGTCGCTGTCCCTGCTGCTGCTGCTGGGCCTCCGAGGGACCGGTCAGGACGCACATGACTTTGGTGTTGCCCATCTCGAGGTAGGAAGAGCCATCGGCAGCGGCCTGGATGCGGATTTGGGCGTGCAGGCGACGGAGCTCGTTCCAGCGACGGCCATCGACGCGCAAGAGCGCAAGTGAGTAGGTAGACGTGTCTAGAGGCATGGCTGCGCTGAGTGAAGCCCGTGAAAACGCGTAGATGCTAGATTGGCGTGGAATGGCAGGTCAATCAAGGAACAATTCATCCAAAGCTTTGGAAAAAGTCAAGGAATTTCTCTTGGTGGGGTCAGAGCCTTCTGTGGCTCTAAACTGTGGCTAGAGTCTATATATTGTGGCTGTTGCTCTTGGAGCCAACTACCTACCCTAGGCTAAGCACCAACGCTCTGCCTATCATCGCTCCCATATGAATTTTCAGCCATATTTACGACTGTCTCATTAAGAGTGTTTGGGGTATTTAACTTTAGTTCAATTACTGTTGTTGAGGTCACGAGAGTTGACGGCTCCTACCGGCCTTGAAATTGTCTTTGAGTATTTCTTCTTCCACCCCTTAGTTCTCCCCAGCGAGGAGCTCTTCTCTTCGGTTCCCTTCCCCAACGAAGTGACCTGTACATTATATTTGGGAAATCAACTTCGGGTAAATATGAGAAGACTCTCTACCTAAATGTCGAAGTTCCTATGTATTCTTTCAAATCACTACAGTTCAACAGAAAGAATAATCCAGTAAAGAAGGAGCCGGCAGTTAACTGTATGTATCATAGTAATTGAAGGGAAAACATTCACAGCTTTTTAGGATACATCAAGCCCATGTCGAGACTTTGATCTTTTGAAAGGGGCGTGGAAGCTGCGCATACTTGTAATGATACGGTGCTGATATACGCACCTGTGACCTACGGTGTTCGGGGATTTATCAAATTTGCCACACTTCGCTATCTTGTCATCGTGTTGTCCGTGGGGGTATCGATCGGATACAAATTTGGGATTATGCAGGTCCCGGTTGACACCTATGAGAACCTCGACGCAAAAGACTGTACAGAAGTATCATCTGGTGTCTATATTTCAGATGGGGGTAACCGACATCAATGCGGGATGGCTGATCGACAAGCCGGCATATGAGAACAACAAGCAGTTCGTCCACCAACTGAATTATACGCACGGCAACCAGCCCCCCAAAAGCGTCGTTTTAACCAGGCGTCTGTTATGCAAGAAAAATCAGGGCTACTTTGGGAGCAGTGGCCAAGGAATTATGACTTTTCGCGAGATCGTCCTCGTTTCTGATTTAGAAGAAGAACAGGGGGAGTTTTACTTGACAGAAAGTCAGTCAAATTGGTACCGCGTCGAGTCACAGAGCCAGCATTGGTTCAGTAGTGACATGGAAGAGGCAGCCGTGGTGGAATATCGCGCCCAGAGCCTGGGAGGATGCAGATCCAGTGGGCTCGCACCGGTGACTGGATCAAGAGTAGTAACGGTGGCTCGCAAAGAGTTCATCGTCGCTTAAATTGTACCATGCATTATGCGGTGGCTGAGGTCCGAAGAGGGAGAAACTCCAACGATTGCGGCTATCTAAACGGTACTCTGCCTCTTAGCGAGAACATCCGTTTTCTATCACACGGCCCATCAACCAAATTCCCTCGCCTTCATGATGCCGAGATGCAGTTCTGGGCCTTTTCCGAATGTCGCCCTTTGATTGAAGCCCTTGTTATGAACGGGGGTTCATCCGTGGAGTCTGGCGTCAGTAGTCTTGTCGGCGGCATCATGACGATTCAAGATCGATACAACGAGGCATTGTCCAAGAAATACAATACTCCGCCGGTCAACTTCGAACCCAATGATTCTACGATTGAGCGTCTTAATCCAGCTCTGGGCCCTGATGACGAAGCGCTTGGTCGGCGTGCAAAGTGCCATACTTGAGTTACCCATACCAAAGGCACCCGGTCAATCGGAGCCATCGGCTTACATATTGGTGCAGCCATTATATTCTGTCTCGTTGGCATCATAGCCCTTGTTACTTTGGGTGTTCGGATATGGGTAGGTCCGCCTTCGCTCACCTCATGGATCGCACAGCATATCCACTTGTCACAAATGGGCGTTTTGTCGTTAGAGGATGACCAGAAGACCCTAGAAAACCCTTACCTAGCTGCTCCTCATGATCTTTGGAGGCTTCACACGAAAGGGTACCGTGAAGTAGAAGACTCGGAAACATCTGATACAGAGCTGGACGAAATGCATATGCCGCCGCAGAGGCCTCACTCGTTTAATGGAACCTAGATTTCATAATATACCATCAACATCAATCCATTTCATTTTCGCTCCTTGCGTTTTTCAGTGAGCATTAAGTTGATACCCACGAATGCCACTTCTAAATGGAATAACTGGACATCTAGGCATGCGTGTCGCTGAAGCGTATGAGTGGTCGTGAACAACACATATCAACAGCATTTTTTTTCTTCTGAATCGTCCCTATGATATTCTCAGCACTAACTTCAGTAGCGGTATCCAAAACGCGGGAGCCATCGAAAGTCCAGGCTAAGTGAATGAGTAGGTAAACAGAGAGCTTGAGCTAACCAGACTAGAAACCATATGCACCTGACGACACCACCCGTCTCCCATTGTCAAACATGTATTACTTTTTTAATCTTATCTTGATAATACAGAACTCAGCTTGGGATTCCGGATTATTCAACAAATCAATGGCTTTGAATAGCCTTAGATAAGGTCGTTTCATTAGCTTTCTCCACTCTGCCTGCCACAGTATCAACGACATCATCACATTTCTGATGTCATGGAGTCATCGTATCTTTCGTGAGGGGAAACCTTCGTATCCGAGACATCCAGAAAGCGGGCGTTGCCGCAACCGGAATGCAAGTAGTCAAACGAACTGTTCCAGGCCGTCTATAAATACGACCTCCCTCTCGAGGACCTCTACAAGCGTCATCAGCCGTGTCAATTGGTCTAAGTATACGTCCTATAATTAGCTAACAATAAATCAATCTTGCACCAGTATTCAGGGCATAACCATCTCTTATCCAACATGTCGTCGCTCCCAAAAACCTACAAGGCTGCCGTCTTCACTGGACCCAAAGCAGAGGTGAAGCTCCAGGATGTTGAACTCAAACGTCCGGGCAAGGGCCAGGTCCTCGTGAAAGTCATCGCCTGCGGCGTCTGCTTCTCCGATGTTGCCATCTCCCGCGGAGAAATGGGCACTGACCTCTTCCCCCGCGTCCCGGGCCATGAAATCGTCGGGGACGTGGTCGCCGTCGGACCCGATATCACCTCTTTCAAGGGGGGCGAGCGAGTCGGAGGCCCATGGCACGGTGGACACGACCGCGTCTGTCGCCAGTGCCAGCGCAGCTTGTACCAGACGTGCGACAACAAGGAGATCAATGGCGTGACGCGAGACGGCGGGTGGGCTGAGTACGTGCTCTTGAGGGAGGAAGCCGTCGTCCGCATTCCCAAGGATATCAACCCGGTCGATGCCGCGCCGCTCCTGTGTGCGGGCGTGACTGTGTTCAACGGCATCCGCAAGATGCATGTTGAGCAGGGCGCTCTCGTTGCCGTCCAGGGCCTCGGCGGGCTGGGCCATTTGGCCGTTCAGTATGCACGCCATATGGGCTATGAGGTGGTTGCCTTGTCTCGTGGGTCTGACAAGGAGAGCTTCGCTCGGGAGCTAGGTGCTCATCATTACATCGATGCCAAGAAAGATGACGCCTCGGCTCAGCTGAAGAAGCTTGGTGGTGCCGAACTGATCGTTCAAACGGCTCCAAACCCCGAGGTCGTGAGCGGGCTTGTCAAGGGTCTCGCACCGGGTGGGAAGCTTCTGTGTCTGGCTTCTGTTGGCGATGTTCCAATTGATACTGCGTCATTGGTGTTGAATGGTCTGTCGGTCCATGGTTGGCCCTCTGGTCATGCGTTAGATTCTGAGGAGGCTATTCGGTTCGCCAAAGCCCATGGCATTCGATGCATGGTTGAGCGGTATTCCTTCAAAGATGTCAAAGCCGCCATTGATAGCCTCGTCGCGGGCAAGCCTCGGTTCAGGAACGTTTTGGTCATGGAATAAAGGGAAAAGTAAAGATTATCTGCTCAATAACTAACTCAATCTAAATAAATCATATTCTGAAATCACATCTATATGTACCTAGTGGACATGTGATGCTATTCCGCCCTCCACTTGTCATTGGAAGATTCATCATCGCGATGGTGAACTTCTAACCTTCAGCGTTGATTACGTGGGAAGGAGGTCATGCCGCGAGCCCGGAAAACACTTGTTAAGCCCGACGGAGCGTGTTCTCGGCGGGATTACGCGTCACAAGGCAGTTCAGTTGATTGATCATATTAGCAACGAGACAGATCTTGCACTATTCGGCATCTTCCGCACAGCTAATATTGATGTGGCTGAGGATAGCTGAATTGCCTTCTTAGTCCCCAGCCTATCCCAGCATCAGGTTCACCCCTAGCGCCCTGCGTGTCTTAATATTCAAAGCTCGTTCCGGGTGGTCATTCGTAAAGTAAACGAAGACCCTTCTTGACCGCCTTCGATGTCTCACAACATTCCTTGGGCTGAGATAATATTGTAGAGAAGAGTGCGAGATACCGTTGGCCTGAGATAAACGCCTTGGCTGTCTAGCAAATGCCTTGGCTGTCTAAATATGGTGCCTTTTACTCGTCTCCCCAACTCGGGTAGACGTTCATCTTCTTTTTGGGTGTATGCTTTCCACCGAAGCAGGACATAAAAGATAGAATCAGGCATCATGGGGAATGTAATCAGCTGGGTCCTGTCAAATATTGGGCAGGATGAAAGACAAGGTGAAGCGAGAGAAGAGAACCAACCACAATCATTGGCTGGTGAGTTAGCTGCCTAGCACCGACAATGCGAGAACGAACAAATGAAGATCATTGATATGGGAAAGCTGACTTCGATTCACTGGATCAGGCATGATTAACACGCTAGTTCCCATGATTATCGTTGCTATCGTTTCCCTGGTGGTATTTCTCTCAACCAGGCGAGCACAGAGACGCTTCTACGCTCCTCGAATATATCTTGGTTCCCTTCAAGATCAGTGAGCGTCCTTCCTATAACCTTATTTCTTAATGGCAGCCCTTGCTTACCAGATTGGCTATTAGTGAGCGCAACCCCGAGCTGCCAGACGGCCTCTTCAGCTGGATTAGCACCTTCTCAAAGATCCCGGACGTCTATGCCCTCAAGCATCAAAGCTTAGACGCTTACCTCTTCCTTCGTTATCTTCGCGTCTGCACCACTATCTGCTTCGTTTGTATGTGTATAACTTGGCCTATCCTTCTCCCCATACACGCCACGGGTGGTAACGGCAAATCCCAACTTGAGGTCATTTCCTACAGTAATATCAACATCGAGACGAACAAAAACCGCTTATTCGCCCATGCTCTACTTGCGTGGCTTATTTACGGGTTTGTCATGTATATGATCACACGAGAGTGCATCTTTTATATCAACATCCGCCAGGCATACCTCTTGAATGACCAGTCAACTAGCCGGCCATCATCGAGAACAGTGTTATTGACATGTGTTCCCGATGAGTATCTTAACGAGACCCGAATTCGGGAGATATTTGGCAGCAATGTGGTGAGGAACGTTTGGCTCGGTGGGAATTCACGGAGCCTTGACAAGCTTGTGCAGAAACGGGACCAAGTGGCGATGATGCTCGAGAGGAGCGAGGTAACATTGATCAAGAGGGTGAACAAGCACCGCTCAAAGCTGTCCAAGAAGTCTGATGGATCGATATCTGACCCATACCAAGACCACGACCAGGAGGGACAAGATACATACTCTAAGCATATCAACGCGTTCCGTCCATCTCACCGTCTTGGTCCCTTGGGCCTTTTTGGGGAAAAGGTTGATACGATAGACTGGTGTCGATCTAAACTAGAAACACTGATTCCTCTATCGAAAGCTGCCCAGGAGATGTGGCGAGATGGCAATTTCAAGAAGATACCTGCCGTGTTTGTTGAATTCCAGAAGCAGTCAGACGCTGAGACTGCCTTCCAAGTCGTCACGCACCACCATGCGTTGTCTATGGCACCAAAGTACATTGGTATTCGACCTGAGGAAATAATATGGAGTAACATGACTATTCCGTGGTGGCAGATCCTGATCCGCGAGTACATTGTGTATGCTTTTATCGCTGCGTTAATCATATGGTGGGCGATCCCGGTCGGTATCTTTGGTATCATTGCGCAAGTCAATGTTCTTCAATCACTACCAGGCTTGACGTGGATCAAGGATATACCAGACGTTAGTACTTCCCATACGCTCTCCATTTACCATTTCTAACGTGCATATTCTTTCAGAAAATCATGGGTGTCATCTCCGGTCTCTTACCTTCTGCTGCCCTTGCGTATATCATGTCATTGGTGCCAGGCATCCTGCGCTTTTGCGCCCGTTTCTCTGGTCTAGTCTCACGCGCCGAGATTGAACTGTTCACCCAGAGCGGCTTCTTCATGTTCCAACTGGTTCAGGTGTTCCTGATACGAACCATTACCGATACAGCGGCGACGGCCGTCATCCAGATTGTGCAAAGTCCAACGCGAGTTTTTGGTGTGTTGGCTGAGGCGCTCCCAACGTCCTCCAACTTCTATATGGCCTACTTTATTGTCGAGGGCCTTGCCATTGCTGTCGATGTCACGACCCAAGTTGTTGGGTGCTTAGTGTTCAATCTAATCTATCGGCTTTTCTTACGGACGCCTCGTTCCATGTATAAGAAGTGGACAACTCTGACGCCAATTTCATGGGGCGGCACTCTACCCATCTACACCGGCATAGTCGTGATCAGTAAGTTGAAAACCAGTTTCAGCAGCATGCTAAACCCTAGCAATATTAACTCTTAAGGGCCAGGTATCACTTATGCTGTCATCGCTCCTTTCCTACTTATCTGGTCGACCCTTGGTATCGGGATTTTTTATCAGTCCTACAGATACAATGTGCTGTTTGTTGCCTCTGTTGAGGTGGATACTCGCGGACTAATGTATCCAAAAGCTCTCAAGCAGTTGTTTGCCGGTATATATCTTGCTGAAGTCTGCCTCATCGGCATGTTCCTCGTCAGCAAAGCCTTTGCGCAGGCCGGACTCATCATCGCCCTCCTCGTGTTCTCGATTCTCTATCAGATCTCTCTTGGCAGGGCTTTGAACCCTTTGCTGCACAATCTACCTCGCACATTGCAAGCAGAGGAAGAGAAGGCCAAGCGAGACCATTCATTCGCTACTGAAGAACGCCCGAAGCTAAATGAAGGATGGAGCAGTCAGACATTGACCAGTCGAACACGCCTCAACCCAAAAAAGATCAATTCATATCCCAGTGACAAGAAAGTCCAAAAGCAGGGCGGGTCCTTTTTCGTCAAGTTCCTCAAGCCCTGGGAATTCTCGGACTACTGGACGCTGCGCAAGTTGATGGTTCACAACAACATCTTTGAAGTCCCCATCCCCGAGGAATCTTCCGAAAACTTCTCGTCTTACAGCCCCTACTGGCCTCCATCTGTATCAAGCCCTGCTCCTCTGCTCTGGATTCCGGAAGACGCCGCAGGTGTGTCAAAGCGAGAAATTGCACAGACAAGCAAGGTGATCCCAGTCACAGATGAAGGGTGCACACTAGACGAAAAGAACAGAATAATATGGGATATTGTCAGCGCACGCCCTCCCATATGGGAAAGGAGAGTCTACCACTAGGCGCTCCTGACAAAAAGGGGATAGAAAGGATATGCGAGCTATAGGGATCGAAGCTACGCGTGTGATGCACGTTGCGACATCATCTCAATATACCTACATGTCATTGCGCAAAGTCTGGAAAGAGATTTCATGGTCGAATCTTGAATGTAGCTTGCTTCCCCGGCTTCAGCATTAGGCAGATAAATTTCATAGGCAATTTGTTAACAAAAGATCTTTCGAATATCATGAGACACTCGCATACCAATCTCAGCTGCTCCAGTTTACCTCCCCGAGAATGCACAGGTATAAAAAAAAAACCATTGAGCGAGCTACCGGACCTTCTTTTTCCACATCAAGACCTTCTCCTGCCAGTATACGGAATCGGCCCATTTAACGCCACTGTCAGAACCCTGCTCTGTTTTTTAGGCACGTCCAGGTTCTCAGTCCTCATCTTTTGAAGTAGTGTATTCTCATCATCGGTCAACATAGGACAGTGTATATTGAACACGCCATTCGGTGCTTCGTCATCTCGCTCAGAGAGCCGGCAGATATAGCTGGATGTATTGTTGCGCGGCCAAAGTCCTTCTTGTGAGGGATATCCCCTAATGGGCCGCAGACAACCGCAGTATACCTTCATCTCCTTCAGTGGCTTGGAGTTCGGTGGGCGTTTGGAGTTAATATAGGTAAAGAGCGTCTCAACAGCAGAGTAATTGACAACAGGCTGGACGACATCGAACGGCTCGTGGCCTACCCAACCCAGCTCAAACCACATAGTCAAGCGTCGAAGGCTCTTGAAACCTGCCAGGATGTCCAGGATTTCGTAGGGCCAGTCGCCCTCCCTCTTGATGTCGAGATCTAACGCTTCAATGAGAGGGCATGCCTTCTGGATTTCAAGTAGAGATGGCGCGTCGATCGTATGTTCTGACCAATCGCGTGACTGTCTTTGATGAATACCCAGGCTTTTGAGCTTAGACGCGTGTCTGATGATGCCGTCAACGCCCAGAGCATCAAACTGGTGGATTTCGATAGAGCGCAGGGGATTGGGGACCGTGTCATAGAACTCTCGTATGATTTTCGGGTCGCTGACCACGCCCAGTGATGCCTCCTCGAGCGCGGACAGCTTTGGCGCCACCCGAAGCGCAAAGGCCTGGTTCCCAGTCTCCAGCTTCCGTAGCCGAGACCAGTCGAACGTCTCGACCCAGTAGTCTTCCTCCTCACCTTTCCCTGGGTAGCCAACATTCGTTGGGGGAAACACATCTCCGAGTTCTGATGTAACGGACCCAAAGATGTACTTGCCCAACTTAAGCTCTTCGAGCGCTGAGGGACGTTGCCCATCAACAAATCCGAACCCGGTATATTCTTTCGGTGGCCCGTAACGGACACACCCTCCGTCTGGTCGACCATAGTCAACGGTGAGCTTCCGGATGTTGGGGCTTGACAAGAGTATGTCCCTCACACTCTGGACCATCTCAAGACAGCGCTCCACACTTACGTAGGTGAAGCGCATTCTCAGCGAATGCAAGTTCTCACTTCCTCTTGCAAGCGGCGCCGTGTATGGGGGAGGAGGCTCGGTAGTTGGCAGACGGTAGTAGTTCAGAACGGCATCAGTGTGGAGGCGTACGGTGCTTTTGGACTGGAGAGCAATGAGGACCTGCTCAGGTACACCGACTGAGGAATCGGGTGCTCCTTTGTTCGCCCAGTCCAGATCCCTCAACCCAGTGGCCTTCTGCAAGAACTGCGCCACGGCCTCGATATTTTCAAGGTCGTCCTCGACGCCGCGGACCTTGATGCGCCGGATGGCGGGCAGAAAACCGCCCTGCTCTATGTAGGCCAGACGCCTTTGGAGGACATCCTTCTTCTCCCCTGAAATGTGAAGGTAAATCTTCTGATTCTGGCAGTAGCGTGCTGCGTGGTGGTAGTGCGAGCTGACCAGCGCCAAGCTCTTGAGTGATGCCGGACTCTCGCGGTGGACGATTTTGAAAATGATCAGGATCAGCTCCATCTCCAGGCTGTTCAACGACGGTTTATTTTCATCCCTATTCTGCGGGAGTCGAGGCTCAATCAGATGACATGTGTTCCCCTCCGCCTGGTCCTCGAGAGGGGCAGAGCTGCTCCCATTGATCGCACTCATTATGAGGGAGGGCTTATTTTAACTGATATCAATGCCGTGGGCGGTTTGGCCTGGTCGGGGGATTTAAATTAAGGAGCTTGAGAACAGTCACTGATGAGTGTTGGATGAAGAAAGGACTTGTTTTGGAATAGACGCCTTGGGCCCAAATCCCAGCATTTTATGTGAGACACAGCGGCCTGATTATGTACATTAGGCTCATGTAATGCCTGCAGGTGGTTCGCTTGTCGAATGGTCACCACCAGCGCTTGAATAATTCAACAACACTCAAACGATGGGTCACAAAGTCTTTACCAATATAATGCATTAAATAACATTTGGTATCATTCATTATATACTGCACTGCACTAATTATTCACTGCGTCAACCACCAGAGGCCGAGTCACGGGATATCTTGAAGCTTAGTCATCGGCCTCCAACATCACCACCGTCATCATCATCATCACTTCCTCAACTTCGCTGATTAATAACCAGGCAGGGCGATGGTCGTTCCAAAGTACGATCCAGAGACCTCACCCAACTCAAGGGCGGCGTTGATAACACCCGCAAGACCCTCACCGGCGATAAGACCAGCGGCAACCGAGTAGGCGTAGATGTCGAAGCCACGGGGGAAGTACTTCTTCCACCACCAGGCGGTAACACTGCCGAACATGATGGCATTGGCTATAACACGAGTCAGCAAAAGTTTCAAGAGTTACTATTAGTCGATTCAGGAAATACGCACCATATCCGGAGTCGGGGCCAAGAACCCAGGCGACACCGACGGACATCCAGTTGGGGAGGTACTCGCGGTACTTCTCGCGCTCGCCGGTCAGCCAGAAGGTCTTGACGACGGCCTGGATGGCGCACAGGACGCCCATGCAGATGGTGAAGATGCCGCAGGACTTGGTGATGGGCAGGCTGGGCAGGGTGACGGCCTCGGCGACGGCCTTCCAGGCTGTGACGGACGGGGCCAGGAAGGGGCACTTGGCAGCGACCTCCTCGGATACGTTCGGATCCCACACGCAGGGGTAAGCCGACATGAAGAGTACGAAGATACCGGGGGCGAGGAAGACTGCAACAAGGGCGCCGAGCCCCTGGGCGTAGAACTGCAGGTTGGGAGGGGTGCGGAGGAGGAAGCCGACGCGAAAGTCGCTGACCAGGGTGTTGGAGATATCGGCGGTTCCAGCGGCGATGTTACCGGCTGTGAGGTTGATTCGCTGGGCCTGGGAGATGCTGAGGCCGGAGTTCTTGGTGATACCACCGAAGACGAGCTGGGAGGCCTTGGTGGAGGCGGTGTAGGGCGCGCAGTCAGTGACGGCGGATCCGTAGATACTGAGGAAGGCGAAGATGAGACCGAGGAGACAGGCGAGGAGACCAAGGCCGGCGTTCATCTCGAAGCGCACGTGGCAGACGACCATGGCGACGGCGGCCATGATGGTGGTTCCGACAACCCAGACCCAGCCGGGGACCTGCTGGTCCTTGGGAGCAAAGTCCTCAACAAGGTCGGTCATGCCGGCAAGCTTGGCGGCCTGCTTCTCAAGAAAGGTGTTGTTCTTGCCCTTGGCCTGGAGGCGCGCGTTGATGCTTGCAGCGGTCTCGCGCAAGGCGTACATGAAACCTCCGGCAACGACGCGGAACTGCAGGACGAATTCGACCAGGCTGTAGACGATGAGGACCATGACACCGGGCCAGAGGAACCAGTAGCGAGGAGAGGGGACCCAGTCTTCCTCCTTGACGATCATGGAGCTGAAGCTGGTCTTCTCCTCCCAGATGGTGCCGGCATTCTTGGGGTTTCTTGTACCAACAGCCTCGCCGTACTTGATCAGCAGAGGGCCGACGAATCCCCAGGCAAACACTGTGCCGAAGAACCAGGAGAGGGAAGCGTTGAGACCGACGAGGATACCGGAACCGAAGAAGGCGGGGGTGAGCTGAATGTACCAACTATTATCTTATGTTAGCAGACGGACATTCATGCTGGATACCAGGGTTCAGAGCAAGAGAAAGAGCGGCAACTTACCCCCAGTTGTCAATGTTCAGGGCCCAGTTCGAGTATCCACTCCAGATGTAGAACCAGTTGAAGATGTGCCAGTTGTGGAGGATGCCATCGGCGTACTGAGAGACGACGATGTGGACGAGGGCGCCGATGAAGGCGTAGCCGAGAGCCTTGATCTTCTTGATGGCGTCGCTGGCACCGCTGCCGACAGCGTGCATGGAGCGAATGGCCATGGCCGCGGCGACGGGGGTGGGGAAGACCAGGTTGAGCTCACGGGAGGCGTTGATGATGAAGAACTTTCGGAGGGGCACGGCGGCGAAGAAACCGAAGAAACCGCAGACGAAGGTCATGGCCAGGGTGCGGCCAAAGTCCTTCTTGGGGTCGTCGGAGAGCAGACCGAGCTGGTACATGGCAGGCAGACCGGCGACGAACATGCCGGAGAGACCACCGGCACCACTGGCGGAGGCCTGGATGATGGAATTTTCCTGGGGACCGAAGGACTGGCCGAGATAGGGGACGTGCGGGAAGATCTTGCAGAGGAGGATAACGAAACCATATCTGTGAAGAGGTCAGCAAGAGCGAAACTATCTAATGGAAAAGATGCGGCGATGCCATACCCGAAAATGGCACCAAACATGTTGGCACTGAAGGTGAAACCAGTCTTCAAACCTATTCCCGAGTCAGTAAGTTGCCTCCGTTGCGAAGCCTGGCTTCAGACTCACCGAGATAGACATTGGAGGCGTTGACAAGCGATCCGAGACAGATACCAATGAGGACGGCACGGATGGTCAGAGGGTTCTGCTCGGGCTCTCGACCCTTGATGGGCGGGAAGCTGACGAAGAGATCGGTGATCTCGTCGGTGCTCTCCTCAGAGTTGTCAGACTTGGCGGTAACAGAGGGTGCCTTCTCGTCGCCGACGATGGCAGGCTCTTGGTGAGCCTCAACGATTCTGGGTTCCATGATTGGCGAGCTGGTTGTGCGTGCAGAAGACGCAAGCAGCAAACGGGTCGAAATGGGCTCAGATGCAAAGCACTCGGTTCTCCGTCCGACTCCCAGACCACCGGGGCATCAAACAGATTAAATATTTCTTGCGTCGCAACCTTAAAGCACCAAGGGACAACTCTGGCAAACTCGCCCGTTTCGTGCGACCGGGGCTGCGTGCCATGCAATGCCACGCCATGTCCATTATCCTGGGAGGGGGAGAGAGTGTAAGGTGGCCAATCGGCGACACCCGAGGCGAGATACCGCTACGTTTCGTCTACTCAATCAGGAAAGCAAGAACAATAGAGATGGGATGGCCACAGCCGAGGGGAACCTTTGTTGTTGCATCCACTTATCTCAAGGGTGCCGCAGGTGTTCTGCCATCGCCCGCAACGACGCTCGAGTGTTGATAGTGGCGCGAAACGGAACCACCCAATGGCCTGCCAAACAGAGCGGACGACTTCCTAAACCGGGATGGGTATCAGGGCCCTTCCATCTGGTGAATGGCCAGAGGAGTTGGGGGACTCAGGGTTCAAAAGTGCGTCCATATTCGTGCAACACAACCCCATCCTTCATGCTGCTGGACTAACCAGACAAAGCAGATTGTCCAAAGGGACCTGCTCAAAATTGACTGCCAGGCAGGGCCCACCTCCACGCGACAGGCGATCCGTGATGCCAACTGATTTTGCGAGGCCCACGCCCGAGACGGAGAATATGTACGTGGGTGCAGGATCCTGCCATTGGCGGGCACAATGATCCTAGTCGGAGCAGGTCTGTGAGGCTCTATTGTCTACAGTCGTCCATAATCATTGCGATTCCATTATGATTGTGATGGCAGTCATACTCATACTAAGAGGAGAGGCTTCATCCCCGAAGCTGGGGCCGCCTCGGGACCGTCTGGCTGGCCGCGACACCAACTGCCGCACTTTGCATGCAGCGCTACTGGTCGTTGCTCAGGCCCCTTGCCCGGACATGGCACAGAGTAACATCACATAGTCGAGCAGCCGCCTCTGTGGCCAGGGTGGGACTGGGACAAAAAGCCCTGCCTCTTTTGCATGCAGAGGCTCATGTGTACCTGCCCCTCCTCCATCTCCCACCCTATCTCCCACCGTATCTCCCACCATATCTCCATATCCACCAATGCCGTCTTTCCTTGCTCTGAATCCCTCAGTGGCGCCAGACCGAGATGGCTAGTAAGCCTTGGGGATAGCACCTCCGTACGCGGTCCGTAGAATAAGCATGCAAGGAATACCCAGTACTAGGTGGATATCAAGCGACCGCCCTTCCTCTGCGACTCGGCCGGTAGCGCCACACGAGCTGCGATGTCATCATGATCGTGATTTCCTCTTCCTTAGGTAGCTTGTGAAACCAAAGTCTTCCTACGACGCTTATGCCCTACCCAAAGATCCCCTCCCTGAAGCCATCCATCTGCGCCAATCCGGAAGTACGGCTCCCTCGAGCGTGCGAGCCAAGAAAAGGTCGAGAAGAATTCCATGGCATCGCGTCGTCCATCCTTTCCCATTCGAGGCCGGATGAGAAGCGCCTGGCGGCAAACTCTACCAGATCAGCTCGTGGATCGCACGACTGATAAGGCATGGAGAGCCCGGCTGGATGGTCTCGAGCCGCTACAACGGGCGTCTTGCATAGATAGATGCTACATACATGACATTGAGTTCGCGATGGATGGATGGATGGATTCGTCTCAGTGGTGCGACCTACCATGTAGTCCGGTCTCACGATACCACCCCAGACACCCACCACCAGCCAAGGAACGCCACAGCCGGATTCTTTTCTTTCTCTCTGCTGCTTCGGGTGTCTCCCACTCGCCTGGTTCGAAACGACCATGGACTGATCCTCGGCGCTTTAATGGCCGTGCCCAGGCCAGATCGGTCATAGGCCGGGCATATCTAGTGGGGGAACCTTTGAAGGAGGGTCTTGGCTCGGCAGTCCCTGGCACAATTTTGGCAGTTGGGAGATTTTCAAAAGGAGAACTTTTGCCACAGGACAGACAGAGGCTCCTCCACAGCTGGAAATCTAGCCACAGGACCCAAGCTGGACCCTTTGCATCCCCCCGTTGCAGAACCCCCTGCCACTCGCCTCCCGTAAGGGACCCAATCACGACGCAGCTAATCGTGCAAAAGATCGTGCTGCCAAGCGTGTGTCTGCTCTTTTTGCAGATGCTAGGGGCTCTTTTTTTGTTATCAATTGGGAAGGGGGGGCTGTCCCTTGATCGAGGGCGGAGACTTGGCACGCGGCTCACACGACACTCCATGTTGGGGTTTTACTCCGGGAAGAGACGACGAGAATGAACGTTTGTCTGCTTAGAATGCCATTATACATTATACACGTGATGGATATCCGTTTCCAGCCTCGCATCGTCAATAGTAATACCCCAACACGTAGATACGTAGCAATACATACTAGGTACCGGTAGATATCGCAGTTGCGACGGTGGATCTGCCCCCTCGAGGTTTGCAGACAAGCATGACCTGAGAGCCCTTGTTGGTCGCACATACACGTACATGGGCCCATGAGCGGGAAACAGACTACCCAAAATTGGAAAATCCCCGAGCAGAGGAGCCCAGAGCACGGACAAGCAACACCAACGGCAGCGAAATGGAAGGGTCCGTCAGCCGCCAGGGACCCAGCGGCCGTGCTGAGATGGACTTTCGATCATCACATGTTTCGCTCAATCGGTTGCCATTCGGCGCCCTTATCGGAGCTGCAGGTAATCAATAACGGCAGATATCTGTTTGGGCAGGGCTGGTGTCGACCTCACTGAGAGACGACATGGGCCACGACAGCTGATGCATCGCTGGGACTGACTGGCTCCATATGCATCCCTTCCGATGCTCCCCTCCCTTCACTCTGTCCGTCTCCTCCCTCCATTCTGGCGGCTGGTGTAGCATCGCATCGCATCGCACCGCCGCCTGTGCATCCGACTCGCTGCTGGCGATGGCCTCTGGCAGACTTTCCCCATGGGGATGCTCAGTCGCTTACGTACATGTACATACGGCACAGGCTGTCACCGTCCACGCGAGCGATCCATAGTAAGATGCCAATCTGGGCTTTTACGTACTCTTACGTACACGACGCTCCGAAACGGACTAAATCAACCGATGGACGGGCAGATCGAGAAGCGCTCCAGCCGCCGAACGCTACCCACGCGGGCCGTGCTGCAGTTCTTCGGTTGCGCCATCACCGTTGCTTCAGTCAAGAGGAGAAAGACGCAGGCAGGTATCATTACTTCTTTTTCGGTCATGTATGTCACTGTGATAAAGTACAAAAAAAGATGAACCCCAAAAAAGAACCCGAGGCAAGTATCAGCAAGTAAGCATTACACAATTTGGTTGGATAAAAGATACACCCGTGATTCGATCCGTTAGTAGCTTCATTCAAGGGTAAAGGGAAAAACTCTCTGTCACGCAAAACAGCTCACAATGCATGGTAGGATCACGGGATTTCGGTGACGCTCAGAACGTTCATGGACTTCTGGCCGGTCAGCCCGCTCTTCATCAGATCGCTCGCGGGGTATACTGCATGTAGTGGTTAGCAATCCAACTCCCAAAAGGGCGTGCCAGTCTCGCACTTACCAACTCGTTGCAGGCGGCTCGCGCCTCCAAGCGGCTGCAGGAGCACCAGCCCGTTCCACGGGTTGATGCGCACGCGGTCGTCCCAGAATTGCAGCCTCTTGGCGTCGTGTGTGCCCTGCTGGCGCGGGATCACCAGCTTGGCGACGGTCTGGAAGGGGAATTTCTCCTCGTCCCAGCCGGCGCCGCCAATGTCCTCGACGGGCTGCTGCTCCAGGTCCTCGCACAGCTGGACCTGCAGCTCGTACTCGACGTCGTTGCGCGAGTGGAACTTGCGCAGTCGCTCGTCAATCAGAGCGTCTACATCGCCGGCGTCACCAGAATTGGCATCAGCCTGGTCATCTTGGGGTTTGAGCGCCTCGTCTTCCAGCTTACGCTTGGTCAGATCGGTGGGCACCAGGCGGTACCGCGCAATGTACTTGCCGAAGCGGCTCGCTGTCCGGGACGTGTAGGGGCGGACGCGGTTGAAGGTCTTGCTGCTGACGGGGGACGAGGGGACGGCGGCGTCGTCAAGTTGCAGCGTCTCGAGGGCTCGGTAGACCTCCGATAGGTCGTCCGAGTGCTGGCTGCGAAGGTCATCGAGGATCGCCCGGGCCGTCTTGGCGTCTGCGAGATTGATCGCGGCGGAGTTGCTGCTGAGTGACAGATCCTGGATGGGCAGTCTTGGCCCGTCTGGGAACTTGACGCCGCGCACGCCAAAGATCTTTAGGTCGAAGCCACCGATGGACCGGCCCTGCGAGAGATGGTACGAGCAGTCAGCATCGTGTGATGTACGACGGGCATAGGATCGTAGTAGTTGTATTGTATTGTTCAAGGGTAGGTATAGTGCAACTTACGACATAATCATCATCATCGTGGTCCCGGCCCGGTGCCGACTGCTCCGACGTGAAGTACCGGCAAGCGACCGGGTAGACGCCCTCGTTGGCAAAGAGGTCTGACTGACGCAGGTGAGCGGGCAGATGGCTGGGGACGACGAAGGTGCCCTTGACGACCTCGTGCGTCGTTGTCGCATGCAGCCCCGAGTAGCATCGTCCCGTCTTGTCGAAGTAGGCGCGCTGGATGTTCCTGAGCTCCTCCACGACGGCGGGGATGTCCTCTGCCTCGGACGGCGGGACGGTCTCCACGCCGTCGGCATCCCAGTGGATGTAGGTGCGGCTGTCCTGAGGTATGACGACGCTGATGTGGTTGGCCATAGGTGGGGGATTGATTGATTGATGGGCTGGTAGTTCTTGTTTGGTCAATTGATCGGGATGTAGGTCGAATGGTGATATGGATGTTGTTGGTGTAGGTAGATGTCAATTAACTTCCATTGTTTCGAGGCGTACGACAGGCTTTATTAAATACCTCTGCCGCTTCCATATCCATTGGCTCCCCTCCATCCATGATGCCATGCCATGTCATTCTGGATGAGGGGTTACCAGGAGTTGCTGTGCCGAACCTTAAAAAGCTGAAAACCCGACATGGGCATGTGGCCGTGAGCCGGATGAGCCGTTGTGTGGATTGATGGATTGATGGATTGTAGCAGAGTGTGGATCAAGGATGAACGGATGTGTGTTTTCTCTGCAGGTATTGACTGATTAATGATGACAGATAGTTGAGAAATCAATGAAGAGAGAAATTGTTCCTGCTGCTTGTTGATGTATGTTGAATTGAGGTGCGTTATCTGGGCTTATCAACTGGCGATGGGCGCTGTAAACCACCACTAACAGCTTCGCTCTGGCGCATCTTACAACGGCAGTGGTGTTGAGAAGCGTTGGACCTTCGCAAAACAGCGACATCGGTGCTCGCCCAGACGCCGCTCCTAGCCGGCATCTCCAAGCCCAGGCCGACCGGGAAGCAGCATGAGGTCGGGAGGGATCATTGAATCAAGCAGGTATTCAAGGTATTTTCAAGTCACGCCCACGACTAGAAACAGAATCTCGTACGTTGGACTGCAGCAGTGGCGAGATCAGCCTCGTCTGCCAATGCTCAGTGTAATTTATCGGCTGCTGGAGCCGGGAAGGTGCTGCGGGTGCTACCCTACACCACCTCCACGGGGCATGCATTTCCTGCTATTTGGGGGGCACGGCACGCACATCTGATCGCCATGGGGACTGTCTGCAGCCTGGAATCTACCCATTCGGGTGATGGGCTGGGCAATTGCATTGAGCGTTTCCCAATGCATGTCGAGGCGTGCATGAGAGATGGGTCAAGGGTCAGACGGGTGCAAAGACGTGGACCGAGGTGGTTTGTTGGCTCCCTCACTCATCACCACATCACAAGCCACTAGTCAGAGATACGACGCTATCACGCAGATGCCGTGGACGACGATTGGTGCAGATCCCAATTACACAGGGAGAGGTGAATAAATTAGTCAGATTGTCTCCAAAGAGGTGGAGCGCAGCAAAAATGCAGCACCGAGAATCGAGCGAGTCTTGAGCAGACCAATGACACATCACAGTCACCCGAGATAGGTCCGTAGGTTAAAACCTGCTTTCTCCAGCTTCAGTAAAACATGCAGATGCCGACCAGAGCCCTGGGCGCACCGCGCGCGGGGCTTCGATCACCGATGCCGCAGCACAGACGCAACACCACGGCAAATCACACACGCTGATCGACGGTGACGCCTCAGAGGACTCGGACTCGGCGCCATGGCAAAAAGCAATTCCCATCAGAGCTGAGAGGCTCATTTCCCCTTGACAAGCGAGCATCCACCGTATCAGCGCTAAGGCCTGAGTCTAACTCAGGCGGGGCCGGGGAAGTGTCATCGTCTGAATAGCTGCATGGGCACACTTCCACTTCAGGCATAAGCGCTCTGGCCGTTGACCCATCAATGCCTCTTTGAGGGATGATTGGCCCAATTCGTCAGACATTGGCAGCTGAGGCTGGCTGAGACAGCGTCGTTGCGGGCGAAAAGCTTGTGTGATCTTACGTGCGCCTGTCTAGCACCGATCGAGGAGAGAAGAGGAGAAAAGACGAGAAACTAGCAGGTCCCTACATATCTGTCAAACGCCCCTCCTCCGGGAAGAAACCTTGTGCTAATGTGGTGAAGGAGCAGGAATGAACAGAGTACAATTCAACTGCATCTGGTTGGGCATGGCTGAGTTTGACACTGGCCCCAAACGCAGGAGCGACACACAAGGTTCCCACATTCCAGTTTTATTACTAACTACCCTGAACCCTAAACCGTCCCGTGATGGCGGTGCTGGACGCTGCTGCCGTAGTCGGAGCCACACTTGATGCTGCTGCGTCCAGCGACCTGGCAGCAGCGTCATGGAAGAGAGCCATCAATCTTCCATGGCTCGTATGTCGCTTGAATGCTGCCCTGTCTATCCGAGATGGTCCGTTAACTGATTCGCTGTTGAACAGGACCAGGACAAAGACCCCCGCGTCGGCGCCAACCGAAACGGCTCTGGCGACCAAGGCACCCTCAGCTCCCTTAACGGCAGCCAGGGCGCGTCCCTCTCTAAGCTCGGTTCAACCTTCATCCCCGTTGTCATTTACTTGACCGTCTGCCTTCTCGTCTTCATCTTTCTGCGACGCCGAGTACCCCGAGTCTACGCCCCTCGGACCTTTCGCGTTCTACGTTATCCCGAGTCCGTTCCGACCTCAATACCTTGCACCCGACGCTCTTTGCTAACGCCGTTCATCCTAGAACAACCATATCCGCACTTCCCAATGGCTGGATCGACTGGATAAAGCCCTTTTTCAAGACGCCGGACTCGACGTTGCTGAACCAAGGCTGCCTTGACGGCTTCTTCTTTCTTCGGTTCATAAAGGTCTTGCGTAATATCTGCCTTGTCGGCTGTTGCATTGCCTGGCCTATCCTGCTCCCTATACACGCGACCGGAGGCCGAGGTTGGGCTGAGCTTGAGATCTTGACGATTGGAAATGTCGTTAACTCAAATAAGCTGTATGCTCATGCCGTTGTAGCATGGCTCCTCTTCGGTGAGATTTGCTCTACCTTGCCCCCGTCTTCCAGTGGCTAATAACTTGTGGCAGGCTTCGTTCTCTTTACTGTCTCCCGTGAGTGCATCTACTACATCAACCTTCGACAAGCCTTCCTCTCGTCACCCTACTATTCGAAGCGACTCTCTTCCCGAACCGTACTTTTCACCAGCGTCCCCCAGCGATACCTCGATGAAGCTCGTATACGAAAACTCTACGGAGATGGTGTTCGCCGAGTATGGATCCCCCGAACCTCCAAAGGCCTTGTCAATTTGGTCAAGGAACGCGAGCAGACGGCAACCCGGCTCGAGCGCGCTGAGATAGCTCTGATCTGCAAAGCCAACCAGATCCGAAATAAACAGATCCGCAAGGGCAAGCGTTCGCCCGAGCTTGAGACCTTTGAGAAGTCACCTGCGTTGGTAGAAGAAGCCGAGACAAGCGATCCGAACCAGTCCCCGAGGCGACCCAGCTCGACCGTCGTGTCAGAGAGTCGACCGCAATCAAGTACACCCCTTCCACTGCCTGAGATTCAGTTGGAAGGTGAACCAATATTACAGCCGTTGGGTCCGGAGAGCGTGGATGATGAGAAAGGGCCAGAAGAGGAAGCTAAATCCATTGATTCACAGGAGGACGACTCCATGTACGTACACCCATACGGGCTCAACCCGAAGCTGCCTGATGTTCGTGGATCTGTCGCTGCTCAGTACATGGGGGCGGATATGCGTCCACACCATCGTCCTATTGGAAACTACTTGCGACGAGTCGACACGATCCGGTGGACCCGCGTGCGGCTGATTGAGCTCAGCCAGCGCATAGCGAAACTGCGAAAACAGCTGCGGCGCGGCGGTGACGACAAGTCGACTACATGGCCGGCCGTCTTCGTTGAGTTTGATACCCAAGAGGCGGCCCAGGCAGCGCACCAAGTCGTTGCGCACCACCAGCCGCTGCACATGGCTCCTCGTATTCTGGGAATTCGCCCTGACGATATCGTCTGGAGCTCGCTGAGGATGAATTGGCTCGAGCGCATCGTGCGTAGGTTTTTGATCCTCGGCCTCGTCATCGCTGCCATCATTTTCTGGTCGATACCCTCAGTTATTGTAGGCGCCATCTCCAATGTGGATTCCTTGATCGAGATATTCCCCTTTCTAAGCTGGTTGGGCGACTTGCCGGGCGCGATCACGGGGTTCCTCACTGGCTTTGTCCCTGCTATGGCCTTGACACTTTTCATGGCCATAGTCCCCGTTTTGCTTCGATGTGAGTCTAGCTTCTCTTCTTGTAACGTTGGAATCTCTAACCTGTTAAATCTAGACTGTGCTGTTGCTGCTGGCGTTCCGTCTTATACCAGGGCTGAGCTTTTCACGCAGACGGCATATTTCGCCTTCCAAGTGATCCAGGTTTTCCTCGTCACTACAATCACCTCGGCGGCGTCAGGCGCCTTGTTCGAGATTCTTCTTGCGCCTCTTACAATCAAAGACGTGCTCGCGGCGAACCTCCCCAAAGCATCTAATTTCTACCTTTCATATATCCTTATCCAATGTCTAATGAATGCGGGAACGTCCCTTCTTCACCCTTTTGACCTCTTTCGACATGTATTTCTTCGCAAGATTGCCCGGCTACCGCGCATGCACCACCGGATCTTCTACACGATGAAGCCTGCTCTATGGGGGCGAGACTTCCCTATCTTCACTAACCTAGGCGTCATTGGTAAGTGGCTTCAATCATTCTCACGATAGCATATATTCTCTCCATGCTGACTGACGGTTCTTGCAGCCCTCTGCTACGCCTGCATTGCGCCGTTGGTTCTCATTTTCGCAGCCTGCGGCATGTCTGTCACCTACATCATCTGGCGCTATAACATTTTATATGTCTATGACTCGAGCAATGACAGCCATGGTTTATTCTACCCTCGAGCTCTCATCCACCTGATAGTGGGTCTCTATCTTGCCGAGATATGCCTCATTGGGCTGCTGTTCCTGAACTCAGCCAACGGTCCAGGCGTGCTCGTTGTCCTTCTCCTCATCTTCACGGCTCTGGTGCATTACTCACTGGCAAACGCCATCTACCCACTGATCCAGAACCTACCGCAGACGCTTTTGCTGGAGGAGGAAATACAACAGGAGGAGAAGGCGGCGGCCGAGGCCGCAAAGTACAGGCAAGAGCATGCGGAAGAAAATCACGAGCTTCATGGCGCGGCTAGCACCTATTTCGATGCGGAAGAACAGTTTGGCGACTGGGAGGATGACCTCGGCAATGGAAGCGATGATGATGACGAGAGCGAAAACTACCATGGACAGCAGCAATCTAGATCAGAGCCCGTGACGCAAAGGGGCTTGAGCTTGGGGACGGAAGGATCGGGCGACTTCCGGGACGCCTTTAGAGGCCTGTTCAAGGATTGGACGAAGAAGGCTGCCAAGGAGCAGCTGCAGTGGCTCGGCGTCAAGCCTCCGACCAAGGAAGAGGCGCGTCCCAGCGCAGTCGTCCGATGGTTCAGCCCACATATCCACGACGACTTCATCGCCATCTGCAAGGACCTCATGGACCTGCCGGCCACGCTGGACGACATGAGTACAGACAGGCGGTACACGTACCTGCCGCCGGAGATGTGGACTCCTAAGCCTGTGCTCTGGATCCCGAGAGACGAGGCGAGGGTGAGCAGACAGGAGGTTGCGCACACGCGCAAGTCGACGCCCATCAGCGATCGGGGGGCGACGCTGCATGCGTCTGGGAAGGTGACTGTTAATGTGGAGGAGGCGCCGTTTGCACTGCCACGGCTGTTATTGTAATACTGATGAATGATGAATGGGTTTATATTTCATGTCTTCATAATAACCAATCTATCCTAGCGAGAAGAATGAAATCTAGATTCCTCACGCCTTTGTTGCGTAACCAATGAATCAATGCTTGGTGTCTCTCATGGGGTAAATGACTTGGCCAATCCGCAGCCATACCAAATCGTAGCCATGACGGTGATGATGTTTAAGTGCACAGTCGCAGCGCGATTTCTACGGAAGCTCTTCTCCAAGGCAGCGACATTTGGGTTGAGCGGCTCTGTCTCGCTGGCTTTTCCTGAAGTGTTTGCGATACCTGATCTCCTTAGATTTACGAAACCGCCTACTCGAGGATGGAATGACTTACTTTGCAGCTGGAGATCACTCAAAGCCCTGGACGCGCGAGGATGAAATAGAAAGACGTTGAGGGCCGTGGCGTATGAGATGATTACCAGCGGGATCCAGCTGGACTTGTGCTCGACGAGTGAGAGGAGGCCGTGGGAGGGCACGGTGACGGCGACGAGGATGAGGAGGATGGACTGGGCGCGGATGAGGACGGGGGAGACTTGTTCATGCGAGGTGAGCGATTTGTCTCTTCGTAGGGCGTGGAAGTACTTCTTGGCCGTGATGAGGGACTGATGGACTTCTGTGCCGAGGAGGGCGAAGAAGCAGACGAGGTGGACGGGGGCGGAGCAGATGAGGGTCTGGATGGTGTTGAGGATGGCCATGATGTTGATGTATGAATAACTAGTAGTAAGTAAAAGTAAGCTGTTTCTTTCATACGAGATAATTTTGGGGTGGGCGAATGGAACGATTTGTGAATCGTATTATATGCTTGGATGTCTGTTGGCTGCCTTAATTGCCGAAGAAGTCCGGATCTTACGGCGACTTTTTGTGATGGAGCGGTGCGGAATTGGACCGAGCAGGCCAGGAGATCTTTGTCTCCGGATGTACGCGTGTTGCAGATAGGCAAACAGTCCTTGGGCAGAAAAGTATTGCAATTAGATAATTTTCACGTGTGATGATGCATTGATGATAATAGATGTAGACGTTCCATCGCTATAGGTTAATTCCTAGTGTCTAACTATGGCACGACAACGACGCCGCGGTATCGCATCTTTCCGTCCCTGAGCCTCTGCATAGCGTCGGTAATTCCAGTCTGAGTCAAAGGGAATTTCTCAATCTGTGGTTTGATGCCATGGAGGGCGGCAAATTCGAGCATCTGTCGCTGAGATCCGACAGGCGCGAGGGGGGATCCTACAATGCTGATGCCCTCCAGGACGAGGGGCAGGCTGGGGAACACGATATTACCTTGGCTGATGGTCAGTGGGAAGACCTTTGCAGCCTTGGCGAGAATGGGAACATATCTTTTATTCACGTTAGAAGCTATCTTGACTCAAGGAAGAGTGGCTGGCACTTACGGCGTCAAGTCAGGGAGGGTGTTGGCGGTGATCAGAAGGTAGTCTACAGGAGTGATACCCTCGAGAGAATCTCTTCCTTCAGTAGCATGATATTCGGTAGCACCAAAGCTCATGGCCTCTTCACGTTTGGACTCTGAGCGGGAAAAGACGACAACCTGGAAAGCCATCTTACTGGCAAATTGGATCGCGAGGTGACCGAGGCCACCGATGCCTACAATGCCGATGCGGTCACCAGCTCTGGCGCCGTTGCTGAACAGAGGATCCCAGACCGTGGCACCGCCGCACATGAGGGGACCGGCATCTTCAGAGGCAATTCCGTCGGGGACCTTGAAGAGCGCCGATATGTCCCAGGCGATGCCAGTGGCAAAGGTGCCCTGGTCATGGTTGGCAGTACCAAACTGCTCATTGTTGACGCACAGGTTCTGCCTTCCTATTATCTTGAAACTCAGCGTTTGTCGCTTTATCAGCATTCGGCAAAACCAAGCTTCAGACGCACCTCTAACGCATATTTTGCAGTGGCCACAGAACTTCTGGAACCAGCCCATGCCGACGCGGTCGCCAACCTTGAAGTCTGAGATTTCATGGACACGAGATCCGACTTCTACGATCGTTCCCACACCCTCGTGACCTAGTCCCTGGTCAACATGGCGGTAGTGCTCATCTGTAAAGCAGACACCGCTGTGCGTGATCTTGATAAGCGCCTCCGTGGGGCCAACCTCTCGGGAGCCCTTGGCTTCAACGATATCTCCAGACTTGGAGCCCTTAAAGACAGTGAATTCGATCGCCATGGTGTGGTATGTGCCGTCTGTGATAAACAAAGAATATTGTGAAAAGAAAGAGGTTGCTTTCTAGTTGGCCGATTGATACTGAGATTTAACATGTGACTAAGGCATTACTCACTTGTAGCTAATGCTGACTACTCCATCTGATGGATGAGGGTGCTCTCCCATTTATTCATCCGGACCTCATATGATAAGAGCATAATAAAAGTTACTGATGCTACAGAGGTTAAGTGTAGTATTTGGCAATGAAAAGATCGCTGGTACACCACCACTTCGTGAAATTCGTGCCGACATTCCGAAAGTGGAGGAGAGATTACCATGCAGCTGCCACACCATCAAACCCCTGCTCTAGCTAATGCGGGCATAGAGTTTACTTTGGTTGCGACCTTGAACGGCCGCTTTAGAGCCTAGACTCTATGAATGGTTGACACTCTGCGTAGTATCTGCACTCCGTGTGACTGAACCACACGAACGAACGTTAAGGAGAAGGTGTGGAAAGTCCCATGTATATCAGGAAAGAATTAGTCGAGGCCTATACAGCACACTAATAGACCAGCTACCCAGAAAGCTTTACATTGGCTTTAGTTGAGTTGAGAAGGCTGCGTGGGGTGCCAACATATGCGGTCACATCATCCCCACCCACCTTGCCAAATAGATCTCGGTACATGATGTGGATTTTACGACTTACTCAAACTGGGGCTTCGTACTATGCAGGACGGGGGCATATGTCATATAGCCTTAGATATTAAACTCAAAAACTGCTATCTGTAACAAGATATGTCATAACGCTATCGAAGGGATAGTATCTCAATGGTCAAGTCACTTAGGGTTGTATCCTGGGCTTTTCCATACTACTAGCCCACCTTCTAACCTGGTACTAGCTTACTGAAAGAATCAAGTAGTCATTTTGACTGGCTTACAGAAGCTGTCATCTTCAGGTAGCTTTGCATGTCTGCCTGCGTAAATAGCTTGATCTTGCGGGGGCGAATGATGGGAAGGAAAGGCCTCCCACAGCTCTATGAGCTGCGTCCTAAGTAATTGCGTATTTTCTGCCGATAAGGGTAGAGGATGTCAACTTCTGTAGACAAGGTTGTACAACCCTATATGATATCATTCACGACCCGGGTCAGCCTCATTCCGCTACTGTTCTTGTTGTGTTGAATCCCCTTTAACATCTCGCTTAATATAAGATAATGATAGTAATATGTTGATTTTAAATGATGGGCTATACTAGATCTAATAGCTACTTGGTACTATCAAGAATCACACTTGAATCTTATACTTCGCTTGAAGAGCCCCCAAGGCAACCTGAAGATGAACTGTCCCGTGCTTGCCCGTCTCCAACTCCTCCACATGGCCCCATCTTCTCTGGAGCATGGCGATATGATGATAGAGCTTGAAGCGATACAGGAACTTGTAAACGGCAGAGTAGGCACTGTCCAGCGCACCCACGATCCAGGCGTGATGTACACTCGCTGCCTCGCCGACGAAGTGGAACTTACTGTCCGCAGTCGGTCGGGACAGATACGGGTACAGGTTGCTGAACTGGCCCGGCCCGAAGAGCGCAAAGGCCCCCGCGCTGTCGGGGTTGTGTGACCACGAGTAGGCGTTGTAGACTCCCGTGTAGGCCTTCTTGATCTCGTCGTATGTGATGGTCGACTCGTGCAGCTTGGCAAGGTTCCGTAGGAGGAGCTCCACCAGCTCCTCCTCGCTTGGGGGGTAGCCAGGTCGGTTGAGGAGAGAGCCCATACGTGTGGCGTCTTGTGACCATGTATACGAGGCAAGGAGGACGGCCGGCTTGTGCTCGCCGTCGTGTAGGTTGTAGGACGGGTAGACGCACGTTCTCAGGGGAAGGTCAGTGCTGCTCACCCCCCCGGACTTGATGCCGCATTTGGTTATCCACCAGGGCTCGCTGAATTTGAGAGCAACCTTGACAGAGTCGTCGTAGTGCAAGCTGCGGATGGCGTCCTTCTGCGAAGGGTGGAGGTCGAGTTTGGTCAAGTCCATACGTCCGACGCACCCAAGAGGCGCCGTGTTGAAGACGGTACTATAGCCTTCTCTCACGTCTCCGCCAGCGCACTTGACACGCATATTTCCATCTTGATGCAACGACCTGTCGATTGAAATGGCCTCGACGCGCTTACCCGTTGACACGGGTGTCTTCAGGCTTTTCTCCATGGCTTTCGTGAGCAGGTGAGTACCCCCCTCAATGCAGGACCACTTGACATCCTTCTGGGGATAGTCGAAGTCAAATGAGTCCATCACACTCTCCGAAAAAGCCTGATCAAACAGGTTGGTCGAGGTGTCCTGCGTCTCCATCCACTGGATGGAGAAGAAATCATACTTGGGCTCTGTGCCCTTCGGCCCGCCGCGCTTGAGGTACTCCCTCGTACTGAAGTCGTCGACTGTCATGAGCGCTTGCCAGCCGGATTTGAAATCACGGGCTAAGGCTTCTTTGAAGGGGCCGAATGCCTTGTCCAGACGCTCCGTGACGCTATCAACAACGTCATCGGGGACTGAGCCGCCGTTCCGGACGCTGACGTGATAAGGGTCCTTCTCTCCCTCGACATAGAGGCGGTCGTTGAAGAGTTTGGGGCAGGCCACGCCGTCAAGATAGTACGGGATGAGAGGCACCTTGGTGCGTTTGAACAGATCAAAAGTGCGATCCATGATTGGAATATTGGGATATCGCATGGCGCCAATGTCGTAGTAGTCGTGCGGAGCCTCGCTGAACTTGTGGGTGAGCACCCGGCCGCCGACTCTTGAGCTGGACTCGAGGATGTCATAGGTGAGATTGGGGATCTTAAGGTCGTCCAAGATCATGGCGATGTAAAGTCCTGCCACACCAGCACCGATTATGCAGACCTTGCGAGGTGGGAAAACAATAGACTCGAGGGGCGAACTTCCGTGGAGTGCGTTTTTGGTGTCATCATCCTCATAGATTGGGTCAGTTGGCAAGTTCTCATGGGTGACGGGGCCAGGGCCCAGCATGGGTAATGGTGATGACCCGAAGAGAGAACCATATCTCGACTGAAGCTCATTCAATTCATCTGCTAGCTTCAGGCGGACTAGATGCTTGGCCCACTGAGACTTGAGAGAAACTGGAGTGACTTGACTTTCGGCCATTGCGATAGTGATGAAAATAATCGGTGATGTTGAGGCGCGTCCTTCTGTCAATGAAGAAATGTTGGGATGATTTCGTCGGTCGGTTGTTGAAAGATTTCTGAAGACCATCTTCATATATATACCAGTCCATATAGCCCACTGAGAAAAGAAGTCAACCTCTCCTCAGCTATCATGATCTGGCTATTACCTCAGACCTAAGCTGGACACGGCCATTTATTGCATTGGCTGCATATAGTGTCGCAGGCTGATACGCAAGTAGGTAGGTCTGATTGGGTGCATAATCCATTCAGGTTGCTCAGCTAGCCTGAAATATCCCGAAACAGTTGCTGATAATCCAATACTTTGGGAGTTACCGGCGCTTGTGGGTATGATCAGCGGAGCAAACCAATATAATGCTCTTGGCACCAGTGTTGCTGCAGCCATGCGCTCTTGGATTTGGAGCAGCTACCTCGCTTTGGGCAATAATGGTTTGGCATAACGTAATCTATGTTGCGTTGGTAGGTGTTGAGCCAACCATCTTACTGCGTAATATTGACCCAGGCTATCTGCCTTGGAACTCGCAGTATATGTTGTGATATTTTGGATTTCTCTTTGAGCGCGCTAGAAGGCCTAACGATATTTGTTTATCCCGAAAGTACAAGATCAAAATGATACCGTATATCGACTGCACAAACACATGTAGAGATGATAGAGATGAAGTTATATGAGTTCCTCAGTAAAGCCGGCTAAACGCCGCCCGCGTCCACGACCTCTGGGAAGTCTTTGCGACAAGACTTCTCGTAACTGAGGATCGTTTTTTTTTTCGCAAGCTGGATGATGAACACGCACGTGCCTACAGTCGAAAATTCATTAAGCTCGGAATCAAATTCCTCTGAAACAAAGGGATGGCTCAATGCTTACCTCTGGAGATTGTCTGGTCGAGGGTATTGGGGGGCCGGATCAGGGCAGAATGGGCACTGATAACCTGGGGAATCATGTATGAGTCCGTGTCTAATCATCTCATTCTTTTGTTTGAACCCTTTGCCACCTTTGCCCCGCGGGCAGCCGATGTGCGGACAATAGTGTGGCCGCGACGAGCTGTGAACTACCGCATGTCTGTGTCGCAGGAATTGTTTTTTAGTAGCCAGAGTCGTCTAATAGAGTGTACGAGGCACTTACGCATTTAAGAGATATTGAGTTTGAAATGGTGGTGCAGCACAGCCGCTGTACGAACACGCGTATTGTCCTGAGGCGGATGCTGTACTGTGTGTCTCGAAAGAAGACTCGTCGATACACGGGGGGCTGGATCACCATTGTTTAGATATCAGGGCGGATATGGTGTATTTCTGAGAATATACGGACCTTTCGCCATAATTGGCTATTGTAGATCTGGTATCATGATTGGGAGAGCAAATCCTTGAACTGAACCCAGATATCAGTGAGCGGACCTTGGTGTGGGAGAAGTAGCCTACTTACCTTGATTCCAGCTCCTTCCGTGCCCTCTTTGTGGCCTCATAGTCCCAAATTATCAGGTCTTCTGTCAAGTTTGCAATACTTTTAATTTCCTCTGGCATCTGGGCAATCTCTTCTTGGCGGACCTCTCGACGGGCATTCTCTCGTTGATCTTCAAGTTCCCATTTGCGCTCCATGTCTGCTGCTGTACACTGACGTGGTTAGTGCGATAATCTTTGTGCCACAAAGTTAATACTACCTGAGATTGGATTGCTAGAATGAACATCGCCTCGTAATTGAGCCAATAGTCTTTTCCCAGCTTTCTCTGCTTTGCCAATGTAGCGAATGATATTGACGTCGGATTCTCCTGTTAGAGACATGCTGGGAACAAAGGATTCGGAGTGGTTAGCAAAAATGTTGAGCTCTTCGATAGTGTCTTGCCCAATCAACACATCTGATGATAGATTTGGCAGCACGAAGAAATCGACACTAATATTTTGGCTCTTTGAAACGAATCCTCGGACATCATCAACCAACCCAACCGTGAATGAGCTTCGTATCAAACCACATGTTTGCTCCACTGTACCGTCAGCGAGCATTATGTCATGGAAAACTTCAGCAACTGGGAACCCTCTGTTTCTAGCGTAATCCGCGCTGATAAGGTCTATGTCAGAGCCAGTATCTGCGGTAGCTAAGCTAACATATGCATTGAGCCGACATATTAAACTCTTTCTTGGCCTCCCAACGGAGTTGACATGTAAAGAGTGCATTCTTGGAATAGTCTCTTCACCTAGACGGTTCTGATGTTTAGAGTAAGTCTCTGTCATCTCAAGAAACTGCATTCCCATAATTAAGGGAACGGACAGAGCACTGAAAACTTCGAAGATGCAACTGAGACTTGGGTCGTGCCAAGGCGTCCCAATTCCGAAAGAGCAGGCGATATCTACCTGCCCGATAGCTTTTACAGGCTGATTATTGGCAAGACGAAAATCGACTTCTTCGGTCTTGCGAATGTCTGAACCGAAGCCCAAGCGCCTGGCTGTGTCCATAGACATGATGTTGACATCTGAGCCAGTATCCGGACATGCAGTAATGCTGATATTCTTGCCATCCGTCTCAAACATCATAGGTAATACTTTTCGACGTCGAGAGTTAATTTTTCTGAGAAGAGTTCTGGGCTGCACGGTTGCGTCTATAGTTTCGAGTGTTGATGACTTGGAACGATCTGTTCGTGCTCGCTTGAGACTAGGGAGAAAACGTCAGCTGTTTGGTAATATGTGGAAGAAATTCAATCCCAACTTTTGATCTCGGTTTTCAAAGGGGCTTAGATATCGATAGCTATGTATTGAAGAATCGATCCGCTCAGTTGATGTGCTGCCTTTTGTGCTAGGCAAATGATATCGACGACCTTCTGTGACAGCATCGTATCCATGGTCGGTAGCCATATGCGCGAGTAGCACCCCATCCTTCCAACATGCTGCTTGTTTGCTTGAACCTGATGTAAAAATTGACTCTTCAATCCATTCTTCGATTCGGGAAGACCATGTTTCTGCTGGCTCTGACCTGAGCCTGAGGTCTGGCTCCCACGGCTCGTCCTGTGACGACATTAGAATATCAGGCTTGGCTGGATTGATCTGAGTATTTCTTCCTGCTTCCACTCACAATGTTCTCTTCGTCTGGTTCCAAGAAGTGATTGGGTGCCAATATTTCAAAGTTTGTTCCCGGTTTTAGATCGGGGATGAATGGCCTCAACTGTGGTGAAGAAGGATCGCGCTCCTCTTTTGAGTAGAAGATCACTGACTCATCAATACCAGGGCGCAGCGCCATGATCGAAGCTTCGAATGAGGGCAATTTTGCCTGGCTAATGTTGTATTTGTTTTTGAAGGGCTATTGAAAGGATTCTTTTGGTGAAGCCATTGTAGATGTACGCGGAGATCCAAGAACTGAAGAAGAAATGATGCAAGGCATAGTCAGATGATGTAGTACTGCCGAGGCGGACCACAAGGCATCTTCGTTCGCCGTCTGATTATCAGCTGCGACCTTTTTTACCCCACAAAATTGCATGCTCGAAAACGCATCAACGTCCCACGTTTTTCGGGATCATTCGTGATTCTTCTACGATACTCAACCATATACAATGCCTGACAGGGAATATCCAGACGGGTACCCCTCGTTGGCTGCCTTCATGGCAAGCGACCCAGACCGTACAGCACTGATGTTCAAACGCTTTGATCGGTTGACTGCGCGGACGCTGTTGTATTTGGAAAGCGAATTGGCCGAGCTTCAAGCCCAACTTGATGCGTTCGACGAGGAGGATAGGGGTTCGCCATGTGCCCGAAATTGGACAACTTATAAAGAAAAGTGGCAGGTTTATCCACAGAGAGCTAAGCTTCTTAAGGATATAAAAAAAACTATAATGGAATACAGTAAGTGGAAATCGAGTACTTTTTGCGTGGCGACTAATGAACTAGGTATAGAAAGGTTACTGAGTTACGAGAGCGTTCTGGCATCTCAACCGGCGCCTGATCGAAGAATGCTCAAAGCGTTTTGGCTAGGTTTTCACCATGGACCGCCTAGAGCCGGGGATAGTTTCCCAATTTTGGGAGGAAAGAGTTCATTTTTGTATGACGACATTAATGATCTGATAATTCTCCGCCCGCTAGGGCGAAGCGATCGCCTCTCTACATTTCTTCGAGATTTTTTAGGCTTTATATTTGTAGTGAGTACCATTGATTTGGATCTGGAATCTCCCTAAAGCCGTCAAAAACTAAAAAACAGTCTTTGCTGATATGAGCTCTTCCACATAGAAAAAGTTGCCTGAGAGACGACCGAACATCTCAGGGCTTGGCTATGCCTCGGAGTCCAGAATCGAAACCTTTGTTTTGTATCTCAGCACCGTCCTTGCAGCCTTGCTTCTAATAGGCGCAATCATAGTTTTGTACAAGGTTCCTTCGCCGGATCTAAAGTTAGGCCTTGTCGGTCTCTTTACCGTTTTGTTTGCTGGGAGTGTTGGGCTTCTGACAAACGCAAGAGTTGCAGAAATCTTTGGTGCTACAGCTGCGTGGGTAAGATCACTTTGGACAGATCATATGCTAATATTCTTTCCTAGATATGCGGCCGTGCTGGTTGTATTTATTAGTGGAGAAATTGGAGGGTCGAAATCGTCCTAGAATTTGGTGATGATGCATTATAAGGGAGATGTTATGACTGTAGAAAGATAACTGAGACTAAATACAGGCTGGTCTATGCGGACTAAGCTTGAAGGGTTGAAATGAAATCTGCTTAGGGTATCAAAAAGATATCGACTTGCAATACGACAGACAGAAAGTAGCGGCTAGGGTTACAGCTCCAGCTATACTTGAGCAAAATGCATCAATCCAACTTGTATATGTAAGCCTAGCGTAAGACTGTCTGCCTTGAGGCAGTGCTGGATTAACAGGTCTAAATTGAGGCAGTGCTGAGTAAGGCGATCTGTCAGCATTATGAAAAGACATTGAACTCGCTGAGGCAGGCTGACCTAACATAAATTCAAATATACGCTGCATTTATTCTTTCAGCGGAAATATCTAGGTAGGTTCTGTTGACACCAACAACTGATCTACTGAACACAGTTCAGAGCGAACACTTCAAACCAGAAAGATTTGAATCTGCTAAGATTTATTTACTTGCAAGCAGTGTAAAGGTACATGGCGCGACAGGAGTGTCAAGGTAGCCTCGACACATCCGGGCTATGCGGGTTTTGCCGCAAAATTGATTTCAACGGACTATTGGGCTTGAGTCCCCATCATGTTCAGTGGAAGGGGTTCGATGCGCGTAACAAGCTTGATGAGATAGTCGATCCTCTTCACAACTATAGAGTTCTGGACCTAGACCGTCTGCGACATGCTCCTCATCTCGTGTCATACTGCGACTTCTGTCGTTTTCTTGAGGCCTTGCGACCGCTCAATAATAAAACAGATGCTCTTCATCGCCAGGGAATTACCGTAAAGGATAAGAAAGCGAAAGCATACTCATTATATGCATTCTGTCCCCGCGAGGTTTATCGGCTCCCTCAGAGCGTCTCACATCCTCGCCTGCTCGCAGTCTTGCCCACAAAGGCTAAAAGGGTGCCAGATGCAGAGTTTGGCCCAGCTGAAAGGGTCACGTATATCTTGCCTGTCACAAAAGGTGCTGACAACTTCTCCGGGCGACTGATTCGCGAGCGATTTGATATATCAATAGCCAGACGGTGGCTTAGGTCTTGCAACAATAATCACCAGGACTATTGTGTTCGCAGTTCTATACCCTTCATACCCGGGTTTAGGGTTATTGATTGTCAAGAGCGTCGCATCATTTCATATGATTTCAACTCCCCACAACCGTTCGTCGCACTCAGTTACAAATGGGGAAGCGCACCTGGAGTTGAGGCACAAACATTGTCTCTGCCCGAATTCCTCCCAGCAACAATTGCTGACGCGATATATGTGACAATGCGCCTTGGATATAACTATCTTTGGGTCGATCGGTACTGCATCAGCCAGAAGGATCAAAATGTCAAGCATATCCAGATCCAGCGTATGAACTTGGTCTATAAGCATGCAGTTTTGACTATCGTCGCAGCCACCGGCGAGGACGCAACAACTGGGCTTTATGGTGTGCGTCCAAGGAAGAAGAATGTACAGCATTCAATCAAGCTAGGCAATGTCCATCTGGTTGCAACTATGGATCCAGTAAAGGACATCTCAGAATCTCCCTTTAACTCGCGTGGTTGGACTTTTCAAGAAGGTCTTTTGTCTAACAGACGATTGATATTTGGCTCACGGCAGGTTTACTTTCAGTGCCAAGCGATGCATTGCTTGGAATCAATCAAGTTCCCCTTGAACTCGGTGCCAGTCTACACTAGATGGGGACCGAGGTTCGGCAAGGTCTTTCCCACCGAGGAGATTTATGATGGTCTTGATTCGTTCTACCAACGATTAAACGACTATTTGACCAGATCACTTTCATACGAATCAGACACCCTCAACGCTTTCAACGGTATCCTCAAAGAGTTTGAGACGGGCCCTGAAAACACGAGACTGTTTTCATTTATTGGTCTACCAATATCATCTAAGCAGGGCGAGATGACGAAATGGCTGCTCCGAGTCATGCATATACCGGCATCCCTGAAAGGCTTGCAGCGTCGCACATCTTTCCCTAGCTGGCCGTGGGCAGGCTGGAAGTCACAAACAGAGGCTAAACTTTTGACACAGTATGACACCCAGCTACAGCTTGGAAACATTTACGGCATGTGCTCTTTCCCGGTAGTGAATGTTACAGTCGACTTCGGTCGATATGGGGCTTTCGACTGGGACCGATCCTGGTGGGAAATTATACAAGTTGCAAACTATGAAAGCAGACAGCTGCGCTTGATAGTAGAGGGGTGGTTCCTGGACTTTGAAATACTACACAAAGATGGTTCACTGATATGCGACGACTATTCGAATGAGCCGTTCGCCCAGGAGTTGGTATTGGGCATTTTGAGCGATCGTGCGACTATTAGCAACATACTCTCGCGGATTCAAATAACATCTCCACCTGCATGGGAAAATCAGGGGAAGTACTCCTTTAGCTGGATGCCCATGCTAGCCGACTTGACAGCAACTTTCGCGGAGACATTTATTCTCATCAAGTGTGACAATGGCAGTCATGAATGCGTTATTAGACGTTTGGAGGCTTGCCCTGTGGTTGCTCCTATTAAGGCGGCCTTTGACTTGCCGTATCCATTCAAGTATGATAGATTATGGTTGGGTTGACCTGGATAGCCATTTTGTGCTGGGTTTTACAGTTATAGTGTTTTGCAGATTGTTGATATCATATAACCTTCTTTGCTTGTGCGAGCAGCTTTCTCGTTTGGCATCTTTGAAACCGATGGCTCATCTTCCAATACAGGAATAAAATATTGGAGGCCTGGACTAGGCACTCAGCGGATCAAGTTCAGCCTCACGCCCCTCTTTCTTTAACCTTGTTCCACATTCTCCTCCTCTGATGCTACGGCTTGGCATGGCTTGGCAGCGTTTCGCAAATCAGAAGCCGACATGCAATCAGGATCATGGCTTAGCAAGAATATTCGACATGGATGCCTGGTCGTAAGGCTAATGTGACCCTGTGGATTGGATGGATTTTACGATCTATACGGTCTATAATTGCAAACTCCCCCTCATCTCGCCTCTCGCTGCTCCTCGCCGCCAACAACATCGCGCATGCGCCACTTTAGCGTGCAACAGAGAGGGCCGGCATTTAATTAAAGATGTTGACTATCGCCCAAGCTTCCGGTCTCATTGCCGGCGGGGTGATGATCGGTATGTAGCGACTCTGAAGTTTCAGCTCGGCTGTAACTGACCAATCACTCCTGAACCAGTCCAGTATTCGCTCCCTCTCGCGTTGGTCATCATTCTCGTCAAAGTCATTGGCAACGAAACTACTGCCGCAACATGGTAATCGCCCCCACTCCAGTACTGCCAGCTGAACTCCTTGAACGACGACTGATCGCCGCCTTCTCCACAGGTCGTCTGTCAACCGAGCGATTTCGAACACAATATGGCCACTGGTCCTGCAGACTGACTCTATCGGGACCCGGAACCGCTCTACCTCCGTCGTAGCGCTCCTCTGGACCATCACGACAGGTGCTCTGCTGTTGGTGCTTGCTGGTGTTCTTACACCGCTTGGATTAAGTGAGCTTGTCGGCCCTGATGTGTCAGCGACGCCGATAAACTTCCAGTACGCGCAGGATGACTCCGTATGGGGTAGAGTTACTATGGATCGTCCGGATGCCAGGTTTGGGCGACATTGCGAGGTCGGGAGGAGGCTCAACTGCCCCGGGCAGTACCATGGTGTCGATTTCAAAGAATTTCCCAACGGTACATTGAGGAGCGTTAAACAGAACGAGGACTCGATCATCGACACTCAAATTCCTGCCAACTTCACGACCATGTTTTCCAGTGCAACTGATGGAGCTGGAGACACCGTATCTGGCCTTTTTGATATCCAGTATCGTCGTTGGAAGACAGCTTATGTTGATCTCATTGACCATGGCGAGCCTCGAATTCAAGGCGCCCAACGTTTCGTTGAGAACATGATTCCCCAAGACGATATTTCAATCAGAGAGGGACTCATTATCGACACGAGGAATAATCCGGGTATCGGCTTGCGAAACCATACGACTCCTATTGGTCTTAGGCAAGGCGGAACCTGGAGCGAGGATCTCACTTGGTTCGAACCAGTGACACGTTGCGCCGATACCAACCTGACTATTGAGATCAGGATCAATGATACCGCTGACAGTTTTGGGTCAGAGACAAAAGTCTATCTTGTTGATCACGGGGCATTCCGGAACCTCGACCTTGGTGAACTTGAGACGCGGCCCTGGATTGACAACCAATCACTCGACCTGTTCGGTCGTGCCCACAAGGCCGCCAGGATGTTCAACGTGTTCGCAGCCGACATCTTGAATGTTTCACTTCCACTGAGTCCCGGAAATGACACTTTGCCCGAGATTAGCGTCACTACGAGCTTGAGTCAAAATGCTACGCTCTGGGGCGATCTTACGCTCTTCGGCGGCATCAAGCCAGAGAATATTCAAATACACGAAATCAAGACTATCGCCGACCTCTACCGCTATAAAATATCAGCTCAGAATATCTCTGTTCCCCGAAATTTCACCAACAGATACCCTGACGGCTATAAGAAGCTGTTTGCTTCTAACTTCACAGCGATAGGTATGTGTATACTTTTAACTTAGATCGAGACGTCCCACTAACAGTGCAAAGAACAAATATGTCGAGGGTTTTGGCACATAGACAACACAGATATTGATCGAAGGGCTTCTAATATCACCAATGCAGCTGTCTCATGCGGCTTCATGCTCGGTGCTGGCCGCTCGAGCTTGGAATCAGAAGGTGGGATAGCCAAGGAATCCATGAATGGGCTTCAGACCTATCACAGGAACATGTACATCTGCGCAAGTGCGATGAAGGCCAGTATCAAATCCGTTGATTTCTTGTACAATGGGACAGACGGGAAACTGCCAAACCTAAAAGTAACGGGGGTATCAGACAAGGCATATCCCAACGAGCAGTCCAAGCCTTTGTGGGCTGTGGAGGCCAGCGCGCCTGAGAGAATGACCTACGATCCACTCTGGGGCTTGGTGGATGATAGATACGAGAACACACCGGGATTCTCCACGATGCGTTCAGAACAGCTCTGGCTCCCAGTGGGGAGTGGCAACGCCGCGAGGGAGCTGGGCGCCCGTGATGCATGGGACTCCCTGGCGGGTATCCAAGCACCGATCTTCGAGCTGTACAATGCATACAATACGCTGGCCAACAGGGACTCATATACCGAGGGCAACTCGTACTCGTTAGTTGAGCGGTTTGTCAGACTGTCCGTCAACGACACGCTGGCATCAAATATCCCCAGCCTCATCATCACCGATGCCCTAGCCTCGACGATTGTTGGTACCAAAACGGCCATTCGAAACACTCCGATCGCCTATCCCGCCCGGCTCACCGTTAATGATCCGCTCATGGGATTTCCGCATGCCCAAGTCGTTGCCTCTAGCCGTATTATCCACTACGACCTCCGCTACGCCATCCCGGGCATAATAACACTCGTTCTACTGTTCGTGGTGGTTGTATGGGCCCTGACTATTGTCGCGATAACGCGCGGTGGTATTGTGACCACTATTCGCGAGATGGACAATCAGACATCGACGGGTCGTCTGGCCACGGCCCTAATCTCTCCGGAGTGCAGTAACTCGAGTTTGTCGTCAGAGAAGTGGGCGGAGACAGATGGTAGTTTGGTCTTGAAGTTCGGACACATCGGTGAACGCAAGGCAGAATACTTCATGGCCATGTTGGACCGCGACGCTATCCCAGATTACCAACCAGAGCCAGAGACACCCCTCAGTCCCTTTCCTGGGACGCCCCTAAGCCCTTTGGCAAAGTCGAAGGAGGAGGGATCCGTACGGACCAAGCTTGTACGTGTTGATTCATATGAAATCAGGTGATGGATGGAGACGTGACAAAGGTAGGTATTCTTTTCTATTGATGAGCGGACATCAGAGCTTTACATGGTTTAGAGAATAAACATATACGAATGTGCTTTCTAGAAAGAGGATGTGGCTATGTTAGTATTAGAAAGTTTATCTAAACAGACACAAAGCGTTCATTGCCATCCCATAAGTTCACTAAAAGCGAGCGGCTTTTTGCCCAAGGTGAAACAATCGATACCAATGTGCAGGACTTTAGAATAGCAACCTAAGTAAGATTCATTAATAGGGAAATAAGATGGATAGAATATAGGAACCGCAGTTATGATTTTGATCACCCACAATCCCATTATGGAAGCATTCACGCCATATCTCTTTATTTGACTGACATCAACTTCGGCTAAGTCTTTTAGCGAAAAGTGCATACTCAACTGATATGAAGAGCAAGAACTTATCCAAACCCTTGCAATCCCACGGGCGTAACATTGAGAATTCTATTCCCGGCAATAGAGAACATATCACGCCTGATGCGTCTCATACCATTCGTAGGATTGGCTAAACCTGCGAAAGCGTGCTATATGCTAAGATAACGAGCTGGCTGACCGGGGTTAAGTACCCACCAACAATGATAAGCATATAATGATGCATGAACGGTCCAGAGAGTTGGATAACTGGTTTGTCCAGTGATAGGCTTTGTTTGGCAAAACCGTTGTCTAACATGGCTGTGTCAGAGCCCATCATCGCAGGTCAGCCTGGGGAAGGATCGCAAGCCTCCACGACCCTTCCCGAAAATGAGCCCGTTTCGAAACAGAAGAGCACGTGGAGAGGTTACATCTGGGACTCTTGGGATCGGACACCAGAGGTAAGAGTCCTCCTCATGATAATGCGATACATCCTCGACCAGAACTAAGATGGTGTAAATAAATAGGAGCGGAAACTTGTCCTCAAGATGGATTTGACACTCATGACTTTTGGTTGCTTGGGAACATTCATCAAGTATCTTGACAAGTCAGTTACCAAGCACAAATCTTTGAACGGAATGTAAACTCACGAGAGTAGGTCCAATTTGCAGAGCGCATTTGTGAGCGGTATGAAAGAAGATTTGTCCTTATACGGAAACGTGAGTGAATACTGTGATTTATCAATGACTGTAGCTTACATTAAGCAATAGGAACTCAACTACGCCAATACTGCTTACTCAATTGCCAATCTTCGATCATAACAATTGACCTAGCAATCAGATTATTGCCCTTTGGCCTAGCAACCTCATATTGACGCGAGTGAATCCACGCTGGTTTATTCCCTTCCTTGAGCTGGGGTGGACCGTCATTACGTTTCTTCAGGCCGTGATGACGAAGCCAAGTCACATGTATGCCCTTCGGGCTATTCTCGCCATCTTTGAGACTGGCCATTACTCAGCTGTGGTCAACTCTCCGGCGCATGGTACCAAAAGCGAGAGTTGGCCCGTCGTTTAGCAATCATCAACATTACAACGGCCATCGGTCCTATGTTCTCAAGCTACCTCCAAGCTGCGGCCTATACTGGATTGAACGGTGTTCATGGCAAAGCTGGCTGGCAGTGGTTGTTCATAATTGACGGTTCGTGAGAGAGAGGATCCTACCCACTATGATCTGATGTTAATTTGTCTTATAGGTGTGATTTCACTTGGCATAATTATACCGCAGTTCCTCTTCTACCCTGATGTCCCAGCCCGACAAAAGCCAGATTTAGTCTTCACCGAACGGGTATGTCGTGCCTCCAAAGAACCAACGAGTTTCCGATCACTGACTTGTACAAGAGAATCGAGCTGGCCCGAAACAGAAACCCCAAGGAAGGTAGAGTCAAGCAAGGCGCCTTTACCTTGGCGCAAGTCAAGCGATGGTTCTTGACTCTTGACATTGTTAGTTTCACCAAATGAACACAAGTCAGTTGAGATATGCTAACATTATTACAGTGGTTGCTCTGGATTATTTCTTTGTATGTTGGTTGGGCCACCGTGATGATGAGACACTAACAGTAGTAGTGCGAACGCGGTCGTAGACCAGCCTATGAATTCCATGGCTTTTTGGCTCAAGGAATGGAACAAAATCAAGCCTGGATCATACACTGTCCCTCAAATCAGTACGCTTTCTTCTATGCCCTGGCTTTTTTCTTCGGTTTACTGACCTCGTCTGGCAGACAACTACACAACCCCAATTCAAGGTGTAACTGTTGTGATCACTCTCTTGAGGGCGTGGTCGAGCGATACCTGGCTCCGTGGTCGCCGGTGGCCTATGCTCGTCGTGGGTAGTACCGTGGCTGCTATCGTCGATCCAACGCTTGCTAGCACGTCCGTATTTCCCGGTAACCGTGCTGGAAGATGGTTCCTGTACTATCTCACGGGATTTTGTCAAGCCAGTAACTCAATGTTTTGGGCCTGGACTCAGGACACTTTGGTTGGAGACCCTGCAACCAGGGCGTTTGCCTCCGCTGGTTTGAATGTTTGGGCTTCACTCTCGCATGCCGTCATACCTCTGGCTATATTCCAGATTGTTGACCAGCCGGCAGTTGTGGCTGGAAACTATGGATCTGCAGGGTTTGCTATTCTTCACTCTTTGACGTCTCTTGGACTTGCTTACTTGCAACATACCCGCTCGACGAAAGTGGTCACCGAAGATGACGAGTCTGAAGAAACCGAAGAAACATCGGAGGGAAGTGCGAATAAGACTGTCGCGGTGACTCAAAGAGAAGTATAAGAAAACGAGAACTACTATGGCGATAGAACTAAGGTGTCCAAGCCAGTCTATCTAGAATTCATGGCTTTCAATCCAAAAGGGCTAAGCTTATGTCCTTTAAGAGGCAACTATGAAGCAGGCTATCGTATTATGCAGTCTGTCACGAATGCAACTTTGGTAGCTTCTAAAGTATGGGTCCTCAGCTTTTAGAATCGTTTCGGGAATTAGACGAATATAGATTTATCTCACACACTAAACGAAGGTCTCTATAAGTGGACATCATTTGTGACACGGTAGTGAAAGAGGGGCAACTTTTAACTTTGACATGGGCAACGCTAAACCAATGCTCTCGTTTGATCGCTTTCCATCGATCGACAACCTTGCCTACCAGATAGTCATTTATTGAGTAGCAAACAAATTCTTCATTGCCGTATCATGGGCAAAGAGCATGCAGAAAACACACGACTGCACGGTTCCAAGGTCAAACACATCGTCATAAGCCGAGAATCCTCCATCCAGGGTCCCTAGCCACAACTTCACAAGTGCTTACGCTCGGGTATGTCGGGCCACCGTCAAACCTTTATAAAACGTGTCATCTCGCACTGGGAGATTATCATCGCAGATTCAATTTATTCCAAAAATTCGTCAACATAACCGGCATCATGACGCCCGCACTATCTGGACTTGACTCGATCAAATGCGAATTCGTCGTGCCCGACTCGGGCACGGCTGCCAACGGGGTCGTTCGCTGGTCGGATACTAATATCGACCAACCCAGCTTGATCGTAAGGCCGACAACGGAAGAGGATGTGCAAACATCTGTCAACATCGCTAAAAGCAATGGATTAACGATCATTGTCGGCGGTGGCGGTCACGGGACGTTTGTCACCATTGAGCCCAAAACCCTCTACTTGGACATGGTGAACTTCAAGGCAATCAAGCTGGACAAAAACACGGGGATAGTTGAGGTTGGTGGTGGGGTGACAACAGGAGAACTCTCAAAGGCTTTGGCAAACCAAGGCTATTACACCCCTCTTCCGAATTCCAACGCTGTCGGAGTGGTAGGGTGTATCATTGGCGGCGGGAATACGCCTCTCATTGGAACTCACGGGTGGATGGCCGATTTAGTCGAGTCTTTCCGCCTTGCATCCGCGGAGGGCAAGATGATTGAAGTCAGCTCGTCTTCCACAGGAGAGGACCTGAAACTTTTCAATGCGCTGTGCGGCGCAGGTCATGGCCTTGGCGTTATAACAGCCGTAAAGACGTCAGCATTCCCCGTCGAGGACTTGAACATGACGGACGACAAAGTTTGGATGCGTTCGCTCGTATTTCCACCCACAGCAATTGAAACTGCGGCTGAAGCTTTTCTGAAGATGCAGCGCCCTGCATCCTCCACAAGCATCAATATGTTGTTCATGCGCAGCCCACCCGGAACTCCAGCAGCTGGATCGCCAATCATAGTCTTGGGTGCTACTGTGTTCGCATCGGCTGAGCAGGGAGAGGGACATGCTTCTATTCTATTCGACGACGACCTTGTCGGAAAGGCAATCGTGAAGAATACCGAGGCAACACCAATAGTAAACCTTAACGATCGTTACGCGCCGCACGATTCTCGTGGTGGACACAAAGCTATCGCTTCTTGCCGGCTGCACAATGTGGACATCTCATCTCTCAAAAGTGCTTTTGAGCAGTGGGTGTCCGTGACTGAGAAGTACCCAGACAGCCGGAGCAGTATCTTGGTTGTTGGGCTTTCTGACAGCACGAAAGCTGCCCAGCTTGGGGATTCGGGAGCAGCTGGCAGGTTTGTGGAAGGAAGGGAAAGGGACTTCTCAGTCATGACCGTGACGATGTGCTCCGAGGATAACACGCGGGTGGCTCTGGTGGAATACATGGACAATCTTATGAAAACTTTCAGGGAGGGCGATCCGGAGTCAGTGCCGAGAAGTTTCCCAAACAATCTCCGATTTGGGATGGACTTGCAGGAACTCTTTAGTACGGAGAGATTGACCCAGCTCCGCAACCTCAAGGATCGTTGGAATGTGGGTGGGCTTTTTTGGAGTCCTTATAACCAGTAGGGGTTGAGTATGAGGCAATCTTGCCATAAATGTGCCTACCTCAGCATGGGATTTCGGGATTAACGAATTGTGGCGCGCGTGCTATCGAGTTGTTCCAGCGAAGTTAACCCTCAATTTGTGCACTGCCCCAGAGTGTAACAGCGGATAGAAAATATTGTTGTGCCAACGGTTTTAGTTTGGAAATTCACAAATTTTGCCATTATTATCCGGAGTCCAGATCTGAAACATGTTTTCCGCTACCATTCCCAACGTTTCTATCGAGATTCTTGAAAATTGAGCCTCATTCCTAAATACTCAATTGCCAAATTTGAAGAAAAACTCCCATATAATGAATTCCTGTGAAATAAGAAGATGATAAATGATGTCTTCGTTGTGCTACATTGCTGAAAGCTATTGCTAATTTCGCTCACGTGTATATTGAAAGTACCAATATGTAATAGCACGTGTCTCCAAGAGGCCTAGATCCAGGGCCACTCGAAGCCCGTCCTTCCTATGCCCATCCTCATCCCAATCAAACGTTGGCTTCTTTCTAAGTGGTCCTCTGTGTTCTCCGGTCACTTGCCATTGTCGCGCACCCCAGCCCAGACGTGATTCCATGGCTCCTCATTAGGTGTCTGGCGAATGTAGCGCTCCATGGGCGTTAGAGAAGTTTGATCGCTTTCCCCAGCCTATTCAATAAGACTCGCAGCTTTAGATTGTTATCATTATTCAGATAGGGATGCGAGCAACATACCGCGCTTTTAGGATCTTCCGTGATTGGTTTGGGTTCTGTTGATACGTGGGCTCCAGGGGCGTGCGTGTGAAGCTGTTGCTGACCACTATGCGGGTCTGTTGAAATTGGGGAAGACATTTCGATAACTGTATGAATGTGATTCTGGTTAGATGAAAGGTGTGAGCCTACTTGCCAGATATTTCTGTGATCCCAGCCTAACGACAATGACGGTCTTTTATAGCGAATTTACCTTGAGGCCTCTGATTACACACGAGTCCTACATACTCTCCAACGGACACCGTGATCTACGCTCTACATCCTCATTCTCGAACCATTGGTGGCCCTTCGTAAGTGCAGTGGTTGACCTGGATCGCAGCTGTCGCTAAGTAGGTGGTGGCGCATTGGAGACCACGCTTCTATGGCAAGCCATTGGTGACCCTCGGATGTTCCAGCTACCAAGTCAATTAATTGGTGACCCAAAGGGCTGCGCCTGCTTCGCTCTGAAACCGAGTCTAAATGGAAGAGCGATTATTCGTGGCCCACGCTGCAGGTAAAATCCCTTGATCTCGAGAAAATGTGCCTGGTAGCCCAAAGCAATACTGTCAACCGCCCTCGCTCTGAAGATCTGACACCGAATACAACACTAAAACTGCTCTCATTGGTGGCCCATTCCATATTCTAATGCATAGCAACGTATGTAGATGGGTGGGTGGAGACACTGGGCGAAACAAGGAGTTTGTTTATGCGCTTCCATTGGTGGCCCACGGAGAAAAAGCCAGCTGAGGCGAAGTACCAACAGTCGCAGTACTTTTGAGGAGTGAGGGTAATGAATGATGCTGCTTAATAAAGCCCAGGCTTTAGGCTCCGACCTCTCTCCAAAAATCTCTTTCTTTTCATCATTCCTAGTCTGAGGGCGATGACGCCCAGTGGGCCGCATTGCAAGGCCCTTTGACTTCCAGGCCTCTTGGACACAGACAACTCTTCCATCCACAACAGTGTGTCAATTGAATCAGAACATTGTTTCTCAATTGAAACACTGCAGGAAGCAAATCCAAACTGATTGACAAGACTGGAATACCAAATCGGCATCCGTATTCAAATTCTTGCGCTCACACATAGAGTGTGTGTAATTCACCTCGCAAAACAAAACATCTTGGCGAATAAGCTTTTCAGGGATATTCCTGCCCCGAACACTCGGGGCTTAAACTATTCCAGAGAGTCAAAATGATCATCACCTAAAGCAATTTGTTCCAGGGGTCAGCCATCAGGACTGTCGCCCTCATTGTGATGCACTTGTTCCCGTTGCTGGGGGCTCCGTTGCGTGCAATTTAACAAGCTGGACACAAGATTTCGGAAACTTAGCTTCCACTTCTTCAGTGGGCTTTGACATTGCAAGCAACACGCAATGCCCTACGTGGCTCGAGCCCTTTATTTCTCTTCCTTCGCAGCCTAACTCACAATATCCTTCTCATCTGGTTTCTCAACACCACAACAGCCCTGTATTTTCATATCAAGAAGACTTTCATCCACAGTTGAATTCATTGCAGGAGGGCACTTACCAAGCACATGATGACATCGGTGGCTCTCTATTCCCAAGATGGCCAACACACCGTTGCGATTTCAACCCACTCGCGTCGTCACACCACCTTGCTTCAGAACCAGGATTAGCTCTCAGCTCTCCATCAATCATCCCGGCTGACTCTCCCGAGTTCTTTGCTAAGGAGACTAGGTCATCACCTCAAGGCAGTCTGGATTTCTCTTCCACACTTACTTCACCATTGCTCCAGGGGGCTCACGCTGAACCCCTTACGATAAGTTCGCCGTGGTCGGAACTCGCTATCAGGCAAGAGCTTTTGAATCTTATGACCCGAGCAACATCGCCAGTCAGCATGTCCAATGACGCTGTATTCATCCAAGCAATGAGTACGGAGTTGGGCAAAGAAGTTCAAGCACAAGATGAGAAGCCTCGGCAGGAGCAACGGCAAGTTCGAGAGCGCTGTTTTGATTCCTCGGCGTCGACAGATTCTCCACCATCCCATTCTTCAAGATCTCAGACACTAGACTATTCTTTGCAATCTGTACAAATAGCAAGCCACCCCTTCTTCCGATGCGCTTCTTGTCCGTTCAGTCACCGGGACAAAGAGACGCTGGAGTAAGTCATCCGTTTGATTTTCAACGAACATTAGCTAATTATTTACAGGAAACACATAAAAGACAGACATGAAAGACCTTATAAATGCGACCTTCCTACTTGTCATCAAAGAGGTTTCGCCACACAGAGAGCGCTACTCAAACACCGCAAAACCGCGAAGACGCATTTGACTTCATGTGGACCGAGGTATCGTTGTTCCTGTGGATCGAAAATCTCTCGAAGGGATCACCATTTAGCACACATCAGGAGCTGCCAGGGGTATCCTGAGATGAGCTTCACTTGCCATTGCGGGAATAAAGAACTTGATGTTGACAACCATCGCAAGCACTTACAAATTTGCAAAAACTCAAATCCTGCCACCTGATGAGAAAGAAATCAAGAAGAGTTTTCCTATGAGGAAAAAGAGAAAATCGGCCGTGCAAAGCCATAGCAAAAGAAGGAAGAAAATAAAGAAGGATGAAGAGGCATAAGAAATGTCCTAGAACTAGGAACGGTCCTCTTTCATACAGCCGAAGCTTATTACACGCACTACAATGTGGACGACGATCCTCGCTGATTTGGCCCTTAACAAGGTGTATTAGATATTCACCCAAATACGAGGTCAGAAAAGAAATGGTAAACTGTTTCTTTGCACGATTAGTGGTTGGATTTGGGTCAATGTTTGAGATAACACGGAACACAAATTTGACGGACTCATGATGATCCGCAGGGAGGGGGTGGTGAGTGGGTTGTCTCCAACCCACTCGCTACTAGGGATTTTCTGATTGTCAAGGTTGATAATGACTAGAGTTATATAGGTACACACTAATCATCTATATAATTCTAGTCAGCTAGATTAAAACCTAGGACTCGAGTAGTTATAACCACACTAACTACTCGAATCCTAGGTTTTAATCTAGTCTCAATCTAAATCAACACAATAACTTCAACGATTATAACCTATGCATTCTCTCGTATATAAGCTCAGCAAAGGCTTTTCAATAACAATAATAAAAAGAAGGCGCATTTTATAGCACAGATATCTTAACTATTCCGCTGGCATAGCTCCCTCCAAAAAATGCGGAATGTCTTTTCGTTCTTTCGTTCATCATATAAAGCCATCGTTCCTAGACCACTTAATTGCGAAAGCACCTGTACTTTTCACACGCAACCTATATCAGCTGCTAGAAAAAGATCAGTCAACCCAGGCTAGCAATCACAGCCGACAAAGTCTTCCAAGCCATACACGCTGCGTTAAGCGCAATTAGGTTAAAATAGAGACGCCCACTTTAAGAGCCTACAGTAGTAGTTGAAACTGTCGCAGACTTCCGTCATCACGAAAACAATGTCCAGAAAAGGAGAACGCTTCCTCGCCATGATGACAACGAGGCATGTAATTCCAGCCTGAAGGAGAGCCTCAATGACAGTTTCTAAACCCGGGCGGCGTGGGTAGGCTTCCATCTGTGGGCACTAAAATGGGCGGCAAAACGAGACAGGACTAAATCAGTCCTAAGATTGATACAAGAAAGGTGCACATCGAATGAGCTCATATCATGGTTAGAGGATGTGTTCAATTCCAGCTATAAGACTCACGGCTCAACTTTAGTCGCAGTCTATCTTCAAAGAAATATGTGAATGAATAGCTGATGCTTTCTCTAATCTATGCAATTCTAATTTATTCGCGCCCTCGGAATTCCAAAACCCTTAATGGGCAATACTCTAAAGCTCTCAACGCGACTCAGAAAGCCAGGAAAGCAGGATCCAACTCCGTCTATTCTAATCGCAATGCCCGTCTCAAAAACGAAACCTAAAGTAGATCAAAAACGAATAAACAGAAAAAGAAGAAAGGGTATCTTGGAGATTCTATGACAATGTTATTGTTGTACAAGTAAGCAGTTACAGCTTGAAGGTACTTTAGCTGACCCTAGATATAGCATGGAGGGTATGCTACAGATGAGGATGGGGTTTCCTGGCAGACCAAGGTGGAAGCTTTTCCTTCTTGTTAGCCAGCATGTATCGATCATCATTGTATATCTCGCTCAGAAGAGAAGCAATGGCAGGCCGGCACAGCATACAGCCGAAGCTGTTCGGCTTGTTCCCAACTGCCTCCATGATGGCTCGGAAGTCTTTGAGCTCCTTTGTCTTGATAATCTTCATCAGATCTTTGCGAGAGTAAGGGAAGTCTTTGCAAATAATGTTCGTCACGTCCAGCCCCGCGGCAGCCAGGGCCTGGTCGAAGATGCGTGACGCTTGGCTCTCGCAGCCTCCGCATCCAGTGCTGCACTTAGTAGCGGCCTGGACTTCGTCAAAGGACCGCTTACCGTCTTTGACACACTGGGTGATTTCGCCCTTTGTGACATTGTGGCAGCTGCAGACCTGCGCATCATCTGGCAAGTCGGCATCTTCATCTTCTTCGCTCTTCTTCCCCCCGAAGAACTCAGAAGGCGACTTGTCGATCGGCTCGCCCTTGCGGTACAAGGACAGAAGCTTGGAGTAATCCTTGACATCTCCGACCATCATACCACCAAGGATGTACTTCCCGTCGGCACTAAAGATATATTTCTTATATACGTCGAGAAAGGGATCACGATATGTGACGGCCTTGACCTCGGTCTTGATGTTGTCTTGGGTAATGGTGCCACCCGCCTTGGCCACAGCTCTGCGGACGGCTCCCGGTAATGGCTTGCTGATGATTCCCTTGTCGGCGAAATAATCACCAAAGGCGGCAACGTCTACCCCCATGAGCTTGAGCTTTGTGCTGAGGTCCGGCGTCTGCAGCTCGCGTGCACGATGATGCGGTTCCTTTGTCAGGTTGAAGGCGAGAACCTCGGCCATCTCAATCCCGGGGGCGATGAGACCATAGTTCTGACCCTGGTAGTTGGCGCAATCACCAATTGCATAAATGTCAGGGACGTTGGTGCGCAGTTGAGGATCAACGATGAAGCCGCCGGGTCTTTTTCCGACAGCAATGGGTGTGTTGCGGCAAAGTTCATCACGAGCGCGGACACCGACGGCAAAGACGAGCATGTCGAGAGCGATCTTTTGGCCGCTGCCTTTGCCTTGGAGGACGAGGCCGCTGAGCCGCTGCTTGTCATCCCACAGTAAGCTTTGCACTCGAGCACCCACATGTACTTGCACACCCATGGCCTTGATCTTCTCTCCGACGATCTTACCGCCTTCTTCATCGAGTTGACGGCTGAGCAACCACTTGTCACCTTCAATTAGGACCACTTCGTTGAATGCGCCCAGATCAAGAAGGCCCTTTGCTGCTTCAAGACCAAGGACACCGCCGCCGATTACACCAACCTTGGATATCCGGCGGCCAAGGGTTTTTGGTGCACTAACAACATACTCCATTATCGCATCCAGGTCTTGAATCGTTCGGTACACGAAGGAGCCCTTGGTTTGGCGGAATGTCTTGAGGGGAAGGAATGGCGGGAGTGCAGCGTTGGATCCAGTCGCAAGGATGCATACATCGTAGGACACCTCATCACCCTTGGCGGTCCGCAGAGACTTGGCTTCGGGGTTGATGGCTGTGACGGCGTCTGATGTGTGGAATGCAAGTTTGTTACCACCAAAGGAAGAGTACCAGTCTGGTGGGTTGAGGTAGAGGTTTTTGATGGAGCGGTCATTGAAGTATTGGGTGAGCCCGACACGGTTGTAGGCTAGATAAGGCTCCTCGCCGAAGATCACGACTTCCCACTCGTTGTGGCCGCTCGTGGCATCGTAGTTGAGAAGCTTCTCGACAAAGGCAACACCGACCATTCCCAGACCCACGACGGCAGCTCGTCTTTTTCTCTTCTGGGGAGGGCTGTCGAGGCATGAGGCGATGGCTTGGATTTCGGTGTTAGTGGCTTCATGTTGTGCAGGAGAAGCAGATTCGTTGATAAGGAAGAGTTTGTCTGGTTTGCTTAACCGGGTGTCTTCTGATGGGTCCATGGTAGATATGGAGTGATATAATGGATGAGTGATGGAATATTGTAAAGAATAATTTGAGCTTGAAGAGACAAATACGTATAGCGATTCAAACAAAAGGCGTACATAGTATGAATATAAAGGCTCGACATCCCCTCGTCAGGGTGCGTTTGATGGCCTAATGCAGCGCTCCTAATTGGGCTATGGCAGGGCGGCTTATTGCAACGAGAGAGGCCCAGTAGCCTGATTTCCACCCAGTACCACATCATGCAACGTTCTTTCGGCAAGCGGTGCAGTCAGATCTGACACGCCATTGCAGTGGGCGCAGTAGGGTTGATCCCGCGGGTCCAGGGGGCGGGGAGCACAGGCGAGCGAGCTGAGCGCTGCCATCAGCCGACACTGGGACCTCTCCTGATCTTGGGTGCCCGAGGAGCAGGGACGTGTCAGAATCACAGGCCCAGATGCTAAGATTAGCCTGGGTTGGAGTTGGATCCGTGCCTACGGTCGAGCTGGCCTATCATGGCCTTATATGGAGGCATCTGGTCTGATTGCACCCAAATGAATGGTTTTAACTGTTGGAGCAGGCACCGCTAGCTGGCAAGGATGTTTCCTTGGTTCTCGCGTCCTTGGAAATCCTCGTGTGCGTATTGATCTACTCCTGGTGTGGCTCACTAAATCAGATTCGTGTGCTTGCCGGCCTTTCCTTCTGTGCTGTCCTGCAGCAGTTTTTTTCGCACCGCCCTGGCACCATATGCAGGCCCGATTAACGAGCTTTTAGGGGGTCGGTCTGAAGCGAAGGGCGATGAGATGAGGTGTCATTTTGACCCGCCGAATGCGACCCGACAGGAGATGCTTGCCTGTTTGCCTTTGTCCCATTCACGCGCTTCTCAACACCGACGCGCATCATTAATCCATCTGCATCCATCGGCGATACGCGAAAAGTAGACACAGATTGACACCGCACACTTGGCTCTTGCAGATCACGGGGAGCGAGGCGAGAGATTTCGAGTGTTTGACGGGAGGCCGCGGGCACACCCTGGTCATGTGCCCAGCCAAGCCATCCATTATCGTGCCACACTCTTCTTGGCCCGGCCCTTTTTCGATGCCAAAATTCCTCGATACGTATTGTACCTAATCAATGTGACTGGCTGTAGGGTGGCACGTATCCGAGCGCCCGACAACTGGCCAAAATCGATTTTTACATTTTCGGATTTCCCGCGCCTGCCTTCCAGTATATATATTATTTTTCGTACGTACCTTCCAATAAAACCCGCTTCTGGTGTAGCGGTTATTATTAATGCAAAATAGCAAAAAGTCACCCTTAAACCTCCGGGTTCGATTCCCGCCGTAATGATCTATCTATTTCCAGGTTTATCTAACCTCGTACAGCGGATAATCTATCTATTTCCAGGTAGAGGTCGGACGCGAAACATCGCGAAGATAACCTCCACCTGGAGATAGAAGTAAAGGATTTTTATCTCATACGACAAGGGCCTGTATAAGCAAGAGTTAATATATTTTTGTTTTTTTATCTTTTCTTTTTAGGCTGGCTAATCTTTACTTCACTAGATACTTATACGAGATATCTAGCTACTAACCCAGAATACCACGAGAAGGTATCAGCCATCGCTCTGGGTTAGCTTGCACTTGCAAGCTAACACCTCCATAAGCAGACCACTTAGTCTGCTTACTTCATTAGCCGGGCGGCCTAATACCCGAAGAAAAAGAAACAAGCTCGTATAAGAATAAAAGAGAAATATATACTTACTTTAGTTAAGGATAAGAGGGGAGGCCGCGGAACCAGCTGCAGACCCCCCCTCCTCGTCCGATAATACTATAACACTCTCATTATTATCTTTAATCTGAATTAGGTTTTCCTCCCCTCCGGCAGGAGAAAGTAACCCAACAGGTTAAACTTCTTCTCAGTATCATACAGAAGCCCCCTATCCATCTCTGTTTAAATAACGGATTACATAGTCCGTCTACTTACAATTTCCACAGGCACCTCCAAAGTAGCCTGGGAGATAGATACAGCTTGGGAAGGGAGCTATATATAAGTCTCGATCCAAAGTAATCTTGTTTTAATAAGAATCACAGATATTAGCAGCCAGGATACCTCTGCTTTAGATTAAGAATATATTCACATAGCTCTGCCTACAGCTCACGATCTGGTCCTCTCTAACTCATCCTCGTACAAAGACAACCTGATATCCAGGCCCAAGATCTAAAACCGCCTGCTATAGCGCATTAGATATATACTGCTGGAGAATATCGCTATATATATCCACCCTCTGGAGACAGGGACTCCGGGCGATATCTTGTACGAGAGGGACAGGGATAACCTATTCCAAATATTAGTCTCGTACGCGAAAGGATAATTCAAAGGAAGACTTACTACAGTCTCGCCTTAAAGGGCCACTACCTGCTGCTCCTGCTACTGCTGCTGCTGCTGCTTATCGCTAATCTGAGGTTAGCTATACGAACAAATACAAGAGATCTGGGGATTCTTCGTACGCTATCTTGTTATTACTGCTGCTGTTGTTGCTGCTGTTATTACTGCTATTGCTTGAGTAAGCTGGATACTTTGAAAATGCAAAGGAATTACTTGTACATACGGGAAAGTAATATTGTTTGAAGAAGAAAGAAAGAGGAAGAAGGCGAGGTATGAAAGTAAGCTTTATTTACCCTCGCAGGCGGTATATACACCTGGATCTCACTTTCTTCTCACCTTCTTCTTACCTTGATTCTGCTATATATTAACCTCTATACTGGTAAGAGCCTTATTTTCCCTAATTCAGCAGAGCTTAAGTAAGCAATATAGCCCCCCTGTATCCTACCCCTTAACTAGCTTGTTTTTATATAAAATTCTGATTTTACCTCTCTACTACCTTGTATAATGCCTCCTTATATAATTTCAAAATACTGCTCAGTAGTACCAGGAGAGTAAATATATAAGGATATTCAGAAAGAGAGCTTATTTTTATCTTTTTACTCTTTCTGTAGCCTGCCTTGGCTAGAGGGGATTTTAATTGATAATGATGAATTTATAGATTCTACTCTAACCTCTCGTATAATAGCTAATTTAAGTCCGGCTTAAATAATTCCTGGATTCTAAGCACTAATAAAGCACGATCGAACTACCTATCTCTTTAAAGTAAAAAGCGCTCTTACAATCTAAAAACTACGATTAGAATCTCCTATAGGACCAGGGAAATTATCTTATAGAACAGGCCCGTATAACTATAAAGGTAGTCTTCGGATACAGCTTTATCCTATTCTTTCTTCTAGTTAAAGATCCTCTTGAGGAGGATTTATCTTAAAATCAGCAATCCAGCTTGGTATATACATACGAGGTTATACTACTTCCTTAACTAATTAATCTACTATAGATACTATTAAGCTTAAGCCTCTCCCTCGGAATAATATTAAGAATAGTATAATACTTAAAGAAACCTGGATTAATTACTTTGTACGACTATATATAATTGATTTTATTAATCAAAATACCCCTTGGCAGATTGGAATATTATAATCAAAGGCAGCTGGCTTCTACTGAATTGCTCCAGCTTCAGCCTTATATCCAGCTCGTACGATTAAGTTACTATTTGCTGAGGATAACTTATAGGGGTAGAAGTCCTAAGATAGGTTCCTTCTTATTTATATAAACTTCTTACTATATAATAAAGAGGAAACTAAAGGAGATATATTTTTATCCTCTGCTCGTATAACACCAGTTCGAACTATAAAATCACTAAGCCCTTTACCCCAGCTTATTCTAATAAAGCAAGAGAGAATACCAGAAGAAGAGCCCGTACTAGAAGAAGAGATTATATAAGAAGAAGAAACTCTCCTAGAGATACAAAAGAAGAATCTTACAAATACTTATACGAGAAAGAAACAGTCTGGTCCAGCATCTCGAACACAGGGTATTAAGAAACGCCGACCTATACAGAAATAAATATAGATCTCAGCTTTCTCTCGTACGAGCAGGATCTCTATAATGAATCTCTTTATCTTGCTATTGTGCAAGATATTACTGGAGGGATTCTGGAAGTTAGTCACCTTAAAGCTGGGTATTATCCCAGTAATTTACTTTAAGAAGTTCATTCTAGTTTTAATTAGATCTTATACGAGATATTAAGAATAAATTTACTTATATATTACTTAAAGCCTCCTTATAGAGCATCTGTTAATTAAAGTAAAGGTAGCTGACCACTCCCTTGATACTCTTATACGAGTTAGTGCAGCTGTAGATAAGTTAGTACAGCAGCTTTAAGATCAGTTATACCTATATACCCGAGAGCTTGGAGCTGGGTTTAATACTAATTATTAGTAAAAGGGGTTAAAAAGGAATTAATATTAATATTCTCAAGTGGCTCGAGAAGCGTACGAAGAAGATTATAATCTTAATCTTCCTTATTATTACTCAGAGGAATACCCTAATTTCGAACTGTCTGGGAGCAGTAGAGATCTATTGGAATCCCAGAAACTATATACTTATACCTTAACTGTATATAGATCTTATACCTATTCTAAAGTTGAATAAAAGAAGCAAAAGTATCTTGTATATAGTTTCCAAAGACTGTATATAGAGCAATTTGATCAGTATTACTCCCTTTAATAAAGAGAGCATAAGTAGCCAGCTTTCTAAAGAAATTCTATAGTATTATATTAGATTAATTTCTCTTGTACGATATAGAGTCTTACTATAAATATTTCTGTAGCTCCTTTGCGGAGAATATACTACTAAGATTTAATTCGTATATTCCTAGTACTTGGACTATAAAAATAATAGGAGTTAATTCGGTCTCCTTGGTGATAGGTATGTAAATTCCTATCTGGATCCTCGTACGAGATATCTGCTAGACTAAGTTAAGCAAGAGAAGCTTGTACAGCTACCTAAAGATATGTCTCTCTTCTAAAGTCAGACCTTATAAAGAATAGCTGTATTCTAAGATGCTTTATCGTATAAAGATACTGCTTAAGAGTACTGATTGCTGTAGTTGCTGATCAGCTAATATAAAACCAGATAATACAGTAAGAATAAGTATTAATACAGGCGTATACTTAGAAGCTATATCTTTTTAACTTCTTATATCTATTAAGGTACCAGAGAAAATTAGGTCCAGGTACTATAAAATTCGTATAATAAATAAATGTAGCCTCCTTTCGCTTCTGAACTTGCTCTAGAAAGACTTCTCGATAGAAGGAATAAAGCCGGTTCTGGGAAACTAAAATTTGCCCCTTTTGTTATACATAGGTATAAAGATAACCACGCCTATAGCTGAGTATTATATCTGACTCCTGATAGTCTTGTTCAAGAAAGTCAATTGCTCTTCATAGTACAGCCTCTCTTTCCTCTCTCGTACGAAGCTTTCATTTCATACCATTCTCTCGGCGAATATATTGAACAGTCCACTCCGAGACTTAGATATTATCAAAGACTTAAAGGTCTCATACAATTAATATATCACTATATCTATAGTTATAAAAGTAGAACTTAATTCTACTAATAAGCTTATCTGAGTAAGTAGTCCGAGACTCTCTCTTAAATCCCTATTACTAGAGCTAGCGCTCTAGTATATATAGATTAATTGATTGAAGTCCTCATACAGCAAGGAGCTGATTTACTTCAGCTAGTATCTTATTATATTAAGTATTACTCTCAAAGAGACCTTTAATCTTATCGTACAAGTAGAAGAGGGAATTCTGCCGAGAAAGCCCAAGAGATAAAATATAGGTCTTAAGGGTTAAAATTCTAATACTACTAATACCCTTTAAGTAAAGGGATTAGTTAATAATAGAGAGGATTTCAGAATTTATCTTTCCCTGGTAAAAGAGAGAAATAATTTCATCTCGTACGATACTGAGATCTTTCTTTAGGGGAGGCATTATTGCGAAATCATTAATTAAGCGATTTTAGTATTATGGGCAGGGAAATCCGAAAATGCAAAAATCGATTTTGGCCAGTTGTCAGGCGCTCGGATACGTGCGACCCTACTGGCTGTTTCGAGTCGCTTCGGTGGCACATGTAAGAGGCACTTTTGTGTCTATGATACACATTCAATCACATGGAAGGTTGCGCCAGACAGAACAAAAACAGAGAGCAAAGCACATCTTCATTACGAGCTCAACATTTGTTCGTTCAAGCATGTGTCGGCATCTGAGCTGTTTCCCCTGAATGACACGACAGGGGTGACCCTCAGCTACGCAGTTGAGGCAATACTTCAGGTAAACTACCCTTTGGCTGATGATGTCTTTCGCGGACAATATACATTGGGGGAGATCTGAACAGTGAGGAATTTTTAATCTGAGACAAAATTTGCCATGATGCCGCATATAAGATTAACTGGTTGTTTGTATGTTGAGGTAAGTCCTGAGATCAAGTCTGCCACGTCGTCCTACCCTAGACCATCCCTCATTCTTACAATATGCTCGGAAATAATACGATTCAACTTTTAAATGTTTTAAGTTGGAGAATGATGTTGTTCTAAACGTGAAATCTAGCATTGGAGTCATAGACTTCTGATAGTTCCAGGCTCCTAATGAGCTTTCTTCAGGTTTAAGTTCTTCATCGTATTCAAGACACAGCATGTTCTTCAACTCAAAGTAGTTACGCAACGTTTATGTTCCGCATTTGCAACGTCGAACTCAAAGAAGATGTTAAACAATTAGCTCCAATGCTTTACGTGGAAAGAACGATTATTAAACTCCAACTGCCTACCCAAAACTGCCGTTCTGGCCCAGAAACTGGTCAAGCTGGAGTATGGGGCTCCTTGCCGACGAGAATAACTCATACACCCCTGCAGAGTCTTGTGCCAGTACTTCCATTGATTGAAGGCCCAATGCTATCTCTTTAAGAAAATAATGGGGAAACAGGGCTTTACGAGGAGTTGAAGGACTGTAGCCTACATTATTACATCAGCCCGTGTTATGATGGGAGAAGTTGCCATGACTGAGAGGCGATTCCGCCTGGAGGATGTCAACAAGGATTGATGCTGGAGTCTTTGACGCGAACAAAACCACACCTACTAGCAACCTAATACAAAGAATCTCACTTCGGCTATTTCCCGCAAAACCCGCACCGCGTTTAAGCTTCTTTTTGGCTGTTGCCACCCCGCCTTCCCCGCACGTCTGACTTCGCGGGGAGAAGAGCGACTGGGTAGTATCACGACAAGGCTTGCTAAACAACGATTGGTTGATCCCTTCACTCTCCACCTATGACAGGGAATACGGCCAGAGGCAGGTTAAAGTCACCTGGTCATTTAATAGGGTGACACGCTGGAAACTGTGCGGCCGCTTGCCGGGAATTCAACTGTTTAATTGTGTTTCCCCAGATGCGCGGAGAGGACTACGTCAACTTAAAAGCAGCGTACTGGACCTTCGTTCCATGTTGGTTGACAATTTCTTCCCTTTACAGAAAGCTTGTGTAACGAAAACAGAAAACTCTCATTTGAATCAGAACGACATGGGGTTCGCCACGGCCAAGGGTACCAATGACCCCCCTGAAGTCCGCAACTGGACGATTCATTTGATCGCTCTCGTGGCATCTATGGCGGCGTTGTCTAGTACGTTTTCCTCATCTTTTTGACACTCCCGTCATGTTTTGACACCTGCATATTGTAATAAAGATGCTAACTTTTGATGCAATGCAGTGGGCTATGACACCGCTGTTATTGGTGGGACAATGGCCTTGGACTCTTTCACTGAAAGGTTTGGTCTTAAAGATATGCTGAGTGGAGAGCGTGATAGCACACAAGCCAACATCACATCCACTTTTCAGGTCGGCTGCTTCTTCGGTTCACTTCTCACATTTCCATTTGCGGAAAAGTTTGGCCGCAAGAAGTCGATCATGCTGGCAGCGGCCATATTCATCGTCGGCGGCGTGATGATGTGTGCTGCGAATGGCATTGTAGAGCTAATCATCGTTGGCCGAGCGATTGGAGGTCTGGGGATCGGAATGGCCACGATGACGGTCCCTGTATACATTGCCGAGACCGCTCCGCCCAGTATCAGGGGTCGTCTGGTTGGTCTTTTTGAAGTTGTCTCGCAGAGCGGTGGCATGCTCGGGTTTTGGATCAACTACGCCACCAACCAAACGATCGATGTGAAAAAGGACGCACAGTGGATTATCCCCTTGGCTCTCCAATGCCTCCCTGCCACTTTGTTATTCTTTGGTATCATCTTCTGCCCTGAGTCACCTCGATGGCTTGCAAAGTGCCACAACTTTGAGGAGTGCGAAAAGGTCTTGGTCAAGATTCGCAACCTGCCTTCCGAACATCCCTATATCCAAAACGAAATAAGAGAGATCCGCCTGCAGGTCGAAGAAAGAAGCTCCAAGAGCGACTTCAGAAACCAGTTCAAGAAGCTGTTAACCAAGGGTACTCGTAACCGTGTTGGTGCCGGGGCTTTCCTCATGTTTCTTCAGTCATTTACAGGAGTCAACGTCATGACCTACTATAGTCCTCGGATTTTCGAGACTCTCGGCGTCACAGGAACTAGTAACAAGCTTCTAAGTACAGGTGTTTATGGCGTTGCTAAGCTGATAGGAATGATCATGTTTGCACTTTGGGTTGTGGAGCGGGTTGGACGTCGCGGCGGCCTTCTTTGGGGCTCGTTTCTTGGTTGCTTACCGCTTTGGTACGTGGGCAGCTACGTGAAAATAGCTGATCCTGCAAAGAATGCAATCGATGGGAACATACAACAAAACGGATGGGCGTATTTCGCTATGGTAAGTGCGATGACCCTTCATCTCTTGCGCGATGCTGAATGATTTAGGTTTGCATTTATTTGAACGGAACAATCATCTGTGCAACTTGGCAGGGAATTACTTGGACCTACGCCTCTGAGATCTTCCCGCTTGACGTTCGCATGATGTGTGTGGCGATATCTACTGCGATGACCTGGCTGGGCTCCTTTGTAGTGGCCCGAGCGACGCCATACATGATCACAGATCTTGGTTATGGAACTTTCTTCATGTTTGGAGGATTTGTCATTGCCATGGGAATCTGGGCATACTTCTGCATCCCTGAAACCAAGGGTAAGAGCCATCATTTCCTAAGCTGTCATCATAAAGAAGGGAAATTTCTGACCCCATTTCGATGTAGGTGTACCGCTGGAACATATGGATGCTCTATTTTCTCGACCAACTCACAAGGCTGTATGGAATCAGCTTCGCAATAGACCACTTGCTGAGACAGATCTTGGCCTTTCCCGCGTCGATACTTTGGAGAAGAGAAGCGTGGTGGTGCACGATGAAGAAAAAACGAACCGTGAGTGATGATGGGGCGGTTGACTCAGAGTCGGCGTTAGGGTCACAGATGTGCGAGCCAAGGCGCCCATTTAGCAAACAATCTCGTGAAGTAGGCAAAGGGGATGAAGCTCGCAGACTTGTAAAATATCTACGGTAGATAGAAGATCGTACAAGTGAAAAGCTTCGAACCCCGAAGTAGACTCTGATGGCCTTGCGGGTAAAGCTATACCGGCATTAATAGCTCTCTTAGGCGAAGGATCAAATGCGGATGGTGATCCTCCTCACCCCCTTTAGACAATAACTGATAAAGTAGACAGATTTCCGGCGTACTCTCTGCTGCATTGGATTTCTTCATTAGAAAGTCCACACAGTTAATCAAATTATTTTGATGGCTGTGAAGGGCTGTGAAGTTTAGAAAGATATATCTTTAAGAAGTAAATCTTAACAGAAAATGTCAAAATAAAGGTTAGAGTTTGATTTCTTTCTAATCCTCTTGTAATAAAACTAGCTAATTCGTCAACCCTACCTAAGTGATAAAGTAGGCCATGACTCACTAGTCATAGCTTCGGTTAGATGTATTGCATGATGTAACAAAGCGAACTCTCAAAAGCCAATTGCTAATAAATAACACTTTCCCTCAAGACCTTTCCAAAGAGCGCTTTTCCGCTTCACTTAGGATATCGGTTGGCAATGTGTTCCACCCAACACGATATCTTGAATCTTAATCTTCTTTCGTTCAATATATGAATAACCTGAGGCCACCCCACAGAAAGCCCCTAGGATTTGTAAAATCAATGAATAGAGGCGAGGTATATCGTTTAGTTGCTCGTTAGACATGACTGTATCCGCATTTCCCCAATAGTTGTTTATCATGGGCATTGCTCTATCCTTGATCTCATAGAGATAAGATGACTTGAGTGACAGGTCGGTAGGGAAGATAGTCTCCCAGATACGTGGCCAGCGTCTTTGCTCGCCTAGATGTACCGTATCCCGCTTGTGCAACCAAAACGGTTGCCGTTCGTTTATGTCATCGATCTCATGAGAGTTTTGGAACGTACACTTTCTCATGAGTATATGCTGGTCACGTACCGACGGGCTGTCGAATTCCCGGCGGCATATAGGGCAGTACGGTGGCTCCTTGTGGTGTTGAGCCACATGCCGGATAATATCCTCAATAGACCGAAGAGAGTAGTGCAGAAGGCAAGACTTGTATTTCTCGGGATAGGCGACGTAGAAAGGGCACGCTAGGTGGAAGTAGCCATCGGATCGAGAAACAATCAACGTATTGTCCTCTTCTTCTTCATTTTCGATCGTTGCAAACTCGGGAAGTCTTCGTCGACGACGGGGAGGGAGTTTATCATCCGGTGGTGCTTCGTAAGATTTCGTGTCGTAAAACACTTCCCTCAGATGGGGAAGAAATGTCGGGGCTCTTTCGTGTTTTTCACCAAAATCCAACTCGAACATGCCTATTGTCGCTGTCGAACCATCGCATTCGGGAGTGGGAGGGGATGTTGATGTTCTTGCTCCGTGTAAATCGATAAAAGTATGGTCGTCATCGTCGTCGCTAAAGGGAGAAGGAGAACAGCTTCGGATAAAGGCGGCTGTGATGTCATCAAAAGAAGAGTAACCCATATAGTCAATGTCGCGAGGATGAGTGTCATTCGGTAACTTGTGCCGCTATCAGTTATGTTGCATTATTGAGGTCTATTTCTTTTTGTTGGTGACTTACTTCGTAACAATCCGGCGGTGTACCACGAGAAGGCATAGTCCCGTCAGTGCCCAGGTCAGAGTGACTCTAGCTCCCGAGGTGTTAGTTTTCTCATGCGATCGGAGCTTTGGGCGCGGCAAGCGGATCAGGCCTTACAGGCCGGTGAGATAGGCTGTCCAACTCAGACTCTCCTGCTGGCTCCTGGAGAGAAGGATCAGGAGCGATAGGCAAGCGTTCGTATAGAGTAGCCATTCGGTTCCCATTGAATTGAGGTTGGTATCGCAGCTTTGTGTATCGCGAGATTCGAGCGATGATATTTTAGTGAGAGTGTCGAGTAGGTTGGGTGTAGATACGGAGAGTAGCTCTGGCACGAAGAAAAACAACGGTTGGTGGGAGCTCCAGAAATATGTGATTGATGACAGCAGTGTGAGAAGAATCCTCACCAAAGATTGGACTGGGCGCAGCGGAGGAAAGAGAAAACAACAACTCGGACAAGCTCATTGGCACAAGAAAGGGGGCTGGGCGAATCAAGGATGCGTCAGCTGCGAGTTCAGCTGCACAACGCCACGTATTACCCCTCTCTTGCTCTGTAATCTGATTCGTAAACAGAGTTCCTCAATAAATGATTCGCTCGCTGATATCTCCTTGGATACCTCTCGGTTAGTTCTGCTCAACTTCCTTCCCTAGAAATAATCACACCATCTACTCACGCAAAAAAGAACGATCCTCCATCATTTCTTCTACAATATCCAAACGCGAAAGAAGGGTATGCATCTGGCCCTGTCTCCGAAGCCAACTCGAAATGTGTCCCAACTCGAGGAGAGACCCCACGAGAAAATCGTGGCTACTGATGGCTGTCTGCACTTTTCCCTCGACACTCCACCCTTGAGGGACACGGGGACATCCTCCATTCGGATTTTTGCCGCTTCGGTAGCTTCTGTTGCCCTCGCTACTATTCCTTGCGTCTTTCGCCGTGAGGAACAGGATATTTGGAGTTGTTGGCGCTCTGGGTCTTCAATTACATTTCCGGTATCTTCCTTTATCACTCCCTCCAGTTCTCAGCTTTCCATCTCTAACACATATTCTTTTAGGTTTGCGATCCCGCGACCTTGAAGACACCACCGATCCCGCTACCTCCAGCACTGCTCCGAGTATATAACTGCGAATCACTTCTCGTCGTTCTGTCGGGTGCGATTGTTATTCATACATCCTGCGTTCTTGGCCAATTCCAGCAACCTCGATGGAGGTCAAGATACGTGTTGCCAGCTCTGGGCATGCTGGCATTTTCGCTTGTCCTCGGCATGTTCATGTCACTGGATGCGCCGACTTTGTTCCTTCAGGCATTACCGGTTGGAGTTGACCTATGTATGATTGGTTCCTATATCGCGGATAGTTTTGCACGTCAGGTCTAGATAGGGTTTCAAATAGAGCCTAGCAATGGATACTTTAATATCTCATGGCCTGAGTGTCTTGTTTACTTGGATCTAGGATTAAAGAACTTGTATTTCTAAAATTCCCCTCTCTCGGATCATGCTAAAGGAAGGTAGAGCCCCCACGGCTGCTGCTATATCCAGGCAGGGGCGAAAACGTCATTCGTATCTGGCAAAGCTTGCCAATCAGAGAGACGAAAAAGAGTCTCATCACCATCTAAAACTACTTCTGAAAGTTGAGTATCGAATGTGCCCACATTCCTTCCACTTTGGGGTGAATCTGTGGTATGTGAAGGATCATTGGGTACCACTGGGAGCGTGTTGGAGGTGGCTGTGCCTGGATAGTAGTGACTCCCTTGCCTAGCCCAACTAACTGTCGGTTGCTGATCTTGCTCTAGCTGAGAGACAGCGGGAAAACTGTCGCTGTGAAGGACATTTGATGTGTCATACTGGGTGCCGGGATAATATGCCTGTTTGCTCGAATCTCCCAAGACTTGTGCTTGGTCACTGGAGAGATCGGCCAAGGTCTTTGAAGCCAAGATGTCGAAAGCATCTCGTTTGTTCTTGAATGCGGGAAAGTGCTCTACCATCCCCCAAAGAACGGACGAGCATGTACTAAATAAAGATTCCAGCTGGGTGAGTGGGATAGAGTCCCGAACCTGAGCTGAGTTCACATAACTATATATGAGGGCCGTTCCCGCCGAGCTTAGACTTTCCACAGCTTGCCAGTAAATTGTAAGCCTGTACTCACGGAAATACCGGCGATAGATCTGTATCAACTTGCTTGCGATGTTGGAAATGACTAGCAAAGTGGGATCGGGAGGGTCTGGCATATTTGGTGATGGTTGGTAGAGGAGAAGCAACGCACGTTGCATAGACAATTCAAAGTTCTCGACATCTGTATTCTCGTATCTGTTTAATGTTTCGGATCGAGGGACTTCGCCGTACCATTTATGAAGTCTCCGGTCCATGTCTTTTTGCCATTCGTGCAAGTTCGCCGATAAGTGCCCTGAAGGCAAATTCTCGTATAACATGGTTCGAATTTCCGATTGAAGCCGGCGGTATCTGAATAAATGTATGCTGATACTCTTGGTCCAAAATGGCTGGCTTTGAGTCATATCTACTCCCGTTGTCGTGATGTATTCGTCATTCACGAGGCTAGGAAACTAACACATGGTTATTGGAGGCCAAGACGTAGAAAACCCCAGGGCTATCCAACATATTATCACCTACCTTTGTATTGATGGCACCATCTGATAGACAAGATGGGAGCGATAGGGTGACGGCAACACTCCGATCCATTGAGTATGCAACCCAAAATACCCTCCTCATGGTATCTAGCTTGAGAGCGTCGATGTCTTCTGATAGCTCTGCATCTTGGTGGAGGCCCAGCTCAACTGCGAGCCGCAGAGCAGCACCTATGGTTTTCCAGACAGCCCAGGCTGTGGGATGGTGGTAAGAGTACTGAGCGACAAGGAGGAGAGCCTGAACACCTTCCACATCTGTAGGAAGACCGACTTCATTTAGCGCTGAGAGCGCAGTTCGATGATATCGATCTGCCATGAAGGTAGGGATCTTGGAGGGATCTTGTTTTTGCATGACCATGAGGGCTACCGCAAAGACTTCGTACACAAAGAATACTGCCATTCTAGATTCATGGCTAGTATGAGTCGAGGCAAAGTCGACCTCGGGCGGCATTCTATACAGGAGCTCCAGCTTCCGACGAAAGGTCAGCTCATGAAGAAGGGGCATTCCTAGGCGAGCCCATTGGAAATACGCATTAGTGATATTTTGAGCCGCATCTCGGGTGGGAAGAGATGCCTGGGATGTGTCCAGGCGGCTCATCAAATCTGGCGAAGACACCTTCTCCAATTCGCTTTGGGCTTCGCCTTGCCCAGACCTTACCATTCGCCTGCCTGATTTGAATTTCATCAGATCAGAAAGGAGCAGTTTGGAGAATCCTGGCTCATGATGTGGTTTGCTCCGTGTGAGACCATCCAGTGTATCCCTTGTGCTTCTAGCGGCCGCAGCAGCTGCACAACCAGGACACATGGATGATGCTACAGGCTCGCCCTGGTCAATCTGAGGTGGGTTGAGCTGATTTTGCTGTTCTGAAATTGGCCAGCCGAGTTCTGCCGTTTCTTCCCACATAGTTGAAGGCTCAGCCAACGCCTCCGTCGGCGAAAATGCAACAGTTTCAGCGGTACTACCCGGGCTTAAGTAGTTGATTCTATGTCTCTGTAGCATTGTCTCAAGATATGCCACGCGGTCCTCTAGATTTTGGATGTAACTGATGGAAATAATCACGGTCAGAAATCTGCACAACACGCTCAGCCATCACTGAGTCTCACCTTCGGGGAACATGGCGTTGAGCTATCGAATCATATTCAATGCATTCAACCCCGGCAATTTCACACAGTTTGCAAGTCTTAGTTACTCAATATATCAGCTTGGTTCCGGCTCCATTAACATAACGCAAGTATCACATACCGGCAGCTTCCGATCACAGCGTTTCTTTTTCTGCCGGCACCGTACGCAAGCTGTCAGATGATACCTGGGACCCGAGCCAGGGCTCTCACCCACAGCGTCATTGTCGCGAGCCGACGACATTTTCTTTGGGAAGTCCGAGCAGCATCACACCAGGAATCCTGTTGATTCGTAATTGCTGTGCTAAATTAAGTCTCCCTCGAGTTATCGTACTAAATGTATGAATTGTCTAGTATAAAATTGAAAAACCCCGCGCCACGCAAGTGAAAATTGAGTTGGTTGGCGTCACGTGAGTGCAACGGCCGATATCACTTGACCACGAAGGAAGGGCAACATACTTCTTCACAGCAACGAAACCAATAACGGCCAAAGGTGGCAAGCTCCAAGAATGGAAAACTACGAGCGGGGATGGTAAATTTTAGTGAGTGTTTTCGAGCTGAGTCTTGGAGGCCATCTCATTCATTCGAATTCGTAAAAAGAATCATGTTCAAACATAACATAAACAAATCCTACAATGGGGATGACGCACTGAAATTTAGTGCCTTCCGCCCGAGATCCCACTACAAATTAGCGAGCATCTACCTGTAATTTGGCGAACTTTCCTCAGTAGCATTGCCCCTCCTGATTGATAGTTCTGTTGATCGATTATATTCGCCAACCGGTAGTGTTTGCTTACCATGCGGCCTCATACAGCTAAAGAATCCATTCTTCAACCCTCTATGAGTATTGTGGCATCGACAGCCTCGAAGCGCCCAGATAATGGTTCGAAGATTTGTCTGATCTTGAGAAATCAATTAGCCTGACTAACCCTGCTGAAAGAGTGGAGCTTAAGCGGCCCCACACCCGACACCCTTGTCAATTGATGATCTGTGGTTGAGGGCTTTCTTGCTGCTGTTGCATTAGAATATGAAGGACATGAAAGTGGTCTTGGAAAGCCCCGTTCCTATTTCCTTGGGTGTTAGCACTTCTTTCTCTGTATTGCAATCAAGGAGTATTTTTATTACCTCATAATCGATTTCTCTTACGGTACCTAATCAACAAGTTATATGTTCTCCTTAACTTCAGAAAGAGCTATATCAAAATCAATCTATTTGTCTTTTACGCAGTTTTATGATCATGGGATTGATGCTTCTCCTGATCACCTTTCCGAAGACGCTTAGGTGGTTGAATGTCTCTGAAGGGTGTTGGCTATTTTTATATTCTGCTATCAAGAAGTTTCCACAGCTTTTACTAGGACTAGCTTTGATGAAGTACATTGCTGAAGCTAGGGACAAGGCATCATCCGCTGTGACATCTTCATGTTGGTTTAAGCTTTAGGTGGTCCTTGTATTGAAGAACCTTGATGGCATTACATGATTGGGGAAGACAAAAAGAGACGGCATCATTTCTAGCAACATGATAGACTTGAAAACAAGTTTGAGAAGCTGCTGAGGGCATCAAAAAGAGTGAGCAATGTGCAAGTTTTGAAAGTGGCTGCGTTAAATTGCTTGTGTCTTAGAGTTTCCTTTTTAGTTGCGCATTCAGCTCCCTATCCACTCTTTTCTTGCTGTATTGAAAGCATTCTGGAAGACCGGTTTCCGACCACGACTTCCCTAGTATCAACTTCACCAACCCAGGGGCACACAAGAAAATCCTAGCCATACCTGTATCCTCAAGTTAGCAGATGCGCTGGCTAAATCATTCATGGGATACGTACCATGGCCATTGAACCCAGCGCAGATCCATTGCCCCTCTAGTCCCTCGATTGGTCCAACGAGCGGAACATTATCTGGAGTCATGCCTAAAATGCCCGTCCAAGCGTGCCGAAGCCCTTCTCCTGGTCGTAGCTTGTCGGAACCAGGCTCAAGCAAAAGGTTCTTAAATTCTCTGTTGCTGTTCTTTGCGATCCGTTGAGAATACTGACTATCGTCAAACGTGACCATTTCATGTTTCATTCTATCATCAATATCGCCGTCGTCCCGAGTGCCAGAACCACCGATAATGATAATGCCGTCTCTGGGTAGTTGGTTAACCGAGAAGTAATGCCCGAGGCTATATCGAAGTGACATTGTCTCCTTAAATCGATTTTCAGCAGAAGCAGCTGCGGTAGGAACAAACGCCTGAACCTGTGATCTGAGGGGAGTGACAAATCCGCTCAATTCTGGCAAGAGAGCAGCTGCGTGGGCGTTTGTACAGTGGATGACTGTATCGACAGACGTAACGCCGCGGGTTGTATGCAGATCCCAACGAAGATTGCTCGCTTGTCCCTCGCCGCTGTGTTTGGTGACATTTGATACAGGACAATGTGTCCATAGCTTGGAACCCTTGTTGAGCACATCGTTAAGAATCCAGTGCGTCAACTTGGCAGGGTGGTTAGACGCCGCCGGCCACTCATATGCACATATAGCCGCAGGTACTCTTGTTTTCTCCTTTGCATCTTCGCCTCGATAAATTCGAATATGTGATGTATCCCCTCCCGCAGCTTCGAACGCAGCCAAGCTTCGAGATTGGTGGTCGAAAAAATCTGCGGAGAGGCAAACATCGATCGTCGTCGTGTCATAGAAGTCGCAGTCTACTCCGTTACTCTCTACAAAATCTTTCACTTTCTGTAGGACGACTCGCTCGCTTTCGATGATTTTCTTCGCTTGCGCCGGACCGTGCCTGACTGAAAAAGAGGGAAAGCCCCGAAACGCGTCTGTGAGACTATGTTAGATCTTAACGCTACCTGACTGGAGTTGGCGTAATACCAGGTCGGACATGTCCAGCATTTCTTCCAGTGGCACCCGAAACAGCTTCTCTGGCCTCGAGAATCAGGATGTCTTCGCCCTTGACACCATTCTTTATAAGCTCCCAAGCAGTAAGAGCCCCTGAAACACCCGATCCAATGATAGCATATCGAGATGTTGAGGGGACAGCCACATCTCGGTTATTGTTCAGGTGAGGAAATGAGCGTGTGGTTTGGTGCCAGAGAGAGAGGCTAGAATCAGAGACGGGCAACGAAGTGGACATGTCTGCAATTTGGTGGTCGGATGGGTTTGGCTGAACAGTTTCGAGTCGAGTCGATAGTTTCTAGATCTGTTCTTATCAGACAGGCGTATTCTTACCCCCTGCCCCCTAGTTGACACTTTGTGAGCTACTTTGTTCTGCTTGGAGAGTTATGCGGAAGTACACGCGCTAGGCTTTCGGGCCCCACGCCGCTTCGCCCATGACCAACAGTCCAAAAGGGCATGATCTAGTGAAGTATCGTCGTAGCATAAGATCTCATTACCCCACATTAGATAGCTTCAGAGCGGGCTCGAGACCGCTCCAATCACGAGTCAGTGGCATATCAACTATTTTTCTGCGTTGCATGTTGCGACCATCTTGGTTCCCCGTTCCCCAGATTATGCAACCTTCGACCGCACATGCGTCTATAAATATGCCCTGGCATGTTGGTCGAGATTGGTAACGAATAAATCTACTATACGCTTATACTAAGACATTATCCTACTCGACCATTTCAGACTCATTAACCCCATTCCTGCTATATAAATTCATAGCAGAACCATGCCTCCTCCGCCAGTAGATGTTGATGCTGGAGTCGCCACGATGTGGCCTCCGGGCACCGTTCTGCTTGAGGATGTCAACGCGGCGTCTGGCAAGAAAGAAATTATTCTTCAGCCTCGACCTTCGACCAACCCCAATGACCCTCTCAACTGGGCTAAGTGGCGCAAATATCTCAACTTTGCCATCGTATGTCTCTATTCCGCCATGGTTTCCGAGTTTACCTCTTCTGCGACCCCGACATGGGGACCCATGCAAAAGGAGCTTGGATTCAGTGACGATGAGTTGAACAACAGCTATGCCATCGGCTGTGCCTTCCTAGGGATTGGATCTGTACTCCTCATTCCATTTGCACTCAAGCTTGGACGTCGACCACTGTACCTAGTCAGCACATTCGCCCAGTTCCTTGTGGCGATATGGTCAGCCAAACAGAGGACGTACGGAGACCTGATGGGCATCAACATCGTCCAGTGTGGGTTTGGTGCCCTTGGTGAAGTCATGGTGCAGATGACGATTGCCGATGTCTTCTTTGTACATCAAAGGGGAAGCCTCAATAGCATATACGTATGGCTTTGGAAAGTTGCCGCCCCTTTAGGATCCCTACTCGCTGGCTATGTTTCCCTCAGCCGGGGTTGGAGATGGGTGTGGTGGGGAAATGCCATTTTCATTGGAGCTTTGGCCCTGGTCGTGGCCTTCTTGTATGAAGAGACAAAATTCATTCCCGAGCCTGAGTCGGATGCATCGTCAATTCACCCCGTTGAGGCTAAAAGGGCTTCTGGTCCAGAGAAATCCGCAAAATTTGGTGTTCAACCTGGGGATGGAATCCAAGCAGGAACCGATGCCAATACGGATGCCATTATCGAAGAGAAAGGGCCAACCACAAACTTGCACGAGATCCAAGTTGATAAGAGTATCCCGGAAAAAACCTACTTGGAGAAGCTTTCGCTGACTGGAGGAGTGTCTTCTGATGCAAGTCTGAAGTCTTTTACGCGTCATATGTACCAGCCCTTTATCCTACTTGGTACCATACCCGCAGTGGCCTTTACTGCTCTCGTCTATGGAATATTAATAGCGCTCGGAGATGTCATATCTACCTCCATTTCGACATATATGAAGAAACCTCCTTACAGTTTCAATTCAGCTCAAATAGGGTTGATGAGTCTACCCAAGATTATTGGAGTCACTATTGGCTGTGTTGTGGGAGGGCCGCTCAGCGACTGGCTTGTTATATTTCTATCCCGCCGCAACAAGGGTGTATATGAGCCAGAGACCCGACTATGGTGCTTTTGTCTTTTTCTCCCTCTGGTTCCAGCTGGTGCCATTTTAACCGGCATTGGACTTGGTAACGGACTACCATGGCCCCTTGTTGCCCTTGGTGTCGTCCTCTACAATATGGGTATTTCCCCGATAAACAGTGTTGTGCTGACTTATTTGACGGATTCTTACCAAAATGTACGTTTGATTGCAAGCCTCCAATCCCTTTACCACCCACTAACCTCAGGCAGGTCATCGGCGACGCGCTTGTTGGTGTAACTGTAGTTCGCAACGCTTTCAGCACCGCCTTTATATTCGCCCTCACCCCGTGGATCAGGAAAATTGGCATTACATATGTCTTCGTCATAATTCTTTTGATTTCAGTTCTTATACTTGGCCAATTTGCCGTTCTTCTAAAAAGGGGCAAATTATTCAGAGCTCGTTGTGCTTCACGATATGAGTACTACTCCGCACGCCAGTATAAAGAACGAGCTGTCGAATAGGTCAACAAGGATGCGTCCAGTTTCGCAGTGACCGTCTAAATTTGTATGCTATTCAAATGGAAGATATCTAGATGGTAATCGTTGCTTTCAAATTAGATAGTAAACTGAACGCCGTAGCAGTGTTGCAATCCACCCCAATAACCTTCGAAAAAGAAACAAAAGCCAAGCTGCAGAGAAGAAACCAAACCATTTCCATTAACTAAACATTTTAGAGAACACCCCTCTCTTCTTTCCAGGCTTATCGGGCGTCGACTTCGCCTCAGGGCGCCTGCTTTGAATAGTAAAAGAATTCGTTTTGGCGACAATAGGCTCTACCGGTGGTTCACCTCTAGACACCATGTGTTGCTGACGTTGAGTTGTCTTCTGGGAACGAGGGAACGCTATTCCGGGCGTCGGTTTCTTCTCTCCGTTTTCCGGAAACGTCAACCTGGACTCAATGGAGTACGATACGGGTTCCCGTAATACTGCGGCCACATCTACCCTCGAACCAGCCGTGGCCCTCTTGCCACTCGAAGGAGCACGAGTGGCACTAGCTGGGGAAGCCATGCCCATCCAAGTAGCAGACTTGGCCATTTCCTCCCTAACGGGGTAAACTGTATCGAACGGGACGGGTTGAACGCCTTGATGAGACAGCTTAGTGAGCCAGAGCTCCCATTCTGCGCATGAGGTGGTATTCCATGCGCCTCTTTGGCCACCTTTAGCAATCATCACGCCCAGGGCACGCTCCTCAACGGCTGCTGGCCTCTCCATCTCAAAGCGCCAAAAATCGACAAAACACGCCAGCTTGTATCCCCCCTTTGGCGTCATGGATGCACCAAACCCTCCAATCTTGACTCGATTGCTGCCAGGGCCATTGAAAGGATTACCATCCCACTCATCACTCTCCTTGCCCATCTCCTTGCCTATTCTACTCTTGTGATAATTCACCAAGTCCCGCGAAAGCAGCTCTATTTTTTCAATTCGGTCGCGCACCCCACGTTCGCAGCCAGCCCTGAGTTGCTGAAGGAAAAGGCTTCGGACGGCTGTTGCACGAGCATTGATGCCCGCCAAAGCATAATATGCCGCTGCAGTGGGGGAAACCGTGAACTTGGAGTGTTCCTCGTGAAGGACAATGCAGTTTGCAAAACCTGGGAGTACATCGTTCACCCCTATCCGGATTGTTCGAAAGTTCTTCTGAAGTTGGACCATGACGCCCCGAAGAGGCTTAATTGGGCCCCATTCGGAGAACATATCATCCAGGTTCACCTTTCGAAGGTTGACCCGGCTGAGAGCGCTGGCGATGATCCGAAGGAACACTGTAAGGGGGCAGAGAGTGTTGTAATGGTTGTTCCTCATGATGTTTGGCGGGACCTCTCTGAACGCAGATTGGGCATCCATTGTCTTCAGTGCAATGCGACGGAAGAGGTGAAAAAGATGAATTAGGTCATTCACCAAGTTTGTGAGCGGAGTGATGTCGATCTCGCCGGCAAAGTTGACCAGCAAACTTCTTGGGGACGAGATTGTCATAGCGGCGTCCACCAGCGCCTTGAAGTTTGATTCTGCTGCTTCTATCTCCCGGATTATGTTATCAGGTTCGGCTCCCTTCGAGATTGTAAGGATACCCATGGTGAAAACTTGTTAATGTGCGGTTCCTGTATATATCTTATTGATCAGTTCATATCCATATGCTAATACTCAAACCTTTTCAGACTTACCGACAATTGAACAAGTATGCGCAAAATAAAGAGGAGAAGAATGAGTTAATGAGAAAGCAGACTTGAGAAGCGAAAGTTTGGCATTTTAAGCAGGAAACCATATCCAACCTGGACAGGACCAGCCAACTGATATTGAACCCTGTGAACGGCTGGCGCCAAGCTGCATCGGTTTTACGATTCAGGGCTCCCAATTTGATGTTCTGTTTCAATTGACGCGCTGCCCTAGTCCTTCGTAACATCCATGATGATAGCTCCACAAGGCCAGCGCTTAAATGTGGTGTGGCCGCAGATGGCCGCCGCAGTCAGCGCGGCAAAGGTCGACCGACACGGCCTCCTGCATGCGCCATGACTGTTGGTGTTCGTTGGATAGCCATCCAAGCCATCATCGCTCGCCGTGGAGAAGCTGGAACTGTCCGAGTGGGCGATTCTGTCTAGGCACGATGGATGGCAGCATTTGTGGCGAGATCAACAGGGTTGGCGCCTAAAGACGCGCCCTACTTTCTTTCAGGTTGCTACCCAATCCTAAAATTAAAATCTCCACACCAGACATCACGCAGGCCACGGCCAGTCTGAATTCTCTCCGCACCGCCCCTCCAAGGCACCGAATTGTGGCATTGTCGCCAGCTTCCCAGAGGATCTGCCTTGACATCGCGATTCGTGAATCCAGGCCGCCAGTCTCCTTTCTCTTATAAACCATCACATTGAGCATCGTGCCGCCAGTCGCGCTTCAATTTTCTTCCCTCGCTATCTTAGCCACGTCATTCCGATGGCTCTTGAAGACGTCTCCCCATCTCGGGTACCCCCGGAGGAACAATTTTCGGATGATGGGCAAGGTCAGAAGATCCCAATTCATGTATCCCCAGAGCCTACTAACCCTCCTCCAGACAGCCAAGTTGAATCAGTCGACGAAAGTGACATCTGCTTGGCCACAAAGCCATCTGTCGACGACGGTTTTGAAAACCTCATCCTTGAACCCCATGGAGACCATTCTGACAGGATTACCTGGGAAAATCCATGGGAGACCTCAGTGGACTCGGACAAGCGATGGCCGCCCGAGACACGCACACTTGAAGGAGGCGCGTCCACGTCAAATGTCGACTATGAACAGCTTGAAATCACCCGGAAATGCATAAAAACCTATCAAGCGCTTTCGCGGGAAAAGGCGGAAAAGGTTTTGTCAACCTGGCACGGTCCAGATTTGTATGCAATTCCTCTTTTCGATGCCAACGGGGATGACTACCGCATAAATTTCACGTCCCGAGCGACGCTGTATTCCGTGTACTGTCCCACCCGACTGGAGGGTACCGACTCAAACGCAGCTTTGTCTTTCTTTGAACTGACTCCTCGCCTTTCGACAGGTGGTCACCATTCTGTACCTCTCCCAAAGCGCGTGGTACATCTGGGGAATCTTGAAGTCAGAACCAAGGCTCACGGGGCTAAGCCTCGGACCAAGAGCGAGCTCTCCAAGGCTCCTTACTGTAATGAGATAACCGACTACACAATCATTGTGGACGTTGGACATGAAGACATGCCTCTATGGATCGTGAGCCCGAGGGGGCGGCTTGACATCCGCGCTGGTCTGAAAAACCTGACCTTAAGGCCGTTGCCGATTTTCGATGGCTCCATGGCCACTGAAAGTGGCGGCCATGACATAGCATGCATTTTGCCTTCAATAAGAGACCTCTCCTTGGATCCAGAAAGGAGGCAAGCCATGTATCGCGAAGCATGCGAGCTAGTGCGGCAGACTCGAGCGACGGTTGATCCTTACGAGGCCATTGTGCATCAGAAGGAGATCAAGGGATGGTTTGAAGCTGAGCCGGATAGATGGCCGATACCCCCAGCACCTGTTTCCTATCTAGGGTTTCTTTGGGATGCGGCAGTCTTGGTGTGGGATTCTTTCCTTCTTGGGCGGGATTAAGGCGCGCCTAGTTTTGAGTGTTTGATCAAAGCAGGAGGAGTATCTCAGGTTTAGAAGACGATTTTCCCTGTCAAGTTCATTATAGCGTGTTGAGTGTTGATTGTTGGAGGCTTGCGTTTTCTCAACTCATTTTTGTGCATAAAAGAACTCCTTGCCGAATCACCTTTATCCAATTATGAATTAGAAAATATCGTGCGGATTTTAGTGGGATGCACAATCTAGGTAGATATCCTCGTTAGAGAGACATTGAACTACCTAACTATATACTACCTTACGTTGAAGTACAGGGTATGCCAAAATTGCTCTCAGCACCTGGGAGCTTGTGGACCGTTAGGGCCATCTTCAGGTGGTCATTCCGCTCGATTAGGGCATTTTCGGCGACCTTTGCCGCTGTGACCGCTAAACGGCGAGACATTTAGGGGGCGGGTCCCACTAAGTTAGGCTAAACTGGGAACAGAGACGTTGCACCTCTGAAATACCGTCTCAGCAACACAAGAGACCATTGGAATTGAAGCTTCAGACTTCCACAGACGGAAGTCTCCTTGATATGAATTTCGCATGGACTGTTGATCTAGGTCCACTCTATGTGAGATATACCGTAATTGCCTCAGCTCAGCTCCACAGACTCGGCTCTCATCTGGTTACGGGTTCCGCTTGGTCTCGCCTAGCCTCTGCGCTAAGCGAATCCATCCCGACTCCCGAATCCAACATCAGAGACGTCCACTTTGCTCCCCACAGACTGACTGATTGATAAAAAATCCGATTCTCGGCCTGACCGCTGATAGCGCTTCTAATCGTCGTCCATTTACTTTTGGTGTCCGGGTCACTTCCCGAGACCTTCCACCTTCGCGAGTCGCTCACCTGGCCAACCGTCACCGCCCAGCCACGCGTCTGCTCGTCGGCGATCCCCCTGGCTCAGATGAGAATTCACCCCGATGACTAGGCCTCACGCACAGTCTCAGTCCCGGCTCAACTATGGTCCCTACTGTTAGCGTAGCTTCAGCATACGGCGCGCGCCATGTAGAGAAGATCGATCCTCCAGCGGCAGAAGCCGCCCTGCCAACAGCTCCCGATGCCATCGCGGTCCAGGAAGCTCTGGCCACCGCCCCAAACACGAGCAGCTCAGCTTTCGACCGTCTGCTGCTCCACTTCTGCCGCTGCATCAACACGCGTAGCGGCACTGACACGACCTTATTCTTCATCAGCAACTGCCTCCGCATAACATGCGACTCCCTGGATGCGTTTTCCTCTCCGGAGCCGACCTTCGGCGCTACCCAGAGGCTCTTTCGCATGCTACGCGTCCGCTTCCCACTCTGCTCGGCTGCTCGACTCTCGTTTCTGGCCACTCTAGCTCGTCGGGTGGCGGGCGTCATCAAACTCGTTGTGCCCATGATTGGTAATTGGCGTACCATGAACCGCATGCTGGGTTTGCTGGGCGTGTATGTTGACGCCAAGGACGTCATCTTTCGTATTCGTACTCAGCTCAGCAACCTCGATCCCCCGGGTCGATTCATGCTCGGCCTCGAGACGATTCAGCTCTTCATCGCTGCGGTTTACCATGTGTCGGATGCAGCCCCGTGGCTGAGCAAGAAGAAGATAATCAGTCTGTCTCCAAAAGCGTGCAGCCGGTTAGATAAGATCAACGCGCTGTGCTGGCTGGCTGAAGTGTACATCGACTTGGTGTACCTGCTCATGCAGAGAGCACAGCGAGCGCCGTGCGTGGATAAGAAAGCACAGCAAGACTGGGAGGGGAAGTGGAAAATCAAGTTCCTCAAGCAGCTCTCATGGGCTCCGGTCACGGTCCATGGTGCAATGGCCCAAGGGATCATGCCCGAGTTTGCTTCGCTACTGCTTGCTGCATACCCGGCTTCTGCCTCAATGAGGATGTTATGGAACGAGACTGCATGATAGAACACTAGAGATTTGATATGTTTGCATGTTCAGAGCGGCGGAGCACAACTACAAGAAGTTTATCCTGGTTGGATACGACGAGAACCACATCCGGGCCGATAAAAGTGATTAGAATGATACCAGATAGAGGTTTTGGAACTTTTAGGAAATTTAGAAGTCTTATAAAGCATTAATTGACTCATACTTCTGCATGCGTTTCGTATAAGCCCCAACCATCTACTGTTTGCACCTAGCAAGAATCATTCGCCGTGGCCAATCTCCCTGTCGCTCCCATATCGTCCAATGCATCTGGGCCCCAAATCCCAGGAGCATCCAGGAAAGCGCTGATATCGGCGTCCATCATGATTTCATCGAAAAGCTCCGCCTCCCATTGTCCGTTCTCCTGACCTTCGACAGGGACGTGCCATTCAAACCCATCCATCCTCCACTCTGTTGCCATCTCCCGATCTCTGAATTCTCTAGGTGTCTCAACAAGACCGTTGACCTGGTTAGACTGCCCGCCACGCCCCTCATTACCCACTGCCGCCGTGATCTCGCACCACTTTTCAATCTTCGCCTTTTTGATCCTGATGTGATCTGCAGCCACGTCCCAGGTATTATTGTTCCACGTACCTCCCTGGGCAGCTTCCATTTCTTTGCTCGCAGATTCGAAACGGACAGTCATGGAATCCAACAGGCCAAATACATCAATACGAAGATCAGCTTGCTCAAGGACTTTAGCTTTCAGTGAGTCAAGAGGCTGTGTGGGCATCGTTGCAGACGAGTGTGAAATGGGAGGCTCTATTGAACTCAGCTCTGGGCACTCTGGAATTCCGCTCATTGCTGGAAGTACCTGCTTAGGAGCTGTAGATCCACGTGATGTATTCATGTTGACGCCGGAATCGGGGCGCCTGATGGCGTTTGGTCCAGCCGCCCTGACCCATCGTATGAGAGCCCGGCAGGCATGAAATAGCTGAAAGGAGACTGGCTGTGGCATGTGAAAGTAGGAGCACACGGGGAGTGCGAGCCAAGTGTCGAACCAGGCCTTCAACGCAGCCGTGAAATGCGAAAAGAGGCTGACCTTGAACAGGCCGGAGAGTGACAGAGAGTCGAATGTTTGAGATACGGCACCGGGTAGATGTGCTCCGGTTAGCAGAGGCTCAAGCAGCTGAAGATATGCGCTTCTGTAGTGACATGAAATAAGACCTGATCCAAGAAGCTGTGTCAGCAATGCTCGTGAGAGTTTTCAAGTGAGGGATGTTCCTACAATTGGATCTGAGCTTGGGGGACGATGCGTTCCATAGGTTGTCCAACTCCGCCTGGAACACTTCTAAGCATTCCGTGTCCGAGACTTTCTGGGCGCTAGGGAGATCATCCATTTGCTGATCTCTGCAATGGAAATGGAATATCTTGTTGGTGGCGTTTTGAAAGCGGACGAGCTGCACTGCCAGTTGGTCTGACTCGTATTCCGCGATACTTTCAAGTTCTCTGAGGCAGTGGTCCAGATCTTTCGTGTATCTTGCAGGCCCTAAATGCTTGGTAACCAGAGCAGCACTGAGACGACATTAGTATCAACGACAGTCAACTCAAGCAATACGATACGAACTCACTTTGAACTCATATACCACACACCAAGCAGTGTCCGATTCTCCTCATTTGTCCTCGACCTCGAACCTTGACCCCGCATTAGAGGAAGGATGCCCGCGCTGTTTTGGGGCGAATAAGATACGTTCAGATTCATGTCCTCTACGAGACTAGCGGCCAAATGAACGAGATTGCCGAACTGCGCATGGGTCATACAGTGGTAGTGATAAAATCCCAGAAAGACTAATATCCCTTGCAAAAGATCAAGGGAGCGCTCTGACCGGAGGAGCATAGCCTCAGAGACGTGTCGGAGGATGGATTGGCTCTGTCCTCTTATTGTGGACAAATCGCGTACGCTGGCCACCATTCTAATCACCTTGAAAAGGAAGGGCCGCTCCTCCTGCAGTTGTCTCGGCGTTGAGCTCGCTGAAATAATGACGAATGGAAAACGGGGCGAGAGTTGGTTCCTGTAGATGGCCAGTAACGCTTCGTCAGACTCCATGGGCATGTGGCCTTCGTTGTCTGCTGGCATACTGCAGGTGCATGATTGGGGTGGGCCGAATCCCAAGCCAAGAACTGGCGCTTTGGGGACACTCTCTTCGCTCGGTCTACTTTGGGCTTGGGATCCTGTCCTAGCTGGAGACGACGGACCAAGTTGATTGAAGCTTGGCGTGGTTTCAATACTGCTCTGTCCCAAGGCTTCGAATGCTTCTACTAGGTCATTGGAAACCCCCGTAGACTGTGATATTTTTCTGTCATATTGTCATATTGTTAGCCGATCGAGAAAGGAACTAATGGTTCGGGGTCTAATAATGTCCAGTCCCAGCCGCTGATCGAGCATCATCGGACTTCCATGTCATAACAAAGATGGCTTAGAGTTCATCATGGCGGTGGAGGGTATGTACGAAAGGGGAAATATGAACGAGCAAACGCAACGTACGCTGTCTTAGCCTGCCGCTTCTTCCTTGGCCTGGGAGCCCGATCAGAGCACTGCTTCCCCAATTTCCGGCACCGATCACAGGCGCCCGGAGATTCAGGATCGTTGCGAATGCATCGCGTCTTGCCCGCAGCACAGGGACCACATGCCGCTCCCCATTTCGTAATGCGCGTCGTCCTTTGGTCTTCCATGATACTTGCCTGCTGGTAAATATTTACCGCGAGAGTGAAATTTCCTGAGATGCCGGAGATTTTCTGGGGGTGCCGGAGGATATGTATACGGTGATAACGAAAACGCCGATGGTGCCGGTTTTATGGCGGCCACGGGCTTTGCTAATGCCCGTCGCTTACACCAACCCACACCTCCGGCATTTACAGCTTGTCGGAGTCTAAGAGGGTGTCTAGTCATTATTATAAAAGAGAGATGAGAATCATTGGATTCAAGACATCAGAAACTACAAACAGCTCATCAGATTAAGATCGATCCAAAGCACTATATACTTGGTGTTCTCGTCACACATCAATCGGAACCGTCTCAGAAAACATCTCCAGAGCCTCGAACAACAACACTGCCCTTCTTTTGGTTCATCTTTCGACCATAACTATCACAATGTCTTCCACAGTAGCCATCAAACTTGAGTCTCTCACCCCCCGTGAGGCCATCATCGACGTCCTCTCCCGCGTTGCCATTGCTTGCGATCTGAATGACCTCGAGCTCTTCAACTCCGTGTGGGCTGGAGAAGACGCCTCAGCCGAAATCCACGACGGCGAACTCAAAGCTCTCCCTAATCTCGCTCTGATCCGGAAACACATCTTCGAAATGGTTGGACCCATGGACACCACTCATAATGTGAGCAATGTCCGCGTGGATCTCAAGGACGGAGCGAATACCGCCTTCCTCACTGCCACATCACTGGCTCAGCATTGTCCTCCTGGGAGGGGCCGAGAGCCAGATGGGCCCAAGTTCCTGGTCGGTGGGCAATACTCCCTTGATCTTGTCAAGAATGATGCAAATGAATGGAAGATCAAGAAGTTTGGATTGAAGGTCATCTGGAGAGAGGGAGACCCGTCAGTCATGATGCCAAAGCAGCATTAAGAAGTAGCCGTCGGTATAAAGGTGCAACGACAGTTCTTAGCCAAGACATAGATACAAATAATACACTTTCAAGGTCCTTGTATAGATAATCTTAGGTTGCTAGAGATGGTTCAGTGATGCATTTAATATCAAACTCGGCTTCTTGTTCAACAAACCCCGATAGCTAGTTTACAACTACCGTTTGAATTCAAGAGGTTTTCAGTAAGCTTGAATGCCATGTTTAATTGCTCATTCAATGACGAACAATTATATGATGCTGCTTGTTTGCATTCCAAAATTATTTAAGATGAATAGACCATAGAGTGAGGCATCTGGCTGATGGGCTCCCCAACTGCAATGCCCAGGTCGAGAAGTCTCTGCACCTCCTGGTCACGGGCTTTCTCTTTGTCAGGAACAGTCAAGGGGGCAAACTTTTCCCGTGCACCAGTAATTTTCCAATCCCTGAACTTTTCGAACCCACCACCGACATCTTGTATAGTTTTAAGCTCGATGAGACTGTGGCCAGCTTTATTCACTCGATTAAACTGAAAAGGCGCCGCAAGAGAGACGGGCGGGTTGGAGATGATGCCTAAACCCATGTGAGCAACTCTAATATCTAAAAATAGACAATTCAAAACAATAGACACGATGCGAATACTTACGTTTGAGACGCCGGCCATTTCGGCTCACGCTATGGAGGGTAAGTGGATGCATGAGGATAACATCCCCCTTCTTGCCCGTCATCTCATGAAAGCTTTCGTCCGGACAATCACGAATGACCGAAACGCAATGATTGTAAGAGGCATAAGGCTTGTAAGGTTCATCCCGGGCCCTCATCACAGGGCTCAGACCTTCCGGATGCTCAAACTGTTAGTCGTCAGCCATCTTTTCAAATTACAGCGGAAAGTCCGCCAAGAAATTTAGCAGTAGACCATACCAGATGTTTTCCGATCCTTTTTGGCCCTTGATCACAGATCCAGGTAGCGCCCCCATTTGATTCAACGTCGGTCCAGCATGGAATGACTAGCAAGGCTTGCTCCGGGCTATCCAGAAAATGGACAAAGAAGTCACCGTCAACATGCCACAGCTCTAGATCCTTGGGCGGAGTAGTTTTGCCCTCGATCTCCTCGCTGCCCAAGTTCACAATGAACCCGTTCGTCCACATTTCACCACCTTTGGCAATCACATCCTCTCCTCCGCAAAGCTCGCATATTGCCTCCCAAGCAAGCGGCGCTATCTCCCTGGCGGGAATCACACCCAACTTAGCCATGTGGTTCCGCTCCGTATGCCAGGTGGATTTATCATCGGGGTCCATCCCCAGGCGTTCCCAGACGTGCTCTGTCCAGCGATCGCAATTCTCGATAGGGATGGCTCCAGGGAGGCGTAGGTACCCGAATCTCATGAATGATTCAATCTGTTCGGGGGTTAAGACCTTGAAGGTCTTGCTGTCGATAACATTCTTGATCTCTGGGGTAGTCATGGTAAATAATAAGTTGAAAATTATTGGTATGCTGGATACTGGCAGATTAAAGCGACTGAACTGGTGAATTCTTGCTTCTTTCAGTTTTGTTGAGCTGTTATTGCAATCGTATCTTTGGAGGGCCACCGTCTGTTTAAATAGAGCGAGTTCGAATCCCTGCTACACTCTCCCCTCTCGCGTTCTTCATCATTTCTAGTCCGCACGCACATCGTGACGGTCGGAGCAGAAAGAGATATTGTACCGATGTCGGCCAATCAGCGACGTTCGGGGAGCCTCCGCCGTATGTCGTAACGTCGTATTACAGGCTTTCTGGGTGAGATAGTCGGGGAGCCTCCGCCGCGCCCACATGACAAATCGTCTCGTTTCCTTGTATTTGGGCATACTTAGATACCCAATTCTGCAGGCAAAAGTTAATGTGATCTGTTCACTCGATTTGTTAGCAGCTGTGGTTTCTACCTAGCTAATGAAACTTCAAATGACCAGCTTCTTCTCACGTAAATGCTCGTAAGTCGATAGTTTCGCAAGTCGTTTTCACGTTACGGAACTAGTTATGTAAACTATAAGTAGGGAATTCACTATCTCGAGATGTTGTGTTGCAATATTTCATCTCCTGTCGCTTAAGTGTCATTTCTACAAAGAGCGAGGTCGGGAGAGAGATCAAATGCGGGGTAATCCCTTTCAGCATTCGCGCAATGTAAGCAATGCAAGGGTCTTTTGACGTGTACTTTTCTGAAAGGCAGTTCCGGGGAGGGGCTAGCTTTTCATGGGAGCGGTAAGATTCATCAATACAAGTACGTCTTCTCCTAACCATATCCCTATGTCCGCACAGGATCTCTCAACGGAGATGTCAACCCCAGAAGCAAATGTATCAGAGTTCACACCATCCATCAAAATGGTCGCCACACGAAGGAAACGTCCTAGGCCGGCTGACTTGCATACTGAAACCGAGAGAGTGCAGCAGACTAGAACTGCTGTAGCATGTGACGCTTGTAGAATCAGCAAAACCCGCTGTGATGCGAATCGCCCAAGCTGTGCTAAATGTCAGAAGCGAGGCAGGCGTTGTTTGTACCCGGACAAAGACCCATCATCAGTGTAGGTGAATACGACGCCAACTTGGCCCTACCCATGATTATCAACTGGCTAACAATCTTTCGTTAGATTTGAGATATTGGGCGGGAAAATATTAAAAGCCATTGAAGACCAAGGCCAGCTCATTGCAAACCTCTCGGCCCAAGGAGGTCTTAGCAATAACAGTACAAATAGGCATCCACCTGGACCACATGATATACAAGTCGATGAGACTGCTGATGAGATAGAAGCTCATTCACGGAAAGATGTTCTCTCGACTCCAATCACAGCGTCGGACGATATTCTGAAATGGAATGTATTCCCTGCCGACAAACCCATCAGGACGATCCCCGCCTCCGTTTTCTCTGCCAAAATGAGCCCCTATTCCAATGGTTTGTTGTTTCTTTCTTCTTTCAAGAACAAATGTTAAAAACGATGATGTTAACCCCACGCTTCGTCTCTAGAAATTTTACATCCATCACCGGAACGTATTCTTGAGTTACGCGACATATACTTGTCAAAGTTTGAGCCATTGACGCCCTTCGTTGACAATGAGACGTTCGATGACTTAGTGCTCGAAGTTTTGCGTGATGGGCTAAAAGATTCCGTCTCGTCATGCTTTGTGCTCTCGATTTTCGCGTTAGCCGCCATCTGGGGCAACTATCCTGAAGATGAACGACGTTCAACTCCGAATGCTGCAAACGGCAGCCCTGCTCACACCGTAGCGGTGCCTGAGCAGCGGTTCAAAGAATCATCGATTTACTTTGCCATGGCTCAAAGCCGGATGTCTTACGCTTTGCAAGACGACTCCCTACTTGGAGTTTCATGTTACTGTCTCATGGGGTGAGTCTCCATGATCGATAGGTAGCACTACAGTGTGTCTAACGTGTCGAGCCCCAGTTCTTGGTACTGGTATAACTTCGAACCAATACAAGGTTGGAAGATGTTCCGGACCGCGTCTATGCTCTGGGAAACATATCACCAAAAGCAAGCATTTGACGGTAGCGAGAGGTCGCAACAAGAGCTAAGTACGCAAGAAGGCAAATTCTCAACTAAAAGGCGGCGCTAATTATAACCTACAAGGCCTCGAGCAGCGTTTATTCTGGACTTGTATGAAGGCAGAGTGGTAAGTCTGCTCGTTCCCTTTTTGCTGTCAAATATCTAATAAAGGACGTCAAGTGAAATGCGATATGAACTTCCAAATTTGCCTCTCTGCACCCTTCAGGACTCGCAGTTCTCATTCCAGCTCCCTAGCTTTCCGTCAGAGACCCCGACATCGCGGTTATTTGTTTGTCACGCTCGAGACAGGCGCAACTGCGCACCGACGGCGTTTTATTACTTTCTTGCTGAAATATCACTACGGCGACTGCTCAACCGTGCCCGAAACGCCGCGACCAAGCTCTCGCCAAATCTTGATTCATCTGGAGCAAGGATGGTGGCCGAAAATTTCACGCAGCTGGAAGAGCAGCTCCAGAGGTGGCTGGAATGCTTACCCCCTTGTCTCTATTTCAACCTCCCTCCCGATTCACTCCCCTCCGAAGCCGAGCCAGAGCTGGTCAAACTGATGCGAGAGCGATATGTTGAAGTTCGAGAGCTACTTTGTCGAGCATTTTTATATATCTGCATTCATGACCATGCGACGCAGCTGACAATCCCGCAAAGGCGTCTTTATGGAGCAAATGCTTCTCTGGGTCTCCGGTTGAATGCCTATCGCATTGAGACAGAAAAGCCGTTCTATCGTCACTGTGGCTCGTGGATCGCATGTCGTGTGCGTTTTAATCACGCTCTGTGCTTACTTGCTGCGGCCCGAGCAAAGAATCTTGACACAGAATCGACGAAGTTTATCGAGATACCGATCAATTGGCAAGACTATGTGATCAATGTGAAAGATCGGCTGGATACGTGGTCGGATCAAGGAGGGGGCGTTGAGCAATTGTCAGTGACACTGTCGTGGCTTGCTAGTCAGTCGTTCTAGTTCTTAGAAATCCATCCCTTAGAGATTTAATTTCGAGAATAAGGATAAACAAAGAGGTCAGAAAGCTTATAAATAACGTAAAATACATTAGTACTCCACACTTCTCGAAATGCGCTGATCATTCCTAGCAAGCAGGACCTTTTCAATTTCATAGTTGACCCAGTTAGTCTAATACATTGTTGATCATAATCTCGTTGAGAATACCCTTTAAAGTGAATGCGTTGGAACATTTTACTGCAAAGTAAAAATGTCGAGCCAGCGTATAGGGTAGGTCAACTCTTTGTTCCCTTGGCTCTTTGTATTTGTCAGCAAGGACTTGCGGATGATGGAAGCTCTGCCGATCTCCGGTTTCTCCTTTCGTCAACCAATGTCCCATGTCAACATCTGGACACAGACATCGGTTTAACAGAGCCGAGAGGGAAAATGGCGACCGATGGTAAGTCATTCTTCCTAGATCCAGTCGTAGCGGGACAGTATGTCGCTCCATCTTGAGATTAGTCTGACTAGCAATCCAGGCAACTTTCGCTTTGTCTCAATTCAATGTCCGGATGGTGTGGAAGACCGAAAAAATAAACGGTTAGCTCGGTCGCATGCCATAAAACATGCTCTTGAGAGAAAGCGAAAAGCGCAGCAACAGTCTGGGCTTAATTTCCGCCTTCTGTCATGGAGACAGGATTCGAGCCGGGCTACAGCATCGAAAAGGATACAACTCAATCGTATGATCGAATCGCCCGAAGTGAAATGTACAGGTGCTGCGATCGATTTGATTCGTATCTTAGATTCTGGATCATCGAGATTACAAACATGTTTGAGCCAGAGTAGGTTCCTTAAGTGGACATTGCCCTACTTACTGCTCACAGCTGAATGCAGGCAAAATCGAGCACTCTGCGGAGCCAATCTTCAGTATTGCGGATGAGCTCGTTCTTTTCAACTTCATCCAAGTGTTTCGGGCTCGCCCAGGTGATCCTGCGCTCCACAATGCAGCAATGCTCACGTTTTCTCTTGCCACGAATGGGGCACTCGGCATAGCCGGCCTGAATTTTCAAAACAAGGCTATTAACACAATAAGTGAGAGAATGAGTTGTCTAGATGTGGCTACCTCTGAGTCCACCTTGGCATCCATCATCCTGCTTGCGGGAATTGAAGTCTGTATCCATCTATCCCACATATCGTGATATGAAAGGCTCGGACAAAGCTAATACTTCCCTATCAAAGGCTCGTCTTTCAATGCCGGTTCAGGTCCAGCTTCACATGAATGCTATTCAACATCTTCTTGGAGTATGCCAAAGCCAAGGAATTCATCTGACGGACGCAATCAAACGAGCCATTTTCTGGTAAATGTCACTCCATGTTGAATTTCAATCACGAGGACGGGATTGCGGTATACTCACATGGCATATAGGCAAGATCTTAATTCAAGCGTCATGACTGGATCTAAACGGATCGTGAACCATGAAACATTCACTGAGCTTCGCTGGAGAAGAGACCCGTTTGCCCCAAATGATTTTGTTTTACAGCCTGGGTTTCAGAGGGTGCTCCAACATCTAAACCCAGAGTTCATCGAAATACTAGAAGATATTCACTCTCTGCAGAATGTCAGGGAGTCCACCTATTTCGAATCAGAGGATATCATGTCGATGGCGCAGATTGACAACCATCAAGCCTCCATTCAGTCGAGGCTGGTCAGCATACCAAGCACTTCGGGTTTCTTGGAGTGTTGTCACATTGCCGCTTATCTATGCTCAACCATGCTACGTTGCAAAATTTGGAGAGCTTCAGTGTTTCCGGTAATTCCTACATCTTAGCAATTCACTATTGGCGTATATCGGACTTCACTGACTTGAAAAAACACAGTCACAACTTTCATTGAAGTTGCTCCAAAAGCTGCAACAGGAGAATATAAATTCCATATGGGATTCTCATCCCGATCTACTGCTCTGGCTTATCTACATTGGTGGTGCTTTTGCCCCGTCAGGAGATATTCGAGAGCAATATTTGATGCTATTAAATTCAAATCGTGCATCTAGATTCGAGAATAGGTATGATGAATGGCCAGACGTTCTCACCATTATGAAGCAGTTTATATGGTCAGAAAAGGCCTTTCTATCGCAAGTAAGAGGATTTTGGGAAGAGGTATATCAAGCAAGATAGTGTAGTCATATAAACCTGGCACAAATAGAGAAAAGCATCGCACGGTCTTAGCCACCTTAGATCCGACAACGTCTCAAGCCGGCTGCACCAATCACATCCAACGATTCCCTAACGTAGTCCTGCTATTATTATACAGGTACCGAGAGGGTTCTTGTGGAGAAGTTGGCGGATTAGAAGGGAGATTAAACGAAGCCATTCCGTTTTAAGCAGTATGATGTTTCCTGTTTACACTTCACCCTGGTACATGTTGCTTGATCTTATTGGCTACTACGCTTTAGTCTTTGTAGCAAGTCAGCCGCGGCATCACCTCATTCCCTTGAATGGAAATATGTTAGTTCCGCAAACTGAAGCTGTCGCCACTATGTAATATAGCGTTTGCAAATATTGCTGATAAATCCAATATCTCATTCAACAGATAGAATGAGCTATTGAGTTGGTTTTTGCATGAATTAACTGTATAAAAGCCCAGCAGTTCGTCCCCTTTAGACTCTTTCCATCGACATTCAAAAAAATAAGCAACTTGCAAATTGGATCTATTTCTAAGAATTTTGCAATCGATTCTCATTGTCCACCATGTCTGAGTCTCGCCTCTTCAAGCCTCTCAAAATCGGCAATATTGAAGTCTCGCATCGCATCGGCATGCCTTCACTCACTCGCCTCAGGGCCACGGACGATCGTGTCCCAACGCCGCTTATGAAAGAATACTATGTGCAACGAGCTGCTGTTCCAGGCACATTGATTCTCGTCGAGGGGACCTTTGCCTCCTCTGCATGCGGCACCTTTGACAACGCACCCGGAATTTGGAGCCGGGAACAGATCGAGGGGTGGCGGGACATCACGGACGAGGTTCACCGCCGAGGCAGCTTTATATACTGTCAGCTCTTTTTAGCTGGTCGTGCGGCCTCAGCCGAGACTTCGGCCAAGGAAGGCATTCCGATTCTCGGCCCCAGCGCTATTCCGTTCTCGCCGGATGCGCCAGTTCCTCGCGCCATGACCATTGAGGAGATACGGAAAACCACACAGGATTTTGCAGACTCATCGAGGAACGCCATAGAGGCCGGCTTTGATGGCGTTGAGTGCCATGTTGCTAATGGCTATCTTCTTGACCAGTTCCTACAAGATGTCAGCAACCAGCGAGACGATGATTACGGCGGCAGTGTGGAAAACAGGTCTCGTTTTCCTCATGAAGTCATGAAGGCAATGGTTGACGCCGTTGGGGCTGAGCGTGTTGGGTTCCGCATCAGTCCCTGGAGTACGTTCCAGGGCGTGAAAATGAAGGACCCAATCCCCCAGTTTTCGGACCTCATCAAGAAAGCACGAGAGCTAAAACTTGCGTTTCTCCATGTAGTTGAATCACGGGTCTCCGGCACAGAGGATATTTCAAGCACTGAGTCGCTCGACTTTGTTTATAACCTTTGGGATGGACCCATTCTCCTTGCGGGAGGATATAACCCCGACACCGCTCGTAATGTTGTGGATGCAGAGCACCCTGACAAGAGTATTGTCGTTATGTTTGGGAGATACTTTATCTCAAACCCGGACCTTGTGTACCGTATCAAGGAGGGATTGCAGCTGAGTCCTTATAACCGCAACACCTTCTATATCCCTCAGTCAAAGATTGGGTATTCAGATTACCCTTTCAGCAAGGAATACCTGGCTAGTGGGCTGGCTCAGGCATAGATCATTGAACTTAAGACACAACTAGATTTTAGAATACATCAGTTACGCAATTGCATTATCTCAAAATCGATATTGTTCTATATTAATTCTTAGCTACAGGCTTGGTCTACTAGTAAGAAATCTATTGACTTAGAAGACCGTTCCAATGACAAGACCTCTCTTTCTGCGCCTGGCACTAGAGCTCAAGCATTGAGAGTACCACTCGTTGTGGCTGACACATGAAGTGCCTGAAGCACATTTGCCAGTTCCCGTGTAGCCTTGACCAGCACATTGGCCGTAAGGGGCAATTTCCGTGCTGTCGTCGGATCCACTAGTGTCCTCCTCACTGCCAGATGAACCATCATCGCTGCAGTTATCAGAGTCATCACCAGAGATAGGAGCTGAAGTTTGAACAGGGGAAGCGGTTGCCGTTGGGGCTGAAGTAGCAGAGGGGACCAATGACAAGGTAGTAGCGGTAGGAGCTGATGAAGAGACGGCAACCGACGAAGAAATAGGCGTTGAGTCGTTTCCACTGTCGGAACCCCCAGAGCTTGATCCCAAGTTGGAAGGACCAGCATTGCCCTGCACATGGCTAGCAACCTTGTCAACGGCAATGGGATCAACTAGGTAGTTGGACTTGAAGGAACTAAGAGAGCTAGTAGAAGACAAAGTAGGCAGCTTTCCACTTCCATTGGAAGCGCTGTTTGCAACACAGGCGCGCCCGAGAGCACTTGAGCAAGAGGATGCCGATGATGAGTCTGCGCTGAAGACTGTAGAGACAGTTGCAGCCTGGTCGGTAAAGGGGGTCTTGACATTATCGAAGACGTTGCCTTCAATGAGAGCTGTAGCACCATCATAGGCGTCAAATGCATGGCCTTGCATGTTGCTGAAGTAGTTGTTCACAGCTTGGAAAGTTCCCTTTACGCTCGGCTCACCAAGCTTTGGAGCGCGACCTGAAACATTGTGGAAATAGTTCTTATCCAGCGTGACTTGGTCACCGTCACCGTAGAACATCGCGGTCCAATAATGCTGTGAATTGCAGGAAGCCGAGGTGGTAGTTGTTCCATCAAACTCGTTGTTGGAGACGGTCAGTCGGGTGGCATCGTAATGGGTGACGATAAACATGCGGCCGACCAGGCTGAACTTGTTGTGGTCCACCCAAACACCATCGTTCTTTCCCTTGAATTCAAGAGCATCACCTCCCCAGACAATTCCAGGGTTGAGGTCGGTGATTTCAATTCCTTGGATAATGACGTTGCTGGCCCCCGACTTCAGAGACAGCCCCTTTCCTTTGAGGACACCCTTGCCGTTGACACCGAGAATGCTCTTGTTGCTACCAACGGAAAGAGGCTTAGTTCCAGCAACGTCATACGTGATTGAGCTGACGGCCACATTGTCGGAACCTCCGCAAGACAAGGTTCCGAGATACAGCTGACCACCATTGTCTGCGCTGCAGCTCTTGCGGTCACAACCAGAATCAGTCGCGGTTTCACCAGTGAAATCGTATTCCTTATCGATGATGATCGTACGTGCAGTGTCGTCAGACAGGAGCGAAGCGAGCTCCGAGGCCGAAGAGGGAGTGACCGCGGTGGCACTGCCGCCGCCCGTAACGCCCGTTGCAAACCCGTATGCCGTTCCCACAACACTTTGAGCTGCCGCCGATGAGGCTGCCGCAGCAGTCAGGAGAGCAGAAGTCGCGAAACGCATTTTTGTTGAATCTCGGTGGACAAGGAGGTGGGAAATAAATGAAAGTCACGTCCAGCGCGAATCTGTGTAGCGAATGAGGAAAAAACAACGAAAGAATATGATTGAAGATACAAGCAATGAGAAAAGGCAGGATAGGGAAGTACTTTTTAAACAGCCTGTAGGTATTAGCTGTAATGGATCCCGTGTAAAAACTCAAAACGCTCTGATCAGACAACTACTCTTTTCACGGACTCGGAGCGTTGATTCCAGTTGTGGGGTTACCTGATTCAGGTTCAAAGCCTTGTGAAACGAAGCCTGCCAAGCAGACAGTAACGTGGATTGAAACAAGATAGCTCCTCATTAGAGGGTTAAATGAAACAGGTGGAGGGCTCAGAGAAGCTCTGGCCCCTTCAATCTAAATTATTCCAGGGTTGTAGCCGCTCAGTGAGCCTTCTGCCAAGGCTGAGCCCCCACCGGAACAAGCGGGTACCCTTGCCAAACCTGAAACCAACTTCCGGACCAACTTCCTCATAATGCTTGCTTGGGGTCGACGAACAGGTACCTATCCCTCAAGGAAATGCAAGGTAATTCGATCACTGATTAGAACGATTGCGGTTTTGCGGCTTTCAAACTCGGCATAAAGCCTATCAAGAGCAATTAATCTATCAATCGTTGCATAAGCCTATTTACGGAACTAATGGTAGAGAGTCAGAATCAGGTACTCAGCTAGGCATCGGAACGGTTCCTTATAAGATCGAATGCGAAGTCATAATGCTTGTTTATCCGTGAGGTTTGCAACCACAGGATCACTATTTATGCTGTGACCATGTAGACTTCGCTTTCGTGTGCTTAAAGTCTTCCACTCACGCTCATAACCCCGTGTCCGTAATTACTCAGCTAGGAGCCACCACTTGATCCAATCTAAGCCGACTTAAGTTTCCCCTTTTCTAGGCTTGGCCTCCACTCTCGGATTCAATTGAGACTCAAGTATGGCTAAGGAGTATGCTACCCTACACATAATGCCGTCAAAAACTGAAAGGAAACAGTGTTGGAAATAAGTGAATCAAATAACTAAATTTACTTTGGTCCCTGGCGTGCATGAGGTGAAATTTCGTTTTGGATAATTGACTCTTTTAGGATGTTACATTAGGTTGTTGTGAAACACCCATCCAAGAACGAGAAGATTCCCAATTTTCAAAGAAGCCTAAACTTTTCAAGTGAATTCCGAAACAGTGACAAACCATGCAACACAAGAGAAAGACCAATTACACAGTTTAACCTTAGTTGTACTCAAATCAGGATACGACAGGACGGCATTAGAGCAAGTAAAGATATCATGCGATTATATAACAATTACTAGATTACCTCAGCTTCAAGGAGAGCCTCACCCGGGTAGGCGCAAGTCTTTGCATTATCTAAAACTAGGTAGCTCAAGTAAATGATAAACGTGTAGGCTCGAGCGCACAACTCTTAACCTCAAAAGGCATGATACTATGAGGTTCTAATTTGCTATCACTCGGTAAACTCAAAGGTTGGTAGATTATCGGGAACTCGAATAACACGGATGTCTGACTTGAAACTGGTGTCAGGGACAGGTCCCCTTCGTCGCCGGCCGGTGCTTGAAGTCGGCACCGCAGGCTCATTGGCGACGCGGAATTCACAGGTACCTCCAAGCTGGGCCCGGTGTCCAACAAGAGACTTGAAAGTGGCCAGCTGGTTTTCGAACTGTTATCATGTCAGCTCTGTCTCTTCCTCAATTGAATGTTAACAAATCTTACCTCATTCCAGTTCGGCTGGAAATTTGCGAGCCCTCCTTCAACATACCAGTCATAAAAGGCTCGAGGACCCATCTCGGCAAAGCTTTCCTCCCAGAGATAGTTGGAACCCGTGGTCGGAACGCTTTTGTCCGAATAGTAGGCATCGCGCCATTCCTGAGAGTCGCTATAGGTCCCAGCATCGATAGCTACAAGATCCGCTGTGCTAAGGAGATCGACGGCGTGTGTAGATTCGTGGATCATGACATAAATCCTCCAAAAGTTCGGCGACATGACGAGGGATGTGTTTTTCCAGAACGCAACAGAATTATTGCCAACGGTCAAGTCACGGACATATTGCCTAAAACCTACAGGCACCTTTCCAAACATCTTCCACATCGTTTTTGTTAACTCACTAGTCGCCTTTCTTGAACAGCAAGGAGTTCATCGACACGTACCTCGGTTACCGAGTCTAAGGAGATACCGTTATCTTTGTGAAGGCAAATTTGCCAAGGTTCGGGGCAGTCATCATAAAATATGTTGTAAGCGTCATACTCCCCCACGCCATCGCTGGTTCCGGCACCACACGATGCGAAAGAGTAACCGGATTCAAATGCCTCTACTCTGGAAGGAACCACGGGCAATGCATCGGAAAGGTCGTTCCATACAGTAGACGGCGAATTGAATTGAGGCGTTATTACGGGGAGTGGGTTGTCAATGGTGTGCGAGGCTTGAGCCGCGACGCCAAGGAAGAAGAGACTGCTCGAGGTAATTAGGGATCTCATCGTAGAGAGAGCTTTTCGGTGTCGAGGTAGAAAGCATGAGAAGGTCTGGCGAATGCTGACGCCGATTATGAGAAATATATATCCCGCTTACGAATTCAACCTCTTTGTGAAGAATGTAAGAAATAAGCAGGCAGCCAGGTTTGTACTCTAATTAGGAAGCTGTTTGACCTCCTACGCTTGAAACCCGGCACTGCAACGTCAAATGACGGGAATAGCTGCGTAAGCAGAAGCAGACTCGAGACCAACTGAACTGGGGTTTATTCTGCAAGTTGGGATACCGTTTTCCATTGATGGCTCATTATCCCAAATGGACAATTCTAAAATCGTTGAAGAGATGTATGATAGGCGTGCGATTTTCCATTAGCCTTTAGGTGAATTGAACTCCGGCTGACCCGCCAGGAAGTGTATGGTATAAGGCTATCCTGACACTTGGCAGACATTCTAGTCACCTGTAAATTCAATGGACTTCCCTGATTGGATAAGTTACGAACTCTTCCCTGCAACTAGGACCAAATCCCGGCCATCTGCCGCGAGACAAGTACCAGGGGTTTGTCGGGATGGCAAAATTGATAGACATGATTCTCAGTTTGATAGGTCTCATGAGAAGGGACGAAAAACTCATGCTCGTTCATGAACCCTTTATCAAGAGAAAGGGCCGAGGAAGAACCTAATCGGCACCAAAGCATGAACCCAATCGACTTATTTGAGCAGTTGTGAGAGCCTAAGGCTAGGTAGTATTCAGTCAAGCAGTAACAACTTGCAGCATTGCGTTTACGATTTTTAGCTGGCAACATACTCGGGCATGGGGAATATTGACATACAGAATTGGCAATACTTCCAATGTGAGATAGGAGTGATTGCATTTAACGTGGGCGAATGGAGCAGCCAGACAGTGAATTGGGATGGAGCCTCTCCTCCCCGCATCTCCCCGCTTATTCTCCATAGAGTTAGTCTTGCCTTCGAATTATTTCGAATGAGTCATGACCGGCAACGACTCCCTGATCCAACAAAGCAACTCGGAAACTCCACCATCCTTACGAATAAGCCAGCAGACACCTAGTAGCGCCGTGCTGGCCACTGGCTTTATCGAGATGAGCCAACAGGCACTTCACGGCACCGCGTGTAAAGGCTGCCGCCGAAGAGGCCGCAAATGCGATCGCACACTTCCTACCTGCCTGAGCTGTGAGCGCCGAGGGGTGGTTTGTGAAGGTTATGTAACCAGATGGCCAGGAGTAGCCGCGCGCGGGAAGCTTGCCGGAAGATCTATCCCTGTGAGCAGCAGCCCGGTTACAACATCAAAAGGAAGTTCAGCCCGAGCTCGGCATACTTTATCATCTGTAGCGGAACCGCCCCAGGCTGGTCTTAACAAACCCCCCAACCATAATTCAGTACAACAAGATGAAGAGATGATGGACAGAAGTGGGATTCATTCTACATCTTGGCCAGCAGATAACGTAACAAACATTGATGATAATGAGATAGCGCAACTGGTCAATCATTGCAAGGCGCCTTCTTCACCCCTATTTGACTACTGATTTACTAACTTCAACTCAACACAGATGTTGATGATCTTAGCACTATCTTCTACCTCGGCGATGGATTAAGAGACAACCCAATGTTCTGTTACGTACTTCCGCTGATAAACAGCGTGCCCCCCATACGATTCGCGATCGCCGCATCAGCATCATGTCACATGGCAGCCAAAAACTCGGATGAGGCACTGGAGCAAAAGAGCTTGTATCTGCGTGTCCGTGCGACGCATTTCCTCAGGGAGAGGCTGAAAGACTCAAGCATAGCAACGGACCAAGCCACTTTAGCCAGCATACTCATGTTAGCCCAGGTCGATGTAAGTCGTAACGACCTGAGCATGTTATTGATGAGTAGCTCGCTGACTGCAAACAGATGTGCTCGGGCGACTGCTTCGAGTTTGAGACGCACCTAAAGGCGGCAGTTGCTATCTTGCGTGGCCGGCACAACGAAGAGAGCGTGGACAGATTCTATTTCGAACAGCGGCTTGTTTGGTCAGTGGAGAGAGTTCCGATTAAAAGCGTGTTTCTTTTGACTAAGCATTCCCTGTAGGCTTGACATCATTAGTTCAACGTCTTCCTCGCGAGCTCCCAATTTTACGGCGAAAGAAGTTAACATGGCTCTCCATCGCCACTCGAATGCGGATGGTAGAGAATGGAGCTATGACGTCTTCCCATGTCCAATAGATCTATTTGAGATGCTTGTGGATATCACCATGCTGTACAAATCACATCAAAACAGAGATTATCCGACAGAGAAGGAGCTGAAACATGTAGATTACATGATGGGCCGTCTCAGAAAATGGGAATCCCGCCAAAGCTTATTTGGATCTCGGAAGCACATGGTCGAAGCTTGGCGATTTGGTATCATGGCGTATCTGGCACAGCTCTTCCCAGCTTTTTCTACCATAGATCAAGGGTCACATCTCACTAGCCAGGTCCTCCATCACGCAAAACTCATACCACCGGCCAGCTCCTGGAGTTACTCCTTGTTATGGCCTATTTTTCAAATTGGGATTGCCCTTGAGAGTGGACAGTCGCAGGAGAAAGACTGGATAAGGTCACGATTAAAACTAGCGTATGAAGCTGTTGGATGCCGCCATTTCAGGAATGCAGCTGATACTCTGGAGCTGGTTTGGGAGCCACGTACCCAAGGTGGTTTCGTGGCAAATGGCATATACGAGCGTACCATAATACTAGCATAACTTGGTATGAGTACTATGGTGTAAGAGATCGAGGGAAAGAAAAACCATCTATTTGGGGTTCTTAATGTAAATACTTAGCCACGACCTTGTCTATTTCGCACTTAATCTCCGCCCGCACCGACTCCGATGCCCAAGACATGTCAACAGAACGTCTCGCCAAAGTTACCATGTCATGGTCAGTGAATGAGCACATTTTCCTGGCAAGCAGCAGGTGGTGTATAATCCAACAGTCCTCCATATATGGCGGGTCATCACTCCCAATCGCGATCAGAATGCCCGCGTCAAATAATGTTCGGATCCTCGGGAAGATCTCATCGACTGGTTGATGCCGGAGATAGCCCCACGGTGTTATGGTCATGCCAACACCGTTCTTCTTGATCAATTGAATCAGCTCTTGGCTTTGCGCAGCATTGAGGCCATGGTCTAGGCGCTCTGCACCGGATCCCCCAAGGACCGATGCCACCTGCCGAATGTTTTCGTGTGTGGTTGGTTGTCCCACGTCACAGTGACAAGTCAGGCGGAAGCCAGCTTGTCTGGCCAAGGCGAAGATATCTGCAAACAGAGAGGGGGGCCGATCGGTCTCGTCCGAATCCAGACCGATACCGACGACTATATCACGGTATGGGAGAACGGCTTGATAGTGCTCCATTGCAGACTCTACTGATAGGTCGCGGAGGAAACACATAATCCAATTCGACTTGATCTGTTCTCTTGGTTAGCATGTGGTGAAGAATAAATACGCTTTTAACATACACCTAGGCTCTTCTCTGCTTCCTGTTGGGCCTTACGGAAGCCCCCCATCATAGTTTCCCAAGAAACCCCACGGCGTGTGTGGCCTTGAGGGTCGAAGAAAGGTTCACAGTAGCGAACGTTCATTGAGGCGGCTCGTCGAAAGTAATTCATAGCCAGATCAAAAAAGTCTTGCTCGGTAACAAGGACCTCGAAACCACCATAGTAAGCCTCGAAGAAAGTGAAACTTTCTTCGGCATTGTCAATGCTATGGCCTGGCCGAGGTTCCATGATGGTGTACGACGCTCGTAGCTGTTCCAGACTGGTGTACACGGTGCCGGTGCGCTCGAGCTTTAGTGTCTGGCCGTTTCTTTTGGCAAGCTCCCATCTCAGCTCAGGCGTCAGGGTCCCTTCAATGTGGACGTGTAGCTCGACTTTGGGAAGCTCAAGAACAAATTTGTCATCCGCATCAAGCAGCTCTTGCCTTAGAGCTAGGCGTGTCTCAAGGGGCATGGCACGCCCAACTGTGATGAAGGTGGGGGAGGACATTTTTGGTGTTTGGATATGGACGAGAATGATTTTTTGAGTTCTGCACAGTGGGAAAGCTCTCTTATTTATAGATGGCGAAGCGCTAGGATCGATTGATGCCGTCGAACCTACATGCTAATATGGGCGGAGTCACGCCGAGATGTAGGATTTGTACTCGTGGTAATAGATGTAAGACTTTATCATCGACGGTAGTCCTAATAGAGGTACAATTTCAGTCTGCCGTGAGTATCTCCTATTCGTCACTCTATCCAGTGCTCCCTTCGGAGTCTCGGCTCTCATAAGGGTTTCGATGTAACTTCACTGCAAGGGTCGCCCCACAAACTAGTCCGAAACTGGGTACTATTTCAGTCAGTTCTCCAGCTTCACGTCATATGAGGGCTTCGTTCCGTTACTTCTCAGGGCAGGGGATGAGAGCTGTTGTCATTGTCTTTAGTATATCGGGGCATGGCATTTGCTTACAACCGAACCAATCACTCAAGGGTAATTACGAGGAGGTCTTACTGACCCTTTGTCTTAGAAATCTTATCCAATTATCAAAGCAATCGAGGTGGTAACGGGATCAATGAAACGGCATAGTTCACTTCACGGGGTGTTTGCTGTTGTTGCACTGGAATTACAATGCTTTAAGGGTATTCTGGCTAGGCGACTCGCTGAAATGGCGAAAATTCGTATTCTGGGAACTCCGAAGGTTAGAGCTTATCAGCTAGTTTAGGCTGACAGACTGCTAGTGTAGAAGATCTGCCAGTAGTAGATTTCGCTCAAAAACTGTGTGGTCAACCTTGTTATATCATACAGGTACTTGGCCAGCGCGCCAAATAGGGAAATAGAGCCTGGTAGTCTTTTCAATAGGAATATCTCATTATAATTTCTATTAAACTGGAATTCCGACCGTGAGCCATATCCATACATGTATTGATTCTGGCTTTTCGTCAAGTATGCGATGATTCAGGTCAAGTAAGTGGCTGAGGGTGTGACCAGGCTAATTATAGGCTCTGAAATTACACTACTGATCAGCTACTGCTCGTAATTCGCTTATTGACACGTGACAGGTGCCAAAGTACAGTGTCGCTTGTGCTTGGATGGAGGCTCATTTAACACGCCCCTCCCCCTGGGCCAGCGCATCTATACTCGCCGTTTTCATCTTCACTATGGACTGTCACGTAAGATATCCGACCACTGGAATGCGATAGAGGGATTGCGGTCTGCCAACCTCAATGCTCGTCAAGAAACGCTTGGTCGTCGGAGTAGCGGTTATTTTTCTCTTCTGGTTGCTCTTATCCCTCCGCCAACCGCCGAATATCTCTTTCCGCTCCTCTAGGGCTTCCCCGGCGCTGAGTTCAGTATGTAAACTAGAAGAAGAGAGCGCGTCGAGTTGTGATGAGCGGACGGGCAAACACACAATCCCCAATATTGTGCACTACGTGTACCTTCTCCCTCGGTCGTCTGATGATTTGCAGTTCCAGTTCAGCCATTTCTTAAGCATATACTCTGCTTATTACTACTGGAACCCGGACGAAATATATCTACACACCAACGCGGATAGTGCCTCTCTCGCGCGTGCTAAGAGCGGTTCCTCCGGGAAATGGAGCGCGTTGCTCTTGACGCTTCGCGTGTTGGTCGTGAATGAAGTCGAGGTGCCAACGCACGCAGAGAACGGGAAGGAGATTCAGAATATTGAGCACAAGTCTGACTTTGTCAGGGTACAGGCCGTCTATGATTATGGAGGGATTTACATTGATATGGATGTCTTCCCACTTAGAGATATCAAAGATCTTCGAGAACGTGGTTACAGTACCGTTGCTGGAAGGCAGCATGCGGGAGAGTTAAACAGCGGGACATTCATGTCAATCAAGGGCGGCAGGGTCATGAAGCGGTGGATGGAACGGATGACACAGGTATACGATGGTCAGTGGACAACGCATAGCAACATCGCCCTTACGCATGTGGCAGAACGTAGGGAAGAGGGCTGTGATATTCTGATACTCCGCCAGGATGCATTTGCACCGGGGAGCTGGGACAGTGAGGATGTGAGCCTGTTGTTCCATACTCATGAAGAAGATGCGCGGCTATTTGGTCTGGCTTCCCGTCTTGGCTGGACCCCAGAATGGGCCCATGACTGGTCTTGCACGTATCTGCTACATGCATTCCACCCGAGGAAAGAGAGGCACGGGTTCAAGCACAACGACATCACCCCGTCATTTGTGTTGGCTCAACGGAGTAATTTTGCCCGGGCTGTGTATCCGGTAGCAATAGCATTGTATGATCAGGGACTCATAGGATTCCAAGATACGGATCTAGGACTGAAGACAGTGGAATAAATTACCTTCGAGAGTTTTAGCACTTGAAAATATAATAGTTTTTTCTACAACAAAAAATCATAGCAAGAGCATTTCAATTACTTTAGATCCTGCGGATCTGAGTCTAATTCTAATCATCTAATCATTTCGTCTCGAAGCTTCTTAACACTTGTGGTCCTCATCTGGTAATAATAAGCTCCTTTCTCTCAACGAGATTTTCTTCTGGGCCTAGTCATAGATCCCACAGCAGCGAGGGTTGCCCCGGCACCCAATATTCCTAGTAGTACACCTCCAAGTTCCCATATCCACTCGGTTCTCTCGCTCAGGTCAATAACGATGAGAAAGCCATTCAGTATAGGCTCTAATCTTGCAGACACAGTCATTCTACGATCCATGAGCTCGACGTGCTCGCTAAAGGATAACCTGGCCAGGGTCTCCTTAGGCGTCAGAGATGTAGGTTCTACATCACTTGCGATTTTGCACACCCATCTGTCTGATATATGTTCAAGACGAATCACGAAGTTCTCGAAGTAGTAGGAACCAAAGAAGTAGCGCGGCTCATAGCCGTTGTTGGCTTCTTTCATAGTCGCAAAATTGTCTGCCGGCGACCAACCATCAGTGGGGTATGTATGGGTAATGAAGCATCCCGCTGGTAAGTTGCGGATGTAGAACCCTTGGATGGCTTCCGCGTCGTGAATGATCTGGGGCCACCAGGGGCGGGATGAAATGCAGATTGTGGTGGAACGCAATGTATCGTTTCCAACGAATTTGATGCTGGTGGCTTGGTGTGAGCGAGAGAAGTATGGAACTCGATTCAATAGCCCTCCGTGGCCGGTCCCTAGTTTCACCAAAGGCAAAGTCACTGCTCGGTCGATGTCCATCTTGGTATTGCACCTGAGAATCGCATCGTACCTATCTCCACCCCTGTGAATTAAGGGCAGACTGACCTGAAGGCCTCTGTTCGTCACCGAGAAGTTCGCCTCTCCTCCACTGCTGGGCCAAGGACGCAGATCTTGGCAGTTGTAAAAGCACATTGGTGACATTGCCAGGTAGCCATGAACACTTTGGCCAACCGTTCTTGATCGACTCCTCCAATTCCATGCAAGGATAGTCTCATCATCAGAGGACTTCATGATCTCCTCCTGCAAACGGATGAAAGCCTTCTCGCCCTCCCCGTACAGTAATGGCATGTTGACATCAAAAATTCCGAGTAGACAGTAGGCTTGGTCTTCAAGCCGTGTCGTCCGACGACCTGCAGCCCAGCTCATTCTCGTGGCGACACTGGCGTGGCGACACATGAGAGGTGACAAGTCCTTGGTCAAATACATCCTCTCTATCCCAGTTCGCTCCTCGATTACGTCCTGCAGCTCCTCGACGGTGCCGACATACCTCCACCCTCGAATGAAGAATTGAAGCTTCATAGGGGCAAGAAGCTCTTGGAGGGTCCAGCCTCGGCTGAACCACTTGCTTCTCTCTATTCCATGCGAGATCATCATGCCGTGGAGGCGACTGTCGCTTTCGATGTCCGAGAGGTAGGCGTAGCAAACGGCTGCCTGATGGTACCATTGGAACATCGAGTTGATAGCCTCCGTCAATTCTGCACTGCTGGACTTGTCGATGCAGCACGTATCTACCCAGGCGTAATTTAGGCCATCAGACAGAGCCTGCTTGCAAGCATAGATGATCTTCATGTAACCACCTTCCAGGTCCTCCTCTTGGCTGGCGTCTGCTACCGCAGGGGGCACCTGGAGCGGCATCTGCTCAAATGTGATTTCATTGTCGCCCCAGGTGTGAGAGAGGATCGCGTAGGGTGGGATATTTGAGCCCAAGAAGGTCTCAAGATGGTAGTTGCGCACATTGATGAGGCGCATGAGGAACGTCGTAGTTGTGTGTTATTTCAATATGGTTGGCGAAATGGCCGGTGTCTTGACCACCTTTTCTAGCAATGAAAGCTGCAGAATCATTTTGTCACTCAATACCTACCTAAGGCACGAATGCAGGAGGGGCAGCTGAGCTGGACAGGCCAATCCCGATATGGTCACTGACTTGTTGATTTTGTTACACATAGATACGCGCCCAGCTAAGTATTAGGCTTGACTTGGCCAATATTCCAGCAGGGGTTATGGACTCTTCCGTTGACCGCCAACTGAATCGAACAATGCAAGGGACCATCTGATCTGGACCACCCCTGCCATAGCCACTTGTCCAAAGTGACAACAAGTTCAGGTTCTTCGAGCGGTGAAAAAATGTCTGTGCTGGATACATGCTTCTTCAAATGCCTAAGCCATCTCATTGCCACGCCATCGATACAGCTCCACGCCCAGGTGCTAAACAATTGTGCTGAAGGGGTCAAGGCTCTTATCATCGGATCGAGGATGAAAAACCTGTGCTGTATTTAATATTCCCTCAAATGTCCCTCACTGTGAGATTTACTCGTCTAGTGCTAGATTGAATACGCCGACAGGTAGCTTCATCGACAAAAACTCAAGAGCAAGCAAGACTTTATCTTCAAGGGTGGCCCAACGGTGGGGCGTTTGTGCTGAAAGTAGTTCGTGCTCCGATACTGACGAAGACAGTTTCGTGAGTTTAATTTTGCTGCATAAATTTCATATCGTCAGCGGTAAATGTTTGCCTGGGCTACGGTGCGTTGTGAAATTAAACCATGCTGGTTGCGATTATGGCGGCAAGTCGAAGCCTGTCCCTGTGATTGGACTCTGGAAAGGAAGTCAAGGTCACTGTCAAACAGTCGTCAAACTTGTTCCAACTTGTTTCCAAATTTCAACCGCTGATGTCAAGACGAGTTTGTAAAAGTTCACTCAGGGAAACTCAACTTCCGTGACGACACACCTCCTTGGCAGCTTCAGCCTGTTGCGAAAACCGTGAATCTCTCACTTCTCATCATGGGGTTTGGCCATTTAGATACCAGTAATTTCACATTTCCTCTCAACTGCAACAACAAAGACCTGGGGGCTGGCACCCTAAACGGCGTTCAGCAAACACGTATCGCCAATCGGACAACATAACATTGCAAGATCCTCGAGCGGCTGCACTGCCAGTGCCGTCTTTCACAAAGTGCCCAAGTATTCCAACGATTAGATCCAATTGAAATATCACACGCATACAGACCTACAGCTTACTACAGTAGCTTTGGCAGATGCTCAGTAAAAGAGGTTCAAAATCTAGCTTAGCACATTTCAAGTGGCAACTATATTTGGCTTGGTATCTGTGGTGAGTATTTGATAGTTGGTATCAACTGCCCTAAATATTCGTGTTGAAGTTGCTGCTTGATCTGGAAATCAAATGCCTCCCACTAAACGTGTTAGCCAGCGTTGCTATCTTGATAAGATTAAGCCTCGTCTAAATTGCTCTAACTAGATACAAGATGCACATCAAAGGGCTGCTGAGGAGCTTGAGAAGCATTTGGTTGTTGTGGAATATCGAACTGGATGGTTTTAGTCACGCCATTTCAATGATAGGCAATGCTCTCTAAGGTCATTGCATGATGATGCACATTAATTCCTGGGACCGAAATAAATACTAGTTAATGGCTCAATTCCGTTTTTAGATTAACCATATCGACCGCGGCGCTAGGTTCAGAGTATGCATAAGAGGATTTACTTCATATGTACTCCCTTCCGTTTCGAAAACACAGATAGGCATAAGATAGAGAAAGAGGGAATGATGAAAGTTTCTATTTTTAAGGTGGAAGGAGAATGAGGAAGGATATTGGATTCGACGTAGAATACGGGGTAGTTACCTTCACAGAAGATGTCCGGGCTCTATTAACATAGAGCAAATTTGTCTCGCTCTGTCTGCTCGTTTCACTTCAATATGACGGTGCTGAGCATGTATATGGCCAAAAGAACCTGGGCCAGATCAAGTGTCTGCTGATGGTTTTCTCAGACGGGCTGTTCGTCAGGAGACTGCCTGAGTCGTTGCATCCTAAAAATATCTTGGCAAGACTCGGAAATCGGCACGTCGGGATGTGTTTGAAACAAGCTAGTTTCGATCAGCTCTCCACACGGGTGAGGCTGACACTGGTAAGCTGCTGTGATCCTTACCATGGTGAGTCCAATCAGTAAACAGGCGTTGGGTCTATGGATGTTTTATTTCTTCTTCATGAATTTATGATTCTAAGTAGCAAGCTTTTGACTTCTTTTTTCTGGTGATTTCTACAGCGCATTCTCCGTCGTCTCGCCAAGTTGATCTCTGCCGGTAGTGCCGAGCAATTTGATCCTTCAGGAGTAGCCCAGCACCGGGGTTCAGCTAACCATAAATCAATGCACCCGAACGTCGGTTGTCGCCCATACGTGGTCCGTTTAGGATTGTTTTTAGCAAGAAGTATATTATTTCTAGACATGGGGCCCCAGAAAGGAATGCGTCTAATGGATAAAAGAGAATTGAAGCCTGTTTCGAAACACGCCTCCTACAAACAACTACACAATTCGCTGGTATACGATGCATGCGAGACCGTACGTGAACAATTGTTGAATCTATATGAGCTTTGCTACTATTCTCATTTCTTTAAAAGATTGCCAGTCCTCACACCATCTTCATTTCCTGTAGTGACATTCTTTACTCGACAATTCCCATCCTCCGTACGCTCTGTCCTTGAAATTATCACGATGTCTCTTCTCATCCCTGCTCTTCTGTTCACAGCCTTGCCCGGCGCACTTGGCCTCGATGTCCCTACTAACGTCAGGCAATTCTACAACGATGTCAAGGCGAAGGGCAAATGTAACAACAAGCTGTCTTCAGGCTTCTACAATGATGAATTCGGTGGCCCAGGTGTGCTAAAATGCTTGAACGATTAGACGACGCCTTATCTAACCCACTACATACAGACATGTCCTACTGCGGCGATCACATGGCAGACAGTGGCATCATCTACCTCGCGGGCCCCAGCACCGGCACCAAGAATTCGGGCATGTTCTCCAACATGGATGTGGACTGCGATGGCACTCAGGCCCCCATCAACGGCGATACTCGCTGCGGCGACACCCCACAGACCCAGTCACGAACCTCAGCCAGGTTGACAGTCGCCGGTTACAATGCCGGTATTAGCGACCTGAACCCCCACATCCACCCTTACGTTGTTTTTGGAAACAGTGGCGAGAACGGCAAGGGCTTCCCTACATTTGAACCTTCGGAGTATGGTATGGAGATGGCCAGTGTCATGGCTGTTGTCTGCGGTGATAAGATGGTAAAAGCTCTTTATCAACCGTTCCTGTTCAATTGGAGAAACTAATGTGTGCTCTCATCTAGTTCTACGGTGTTTGGGGTGATGAGAATGCCGACAATGGCCCTCGCCCTAGCGTTGGTGAGGTTTCTCTTTCGCTCGCCACGGCTTGCTACGGCCAGAAGATGAGCGGCAGGGATGAAGATGGATCAAGCCACAACGACTACGATGTCCTCTACATTGGCTTCACAGGCAAGGATGCCGTCCCCGGTGCAAAGGGTGCCAACTGGGCTGCTGGCAGCTTTGACGAGTTCCATAGCAGCATCAAGAGCCTCGGCGACAAGCTGGTCAGCAAGATTGGCAGCGGAGGCTCTGGTTCTAACCCTACCGACACGAGCGCTGCCGCACCTTCTGCCACTGCTACCTGCAAGTGGGCTGGTCACTGCCTCGGTGAGTAATTTCTTTTTCCGATAGCGAATTTCTTTGATGACAGGGAGACTGACCTACCGTCTGCGCAAAAGGAGCAACCTGCTCGACTGCCGATGACTGCTCTGATGACCTGACCTGCAGGAACAACAAGTGCGCTGTTCGAAATTAAGAAGGAGACATTTGGAGAAATCTCCTTGTTAGTGCTGCCTCATCGCAGTGGGACATCTCAGATATATCAATCAGGTTCAAAAGCTTAGGTGACAAGACCGTGTATCCATCTTGATACCAGTATGTATTAAACCTTAAACAGAAAGTTGCTTTATATGTACATATAGTTGAATTCCAGATTCATACATAGCTATCTTCGACTGTGCTATAAAAGAAAATGCAGAAGAATCCCGCGGTTGTTTATGAAATAAGAGCCGTACCGAATAGAATACTGAACCTCGACCCTAGAAATAGAAATGAGACGCCGCGCTATCTACTGGGATTAGGATGTCTGGTGCCTATTTTGGTGTATAGTCAGCTACAGCCTCTTTCTTTATAATACAGAAGCAGGCTCGCAAGTAGTCATGGCGGCTAAGGAGCAGTAAACACCTGCAAACTCCGGCGATCAAAGAAAGCTCGAGGCACTCACTCTGCTGATTTCTACTGTGGTGCTTCCAACATATCCGCTATTAGAAATTCCGCCTAAGGAAGCCTCGCATAGATATTTCATAACGCCGCGCTATGCAGGTGAATTTCTACGATGGATTTTAAAATATATGTCAGACACGAGGCCAGGGTCGTGGCTCTAAACATGTTTGTTTACAGTTGTTTGCGTTGACGCGGCTTTTTCTTCCCCGAACTCACATTCATACCGGTACATGGGGCCAAGGACGAGTATGTCACCTCATCCCTTCTTCTTATGCCTCGCTCTTTTTCAATGCAAGGGTGTTTATACTACCACAGCGTGCGTAGAAATGCCTTAGTAAAGGATCCGCAAAATGTTGTTTTGTTCATTGTGTGTATTGTTTTGCTCGCATACCCACTACTTAAAGAGCTTCTTCTCTGCTACAACTCCTCTGCGCCTCGGCAACCTGCTTTTTTTTCTCTCTTCAGCTACCAAACTTCAATCGCCAATTATTACCGCCTCGCTCCGATACCTAGCCGCGCATGCGCAACTGTTGAAGGCCTTTAAGCCCTTACCTAGGTGAGATTTATCGCGCAGATTGGCATGCTAAAGAGAGGCTTTCACTAACGAGAAACCTTCGGAAGAAAGCGCGAGGATTGAGATCCGGCTACGACTCACCTTCTCGCCGTTTTAATCTCGCCGAAATGGAAGCTTATTTCGAACAAACCACACATGACCTCGAAGAGGGCTATCAAGAGGCAGTACCAAACGTGAGTGGTCGAGGTCATATTCCACTTCTTAAGTCCCTGTTTCACATTATTCGAATTCGACCGAGACTAACACGAATAAGTCCGTCCCACGACGAAATTGCCTCCAAGCTGGCCGCGCTTTTGAAAGACGACTCGAAAAGATTTACCCGGGGAAAATGAAGATGCCAAGGGCGCCGCGCAAGGAGAAGCCACCAGAGCGAGAGTTCAAATATGTCCAAGACATGGTGAACCTGCTCGCAACTCCTTTCGAGCGCGTCTTCAAGCTCGACGAAAGTCAAGCTACCTTCATCTCTCCCGCACTTATGCGGGGTGTTCCCGTGGGGAAAATTGAGGAAAAGGGAGAACACTGGCAGAGCAGTTGGTGCTCTATCGATATTTGGAAGGATCATACAAAGGGTCCCCGAAACTCCTTTGTGAAGAGGACAAAGGGCGAGTGCGAGAAGGTCATGGCCAACTTTGGCCCAGAGGCCGATTTTCATCCGAACCAGTTGTTGACCGCCGTCGCCTTGCCGAGTGACGGACTCTGCAACTCGAGACTGCCTGTGGACATCTGTCCATATCTGGAGACTCTGAAACCCTTACATGATGCAGGAGTTCTCAAGATGCGTCCTCTGGACTTTATTCGGTGGAGGGTCATTGACAAATTCAATCAAAGAAAAAAGAATGTTTGGCCAAAACCGGTCAAATCAGCCGTTCGCAATCTTCGGTTTGGCTCTCAAAAGACTCGCGACCACCTCATGAGATATGCAATGAGGTTGGGAAACTTGCATCCTATTGAATGGGAAGAGTTCATGGATGAGTATCGACGCAAGAACTCTACCAGCCAACAAGATGAAGACTAAGTGGACAGCACTCGTGGTTTTCTGAATTAAGCTTCTCATTGGAGAATGTTTTCAAAGCTTGGGGAGCCAAGTCATGGAGTAAAAGTTGATGATTTTCTATTCTTGCATTGGGTGAAGGGGTAATATGCTTTGATGTTGACTCGCCAGGAACAATTCCTTTCAGTAACCCTTCCCTCTGTCACGTGCAGACTTGAGACATAGTTGATTTTTAAAGACCTTCGTTTGCATGAACCTCCCCTCAATTCGGTATTTCTTCCTTTAGACTAGGAATCAAAGAGCCTATTATTAAAAGCAAAGCAACAAATTGGAAGATTCTTTTCATGAAGTCATTTTATGTTTGATGGGCACAGAAAGTTTTTACAACTATCACCCAATACTGATCTAGGATCTTCATGTATCAAACGAATTATAAATTGACTTTCCACATTGCCTTAGATCTTTTTTCGCTTCCATTGATTTGTGTGTTGATGTTCGCCTTTCAAATTCGTTAATGCGTTTTTTCCGTGAATAATCTTCCGAGGCCTTGCATTATTTGAGCTACAGATTCTATGACATACTTCTTCATAAGGTACCTAACCAGTACCATCCTTCTGAAGGCTCATCACTACCTAAGTACGATGGTAATAATTGATTTCGATAAACTTAGATGTCGTAGATTCAAAGACGTCATGCTACCGGGTAGATCGTTTTCGTTGGAGAAAACAGATTCTAGAAACATTGAAGCTGAATCATTCCACATAATTTGTCAGCATCCACCGATTGACGACATGCACAACGTTGACGCGTTCATCCCTCGTACGCTCACAGCCCCTTCGCCGAGATACCCTGAATCTCTGGATGCAAGCTGAACAATAATAACAGAAACTGCGCAATCGATTGGGAGGAAGAGGGTGGGAGAATGACGACGATCAAAAAGCGAGAGCGGGCGGTGCTGGGGACCGTCTCTTTCATGCGCCCTATGGTCACAGACACCAACACTGGGACGAAGGGTTTGAATAAGAAGGAGACGTCTCCCAAATCCAGGCGTGAACAGGTTCTCAAGGCCCAAAGGTATAGCTACGGAAGATGTGTTCTATGAAAATTGGCGGGGACTAAGCTGAGATTAATTGCGCAGAGGTCATCGGCAGCGATCAAAAGATTACATGGATGCTCTCGAGAAGGAAGTGCTCAAGCTCCGAATTGAAGCAGCGCAGTTCCGTAAGGAGGGACAACGCAATGGAGAGGCAGCTAGTCATTGGAAGGATTGCCTTGCTGCTGTTATCGGTCCTCCACGGCCTCAATCCTTGACGACAAGTAACTTGATCATGTTACGGGCTCCCGGCCATTTCATTTGGGCAGTCGAGAAGACGGCGAGGGCTTCGGCTGCATTGCTACCGATACAGGCTGAGTCTGAACTGTCGAATATGGCACAAATGCCAATCCATGCACTCCAAATGGGAATACCGAGGCCGATCGATACATATCGTGGTCTGGAGGTCCGACTGCTACATCATTGTGGGTTGGCTCCATGGGCTCATACTCTAACTGGCTTCGTGAACTAATATTCTTCGCTCAATAGTCTGTCAATTTGTGATGCCATCTCTTGAAATCACCGAGTCGTCAAATTATGGATACGCCCAGCATGTAATCCCGTTGGCCATGAACAATCAAATGGTTCGACATGCCATCCTAGCTGCGTCGGCTGGCCATCTCGAGATAACCCAAGCGAGCAAAGTGCCTCTTGGCGCCCTGGAATACAGGTCGGCGGCTATATCAGGCTTAAGAGAGGCGTCCCACCATTCTCCCTCAGACCCATTGTCTCGCCTTTCCATTTTGGCCACAATCCTCGGGCTGCTGGTAGACGACATGATATCCGGGCACCAAGATTTCCAAACCTTGATCGGTCTGGCCAACTCATGGGATCAACTGAGTCTTCCTCTAGGAAGCACCTCAAGCGAGGTTGACTCTCGCGAATTTCTCCAGGACCAAATTCAAGTGTATGTCTCCTGGAAACGGCCATAGATTGAAGCAGTTTGATGGTACTAATAGCTCTTTTGGTAGAATGAGGACCTTGATCCATCCCATATATCACTTCCAGACGTCCCTTCAAACCGGAGAGGGCTCAGACCCTGGATCCCGGACAAAGAAAATCAGCGAGATCTTCGTGAAAATTGACACAGCGACAACCCTGGCCTGCGAGATCCATTCTCTAGCATCAACACGGATCTTTGAGCAGGGTGTAGACGAAACTACCGCTGAAAATGCCCTTAAGAGATTAGATGATCTTTTGGACGGATTGAGAACCATTGTTAGCAGCATTCCGCCTTTTTCACTTGGCGAGAATGGACTTGTATGGGTGTGTTCGATTGCGGCATCGACCAGCCAAAAAGAGCATCATAAGGCATTCTTCGCCTCTCATTTAGCCCAATTACTACGTCGCACTGGGCATCCGGATATCAAAGGCGTTCTCTCTTCTATGAATGTGCTTTGACAGAAAATATTAGAGATTACGGCACTTGATATGGCTACATTTGCAAATGGTATACAACGGTCAATCAAGCGCATGACAATTGGAATTAGATTGATGTCTTTTTATTATCAACTTGAGGTCCCACGTTCCCCTGTATCAGACCTAGCTGTTGCAATGCGGAAAGTGCAGATTCTTCCCCGATCTCTTCCACAATTTTGCCATCCTTTAGAGTGAACACTGTGGTTCCAGAAAAGCGCATCTCCTTGCCAGAGTTGGCTTGAGGCAATCCTCCAACTGGGAAGTCAAAAAAGGCCTCGCCTGTATGTTTGCCTCCACCGAACCAGCGAGCAACAACATATTCTTCTTCAGCGATGACGGGGAATGGGGAGAGAAGCTTGAATGAGATGTCTGGAAATGCCTGTGACTCTTCGTTAGCATATGACTCAACAAAGGCTTGTTTCGTCGCCCGACCGCCCAAGTCATATAGTTTCATTTGTGAGCGCAGAGAGAAAACCATATAATGGCGTATGCAGGTATCATCAGTGCATCACACGCGAGGGGGGATGGCATACCGTTTTGAAGCTGATCAACATCTGTTTAACGGCCTCTTTCCCCACCATTCTGCCATGCAATGGATAGAAAACGACATAATCATCGGCACAGAGCTCATCAACGATATCTGTGTTTCCCCTGGTCCAGAACTCCTCCCAGTAACGAGTAACAATTTGTCGATTTCGTTCACGTTGGGTGGCGCTCTCGGTGGCTCCCATGATCCAATATTGCGGCCAGATCTTATCACAATCTTAACAAATTTGGTTATCTGAGATGTGCTCTGACTAGGCCAGATAGTGTTTGGTATGATTTTGGATATTTTGTGATGAAGGATGGAGATGTGGTGATTGTTGAGCGGAAACCGTCGTTTGATGTATGTTTCTGGTAACGGGCTAACTTTTTGCCGATCAATACATACATGGACCACTCACTCGACGGTTCGTCGCAGTAGATCCTCCAATGAAGGTTACAATGTGGTATATAGCTTATTCCTCAGCCGTGACTTTATTTTCTCCTTCCCAGGCATCAATAGATATAAATATTTGACACCCATGCGGAGCTAGGTAAACACGTCATAGGGTCAATTGTACCATTATTCTCACCGCACCATCTTCCCAAAACACCACCATTAATACGGGAGATACAGTTTATGCGCGAATCAGAAAGAATTGATGTGAATCTTTATTCAGGCGTAACTGTCGACAAATAGTCATATTATATTATTTTCCCAGCGATAATATCGAGGGTGGTTCCCAAGTCATATGGCAGACCAAAGCAAACCCAAAAGAGTGATGAGGAAGAGTTCCAAAGCAAGTAGACAGTTGGATCTACTTTGATACTTTTTGCTCGAGGTCTACCTTAGCCGAGGTGCCATATTTTCGCCCCCATGCGCTGACCTGCCTGTCCATGTCCCATCTAACAATCACAACAGCAATGGAGATGATACCCGCCATAAAGAAGTCCAAAAGACCCTGTAGGAATCCTCCTCGAGGTGTGTTACCCAGAAGGCTCTGTCTGGCAAGACTGGCCACGATATCAGTTGTAATAAACTCTCTGCCGCTCTCCAGACCCGCGATGCTCTTGGAGGCAACCACATCCGCTGTCTGCTTCAAATCGAGTTCTTCGGCTGATTTTTGGACATCTGGTTTGGTGCTGAGCTCCCCTTCATACCCACCGGTAAGAATTGTCCCTGGGTAGATAGTGTGAAGGCGTACGCGCGGCTCGTTGGGATGAGCAGCGTTATAGAGGTTCATTTCTTGAGAGAGCGCATCGGACAAACCTCGTAACGCGAGCTTGGAGGGACTATATAAGCCATAACCGATAATAGGATATAATGCTGCTAGCGAAGATGTGAAGATTAAGTGTCGGTCTGCTGGGCGGCCTGTCTTTTTCGAAGAAAAATCATCGACTGGACGTAGCCAGCGACTTAAGATCGCGTGGGCCATGTAAGCACTCGAGAAGAAATTATTCTTCATGTGCGAGTCCAGCGAGGAGGCTGGGGCGTCAATGAAGAGCTGCGGCCGGGAGCTTCCGGCGACACACCACACGATGTCAGGCAGAGCGCCATTCCATTCCTCGACTTCGCCGATGACTCGGACGCATTCCGACTCAGAACTCAGGTCAGCGCTGACATGGTGGAAACGCTGTGTCTCGGGCGAGGAAGCCTCTTTCTGGGCAGGTTAGTGAGGTCGCACTATGATAGGGGAATGGGATATCTTACCGCAATAGCCTTGATTGCTGACTTTAGGTTCTCAATGTTGCGCGCGACGATTACGATATTTGCTCCTTTCTGTGCCAATTGCCGACCAGCCTCTAATCCCATGCCTTGGGAACCACCAGTGATGACGACAGTCTGCGATCGCGGATATTAGAACAATCGCTCTTGGTATAAGCTGGGGATTTATGTTACCACGTACCCTGCCCGACACGGGGAACTGATTGGAGAAGATGTTACCCATCTTCAATTAAGTGATCTGATTGATGCTTGACGTGTCTTGGCTTGCAGCGCCGCGACCGTGACTATTCTTAATGGCATCAGCAGTGTGCCAGTGGACCCAAGTTCAGAGCTGGGCTGTAGGGGTTTTAAAATCCCATTCGGCGGGTTCTGAATAGAGTAATATGCGAGTGCAGAAGCCGCATAGCCGGAGCAAAAGGGGGATTGCTGGTGCTTCTGGAGTCTAGACTCCTGGCCATAATAAGGAACAGCCGCTTCCATGGTGCTACAAAAATAAAATGGGACGCTACAGAACCCTTGATATCCCTTCTCACATGCACGAAGAGCGGGCACTGTGCAGTATCCTTGTCAGCGATGAGAGTGATGGACGCACCATCAGCCGACGCGGTCACACCTCAATATGCAGTGAGCAGCCACCAAAGTTCTTATTCGTCACTCCGCCTCTTCCTCGCATGAAGTGTGGCTCTCGAAGGGTCCTTTTGTAAGGTGCTGCCTTATTTGAGCCATGATATGTTCGGCTTTTTGTCATAATTCCCCTCATAGCTCAGCACGCGACAGCGATAGGTATTATTATAAGCGACCCTGTAACCTGTGGGGTTTTTCACATAGAGTTATTTTCTTTTTTAATTCTTAAACCAAATAGGGCCGCATCCTTAAACCGTGATACCTCTCCATGATCATCGGCAGTCTTGGTCCCTACGTGTTGCGCTACCATTGGGCGTGTCTCAGACTGGTTCGACTCGCGGCCAGTATCCGAGCCTATAAGCAGACCGGAATGATCGACCAGTCATCGTCTTATCTCTTTTCATGGCCAGCAGGAACTGATCTCCAAATGCAGCCCATACCTCCTGCTTCTTCTCCATCTTCCCCTCTGTCACCACAAGTGGCCCAAAGATGGACCATGAGGATGTCCTGACCGGTGTCGGGGCTGCCGGCTCAGCCTTATCTCTTATACTGGTCGGCATTCGCTTCTATGCTCGGCATATGAGCCGGTCAGGTATAGGCTGGGATGATTGGCTTATTTTACTGTCATTTTTCTCCCTGATCGCGGCCGATACTCTCATCATCGTTGGTTTGTCTTAGGAGTGATCACAGTCGATATCGTTACGGGCTCACTAACAATGCATCATACAGCAAATTCGGTAAACCCAGAAGGAGCAGATATCGCTTCAAATAAAGATCCGACATACGAGTATACGGAAAAGGACATCGAGTACACGAAGCTGAATTACATTGCGACGATCATATACTACACCATCGTCTCGTCGACGAAACTCTCCATCATCCTGATGTACAACCGCCTCTTCTCCGTTAGCACCGCCTTTCGTTACCAAGTCATTTTCATGTGCTTGTTAACAGGCGCATTCTGGATTGCGACAACGATAACGAATATCTTGAGTTGTATTCCGATGAAGTACACATGGATCAACGCTGACGAGGACCCTCGATACTGTATAAACTACAATCTGTATTGGCTCGGATCTGGTATAGCGGAATCTGTCATCGACTTTCTCATCATCATTATGCCTGTCAGGGTCGTTTACAGATTGCGCATGAGTCGAGGAAGGAAAATCGCCGTCGTTGCCGTGTTTCTTCTAGGGGTTTTGTGAGTCTTAAGCCTGCGTCCGGTCTAACGATAGTGGTGACATGTGTCTAACACAAACAACAGCGTCATCATGTCAGGAGTGGTCAAAGTGATTTTGAGTTACATCCCTGGGAGTCGCAACCCCGACTTCAGCCTGACCGCACTATGGACAACAGTTCATGTCTGCACAGGAATCATCTGCGCGTGCCTTCCGGTCTGCTGGCCGGTATTTGTCCGGATGTCAAGGTTTAGATTCTCGGGCTCCTCTTCACCATCCTGGTCGTTGAAGATATTTTCGAGTGGCAGTGCATGGTCTGAAGGCTCCCGCAATAGAAGGAGCAGCCGGAATCAGAGACGTGCCAGCGACGAAATTCCTGTGAGCGGACGTACCATCACCAACGCTCAATCTGCCGATAGCCTACGCGTAAACGACTTTCAAACGATGGACCCTAGTATGAACGGTCTTGAGCCGAGGTTCACACATAGTAGCCATGGTAACGAGGATGCAGGCTATGAGTTGACGATCATACAGAGCAATATCGGCGCTCCAGATGCACCAACAGGTATGCCGTATCCGTACCATGCGTATAGCAGCCTAGAACAACGAAAGACTTGATACCTTCAACTTTCTTACGCTTTCAATCACATCAGAAAAATTAGCGTGCTTCAGCTGTTCTTCGACACTGCGTGATACCAAGGTTCTTCTGATGTTTCTCTGGCACAAACTACGAAGCATGATCATGCGGAAGTTCAGGACTCAACTGCCAATACTCCTTACCCCCTATGATAGCGTTCTAGCTCAAGAGAAATTTTATGATCGCAGAGAGGGGCACGGCTTGGAGAAATCCCGCGATTCGTCGCTAGGCAAGCCTCATAGATCGCCCAACTTGTACCGTCCTTAGCCATGCCGCTAACAAACGCCGCTGTTACGAATTGCCTCGATCTGTCATAGCTGCTTTAGCCTAGCCCCGGGCCTTTATCTAAAATAATCTGGGGGCCATGGGCGGTGAGAAACAACTCACTGGCGGCAGATCCGATGGAGGCCGCCAAGTACCGCGATGGTGAACTGCCAAATTTTCTCTTCTATACATCCAACGGGCGACAACTAAGACCAAGAACCAAATGGGCGAGAAACAGCGGACGGGTTCTATATCTTCGGAGTCAGATGATCCGCCCCCCTACTACGAGGAGGTTGAGGGCGGCGGCGCCTCTAGCTCTGCTCCGCCGACCGCATTCACTGGGACACATCAGCTCCAGGTCCAAACATTAGGATACGACACAGACCAGGCGCTTAGTGGCTGGGTATTTGAGAATATATCCATCTATACCGTGGACCGTGGGGAAGTGGAGTACATATCTCTTCGGCTGCAGCAAACCTCAAACTCGTGTGCTCTCGTGCGCGGTTCAGACACAAATCGGACCCCTCTGATATCAACCATCTACCGCCGGGGGCCAGGCAGGAATCCTAAAATCAGAATTCTTCCCCGTGGCACTTCCTTATCCGTGGAGGAAGCTATTAGTTCCGACAACGTCCAGTGCGAGGTGGTGGATGTCGTTAGCCGCTCTATTATTTCGCGCACTCAGAAATTCGACACGTCTTTCGGCAACTTCGAGTGGCGGTATGGTAGCACCGCCGAGCTCAGGGCGGAGTATGATGCGAATTCGCTCATTCTGATGGAAAGGGTCGATTTTGTCCGATCGAGAGACGGTAAGGCGGGGAAAAGGGGGGTTCGGATCGCGCAGCTGGTGCGTAATGATGAGTTTCGGACGCAGGGCACAAGCAGACGAGCGGGCGGTAATGGAGGACGACTGATGATGGATCTGAGTATGTGGGCAGACGAGAGAAGAACCAACGTCAAAGTGAAAGACGTGGAGGCATTTGTGGTGGCAAGCTGTTTGTGTATGCTTAAGAGAGAAGCAGATCGGTTTCGAGACGCTCAAAATGCAGCTGTCGTATGAGAATTACGATGTCCAAATCATGAATGACCAATCAAGGACTCTTTTACGTGATTTGACTTTTGCCCAAGTAACGCATTATTATCCTCCATTACGTGGTGATCCTGAAGGGGAGAATGAGGATGGAATCAAATTGCCTATCCAAGACTAGTCTGGTCGAGTGGTAGGGAATCACGGAAGCTTCATCAGATGATTGATCCATATTATAGCCCAATATTAGTGAGCATGCTACATGACAAATCACTAAATGGTTGCTCAGTATGGTCACATTGAAACATGCACGGTATGCAATAAGTGTATGAGGTCTTCCTCGAGTGGCGATGCAAGTTGAGAACGGGCAGTATAAATACTAGTGGTATCACCCCTTATCTGCCATCTTTTAGAAGATACTATATTACCACGGCAGTCCATCGATACCTGATTAACAATATTTTATGACATTTCTCAAAACAGCAGTCAATCTTTCCAGACGACGTTATGGCAGCCGCTCAAGCCTCTCTCGCAAAGGCCTTCAAGGCACTGCATAAACCGGGTAGTCCTATCATTCTCGCCAATGTCTACGACGCTGCTACTGCCCGAGCAGTGGCTGCTCTTCCGTCTTCCAGGGCTATCGCCACCTCTAGCTTTGCTATTGCTGCTGTTGCTGGTAGCAGCGATGATGACCTGACCAGGGAACTCAATTTCAAGTCCGCAGAAACAATCAGCAGCTCGATCAAGGAATTTGGAAAGCCTCTTTCCGTTGACTTCCAAGACGGCTATGGAGAGCAACTTGAGGATGCGCTCACAGAGCTCATCAAAACTGGTGCAGTCGGCATAAATCTAGAGGACTACAACAGGGAGGAGGACAGGTTCTACACTCCAGATGAAGCCGCAGCACGAGTTCAGAGGGCTGTCAAGACAGCTCATGCTCTCGGCATCCCGGACTTCGTTGTGAATGCAAGAAGCGATGTCCTTGTTCATGGCGGCGAGCTCTCGGAAGTGATCTCACGTGGCAAGAAATACCTGGCGGCGGGCGCCACCACTGTTTTCGTCTGGGGAGCCAGCAGAGGGGTGAGCCGAGAGGAAGTGAAGGAGCTGGTCGAGGCATTCGATGGACGTTTGAATGTATTGATGAAGCCTTCGAATGGGCTGGCAGCCAAAGAACTCTCGGATCTAGGAGTAGCAAGGATCAGTATCGGGATTTCTTTGTATCTTGCCGCCCTGGCAAAGTTCAAGGAAGAAGCCGAAAAGGTGTTGCAGGTGTAGTCGTCTGGCAGAGTCACTTCATCGCTTAGGTGTAGCTGGATGAAACACGTTTGATCTAGTCATCGCTTTGAATAAAGTCTTACATATTCGCTTCTTGTGAGGTAAATATTTTTTTCTCCTCGCTGGATTCTAAAGCTTCAGGGTGTCTAGACAGCTAACTGCGTGTCCAGACGTTGAAACTCAAGCATTTCGGGTTATTGTCGATGGACGTCGAGGCAGATGAGGGTGTCAGTAGCGCCAGGCCATTGCCAGTTCGGCCTGGTGACCAGAATTAAGCTCAACCCGCTACGTGGAGCAAGAATTAAATATCTGTCGATGTCTGGCGAAGTATAGGTAAACAAAGACGCATATGCCTAGCACGGCACAAGCTCACTCAACCCGATCCAAGAAGACCAGTATCCCCTGAGTCAGCTTTTGAGGAGTTGACAAAGACAATTGAGTCTCTAGGTCTCCGCGCCCAAGAAATCAATTTAAAAGAAGACTTCACGTTGGCTGATCAAGCTCATGGCGGCCCAAACCTTTGTTGTGTTTCTTCACAGCTCAATCTTAGAGAGTTATCTGCGTAATTCTTGTGTCCAAGACTCACGTAAGATCATGGCAGCCAGAATGAAAAATTAGCATCTAAATCCATTACCGACAAGATACCCTATTTTAGTAAGCGATAATGTAGGTAGGCAAATTTTCAGGTATTTCAAAACGTGTAATACTATTCCGTTTGCTGAAAAGTAAGGGGTGCAGGGTAGGTGGGAAGTACTTGGGCGAAAGCCATTCCATTGACTCGGCTCGGCTTATTGATGGGCACCTCGTTGGCCAGCGAAGGCTGAGCTGCTTATTAAAGACAAAGGCCGGCACTGATGATCTTCAATGATGTGCGCCGCGCGGCTGGAATGAGCGGTGTTGATATTACCCGAAGAATCGACCCCAGATCACTTGATGATCCTGGCCCAACGATTGACCAACAGCTTCAAGGAGCAGTTTTGTGAGGGGAAATTGTGGGCCAGATTTCTTGCCCTCAACGAGGTTTTTGATCCATCGTGCCCTTCAAGGTCGGTCCGATAGCAGGATTCGTGCGCATATTGGAAAAGAGGAGAAGATGAGGGGAGGGAGAGTCATGGCCGGACTCAGATAGCTATCCGTATGCGGTACGTGGTTTGACGGACATGTCTACATAAGAGAGAGGAGGAGGCAGGCGGTTTCATGTCCGTAGTCAGCTGTGACCCTACCGCGGCTCTCCAAATCTACCTACAATGAGGTTGCTCGCCTCCCTCCCGAGCGCACTGCTGCTCTCATCAATAGCACCACACTTCTGCGCCGCCATGCCGACCACAGACGCAAAGTCAGCCCAAGAGAGTGTGTCTTCGAGGGGACAAGACACTCCTCAATTCTACAATGCCGCCAATCACCCCGGGGCAGATCCTTTTGTGCTATACGACTCCAGCAGCGGCCGGTACTACGCTTATTCCACCGAGGGCGCAGACCAAGGCCACCATTTCGCCATCTACAGCAGCCCAGATCTGTCCACCTGGCACAAGCACCCTGGAGGGGCATTGAAGGGCTGTGGGAGCGGCCAGGGCGAGGACGGCCAGGGCTGCTGGGCGCGGGACTGGTTCTGGGCGCCTGAGACGTACCACAACGAGGAGACGGGATGGTATTTCTTCTTCTTCGCTGCACGCCTGCGCACCGACATCACCAAGGACCATTTCCGCTACTCGGCGTTTGAGGAGCCCTCCAAGCTCGGAGTCGCTGTCTCTCGCTCTCCCACCGGACCGTTCAAGGAGATCAAGCCGGAGCCGATCGATTACTACCCGTATGACCCTGACTACTACGATGTCAACCTCATCATGGATGAGAAGCAGATGCTGCCGCCCAAGACTCTGGAGGAGGGCCGGACGGCGCCCAAGGGCACGTACATTCCGACCATCGATCCAAATGTCTTTTTCGACAACGACGGGCGCATTTACCTATACACGTCGCGCAACGCATACAGGAACTGGAATTGGGACAAGGACTTGGGCAAGTACATCGAGGAATCCAACATCATCGCCGTAGAGCTGGAGCGCGACTGGTGGGACGACCCGACAGCCACGACGATGCCCAGGATTGTGGCATCGCAGGTTGATCTCCATGGCAACGCGCCCGGCCCCCCGGACGACATCGTGTCCTACAACGGCACCGGCGAGATTGGCCAGCCGCCTCGAAAGGACGGCTGGACGACAGTTCTCTCCTACGGGGCTGATCCTCAGGAGTGGGAGAACTACCATGTGGATGACTACAGCCAGACCAACGGGGCCAAGAAGGATCGTCGCTGGTCCGAGGGCAGCACCCTGCTGACGCGTCCCGATGCGAAGACAGGCAAGCCCGTGTATCTGCTCACTTTCAGCGCAAACAACTTCGAGGCATCCAATTACGGCGTGGGCTTTGCGACGGCGGAATCGCCACTCGGGCCCTTCAAGAAATCTGCCAACAACCCGGTCCTCTCCCAAGCCCCAGACGGCGGGCATCCCATTTACTCGACTGGACACGGATGTGTTGTCGCGTCGCCCCCTCGTGGAAATCGGAGGGTGGGCGCACAAGATGTGACGCGAGCGACGCTCGATGGGACGGAATTGTTCTACATACACCACGCGCGGAACGACACTGCGAACAGCCGGTCAATATATAGCACGCGGATGGCTCTGGATGCTACAGCTGTTTCGTACGGATCAGAAAATGCAATTAGCATGCATCTGACTCCCCTTGATCAGCCTCTTCCCAAGGAGACATATCCCATCCAGCTGGAGGCCAAGCGCGTCGGGCGAAGTCTACGAGTGCGTGTATTTTCAAAGACGGGAGCGCCTTTTGATATTACTGAAGGCTCCAATAGGGTCATTGGGCTGCCTGGGGATGTAGTAGCGACATCAATAAGGGAGAGGGATGGGCATGATGGTGATTATCTGGTTGAGATTGGTGACGCGTCTGTCAAGGAATTGGCATACCAGCGTCTGAGCGTGGATGGAAGCTGGACCACGGTCGCCCAAAAGAAAATAGCACGAATATACCTGTAGAATAGAATAAATCGATTGACCATACGTCTTACTCAGTACAGAACGTGATGAATGATTATGGTGGATCAATATAAGCGAAGTGTTCTGTGATTTGTTGTGGCGGATCGCGGCACAACTGAAATGTACAGTGGCGTCATTTTAAACTGATGACGTCGATGCCCAGCGATTGAATTAATTATGACCTGCTCATTGTCAACATCACGAACAATGCAAAAGCCTCACGCCTGTCCTATCTTCAGGAAACAATTAATAACACCTAATATCTTCTGCTATTTATCGATTGCGAATATTCCTCTGCCCTGCACATAGACCTATGAAGCGCCTGCAAAATGACTGAAGGCAATCACCACTCAACCGCCGCCATGGCCAAGACCATTACCGTGACGCGGCGCGTCGACAAAACCCTCAAGATGCGGCTCCTCCAGCTCCTCATAAAACCCTTCCGTCCCCGTCTAGCGACTGCGAGAAAGAAATCATATCCTGGCTCAGCCCGATTGACTGCTCCGCGGGCGGTCCGGAAGCGATGTAACGTCACCGAGCGACGGGTGAACGACATCTGGATCTATGACCTCACACCGCGATCGGCAAAATCAACCGACGGCAGTCCCTCGCCCTCCAGTCGGAGGATATACTACTTCGCAGGAGGCGGATGGCAGCAACCTCCCAGCGGTGGCCATTGGAAAGTCCTCGCAGAACTGACCAACCGGTTGTCCGACACCACCATCAGCGTTGTCTCCTACCCTCTGGCACCGAAATGTCCCGCCTCCATCACTATGCCGTTATTGAGGACCCTCTACGACAGTCTCATGAAAGAATCTGAGGGCCAGGGTGAGCATGTAGTATTCATGGGGGACAGCTCTGGAGGCAACATCATCCTCTGTCTGGTCACCTGGGCATTACAAAGCCCTGAAGCAAGGGCGCCGTCTGCCTTGATGTGCATATGTCCAACGACTGATCTCCGGCATCTAGATGAGAGGATTGTCGATGTAGCCAAGAAGGATCCCATATTTACTTCCCAGTCTATTGAAGGCACAGCGAACGCGTGGGTAGGCAATGACAAAGACAGCAAGGAATGGGGTCTGAGTGATGCACGAGTGTCACCAGCCCTGGCCAATTTCGAGGAGTTGAAACGCAGGCATGTCAAAATCAACGGCGTAATTGGAACCTGGGATGTTCTCTCTGTCGAAGCTATCACGTTCCGCGATCGATGTTCCGAGCAGGGCATCGAAGGGGAGTGGTTGGAGTGGGAGGGCCAGATGCACTGCTTCCCTCTTGTATTTCCATACGGTTTCAAGGAGAGCACCGAATCAGTGGACTGGATCGTTCGCACCTTGAGTCAATAGCCATGATCAACACTCTACACCATCGACAAAACGACATCAATATCATATACCCACAAGGCGGCCTGTTCAGCGATGATATTGGCAGAGATTGGTTGAAACTGCCAACTACAATTGAATTTGTTTCTTCTACCTACATGACATAATTATCCTACTTTCTACCTAAAAGCTCAACAATTTCATTCTTCTGAAAAGCACTCGCAACATCCAGCGAGCTTCTCCCTCGAGCATCTTCCCTCAACGGATCAAGACCCTTCTGCACCAATGCCTCAAAGACCAGCTTATCATGAGCATTATCTGCACTCAAACTTCTGCTGACTACATGAAGCATCGACTCCCCATCATGGTTGACGGCAAACATATCTGCCCCGCTGTCGGCGGGGAAGAACTGCTCGTAAAACACGTTATGGCAGCACTCAACATCTTCCTCTTCCTTGTACCGGCCGCAATGTCTCGTCCGTGAAAGCATGAACAAGTGCATCGGAGTATTGCCAGAGCTATCCATACAGTTGATGGAACCGCCCTCGGCCAGGAACCTCTTCCACAATGCCAGGCACTTACCAAGGTACTCCTGGGGTAGATCTATAGTAAGATGACCGGCTGCCGAACGAGATGTCATGTGCCAATGGTTGGCAATGTAATGTAGGGCCGTGAGGCCGTTTGGGTCAGCCTCTAGTAGATCGGCGCCCAGAGACAACAGGAGCTCACAGATGTCGGGACGTAGAATCCGGAGCGCGTAATGGAACGGGCTGAACCCTGCTTTATCCTTCTGCAGAAGTGTAGGAGCTACCTCCTTACGCTGTATAAACTCGACAAGCACATCATCTGGCATCCCCGCATTGTCAAGTAGGTGGTGAAGAGCAGTCTTTCCCTCGTCATCTACCAACGTCGCGTCCGCCTTGAGGTCCAGGATTCGAAGCGGAAGACCTGTCACTTTGGTAACCCAGTGTTTGTAACCATACCCCGGTAGCTCCTGCTTCCATGCACAAGATGCCATCAAAACAGTCCGGCCACGCTGATCCGGCCGGTCGAAATCGATCCGGGCTACACATGGCTCTTGGAGGAGTATATCTGAGACTTCATACTCGGGGAACTCGAACAAAAAGTGGACGAGAGTCTCTCGCTCGTTAAGAGGAAGATAGAGATTAGCCCCTCGTCTTACTAGGGATCGGAGTAATGGAACAGATTCAGGAACGTAGCTGTTCAACTCCTCCGCGAACGCTGCGGCTAAGAGAGCGTACACTGCCCTGGGCTCAGAGAGAGAATGGTGTATGTCTTGACTCTGACGACTGGTGTCGAGAGTATCAACGCTGAGACCATGATCCAGGAGTGTGTCGAACGCGGCCAGGTTCTGATCGTGGATAGCCTGGAACAAGGGGCTTCTCGTGCCCAGCGTGGCATCAGCTCCCCTTTGGAGCAGCTCCGCCATGACATCGGGTGCAGAACACGCTTGGTGGAGGGCAGTTTCACCCTCCTTATCAAGAATATCAGGGTTGGCTCCGTGATCGAGGAGGATGCGCACAGCATCCAATTTCCAAAAGCCCGACATATGTCGATCAGCCCACTGCACCCCGCGTGCGGCAATGTGAAGGGGGGTCTGGCCCTTCTCGTCGACCGCATTGGCATCGGCACCGTTGGCAAGGAGGCACCTCATCGCCTCCAACTTCCACCACTCATTCGCCGAGGCAAGCATGTGGAGAGCGGTGCCGCCGGGTGATATCTTGGCATTGCTCCTGTAGCGGTCCTCAAGAATAGCCTTTGGCGCATTGATATCAACATGCAGCTTCTCCACGAGATATCTCACGGTTAGCATGTTAGGCTTCGACTGGTCGCATGCCATTTGAAGGGGGGTCAACTCGACCGTGGAGTATTTGTATTTGTGTTCAGACTCTTTCCTACCCTTCTCAAAGGTATCTCTGACAGTATCATACGAGCTATAGTGAACCACCAATCGAGAGACTGTTTCCAAAACCCGAAGGTCCCCGAGGTGAATGAGGTCCTTGAGGGTATCGTAATTCGATGTGGCAGTAATATCTGCATCAACGGCCTCATTGATAATATGGGCAATATCATCACGTGAAAGCAGGCCCAAGTATAACTCCGGGTGCTGCGATACCTCGGACATGAACGGTGTATTTCCGCCCAAACAAGATCTTGGCTGCATCAGGGCCATCTGGGCTCTCATGCGTTGTCGAATCTCCACCACAGTTTTAGAATATGCCGAGTCGCCTTCAAGGCGCTTGGTCGCTCTCATGAACAAATCCTCATCCAAGAAAAAAGGCTCCACGAATTCCCAACAGCCCGAGTCCAGAGCTTCATCCAGGGCCGTGCAGTCACCCCGGAGCGCAGCAACATCCGCGCCAGCATCCAGAAGCATCTGCGTAATGCTTGTAACGTCCGGGAAGTAAGTTCGTCGTATTCTCTCCGTCGGTGGGCCTCCATAACGAACGTTATACCAGACCCTACGACCAGCAGGTTTCTTTTGAGAGGCTTCAGGACGGAATCGGTCCTCGCGAGTAGCCAACAAAGACTTGTACCGTCGACCTCCCGAGTCCCAGAGGGCTTGCTCCTCCAATTAGCACAGGCATGTAAAGGCCTCCGGCCGTCCGAGTCACGGGCATGTACATTGGCGCCATGCTGGAGGAGGAATGCTACGGACTCGGCTTCTCCTGAGCTGCAAGCGTAGTGCAACGGCGTTCTGCCGAGACTATCCTCCTGCTCAAGGCCGTCAGTGCCAAACTGGTCGAGGATTTGGCCGACAATGCCGGGCATCCGCGCACAGCTTGCAAGATGGAGGATGTTTTGCCCGCCCTGCGTCAGGAACGTTGGGTCTGCACCGCAGCTCACGAGCTTGGCTAATTCGATTTCTGTCTCCGTAGCCGCGATATGGATCGGGGCAAAACCGTCCTTGTCCCTGACTTCAAAGTTCACCTTGTTTTCGAAACTTATGGCATCGATGAAGTGGAATCGGTTCTTCTCACGGACTGTTCCTCCACGGGAACACCGCGTCAAGTAATGGTGAAGAATACTACAGCCAGATGTGTCGACCGCGTTGACGCATATTCCAAGACCAATCAGCCACCTTACATAGGTAGCCCATTCCTCTGTAGTGTTGTAGTGTGGTATGACATGATGCAGCAGCGTGTACCCGTCCTTGTTTGTGCTCAGAGGATCGACCCCGTCCGCGATCCTCCTCTCCATCTGCTCACGCTGGATGCTGCCGCTTTTAGCCAGAATGTGCAAAGCATTGTTGCCATAGCTGTCAACCACGTCAGTTCTGGCCCCGTGTTCTCGGACGGCCTGCAATCTCTCTTCGTTGCTTAGACATAGAAGATAGAGGGTCCGTCCGTCGTTTGACTTAATGTTAATGTCAATGCCATCCTCCAGTAGCAGCTTCATCAACTCGGTAAACCGTTCAGTTGTGTACACAGAAGGCAGATGGAACCAGCATCGCCTTTTGTTGAAGTCATTACTGCATTTCGATAGCAGCAACGTGAAAACTTCCGGTTGGTCACATGTCATTGCTTCTTTGAGTGCACTATTTCCATGTTCATCCGACATATTAGGGTCCGCTCCTTGATCTAGCAGATACTTGACGATGGCCAGGGTATGTTCAACCCCGGTTACCATGCCTGGCTGGTAAACAGAGCACTGGAGGATTGATTTCCCCCTCGTATCCGTCGCGTTTGGGTCAACACCGTGCTCGATCAGCAGCCGCACGAGGCTGGGATCTCGGGTCCGGTCCAAAACAAGATGTAGAAGTGAGGCCCCGCGTGATTCCTTGGATTCCTTGGTGATATCCGCTCCTACTTCCAACAAGGCCTTGAGAGCGGAATTGCGAACGGGAGACTGGTAATTAGTTTCGCTACTTCCCGCAGCGATGAGCAACGGCGTGTTTCCGGCACCGCTCACTTGCTCCAGGTCAGCCCCGGCGTTCAGAAGTAACCTCAGAATAGCCCGGCAGTCCTTGTCGTTCTGCTCCGTCCAGGACGTAGCCAGGCAGTGCAATGGTGCTGTTTCCTTTTCCTGGGCACAGGTACCTCCGAGCCTCCATCTCCTTGGCTTGAATGTAGACATCATGGACACATCCGCGCCACGTTTAATCAGCGCCTCGACGCACTTGACGCTCATCGCGCGGCACGCGAAATACAAGGCGGTTCCCTTTCTGTGGACAGCGTTGACCGAGACGTCTGTCGTTTCCAGAATAGCCAGCACGGCATCTGTGAGGCCGTACTGACACGAATCGCATAGAAGCCGTTCCAAAACCTTCCCCTTGCAGAAAGGAATCATGGCAATGATGGTCTCGACGTGGCCACCTTTGGTCGCCATGAAAATGGCACACTCCCCTCGTGTGATCCTCTCACCACCCCCCATGGGTCCAGGGTGGTTCTCCTTGGTCTTGATTGTATCAGGTTCGACGCCTGACTCAAGCAGAACCGTCACTACTACAGCGTGGTTCCTCCGCGCGGCAAGGTGGATTGGTTTCAAACCGTATGCGTCTTCGGCGTTGGGGTCGCAGCCTTTCTCGATGAGCAGTGAGACGACCTCTTCGTGGCCGTTGACAGCTGCCCAGTGCAAAGGGGTACGATCGTGCGCATCCAGACTTGACACTGATGCGCCGTCCTCGATGATCTTCAGAGAGAACTTGGACAGGCCAGAGTATGCTGCGAGGTGGAGCGCTGTCGGCAAACCATCTGGACTGTCTTGGCTCCTCGAGGTGGCTCCCCATTGGAGCTTGAGCCATCTCCTGAAAGCCACACTCTCGGGCCTAAGAAAGTCCAAAACCGCGGCGAAGAACTCCTCGTCATCCGCATCGTATCTGCTAGCATGACCGTTCCAGTTCGTGACAGCGTATTGGAGGAACGGGTGCAGGAGCCGCGCTTCTTGGTACTTGAACGGATCTCCATCCCTTATTATGTCAAAGGAAAATCGAGCTATGTCGCGCTCACCCGGGCCATATGGGAATGCCGGCTTTCGGTAGGTGATGGACACGTCGGACTCGCCTTCGTTCTCAAGCGAGCCTGACTGGAGATATCGAAGACAGTTCATGGCCATTGTCTTATGGGCAGTGAGGGAATCGATGATCGGGAACCGTGTAGACAGGTCACCTACGGAAGCATTTCGAGTATCACCACGCAAAAATTCGGTGAAAGAATGGTGGACAACCTGCAGAGTCTCGTCTTCCAAGATCTCTACCAGCGGTCCGCAGCTCTTAGCGATGAGAGCTTTATATCCTTTTGGCGGTGCGCACTCTGGAGTGATGCATTCAATGAGGCTGGCGAGCTCATTCAGGCGAAGCGGGCGAGATGCATGAGTCACTGCCTGTAGAACAAGAACCTGCGTATCGGTACTGACGCCATGCTCTTCCCGCTGCTTGCGTAACATCTTGTCATATGTATCTTCCAGCCCAGCTGGAAGAGTCTTTTCGAGTTCTTCTACGCCGATGGCGTGTGACGAAGTTAATGCAGCCTCCACCTGATCCATGGCAAGCTTGGCGTACAGGAATAAGCCTTCAGAACGTGAGGCGACCATGTCGATGATCTTGGCCCTCTCGAGGTGCTGTCCGCCGAGCACACCATCAAATCTATGATTTAGATATAGAAGAATGTCGCGATCAACAAGTTTCTTCTGGAGGCTGACGTGAACAATTGAAGAGTCTCGCAGCGCGCTCTGTAGATACTGCTTCGGCCTGCTGGTCATAAGCAGCTTCAGAGATCGAGGCCGGTATGTGGCAAGCCTGTTCAGATTCTCAAGAAATGCCCTATTGTCGGCCGTCATCTCATCAAGCGCATCTACAACGCAGTACAGCCTTGGGACACATGATATCCCATCAGTGAAGAGCTCCATAAGGTTGCTGTCTGATATGTCTTCCAGGCTGGTATCAACCTTAGCCCGAAGGGCCACCTGGAGTCGGGGGGAGTAAGGTAGAAGCTGTGCTAGCCAGTCCTGCAATAGACCTCGCGGGGAGAAGTTGGCTGCGACGATGTTCCGGAAGAAGAAGAAAAGAACGGGGCAGTCTTCGGTTGTTTTCAAGTGTTGGATGATGGATGACGCCGTGACTGACTTGCCCGCGCCTGGCACGCCATTGATCCATAGACTACCATGGTCTGGAGAATCGTGCCATTTACAGTACGCATCTGTCTCGCAAATCCAGAGCCCTGTGCCAGGAGCCTGCGATAACAGGTGGCGCCGGAACTCACCTGAATCCGCAAGATAGTCTGTGGGCTGGAGCCAGCCGCGGACCTTTGCCACGTCTTCGGGGCTTACTGCCACCTCCTCATAGTTGATAAACTCATATTCGTCTGCAGTGTTCACAGATCCAGGCATTGCGGATACAGAATGAGGCCGATGTTATGGTGTAATGGGTTAAATATTGGCTGTAATCTGCCCCCAAAGGTTGTGAATCAAACACACTGCAGAGGGAGATGTTTAAAGGAAGAGCAGCTGTCGGTCAAGAAAGCGTCAGCTTGACCTCTTAGATGTTGATACAGGGGTCTTGGTGAGAGGTTCCGTCAGCAAGAGTACTTGTCAGAATACTGGCACTTGACTGGGCATGTTCACAATCTGTGGGGCATTGCTGCCTAGATACATACCTAGGTACCTACACAGGTACATAGGCTTGGCACGCATTATGATCAGGTCAGGTACCACTCTACTGCCTACGGACAACAACCAATGGAGACTCGATATGCGTCACAGGATCTGATAGTTTTATCCTAGAGCTAAGTACCTTTACTCCAAGTACAAAAAGTAACCCTTGGCTCAAGTGGTGCCGTCTCAGATGACATCATCCTCCCGTATATCTGTCTGTCCTAACCGTCAATCTTTTCTAGCATCCTCTTGGGACAATTTCTTCAGAAAATCTCTTCCATTGCAAACTGACTAGCTCCGGCCGTCTTTCAAGCTCTTCCAAGCCCCTTGTGTAATATTAGTCTTACCAATAGTGCTGGACCAATCGGAAGGGTAGTAGTAAGTGAGAGAGCTATGCAGCTGCTGAAAAAAAAAAGGGGAAATTCCCAAACACCAAGAATTTAACAACTTGACACCATACCCAGTATCACAACACATTAAACTTCAGCCTTTTTGCCCGGCCGTATACGAGGTTTAGTACCAACAATAGCTCTGCCGAGCCGTATATAAGGTTTAAATTCAAAGGCTATACCCGGTGATGACTCTTTCGTCGGCATGACTCCTTTTATGAACCTTAAGATGCTGCTTTTCATCTATTTAAAGACCGCCATCTCTGGCCTGGTCCTGAATGAACCGCACAGCTCAAGTCCATATCGGCAATCTGCCTATTTCGCAAATCGCTGCTTTCGTCGCTCCAAGACAAGCCAAGTACCACACATCGCCACCTTCGTCGTCAGTCAAATCAGTCGACTCCCACTCATCGCTACCTTCGCCGTCGGTCGGATCAATCGATCGCACATCGCTACCTTCATCGCTCCAACTCAAGTCCTCGCCAAAGATCAAACAACCCACCGAGCCTGCGTCTCGCCCGATCTGTCCGACCACACATACTCTGAACCTTGATATCAGTCTACGCGTACAATCGGAAGGGTATGCTCTCTTTAGACTCCATAGTAAGCCCCAACAACACAATTCTGAATACCGCATTAGAACTTGTTCCATTGCGATCCAACTGCCAGCCAGCTTGAATTTAAAAGTCTAGTGCAGCCTAGACATGCCCAGAAATAGAGCATGATCGGCGACATGGAATCATAATAAAGCAGCGACATGCTGTGAAGACAAAGTTGTCCCATGCCTCGGCGCTCCCGATTGCTGTTGCACGGTCATCTTTGGGGTTATATAGACGGTTTGGGTCAATCTCATTACCACTCATGCCCAAAAACTGTCTAGGGCGAGGTAAGCAAGACACCATGAAACCAGACATGCGGGAACCATTGGAATGTTTCGGGTAGAAACCCTAGCCCGTTCCCACATGTTTGCATCAGGGATGGCCATATGAAGTAGAAAAATGACACTGGACCGCACAATGTAGACGATTGGACTAGTGATAGCAGCTGGAGGAGTTTCGTATCTTCCATCCACTCCGCCCTTTCGTCAACACTAAAGGACAAGAGTTGAACTCGAAGGGCATAGTGGGGACTGGCGTGACTTCATAAAATGAAGTCTTAATATCAAGTCATTTTTAAAACTAGCCAGAATAACATTGTTGGGCAAGAAACCAAGGCGTAGGACGCTCGGGCGGGGTCCCTGCACGCGAAAGCACCTACGTACTCTTCACACCAACTACGTCCCATAGGGATAGCCCATGGAAAACAAGACCCTGTTTCTTTGAATATTTGTCTCGCCGGGAATGTCTTGTTGGACACCACAATGAAGAATCAGCAGAGAACAAAACGCCATCCACCCCCTTACAGCAAACACAGACTCCCCTTATATGCAGGGTGCCTCAACAATGCCTCGCGGTGGAGTGCCTTATTGAAAGATAGGTCTCAACTAATTACTTAGTGGGCCTTAGTTACATCAATTCTCATACATTGTAGCAGCTCAAATCTGGAAGCGAGCCACTCGACACTCGTCTCTCCCATGACGCAGGAATTTGCATGTCTCGACAATAGAAGAAAAGACACTACACTAAGTGGCTTCTTTACTTTGAAAGAAGTTAGAATTGTTCCAGATTGTCTAATGAGATGGGGAGCAAACCGCAATGCTGCTGGTCCACCCAGCTTCATAGGGTTCGGTAGGCATAGCATTGTAGCCGCAGCTAACAACCTCTAACTGAGCTAACAATAGGTAAGACAACAGTCTTTGTCTGGTAGGAGGATTCCATTGGCAATGGCTTGAGACGAGTGAATTATATATGTTGCTGCTACAACCTATTGTGTTCTCACTATCGATACTACCTATTTCATTCTATCTCAGGACGGAAATGAACTCAACCTTATCCTCTTACCAATTAACTTCATTATTCCTACCTAGACGTGCCAAAATCGAATAGAGAGAAGAGAAATGTCACTACCAGAAGGCCTTGGGGATGGTGCCACTGACAATAATGTTCGATGCCTCATCTACGAACACCTCCTCATGGATGGTCGTGGGGTACAACTGAATGGCCCCATCAACGGGCCGGTGAGTTTTCGTGTGTACTTTCTTCGTATGGGACATGACATATCGGACGCTCACTCTATTCACAGACTTCAATATGCTCCCAGATGACACCTACGAATTGAAACGGAAGCGAGAAGAAGAAACGAAATATGAGCTCTTTCATGGGCCAGGCTGTTACAATCCAGCTGAGGCAGAGTGCTTAATTCCAGACCCGGTTGAAAGTGCAAGCGGATGGATACTGAAACATCCGAAATATTCAAAGTGGCGTTCGGGAAAGCATCCATGGCGTCGATTCCTTTGGATCAGCGGAATGGCGGGAACTGGAAAGTCTGACATTGCCAAGTCCATCATCCGAGATCTGTCATTCTCTGATCCTCAACACCACCATTGTCGCAAGCCTCAAAACACGACACTTGTGCTGAGCTACTTCTTTCAGCCAGGCCACACTTCGAGTAATCTAGCCCAAGCACTTTTGTCGCAGCTCGTTCAAGCCCAACCAAGTTTGGTATGCCACATTGAGCCCGAGTTCACCTTCTGCAAAGATTTAGGTGGTCTCTTCAATAGTAGGAATGAGGCACGTCTCTGGAAGATACTCAGCTCCTCCTTGACATATTTAGCTCATGATGATGTTTGCTTTGTCATTAATGCCTTGCACGAATATGCTGGCGACGTTCCCGAGCTCTACGGCAGGATAAAAGCGCTGGCCTCCTCCAATGGTCGTCACAATTTCAAAGTTGTCTTAACTAGCCGGCCCTTGACTGTATGGGACCGGATCCAAAGCAGTTGCGATATAATTTACCTCGGTTCCCCTAATGAGCTGCGTGCCATCAATTTAGACATTGAGGATTATGTCCCAATTGTCTCGGTGGGTTCGACAACCAGGTCGCAGACTCCAGTAATACCAATCGGCAAATCCTAAAGTCACTCCTTGGGAAATTTCAAGGCCTAGTTTTATTGGCCAATTTAGTGAGTGAAATACCCTTTATCAGATCTCGATGTGCCCTAACGGCTCTCGAACAGCTCTGGGAGGGAATCAGGCATTTTGGAAACAAACATTTACTGGATGTTATGCAGCATTGGTGAGGTCAAGGTAGTATTATAAGTGTCACTGGTCATGTTCAGTTAACGAACTACTTCATTTGCCAACACAGCTAGCAGCTCCAAATTATCGGCATTCATTGTCACATTCCATTTTGTTTATATAACCTCCTGCAAGAATACAAGAAAGGATTTACTCACTTTATAAATGGCGGCCATTACCTAAGTCAGGATGAATGTTGGTAAGGCTAGTTTTCTGCCCAGCCAGTCGATGAATTAATTTCAAATGATTAATCAATTCGGGACAGCTTCTCGGTCAATATTCCTAAATAGGCGGCAAAGCTGCGCTCGTATGCCAATGGCCATGCACAAATGCGGCGAGATGGTCTGCCTTACCTTTGGCCAAAGCCGGGATTCTTTTACCGAGTACCACAACTGGAGTCTAGGATAAACGTATTGGAAGCGTAGCAGGCAGGAGTCGCGTAATAAGCGACGAAGGGCCGGGGAGGAATAAAAAAATGCCAGCCATAGCAAACCAATCCTACCCGCTCCAGCGAAACGAGCCATTCACGCTGGTCACGGCTCGTCCAAATTGTTCCACTGCAAAACACCGAGCCTGGAGACCGGCCGTGCGTACAGCGTGAATCTTGGCATCCATCCATCTCTTTCTATATTTGCTCGAAATTATTGCTGACGCACAGGGATCGAGTGTTCACCCCTGCAAGGTTGCCTAGCGAGCAGCCCATCTCCGCTTGGCTCCTCCCACGACCCGGACATAAAACGCTGACGGCCAGTCCCCATTCCCTTTTTAATTATTCTGCTTACCTCGAAGTTTTTGACGTGAGAGGCCTCACTGAACCGACACGATGGGCCGACCTACCCCCGCCACTGGCAGTTATCGCGACGATCCCGATGCCGTGTCCTTGCGTACGGAGCCTGGCGATGCCTATGTGGACGATGTCCCTGAGATTGCCTCGGCTCCACCGGCCTACGTCGAGGCCACTGGCGAGGGTGACGCGCTGATCGACGGGTTTGATGACGGCGCGGGACCGGGAGGTCTCATCCTCAAGAATGGCACCACCCCGGCCGAGAGCCACCAAGAGGGCACCTCGTCTCACATCTTTGCCAAGCGCACGCGCATCACCAACGAGGTTAATTCCCTACAGGACGATCGCTCTGATGGCGACCCGGAGTTCCTGGAGAGGTGGGTCAGGCACATGGCCAGCAAAGCGCCGTCGCCGTACATCCACATCACAGGCAATCACCGCGAGACAAAGCGCGATATGAATGGCAAGAGCAAGACCGAGACGGTGGAGGACTTCCGCATCCTCGTCAGCTTGCAGAACTACCTCTGGCCCAACTTCAACCCTCGCGGAGAACAGGTGATGAATTTTGACACGGTGGACAACGGCGAGAGTACCTTTCGCGGCACCGTCTTCAAGAAGCGAGCTCCCGGGTCAAAGGGCAATATTGAGGTCGGAACTGATAAGCCCAGCCTGGAGGAGTGGTGCCACCGGTACTGCGCCAAGGCCAAGAGCACAAGATGGTGAGATCCGAGGCTGAGCCCCCATTCGTCAAGCATGATCCTAACATCATCCTAGTTTCCGCCTTACCCGCACAGTTACCGGCTTGGATGAGCAACTCTTCCGATCCCGACTCGAAGGTCTGATCCGCGGTACCAACTACAAGGGCAAGCTCTCCATTGAGTTTCCCGTAGCTGATCGGGCTGTTGATATCTACTCCACCACCTGGATGAACAACTGGCGTACCACGGACTGGATCCGATGGATCTTCTACCTGACCTTCCTGTGGATCTTCTCGTGGCCCATTCTGTACTTCACAACGAAGAAATACTACGTTGTGCGTGCAGAGTGGCCATTCGCCAAGGTCAACCCTCAGGGCCGCAAGACCTACACCACCGTCAGCGAGGAGCAATGGATCGAGAATTTCGGCCCCGCTGTTCAGCAGCTATGCTTGGACCGGTATCAGGGCCTGACTGGCGATGACCATTTGAAGCAGATCCTCGCGAGACCTGCGACACAGTCGTCTGCCGCTGCGGACTTCCGGAATGCGCGAGCGGCGCTGAATGTGGCAACCAGTGCCGCCAGCGTTCTCCGTGGAGGGCCTGTCAATGCAATCAGCCAGGTCTCCAACATCATGCGTCTCTCGAGCGGGACAAACGACCAGGTTGGATGGGGTTTTGACACATGATGGGGCATCTGCACTGAATAGGGATATTGGGTTGCCTCTTGTGGATTAGGGATTTTGAGAAGGTTTTGAATCTTCTGTATGTCCGTTGTGTGTATTTGAGGCCGTGAAAATATGGTCCAGGATCCAATTCTGTCGCAACTGGTTAAATGATGATCTCACTATTGTTTCATTGCAGAGGATTCTGTTCATCACGCCTCGGTCATTACCAATCAAGTGCTTGTACATCACGTCTGAGGAAACAAAGAATCTCTTTTATTACTCCTTTGTGTCTAGAACCTGTTTCCCCGAGTTTTCTTCTCCCAAATGAGTGCGTTTCTTGATGCTGTGGCTGCAGATACCGTTGGATTTCACTTGTTCCATCTGCTCTGTTCCAAGTCTAGGGTAGCAAAAAATCCCCTCGGAGCTGTGGGGCGTTGTTTGAGACTGCCAATTTCAAGATAATGTCGAACCTATGATTGATTCTAGGATATAGAAATAAAGTGTTGTGGAGGCAACTTCGCGTTTTTGATTAGATCGTCTGCTTTTATCTCCCTCTTTGGGTTGCTAAACATTGGTTGGCTTGGTTTTTTAGAACTGTCCTCTTACATTAAAATTTTGTTCGATTCTTTGAAATGAATGTTGAAGGAAATATCTTCTTGTCGGAGAAAGAGAGCAAGGACAAGAAATACCAGGTGGATAGAGACCCCCCATGTGAAAGATCTTTAACGTTGTTGAGTTTCATTGATCGATGACAATGTTAGGATAGTTGGCGAGCTCTGAAGTCGACCAGCATCTCCCGTATACTCTCATTGCCCGAACTTCGAATGAGCCGAGTTAGGAAAATCCGTCTCGCGTTCCTTGCCGTCGATCGCTTCAGGAGTAGTTCCAAGAGTGACGTGTCCCCGTCCTCAGCCACTAAAACCCCGTACTCTAGTGCCGAAATGAAATCAGAATGGGGCGAGGGTAAGCGCTCGAGCGTGGCTCCAAATCTGAGTGCAAGGACGATGACTGCCTCCGCCTTATCAAGATTCTTCGTCACCAGAGGCCGATGACGAGGCTTGCCAAACAGAAGGCAAAAGAGTCCTACCAGGAATGTAGTCCGGGTTCTGTAATGATCCCTTTGCCACCAGTCGATCACGACCGAGTTTAACTTGGCGCCTCCCTGAAGGAATGCTTTCATGCAGGCGGCGTTTAGTGAAGATGCAGCGACAAACACTGGCGTTGTCTCTAAACGTAAGGAGGGAATACAACATGGAATGTCGACGTCAACCCCCGCATTCACGACTTTCTGAACAAGTTCAGTTTGATAACTTGCTCCCAGGTATGCTAGCCCCGCAAAGACATGATGCACGTCATGAAAGTCCGGCGCGGCCACCCAGCCTGCCGGATCGCATCCTTCAGCTACAAGCATCGAAGCGATGTCGAAGTTGTTGCGGTTGAGCGCGAGGTTTAATGGTGTACGACCAAGGCTGGAAGTTTGATCAATAGGGACTTTCATTTCGATCAATAGCTTGACAATGTGCACTGTGCCAGAGCGAAAACTGTAGCATGCATAGTGAAGGGATGTCTGGCCAATGTGATCAGTGTGAGTCGCTGATACACCTGGTTGTTGTAACATCATGCGAACGATGTCGAGATTGCCATTTCTGCATGCGAAATGAAGAGCGGTTTGCATTCTTCTGTTTTCGGCCGCGGGTCTGATCCGAGGTTGACGAAGGAGAAGCTTGATCATCGACAGATTATTCTGAAGTGCCTTCGCTGAGAGATGTAGAGCAGTATTACCCTCCCAGTTAGCAGCTGCAACATCGGCGCCACGTCTTATGAGGTCAGCCATCAATGAAATATGGTTTCCTGAGATCGCAAAATGCAGATTTTCCCGAAGCGATACCGGATCAGGATAGGAAAGAAGCCGAGTTACGAGACCGCGGCGCCCTTGAAAGGAAAGATTGTGGATCGCAGAAACGCCTTCGGCCACCAGGAAGGCGCCGTTGCTGACGAGAAGTTCAGCTAGATCGAGCTTCGAGTCCTTATTGGAGGACTGGTTAGCTCCTCTGAGGGGATGCCATTCGGTTTTGATTTCATGCCGGTGATCGTGGAAGAGACAGATATGAAGTGGATAGAGGGGTGCGCGGCCATACGGCCTATGCACGCAGCAGAAATTCAAAGATGGCGCGTGCACATCGACGCCTTTTTCTAGAAGGTATTGCACGATATTCACATGCTGGCGGCCGACAGCGAGGTGAAGGAAAGAGAAGGACCGGGGATAGGAAGGCTGACGCCAGTGTGATGCTGCTAGATGAAGGTCTAATGCCCCCCACGGTGGACAGTAAGGCGTCTTTTCGTCTACTTCAACTTGCAAATCAAGGCTTGCTCCATAGGCCACAGCGCGCTTGACGGTGCCGAGACTGCCAACATTTACCGCCCAGAGGACACATGACTCTGTGACTGGATCTTTCTTGAGATTGCGCTTGTAAAGTTCACCGTTGAGCGTTTCGTATAGCCAGCGACATGTACGGGCGAGCGAGGCGTGGTTTCTTGCGTAGGTCGCGGGGTGGGTTTTGTCGGATGAAGGAGAAACACCCCATGTGGTCATCTCGGCGATGCGGAGGAGAATCTCCATCGGAAGAGTGTCGAGGCTTGGAGCCATCGCGGCGTCCTCGTCGGTTTTCGGTAGGGCACAAGGGTTGAAGTGAGTGTAGAGAGAAGGCAAGATGCCGGAGGTTGATGAGGAGTTGGGAGAGAGTGAGAGAACGTTGTGGAGGAATGAATTTCGTTGTTGAAATGAAGATTTGACTTTCCTGATAAACAAGGCAGCAACGGTGAGTGAAGTGAGATCAAGGTGAGAGAGTTGTGAGAGATGCTGCGGCCACCGGAACAAAGAATTCCCTGCCTCTACATCCAGACAATACAATGCCGTGCCTAATTTTGATCTAGGCTATCAACAGTGTCTCTCATCTAAGGATTGAGGCCAAAACTAGATGGAACTTATTCACTGCCGGGAACCATGCTGAATTAAAACCAACAAGCGGGTAGCAATTGTAGACAATCGCACATATCAGTACAGCTTCTGGGCACAGTCTTCTCTATGATGGCTTCCAACCAAATGATACGGAAACTACCAGAGCCAGAACCATCAGGCATCGCACCTAATCGTCCAACACATGTAAGGACAAGTGACTCGTCCCCTAGCGACATGGCTTGCGACCATGTCACCACGTGGTCGTTGTTTGGCGGTTATGGTATGGAGACGGCGGGGACACACTCTGCTCGTCTTCTGCTGTACGCATTGTAGATATCTCGCAAAATAGACTTTTGAGCCACACGTCTCGTTTTGAATATGCGCCACGTTGTAGTTGAGAAGAGACCGTCAACAACACAATACAGAGCGACCTGCCTCATTAGCCACGCTTCTATGAATAAGGTAGACAAAGCACTCCAAAGTTTGTTCGACGTGAAAATGATTTCGTACGATAATGAAGACTGTAAGGCGTGTCTTGATGGATTGGAGGTTACCACAGTTGCCTTTTAGCAAGCCAGCACTTGGCTAGTCTCTTAGATAGGCGATGGAAGGCTCCTCGTTTGGGACCCAGAGACTGGTGAATGCATCAAAAACGTCTGGGGACTCAAATACAAAGTTTAATCAAATTGTGTGCCCTACGAGGATTCTGGGATGGCTTCCGGAGCCAGGGGTTGTAGGTGAAAAGTTGGGACGCTACACTTAGCAAGCCCTCCTAATGGGCCAATTCGGAGCTCCGTCGCGCGGCTTGACGGCAGCATGTTGGCGTGTTCCTACTTCTGACCTGCCGAGGTGAAAGCTTTGGGGCGACAAGCGGCAGTTGTACGTGCCTGATAATTAGTTTTCCGATGGCTATCTCTCATGACACGACAAGGCTGGCGATATCAATTTTGGCAGGACAAGAAAATGTCCAGATTCGGGACATTTTGACCGGTACCCTCGACAGAGTAGAAGTGGAGGCGTCACTACATGCCGCAATTGCCTTGTTGAGGGCCCTCGTAAAAGGGGTATCATGTTGTTTTGAGACATCGTGATACATTGAATGTTCTCTTATAGCTGAGTCTGGGCCCTGAACACACGGCACGTAACTGTAAGCATACCGGTCGATCGACATGATACGTGTGATGAAAAGAGATAGGTTTTGACAATATAACATACTCGTAAAATGCCATGTATCGGGAGGGTGAAATGAGAGATATGGGACAGAGGATTACACACGCAACGGGATAATATTGCTCCTGCTTATTTTAGCATCTTTGAAACGAAATGGCAGAGGTATACGCCAAGAAGAAGCGTTCATAAATGTACGTGGGATTGCGAGAGGGGCAGGCCTTTCACGAAGAAAATTTGTGTACCGGCTTGTTGTTAAGGTGATGGGCAAAGTAGACCATCATCATCTCTTGCAGCTCCGTCAATCAGACTTTCGGAAGATCCCGAGTCTAAGACTCCAAGAACACGAATTTGTTCCAAAGTAGCCATCGTCTAAATAAGTGCAATTCGCTCCCTCTAGGGACCACGTATCTTCTCGACGCCGTCGACTCGTCATGGGCTTCTTTTGCGATAGCCAACTTCTTCGTTGCAAGACTAGGCCCGTTCAGATATCGGGGTACATAGACGAGTCTTCTCAGTCATTTAACGAATATCTAAAGCGCGTAATTTCGACCGCGGCTATAGGGAACCCTTTTGTAATGGCGGCTTCGGAATGGCCAACTCCAGAGCCATCCTCCGATCAAGGGCCCAGGCTTGAGCGCCTTGCTGCTTCTCGAGAAATGAACAACATCTATCAAAGCGACTAATGCTACTAGCGATGTTCTAGAGTGGGAATTCGTAAACAAGACCAGGGACGGGCACATCAGATGGGTCCGTTGCGCGCTGTTCTCGGGATGCAAGGAACTCTCCCTGGCCGAGATCAAGACCAGCTCGCATGGTTCAGGGGTTTTCCTCTGACGCCGCTATTGTCTGCGGCTGTCGCCACCAGAGGAGACACACTTGATAGTGCTAATACGAACGGGGCAAAACTGACCAGGGTCTGGGTCTTGGACGATTCTACGCGAGGAGCGCTAAGACCCGAACTGAGCAAGTCGTTGGCCGTCTTATCTACACCAACTTTGCGGCTGCGGAAGGCTGATTCATGCGTGGGAAACAATCACGCCACACCACGTTGGCCGTGTAATTTGACCCTGATGGATGGGGGGACGGTTGCTGTCGTCAGTGACGCCAGGCACAACTTTAAATGGGTGAGAAAAAGCAATGTGTGGCAGGAAAAAGAAAGTAACGAACTCTGTGTAACATGGTGTTTCGCGTTCACTCCTGGATGTCGGGCGCAAGGACCCCTTTAGCCATGGAACCAAATCCTTTAGCTGAATAGAGGCATCGTCCCAGCAGTAGGGCACGCCTCCGTTATCTGTGATTGGCAGCGCCCACACTGGTGATGCATAGTCATTTGATCTACAGTGTGCCCCTCGAATCTAGTGTCTCCACGAGTCAGCCAAGTCCAGGACCAGCAGCCCTTCTAACGTCCAATAGTTGCACGCCAGAAGCCAAGCGGCGCCCATTCCCCGGATTTCTGGTATCTTGGGACATCCCACTAGGAGGGCCCAGAGCAGGGTCAGGCCCCGTGTGTTCCGGGTCCTTGCTTCTTCTTATCTTTCGTTGGGTTCGCTGGTCTTGTGCTTGTTGACTATGTGCGTACTTGGAAGTGACCAGTTCAAATTGGGGGGTGATCCTCGCTCTCTTTCATTTAGCCCATCTCCCTTTCTTTCCCTTTGGCTCTTCAAAGTGCTTCTTCTCGCATGTGTGTCTGTGTCTTGCATTAGGTCGATCGTGACCAGAAATTCCGCCAGTGCCTATCCCTGAAGGCCTGTGCGCCTGGTATATCTCTGCTAACATGGCGGGGCTTCAAACCAATGTCTTTGTTGGCTTCGGTGTTGTCTGGGCTGTCGCCTTTCTCTCTATGATTGGACGCGTCGCTGCTCGGCGCATGACCAAGGTGGCCTGGTGGCATGAAGACTACTTCTGCCTCGCTGCGTTTGTATGCTCTCCTCGTGCCCTGATAGTACTAATTGTTCGTTGAGCTGACACGGCGTCTCAGGTATTCGGCAGCGTATACAATGGCCTCTGCCTCTACTGTAATTCCCGCCCGATATCCCTTGCAAGGGCACCCAACTAATATATTTGGTTACAGGGGCGACGGACTGGTCGCTTGGTCTGATAATTCCCGATACGGTCGATCCTAATGTCAAAGAGCACATTCTGGAGGTCTCCCGAAAGCTCGCCTTCTTCTGCTCCTTGACCTACGCCTATTCCATCGGTGCCTCGAAGCTTGCCATCCTATCCCTTTACTGGCGCCTGTTCAAACTGTCCTCCATCCGAATCCCAATTCTGGTGCTATACGTGATTGTCGTGGCGTGGATGATCTTGCGAACGTTCATGGTGGTGTTCCGTTGCTCGCCCGTGCAGGCATATTGGGATCTCAACATCCCCGGTGGTCATTGCCCCATCCAAGACGGGGCCTTCTTCTTCGGAACGATGCTCCCTCACTTTCTCATGGATGTCGTGATTCTCATTTTGCCTGTTGTTGAGGTCTTCAAGCTCCGTCTGCGCCTCGCCCAAAAGGTCGGCATTTCTGCCTTGTTCCTGATTGGTATCATGTGAGTGGTGATGTTCTCGGACTGAAGTGATGTCAACTAATAATCATTGCGTAACAGTGTGTGTACTGCATCCGTGAATTGCTTGGTTGAATCCATTCGCACCGACCCGAAGACGACACAAATGCCCTATGATTACGCCCTGAACTACACGTGGGGTGCTGTTGAAGTGAACATGGCTGTTGTTTCCTGTACGCAGCCACCTTTTCTATATTGACTTATGTATGTCCTGGTGATGTGACTGACATTGTGTAGCCTGTTTCCCTCTCCTGCGCCCCGTCTTCCGCGTCCTTGTTGGCTCCAGGGTCCTCAGCTCATACACTGAAGGGACGCACGGCGTGAGCTACGGTGCTCACACCTACAGCCGCCATACCGGCGTGGAATTGAACACCATGACCACCAAATCGAAGCGAAGAAAGGACATGGAGCTCTCAAGTTCAATGCGCCGCTTAGCTGATGACGAAAAAGATATCCTTGGTGATCCCGCCTTGGTCAAGTCACCGGATCGCATCCTCACCACAGTGACGCCGTATCATGCAAATGAGTGGGCTGACAGTAACGATAACGGGATTCACGTACAGAACGATGTGATAATTGAAGTGCACAAGCTCGAACAGTCGAAATCCTTCAATAGTGATCATACTTCCCAGGATTCAAGCAAATTTCGCTAGAGCTTGGGCTCAAGAGTCGTTTTCTCCTTTTTCTTGTATATATTTACCATTTGTACTATTTACAGAGTGATGGGTCAATGGATACCTGACAATAAAGCACGTGGGAATAACAGCCCCTTCGGTTAAATAATGCTTGGACATAGAGCTGATTCGTTTTAGGAACGACGATAGAATACATGTTGTGTAATTACCTAAATAAATGATGGCCATAAAGGCCAATTTATCCCGTATGGCCCTGTGAACGTCGAAATAAATAATATAGAGGTTCTTAGATGTTCTGACAGTTGAGTGAGTGGAATGATGGTGTGGGCCTTTTGATTACGACGTGATCCAACGGGAAGAATCCAGAAATGGAGCTGTGAGGGGATTGAAATGAGCGGGTCAAGAGAAATAACAACCTGATTTCTGCTCGATCGTCAGCCAGACATCACAGGCATCATGCCGGCCTACGTGCAAGGAACTGGCTCTCCTCTGCCTGCCTCACATCCGGCGACAAGTTTCCAGCCGGAGCAGCCGAGAGGAGACGAATATGCACCACCTCCCGGCCCTCCTCCTGGTTGGACTTCAGCATCTCAGCCATCTGCATCTCATACCCAGCAGCCGTCGCCGCCTGATAGCGATCTCCCAGAAGTGGTCACAGGTACTCAGTCTCCAAGAAGTCCCCCTGAGATAATCCCGGCCGGTCCGCCTCTAAGCAGCCTCCCCGAAGCAGTAGCAGCCCGTTCATATTCGAGTAGCCTCCCCGAAGTGGTTCCGCCCGTTCAACCTTCGAGCAGCCTTCCAGAGGTTGTTCCACCTCCTCAGCCGCCAAGAATCCTCCCTCAGGTAGTGCCGCCGGCTCTACCGCCAAGGCAGAGCCAGCAACGATACTCAGCAGTATTTACACAGCCCTCACCACCCGCAGATGCTCCTCGGGCGCGTCCAGTGTCTATGCAGATTCCTCGAAAACCAACTGCCCAACCCCCATCGCCTGTATCGCCACCAACGGTCCCGCCGGCCAACAAAGCCGTAACATCATGTATCGACTTCCTGGCCTCATTCCCCACGACATGGTATTGGCACCCTGACGCTCCCGCCTTCTTCATTTGCTCTCGCTGTTATCTCGACCACCTCCAATGGAACCCGGCTGGATCATCCCTCCAGTCTGCTTACTTCACAGATGGAATACCACGGATATGTTTGTGTAGCTTGCCTCGCATGAAGACACGGCTTCTCCCTCAAGCAGTCGCTGCTGGATCACTTCACCCCGCCCTCGAGTACATGCGGTTCCGCCCAAACATTCAGCCCTGCAAGGGGATAGATGGAATCAAAGGCGGACAAGGCCATCGCTGGTACAAGGCCGAGGGAGACTCGATACCCAGTTTTTTTGCCTGCCAAGCCTGCTTTGAAGACTACGTCTTTCCCACGTACTTTGCCAGGAAGTTCGAACAAGTACCTGAGGGACGCCAGGGCCCTAACGACATATGGGCATGTGATATTGCGTCGCGATATGTGCTGAAGCATCTGGAGCATAAGTCCAAGACCAATAATTGGCCCGGATTCGTTACCGAGGCCAAGGCACGGCTTTCAATTTCCAGATGTCCTGGTCCTAACCCAGTCCCAACATTTGGTCTCTCCTGGTTCATGCCCAAAGAGATCCGCGGGCTCGCGGCGTGCCCTGCCTGTTTCTGCGACCAGGTACTTTGGACCGACGAAGATGCTAAGTGGCGCGAAGTTACGGAATGGAAGGCCGATCGGCGTCAGAGGGCAACATGCTGCTTTGCCCAGCTGAATTTGAAGCTGTGTATCGAAAGAGCCCACGACCTGGAAGACTACTCTAGGTTTTGGGCCGCCGCAAAGAGGCTGTCGCATGTCCCTGTCTGTAGTCCGCAAGGCATAAAGAATGGTCAATGGTACACATTACGTTCGGATCCGGCCGACTTTAGGATGTGTAAGGCGTGCCATATCACCATCGCAGAGTCTTTACAGCTCTCGCAGCATTTTGTCCCTAAGATTGGGCTTCCAAAAACTGAGCCACTATTGTGTTCCTTCAATCCAGCGCATGGCCGGATGCCACAGTTTCTATCCAAACTTATTGAGGCTTATATGAAGGCTGATCCGTCGCCTCTGAGTTCATTTGCATCTGTCTGGGCTAAAATTCCCCTCTGTCCTAGGGATCAGGACAAAACGGGGATGCATTGGTACGGATGGCCTGGATGTACGATTTGCCAAGAATGCCATCTTAACTTCACCTCTAAATACCCCAATTTGTGCCAGACGATGGACTACCAAGATACACTCATACCTCAAGCCACGCTCTGTGAGATGTACAGCCCGCGGATGAGAGATCTATTCACACAAGTGGCCGCCGCAGGGCCTTCTGGCCTACCTGCCCTCTTCCAGGCTGTTGCGCAACGACGTATCGTGTATACCCAAACGGTGCCTCAAATACGTAACATCATCGCGCATCAGAAAAGCCTTCTTGGGCAGCAGGAGATGCTCAACACCCAGAGCACCTTTCACATGGTCAAGGGCCACATGGATCAAATTTCATATGGAACGCCCTACACGTACAGCGCGGCTGGTGTTGGATCTGGTTTTGCAAACATGGATCTGCTAAAATCTGCGCAGCTAAGGCAAGAGACATCTGGGATGGTGGCAGGGGCTCAGAATGCGACTTTAGAGGTGGCGACACTTGAGAAGCAGTGGAGGGCAGTGGAGTGAGACACCAGTCACCAAGTAGGCCTCGAGCGTTAGAAGCAAAGCAAGGACGTATCATTCTTGATACTATTATAATTATAGCCTGCTTTTATTGTTCTTTCACTTAGTCTTTTATTGATTAGACCTCTGGAACTTTCACCTACGAGAAATGTTGACAAAGCCTTCCTATGATTACTGAAAGGATCTCGTTACCTAAAATAGGTGACAACTACGCTCGCCCTATGCCATCCTCCTTAGCAAGAGGGCTGTTATGCATACTGTAAACTCTGATATTTCAGCTACTCATCCTGGCAGTGGGTTGTACTTTCACTTCAGCGAGAACAGGTCTGTGCTTGGACGTCAACAGGCAAGATTCGTTCATCATCTATTCTATTCAAACTTTATTTGGGTTGCGGCTCAATCCTTCTTCGGCCGCCTTGATCTGCAATGCGAGATACTTGGAGTAGATGCGGCAAATCGCAAGGTTCCCGCCCATATACCAGAAATTAGGATGGCCACTTGGTCGCCACATCTAAACATAGAATCATTAGCGAAAGTCGGATGATCTTGCGTTTGGGACAGGTACTCACGGCATTCAGTTCACCCTCTTCATCGAGATCCCACACATCCTTCAGCCGCGATGCAACCTTGCTACCCATAATCTTTTCCGCCGTGGTCTTCATGTTGTCGTAACCAGTAGCCAAGACTACGATATCAGCCTTGAGCTCAGTGCCATCTTTGAGAACAAGTGCATCAGGAGTAAACCCAGAGATTCCACCAGGACTTTGGTGAACCTTGATCTTGCCGTCGATAATGAGCTTGCTGCATCCGACATCAATATAGTATCCACCACCGCGTGTGTAGTAGAGTCGCGCAATCCCGGAACCATCAATGGCATAGTCGAGCTTGAACCCAGCACGCTCGAGACCCTCGATGGTCTCTTTGTCGGCCTCGGAGATGCGTTTTCGCCCTTCTTTGTTGAGGGCAAACTGGACAGGGAAGGGCAAACTCTCGCCGACAACATCACACTCGTCCGTTGGTGGTCTGTACACAACAAGCATCAATAAACAAATGAAGAAACACTATCAAAGCGATGGCTGGCTTACCCGTTATCTTCGTGCATTCCCTCGTGGAGCAAAAATACACCCCTGTCTAGGGACAAAACATATGTTCCGCTTCGCTGAAGCATGGTCACCTCGGCGCCAGCGTAGTGATAATCTTCGGCAATATCGTGGCCACTGTTTCCTGTTCCAACAACGATGACCTTCTTGCCCTTGACTTTTGACTCTGACGCCTCAGCATGCTGACTGCCATGGTATACCTGGCCTTTGAACTCTGCTTGTCCTGGGAAGGAAGGGACCAATGGTTCTCCGGCATGGCCAGTGCAGAGAATGACATGCTTTGGCTGGATTGTTCGTTCAGTACCATCTCGGATGATATCCACGCTCCACTGTGCCTTCTCATCGTCGAAGCTGGCATTGGCCAAGGTCGTCTTAGTCCAGACATTGAGCTCCATCAAAGAAACATAGGCCTCAAACCAATCACCCAGCTTGTCTTTAGGGGTGAATTGCGGCCAGTTCTTGGGGAATGGGAGATAAGCCATGTGTGTGAACTCTGCTGGATCGTGTGTAACGAGGGTCTGTTATGTGTCAGGATCGCTTCAATCTCATTTCTGTCCTGGTTGAATATAGACTCACCCTGTATCTGTTTCTCCAATTGTCCCCGACCCGGTTGTTTTTGTCGATAATCAGAACCGAGAGTCCCAGTGATTGAAGGCGAGCGGCAACGTTCAAACCAGATTGGCCTAGATGGAAACATTAATTCTCCCTTTTCTCTCGAATCCATGTGGTTGGGATAGGTCTGAAAGCTTACCAGCTCCAACAACAAGCACTTGGGGATCCTCGTCAAGGAAATCAACCTGCCGCTTCCGGCGCTCGCTCCATGTTCCCTTCGACAGACCCCCCGGCATGGAATCAATCGTTCCATACCAGCGCTTCTCCACCAACGGCTCATCATGGGCTTTCAGTGTTTGCAGGGTAGTGTACACAGCGAAAGCCTTCCAGACTCCAGGGCGCTCCTGAGTCAATCGCAAGACACCGGACCCGGTACCAATTGGAGATTCAAAGTGGAATAACGACGAGATCCACGCCAGCCCTGTCTTCTCGTTGACCATTTCAAGTCGCGGCTGGAACTTCCCAGTCTCATGTAGACGGAAGTTTGATAGGGGTCCTGATTCCTTGTTTTGTGACAAGAAGTTCTGGATTGCTTCACGCCCGTGAATGGTGCGGAAGTCCCATTGTAGCGCAATGATATCGCGCCACCAGGAATCTTCATTGAAGAGATCTCCAAGGTTAGAGAAATCTCCGGATGAAAAGACAGCTTCCAGGCTATTGAGCCATTGTTGTGCCACTCTCCACGCATTGGGCACGGACGTGACCGGGGCGGTCTCTGGGAGGTCGATGACATGATCGTACCTCTTAGGCGGGGCGTCCTCTCTCCACGCAATTGGGGACATTTTGGGCTTGAATTTTCTAAGATCGAATAAAATGCTACGGGGGGCTTCTGTGCTGAACAACGGCCGCACCTTGATTCGATCGGGGTAAGAGGAAGGATGATGGAATGATGGTTCACTGCAGAGAATTGGTCGCAATATTTAAAATTCAGAAGCTCAGAGGAGTATCCTTCAGAGATTCTCTCGTCTCCATCAATAGGTCATCACTGGAAAGCAAGTATGTGCTGACGTGGAATGCTTGATACGCTGAACAGGAGGGCATGTGATGCTTGGCGGGACCCTGCCGACCAGTCGGACATCATGCCCGTGAGTATGTCCGCGTCTTAGCAAAGTGCGGAGTAACCCCATCGAAGGTAACTTGGGGAAGTCACAAGACAGAGATCGACTAATCTTTTCCATGAATTGTCCTTGATACCAAGCAGCTTTGGAATCGGTGCCCAAGTGGGGTGCAGGCTGAGCTCCGCGAAACGGAGTTTCGTCCGGGGATGGAGATGAGACCGAGCGGCGATGTGCCGAGCCTCAACTCTTCACTTTTGCCTTTGTATTAGATTTTGTATTAGATAGTGGAGAAGAGCTGAAGATCTAAGCAGCTGGCTGATATTGCGCCGACTAAAGACGCAGTATCAACTCTGTCGGGATCGCCCTGAACTTGTGCGTCGGAAACCCTGTTGGCGTAACAGCATCTCAATCACCAATCAATCTCATTGGGGGACCACCTGCTTGGGGACCTCCAGCTGCTGTCCTGCGCTAGAGTGTCCAACTCCACTCACAGATAGACTTGAAGGGGATATCCCACCTCGGATTGGAAACATAGACAACTCCGAAAGATAATTTAGTTGGGTAGGAGTGTGGTGGGATGTTCAGGTCATAGGTGCTGATGAAAAATTCTCGTCGCCGCCGACTCCACGGAGGAAGTAGAGTCCTGGATCAGGACCATGATTGAGGTCTGCCTCGATCTGCAGAGGTATGCTGACTAGCCCTGGTCGCTGTACCTGGGCGAGGTTGAAGGCCGCAGGCGCCTGTCGTTGTGAGTCGCGGTCGTACAGTAGGACAGCGTTCTGATGGTGCGATCGAGGCTGTCCCGCCGCTTGGATTTCCTAGATTGAGGAGTCAAGGGACGTATAGATTCGAGCGATGCTCAGTTGGATGCCCTCCATGTTGAAGCTTGTGTTGACGATGCGGGGAGGTGGAGGTCAGGTCAACGGATATGATAATCGAGGCGTTCGTGAGCTGCCGTAGTGAAGAAGAGATGAAAAGAACGAGAACGAGATGAGAGGTTTTTACAGAGGCCTTCTCCTCATTTATCCTTCACGTGGCCTCTTGTCATACCTCAACTCGTTCAGCCCGCGCTTATGTAAAGTGCACTTTGGGGGCTGAGGTGCATGTGAGTTGAGCATTAGGATTGGAGGGGGATATGCAGAGACGAGAATATCCGGGGCCCATCCGTGCCACGTCAAGAGATTTGCAGTGATTGTGCTTATTCCAGCTAGCTCGTGTGATGAAACTTCTTTTTTTTCATGAAAATAGAATACAATAAAGCCCAGTACTAATTGTTATTTGTTTCGTCCATGAGGAAAAAGGAATATGATGCTACAAGTAATCTCTATTGTGGGGTTAAGTCATGTGGGAGCAATAAGAACAGACTAACCTGTACAAAAATTGGCCATAGAGTAGCATTGACAGCTGATCGGAGGCAGGCGATACAGTTTAGGAAATGATGGCAGCAACTCATCGTAGCCGGAGAGTACATATTCATAGAGCAGCATGGGTCTTCCTCGTCTACTTGGGCCTTGACAAGCCGGATAGCGTCTGCCGGCTGGTTCTGGTCTCTAGTGACTTTCTGAAACAGCACTGCTCTGATTTGGGAGCATGGCGTTTTCGTTTTGGGTCTCAGCGTGTAAGGTATGTTAGGTGGCCAGCGAGTAAGAGTCACCTCTGTGTAGATTATGTTTTCAATGAGATAGCATCTCACCACCAAAAAGAACTCGTCGAAATGAGTGTGGCAGTATTTTATAAAATAGCGAGAAGTAATCTGTTCTTTCTATTTACTATTGAGCGAAAACCTCGTCGTACCCTGTCATTGTAAATCGGTAACGAACATCGCCCTTCTTCATACGCAGTATTGCCTCTTGAAGTCCGTCCTGGCCAAGCTTGAGTTCTTCAACCCAGCCCTCAAGTCCATTGTCTGCTGCCAGTTTCAACATATCTAGCGTCTCCCGTCTGCTTCCAAGGTGGCTAGCGCCAATCAAAACGCCGTTCGAGACGAGATTCTGAGCTTTGATGACTTGCCCCTCCTCCTCTGGGAGACCGACCGAAATCCATCGACCATGAACGTCCATCAGAGAGAGATATTTGGCGAGATCAAACCCAGAGGATGAGTTTGCACAATTGACAATCAAGTCAAATGTACAACGGTGCTCAGCCTCCCAACCTTCCTCGGCTGTCGCGATGAACCCATCAGCTCCCAACTTACGAGCTTCAGCCTCCTTTGCTCTAGATCGCGAGATTGCCCAAGTCTCGGCGCCCAAAGCCTTGGAAAACATAATTCCGAAATGTCCAATGCCTCCAATCCCAACTATTCCAACCTTTTTGCCATTCCTGGCTCCATGTCGTACCAGGGGTGAGTATGCCGTTAACCCAGCACACAGCATCGGAGCCACCGTCTTGGTACTCAATGCGTCCGGTATAGGAAACACCCAGTACTCATGGGCTCTAATGTGAGATGCTAGGCCACCTTGACTGATTATTCCTGTCCCCGGCCATTCGGAGCCGTAAGTGTTGATCAAGTTCACTTGGCAGTAAGTTTCGTTGTCTTCGCGACACTGCTTGCAGTCTCCGCACGAGTAAACCTGAGCACCGACTCCGACTCGCTGACCTTGCTTGACCAGAGTTACCTTGGGTCCCACTCGGACTGCGTGGCCCACGATCTCTTTATTGGGGTTAGTAGAGAAGCAATGCAATTGCGGGAAAGCATGTTTTTCTCACCGTGCCCCACGCAAAGAGGGAAATTTTGTTTTCCCCATCCTCCGGTTACGGTGTGAACATCGCTTCCGCATACACCACAAGCATCAATTTTGATGTCAACATCTGTGGACGTCAGTGGTGTTGCGACACTTGGAGATATACAAGACTCGGGTCTCACCATAGTCACCGACTGGCTTCAATTTAAACTTGATTACATCTTCTCGTTAGTACGCTGAATAAGAAACAGGGATTTATACGAAGGCTTCGTCAAGTGAAATTTTCACGGTTGAGAGATCTCAAGAAACCTACCGAACGTTTGTGGAACTCAGGTGGAATCCCTGGGCCATCAACTTGAAAGCCTTCAGTTTCTGCCGGAAAAGCCATTTTGAAATCGGTATATAGGAACAAATTGCGTCAGTGATAGTGGAAATATGTGTCGAGGAAGTAAGGTAGAATAGACAAGTTCATTTCAGAGATCTTATATGGTATCTCATATGAATCCTAAGCGGAGACATGTTGTTTAGATGGGATCACAGCACCAGTGACTATCATGCAGCATACCATCCCGAAAGCGGACAGATACCTCCACAAAGCGATGCGAAGGCATAAATTGGGTACGTAAAACTTCATTGTAACTGCAAGAATCTCACGTGAAGTCTCGACGGGCGTAACGCCGAACGTATCGGATCTACGGCCGGGAAGTAAGGAGTAATGCGCTGTCGGTATCTGGTCGCTTCAAGCGGAAGAAATGCAGTCTTGCATTCGTGGTAGTAGATATTCAGTCGATCTTAGGTCGGATCCCGAGGAATCCTGGTAGCGCATCTCTCAGGCTGGGGCAAAGACCGAGAAATCGAATTACACGTGGCGCATGCCAACAAACCACCGCTTCGGTCACGAGAACAACTTTAGGAAATTTTCGCTATTGAAGAGAAAAGAACTACTAGAAGACAAATGTTCTAGATCGATATCTACTTAATGAAGCGGTAGAGATTGAACAACCAAATCACACATCTCCTTGAACAATATCAACCATGGACATCCTTAACAAGAAGCCCGTCAACCTCGCGGTGCATACTAGCCCAGACCACGATCTACGTCTCGTAGAATGTGAAATCCCAGAGATTGGGCAAAATGATTGTCTTGTTCACGTTCGCGCATCTGGAATATGCGGTTCTGACGTTCACTTCTGGAAGCACGGGCGGATTGGCCCGATGGTAGTCACAGGAGACTATGGTCTTGGCCACGAGAGTGCAGGAGTCGTTTTGAAAGTTGGAGAATCGGTGACACGTTTCAAGCCCGGTATGAAGCTCAACCATGTCTAGCTATCTTCTTGTTCTTACTAATCGAGGTGTAGGCGACCGTGTGGCGTTAGAATGCGGGGTTCCTTGCTCAAAGCCTACCTGTTTCTATTGTCGAACAGGAAGATACAACGCCTGTCCAGACGTTGTATTCTTCTCCACACCTCCTTACAACGGAGTATTGCGGCGATATCATGCTCATCCCGAAGCTTGGCTACACAAGCTCCCCGACCACGTTTCGTTTGAAGAGGGGTCATTAGTTGAACCTCTCTCAGTTGCTCTCGCCGGCATTGATCGCTCCGGTCTCCGACTCGCGGATCCTCTTGTGATCTGTGGTGCTGGCCCCATCGGGCTGACTTCTCTGCTAGCCGCGAACGCTGCCGGAGCTGAACCGATCGTCATCACCGACTTGGACGAGGGTCGGCTTACAAAAGCCAAAGAACTAATTCCTCGTGTTCGTACAGTCCTGGTCGAGAAGGGCCAAGACTCAAAAGCCATCGCTGCCAAGATTGTCGAGCAACTAGGCCAAGAAGCCAAGCTAGTACTGGAGTGTACAGGTGTTGAAAGCAGCATCCACTCCGGTATTTACGTAAGAATCACTTCAATGATTGATTGAATTAAAGTTGGTTGAGAATGCAAGTGTCGTAAATTCCGGCGAGTGCCTCGACAACAGCTACCCTATATTCCCCTCTTCAGGTTGTTTAAATAGCCATTACATAAAAGTATCAACTAAGAAAACAAGTTGGCAATTAAAAAGGCGGACTTATTTGACTTTAATGCCAGGAAGAATTCTTTTGAGATTGATGTCTGTACGAATTTCTCACCTTGAAGTCGCAATATAAATCTTCTAGTCGCAAGCACCTCCAAATTTCTTTTGACATCATGTGCTTCAAAGCGACCCCTAACTGTGAACAACCTGTGTTAACGAAGTCATACACGATCTTATGAAATTTGTAATTAAATAGGTAAGCCTTGGATGTTAATTTTTGATTGGAGCAAAATCAATCAGAATTGAACACAGAGCTCAGAGCACAATTTCGCCAAACTTCTTTCTGACCAATAAAAAAAGTTCCTACATTTACTTTGCTGGCAATAAATATAAAAAATATTAAAATACTACGATCAGGCTACAATGGAAGCTTCTACAAGATGACGTGGACAACAGGAGTTCTTGGAGGAAGTAAGGTTTGGGGATAACCTAAATTCAACTTCCAATCTTAATGTGCTTTACAAGGACTAGACCATAGCTTCCCAAGGTCCAGAAGATTACAAAGTGACGCCATCATTTGCTCTTCAATCACCGTAGTGACGCCCGAGTTTCTGCAGACTCAAGGTTTATCCTGTACTTCACATTCACGCCTAGACTACTCTACTCAAGCGGGGATGCCACAGGCATTCGGACAACAAACTACCGGATCAGGCAGAAGTCATAACACAGCTTGTTGTGGAAGGTGCTGGTTTATCTAATATTTCTAAGAATCAAATCTAATATAAGAAGATCTAAATCAACCAAAAAATCAGATAGTATCCCAAGACGATTGCACCCAGGTAATCTCTATGTATATGCCCGAAAATTGATTATGGATTGGACAATGACATGGTAAATGAAAGAAGTCCGAAGGCATAACTCGCATACTACTAAGAGATGTAAGCAGCTCGAATCTCAAGCTGCCTAATGCTTTGGTCGATGTTGTTCAATGTGTTCCGAAGTCCTGTGACAGCCCTCTCGAATAGCCCGCGAAGCTTCTGATCGCCCAAAATGTGGTGACTCTCTGGGACAAAGTCACGGGTTTGAGGGTTCCAATGGAGTCCCCATTCTTGAAAGGTCTTGGGCGTGTATGAATCATTCGTTTGTGTCTTAGCCCCCTCCGCGGAGACAGGCATATTGAGTACAATGATCAATACCTCGATCTGATTCAGCATGTAAAATATTCCAGGAATTGGAGACAAGTCGCGACTCGGCAATGTATGACAAAGGGCAAAATACTTGTTATCCATGCTGTGCGTGGTACGGTGCCCGGCCAGGAGATTGGGCGCAAAGGACCGATCGTAGAGCTCAGTGAGGAATTCTAGCCACTTGCTGGGCGCGACGCAAACGATATCGAGAGCGGGGTCGAAGTCTCGGACGAAAATTTGATCTTGCCCATCTCGACAGCCCCGATTGATGGCTCGATGATCCCGCATCCAGCGCGCAACAATCTCGCGGGCCTCATGGTTGACGAAGGGCAATGCGGGCGCGTTCAGCGGGATATTTCTAGGAGTCTCATGGCGAGAATGGAGGGTGGTTTGTTCCGATTCCGGCTCGGCACCATTGCTCAATGGCCCAGGGCTTAAGCACCATTTCCTGTAGAAGTAAAGGGCTGGCTCATCGGCGCTGGGCAAGGCCTCGGACCAGATCTGCTCACGTAATTCTAGAGGGAGGCGGGGAAATAAAGGAAAGGCTTGAGGGCAGCCAGAAGGTTCGTCCATTGTCGTTGCGGTGGGATGGTCACTCGGCGCTGGTTGTGGTGTGGACGGATGAAGAAGGTTCAAACTGCTATGAGGCACAATACTGGCCAGAAAAGGTTTATACATCAGCTAGTGCGTGCTCTCACGGCTGCGTTCACTCATTGGTGCCCGGATTTGCAAAGGTAGTATTGTGGGTGTAGGATGCCACTAGGGCGAGCCGTAGCCGAGTCAGCATCATAACAAATTTTCAAAATGTAGAAGGAGAAGATAATGATCACCCAAGAATGAAGCTCGGATACTGATAAGACGTAAACACTAGCAACATATGCCGCTCTCGCGGTTGGCTTCTTCGTTATTGATGGTACTCAATCCTTTCAAATGCGCCATATGTTTGGAGTGATATCGTGCAATGTCTCCTCAGAAAATCTTCAATCCTGTATCTCATCGCTGATTGTGCGTGGCTTGGCCAAGGATTATTTGCCGCCATGCTTAAGAGAGATTTGGCACAGCGCAGTCCAGCCCCTGATGAATCGAGCCAGGAGGGACAAAATGTAACAATGGCAGTCAAAAGAGGTGATGACGGATTTGGAGAGTAAGTTGGAGTTGTTGGGGCTTAGGTCTCTCCAAGTAGAGAAAAGATGGAGACATGGAGATATCACCAGCTAAGGGCTGCAGGAGTTGAGACACGCCCTACGATAACTTCCTATAACCCAATGCCGCTCTCAAAGATCGCAGTGTGGCTCATCTCCAAAATTCAGTTGCCTGCTTTGGATCATGGAAAATGCACTATCCAGACACAGCCTTCTCGGTTACGCCAGGTAGAGCAACACAACTTGATGACTTTTTGAGAACCTCCTTGGCTTCGCTCCCAAAGGGGTGCCGCCATATGTAGACACTGTGCAGGTCACAATATCAAGTGCCAGATCACAAAAGATTAATTACCGATCTAGAAGATTCTCTCATTGCCTTTTAAGTCCTAAAAATCATTATTGATGGCCATACAAATATCATTGGCCAATAACTCGAGAAGGCCTCCGCAAAAAGGAATAACATGGGGTTGATTTTCTACTTTTGTCCTTTTTTGTTTTCTTCTTTTTTTGATTGGATGGAAATTCAAATACGGTGCGCCAAATGTCCAAATCAGAAAGCAGCTTCCTTCAATTTGGCGAATCAAATAATTGATTGACTAGTTTAAACTACAACAGAAACCGGATTTTGAGCCGCATCAGACTATAACCTTAAAAACAGTGTTGCACACCTTTGCCGGGATGTGAAGCAGTCAGAACCCGCGTCTACGCTTTTTTTCTTCTTATTTATTTTCGTAAGGTAATCATTTCAGATTCCATCTTTAATTTCAAATCATACTTGTTGCCCCACGAAGCATTGCAAGTTTTCACAAGTAGGTAGTTATCGATTCCTCTCGGGACATTAATACACTCTTGGTTCGAATTGTGGAAGTGTAGGGTAATGAATGAAAGCAACAACAGCATGATATCACCGGAATCTACGTAAGAGAAAAGAGAATAAAGTTCAACAGCAATAGAAGCTGCCAGAGCCTGACAACTCAACACAATGATATCACCGGTACATTCATACTTCTTTTTGTGACTCACTCTGCAGATGATAGAATTGCTGACTCTTACGAAGGCTTGAAGTTCGCCTGTTACGTCGTTCTCTCTAGTTAAAGGGGCAACACAGCAAGAGTTACTTCTCTGTCGAAGGGTAATTCTGTTGTCATTTCTCCAAATGTGTTATGATCTCGCTCAATGGGGTTACGCTTACGGCAAATTCAGTTGTCTGGGCCACATGAATGAAAGTTCTTTTGCAAGTTTGCCGCAATTCAGTCATCAGTGATCAGTCCAGCTCAATGGATGACGGCATCAGTTGCCCAGGTATTGCCCGGATATTGAGCAGATATTGAGTCAAACCACATCATCTAACCTTTAAACTCACTCTGCGTTCTTTTTCGTTCCATATTAGATTTAAATTTGTTGCTTTTCCAGTCATTTCCAAACTTTCGAGCAGGAATGAGTCAAAATAAAGTATTCCAACCCTTCAACTGACCTCGCCACGTAAACTCTGAGACTAAATCAGCAAAGTCGGCATAAGAACTTGAAAGTAAATCACTTAATGTTAGAAAGGTGCCTGGATCACTCGCTGTCTGTACCGAGCCCCAAAATCTATAAAGCCAGGCCTTTTTCCCCTCCTTCCTGAATTTCCTTTCCTCCTTTCATCAACCGGTATCGAAAGCACACTCCCACACAAGCACACAGTTACGAACGAACGAACCAACGAACGAACGAACGAACACACAAGCGGAACGGAAAGCAACACAGCACGCACCATAACACCGTTAGTATCTTTCCATAGTTGTTCTTTGTGTTAATACCATGTTTACTCACTTGTTCAACGCCTCACAGTCGCCTCGTAAATCGTCATCTCTCGAATCACCACAACTTTCTCCAACAACCAACGGATGTAAGTACCTATCTCCATTGACCTACTTTTATCATAATCCCCCTTGCTACATGTCCATGCCTCCTCAGTTGATTGCTAACCCGTGAATGTTTATGAATTCGTAGATCAACACGTCAAGCCAAGTTTCCACGATGATCTCCGCAACACTCTTCCAAAAGCGACTCGACGCGTCCGCCATGCTCGACGAGTCCTACCTGTCGGAGCTGCGCCACCCCGGGTGCAGTGATGATGACCGCGTAGCGGCTGCGATCGACGACCGTCACGGACGCCGCCGGAGCCGATTACGAAGAGCGGTTCGATGGGTTAAGGAGAAGTTGGAGTGGTGGTTGAGGGATCGAGACATAGATCGGTACGATAAATTTGTCGACGGAGTCAACCAGACGCGAAAGCAGACGGCCGACCCGGTACGCAAATCCCCGAAGAAGGTACGATTCGGACGGGCCACACGATTTATGTCGACCGGCGAGACGATTTACGACCCTCGAGAAAGAGCGATGGTAATGGGGACGCTGAGTAAGAGGAGGAAGGGGAAATAGGGAGGGGAGGAGCGGAGGAGTGGAGGACATCACGAGTGGCAGGGTATCGTGGGGCAAGGTTTGGTAGAGGGTTTGCTAACTGTGCACAGGTTGGGTAGAGGGAGCTTTTGCTAACAGTGTACAGGTCGGGCTTGGGAGTGAGGTGCGTACATCCTTTTCTTTGTTTTCTTTTCACTTCATGTTGTTTCTTCCTTCCCCTTTTATTCCCTCAGCGTCATCCCCAGCGTGTTTTCCCAGCGTGTTTTCCCAGCGTTATTCTTCTGATTTCATATTTTCCCTGCTTTTCCCAGCGTTGCTTTCACAGTATTCATGTTCAGCGTTTATTGATGCTCTACAGCGTGTGCTTTTCACTGTTTTCCTGTTTGGTGTTTGTTTTTTCTTGTTTTGTTCTTGCTCTTTCTTGATTTTTCCCCAGCGGCCACTGCCCTGCCAAAGAAGCCTTGGTTCAAGTGAATCATGAGTGGAGGCGCTTGTCAGAAGTCTGGCCGGTCCAGAACGATTGGCTGGCACCTTCTCGCGGTGTTCTGGGTCAGTAGCCAGTCCTCCTTACATGGAAACTGGTGAAGCCAAGACCAGTCAGTACATAGTTGCCAGATAGAGGATAAACAAACAATGTAATTTCCATCGTTGAGAGTTTCTTCTATCATCTTCCATGAACTTTATATCTGGTTGCCCAGCACCGCTATGGATGACGCGTCATTGAGATTACGTAGATGCCTCTTTGGACAGAACTTATCGGCTCACATTTAGCTTTAAGTTGACGGCTAGATGCCTCCGATGACGATACAAATAGAATCAAAGCGGCCCGATGACGTGAAAGGCTTGTGGTCAAGGTGCTGGCAAACTAATTCAATCCAATAGCCCCATCACCTATCTTGCCTCTTTTTCCAGCTCTCAATGCTAAGAGTTCGTCTTTAAAGTCTTGTTTCCAGTCCTCGTCAAGTCTCTTTGGCTCCCAACCAAGAAGCCTCTTAGCCACGGTTCCCTTCTGGGCCTTATGGCCCACCAACCGCTCAGCTACCTCCTGCATTCCAAAAGTGACTTCATCTGCCATCTGCTTCAAAGTGACGCGCTTTATCTCCTTCTCCTTTGGTGTATCTTCCCTCGGCAACACCCCTTCCTCGAAGGCTGCATCTAAGCACAGCTGCATGATCTCGATACTGGAAGCTCGAAGTACGGCTGGAAATATGATACCGCTCTTACCCGATGGAATGAAACCGACGCCCCTGTCCTCCCTTTCCAGTATCGCACGTACAAGAAGAAGGTAGAGATCGGCCAGATCCTCAACATGCACCAAGTCAAAGCTGGTTGTATCAAGAACTTTGCGTCCATACCCTTTGGTAATAACGTACCGCAGCCCAGATGGAATGACAAGGCCGGATCGATTGAAAAGCCCTGTTCCGAGCCCGTAGATTCCAGGTGTGTTTAAGCTGACAGCCTGAACGCCAGTCTCTTCAGCCCGAGTAAGGACCGCCACCTCGGCCGTGCGCTGTAAATACGGGCTCTTCTCGTCCTCCGATTTGAGAAACTCGTAGATTGCATTGCCGTCCGCGTCATCCCATTCTCTGTCCGGATAAGCTTTGCCCGTGATGGGCAAGTCTGACAAGTTGGTACAGCCCGCAATGTGTATCATCCATGGTGCCCTCTCTCCATTCTTAACACGGCGAGCGAGGCCTTCGACAAAGGCCGCGGCACCGGCAGGAAAGAACCCAGATCCCGCATTGATAACAATATCGTAATTCGCTGCTGTATTGATAATGAATTCCTCGTCCGTGAGGCCTTTCCAGAGTATCGTTCCAATTCGGTCTTTGTAGGCCTCCAGAAGCTTCTCCGCCTGGTCTTCCTTGCGCACTAAGACGTCAATCGTAACGTCTTTCAGACTCTGGCTTGTGTCCTTGATCAAATGATCCAGTACAGTCCCGCCAACATATCCAGTCGCGCCTGTTAGTACTATTTTATTTCTGGACGACATGTTGCTCAGCAGCTGGTGACTTTCAAGGTTGTTCAATGGATGAAGATTCATGGAGAAGAAATTTATAGGGGGGAAGGGAGCGCAGCAACGAATGGACCGCAAATGCAACAAGACCGCAAATGCAACAAGACCGCAAATGCAACAAGAGGATTCAGCCAGAATCCTTTTGAAACTCATACTGCGCCAAGAGTAGGAATATCGATCCTCTGACCCTCAAACCAACCGTATGTATAGCCGAAACAGGAACTTTGGTGGCAGGGTTTGGTGGTGGCCCACGTACACTACAACCATGGCGTTGCAGCACATGTTTAATATTTAGCCTACAGTGAATTTCATTATTCTGAAACTCATCCTCATCCTATCGAATGTATTGTGAAATGCGCGAACACTTCAAGCTTCTACTGGAACATGATAGTTATAACCTGTTGCCGCAACCAGCCGGGTTTCTTTTTCAACGTCGCGGGTTATCCGACGAGTTCTCCCTGGTTGTCCGGGAACTCCGCCAGTGCCTACATGAGTCGTAAGTCACCAATGGCAATTTCAAGCTCCACTGTGGTCCTTGGGGCGTGATAAGCACGACTTTATCACGGGATAACTGCATCAGATCTCCACATGCCATAGCGCTGTCAACACCGTAGCGTAGTCGCCTTATAAAAGATTTCTAGAGATGGGCCGGTTCAAATGCTTCGGAATAGTTGACATCCAATGGCATAGAGTCTAGTGGTGTAACGGAAAAGCCGTTCGTAGCAAATCAAGCTCTATCCAATGGGAGATTTAATTGGCTGGCGCTTGTAACGCCGCCTCTCGACATTTATACATTCACAGAGGGTTTGGCATGTACAGATTTCTTATTCATTGGAAGATAAACAGCCTTACTCGTTGTACTTCTACTGCTTCTTGTTTAACAATTTGCGCACAGAAATATCGTCACTATGAGACTCATTGTGCGCGAGGATTCGACTTCAGTGGCAGAATACGTGGCCAACTATATAACAACACGAATCAAAGAATTTGGTCCTAGCCCGGAGCGTCCTTTTGTATTAGGTCTCCCTACTGGCAGTAGTCCTATTGAGGTGTACCGGATCCTAACTGCAAAACACAAGGCCGGCGAGGTACGCCGAATTTGCACCATTCTATTCACCTGAGGCTTGGACTAATTTTACTGTAGATATCATTCGAACATGTCATTACCTTTAATATGGTACGTTAACTCGGAAGGAACCTTCTTCTTTGATGTTTTGTTATTTTCTCACCCCTAACCTGCGTCTAGGACGAATACGTCGGCATCCCTAGGGATCACCCACAAAGCTACCATTCCTTCATGTGGCATTATTTTTTCTCCCACGTGAACGTGAGACCTGAGAATGTTCACATTCTAAATGGAAACGCAGAAGATCTGGAATCAGAGTGCTCTCAGTTCGAAGCAGCAATCGAAGCAGCCGGGGGTATTGATCTGTTCCTCGCGGGGATCGGCGAAGATGGCCACATTGCCTTCAACGAGCCCGGCTCAAGCTTGGCCAGCCGCACTCGCGTGAAGACCCTAGCCTATGACACTATACTGGCAAACTCGAGATTCTTCGACAATGATGTCAACCAAGTGCCAAAAATGGCACTGACCGTTGGAGTTCAGACCATCTTGAATGCTCGAGAGGTTGTCACAGTTGCTTTGGGAGCCCGCAAGGCAGTAGCGCTGCAAAAGTGCATTGAGAACGGCGTGAACCACATGTGGACGCTTTCTGCCCTTCAACTCCATAGACACTCCATGGTGGTTGCGGATGAAGATGCGACGCTCGAGTTGCAAGTGAAGACTGTCAAGGTTCGTAATGGCCATCTACATACTGTGTCGATCACAGAGCTAACAATTCAAATAAAGTATTTCAAATCCATCGAAAAGGTTGCTAGGGAAGAAGGTTTTGATCAGGCTCTTCCCCGAAACCTTCGCAAAGGGACGCGCGTAGCAGTCTCTAGTGACACCAACGGTAACGGTCAGATACAGTCTCCGGTGGCTCTCAAGCCCATTGAAGTACAACCATATCTGCTTCGTGCGAATAGTCCAGTGCTCTCTGGGCCAATTTCTAGGACTGTGACTCCCGAACCTACTCTAGATAGTATGAGTTCGCGAATCGAGATTAAGGCTTAGCAGGTCGATGACGGTGGGATTATGTGAAATCAAGTCGACTCCCCGGCAACCAGTCAATAATGCAAATCTGAAGTGTTCTATATTTCCTTTCTCGCATTTCTCGCCTATTTTGGTCCTTGCTAAAGTGATAATGTTGTTTCTTGTATCGTTAAAATACACACTTGAAGGCCGAATTGCTCTTTCATATAACCAGATGTCAGACAGCATGATATTTCAAATTCATAGATCAAGTCTTAAGATACAATACGCGAAATCAATGTTGCGATTATTGCTAGGGATCCTCTACAGATACCATGAATACGTAGGAGAAAGAGAATAAAGTTAAACAGCAATGAAAGTTGCCAGGGCCCGACAACTCAACCCAATAAATAACAGATACTATAAATAATTAATATAATCTATAAGTAAGCTGATTATATAAGTAAGCTGATTACTTCTATCCAGAAATTAGAACTTCCTCTTTATAATTAAATAACTTTCTATTATAAAATAAATATAACTTTATATAAAATAAATATTATCCTTATAATTTAAACTCTTAATTAAAATTTAAAATTAAGTATTAGAATAATAATAAAAATCTATTAAATTCTATATATAATTCTTTATAATTAATATACTAATTATATAGTAAAATATAATATTTAATTAAAATTAATAAATCTATTAAAATTTAAAAAAAAAACTATTATCTTATATATACTTAAGTTATCTATATATATATTTCCTTTTAGAATATATAATATTAAGAAAATAATTAATATTCTACTATATATATATAATATACTTCCTATTAGTATTAATTAGACTTCTAACTTTATTAAGTAGTAACTAGAGCTCTATATATACTAGGTTTAGAAATATAATTATTAGAGAATTAAATATAAAGATTTAAAGATTATTATATTTTAGTTTAGTTTTATATATAATCTAAAGATAAAATATAGTATTCTAGATAAGAATTTATATAACTTTAATAAAATTAGTTTTATAATAAGTATTATTTTTCCTAAAATAGTAATTATAATCTTAAAGAGTTATATAAAAACTAAGCTAGTTTAATCTAATAACTAGAAGTAAGTAATTATAATCTAAAAAGTAAATATAATTAGTTAGATTATTTTTTCTTTTATTATTCTAATTACTTAATATTATCTTAAGAACTAGTATTAGAAATATAATCTATTATATAATTAGTAGTTTATAATAACTAAGAATAACTAGATTATTAATAAGATTAATCTAAATTAAATTAAGTACTTTAATTCCTATATAGCTTCTTATATAAAAAGGGTATATTAGATATTAATTCTTAATAATTATAAAAGCTACTATTTAATTAATTTTAAAACTTATTATTAAAAATAGAAAATTATTATAGTTTATATATCTTCTTACTCTTTCTACTTTCTTTAATTACTAAATATTAATTATTTTAAACTACTTAAATAGTTATATAAATAAGAGATTAAAAGTCTAATATAGATATATATTATCTATATTAATAAGCTTAAATTTCTCTTTATTTTTTATATAATCTTTTTCTATTTCTTTATAGAGAAGAATATCTAAATAGACTTTATTAAATCTAGTTTAATACTATATAATCTAGAGAGAGTTTTTTTAAAACTAGATATAATATTATAAATACTAATACTATTAGAGATTTTATTTAAAATAAAATAGCTCTAGATTCTAAAGATACTATAAACTATATATAAGATAAGTATATAATCTAAATATATTAAATTTTAAATTTTAATTTATTAAAATAGCTCTTTAATCTCTATACTAGCTATAGTAGATTAATTTATAAAAGAGATAATTATAATAATATACTAGATAGTTCTTTTATATATTAAAATCTATAATCTTTATATAGTAAATAAGATATTAAGTAAATATTAAAGAGCTAAAAAAAGCTATATATAACTTAGAGGGTTTCTAACTATATAGAATAGAATAGATCTATTAGATTAGAAGGATATAAATAAGTAGCTAAGAAAGGAAAATTATAAAAGTAATAATTAGAAAGAGTAAGCTTATATAAAGACTTTATAATATAATAATTATAAAAAGCTTAATTATAATATTTAAATCTATAAAGAGATTAGAAAGAAGTCTAATAAATTAATTTCTAATATTATTATTATAGATAATTAGCTATTATTATTTTAATTAACTTTATTATATAAGGGATAGATAGAAGTAATTAGCTTATTTATATAATCAGCTTACTTATAGATTATATTATTTAATATAGCTAATTATAGATTACATGATTCCTTCTATGTAGTCAGGATTACGGACAGAGATCAGCAACGAGCCGACATTTTACCTTCTTAGCCACAGCCTCTTCTTAATTCTTGACATGTCCATCTTTGGTAGGTGTGACTTCCATCTCCGCACCTTCCTCAATCTTGGTCTCAAGCTCGCCTTGAGTGATTTCCGGCACTTGAGTCCTTCTATCCTGCCACCAAACGACACCAATCCAAGCGGCCAGGAGGACGGAGACAACTACCATGGCAATGGCACCTTTCCGGAATCCCTGAGAAATAAAGGTCAGGTATAGATTCAACCTCAAATAGACACTGGCACTAAGAACTTACTGTGGCGGCGTCAGTGGCCGGGTAAAGGGCGATACCCCAGAAAGAAAACAGAACCGAGGACGACCCTATTCCAGATGAGCAGATAGACTAGTAGAAATTCACATAAGAGCCTCACCATTCATTGCGTATAGGATCACAGCGCGTGCAGCGTCGTCGCCATCTCTTGCGAGGATCTTGTTAGCCCACGTGAAAACAACGGGCTGGATAAGGTAGGCAGTTCCGGCCAAATCTAACAGTGACAAAGACGATCAGTCAAGTGCTCCTACCAGCATGAAACTGCGGGCTCTATGTTGACTCACAAAATCCAGCCATCTTGGCTTCGGTGCCGACAAGGTCCCAACAGAGAATAATTACGCAAGTGACAAGTTGAACACCGCACGCAATCAAGCCGTACGGACCATGAACGCCTGTAGCGTCGATTAAGATGGACGTCAAAAGCGTGAGAAAGATGCCTGGAGTAAAAAAGTTAGTTTCAATGTCCTCCAGAGAAACACTGGGGGGAATCTACCAATGGCTGTTATCCCCAGTGGGTAGGTGTTGTTTTGTGGGACTGTAAAGAGCTTGGATGCCTTCATCCAGAGGACCATGCAGGTCTGAGTAGAGAACGCTTCAAGAGCTCCTCCTAGGGTCCAGAAAATGGTAAAGATCCAACTGAGAAGACAATTAGCGACCACGTATCTTGAAAGTTGATGTGGGACGGCTCACAAATTCGGCGCAAACAGGACCCTCTTGATCAGAGAAGGGCCAATATTGTGACCCTCTGGGTTCTTGGGGGGTAGACGGGATAGTGCAAGCTGTTTCTCGTGGGGCTTTAGGTAAAATGCTTCCGTCGTCTCGGGCAAGTCGGGGAAAAAATAATACCCAAAGACGGCGACCGGGATGGTGATAATGCCGTCAATGATGAAAGACTAGGCGAGCAACGTGTTAGATGGGCAATCGGCCTTGCACCATAGGGGAGGAACAGCAAATGAAGCTCACCCATCTCCAACCGGCCAATCCTGCAACGCCGTTCATGGTGTTATAAATAGCAGTCATAAGGATACCAGCGAACATTGTCCCAACCATTCCAGAAGCCTGGAACAGGCCCACTCGCTTTCCGACTTCTGGTCCCTTATACCAACTACCGATGATGTACTGTGTGCCACTGTAGGTCGATGCTTCAGCAATTCCTTGAAAGAATCGCACAGGCACGAGGTGGCCGAAGGAGTTACAAGCTGCGCATGCCATGGTGAGGAGTGCCCACACAAGAGTCATAAGCGGGAACCATATGCGTGGGCGAACTTTCTGGATGATGAGGCCATGAGGAACTTGTCCGATAATGTCTTTGTACCTGTTAGCAACCTTCGAGCTCAAAATGGCCAGGAGATGGCACCCACATCCAACAGAGAGAACAGTGACCAGAATGTTGTACTCATTGCCTGTGAGGTTGATGTCTTCTTTCATGCCGGACACATACGCATTTCCTAATACAGCACGATCTGTTGAGATATGATAAGAAAAGGTCAAGTTCAGGCATCAGATATTCGTAGAGTCATACCGAGGTAGTTGAAGAAAAACGCCACACAGCAGTATGTCTATACATCTTGGTTAACATTGGGTTCTTCTCAAGAGAAGAGTAATCCTAGAAAGAGCGCTTACCAGGATGAAAAAGTCTATTTTCCGGAGAAGCTATTCATAAAGGATGTGGCATTAGTATTGCATCTACAGACCCATCTGATTGGGAGCATGGACACACCTTGCGCTCCTCTGGAGTGTCCGGGGCTTCACCCCAGACGGCGACACGAACGCTGTGCAACGTGGTGCCCATTGCTGATAGAGGTGACGAGAGCTCCAAATGTAGTTATGAGCAATGGAATATAGCACTTTCTACTGGACTTGGACGTGGAGAAAGGATGAAGACTGAAGGAGAGCAGTGTGAGGTTGTTGCATGGTTCTGACTTTTTTGGAGCTCGAGATTAAATAGTCAGGCGGAATGGAACGGTTCTACCTTAAAACTGGGGTCCCCCAAACTGACCCCACAGCCGAGAATCTGCTATCAACGCTAACACCAACTTGTTGCCGAATCAGAGGGGATAGAGTATCTTGGCTATCAGTACACACACACCAGTATTCCTTGTAGCTACCCGAGAATTTATCAATGGTGCTGCTTTGGTTTGGTGGAAGCCCACCCGAAGAGAGGTGCGTCTTAGTCTACGTAAACACCCCAGGATATTGAGCCTCCACAACGAACGACCACGATATCTTCATTGATGATAAGAGTAACTCGGTGGCAGGTGTCATCACAAGACCATTTTGCATCTTTGCGAGTCTTTCCCCGCATGTAACCCCCATTTCCCCGCGGATATGGCAACGTGATGTCGCCTTTACTAACTTGATCTTGTTCCTTGCATAAAGAAAATCACGCTCTTTACGTAACTGTGCAAAGCTAATTACTGGCCCATAGAATCCGCGATCATATTTTGACACCCTGAAATTAATTGATTGTATGAAATTGATCGAGACTGGGTACCAAACGAGTAGTGCCGGGTTGTCCGACATGGTGAGATGATATTCTCTGCCGCGGGCTCCACTACCCTCCGGAAAACCCGTCTTTTCTTCCATGAAGATTCAGTGTTTTCATTCATCAAACCTGGTAATCCGAGAATAAGCTTCCGGCCGAGCGGAGGTCAAGTCCGAGCTGCAATTTTACCCTGGAAAGGAGGCGGCCATTTCCATCTTATTCTGTTGAACGTACGAACGGCCGATGTGTGTGCGAAGACACCAAATCTGAGACTAGCTTTATACCCTATCTCGATTTTACTCGGTGTCTTTTCTCACGGTCTTGGCTGAAGGCTTGACAAAAGGCCGGTGTTGGTTCTCCATCTACGCCCCCGCCGCTTGCATGATTCTTTCTCCTCTCGTCCCTCTACCCCCTGGATTTGACACAATGCCTTCGAGCCTGGCGGATCTCCAGACGGAGCAAAAGAACTCTAAGACATGGGACATTGACATTGTATCAACTACTCGTCTCTGCGGTGCGTCCTCCCCTGACGAATTGACCGAAATCACATGAGCACAATGGGGCATTCCTAACATGCCACAGAGGTGATCAATGAAGAGGACGCAACAGTCTCCAGGGCTGTTCAGAAATGCCTGCCGCAGATCGCAGCCACGATCGACATGATTGTTCCCCGGCTATTGGTAGGCGGACGCGTCATCTACACTGGCGCTGGAACGAGTGGACGGTAAGATAAGAGCTCCGTGTCGCTTTCACGCCCCTACTAAGTATTGAATGCTGTTAGGTTAGGAGTCTTGGACGCCTCTGAGATGTGAGTACTGATGATACAATGCATTTGCTATCCCAGCTATGGAACACTTTGGGTTGACTGGTAGAGCAATTGGTTTTCAGCCCCCCGACTTTCTCAGCACCGCTGAATCAATTCATTGGGTTGATTGCAGGCGGCGATCATGCAATTCGAAACGCGGTTGAAGGTGCTGAAGATTCCGAACCAGATGGTGCGGCTGATCTCATCCAGTTGACACCGACGCTGAGTAAGGACGACGTTGTCGTTGGGATTGCCTCGTCTGGGAGGACTCCGTACGTGCTTGGAGGGTTGAAATATGCCCGCTCCGTTGGCGCTGCCACGGTTGGACTGGCATGCGTACAGCCAAGTTCGTTGAAAGGGCTTTGTGATGTCCTGATTGAGTGCGTCACAGGGCCCGAAGTTGTAACAGGAAGTACTCGGCTCAAGGCTGGAACGGCCACAAAAATGGTGAGTCTTATGCCTCAAGGCTCTCTGCATCCATGGCTCTATTTTCTATCGCTGACTCATTGATAGATACTCAACATGATCTCAACCGGATCACAAATCAAAATTGGGAAAACTTTCGGCAATTTGGTACGTTAGATTTCTCTGCTCTATGAAAACAAGCAGCATCGGTTAACTGAATATCGGTAGATGGTGGACTTGAAAATGTCGAACGAGAAGCTACGTGACAGGGCAAGACGCGTTGTTCGGACGGTGGTGCCATCTACGGCAGCGCTTGATATCAACAAAGAGGATGTTCTAGACCAAGTCTTAGCCAACTGCGATGGCCATGTCAAGCTCAGCATCCTAGTAGCTACTTTAGGCTGTTCGCCGGAAGAGGGTAGGTTAAAGTTAGAGGCTTACCACGGATCATTGAGACATGCACTGGAAATGAAATAATACCCAGAGCTAGCATAGACATGAGAACACCTTTCACAGCCATTAGCCTAGACAAGAAATAGATAATATCATTTGCAACTAATTTTGAAATACTTTGTGCTCCAGCGGCCTCAACAATGAACAATGTCTCGACTGGAAATCTCAAGACTGAGTGCCACGTTTCAATGTCTGTCTTCATGCGACACTTGACTCGTAGTAGTATGGAGCAGGTTTCATCAATGGCCGAACCATCTGTGAGCTTGTCTCATTTTCGCTAGAACTCCATAAAGGAGAGGAGGTCTCGTGACGCCAAAGACTTCGGGTTCTCCGTAAATCTGGTAGACCCGCCAACCACCAAGTTAGCCGCAAACCGGACCAGATCCGGATTAAGCTCGAGACTTTATTTTCACACGAGACTTGACCGTGAACATCCTGTTCCCTGCCAGCCGTATATCAACTTGATCTGCTCATCTCGTCGATACATGGAGATGTGGTAAGATGGGTAGAGGACCAGTCCTGAGACACGAGTAAAACATCATCTCGGCAGTAGAAACAGAACGATTCGCAGCCCTCTTTGTGAAACAAACTTTGCAAATGACCTTGCCTGCGTCCGACATGCTATCGCTCAACGTCTTGGGTCTCAACTGCGGGACAAGCATTGATGGTCAGTGCGTTGGCATCTTCTATGTGCCAAGCAACTCAGCTAAACTATTCCAACAGGCATCGACGTTGCGCACTGTCGAATCTCAGCTATCCCCTCGTCGAACGATGTGCACATTGATCTGCTGTCTTATATAGAGATCCCTGTCAACCCAGCTGTTCGAAGTCAAGTCCTCCGCTTATGTCGGCCCAATGAAAAAGAGGCCGCAACATCTCTTGCTGAAATATGCGATCTCAACTTCGCGCTCGGCCGCGAGTTCTCCCGCGCAGTCATAGAATCTGGGATCGACTTGGCTCAAGTTGACCTCATTGCCAGCCATGGGCAGACATTATGGCACCAACCGCTTGGAGAGCAACGCTCGACCCTCCAGATGGCCGAGCCTGCCGTCATCGCCCAAAAGACAAAGAAGCAAGTTACTTAATCTGGCTTTCCCTCCGTCCTTGTTGAACACAGGTTCTAACTGGCAGCTTGAAATCAGGACAGTGGTCAGCGGTTTTCGCGTTGCCGAACTAGCTGCAGGGCGTCAGGGAGCACCACTTGCTGGGTTCTTCGAGGCCTGCCTCCTCTCCCATCCTGAGCTGACACGTATCAGCCAAAATATAGGTGGCATAGGTGTGTATAAAGGCAAAGGGTGAAAATGGATGGAGCATCATTAACCAACAACTTCACAGGAAACGCAAGTGTGTTGCCAGCTAAGAATTCACGTACGGAAACGTCCCGCCCAACTTATCTATCATTTGACACCGGCCCGGGAAATGTTTTCATAGATGCGGCAATGAGAATTATAAGTAACGGCGAAACCCATTTCGACAAAGACGGAGCACTTGGACTGCAGGGAGAATCCGAGATAGATGAAGAGGTTGTCAACAACTACCTGGCCGAAGAGCCTTACTTTCAAGTCAAGCCACCTAAAACAACAGGGCGAGAGCTCTTTTCAGATGATGTCGCGCGTGTACTCGTTGAAAAGATGAGATCTCGACACATCAGCCCTCAGGCCATTATCGCCACTATCACAAGAATCACTGCTGAGTCGATTGCCCGCGCGTACGAGCAATACGTCCTACCTCATCTTGAAGATGGCAAGACAATCGACGAAATCTACATCTGTGGCGGTGGTGCATACAACCCAAACATTCTGAAGCATCTGCAAGCACGCTTTCCTGATAGTCGAGTGGCCAGGCTCAGCGAAGCACCCACTAAGATCGAGCCAAACGCGAAGGAGGCCGTCATGTTTGCGTTGTTAGGGTTTCTGTCGGTCAGCGGCCGCACTGTTCCACTTGCGGATGATTCAGAGTCTACAGAGCCTGCTGTCATGGGTGTCATCACACCCGGTGAGAATTATCGGCGGATTATCGAGATTGTGGCTAAAAGTGAAGGGTTCTTGACAAACGGAGTGCTGGGGCGTATTCAAATGTAAATATATTCAATTCAGTTCAGATATTGGTCACAGTACTGAATTGTATCTCTACCTATATCAAAGTTAACGGATTAGACGAAGCAGAGCGTCGACAGATGGTTTTAAAGGGGCATTGGTTCTTTATGGTGAAACCTCTTCAAAAATGATATACTAGTTGTTTCTATCCAAGTGATTATTTCAGATGCACATCGATAAGAAAAAGATTTGCTAAATGACCTTCTACTACATGATAATCACAATGATCCCTATTCGGCTGCTTACACAATTGAATCTCTCGAGTCCGAGCAGAGTATACGATGATATGGGCTGGCTTCTGACCTCCGGCAAATTCACCCACAACAAATCATCATTTCTTCTTTGACACTCCTAAAATTGAGCTACACAGTGATATCAGAATATTCACCACATCAGGGGCAACATTTTTGTGACTCTCTTCTGGATCAACCGTGAATTGGATTTTTTTGGAGTGGAGGCAATCATTACGTACACCTGCCCAGATGAATATTGCCACAAGGTTATAGGTATGGCGTGGTTTTGCTTCTTTTTCCCTCTCAACTCAGCTAGGTCTTGTCGTTCGCTTAGATACACTCCGTCTAACTTGCTCTTCCAGCGATCAAATAACAAGAAATTACGTATGCCGTAGCCTCCTAAGCATCTTAACACTCTATAGTGGGGAGCCGGAAATCCCGTACGCTCCTCGCCACGGAGAACCCGGCACTGGAGTCAATAGACTAGGCTAACCAGTATGCTCGTCTGCACATAGATTCTTGTCCCCCCACTGATAACATTGACATTACTAGAAATAGTCAAGGGGCAAAACCTTGGCTCGGGGTCGCGTAGCGGAAAATCCGTCCTCAGCTCAACATTGGGATCCGTTTCATGCCCTATCGACCTACTTCCGGGAGCCAAGTCTTGATGGAAAGGAATTGGAGCTCACATTCGGCTAGCCATTGGGATGTCCATGATTTGGGATAAGACATTAGATTGAAGACTACGTTTCATGTCAATCCAAGCTCAGTGGAGAATTCCATCATTTTGTCATACAATTGATAGGACAGCTGCCAGCCACATGAATGCCGAAAGTGTGACAGGATCTCGTAGTTTCTTTATTGACTGATTAACCATTCAATCAATAACAAGAAACCCTAGGACCAAAAATCTACGCTCAGTACCAAGTTGAGATCGAAACTTTTTGTTCTCTTGGCAATTTATAAAAGAAGACATGCCTGGACAACTGTACACGCCAAAGTTAAGTGGCATCGTCAAGTTTACCAACTGTCGCCTAGTCCGCAATGACAAATTCGTCTTTGAGGATCTTTGGGTAAGCTCTAAGACTGGAACCATTCTCTCCAGTCAGGCAGCGTTCTTCGACAACCAAGCCCTCCCCGACGAAGTGATCGACCTCGAGGGACGAATCATTTCTCCCGGCCTGATTGATGTGCAGCTTAACGGGGCTTTTGGTTTTAACTTCTCTACAGCCCCCGAGGGGTTATTGTATGCCAAATCCATCGCAGAAGTGAATCGGAAGTTGGTTCAGACTGGTGTGACGTCTTACGTCCCTACTCTCACCAGCCAGAAGCCGACGCTATACCAGAAGGTGAAACCAGGGTTCGGTCGATCATTTAATTAGCAGTGTTAACAAACGTAGGCACTTCCTTTTCTTCGCCCTAATACCTCTCGCGTCGGCAATCATGGGGCAGAGTCGCTTGGAGCCCACGTCGAGGGACCTTTTCTGAATCCTAGAAAGAACGGGATTCATGATGTGAATGTCCTTCTCGAAGCGAACAGCTTTGCTGATATCGAGAATTGCTATGGCAGCGACAATATGGGAGGTTCAGGTTCTAGAACCTCCGCTATCAAGAAAATCACGCTGGCTCCTGAATGTGGAAACATGCTTGCCCTCATCCCCAAACTACGCGAGCGAGGTATCATTGTTTCCGTCGGACACTCTGATTCCACATACGAAGAAGCGTCGAGTGCTGTTTCTGCGGGAGCAACCATGATAACGCACCTCTTCAATGCCATGCGGCCGCTTCATCACCGTAATCCGGGTATCTTTGGGGTGCTGGGCATTGCTGAAAAGTCACCTAGGCCCTACTTTGGCATCATTGCTGATGGCATTCATCTACATCCCACTGTTATCAAGATCGCGTATAATGCACACCCAGAAGGGTGTATCCTGGTGACGGATGCCATGCACTTGGTTGGTCTCCCTGATGGTGCATACCCCTGGGAAAATGGCGATGTCGAGAGCAGAATCATCAAAACCGGCCCTACACTGCGGCTGGAAGGCACCGACAAGATCGCAGGAAGGTAAGTAATATGATTCTCTGAATATGGTACCTAGATGTGCTGACTTATGCCCTTGAACCTTTAGCTCCATCACACTCGTGGAGTGTGTCAATAACTTTCTTGAATGGTCCGGTGTTTCTGTCCCCCAAGCCTTGAAAAGCGTGACCAGCACACCCGCAGCCATGTTGGGCGTTGAAGGAACCAAGGGCTCTTTGGTATCCGGTGCTGATGCAGACCTCGCAATCTTCTCAGAGATAAAAACAGAGAATGGTGCCTCTCAGCTAATTATTGATGAAGTATGGAAATATGGGGAACGCGTTTATCGTCGGGAAGGGGTAGAGATTCCTGAGCCGACTAGCCCGCATAGTTCTGTTGAATAGTCCGCCACCTCCTTTCAAGCAAAGGAGATTACGAAGGGAGACTTGTTTATATTCTCGTCAAGGCATTGTTTTAGTCGATTTTGAAGATCCTAGAAAGCTTATGTAGAAAATCATTACAACAGCAAATACATATTTCCCTCATGCTACCTTCACATCTCAAAACCTACATACCAAAGAATATTTGGGCTAGCCGAGCTACAGCCTCGTGTAAGGCATCGAAAGAGCAACTAGAGGAGAGCCAGGCACGAGCTCATTTTGAAGCAAGCTTTCAACACACACATATCTTCAAATGCACCTTTTCGATCAAGCTTTTATTGTGTCGGTTTAATTCTAGAGACCTATAATGACCTAGGACAAAGATTCGATCCAATCCAAGCTATAGGCTCAACCCGATGGATACATTAGTTAGGGAACGGAACATCTCTACCAAGACTCTTGGCAACCCAATATCCCATCGCCCTTCGAACAGGGTTATTTGTACCATAGTACCTACTAGGATGAACTCGGTTACTAAAGTGAATCCAGAACGTGTCCGAAGGACGATCAATAGCAAGCGTGGTGCCAGTGAAACCGGAGTGGCTGGCCGTCTTCAGGCTCTGCATGCTCCCTTGGGTGTACGATTGGTTAAGCGCAAAGCCAGTGCCATAGTTGTTCCCAGGGAACTTCGCATTGAAGTCAGTGAATATGAGATCCACGGATTTCTGGGAAAGAATGCGATGTTGGCCGTAGGTGCCGTTGTTCAGGATCATTTGGCAGAATATAGCGACATCCCCGACGGTAGAGAATAATCCTGCGTGGCCAGAGAGTCCGCCTAGAGCCCACGTGTTCTCGTCGTGGACGGTTCCCCGGACAGGCTGCGGTCTCGCCGGTTCCTCTGGGCCTTGGGCCTCGATCTCGAACTCTGTTGGTGCGGTACGGTGGTAAAAGGGGTTGAGCGGCCCCTCGAGGTTTCCGCGATTGTAAAACGTAGAGTTCATCCCAAGTGGTATGGTGTATGAATAGACCAATAGTTCAAAGTTCCTGCCAGTGACCCTTTCCAGAATATATCGCAAGGTCATAAAACCAATGTCTGAGTATATGAACTGCGTTCTGGGCGGCACCTGGGGGGGGAGAGTCAGAAGGGTGGCCACTCGCTGATCAATGGACGAGTAATCAGACTTCCAGAGGTCCGGGGTTGGCAATGGCAAGAGGCCGCTCGAGTGCGTGAGAAGATTGATGACGGTGATATTCTCTTTCCCGTTGGCCCCAAACTCAGGTAGGTATGTAGCCACCGTCTGATTCAGATCGATCCTTCCCGCATCGACCTCCCGGAGTACCGCAATGGTGCAGAAAAGCTTTGAGAGACTTGCCATGTCATAGACAGTGTCAAAGGTCGCATTTTCCTGCTCTTGAGGCTCGAGCAGAGTGCCATTAGCATCGGCGTAGAGCTTCCTGTGGCCAACCGCGAAGGAACTGACGATGGTGCCGTGGCGAGCGACCAGATTGACAGAGCCAGGCTCCAATGCCCTAACTTCTTGAAAGGATGCGACTCCATAGTTGCGGGGCTCGGTGTAGGAGGTGATGTTCTGGATCATCGCATTCAGCGGCTGAGGTAATAAGCCGACTGACTCTGGGCTGCCATGCTTAAGCACGCGGCTTTGACCATTCGCGTGAGCAGCTGAGACAAACGCAGGATACAGCAAGAGCGAAAGCTTCATGTTGGCGAGTTGTAAGGTGATGAAGATGAACTGCCAAGGGAACAATGGGAATCAACTTCTCCCGCTGGGGTACTTATCGGTGTAGTGCGGTGTCATGTAATATCAAGGTCCATCACAAAGGAGCTCCTCGTTCATGGCGGGATTCACAGAAGCCGATCAGTATATCGGGATTCCCGTCACTGTCAAGCGGGGGGGATCTCAAGCTCGTCATTCGTCAGTTGGATATTACCAGGAGGCTCCACGGCACACTCCGGCCCCGCGAATCCGAACGGCCAGCCACCGGAAAGCTGCAGCCAGATGGAGGGGATATCAATGGATCGCGCTGATGTATCGCACGTGGCGAACTTGACCGATGCCTGCAAGTTGGGGAGTGCAATCAGCGTGGGGTAGCCATCCCCTGGCTGGGGGCGGAAGTCGTCGAGCAGTTCGTCCTGTTCCTCTGGATTCAGCTCAATACCATGATTTGTGAAGAATCTCTCGTTGACGTCGCCGAGATATGCTGCTTTGTAAAGGTCGCGCATGACATCAAGAGCACGGAGCCAGTGATTGGCCACTTTCCACTCCCCTGTCCACGACGAGACAAGCTGGCGGACGAGATCAAAGTAACGGCTGGCCTTGAACTGATACTCGGGTGTGGAGAAGGTCTCGTCGTGAGCGTACTGCATCCAGAGATACACGTTGGCGGCCGTCAAGGTAGTAGCGGCGACCCATATGGTCTGCAGGGCCGGCAGGTCGTTTGCCTGCTCGGGATCCATCAAGTAGTCCAGTATCTCGCCGATGGTAAGGGCGTTGGATACACAGTTCGAAACCAGAGGCTCATCCCTGTAGAGATAAGACCAACCAGCTGCGTCAACAAGATCGACCAGATTAGTGTACAGAGTAGGATGGGGCAGATAGCATTGGTGGGCAATGGATAGAGCGCCATGCAGTAGGAACTGCATCGAAAGGAACAGCTTCTTCTGGCCAAGTGCGCAATGAGTATCGTAGTTTCGAATGCTCCAGCGGAGGCCTTCGGGTAGAGAGTCGCGCCATTCCCGCGCAGCCTCAGATCGAGCAAAGAAGAGGCTCTCTGGGCTGGTTGGGGGGTGTTTTTCGAGACGACGCCGGGAATATGCAGCAAAGTCTGCTAGATCGCTCCACAGAATGATTGTTTTGATAAAGTACGAAGCCAAACCCAGATCAGAAGGACGTGCATATGCGGCGAGGCTGGCCAATGTGACGCCTCTCGTCTCTTCTTGATAGAGCATCGATAGATCCGTGCCCGGCACAGATATGGAAACACTCTCCTCATTGACAGTGCGATGCTTGCCAAGGAAGTAAGCCAATACCCGATCAAACATGAGACAGGCCCAGAAGGTCCGGCGCCGAATCTCCTGCTCCCTGTAGCTGTGTTTCTGGTGAAACTCCTTGTTCAGCCGCATGATCTCGGCCATCCGGATCGCCGTGCCTGTGAAGAGCCAGTGTCTCGATCCAGAGCTGGAGAGTAGCTCAGCCAATGCCAGGACAAGGTTGGCCTGGATGTGAGTAACTGCATGGTGGTGAGGGTGATTAGAGATCTGGTAACTCGACAGGGTTCCCAATGGATGATGGCTTACCACTCGGATCATCTGATACCATCTTGACGAGATTCCGGGCTCTGCGCATGTAAAGACGGAACACATCGTTCGGTGAGGCAAGCCCAAACTCAGTCTGAGCAGTCTCGAGGGAGAGGTATCGACTGCAGAGCGCAATGACACATGCTGCCAAGACGGCCTCTTGTCTGCATTTGGACTCAAAGTCTGATCTGGAGTCAAACGAGCAGAAGTCACTAGCAAAGTGACGCTCGAAGAACAAGTCAAGACACGACTGCAAACCCTTGTCCGTCGGTTCGGATACGGACGCGGAGGAGGACGGCGGCAGCGCTTCGAGGTGAGGCACGCTGTCCGTTGCTGATGTGTCAGGGGTCAGTGCGATAGAGTCGATAGGCGGCGCATCGTGATCCGGCATTGCCCAGACACACTGCAGGTTCTTGTTAGAGCAGTGCTTGCACCGGGGTCGCATGCCGTCACACTTCGTCTTGCGCCGCCGGCTGAGAGTGGAACTGCAGTTAGCAAATAGCAGGCAGGTCGTCTTCCGAGTCACCACATCCGGAGCAAGGCTGAGAAGACGGCACTCACCATGAGCCGCACGCAAGCGGGGTTCTCGTAAAGGTTCGCGGCATCCCTTGAACGGCTGCTCTCTGGCTGAGCAGCGGAGAATCCGTGTTGTGCAAATGCAAGGTGAATCGCAAGTCGTCCGGGGAAAGTGCTACAGTTGACTTTGGCTTGGGGGAATCAAAGTGGAGAGCATCGGGTTATCCGAAAATAATTGATGGCTAAAGCTCACGTGCAGCAATGATAAACCATCCCCGCAGATAGTGAGATAACCCATTTTATCCATATCACGGTGTATTATATACAGTAGTATAGAGTTTACTCTCCTAGTGACTATAGTTGTTAACTCATAGCTTCATCCAAAAACTTCAAAATCGAATTGTAGGCGATGTTGAGCCCAAGTGAACAGCATGTTTCATCACCTCAGTCTTGTCTCATTTCGTCGGTTTACAAGATCAATCAATTACCTACATCAGATATAACTTGCCACTTGACTTCTTAGATGGCTTTTCACGTGAGGAATCATATTGTTTTCTGCACAATTAACCGACGGCGGATTTGAGTATGAGGTTGATACCTCCTTAATATCTTGATGCAGGGGTACAAAGTCGCGATCGCGATCAGAGTCCTCAGCAGCACGGTCCTGAGTAAAGTCGAAGTAATGAGGCAAATGACATCATCCATTTTCCTGTGTGCTATCTCCGCGACGAGCGTTCGGTTTCGGAGTAGTTACTATCGAGGTATTGAAGAATAGTAATTGAATTTTATGACTCTATTGTCGAAGCTAGAAAGTTGTCAATGCTCTACATATACGTTAGTTTGTTCATCATACCTAAATTTAATTACGGCTCTCGCTACGCAACTCGCTACGCAAATGGTAGAGCAATTGTGCTAGGAATTCGTCCAAGGCTAGCATGACTAGATTGCTGGGGCTGTGACGCAACATCGGGCTTGGCACCCTCGTGTCCATTTCACAACGCATTTATCCCTTGAAATCGACAATTCCGTTTCAGTAGTCTCAAGAGGCCGGACCTCCTACGTGTTTCTTGTCTCTATGCTTGACTGGTCACTTCTTTATCTCGTGCAGGCTCAAAATGTGTGCTCACAGAGCACCGATCACCTCGTCCTACCTAACATTAGGAAACCATGGAAGGAGCCAGTCAATGCCGGTTAGATCGACTTTGGGGCTGGTAGTTTGCACGGTGTGGCCAAATTTAGCACAGCAGCTCAGGCGTATGAGTGAACACAAGGCTGCCAACATAACCCACGAAAGGGCCTATAAAGACCTGTAGAGCCTCGTGCCAATATCTGCTGGCTATTTTCTCTTTTCAATGACTACAGCTAGAACATCTTGGGTGCTAAAAAAGTACACAACACACCCTTCCTTACGAATAACTTACGTCATGAATTAAAATTAGACTTGCTCTCTCGAAGGATTGCACTGTGCGTGCTTGGTGGGTCGGTCTGCCGATGGCCGGTCCCACATCGTCAGTGAAAACAAATAAGGGGATGAAGAATGGATGAACTTGATCTTTTGATGTTAACCCTCCAAGGCTCAGTGTGCATGTTAGCTGCCGTAATAGAGGAAGCATGAACTTCTGTGACAATACCCACCTTCATACCTTGGGGCTCAACCTGGAAGCCCAGATCGAGCTCCGGCTGGTGGCAAATCCCACACCACGACACGGTGATGATGGGAATGGATCTCACGGCGGCTTAGCTTTCAAACCGGCCTCAAAGCAGCTGCAGGTTGGCCGAGCCCGTCGAGGAAAGGGTCCATTGAAAGCCCCAGCGGAGAAGCAGGATCGGCACAAGAACCTCGTCCTCGCCGCTCCCCAATGCCTCGGGTGTGATTTGCATTGGGTCACCTTTGCGGAGCCAAAGGAGCCATACATGTCGGAAGCCTGCGCTGACTGTCAGTCTCTTCCGCCACCGAGTGTCGCCGAAAGCGGATCAGGAGAAGGAAGCCATGTAACCATGCTAACATCAGGCCAGTCCTTACTTGTGTCAGAGACACGTTTTATCCCTCTCAGATCTGCGCGCGGCTTGACAAGGTCGACAGATCCTTGTGGGTCGTCCTACTCGAGGATCCCCTCTACTTCAACGCTATTCAATTCGGTACTCTTGCATATAGGGAGTTGCTCGCTGGCCTACCCTCCAGCAAGGAGACACACAAGCATAGACTAAAGACTATCCGCCTTCTCAGGGAAAGAATAAGCTCGATCGATAATAAAGCGGCAACTTCCGATGCAACGGCCCTGGCTATCATCATTCTAGCACACTTTTCAGAGGCAGTTGGGGACGCCAAAAGCTTTGAGGCCCACATGAATGGGCTAAAGGCGCTGGTCGATGCACGAGGAGGGTTGAAAGACTTGAAGTCGGGCCTCATAGAGCTTCGGACAAAGATATGCAGGTGCGTCAGCTGGCACGTGTGGCGTGGCTACACTTGTTCTTCCCAATTGCCTTTGCTTCTTTACTAGCCATTTTCTCTTTCTCCTCTCTCATTTGCTAACAAATATGATATCCAGAGTTGATACCGCCTTTGCCTTTCTTTCTGACCGTCCTCCAATGTTCTTCCAGGGCGAAGTACCATGGGACCGTTATGTTCTAGATCAATACAACCCTACAGATATTAGCTCAGACTACATCCAGCTCCAGAATATGCAGTCACTCGATTGGAGATTACTTAATGTCTGGTTGGATATGCAACAGTTTTCATTCATGTGCAACGACATTCAGAAACGTGGCGTGCGACTTGATCAACTCGTTTACAGCAAGATCATGGTTTCGATGCAATACCGTCTACTCTGCCTGTCCTTCAGCGATTGCTCCTTAAACAATGCATTGCGCGCCGCGATGTTAGTTGTCATGACGAGATTGATGTTTGGATGGCATCCGAGAAATGATGCCCAAGTTCGGGCCGCAGTGCGACTTGATGAGGCCATGGTCTCTATCCTGGATGGAAAACTCGATGTGCCCCATCACGTCTTGTTCTGGATGCACATGGTCCGAAGTCAACTGGGCGGCTTGGCTCGGATAGACGCTCGCCTCAATACTTGGCTTGTCGACACGATTGAGGCGCTTTCTTTTCGTTCCTGGGCAGAATCAAGAAAGGTTCTGCTCTCAATGGTGTGGTTTGAATTCTTTGGAGAATCGCAAGCTGAGCTTGCTTTTGATTATGCCTCCACGAACCTGCCCGGCCGTTGAAGAATCGCGAGCCGATGTTCTACTTAATCAAGTACTACTCAGACCTCGAAGACAACAGTGGCTCCTCGGTCCCATGATAACTGCTAGGCTCGTCCTCAAGGGCTGCAATCCGTCTGCAAGACGCAAACTCTGAAGGATAATCTCATCGTGCCAGCGTGAATTTGGGAGATAAATGTCAACGAAGAGAGACCGAGCGGGCCAGACGATAAGAGCGACCTCCAAACCTTAATTGATCTCAGGCCCTTGATCAAAGTCTTCAAGGCAAGAGGGTGTCACGGCCATCGATGCGGCATGAAGCAAGCAGGCCGATATCATCCATTCCTCGCGATCCATGCCAGCACACGGGCCAAGTCCCCCGCCTCATTCTGTTTTTTTCTGGCGCGGCAAACGGCTTCCAGTACTTTATTACTGGTCTCATGTTATCCTCAGTAGCATTGGCAAATCTGTTGCCCGGACACTACTGATATAGGAACTGCTAACCGTATGCAATGAAAGCTAGCAAGGTTGATAGACTGCAAAACCTACTCTTAAGTGACCTTTGAACTAAGCTCAAGTTTCAAAAGTAGTGTATGTATCTAAAGAAGAAGCATCATCAGTTGCCCTAGATACCTGTATAGAGGTTAGAACAATAAACCGATCTAAATCTGTGCTCAATACTCTAGCCGCCTTGTAGTAATTTCAATATGTTATTTTAGCCTGTAACCAGGTATCAACTGTCGCTGCCGAACCACACGTTTGAAACATGACTCGTGATCAATGATCGAGTATGTGCCAACTTTCGAACGAAAGTGATGACTGGATTCAATTTATTATATCTTTGATTTTAGACTTAGTTTATGTCTCCAGAATAGACTTAGCTACGTCCTTGAGGGTTCGATATTACCACACATTGTTTAAATGATATCTCGGGCATGAGGTCAAAATGGACCTTGAAACAGGTGGCTTTTCTAGCATACCTTCACTTGTGAGTGATGTGTTGAGGAATTATATTCAGTACTAAACTTTTGTTTTCTAACGCGTTTTTCTCTTTCTAGGCTGTGTAACAGTGCGTCTGGGCGGCTGCTGTACACGTATAAAGGGCTCGGTACTGGTGCACTTGTGCCGCTACCCGTCGATACTTGGTCATTACGCGTTGAATCAAACACGCAAGCCGACATTCACTTCTGCCGTGACTCTCGTGCTCCTTTCTAAAAGTTTTCCATTCGTGACTTTTGCTCCACTTCAACCTCAAGTTTTATTCCGTTGCATCACGCCAAGTCAGATATTCATCACGCCAGATCGATGCCAACTCGCTGAGAAGTTCGCTCCGTTCAAAATCTAGGAAGACCAACACGCTTCTTTTTTCCGATCGACTCATCTAGAACTCTCACCCTACCTCTCCGAGTATGTCTAGCACGGGCTCCGCATCCGCAGATGGCGATACTCCAGCCACATATCGATGTCCAAGCTCACCACCTCAGCGGCCCAGACGGGAATTCACCGCGATCCTCGGCCACAGATGGGAGAAATGCGAATTCCAGCTTCACATTAAATGGGTCGGTGTAGATCCCACATGGGTACGAGAGCGGAGCCTGCATCGAGATTCGAAAGCCGCTCTGTTACACTACTGGCAAAGTCTGCCCAACGGCCGCCCGATGAACCCAGACGACGACGAAGTGTTCGAAGTTTTTCGATTCAGGGATGATAAGGCAGGCAAGAGAGGCAAGAAACGGTTGCTGCTAACCGAATGGGTCGGGTATGACGAGAAGGAGATGACCTGGGAGCCTGAAGACGAAATGGTGAAGGCGGTCCCTGAGCTTGTGGACCTTTTCTGGGCAGAAAAGGCGGTTATTAAGGCCAAGAAGGGCTTTTATTAAAGGTCGTCCAAAGGGAAACCCGGCTTTTCATTTGCGGCAAAGACTGCAAAGGGCTTTTCATCTTTGATGTTCAAGGCTAACTATGGGGCTGTGTTGGAGTAAATACGTTGCTGTACAATGGCCTAAAACTCACCGACAATGGAATATTTCATTTGCAAATACCGTAGTACCTAAACTGTGATTGTGAGTAAGTCTGCTGATTTCTCCAAAGACAGTGCTTGATCATGTACCGCAACGTCTAGGGACACAATACGAGCGGTGGGTGAATTTGTACCACATTCAAAATTTTCACAAAATTCCTCAAATCGGATGGTATCACGACCTTCAAACATCTGTGGCCTGCGTTGATTGTTGATGGGCATGATACGGTTCTCGCAGCATCCCGAAGAGTGACTTCAACAACATTGAAGTTGGAGCACGAAAATAGCAGTCTCGTTTTCAAGCGACCGTGAACAGAACTCACATCGCTCAGGCAAGTCTAGTCCACGCTACGCTGGGAGAAGACGTTTCGCACTTCTTTACCTCAGTAAGAGAGATGGGCAATGTCTTCTTTAGGCAGACTGAATATAAGCCAATGAATTTCACGAGGACTCTATTCTATTATCCCACTGGTAGGTGAAAGCCAGCCAAGTACCCATTCCTAATTGCGGCACATGAAATCCTTACCTGTCGACATGATGTTCCCTCGACATCTTGCAGCCTGCGCCATGTGTAGTCAATTGCAGAACGACGAGATCGAATCCATCCATGTTGATTTGCATCCATGCCGGCATCCAGCCTCAGCAAGTCAATCGCTAGAGGTCGATCCCTGCATCTTTCATTAGGTATCCATGTCTCAGCCCCTGAGATCGACCGACGGAGAATGCCGGCTTGTATTTGATTAGCAAATTCTCAAGGCTCTCCTACCCTATAGCTGCCTCACTCCGACCACGAGACGACAAATCGACTCATAAAATGGTGAAACGTGGTTAGTAAGTTATATTTTACGAAGAAAACAATGTCATGCTCGATTTCTAAATCTCACAAGTGCGCGAAATTTGTGGATTATCATGGCTGTGAACTGAGGTGTAGCAAAGCACCTGCGAACAAGGCAATCTTGTGGCTGTGAAGAAAGGAAGAGAGATTGGTGTAATATGCCAGGGAAAGGTACGATCTCAATTCAAAACCCGAGAAAATGCAATGGGACCTAGAATGCCTGTTTTATTTCGTTGATAGACTCCAAACCTAGCCTGCTGGTTGAAATGGATTGAGCGGTAATTTTGGTCAGCTTATATGTTATCTTACGACTAAGCTTTCATAAGGCAACGTGCCAGAGTGGTTAATGGGTAGCACTCGAATCATCTTAGTGATGCTATGACTTCGGTCGCGCATGTTCGAATCATGCCGTTGTCGATTTTTTTCTTCATTTTTGCTCATTGGTACGTAATCTACCATTCTCTTTATGTATCCGGCATCCGACAGCCGACATTACGTTATTTGAAACATGACTTAATGATCTAATTTGAGTGCAATATGATTCCGCTCAGGCTCTAACGAGCCAAAATCCCCACCTCCTTCATCCCTTTATCATCATAAAACGGTTGCTTTGTCCCTGCGAACATATCTACCACAACATAGGTAGAGCGGAAGCTATTGAATTCGTCTCTATTTACACACGTGGCCTAGAGGCCATAATTAATTAATTACGATTTTTAGAGGCTCCTCTATCTCATAGTCCTCCCAATATTCCTTCTCGTTCTTTTCATGCGTCCTCTCCCATTCTTCAGACAGTCCCCGGAAATCTGCTGGAACATATGGGCTGGTGAGCTCGGCGTATATCGTCGGTTTTCGATTTACCCGTAGCCCCAAGTCTCTCATCAACATGTTTGCGTACGGTATGCCATCCAGGCCGAGGTCAGGAGTATTCGAGCCATATCCGCACGGGTAACGCCACTTCCCCCACTGAGTATGAAGCATCACCTCGTACGTAACCTCTTCAAGGGTGTGCGGTGCGCGGTCGAGGTTGTTGTCAAAGAATGTTGAGATCCATAGGCCTTGGATGGTCGCGATAATTGGCGATGCTACTGACGAGACCATCCCGGCAAAGGCCAAGTTTCGAGACGGAACCAGTGTCGGAGGGATCATAAATCGGTAATATCGTACAGGTTCTTCACCCCTTTTCTGGTGAGAAATTTCGGGCTGGTTTGCTAGACCGGGGAACATGTAGAGAATTCTTTCATCTGCTTTCTGTTCTAGCAGTCTTTTGTCCGATTTGTTAAATGGTAATCCAAGCCCTTCATCACCTAGCCCAATGAATTTGATGGAATTATTCTTCCTCCACCCCGTCGCGCATATAAGAGCATCAGTGTCGATGATGCTTCCTGATGCTAAAAACGCCCTCTTGTATTCGAGAGACTCTATCTGGTCAACATGGACTCGGATTTTCCCCTGCTTGATAAAGTCCCATATTGGTTTGTCGTAGTTGAGGATACTCAGCCTACTCCCGATCCAAAATGACGAATGCCAGGGTTTGAGCTTTTTGATCTCTGGGTGGGAATCGTAACGATTGGCAGAGATAACGTAACTACCAAACGTTCTCCAGAACCAGTCAACAAGGAAGCGACCCAGTCTTGTCTGGTGAAGAAAGTGTCGAGTCCGAGGGAATCCATCCTCAGCACCCCAGGGACATGGGCTGAACCAGGTGACCCATCTCACATTGAGCAGCCGATCTAAAAACTTTTTGAAAATCGTAACCACAGGCGGCGAGATCCAGGCCGGTCCTCTTCCCTTTGACCGGATTACCATATCCACCTCGGTCCCATCCTCAACCAAGGCATAGGCAGTATCAAAGGCAGACTTGCCTCCCCCGACGACGATGGCACTTTTTACTCCACGGATGGCCTGCATCTCCTGGCAAAACTCTCGAACGTGAAAGAAGGGAGCGCCGAACGTTTTCAACCCTGGATAAGAAGGGATATTGGGGGTGTTGGTAAGACCTGTGGCGATGATGAGTCGATCAGTTTCAATAGGCTTTACGCCTCTTGGCCCAGTCACCAGAAGCCGCCAGCCGTCGCCACTGGGCTGCACCAAGTCAACTCGGGTGTGAAATTGGATCATGTCCAAAATGCCATAGTACCGAGCGTAATCCGTCAAATACCGGAATAATACAGCACCGGGAATGTGGCTGGGTGGTTTGAGGCCGTATATCTCCTCCGACATGGGGAAGTCTGGGAACTCATACGTGCCCACGCAATTGTTGGACTTGAGACTCGGGTACAGCCGGTTTCTTGACCAAGTGCCGCCGCATGATTCTCCAGCTTCCAATATGGCGAGCTTGGAATATGGGTGCATGTGCAGATATGCTTTGGCGGCTGCTAGACCGTACCACCCTGGCGATGATTGTTAAAGCTATATTCGATACTGTGAGTTTGATATAAAGGGGGGGACCAACCTGCTCCAACGACTATGACATCGTAAGATCCCCCCATCTTAGTGGAGACACGAGCCAGGGATTGCAACGATGGTACAGGGGTAGGAAACACCTTGGGAAGGTCAATTGATAGATGTGGGAATCAAAGGGACCTATGAAGGGAGAATATTCTGGAAGTAGACGAGTCGGAGAGCAAGGGGATATTAGTTTTCCTGCGTGAAGTGAAAAGAAAATTCCGGTTGGATTGATATCATTATCGTATGTTTCGAATCCAGCCGAGATCAGTTGACATCCACGCAGACAACCCCTGTTCTGTTCCTCCGCCCGGAATGGTCGGGTCGAGGGCCCTCGCCACAATGAAGCGGGTCTGCCTGCTAGATTTAATCGTGGGAGAGAAAAATCAAAGCTGTCATTGGCTGAGGGAAGAGCCCGGGTGAACAAGAACGAGGGTAATTACATGTAGTAAGCTTCGTCTCATGCTAATTCCCGTTTCATGCAAGTTCAAGTCCATGGTAACGAGCAGCAGTTGGAACCGGTAGTGTTAAAGCACTGAAGGGAATCGTCACACGAATATATCATGAGGGCTCATAGTCTACAGAAGTGACTAGACCCTTAGCAGCACAAGCTCGTCTAATAAAGACCTTTAGGGTTGTAGGAGTAAAATATAGTGATGGATATATTAATGCTAGTAAAAGTCTTATCACTGGAAATGTAATACATAGTGAATAGAGTGTAGTGAGATGCGTCATTCGAAAGAATGAATATCTCACACCCTGCTAATTGGGATAAATGTCGAAGTCTTCAGGCAACGTGTTGCTGGAAGACTCGAACAACACCAAATGGCTAAGAAACATGACAAGAAGGGTATTTGAATCACACAAGAATACCCGATTGCTGATGCTCGACTAGCTGTGAGAAGATCGGAGACCTTCCATTCAGGCTGCCGTTTTCTCGGTGCTCCCCGTAAGGGAAACGGGTTTGCGTCTCTGCAAAGCATCCCAAATCGCAATGCTAGTCTCGACCAGATGGATGATGAAAAAGGGGATCAAGTTGTACTGCCAGCCTTGAGTAATGCGCACAATGGAAGATATTTTAGATCTGTCGCCGGGGTTCACAAGGTCGAGCTCAAGGAGAGCAGAGAACCAGCCCTGGGGTGTCCAAGTCCCCACGTCATACTTTTGTCCGTCAAGACCAGCAGCGACGGCAACATCGATCGCCTGGCCGGCATAGCAATTGGTGACGACAAAGACGTAAACGAGTGCGCCGAAGCTGAGAAGGAAGCTCAGGAAGTTGACCAGCACCCAGAGATGGTGAAAATAGATGGCAAAATTGCTGGGATTCGGACGGGAGCGCAGGAAGAGAGCGAGGGATCCTCCGAGGCCGATGAGGATAAAGGCAGTACCGGCGGCTGCATTGCTCGTGTGCCCTTGATCGGTCATGAGATCCTTTGGTTCGCCCTTAAGGTTGATCGTTGCTCCATCGCTGGTGAATGGAAATGTGCCGCTCGCAGGGCCATGTAAGAAGCCAACCGTGGCGGAGACGAAGGACAGCTCAATTATCGCTATGACCATCAAGAGGCCAACAGCCGGGTATAACAACTGACTACTGGACGGCATTTTGATTTTGACAGAAGAGAAAGTCACCGAGTGCGCACCAAAGGTCAGAGAGAGGTGGCAAGCTGGGCCAACAAAGAGGTGTACATCTCCGCCCCTATTGCTTATATACGCTCGCGTTGTGAAAGTTTCTCATGTAAGACCTGACTTCCTAGTGCTGACCGCCGTGCAGATGCTCCGTGTTTGAAAATTAGAGGACGTCAACATGTCTGACACTACAAGCTCGCTAATGGTTACTACTGGCAATGAGGCTTGTTTAGCTTATGGCTTTATGTGCCGGCGGGCCGCTCTGATGCAGGGGGTGCTTGGGCTGAGCAGCAAACTGCGTCATGCTATTGGCAGACAAGAAGAGGAGACTGCCGACGTGGCTAGGGAGTGGCTGAACTATGTTGTCTTTACTCGCGAAGGCTTACGCCGTTGAGCTGTGCTGAACAGTTAGGGCACAGAGTATTGGAAGAGTCGCGTGCCCTGATGCCCAACTTCAAGCGGTGAAGGTCCAAAGCTGATACTCTATTGTTGCTTGGCGATGCACGCGATGGGAATGGTCCAGCGATGACAATCAGCTGACAAACCTGCTGCACTGTATGCAGTTGACCTGGCTTATGACCAGAGCTCAAAGCGCTGACGGATGACATAGTCAACTTTATTACCGATTTGGCTCTGAATCTTACTGCTTTTATCCAAGTGCTACTCAACTAAAACCAGCTAAGTCTTGCACCATGGGTCGATCTTAGTGTACCTTGGTTGAACCCGCTTTCCACCTCCCGGACTAGCTTCTTATTTCCTTTTCTCCCCTCTGTGGATGTAATAGCAGATCAGCTGAAGGATCTCTCAAAAATGCCTCTCTATTAGTGCCAGTTGAATATATCCAGAGGCGTTTAACTTTGCTATGTGCTCAAATCAACCGCTCCTCTACATACAGGAATAGTAGGAATAGCTACGTCTATGGTAAGTTAAGTATAATCTGAACTGGATAGAGGAGTGACTCTGGATCGCGCCTACTCATGTATGTGTGGTAGAATAGACGATGAAGGAGGATACTGTCATGACATATGAGTGCTGAGCTAGTGATCGCAGTCACGATGTGGAGGTTAGCCACCTATCTATGATCTCGAGCTCGAAACGTGGTATTCATCATGAATGTTCACATTGGTGCAGGCATCTCGACAAAAATCCACGAAAGTAGGCTATTTGAGAGAACTCTCTGCATGTTGTCCAGGTGCAGTCTCAGTGATTTCTCAAACTTAGGTGTCAACTGACCTCTAAAGACAAGCATTCCTTGTATCTGAAATGTTTCAATACGCCTGGCCCCGTTCCAGAACAAACCTCGCTCCTCCTCGTGTCACACCCTGATAACTTTTACCCGCTGTAGCGATACTGTCCCCTTTAAGTTCAATTTTGTCTCATTCCCTAATTTGGGTACTCTTGCTAAAGATCACAACTATATGTACTCCGTGTTCATTTTGCAACAGGGATATTTTGCCTTTCTCCATCTTCTATACGGAACTAGAAGTACAAGCATCTTCTCATTGGTTCTTAAACCGCTTTGTTGTGAAAGTACACTTTCCGAAGTATAATTATTCTGTCGGTATTCGTTTCTGATGCAAACCTGATGGGAATTCGGAGGATAGAATCGAGATGCAGAACCCTGGCCTAGAACAGACCACCGCCTCGGGTGTTAGTCGTACCCGTGAGAGCCTCATACCATTTCTCTCGCGTACGGCCTGGCCCAAAGCTTGGATCGACCCTCTCACGGCCGATACTGATTTGCTTTAAAGGACTGGCTAGGCACTGCCAGATGGGATCATCTGGCGTCTCGCATTGCCCAAGTCGATGGTATGTTACTAGCTCCAGCGTCCACGCATCTTCATCTCTCTTAACCAAGATTTCATAGTCCGTGAAACAATAGCCGCAGCTGCCATCAACATATTTGCCAGCTAGATTTCCCGCGAATACGTCACCTATGCCAGTAGAAACACTACTGTCCAGAGCTTCATTCAACAGAATGTACCATGGATTAATTGAATTTTCGGTTTCCCAAGATTCTTGCTCAGCCAAATGGTTGCAGATAGGGAGATGAAGATGATACATTACGCTGAGGAAGCGACATCGTCGAACCGGCAAGCCACTTACTCGATGAAGACGAACCACATGTAGTTCATCATCAACGATCATAGCGCTATATTTGAAGCCGAAGCTCCAAAGTCCTTGTCCATTTCCAGGGCCTGCTGGCGTGGGGTGGTTGACATTTCCTTGTTCCTCTGGTCGCAGTCCGTACCGTCCCTTGGGTGGATCCTTGCACAAAGAGAAATGGTCATGGTTCCAACATCTGATGAAAGTCTCCATGTTAAAGTCTTGTTTCAGAAAATCAAGCGATATTCCATATCTTGGCCCATATCGGTGCCGGTTCATGACCAAGTGAGCCTCTGAAAATGAGATTTTGGGGCCGGTCCTAAGGGGCTTCCAGACATGAAGATTGAACCGGATTGTGTATTTTGTGACTCTGCGAATATGAACCCAGGTCTGGTCCTCGGAAGTTTCATGTAAGACGGTGAGGGTCCTTTTCTGGTGATCCCCGCATAGTTTATGGCCCTTATCGACCCAACCCCGTGTTGGATGTCTGAACAGTGGCCGGAGCTTGCTGCAGCCAAAGCAGACGAATTTAGTTGGGCTATCCTTTTCGAGAAGTAGTAAGAGCTTAGTTGCATTCTTCCCCTTTAGTTGTTCAATCCCGAAATTGTCGCGAATCTTCTTGCAGGTTAAAGCGAGAGCAATACGAGACGCTATCGGTAGCGAAAGACGAATCATGTAAAGAAGCTCTGTTGGGAGTCCGGGAAGGCCATTTCCTGGTAGTGTTGAGAGCGACTGCGTTGGAGTACCGGATTCCATCGTGCCATGGTTGGTTGTTCGTAGAAACTAGAAATGTCAGTGATCTCTGGCTGCTGTCCTAGATTTCCAAGAAGGAAAAGTGACAGCTACAGTTTTAAGAAAAACATTGAAAATTCTTCAAGCCAGGAAAATTCTAAAATACGAACCTTATCCAAGACTTGGGAAAGAAATTGTGCGGCATCAGGGTGGCAAAGACTTAATTTTTTTCCACACACAAAAGTTGAAATGTTGGCCCTTTTTCTAGCCCTACGAACCACATGATATTTGACAAGGCATAGGATATTTTGCCACATTAAAGTAAAAAGATACAACTGGTAAGGCTTGCGCTATGCTGGAGATCAATGAGATGATCGATCACTTTGGGAGACGAGTTTGCCCACCGGAGTTAAGAATTTTTACTGGGAAGATGCTCAGGAGATAAGTTTGCGAAGTATTCGAGGCGTAGGTTTGTATATGGGTCGCAAGTGTGAGTGGTAGAGGGCTTTTGCGGAGTATAGGAGAGGCCGTGTTGTGTGACTTCCAGGTTGAGGGTTTGTCTATGTGTGTGTATGTGTATGTACTGTGCGGGGAGGGTCCATTGTTGGAAAGTGTTCAATTATGGAAACTGAACATACATCCTTTCGAAAAAGGCTTGCGACAAAGTAGTATCGCAAATGACTATTGCTCTCAAGGCTCGCCATAGTCTATTATGGCTTAGCACTGACCGCAAAAGAGGACAGATTTGCCCCGATACCATGGATAAGCGCCAATTATCGTGAAATGCATGAGGGGCGGCTAAATGTGATATACGTGAACTGTGAGAGAGTTTGAGTATAAAGTCAAAACCAGTGATGCAAGAGGCCAGTCCCGACATCTCAATGTGATGATTATCTTTCCAATATACGTGAACATGCATAAGTCTTGCTGATGGATAGATACGATGCGATTGAAGGTGATTATAGCAAATAACTACTTATCCAGAAGGCTTGGCCTCTTTTGAGGCTTGGGTATTTCACGACGATCAGTGGCTTTATGGTGGCAAACTACCATTGATCTTAGGCTCCGAAAGTAATATTATGAGGCTGAGTAACTTACTGTGCTCAAATAACGAGTCTAGCCATATTCGCGCGTTACGTGAAGCTATTGATCTACTCACACTCATTGCACGTCAGACTTTGATGGACTCAAGCTTCTGAATCACTCTCTCATGCAAGGCGTTGGAAAGTCTCACGCCCGTCTCCGGATCCTCCTCGTCGTCCCCAGCCAACAGGTCCAGGGCCTGGCCGCCCTCGATGCAGTCCCTCACAACGTCAGCGTAGATCCAGCCTACACGCTCGCCGAGGAACGAGGAAACGGTGGAACTCAGCATGCGCTTCCTTACCGACTTGAGCTCCTTCCTGCGCACCTTGATATCCACAATGTCCTCAACCGGCTCCCAGAGAGCGATTTCCGCAAGGACAAGCCCGAGGCTGTAGATGTCGTGAGACTTCTTCGATCTGCCCGCGCCGAGCGTCAGGAGGTCCGGATGCCGGTACAGATCATGCTTGTCTGAGAACTGATGCGAAACGGTGACCTCTTCCGGCAACGCCGGTCGGGAGAACTCAAACCCGGAGAAGATGGGCTCTTTTAGGTTGATGGTGCGGTCTGGGTCGGCCGCGAAGAGGATGCTGTCGCTACGCACATCCTTGTGGATCCAGTCGACCGCGTGGAGATACAGTAGGGACGAGGCCAGCATCTTTGCAATCTGAAGCCGGGTGTTGAACGCCGGCGGGACACTCATCTTGCTGAGAAGCTCGCGGAGCGACACCATGTCGGCGTTTTGGCCGTGCGTATCGACGGGCCACTTGTATACCAGAGCATACCCGGGCTTGTCGCTCGCCTCGCTGCGGTAGTACCCCAGGCATTGAGGAGAGTGGAATGCCCTCGGTCTGTCGGGCGCGGCAAGGATGGCGGAGAGTTTCTTGACCCGGGTCTCGACGGTTGAGCTGTACGTCTTTTGGGAGAATGCGTCGTCGACGCTCTCCCGCCACTCGAGCCACACCTTCTGCCCGTCCAGATTTGCGAGCTGGCGACCGGAATATTTTGGCGCTCCATCCAATTCAACGTCGTTGGGCGGTATCAGAAATGTCTCACCAAGTGACATGTTCATCTCAATGCTCAGGTGATGCCTCTTGAACTCGGCGAGCGAGACGACGGACTGGTTCGCCGCATCAGACGGCTCTTCAGCAAGTGTAGCTGCTCTAGAGAAGAGGCTGTCGAGGTCGGAATCGCCGGCTGGGCTTCTGCGAACCACACTCATGGCACGGATCAGGTCTTGGATCTGGTCGATCCTGTCCGTCATCTGCAGCAAGGCTAGGTTATGCTGAGCCTGCATCGTCCGAAGGTCTTCGAGCGCACTGCGATCTAGAAATGATTCGATGCGTTCGTTGTACTGGACCAGTCTTGTGACCAGCTTCTCGAAGCTGTCCTTTTTCAGCATTGCCCACTCGAGTCTTGCGGCAACTCTTCCGCTCCTTTCCCATACTGCGAGAGTCTTTCTAAGAAATGTCGATTTTGGTTTGGTCCAACTCTCTGTTGTATTTCTCTGTGCTTCTGAGTTTCTGTCCGCCGCCACATGGTCGAACGCCGACGTGGTTTCAATGCACGCCCTGAACGTTGTTTGAATCTGATGCAGCATGTCCAGGACCAGATTGTGATTCATCTGCAGCATCCCCCGTGGTCTGTCAAGTAGTTCCTCGACCAGGCCTATCTTCTCTCCCCACAGCAGACATCGTGATTGTTCGATCCTGAGCCGGGTGCGAAGATGCTCAAACTCGGCAGGCATTCCCAACATTTCAATAAACATCTGATATCCTGCCAGCCTCTTGATTAGTACCGTAAGTGGCGCCTTCGATTCGGATTCAACCCACCCTTGATACATCCTGAAAATACTTGGAGCGAGAGCGATGTGACGCCCAAGCCTATACCGGCAGCACTGATGGGGTCCATAGTCCAAGTAAGTATTGAACGTAATATAAGTTATTCGTAAACTACCAGTGATTGTGAACAGTCTACATCGTCACTCATATACAAATGCCAGCCTTTCAATTAAGTACGCTGACCGCCGTCAGCCATCGACCTGGGCCGGCCCCCGGGAAAAGCCTCACAATTGCGCCATCTGGGGGTGGCGACAATCTACGAGCCCAAACGTACACATAGGGCTGGATGGCTGAGCAGAGCTCGTCACAGGTCAGCTCGTCGAGCCTTGCCACGTGTAATGAGTGAGGCTTACCAGGAGTGTTGCAACCAGGCTCGTTGGGCATCGCGCCCGGTTGATGCTGCACTGCCCCAGTTTGCGTACGACACTCTATTTGTCACTGTTGAATCTGCGGCCATTGCCACTAATTATTCGCTGGCGAGGGGAAATGATCCACGTGAGTCCAGCGATGCCTCCGGATCTGCAGACCTGCTCCCCAGTCCACCAGCTTGCCAGCACACCACTGTGCGGCTGGAAACTGATATGTAAGGCAGTGCCCTTCCCCGGGCGATCAAAAAACCCTGCTTTACAGCCCCAGAGCTTCCTTATTGGGCTTGTTTGGGCGAACATCCAGCCCTGGACTGAGACTTGTGGCGTAATCTCACAAATGGGCAGAATAGTTTTACTATACGAAATGCGGCTGATCATCTCGGCTCAGGCAGCTTTGCGCCAGGCTGGAGGAATTGCTGTAAATCTCGATTTAGCCTAGAGATTAAATACAATCAATGGCGCATTGTTCACAAGGGGGAATGGTGAATCACCTCTTGCAACCCTCACAATGCATTCCCACGACAGAGAGAGATACACCATGGCGGAATCGCCGTGCAATATGCTCAGAAACATCAGACCATCAATCAAGAGGGCAAAGCGGTCTAGAAGCAACTTGATCGAGGCGGCTGCCAGCTGCTTGATATCCGACGATGACTTCCGGCAAAAGCTGCACAAGTTCCTGCCCGTGTGCCAGGACAGCCAACGCCCGCAAAAGATTCGTCTTCGCGATCAAGAATTCAATTATATCACCGAGCTACTTCTCATGCGCGGCAAGAAAGAGTGGGCTCTACGGCCGAGGCACTTCGTGATACTCTACATGATCGGCCTCGAGCAAGTCATGGACTCCTTTGTCACCGACGAGCGGAGTGATTATTTCCTGCCCTACACGGAGGACAACCTACCCGATGCCCTGACGGGAGAGAACAGAGCGCATTTTCTGGCATATCAAAATCATGTGCTTGACGGCCAGGGCGTCAGTCTGGAATCGGGCGGAGCGAGACATCAGAACTGCCAAGGAGACGCACGAAGCAAATTCTTCTATACCAAACGGAGGCTAGGCCAGGGAGGATCCCAGATTTATCGATCGCAAGTCGACCATGTGATTGGCAAGCACAGTCTAATGCACTTTGCCCTCAAGACGATACCCCGGCAGCACATCGACGACACCAAGGACCGGAAGATCCTGAAGCTCTTCCAAAACGAGCTGGAAGTCCTGCAGTTTGTCGACCACCAGCACATTGTCAAAGTGGTTGGGTCGTACACCGATGCGAGCGTCGTCGGCATCCTCATGACGCCAGTCGCAGATCAGGATCTTGCGGCGTTTTTGGAGAAGAAGCTCCCTCCTGCTGGTGAAGCTGACCGACGTCTACGCATCCGCACCTTCTTTGGCTGCATCGCGACCGCCATTGACTACCTGCACAACAACAAGATCAAGGGTGTGCAGCACAAGGATATCAAGCCCAAGAATATTCTTGTCAAGGAGAGCAAGGTGTATCTGACGGATTTTGGGACTGCGCAAGTAAGAAGAGAAGACGTTGACGACACTGCCGAGTCGTCCACAAATCCCAGCATGAAGTTCGTTTCCAAGAGATATGCGCCCCTCGAGGCGGTCATCGGGGTAAGTGACACCCCCATTAGCTATAAAACCATCACCACGCGTCAGCAAGCTAACAAAAATGGTAGACCCGGACACGTGCAAGTGACATATGGTCTCTTGGCTGTGTCTTCGTCGAGATGTTGACTGTGCTTGCCGGCAAGTCCATGCAGGACCTCAGCCAGTTCCTGCAAGACAAAACCAATGGTTCTGGGTCAACTGCATATTATGAAAACGAGCGAGGCCTGCAAGCGTGGCTGCAATACCTGCGGGGCATCTTATCGAACGAAGAGAACCCGCAGGATGCCATTCTCGTGGATATCGTTGAAGCCATGTGCAGGTCCAAAAAGGAAGAAAGGCTCACGGCAAGTGACCTACTCCGGAGGATCTTCAAGCTGGAGGGAGCCTACCATGGCCTCTGCTGCAGTGATCGGTCACGTCCTCAAGGTGGTCATCATCCAGTCTCGTATGAAACAGACCTGTCGCACTCTGAGATTTTGGAGTCTTGGGAGTCAGACACATTGGGTGCTACTGATGTGGAGGACTGTGACACCGTGACCGAGCCAGTAAATGTCCTAGCGGAAATAGAAGAGGACAAGGCGGCCAAGAATTATGCTTCCCCTCTTATGGAAGACGGCGAGACTACATTGGTAGTTTCCAACAAACCACCAAAGGACCCTCGGAATCTTCTGGAGGATGTTACCGAGTTGATTCCACCACCTCTCAGCCAATTTAGCAAAACCGGAGATCCTGCTGAAGATGTGGGCATATCAGCTCCATCAATGCCAGATGACACTAGGCATTCTTCACAACCTTTCGTCTCTCCAGAAGCCACAACGCTCTGTCCGTGGCCAGGGTGCAATCCCAGTTCGAGCGGCTCTCGCCAAGTATTCGACAGCATGGACAAGCTTAGGCAGCATCTGCGCGATACGCACTTAGTCCACGACTTTGGCTGGACTCATCTGCAAGGCGACAGAGGGACGGCCACGCTGAGGCCAGAGAAAGGTCGATTCGAGTTGAAGAGGGTCAAGCGTGTGCGGTTCTCCGGGCTTCCAGAAGAGCAGGTTATCCGGTCCAAGGCCTTGCAGAGAAGTCGCGTAAATCAGTCAAGCGGAGCGTACGACATCACGGCTGAGATGCCTCATGCTCCCGGCTCGGCCAGCGCAGCGCAGACTAAAGCGTGTAAAGAGCTGGGCATTCCTCCAAATACATATGTTCCGTCATATCTTCTCGGTAAGTACAAGCTCCCAATTTCTTGAAAGAGCAAAACAAAGCTCGAATGCTAATCATCCAAAGCTGCAAACAATCGATTCTCAGCACCGCAGCTGCGTCAACGTCTAGCCGCCGAGTACAGTCGACCGCTCTTTGTATACGGAACACTCATGTTCCCCAGCGTATTACGCGCCCAGGCAGAGCATTTTCTCAATCCTGATGGCATTTATTCATCGAGCCAGGGGAGACGCCTGCGCACGGTAGAAAGCGACTGGGGTAGGATCAACGATGGGATAAGAGAGGCCGCCCAGCAAGGGACGCCTGCGGTTCTATCAGGCTACTCGAGATTTTGTCTCCGCCAGTACAGTCTGGCATATATCCAGCCAAGCCAGCAAGGCGAAACGCGTGGGTTCCTCATATTTGGTCTCTCGGCCGAGGCACTTGCGTGTCTGGATCACCTGTACGAGAGAGGCGGCCCGCGTCACTTTTATGACGGGAGACGAAAACAATCCGCTCCATGGGATATGACCGAACTGGTGAGACAACGGGTTACTGTCCGCACCAATGTCAAGGACGGCAATACGCTCAATATTGAGGCCGACACGTATGTTGCCAATACCGAGGAATGGAGGGTACCAAAGTCCGCCGGGGCATGGGACATGACCCGGTTCCTCTGTTCCAAGAGTTATGCAAAGATCACCCAGTCGTCAAGAAGGGACATGATCGAGGAGAAATCGATCGCCAGAGAGCTAGGCACCAACCTGGTCATGCCCGGTGATAAACTTGTGGCAGCGGTGCTGGACAACAACTACGACGCGCTGTGGTCCTTGATAGATGAGGGCCAGGATGTCGACATGGCATCCAGCACATACGGCACGGCACTACAAGCCGCGGCGAGCAAGGGGAATATCGCGATGATGCACCAATTAATCGAAGCTTCAGCAGACATTAATGCCCCCGGTGGCGAGTATGGATCCCCGCTAATGGCGTCCGTCGTGGAAGGGCATTTCGATGCGATGAAGCTTTTGCTGAGGCACAAGGCAAAGCTCTTCTCCTGCGGCGGAAAGTACGTGAGCCCTCTCTACCAAGCAGTTTCATTCGACCGCCTAGACATGGTCCATGCGCTACTAGAGAAGGGAGCTTGGTTGACAAGAGACTATCGCGAACTGCTCGATCTGGCGACAGAACGGAACAACGACGAGATTAACGAGGAGCTGCTCCGATACGATGTCTTACAGCTCGCAAAAAAACATTTGCCAGGGAGCGCAAGTCCGGCATCTTCTGATATCGATAATTCCAACGGTGACCAGGAGGTTGAAGTGACGGTATCGAAATCAATCGGAGCCATCTGCCTTTTCGAGGCTATCAAGCTGTACAACCGGCCTGGCAAGTGGACTGGTATAAAACTCGTCAAGGTCTTAAAGGCAGGCTTCGAGCGTGGCTTGAATGAAAAGATTCTAGAGCAGATCCGGCCGCATATACATTCCTTCCCTGCCCTCCAAAGGTTCTTTACCGAAGCATTAGATGGATTGCTCGGTGGTGGGTTTGGGCCGGTTCGGCATACTGACCCAATTGACGACCTGCCCACTCCCTCGAGAGCGCAATTGCGAGTCAAGTGATTTTGTACATTTATGATGATGGTCTCATATTTATAGATAGATAGAGATCTACGAAATCTCAAAATACATCCTTTCAGCCGGCGTCGAAGTTGTTGGAGCCGCCATCGTGTGCCTCCCTGATATCAGTGAGTTGGAATATTGTTGGATCAATATGTACCTAAGCTCTACGCCTGACTCTGATAATTCAGAATTCCAGAAACAAGTCACTCAAAGGGAAAGCAGAGAAGATGCTTTCTGTGCACATCACATCGAATTGATTGATGTCTTGTTGTCAGACACTTAGGTACGTACCTCTTTGTGGTCTACTCATCTAGCTACCCTATAGTCCATTTAGCTGTCGACAGGCACACGTCTAGCCATGCACGTGAGCTTGCTCTAGCCGTTATCATTGCCAGAATCATATACAGAATTGATCTACGAATTATCTCTGACTACTATGTTCCGTGACACCGAAACAAAGGATAGTGTTATAGGGATAGTTGGTGAGCTTCAGCATGATGTAGTCCGCGCCTTGCCAACAGTGGTTTGGGTTAACCTGAGTATGTAGTGAATAGTTTACCAATTAAAGTTACTGAGCACAGCTCCTTGCCATAATATATGACGTGAAATGCTATTTGCACTGTCGAAATTTCATCTAACTAAAGATGCTATTAACGATGTAATATTAGGCGCCTTGTCTTCCATTTGAAATCAAATCGTTATGATTGGGGCAGAACTACAGGTTAGTTCATCAGCAGGCACATCACTGGATTCATAAGTCAGTCAGATTATGGAGCTACCAGACTAGAGGAATGGTAAATATTGGATTTTGATTGGATGGCCTCTCAGGAACGGAACCACGGCAAGGTCCAAGGCCATTTTCAAGGCTGCATCATGTATCGACCAAGCACCACCACTTGTGTGAGTACTTGGACGGCCGGCGGCGGTCTTCTTCTCTAGCTTCAAGGCGATGCAATTTTTTCACCCATTACGGCCATTTTACGGCATCGCAAGTGTAGTCACCTGCATGAGTCGCCGTCAGGATGGTAGCTAGCGCTTTACCAAGGCTCTTTCATAGACAAAACTGTCTGCTCTTCCACCCTCCCTTCCACCCTTGTTCTCCTCTTCTTCAATTACTAAAATTTAGAACATAACGCACCGCCACTTTATGCAAATACCCCGATTTAATCCAATTCATTTCATTCTCATTTTATTCATTTTAATACCTCCCATCTGATGGCCACGGAATCCACGCCTGGACTGCTGGCATGGCTCCGGAGGGACTTTAGATTCATCTTTGGCCGGGTGCGCGATCCCCAGACATGTGAGACCAACCGCCCAGACAGCCTGGACAAGGATCACCCTGCGACCTTGTTCGACTTCTTCCACGCAAGAGGCAGAGCAGGCGACAAAAAGGCCAACAAACTGACCAACGACATTGAACGGACCCTGCGGCGCGCTGTCGCAAACCAAAACTGGCGCAATGTTCCTTCGAATTTCCAGCAAGTCGCCAAGCTCACACATGAGTATGTCCTCCTCTCCTCTCCTCCTAATTGAATACCATGTCTCACACTCCCAAAGTCATTACTATGAGGCCGTCCTCATCGCCATCCTCAACTACATCGCCGTCACAGACAAGTGGATGGTCGTGTTCAAACACCTGCAGCTCATTGAGTATTTGCTGCGCACCGGGTCGCGCAGGCACTTCTACTACACCAGATCCCGCATCAACCGCATCAAGCAGGTCGTCATCAAGCACCCGTGCAGAACCGGATGGAGCGATGCCATCAAGCTGAGGATCGACCAGCAGATGCGCCTCGTCGTGCGCCTGGTGACTGAGCACCGCTACACTGCCGCTCAATCTGAGCCGCGGCGGGTTTGGGAGCCCAGGATCACAGACACGCCCATCCAGGACGACTCAGTCAGTATTGTGGCCACCACCGATACCGCCAGTAATACTGATGCTCCCACCGCTGAGGCCACTCGCTCTCCTCCCCGTAATCTGACCCGGACTGGTTCCAGGTCCACTGCCGCCGCTGTCCCTGCTCCCAACGGCGCATCTCCTCCTGGCGCATCTCCTGCTGGTCGTGCGGGAGCTGTAAGACGTCCTCCCGTAAATCAAGGCCAGAAACAAGGCCCTTACTCGACCTATTCCGCCCGCAACAAAACACCTGCTTCTGTTCCCGCTTCTGCCGACACCGGTCTCTCGCCCTCCACCTCCGTCAGGACCACCTCTACTGCTGCGGCATCGCGTCGATCGCGGCCATCCGTCGGACTTTCTAGCACTCGGGATTCAGTCGCCTGGCTCGCATCTGTGCGCGGAATAGATATTGGTCCTACCGAGTACTGTAATTACGGCCACAATCCCCCCTCCTCGGCCGGCTCTTCATCTTCAACGCACTATTCATCGACCCAGGCCTCCTCTGTATCCGCAAGTTCGGCAAAGCCCGGCGTGGCGCGTTCTGTCAGCCGCACCGTCCAATTGCGTGATTGATGCGAGCTCGGGCTGCGTTCAATTCCATTGGGGCTATAGGGGCTGTCGCCGACCTCCTGGATCGGATCGGATCGGGTCTACCTCCCACTCCAATCGTCCTCCAAAGCCTCCCTACCGATACCCTTAGGAGTGATGGATGCCTACGTGAATATAGATGATGATGTAAATGTTCCATGTTGATGTATTCTTGATTGAATCTGGTTCACGTTTTCGATGCGATTTGTATCTTATTCAGGGGTGCTGGCACACGAGTTAATAAAGTCAAGTCAAGTCTTGGACGTATCCAAAACGTATAACCATCCCATATCGTTTTCGCCCTCATGTAAGTTCCGCTGTCGAAGTGAAAGGAAAACAAGACGACAATTCAAGACAACCGCATGTGCCCATGATCGTTGCCAATATCGTGCAGTAGCGCACGAATAGGAATGCTCCTCGGCATGGGTACGAAACTGGATATTTCGTAGCTCTCGCGATTTCTATAAAAATAACGTGTTTCTACTCATGCGGTGAGCAAAAAGTTGAATAATATTGGATGTCAATATCCACTGCCCAGATCGCATTTCGCATTCCAGGAACCACCGATGAAGTTTGTGGCGGCACCAGGATTATGATGCTCAAAGCCATGACCGGGAATAGTCTGTCATAGGGTTATCGGATCCTCCTATGACATGCAAACACCGTACATAGCGCTCTTGATTTCACCTGCCCCATGGGGATCTAATCATATTGAAGCTAGCTCACAATGGAAGTCAAGGCAAGGGATAGCGGCCAAGAGCATTTGTATAAGAAGGCTTGGACATCCGCTAGTATTTGTAGCCATACCACCTATGAACACTACATTCAATTTGAGTTGATCATGAAGATCCCCGCGACCATTGTCTTCGCTTGCCTGCTTGGCAGCCATCGGGGACCATTGTACGTACCCAGTTGAAGGAGCTGTAAGTTTGAAAGTATTGTTTACAAACTTTGAATAAATCTGATGATGCTTGTTCCAAACTAGACATATAATGGGATATGCCGTAGGAGGGCCAACTGTGCCAATGATGGTAAATGGTATGCGGACAACAGGTGTCCCAATGGTGAGAGCCTTAGGTCCCGAAGAGCTTACTCGGGAGTCAGAACACCTTCTAATGGGCGAAGTAGATATCGCCGATGTCAAATGCTGTATCCAAACCGCCTGTACGGTTGGAATATGCTCCAATACAGAACAGGGATATTGCGCTAGACTTGGGGGTGTTTTCAAGAGGTTAGTTCCAGCTCTGTTGTCTGTTGTCTGGTGTCTATTGACGGCTGACATTTCTGACTGCTCCAGTGGTCTATGCCCTGGGCCAAGCGATGTGCAGTGCTGTAAATTTTGAAAGGAAAACCGTGTCTGTGGTCCATCATAGGAAGTATAAGTCCCCGGTTTGAATTGAGAGTAGCTCTGGACTGAAAACCACAGCTTTACTTATCTTTCTCTATTCTGGCCGTATTGATAGTTACTGAATTGAGTGACTGAATCAAGTGCTATTATATTATTATTGATGAAGTTTTGTAACTGAAAACTGCGCTTACCTAATCCTTATATCGTAACGCTAGAATGTGGAACTAGCAAAAACCCTCCCTCAAACACACAAGCTTCTGGAGCTTCAACAACTACCACAGACGAAGACCACTTCCGCAATGAGGAAATATCAACGTCAGGCGCAGTCACAACCGAAACATGGGCCGCCCTCAGTCAGCGGCACATCCAAAGCCCCGATCGCGCCACCAACCCGACGACCAGATGAGAGAGGATCTGGCATCACGAAAAAGTCTGTGAAACGCCTACCTCCTTCGGCAGCCCCAGCACCCGCCGCAAAAGTCCAGCAGCAGATTATTCCGGAGAGCCTACAACAGCTGATTTTGGATATATTTCGGGAAACATTTCCTCAAGTGGATGATTTTGAAGCGCTGAAACCGGCGTTGCGGGAGATAAAGGATGCTCTAGACCGACGGGATTTCCAGCGAGCCTTTGCCACCGAAGTGCACAAGCAGAGGTATGCCAGCCGATGGAGTCCGAGCCAGGCATTGGCATATTCAAACATTCTGGCTTGGATTGTCAAGGAATACGGCGATAATGAATGGGTCAAACGGTTCGAAGCTGGTGGTGTCGAACATCACCCTTCAAATGTCCTTTGCTTTGGTCGAGGGGCGGCGGAACTTGTGGCTTTGATTACAACGCTGAATAACTCTCATGTGAGCGCATCAGGACAACCTACCCAGCAACAACCCGCAAATGGACAAGACGTTGACGGAGCGCTTGGAAACTTGACCGTCTCTGACCAGCGGCCCATACAAGAAAAGGCTCTGCTGAGCGTTTGCTTAGTTGACACGACGGACTGGACTGAGGTCGTCTCCAAAATGCACCAATCATATACAACGCCACGCCCTCTCTCTAAATATGCCAGTACTAAGGCACGGCTTTCGAACACTTCACCGCTTTCCCCCCAGGCTCTGAGCTGGAAGTTTACGCAACTCGATATACTTGAATGCGGCATTGAAGAAATAGGCTCTGTGATCGGTCCCGATCCGACACTACTAACCCTCTTCTTTACCCTGAACGAGATGTATTTGACTTCAATCTCCAAAGTGTCGGCTTTCCTGCGGAAGATAACTACAGTGGCGCCTAAAGGGAGCCTTCTACTCATCGTCGATAAACCCGGAGCTTGTGTCGAGGCCAGACCTACGAGCAACAGTTATGGAACAGAAGGGACACAATGCCCTATGCACTTGCTAATGCATCGAGCATTATTTCCCGAGGAACATCAGAAGACCGAAAAGGCCAAAGACCGGAAAGAACCTGCTTGGGAGAAGCTGGTCGAAGAGGATAATTGCATATTCAAGCTAGACAAGGGTCTGGTGTTTCCCGGCTGCCTGGAAAATATCAAGTTCCAGATGCACCTACTTCAACGTTTATAGGACTGGTGAGCTGGGACGTCATTATTGGGTATATATTAATTTGAGAGTTCGACAAGAGGTGCTTGTTCTTAACTTCTGCCTCAGGCGGAGCTGAGAGTGACGGCAGAGACAAGACGACCTTGTCTCCTCTCTGGAATGGTTATACATTAAGCTGAATAAACTCCGACCTGCCCAAGAAAGATGGATTTCTATGGATCCTCATGGTAGATATTGATGTGCTAAAGGTGCGTATAGCGTATAGATATTATTGATCTGAGCTGTAGAAGTCTGATCGATAGAAGATATTGCAGACCATGAGGCTGCCTTGATGAATGACCTCTGAATTCGGAGACAACAAAATGTCTCTCAATTGCTCTATTCGATTTGAAGAAGCCCTAGCCTAGGACACTATTCCAGGTCGGGCTTGAAGTTCCGCTCCCGTCAAAGACTACCAGATAATACAACACAGTTCTAATTAAATTGAAAATTGTCAAGGACGCGAGAAAGCTTACGACCGATGGAAAAATAAAAAGACTACAGAGCCAGTGGTCAATACGGCGACCTAATGTTGGCAAGCATCGTATTGCTGACACAACAGAGGATACCGCCCGTCTCATCTTGGAGCCGTCGTCACCATCTTGTTCCTGTGGCCTTGCCGACTCACTTGACTGCGCTGTGGACCCCGGTTGGTCTGTTCCAGACTCTACGTCCTGGTCGCCGGGTTGCTGAGCCGTGCTCCTCTTTCGAGCTATGAGCATCCCGATTGCGTGAATCAGCAGGGCGGTAATGTTGCTGGCAATTGCCGCATAGAAAATCAGGCTCAAGGAGTAACTTTCTCGTTCCAGGCACAAAGGGATTGGCGGGATATGCCCCGTAGACGAAACCTTTTCTTCGATGGGCGACCCTGCGATCCCTTTCAATGTGAAGAAGAACCCGAGTATCCCAAGTAGAGGGACTATACGAGGATATTTTGAAATAGCAAATCGATGGCTCGAGATGCAGAAATAAATGGCCGAAACAACCAGCTGCACCAATAGACCTAGGCCGTAGGCAAGCGTCACCCAAGAGTTGAGATTTTTGACACTCGCGGGGGCCTCGAACGACGACAAGCGGGCGATCTCGTACCATATCCACAGCTCCGAAATGACCACGCCGGCGTAAAGGAGTAATGCTAGGCATGCTATTACGGGATGGACTTTAATGTCGTCGATATGTACTGCTCTTCCCGGATCAGGTACTTCAGAGCAAGGAATCCAGAGATCTATGATGAGGCTTGTGGTGATGGCCAAGAAATACACAAAGGCGCAGATTTGAGAGAACAGGATGCCATGCATGCTCAGGATCTTGATTGTCTGAGGCAGGACCGCAAGGAGAGTCATTGCAAGCTTGACCATGATTAGATTCGGCTCGCCATGAGCAGTCTGCTCTTCGCGCTGCTCATCCTCCTCACTTTTGGATATGTGGCAGTGGATTGTTCGGCCCAAAATGACGAGATCCAATATAGCATCGATGAGCCAGACCAATGACATCGAACGTAGGGGATCGATGCTGGTACCGACTTTCATGTAAGGGCCTGTAATCTTGCTTCTCGTAGACGGCAGAGTTGCAGCAGCTATACTGAGAGTGAGGAGGATCCAGAAGACGGATGGACCGCTCACCTCTTGCCAACCATCGGGCTGGCCTTCCATGGTGAGCAAAGACAAATATCTGAAAGACAAGATGAAACAAATTCACCCAAGAATGGCCTTCCTCCCCTGCTTCAAATGGGGACACCTCAGCTCACAAATAACAGACGACTAAGTTTACGCCATTCAAATGAGCCACCTTCTAAGGCATACAAGGCTTTCCCATGGACTTACCAAAGTCTCACATGCGACCCATGTCAATATGCAGGTTTGTTCGCCACAGCAGGGTATCATTAGGCAGTAAAGCTACCCCGCAGTCAGCCTGAGAGCGTATTGTTTGATAGATCTCTAGGAAATCATATGCCATAAACGTCACACTTGAAAATAGATAAAATGTTTTAACCATCGACTAGTGCATTATTAACTCCGGAAGGATGAGCATCCGGCAACAAAAGAAGTGAGTCTGTTGGAACAAAAGAAACAAGAAAACCATTCTGAGAAATTCCAAATGCCTATATCCGCACCAAAACCATTCTCAGGCTTAGGAAGCTCACATGTAATCCTTTACCTGCGCCTCTGACCATTCCCAGAATGTTTGCGATATGCCGAGCCCACCAGCCTTCTTTGGCTTCACTGCATTGACCTTGTCGGGAGTCACTTGCCACAATCTACCCCAAGGAGCCACTGAAAGATGATGTGTTAGCGTCGGATGTTAATAATTTAGAAAATTGAGATGCGACTTACCAAAGCTACCGCTCCTTTCTGATGTTACTTGAGGAGAAAATGCTGAGAAAATGTTGGTGTATGCGCCATACACGGACGGATAAAGGACAGTAACTCGGAGGAGCCAGTTCAAGAACCGACCCGTCGATCGCCAGAAGTCTGAGTCAAGATGACCGGGATTCAGCGACACAGAGATAACACCATCTGCTTTGTGACGGGCCGCATACTCGGCACCGTAGAAGTAGTTGCCCATTTTACTAGTGGCATAGAGCTCGAAGGACGACTTTTTCTCGGGATGGTTGATATAATCCATCCAGTTTCCGTTTACAGCGTACCCCTCAGTCGCCGATGACGAAGCCCAGATAACACGTACGCTATCATTGGGGGAATTACGAGCAGTTGAGACGATGGTAGGCGTCAGGCGCTGTGTGAAGAGGAAAGGCCCGACGCAATTCACACCGAGCTGTAACTCGTGTCCTTGAGCAGTCTGGAGTCCCTTCTCAGGGTAACCCAGACCTGCGTTATTGAAAAGGAGATGAAGCTGCGATTCCTTGCTCAGGAATTCCTCCGAGGCGCTCCTCACAGCAGAGAGATCGGCGAGGTCAAGGCGCAGATACTCCATCTGACCCTTGGTCGTATTTGGAGATGCCGCCTTGATGTCATTGATTGCCTTGCGCGTCTTCTCCTCTGAGCGTGCGGCAAGGTACACCTTGGCGTTCTTTGCGTAGAGGATTTGTGCAATTTCCTTGCCTACGCCAGTATTGGAGCCTGTGACGATGCAAACCTAGACGACTCAATTAGCGACTGACTGGCTAATGTTAGATATCGAAGAAAATACCTTTCCTTGCAAGTCCGGAACATCTTTCTCAGTAAAGATGGCCCTGGGAGGGAACGATTGGCTAATAGTACTTCTCAGGTGAGCTAAAGACATGGTGACTGCGGGTTGGTTTTAGTCTTGTTTGAGAGCGTTCTAGATTGATTTTACGATTCAAGAGAAAAGGGATCGTAGTAGATAGTTATGAAGAATGAAGATGTGAATTGTTGTGCTTGTGGGCTGGAAAATACTGATCCCATTGACTCACCAAGTTCTCTTATACCAAGATCAACTGTCGCACATTTCGACGGCTAGTGGAAATACCGCGGGATTGAGCTGGCAGGAATCCGGATCAACTCAGAGGCAGGGAGAAATCAAACCCGCGGGATTCGGTTCCCCAAGTCCGGCGCTTTGCTCACCCAATACCGCTATTTGACGGGCTTTGTCGCAATTAACTCCGCCCTTCGTTGTCATCTTTGGTTGAGCGCATATGATTCAGTCGTGCTCGGGTATGTACGTGTGTCCAATGGGAACGATCGAGCTACTCTGGCATCGACTTGATCTACTACACTACCGAAATCCGCGGCTTGGAAGCTGATAAATCCTGCCGAAAACATCCACCGGATTTCGTCGACTGAGGCTAGCGATGGGCTCTGTTCACCGTGCATCGGGGCAGCATGCAATCGAATCTTGCAAGCCTGCCCCCTATGGACGCGCTTGCTCAGCATGTTCCAGAGCAAAGTGCAAGTGCTTCTACCGTACGGACGGTTCCGGATGCGAGCGGTATGTATATCCCCCGCTTTCCCCCCCCCTTCTCGCCGAACTATAACTCTCTCATGTATCGTTCAGTGACCCCCTTCACATCTTCTAGGTCGAGGCTTTGAAGCGTTGTACTAATCAAACAGGCAGTTGTCACCGACTAGGAAAGACATGCGAGCCATCAAACACTGTTCGTAAACGGAAAGCTCGCGACGGTTCCCCTCCTGTTCGAAGACTGTCGCCCCCTTCGCGAGGCCTGCTGGAAGAGAAATTGGACGACCTTGTAACACTTCTACGATCTCAAGCTACGGCTGGTCGTGAAGCACAGGACTACAAATCGTCCCCGTCGTCCCTTGCTACATCCCCGGAGTCAAGGAAGCCAAATCCTTTGAACGCGGTTCTCAATCCCGATGTTGTCTTGGACACAGTTGAGACTTTTATTGATCTCCTTCGTCCCCCTGAATCGCAGACGGGCTACCAAGATCGTGATTCAGACATGGGGCCATCCTCACCGATATTCCATGATGTCGAGATCCATCATGTTCCTGATTTGGAGGCAGAGGACAGGTTGAATATCTTCCGACGGGCATTTATACCAACTTTTCCATTTGTCCATCTTCCGCCTGCAATCCATTCAGCAGAGTTGCGCCGCCAGAAACCATTCTTGTGGCTGGTTATAATGTCATTAACGGACAGAGTGGTCGATCGCCAGTTTGCAATGGAAGACACGATTTGGAAGATTATCTCACATCGGATCGTAACACAACACCATGCCGACCTGGACTCCCTTCTAGCAATCATATGCTTCTCAAATTGGTGCGTGTAGTCATGATGTTAATTGAGGCGGAAAGGCTAACCTTGGAAATGGCTAGGTCCCACTATTACAAGCAGGAAACACCGTTCATGAATATGTTGACACAGTTGGCTTTGACTGTTGCATTTGAAATGGACCTGAACAAAGAGAGCCACTCAGCATCTCAACAAGGCCCAAGGTACGGCCGAATCTCAAGCCGGTCTAATACTCAGACGGATACTCGTACTCTGGAGGAGAGACGAGCATATGTCGCTTTGGTAAAGCTCACATCAACGTATGGTACACCCAATCAAAAGATCCTAAACACCCTTCTCAAACACGACATTGTCAACTAACATGGCAATTTTAGGACCTGGGAAGCGTATAGGAAATTCCGACCGCTCGGCTGGACTCCATATCTCGGGAAGTGTTTACGGATCCTCGCAGAGACGAAGGAAACGAAACTTGACGCCTCTTTGGCTGCTCAAGTAAGCTGCCAGATTTTCATTAACCCGATTTTGTATCCCTCGTTAGAAGAGACAGGGGACGAAAGTAAGGGCCAACCCATAACGAGATCGTTGTTCGCCGCCTCCATTCGGAATATTCAAGAAATCAAGCGGGGCTTGCTACCCGAGTTACTGTCAAGTTGTAGGTTCTGTCCTCTCATTTGGTTTCCCTATGCTGAAGCTGACATTTCGCTCTAGGCCCTTTGCGGCTCTATTTCAACATTGCGGAACTGAAACTGAGAGACCGATTCTTAAACACTACAAGGGAGGCAAGAGACCCTCAAGATCAACTTCAGAGGATACAAGACCTGGAAGCTACAATGGAATGTGTGGAGAGATGTCTGAGCGTGATACACGATATGCCCCTCGAGGACTGGGTCGGCGTAACAGTGGATAAATTCTCGGAATTCATGCACTGCTTGATTGCTCTCTTCAAGCTCACAACACTCAGCGAGCCACTGTGGGACACTGAAGAGGTGAGGAAGAGAGCAGACGTTCTCCAACTGATGGACAAGTACTGTGAAACCATGTCCCGCGTCGCCGTCGAAACACGGATGGTGGACGCTGAGCTGCCACGGAAAGGACTGTTCTTCAAGGGACCTAGTTTACTTCGGGCGATCAGGGCTTTGATGGCTGCCGAGATGGCAAACAAAGGAAGCTCTTCGGCGATTGAAAAGGCTCCGGCCGGGGACCATGCCATGGAAATCATGCCAGACGCCCCGTTTGATGCGGACTCCCAGAACAGCTTTCTGTTAAACTTGGATGCTGAGCCCTGGTTGTCTGATCTCTTTATTGACTCTTGGGCTCTTGATCTAGATGGTACCGCTACTTTCATATAAGACACTACTGAGGTATATTCGGTCGTATCCTCTAAAAGGATACCACATTCAACATCAAATCTAGGCTTAATGACACGTTCGCCGCTTTGTCACCCCTTTTTGAAGTCAGTCCTCACCAATAGGCTATAAACAGGGCAGATGCTTTGAATTAATCGATATTCACGATTTGAGTCAAATGCTCCGTTGAAATGTCAATGTTTTCCAGTTAATGGCCCAATCAATATATGCTAACTCCTATCAATCATCCTAATCCCAACCAATGCATTAAAACTCAGGCTACAATTCAAACGACACTTAGCCATTCATTACATACCAAGTCATCAATCATTTTGAGCAGCCCTATACAGCAATGGGGGCCTTGCTTCCCTCCTTGTTCAGCTTGCAGCAGTTCACAGCAGTGCAGAAAACCTCATCATTCTCGGTCGTCTTGGCCTCTCCGGGAAGCTTCTGCCTCGCCGGCCAGATCTCCACACCGGCAGCCTGCTCCCGCGACCGGTGGTCGTTGGCAAGCTCGCGGATCTTCTCCTGGAATTTGAACAGGCCGTCGTCTAGGGTGTGGTGCAGCTCGCCGTGGGCGAAGACGCCCGAGTTGAGCTGCTTCTGGGACTCGGCGCAGGTGTCCTTGTCCTGGGCGAGAATGCGCTTGTAGGCGGCATTGATGGCCTCAAACTCTTCGTCGGAAGAGTTTTGCTTGCGGAAGATTTCTACGATGATCTTTGACTTGGTGGCTGCGCTTGGTACAACTCTCTGTGTGAAGAAGAATTGGGGCCTTTGGCAAAATACTTAGTATTGTAGATGCTATGAGGATTTAACAGAACATTACTTACGTTGCGTTGACTGATGCGTTAGGGAAGAAGTGCGTATTTGTGGCCTTCAGGCTGAGGGCCGCCTGGTCGGTGGTAGAATCACCACCTGTGGCAGCGGATGAATTGTAGCTGTCTGCTAGAACTTTCCAGTTGTATTCTCCATCAATGTCCCAGGAGTGGTCGAAGGCGAATTCACTCCAGTCAGAGCCACTGAAGCTGACTTGCTCATCGACACCGGCAAAGTCGTCAGACCATGCAATCTCAGGCTTCTCATCGGCATCAAGGTTGATCCAGATGAAGCCGTTCTTGTCAACGTGTGTGTGGATGGGAAAGAGGTTGTTCTTGGACTTGTCAAAGTCGGGTAGGTCCTGGTAGCCAGGAGCCTTGGCCAGCTTTCCATTCAAACCATATGACCAGCCATGGTACTTGCAGGAGAAGATCAGGCTGTGGCCCTGGTCTGAGGTAACAATGGGGAAGGCACGGTGACGGCAGACGTTGTGGAAGGCATTGATATTCTTTTTGTTGTCCTTGCAAATCACCAGATCATAGCCGGCGACATCATAACGCACCCAGTCTCCAGAGTTTGGTATTCTGAGGGCATGAGTGGTCATGAGCCACTTCTTTGAGAAGATGGCCCGGCGCTCAAGCTCATATATCTCTTGGGAATTGAACCACGATGCGGACAGGGTTTGGGCAGATGTCATGTCAACCTCGAGGGGGTTGGTAGGCGCAACGCCAAAATATCTCTTTGTGGAAGCCATTTCGCTACAACTTATAGATTCAGAGGGAAATATTTGAAGTGATTGATAAGATCAGTTGGTGCCAAAGGGGAGCGACTCTGGGGCTTATGTATATTTCCCAGTTGTTAGATGGATTTCAACCCCGGAGATGCGAGTCTATTTAATAGATAAGCCACGACAATGACTCCCATACTTAGTTCTAGACGCCCGCGGCATCGTTTGTCTAATCCATATACGTCAAATAGATTGCACGTCAATGATAGATTGATTGCCATGTTGATCAGGTGGACCAGTGAGATACGCCCACGGAAGCTCATACCGATCACATGATCGGGGATCCTCCCATCATATACCGTCCATTCGCCGCAAGTAAACCAATATACACCCCCTCCGGAACCAGCATTCTGAACCCAGAGTGGATAACCCCGCGCAGACTCATTCATAGCTCCCGTACTGGAGAGGTGTCTGATTCGCGAGGGGCGGCCAGCAACCCCTTACCCTGAGATGGGTTATGCATGGTGCTAAAGCAGCAGTCAAGATTTCCAAAGATAGCATCTACGCGGGGGAGGCTGGCTGGCTAGCGAGGTGGTTTGGTGTCTGCAGCAGGCGGCCGGCGTCGGGAGAGAACTGTCTTATCAGTTATCACCGGGTTTCAGGTTGGGCCTCAAGCTGCTGTGGTGTGCTGCTAAGTCTACACCCTCTGGATTTTCTCTCTTGGGGTTTCTGTCTGTTGGAGATAACAACACACAATAGCAGGTGAGACAGGTTCGTTTCCCCAATAACATAAACGCCACTTGTGTGCGTTTGCGCCCCTCCTCTCCCGGGCCAGACACACCAACTCCAAACATGCCTAGTATCTGCGCCCGATGCTATCTAACTACCCGATTAAGAAGTGACGATGGCTTTTCCGGCGGTGTCGTATGCTCACGCGGACTCGCTGTTCAGAGGGACACAGGTGCCACGTTGACAATTGCCCGCACTTTTATTGGTTTGGGTGAGAAATGGGCCGTAGAACAGAGTGGTATGCACTGGCTGGACCGGTGTGCTTGGGGCGATATGGGCTATCCGAACTCAGAATGGACAGGGACCAGGAAGAAGCCCCGGATTTCGTTTCCCCAGAGTTCAAGTCGGTGTTGAATGCATGTCACCGAGAACGGGCAGCGATAACTTACGTACTTTTTACGCAATGAAAATTGAGTGATCCTCCTTCCCCGCCTTCGACGCGGAAGTTATCCTGTCTGGGGAACCTATAGACACGTAGTGCTTTGGCATGACGGGCGGGAAAAGGAGTCACTGATCGTAATGTGGGCGGTATGACGGTTTATTGATGACTCCAACACGAGCTGAATTTGGAGAAGGACCAAGAAAATCTATCTGTGATAAAGAGGGGATCGGCGGAAAATCGGCGATCAACGCCACACGGCAAGGCCTCGATATCATGGGGGGAGGGTGTCTTGGGTGTCACGGGCATGGAGGCCCAGTGGCAAGAAGCTGATGCGTCGGGTCCAAATCCATTCTAGAAATCTTAGACAGGAAGGATCTGGACAACCACTACATGCAGATCGAGATAGGGCGGCAATAGCATTCAAGGCGGAGAAGGATGAGGGCCAACAGTGGCCAGGGTGGAGGTCGATGACAGCCAGAAGAAAGGTTGGATGGTTGGATGGAATGGTGGACAGGGGGAGCGCCTCGTATCAGCTCCCATTCCACTTCTGGCAAGAGGAGAACACAAGCTGCATGCAGACACGGCACCAAAAAGAATACCGGCCGCCTGGCCTTATCATTCGGGACCAGGGGCGGAGTCCAGCTCGCGAATCTTTCCTCGACTCCTGCCTAGTCTGCGCACAGAGAGGGGCTGTGGCAACGTATTGGGGTAGCAGGGGACGCGGCCGGCGTCAGAATTGGAAGCAGGAGAATGAAGAGCAAATAGTGGGCGTGCGATTTGTGATGATGCCCCTCGGAAATGCAGCCGGGGCGTGGGGCGTGTGTCTTGCTCGTCCTATCTCTCGTTGGGTTTGGCTTCAACTCCAGATTCGAATCAGGGTCCATCACAGATCCATAATTTTGACCTTTCTTATCGGGCCCCTCCTTCACTAGACCGGCATCAAGCTTCTCCAACCAGAGCCGGACATGTGACCGGCTTCTAAAGACTGCAAGCCGACACCGGAAGACTTCTCTTCGGATGATGGCCCGGTGGTTTGGCTAACAGTGATAAGCTTCAGTTCCGCTCGCCTTCAGAGGTCTGGAAAGATGGGAAAACATAGGGATACTAGCCATTTACTCACCTTTACGGGTCCTTTCATCTAGTTCCAAGTCTCTTTATTAGTCAATGTTTGCCTGGAAAGAGCGCCCAAAGCCTTCAGACGATATCTACTTGTCCATGATGACCTCTCCCACCCCATCCTATCTCATCATTGGAGCAGGCGTGTTCGGCATTTCGACTGCTTTTACGCTTATCCAGAAGTACCCTAATGCCTCGGTGACTGTGGTTGACCGGGATGCATACGATGCAGAAAGCCGTGTGGCTGCTTCGTGGGACTGGAACAAGGTCGTCCGCGCAGACTACGATGATTTAGTCTACTGCAGACTAGCGATTGAGGCTCAAGATGTGTTTAGATCAGACCCTCTCTGGCAGCCATACTTCAAGGAGACGGGAGTCTACTGGATGTGCCGTAGCGACTATGCCCAGAATGTCATTGGCAACTACCAGAAGCTGGGCCGCAAGGCCGAGATCTCCGCTGTCTCGGTGGAGGAAGCTCGCAAGCTTTACAATGGACTATTCAACGAGGCCGACTACGACGGCGTCAAGGAGGTCCTTGTGAACAAGACCAGCGGTTGGGCTGCTGCAGGGGACGCCTTGAGAGCCGTGACCAAGAGATGCCTCGAGTTGGGCGTCAAATATGTTGTGGCCGATGTCGCCACCCTCAACGTTGACTCGCGCGGAACTTGCACGGGCATCAAGACAAAGGACGGACGGGAGCTAACAGCTTCCCATGTGGTCTTATGCACCGGCGCGTTTACAGCTAAGCTGCTGGAGCTGAGTGCGGCAGCCACTGGTGCAGACCTCAGCTCGGGAGATAGAATCACCGCGGGTGGTATCACGACCGGCATGAGACGACTAGACGATACGACATACCCCAAATTCGCCTCAATGCCTGTAGGATTCCAGGGCTATCCGGCCGAAATCGGTGAGTGACAACCCTTGCAGGTGAAACCAGGTTGGAGAAGAGGGGGAACATGATCCATTACAGGACATTGCCGCTGACCATACCTGCAACTCTAGGCCCCTTTCTGGGTAGTCTCCCGCCAACACCAGATCGAGAGATCAAGTGGTGGGGGTGGACTATTTTCAAGAACACAAAGGAGCTTCTCCCAGGTCGCTTTGTATCCATGCCTCCTGCGGAAGCGGACTATGGCCAGTGGAAGGTTTCCAAGAAACTGAAGGAGGATGTGCGGAGAGCCAGCAGGGCCTTCTACGGCAAGGAGGTTGCCGACTGGACCTACACCAAGCACCGCATCTGCTGGTATGTTTCTCCCTCTCGTTGGCGCAACGGCCACGTTGTTACTTGACAGCAACTAACAGCAATATTTACAGGGATGCATTTACAACCAGCGGAGACTTCATCATCTCCCCCCACGCTGGGGCCAAGGGACTCTACCTTGCTACATGCGGCTCGTTCCACGGCTTCAAGTTCTTCCCGGTTCTTGGAAAGTATGTGGTGCAGATGCTGGAAGGGTCCCTGGAACCCGAGCTAACAGAGAAATGGGCCTGGGACCGAGAGCGGCCAGACCCTTCATCCAACCCTGAATGGCCTCGTACTGAGATGAATGATATGCTTGATAATGTGGCAAGGCTGTAAGCGAGCGAGCGAGATCGGTGGCCGGGTTCCATAGCGACTTTGACTTTTTTCCTCTGCATGAAGTGTGTTATCTAGCACCAGGTTAGAAATGATAATTTAAAAAAAAAATCACCATGCATTTTATTGGGTGCTCCTCACGATGTTTGAGGGCATGGGTACATGTGCGTGGTCCAAGGGTCGGGCGCGTGACCTCTACTTTTTGCCAGCGTCTATGATAGCCTGACACGCCTGACTGCCCACTATAGCGTTTTAGGTTTGGCTGCTCTCTGCCATTCCAGAATCCAGAATGCCCAAAACAAGATCGTAGATGAAGCGTGGCTCCAGGCTCTATAAAACGCAACTCGGCATCGATCACAGCAATGACGAGATGAGTGACTTCAACCGGCCGCCCCGGATCTTCTTTTTCCTGGGAGCATGCATCCTACCATGTAAAGTTTGTACATAATAGCATGCCACCAGACTGACAACTGCGACAAAGCCGTGCGGGGACACAGGAGGATCTCCACCGGCGGAGTGGACTCAAGCGAGCGCTAGATTAGTGACACTGGGACTGGGCCAGAGACAAGATAGGGAAATACCTGCATCCATCCATGATCCTAGAGATGTGATCATTGATATGGCGGGTCCATTGGTAGGTAAGCCGTGCATGCCTGCTGCCGCTCTACATCGCTACCACCATCAGATGGAGGCTGCGTTTGAGACACTTATCTCCCGGCCGTGTAACCGGCCTGTGCCTCAGCTCCTCAGCTCAGTACAGTAAACTGACTGAGTGAGGCATCACATTGCATGACAGACAGACCAGGGGGGGGGGCGTAGGATCCAGCACACGCATGCACTACGCAACCACTACCCGCCCCCTGAACTGGACCGTTGCCTGGCTAGGTCCTGACTACTATACCGAATGTCCGAGAGGGAATGAATAATAGACAAAGGACTATTAGCTGTAACTCGACGACCCAGTTGGCTGTCCGTCTGCCAGGCCCCCGATTCATGAGCTGGTCCGGGCGCTTGTGGCAGGGAATTTCCAACATATGTCCCTCCCCCGCGTTCTTTTTTCTCTCTCTTATCATCGTCAAGGCCAAAGTAGCGTCTCTGGTGGGGTTGGTCAGTACTGACTGAGAGTCCCAAGGCCAGACTGACGTATTTAGTGGAGGCGGTGCCCTTCTAGATCTCGCCCCTTCTTGTCGCTGCCTCCGTCCGGAAGCGAGGCAAATGTGCATCCATCCATGGCGCCGCCTGAAGACAGTGCCGGTTCGCGAGGGAGAAGACGCTCACATCATGCTTGCCTTACTTGCAGGTCAGTAGATTCAGGGTTCATCCGTCGCTCACGTCGCTCATCCATCGCTGTTCATCCCCATTCTCCCCTCACTCACCCCTTGCATTCCATCAATCCTCTCGGCTCACCCACCTCCCGAGACAGGAAAAAGAAAGGAACAAAAACACTCACCTTAGAATCTTATCTAGGCGAAAAAAGAGTCGCTGCCCGGGCGAGAAGCCAGCATGCTCCAGCTGTGTGCGCCTCAATCAGTCGTGCTCTTATCCCCCAGCAATAAGATCCTCTCATCAAAGCGGCCGATCGGTAAGCAACTCCGACATCATGTATGAATCACTTCATTCATCCGCTGACACGGCCACTCGGTTTCGAACAGGAGGAGAGGCTGGCTCACTTGGAAGAGAAACTTGATTTCCTCTTGAGTGGGAGCCGGTACATATTCGACTTGCGTTGAAAATCCCCCACAATATCTTCTGACGAGCCTTTAGGGCAAACCATCCCGCATCTCGCCAGAAACAAGACCAGTCTTACGAAGACGCCGCGGACAATTCCGAGAACTCTTACTCCGGCACTCCCCCGTCCCAACCACAGCAGCAACAGCAACAGCAGCTTCAGAGCCTACCAACACACTCCGCGCCCAGTCGTGGATCCGCCGTCATCTCGCCATGTTCAGAAGCCTCAACCAGTCTGCAGCATAGCCCTTCGACGATATCGGTGGCCATTACACTGTACTTCCGATTCTGTCATAGGCAGCCCATCTGGTGCTTCGAGCGTGAGGAGGTTAGCGATTATGGCTCTCTGCCGGAAGAGCTGATATGCAGCATCTTGACCCTGACCTCGAGGTTCTCTGAGAGGCAGGACCAGGCAGCATTGTATTCCAAGAACGCAAAGAGTCTGATCCTACGCCGGATAGCAAATGGCCAGGTTGAGCTGACAACGATCGAGTCTCTCTGTCTTTTGTCATGCTCTTCATTTATAGGTAAGAGAAAAATTGATCCGGAAGGGATGATATATGCCTGGGTAGTTTGATATTGACGTGTTTGCATCAGATGGAAATGCCCACCTCGGACAGTTTCACCTCGGCCTTGCTTTCCAGCTATGTCGATCTGCCATGCTAGACATGGAATCCGGCTATGCCATCGAGGATCCAAATTCAGAGCGGAAGCGTCGGTTGTTCTGGAGTCTTCAACTGCTTGAACAACTCTATGGAAGGCAAAACGGTCTTCTGAGTCTACCCACCGAGATTTGGCGGCCCTCGTACTCCCCCGGTGGTGGCTCTCAACTTGAACTAGATCCGAGAGCACCCAGTCTACCCAGAGACGAGCTCGGCACCCATGCACGTACTGAGCCGGGGATCTGGAATACGAGCGTCCATCTAGGGTGGGTTTGGAGCCAGGTGAGGAAATATGTCTCCGACTGTGCACACAACATCTTGAAGGAGCCTTGGAGGAACGACTCCATGTATGCCAAAGTGGTTTCCGACTTCATGGAGACGGAAAACAGAATTCCCATCTGCCACCGGTACGATTCGGTCAAGTTCTACGGACGCAAGGTGGACGAACTCAAGATGAACCGGGACTACTGGGCGCCTTGGATCAAGGAGCAGTTCATGTACCATGCTATTCCCACAGTGATGAACCACCCGTTCCTCTATATTGTTGGAGCACAACATAACCCAAATTTGGCTATCCCCAATACATTCTGGAGGCGGTCCTCTGAACTGGCTTTACTGCATTCTACCTGGATTGTCCGCTTCATTGATATGGTGGTCGACAAACAGGTACCCTTGGTTGATCCCTTCTTTGGGCATGTTGCTGCCATAGCTGCCACAGTTCATCTTTACTACTGTTGCTCGGCGGCCTCAAGACTAAAGCACAAGTCAAATACGGACTTTGCCAAGTGCCGGAGGTTTTTAAAGGGGTTTCTACCGCACTCCGCAGCCTGTCAAGCACTTGTGAGTGATTTCTTCCTCGAACCTTCTATTCGCCAAACTAACAACTGTGGCAGGACCGGAGTCTAGACAGGATGACACGGATCGCTGCTGGATCTGAAAGCATGGACGTCGAAGACTGGATGCCATCCAAGATATATCTCAGCGTTCCGCTGATGTGGGAGATCCTTCAGTTTGACTTCATGTCCGACTCCAACGGACGCGGGATCCCCACGACCGGCCTTCTTGACAAAACTCTCACACCAGCCCCGATGCACCGGGACATGGGAGAGAGCTCGACGCTGGAGATAATCGTCGCCACATCCCCTGAGATCACGATAGACACAGCCGACGGCGGCCAAGAAGCACCAACTCTACCGTTCAAGTCGTCGAACTTGCCTACTGTGAACACAAACTCCCCACAAACTTCCTCGGTAGGAGACAAGATGTCTGTAGAGCAGACGGATGCTCTGACATTCACCACGACGCCATGGCTCTATGCAGACCCGTCGCAGTTTGTGAATGTCGGTGACATGGGCTACAGCGGAGATTCTCAGCAGATGATAGGCGACAATAGATCGGGAGGCATGGCCTGGTGGGAGGATGAAAATTTCAGCAACATCATGTTTAATCAGTTCTAGTTGGGTGGCGGGCGTATGAGATTTGGTACTGTCTTTACTTTTCGCATCATGACTCTGCGTCTGGTCTATAATTTTGTTGAATTGGGCGGTAAAAGTGGTATTTTGGTACACAGGATTGGTTATTTGCTAGACGAGTTCAGATTGGTGCGATCATTTAGTCTTTCAAGGTGCGACATCTCTCTCTGCATATTCACCTCTTATCAAACATTCCTTCTGAGAGAACCAATGGATGGATAATATTGAACAACGATGCGGGAACGGCGTAGGACGGTCAACATCCGTGTTGGGATGAGATATCGTCAAAAAGAGTTTGCATTACGCATCAAATCCAACGGCCTTGACCCGGCCTAACCCGGGCATCGACCGCGATGTCACCGCCCTACCATAGTTGAAAATCAAAGGACTATCTGGATTCTTCCTAGGGGCCGTGTCGGGGAGCAGCTTCCCTCGTGATCCCACCAACACATCTCGCTTGTCTAATGTAGCTTATCTTGCTGGTGCAGGGATGGCCTCCTACGGAGACAAACCGGACCTTCACTCCTACTTTTGGGGTAAGCATTGATAAAGGCACTTCTCCTAGAGCACGTGGCGGGTTCGGTCTGGAGGGGTATTCTTATCAAGCCGGCACGGCCACGGCGTTCATACACCGATCACGTGTCGGGTTCCCCGGATCTGGTGATAGTCGTAGCGCGCATTGAGGAGCCGGACTATCATAGACTTGGAGCATTATCATGTTGCATTATCGTAGGCTATTCCGATATCGTTGACAAGCGTTTCCAGCCAAGAGCTATGTAGTCTGAAGTATCTCATCCCCATCATGGCGGGATTGCTATTAAATGAAGAACACCGCTACGCCTTCAGGTCGACCAATCTTTTGGATTAAGTCTTCCAAACTCTAATCACCCTTCCCCCCTACTCCCTTCTAGTCTCTATCCCCATTCAGTGAGACACACAGCCCATAGATCATGGCTTCTCCCCCTCCACGCGTTGTGATCATTGGAGCCGGCATCGTTGGCGTCAATGTCGCCGACGAGCTGATCAAGAGAGGATGGAACAATATCACAGTGGTTGAGCAGGGCCCCCTGGATATGCCCGGAGGTTCAACCTCCCACGCACCTGGATTGGTCTTCCAGACCACTCCGTCCAAGACCATGTCTCTCTTCGCCAAATATACGATAGATAAATTACTATCCATTGTCGAGGACGGCCAGAGCTGCTTCAACCAGGTCGGCGGTCTTGAGATCGCCACTACCCCAGAGAGACTCGAGGAACTTAAGAGAAAACGCGGCTTTGCCTTGTCTTGGGGCATTGACGCCCGAGTAATCACCCCAGATGAGTGTGCCAAGCTATACCCCCATCTCAACAAGCAGCTGTTGTACGGAGGTCTTCACATCCCCACAGACGGTCTTGCGCTGGCCGCCAGATCGGTTCAGATCCTCATTGAGCGCACACGCAAGTCTGGCACTCGATATCTCGGAAACACAGCCGTCACCGGCATCAAGCAGTCTGGTGGCCGCGTCACCGGTGTCGAGACAGCAAATGGCGTCATCGAGGCTGACATTGTCATTGCCTGTGCTGGTCTCTGGAGTGTCGAGGTCGGTGCCATGGTTGGCCTTTCCATCCCATTGCAGCCAATGGCTCACCAGTATGCCAAAACCACACCTGTGCCAGCTTCGGCCGGCCGAAACCCTCTGCCAAACGGTGCCAACCTTCCCATTTTGAGATACCAGGACCAGGATCTATACTACCGTGAGCACGGCGACCAGTATGGCATTGGTTTCTACGGCCACCGCCCCATGCCTGTCGTTGCCGCCTCCCTCGGCCCTACAGCCAAGAAAGTCACCGAGCATAATATGCCCTCCCGGTTAGAATTCACACCCAAGGATTTTGAACCGGCGTGGAAGTTATCACAGGAGATCCTCCCCGTTCTGAAAGAGAGCGAGATCGCCGATGGCTTCAACGGCATCATGTCATTCACCCCAGACGGCGGCCCTCTCGTCGGCCAAGCCCCAAACCTCGACAACTTCTACGTGGCCGAGGGCGTCTGGGTCACCCACTCCGGCGGTGTCGCCCGCGCGCTCGCCCAGCTGCTCGTCAACGGCAAGTCCGAGATCGACCTCACCGACTGCGAGCTCAGCCGGTTCGAGGACATCCAGCTCACCCCATCGTACGTCAACGAGACGTGCTCGCAGCAGTTCGTCGAGGTCTACGACATCATCCACCCCCTCCAGCCCAAGGAATCCCCCCGCAACGTCCGGGTGAGCCCGTTCCACGCCCGCCACAAGGAGCTGGGCGCCTTCTTCCTCGAGACGGGAGGCTGGGAGCGCCCTCACTGGTACGAGAGCAACGCGAAGCTGCTCGACGAGATGCCGGCCAAGTTCAAGCCTGCCGAGCGGGACTCCTGGGCCGCCAAGTTCTACTCGCCCATTGTCGCTGCGGAAGCGTGGAGGACGCGGACCGCCGCGGCCATGTTCGACACGACGGCATTCCGTCGGTTGGAGATTGCAGGCCCCGGTGCCGTCGACCTGTTGGACCGGTTGACGACTGGCAACGTATCGAGGAAGACTGGCGTCGCCACTTACTCACTCCTGCTCGATCAAGAGGGAGGCATTCAGAGTGAGATGACCATCTCACGAGTCCTCGACGACTTGTTCCTCCTGGGCGTCAATGGCCCAACCGACTTCGCATTCTTCTCCCGCGAGGCCCGCAAGCAGAACAAGCTGGGCAACGGCAGATTCGTGCACGTTCGCGACATCACCGGCGGCACCTGCGGCATTGGTCTCTGGGGCCCCAACGCACACAAGATCCTCTCTGCTGTGTCGGCGGATGACTTCTCGGACAGTGCTCTGCCTCACCTCCACCTCAAGCTTGCACACATCGGCGGCCTGCCTGCCAAGGTCATCAGGATGTCGTATGTCGGACAGCCTGGCTGGGAGATTGTCACCAGTGCCGAGAACGGTCTTAGATTATGGGACTCTTTGTGGAAGGCCGGTCAGGCTCACGGTGTGATAGCAGCAGGCCGCAGCGCCCTTGCGTCCATGAGACTGGAGGCTGGCTTCCCGTCATTTGGCTCCGACTTGACGCCCGAGCATGATCCTTACGAGTCTGGTCTCGAGTTCCTTCTACACCCAGGCAAGGAGGGATATCTCGGCCACGCTGCCCTCCAAGGCCGGTCTAAAGACGCAGTGTCGAAGCGCCTTCGGCGCCTCGTCATCAACGACGGCCGATCCGTCGTTCTCGGCAAGGAGCCAGTGTTCCACAAGGGCACGGCCGTGGGCTACGTCACCAGCTCAGGAGTTGGCTACGAGATTGGCAAGCCCCTTGCCTATACCTACCTCCCCATCAGCCTGGGAGAGGGCGCCGTGGTCGAGATTGAGTACTTTGGGCGTCGGATCAGCGCGACCGTCGTGCCTGAGCCGGTTCATCCGATGAAGACCGACGAGGGGCGGGTCGCGAGGAGAGCTCACAAGCTGTAGTTTAGGTGTGGAAGGAGTAATGTGGGATTTATGGATTTTATGCTTACAATGAATGACGATTCACTCCCTTGATCGTATCTTGAGCGTTTGATATTAGCCGATTAATGGGGACATCTTGAGGATTCTACATTATTGTGGCTTGTAATGGCCGTGGTCGGCGCTTACAGCAACTCCCTACTAAGAGAAATACAATTTGGATTCTGAGGATCTCAAACCGGAAAGACAGGATCTCCTCAACCGAATATCGTAAACTACACCTGTCCATTCTAGTAAGGCACTGTTTATGATGCAACTTATGACTAAAGCTCTCGGAAAATTGTATCAACCCATACAAAATGGTTAGGATACTCATCCAAACTCGTGAGATCCAAATGTACCAATCGCCCCTCCAATCGCAGGCAAAGTGAGCAACAGCATACTCCCAAAATGCTGGATACCACCCAGCTGCCTCCCAGTCAATTAATGTCAGAGCCTCGTCCTTACCAATGATAACGTTCTTTCGCTGAAAGTCCGCGTCACTGAAAACTGGGAGGCGCTTCGTCGCCAATGGCGCGAAAGCGGAGGATGAAGCGTTGTGCATCGCGGAGGAACTCCATGATCTCGATACCTTCATTGGGATCAACCAATTTTTGCAACTTCTGGGTCTGCCGTGTGCTTTCGGTTAATCTACCCATTAGGCTCAGTGCTTCAAGCCAGTGAAGGAAATGTTTCTTGAGGAACACGTGAACCTGTCCTTCGTCTTGAAGTATGGCTTTGCCCTCCCCCAGGTGATGGATCCAGTAAAGGCACGCATATTGAATCTCTGGTGGCAAGGAGCCATCCGCCTTTTCCTGGGGTATGGTGCTCCTACGCTTGCCTAATTGTCCCAAACCACACATGTTGTATCTGAGGCGATCATTGCTAGAGAGGAGTTCAAGACACTTTATCGCCAACTCCTCGTTAGTCTTTTCCTCGTCTATCCAAAAGCCATTTGAAAAATCTTCATTTTTCTTGACAAGAAACTTGCGAAAAGATAAGTGTAAGATCTTAACAGGAGACTTCAAGTCGCGCGGGACATTGAGGACCGAATGAAGAGAGCTGACGATGCCACCAACAGCAGATGGACTAACTCCAACCAAGTTAGCAAGAGATATGACGGAGAGCGGCTCTGCCAACAGGATGAGGGACCCAATGATATTCCTGAACCGGGATACGATGTCATCTCTCTGTCGGCCGGTCATGCGAGAACCAAGTTTCCCGGTTACGAATCGCTGAAGAACTGTGGCATATGTGGCAGTAAGCTTCTCATCCGAAGTCTCTGCTGGAAGCATCAAATTTTGGTCAGCTCGTCTGCCGGATTCAAGGGCGCCATATCTTCCAACAACCGGCAGACGGTGGCGGCAAAATGAACAGCGGATTAGCAAATTTGACAAGTTTCTGTATCTCGTCCGCAGGTGGCCAGTCCCTGGGCAGATGAAGCTCCTCTGGAGCCAGGCGATTGTACTGGTCCCTGATGAGGGCCAGCTGGTGCACAAGGTAGACCGATAGATCATGCTCGACCACGGGTTCTGGGATGGTATGCAGAGCCACGGCTTAGTGAGATCCGACTTCGAGCTTGTCAAAACCAAGACGGATATGATACTCGGGTCGACTGGTTAGAAAGAATTTCAATTTGAATCCTAGTAGGTTTTGTGTCTTCGCCAGAAGCTCAATGATGCGCTTGGCATCCTCCTCTGGATCGCACTCATCTAGGGCGTCGATAACGACAGTCATTCTCGACTTGCCGCTCCCTCTCTGACTCAATGATCCCAATGGTTGTAGAATGAGCTTCTGAAACTGCGGAGACATCGATTTTTCTGTGATTTCTGGGTCAGCCTCGATCGCGTGTTGTACATGTTCTGCAAAACAAGGCACCCTCTGGCACAGTTGTTTGCAAATGGTAGTGAAGAAGTATGCAGCCCGACTGCGATCCCCTTCGCCTCGCTTGAAGAAGAAGTTTGCGCCAAGCTCACCACTTGCATCGAGACTTGCTGCGACGGTGCGAGCGATGGTCGACTTGCCGGTACCGGCCTTTCCCTCCAGCCAAAAGATGGGCTCGCGGTCGACACTGCGCACCCACTGTTGGATTTGATCAAGCAGCTCGACACGGGTATCTTGGTGGCAGCGAGGGTTGTTCTCGTTGACGTGAAAATCGTATGCGGCGCCTTTGGCATGCCGCAAAGTGGAAAGCAACGTATACTTTCGAATGTCAAGAAGGATTTCTCTGTGAATAGTTAGCTTATAACTCAAATAACGGAAATAAATACATGCTTCGTTGTACGTACTTTTGGGTTTGGAGAGCTGAATATGAGTCTCTTGCCAGCTGGAGCATCTTGTTAGCATCCTGCCGATCATGATGGTTACTGAACTTCTCGCAATTCTCTGCAGCTTTGGAAAGCCTATTACCGATGTCCAGAAGCTTTTGGTTATATGTCTCCAGGTCGTCTAGTTCAAACACGGCCTTGAAGTGATTGCCACCGCCTTGCAGGACCGCGAAACCGAGAAACAGCAATGAGTGGACATAGACGTCAACTATAGTTTCTTCTAAGTTCCTTAGCACGTCCTGTGATTCCACGGAGCTTTTTGAGGTGCCATATAGTGTTTGGTAAATGCTACACTGAGAAACTAATGTTGCAACCTTGGCGAGGCCAAAGGTTATCTCGCTGGCCAGCTTGCTTCGAGCGGTGAGGTTCTGAGTCTAGTCAGCACAGGATAAGATGTTTGGTGCTGGCTCAAGGATACTTACAACAAAGACAAACCGCACAGCAGCCCATGGCAAAGCTGCGTGAACCGGGTCAAAACTCACGGCCACATCGCCAACAGCGACAAACCTGTTCAACACGGCGATGGTTCTGTCGAAAAAGTCATCCATAGAATAACTAGTTCCATGGATACTGACCTTCCAAGCGCGCGTCTTCTACTTCTTCTTCATGTCTTCGAGCTGCTGCTCCATCCAACCTTGAATGTCCTTAGCCGAGTTCATGGCAGAGCTAGATTCACCATCGGCTGCCTGTTCCGCAAGCTTCAAGACTGCCGCGACAATATCTGAGTCTGCTTCAGAGGCCCTGATGCGTTTTAACGCTTGCTCCCACAGGCTATCAGAAGCTGTGACCTGCATCTTGGTTCCAGCCTGTAAGCCTGGGGCGTCATCGCCATTGCCAGCTGATGGGCTTGGTTCATTAGCAAGGGCGGACGTTTCCTTCTCTAGGGCTATACCTGCGGCTTGATCCTGGGAGCTGGTTAGAAAGACGTTGGAGCTCAGTTGATCAGCCGGAATACTAGCGTCGGCGAGTTGTTCGACTTGGGCTGGAGGAATAACAGATTCTCGCGAGGACTAGTTAGATGGGCCGAGAGTTAGAGGCGAAACCAGTAACATCAAACAGGAAACAAACCTGACCGTCGCGGTCGGTGGCACCGCCAGACCTTCCCAGCGAGCCGAACTTTTTAGCCCATTTCTTCCATCTGCTCGGAGATCGCTTGTTAGGGACCATGTTTAAGGAGCTATCGCAAGGATCATCACCTACCCGTTTGCTCAATCACAGTTTGTAGTTGCCCAGAGTCAGCACGACGTACGTTGAGGGGAAAAGTCTGTGACCAGAGGCAGTGCGGGGTCCAGCTGAAATGTAACCAATTCATCAAAGTGCAGCTGAGCATCTGACGAATGAGCCTTGCGAAAGATAATACATACAGGCGCTGGGCACTTCAAAGAGCTTACATAATGCATGAATGTATTTATGCCTTGCCCTGAGCATGTTGAGCGTTGCACAAATTCCACCCTTTCGTTCCCGGCAGATCGCTCTGGTTCTGGTTTCCAGCCAGTGACTACCTGTATAGGTAACCAATATACCAACACTTATAGTAAAATAATAGATTTATTTTTATTTAGCTATGACTATAAGCCTCTAATTTTATATAGCAAAGACTAAGAAAAGAACCCTCTATTAATCTATATATTTCCACCCGGACTTTATATTATTAAAGCCATCCAGTAAATATATAGACAATCCTATCGAATTTTGCTCCTCCGTAGGCAAGCTATGTGATCAGGGAAACACCAATCCATAGTGCCAAGAAAACAAGGTTATAGTTCTTAGTATTAGTAGTAGTAGGAAGAATAATTGGATATCTTACTCAGGTAAGGCGAAGTAGACATGACAGAGGGACGCTCCTCCAATCGAACATCAACCAGACTTCCTCGCGATAATATTTGCATCCCCGTATTCCGACATAAGCTCAAGGGACATCATTAAATTTATTGGGTCAATCCAAAGCCTGTAAGATGGGGCCAGTCTATAGGTGGTGTTAGCATCTGCACCAAGCACTTTCTTCAGCGAGTAGCTTACCAAAAGTCGTTCTCCGTTTATTTATGTGAGTGACTTTGCCCTTCTGGCCAATTTCCACCGTCTTTCCAGTCGATGATCCGAAGCAGTAGCCGTATCTTCCAAAGACTGGGCTGTATTTTGCTCCCTTATCTACTCGTCGATCCTTATTGAGCTTCTTCCATGCCATTCCGCGATCATCTGTAGCTGTTTTTCCTGTGTCATAGTCGACCGTGATACTCTGGCACCGATAGCAGTTTGCCATAAGAGGCATCTGAATCCCTCCGTCAAAGGTGACTTCACCCCAGTAGTCCTCTACCCAGGGGGCCGAGGCACCTTTCAGAACAATGTTTGGTCGGAATTTTGTCACGTCCATTTCACAGCCATCTTTGAGCTTGGCTGTCAAGGCATCATTGGATTCCTCGGTGACAACCAAATAATGGGCAATATCGTTGAATACTAGTCGCTCCGCCGGAAATGTGTAGAATGGGAGAAATCCCTTGACTCGGTCCAGAATTCGTCGTTTGCTCAGGCCACCCTTGCTGTTGGGAGCCATTGTCGGTCCCAACACGGGCCGAGAACCATCCCCAATGAAGACGAGTCTGATTTCCATCCCCGTACGGTCAGAAAACCATTGACTGAGCTCATCTCCCATGTCGAATGCCATGGCTATGCTGCCGTGAAGGCTTGTTTCGAAGGATTTGCGGCCGGCGACGTCGGGTTTCAAGGGGAATTGGATTTTGTCAGGAGTAGTGATATCTTTGGCCGTATCGAATTCTGTGTTTCGACCGCACCAAGTGACGACTACCTGGCCATCGACGGAATTCTCCCGATTCCGTTCATGTTCGATGGTGGCCCGAAACAGTGCCAGTTGTAGATAGTACCCTGCCAGCATGGTCTCGTACCTGGGGGGTTTTTCGGGGTTATCCGCATCTCGGTGCACTCTTTGCAAGGAGAAGGTTCGGTCACCGACCATTCCATACTGGCCAATATGTGCCTTTTGCAGTGCGCTACCCCGAAGAGCTTTCACAGGATAAACATATAACTAAAGATTATGGTTTAGATATTGGATCTGCAGATCTGGATACTTGAAAGTATGAAGTCTTACCTGGGATATTTCTAGTGAATCACCATTTTTGCTTGGGAGCAGCAGCAGAGAGATCGTGACGCAAAGTGTGAGGTTGACACCGAGGATTGTGAGAGCAGCGGGTGAGTTGCCATACTCTGCCCAGATGTTCTTTAGATGATCCATGAATGCTTCGCTGTGCTTGGCTCAGACGGACGTTTGCTAGAGGATCTGATAAGGAACAGTCACAGGATCGGAGCTCATTAAGAAATAGGTATGTTGAGAAAGGAATACAATGCAGAGCATACGATGACTAAAGAGTCATTAAAATGGCAATATATCTCAGTCACAGATTAGGAAAAGATAACCTAGGCCTCAATAAAGTTCAGACCACTGACTGACTCAGGCCAATAAAGACATTTTGATTTGATTGGATGAATCGATGTCTGTCTCTAGGATTTTAGCTAGGATTTTGGACTTCTCCCAATTAGGCAACAAGATTGACCATTTTCAAAGAGGGGCGGACTGGCCTCAATCGGGGCGATGTCATGGTGGTTATCAGTGGTGTGGTGTGCTTCGCGAGGGGGAGAAACCTTTGAAGATCGCCAGTGGCAGTTTTCCCCGTGATCAAGATGAACTATCGAGACCAATGGGAACAGCAGTCCCTAAGGTGACCTTTGCAACCTTGATTCATGTACCCCAGGCTGAACTTGGACTTACCCCAAGTACTCTCCCTGTATTCAGCTTCATCTCTACCCCGCAAGATTATCCCTGTCCCTTCTATACATGACCCGAATGGAACCTCCGCTTTCCTTTCTCTCTTGGCAAGTGATTCAACTCTTTTGAGAATCCTTTCTACTGAAATATTTCATCCAGCATTCATCCATCTTCACAACATGGATTCTCCGGGACGAAACCATAGACGCCGACAATCTACCAGTATCAGCAGAGTCCGCATCGTACAAGGATCTTGTTGGTCATGTAGGAAACGCCGTGTCAAATGCGACCTCACAAAACCCTCCTGCGTGCGCTGTACCCAGATCGGAGCCGCCTGCGACTACAACAACCGTCTCATCCGCTGGAGCTCCAAGCGCACACTGCCCGTGTCGCCGAGCTACCAAATCCTCGACCGGGGCAGTCAGTTGGCAGAGTCTCTGTCCATCAATGAACAACGTGCTTTGGCGTATTTTCAAGGCCGGTTCTGGCCCTTGATGTCGACAGCATCAACACCCTGTGCTCCGCCTGTGGCACTGGCACTTGAGCAACGTGTGCTTCTGCTCGCTACTTGTCTCATTGCTGATCGACATAGAGTTCTTCAAGATGGCAGAAACAGTCTTCGAGTCCCACAGATCAAGCGTGTGGAGTGTCTTGCTGCTGTGCGGGATCAGCTCAATGAGTTTTGTGCGAGTGGGAAAGGGCCGATGGTAGAGCTGCTGCTTTCTGTGTTGATGCTCTATTTCCACGATGGATATCTCGAGTGCGCTGAGAAATCGGCTTCAACCTCTAGTCATCAGGCGGGGGTCCGAGCTATTATTGACAAGCTTGGAGGTGGTGAGGCAGTCTTGGACATTGGTCCAGAGTGTCTTCACATGCTTGTGTCTGAGTTCGCCTCAACTGACCTCACTACTACAATGCTGCGAGGGGGGCTACCTTACTTCTCCCCTGGGATATGGGACAGAATTGAGCAACGGTCTGTCTGGTGGGACCGCGAACCTCTTGCTCAATGTTCCCTTGCGTCTGTATTTGGCCACATCAGCTCCATGGTGCATTATCATGAATCGATTAACTCTGGATTAGAGGAACTTCGACCAGAATGCATTCGCCAGTTTGAATTCAGTTTGACACCATCCTACGCCACACATCGCAGCCAAGATCTCTATGCCAGCGAAATATTTGGCTGGGATGAAACGGCTGCTAGTGTTGAAGCTGTCCACGCCTCCAGTTTGATTCGATCCTTCCAGCACGCAGCTCTTATTTATCTCTACAGAGCCATTTGTGGCTTGCCTGCCCGTCATCCCCTTGTCCAACAGCATGTCATGCCTTGTCTGGGCTCCATTTCTGGCATCGAGAGACCATCGAGAGTGCTGAACTGCGTTATTCTCCCTCTTCTTATTGCCGGAGCACATGTGCAGTCCATCAAGGACCAGAAGTGTGTGGTCAATATGGTGAACTCCATTTATAGTGAGATCAAGTTTGCGTCTGTTCAGCTAGTGAGCAATGTGCTCGATAGTGTTTGGCGATTGGACAGTAATGATTTATCCTGGTTTGAAATGTTTGTTGAATTAGGGCCTGACACTGTTGTGCTCTGATTAATTGTTTATTCCCTACTGCCTGGCCATAAAGGTCAATCATATTAACGAGCGTCAGTCGGTGCATTAAACTATGGCTTTTTTCTTATCGTTTTGTAGGGTGGTAGGATGTGTTGGCGTTATACAATTGTGCTTTATACGTTCCTAGGATGGTGTTTCTTCATTTCTCATCACTTTCAGACTGCAAATGTTAATCTCCAATAAGAATGAAAAACGATAAGTGAAATTCCATTTCCTCATAAAATAAAGCTTACTATCTCTCTCTTTGATTTCGATGATTGTCGAGGACATAATGAAAAGTACAGTCGAACTGCTCATACTGCAACAGGCAAACCTAACGTATTTAGAGAAAGAGTCCTGCGTAATGTAGCAGAAGAAGCAACCAAGTCGCAATGAAATATTTCAAGTTCAATTTAGCCTAAAATATCTAAAGGAGCGTACCCAGGTTCACATGAACAGCCTTAGTCTGTGAGTATGCAGCCAGTCCAGCCTCACCCAGTTCGCGACCAACACCACTCTGCTTGACGCCTCCGAAGGGAACACGAATATCCGAGTCATTAGAGCTGTTAATCCAAACCATGCCTGATTCAAGCCTCGCAGCGACCCGGTGACAGCGCTCAATGTCTCTAGAGAATAGAGCTGCTCCCAAGCCGTAGCAGGTGCCATTGGCAAGGTTGATAGCTTCTTGTTCCCTCTTGAAAGGTGTGATGGAAACGAACGGACCAAAGACCTCCTCTTGGAAAATCTGCATATTCTCCTTTACATCGGAAAATACCGTTGGCTCAATGTAGAAGCCCTTGCCGTGGATGTTCTTGTGCGGGTTACCTCCTGTAACGAGGTTGGCACCCTCAGACTTTCCAGTGGCAATATACTTCAGGATACGGTCATACTGCGCCCTTGTTACTTGAGGTCCCTGGAATGTGTCGTCCTCAAATGGATTTCCGATTTTGTTTTCTAACGTGATCTTCTTGAAGCGGGCGACATAGTCTTGATAAACGCTTTCGTGGACGAGGATGCGGGAGGTTGAGGTGCAAACTTGACCCTGGTTGTACATAATACCCAAATGACCCCATTTGGCAGCTTGGTCCAGGTCAGCATCCTCAAAGATAACCAACGGGGACTTTCCGCCAGTTTCCAGAGTAAGAGCCTTGAGGTTAACACTGGCTCCCTTCATGATATGGCGTGCTGTAGCAGTAGATCCGGTGAATGCAATCTTGTCAACATCAGGATGAGTAACAAGAGCATCTCCAGCCTCCTTTCCATGTCCATTGATGATATTGATTACACCAGGAGGAAACCCTGCCTTTTGAACAAGGGTAGCGAAATAGAGAATGGAAATAGGTGTCTGCTCAGCGGGCTTTAGAACGATTGTATTACCGCAAGCGAGAGCAGGACCCAACTTCCAAGCTGCCATCATGATAGGGAAGTTCCAAGGAATGATTTGCCCGCATACGCCAATTGGTTGCTTGAGCGTATAAGCAAACTTTTGAGGTGTTGTGGGTATTGTTAAGCCGTGAATTTTATCAGCCCAGCCAGCATAGTAGCGAAGCACAGCAACAGCCTCGCCAAGATCGTCATCTCTAGCAACGGTGAAGGGCTTTCCATTATCCCAAGTCTCGAGGGTAGCAAGTGTGTCCTTGTGAGCTTCCACAAGGTCTCCAAGCTTGTACATGAGAGCACCGCGCTCAGTGTTTGAGATGCCTCCCCATTCGGGGGAAGTAAGAGCGGCGCGGGCGGCCTTGACGGCCCGGTCCACGTCTTCGGGGCCGGCAGCTTCCACTGATGTAATCTCTGATTCATCGCTGGGGCTAATGCTCACGATTTTGCCATTGGATTGTGACTTGACAAATTCATTGTTGATGAAAAGACCGGTTGGAAGTGCGATTTTGGCGCCATTTGGCGCAACAAGGTCCACGACTGGAGCAGACATTTTGAAGTACGATGAAAAGAGAGATAAATGGAGAGTTGCTGAGTGTGATATAATGGAGAGAAGAAGAAAAACTCTTAGTAGATGATAAGTTGTGCCATGCGAGCTATCAGCATTCACGCAACAGCGCATTTTTTATACACATCCGGTGATACGGTCGGTCCAATTATTAATTAAGATTCACCTCTTTCGGATATTTTGACCAAAAGTTCAATAGAGTATGTCTGGCCATAATGTTGAGAGTAACTGGTAAGAAGATAGGCCGCAATAAATCGCGTGTCCAACATTGTCTGGGCTACGGATTTCCCAAAAGAGTAAAAACAAGGGCCAAAGTCAAGATGAGTGCCATTTGGGCTGCCAGACACTAAAACTACCATCCAAGGACCCCTCTTCATCACTGACTCCGCACCATTCTTCAGGCATGACTCGAGTGTTAGCTTGATAGGTCAAGTGATTCCAACCCCTCACGGGTCAGCTGCCCTCTCTATGTTCTCCATGTTATCTGCATTTCCCCGTATCCCGGTCGCTAAAGCTTAACCAATGCACAGGCGCTCTTTTAGTTGCTGATGGACACTGCCAGGGTGGTACTTATTGCTTATCAATCAAAAGGTGAACCTTCACATGCTTGAGGGCGATGCAATTCAGTTTTGAGATCCAGTGAGATGGAAACGCAGATATTGTCATTTTCTATACAGCTCCAATTTATTTCATTGATATCGAGCAAAGTATTAACTGACTGTCACAATGTAAGAGCGTGCGATGATGGCAACTAGAGCTAGAATAATGGAAATAAGCACCCCGAGGACTGGAATTGACCTTGGTGAAAACAATGAACCCTTTCCTTCCTTCTTTAGCGAAAGTTAGTATAAGTCCAGACGGCTAGGAATTAGAATCAAGCCCATTAAAAATGTGCACTTACTGAAGAAGTAGGGTCAAGAATTCCTTTGAGCAATGGTTTCAACTGCTCGATCGCGTCAGCGCTGTGGCCGACCTCATGGAATGCTTCCGAAGCATCTGTGCCCAAAACTTCTGTCAAGATATCATCGCCTCCTCTGCGTCGCGGAAGATTAGTTTCAGTGGTGAGATAGTCATTGAAAATCTATAATTTCTTACGGGTGCTTGGACATGTAGTCTGTGATTTCGTACACTTTTTCGTCGATGACGATGTAGCCCGAAGTCTCTGTAGACTTGCCCTTGACGTCTTTCAGGGTGAATGTTTCAGACATGATGAGTGATGGTAGTAAATGGAGTGATGGCACAAGGTATTGATGAGTTATCAGGGGGAAGCTGTGTAGATGAAGTCTAGGAAGTGAAGGAGGGGAGGCTGACTATTTATCCCAAACAATATACGCCACAGCTTCTTTGAACTAGAGAATAAAAGCTATAGAAGTCTACGTCTGGCGGATTCACGGAATGCAAGAGCCAGCTACGCAGATTCAGGGGACGTTAACCTGCCCTTGTGGTACGTAAGTACGACACGAAATCGGCCAATGTAACCAATTGATACAGATGTGCAAATTTCTCGCTTAAACTCATGATATTAGAACATAAAAAGCCTTCTTCAGGCACACAAAGATCTCTTGATTAAATGATAGACGTGCTGGTTTCGTACATTTGCTTGTTCTCACATAGCTCAAGCTACTCTTTATTGTATGTCATGTAACATATCTAAGCAGGAATTGTAGCCTCCACCTCAATCTCAACTCGCATACCCTCCAATCCGAGCTTTCCGATCTGAATACATGTCCACACGGGGCGGTGGTTGGGAAATAGCTTCTTGAATTGGGCCGTCATGACGTCGAAGCTAGAATCCATATCAAGGTGGTATGAACGGATGGCGAAGATGTTGTCGTAGGTCATTCGGGAATCGACAGCTTGCAGAGCTTTGAGGACGTTCTCAAAAGCGACGGCAATTTGCTTTGGGAGGTCCGAGATGATGTGGCCTTGAGCGTCCCAGCCTCCCTGGCCGGACGTCTTGACAAAGTTGCCGAGCTTGACAGCTTGGGAGTAGTGGTACTGTTCGGCATTGGTCTCGGTGCCGGGGTAGTTAAAAAATTCACCGGAAGACATTGTGATGATATTGAATGACGGTCCTTTTGAACAAGAGGATATCTTTCTTGTAGGGGCGTACTGGGTGGTTCGCGGGAGTGAAATATAATGACAATAACACGAGCTATCGATGTCATAAATATAAGTCCACAGTATTCATATTCAATTTGCATAAATCTTTGACCCGGTCAGGGGCCAACCTCCTATCTATGTACGAGTCATTTTCCTCCAGGACCAGTTGGGCTGCCATGGCACATTGGCCCCGAACCTACCTGATATAGTTAGACCAGTGACGAGTTCCAACATAGAGGCAAGCTTGCCTAGTCTTTCTGCAATGGCAGTCTAGAGATTGACCAAAGAACAAGAACGGCCAATCTGGGAGGAAATGAACCATTGCACTTTTCCTAGAAGCTCGAATCATGTTATGGCGGGTGCCTCGTGCGTCCAACAATCGGAAAGATGCATCTCGGGTAGACGGAATGATACTGCAGGCAGATATTTTTCGTCGAGTATTAATTGTCCACCGCTTAGGACACCTAGAGTTGCCCATCATCACCAAATCTGTCCAAAGCTCTCTTTCTCCTATTCACAAACTGACCGACCAACCTGACCGAAACAAGAGAGCCAGAATGTGCCAACCCTTTACCGCAGAAGATGATCTATCATCCTCGAGAATGTCTGGTGCTGGGAACAACATGTCTGCTTTTATCGCCTGCTTGGTTGTCACAGCTGTTCTTCTTCTGACAAAGTACGGCTTGATTCCTGCCAGTACGTTGATTCCAACATGAATCCAACCACTCATACTAACCTTGCGATCTAAAAATCATGTAGAAAGGAAAGGAGTCCTCAAGCCCGATCAGTTCCAGGACTTCATTCTTCAGAAGAAAATAGCCATATCCCACAATGTTGCCATGTAAGCCACCATCAACCTGTATCTGTCTCGAACTCCATGAATGCTAATTCAACATAGCTATCGATTCCAACTGCCGGCTCCAGATTCCATTCTTGGACTGCCCATCGGTCAACATATCTCGATAGGCGCCGATATCAAGCAACCAGACGGCAGCACGAAGGAAATCGTCCGATCGTATACCCCCATTACTGGTGACGACCAGCCTGGGCACTTCGATGTACTGCTAAAAACATACCCACAAGGCAATATCTCTCATTATATGGCATCCTTGCCTATCGGCCAATCCATAAAAGTGCGTGGGCCAAAGGGGGCGTTCAACTACACCCCAAACATGGTACGAAGGTTTGGGATGATCGCAGGTGGCACGGGTATCACGCCCATGCTGCAGATCCTAAATGCAATCGCTCGCGGTAGAGCTACTGGTGACAAGACAGAAGCACACTTGGTTTTTGCCAATGGCGCTGCTGATGATATTCTGCTCAAGAAGGAGCTGGAGCAACTAGCCCAAGATCCTAAGATTCACGTCCACTATGTTTTGAACCAACCCCCAAAGAATTGGAAAGGCGGCATAGGATTCATAACGGAGACCATGATCAAAGTAAGTGTTTTCATTTCTGCATCTGACTTGAGCTTAACACTTCACTCATTCCTTACGCGTAGGAATGGCTTCCTGCCCCTTCTGTAGATGTGAAAATTCTTCTCTGCGGACCACCCCCTATGGTAGCGGCTATGAAAAAAGCGACACAGGCTATTGGGTTTGAGAAGTCTTCTCCCGTAGGAAAGATGACGGACCAAGTATTTTCTTTCTAAATGCTTACATAGCAGTCCTGTTGGATGATTATTTTCTGGGTACTCTGGACTGTCGTTTGTTGCGTCTTCCGCTTCGCCGATGGAGATATCAATTTAGAGAGAGAAGTAAAGATCCGGGCTATTTGAAAGATGAGGAATGGAAGCATTCTCAATGGACTATCATTATCAAAGCAATATTGCCAACATTATTTCATTCTTCTCTTGCACCATTAGATTTAGATAATGAAGCCACAGAAGCTGGAAGCAACTACGACAAGTTCTCTGAAATCTTCATTTATTTGAGATTGCCCAAATCATTATACGATAACAATCGCCCCAGCGTCAATGAGAAAGATTTCTTTCAAGTATCATATATTCAGTCCCCATTTACGATCTTATCTACTTCATTATGCTCTAAAATAATAGACGATCATATAATAAAGAAACACTTCATGTTTTTATGATACCAATACTCAGCCTTATCCAATACAATACCACGTACACCATAGGTAAGTTAAGGCAGCGGATATTGATCAAAGAGTTTCTACCTCGCATTTAGTGAGACTCGCCGCCGTGTTTAGCCAACAGATTCCAATATCGCTGTGCCGTGATTCGGCGAAAGTATTTTCCAACCATGATCATGAGAAGGCAAAGAGACCATAAGAGAATCCCCAGAATGGAGATCAAGACAAAAGCGTATTTGAGGTTCAGGTTCTGAATCATCGGGACCACAGCGTACCCGAATGCGAAGCCTGAAAAGATCAGTCCATACTCCTAAATGGTTGGGATACCGGGCTTTTGAACATACCTAGCAAGTTTCGAATGAGGATTGAAGATACAAGACCTTCGCCGGCAACCTCTGGGTAAGTATCCAGAATATAAGTAAAGGCGAGGACAGATCCGAGTGGAAGGGTAATTGAGATTAAGCAAAGTCCGGCAGCAATGCCTGCCCAATGAATCTGGTTGAAAGCACCGAGCCCGTACAGAAAACAGCCTGCAGGATGAGCCAGGAGCCCGATCAGACAGAGCCAAAGGCGATGCTCAGGCTCCATGACACCACCATTTCTCTTGGCCATCCACAAAGCCAGTCGATCACTCGCAAAACTTGAGATTATGCATCCAATGGTAACACCAATCGCATTTGCAAGGTAAAACAAGCCGACCACGTTAGATACAAAGTTATAAGGTGGCCCACTGAGAATGAGGGCCAATGAGCCACCAACAACATTGTACCAAGCAAGAATACTGCCAACAAGAAGACCGGCAAAGACCACACCTGGGAACTGAAGAAGAATAAAGGGCATGAAGAACCGCTTCAGCTGGCTTGGCTGCTTTGGATTCCTGTATCCCCACAAAGCGAGCTTTTGCATATAGGTTCTCTCGTTATCTAGTTCGTAGGTAGCGGGTCCGGCCGTTTCAGAGTGGCTGTCGGGTGGTGATGAAGTTGGGGCCTTGGGATCCGATGATCCTTTCTCAGCGGTGCTGCCGTCGACGACAACAGATTGGACGCGATCTTGGATCCCTACAATCTCTGTTTGAATAATTCCCCGATAAAACATTGTCTCTTCGAAGAACAAAAAGGTAGTAATGGTCATAAACGCCGATACGAAAGTCAGGATATACTGGATCCATCTCCAACCAAGCGATTCGGCGATGAAACCCGTGATAACCGGGCAGATGAAAGCTCCGCACCAGAGCATCCATGAATAAACACCCATAAAGAAACCCCTCTCGTGAGTAAAGTAAATGTCGCCAATGATGACTTCAATAAGTGTTTCCATTGGTGAGGACACAATACCGAGGATAATTCTGTTGACGTAGAACTCCCCTTGTGAGCGTACATAGGCCGACCAGAGCGTGACAAATGTTGTCAAAACACTTGAAGCAACCAACACAGGTCTGCGACCATAGCTGAGGGCAAGCTGTTGGGTAATGAGAGTTCCCCAACCCAGAAACAGGTAGAAAACACCATTTGCAGTGCTGAGGTCGGCAATCGAGATGCCTGTATCTTCTGAAATCATGACATAGGCGGGAGAAAGCCCGGAAATGATTGCCGCAGCAAGTACACACCAAGTCATAGCCCAAAAAATGGCAGTGGTCTTCCTCCTGTGCGACCAGTTGAGAGGATCGTTAAGTTTGTTACTTGGCTGAGGGATCAAGACAATATCACTGTCCCCTTTACCATGCTGGGCTGATAAGACATGCCCAACGTCAACCAATTGGGCTGTTCCAGGTATCGCAGGACTGGTCATGTTGATTATGTTGAGCCAACCGATTTTGATTATATAAAGTCGCTTGAATATTTGAATGGGAGGGGGGGAGTTGATTAATTCTTGGAATCCTGGGGTAATTGATTCTAAATATACAAGAATCTCTATGGACTCCCGGCCGTGTAAACTCCCCTGCAAAGACTCACGACTCGATAAGAGTAAACTTTAAAGCCCCCCGTCTCCTGGGATCGTCTTCGGTGGGTCTAGAACTTCAGTGTTCCCCTCATATCTGTCTCTTGGAGTTGGAGCTCATCGCACCAGTCCTAAATTAGCAAGAATATAGACCAAACGCGAAGTTGGGGTAAAGTATGGGAATCCGTAGTGCCTTGGACAAGGGGCTACCTTATTCTACCTCCACTCTATTGAATTCCTTATCTCAGGCCACGTTCGAATCCGGCAAGTTGATAGTTCAAAATCATCGAATAATTCGAAACCTGTAGATCCTACTTCCTCGGTGCTATGCTTGTTTTTGCTAAGGGATAAGCAAAACCCTAGGGCCGTAGATACTTCTTGAAATGCGCAGCATGTCACACTAGACTGCAGCGAGGGCCAAATTTTCATGCTGACCGGACTAAGAAGGTCTAGCCATCATGACCTCTTTGGCAGAATCGCCATTTGGCAGTGATCACTGATAACGATGTTTATGCCGAAGTCATACATCTAAACCTTCTTAAATGTGGCACATTTAAGACTTCCGGCAAGGTCAGGCAAGCTAGAGAAAGCCCATCACAACCCAATGTTTGTAAAGAAGTATTTCTCATTTCGCCACAGAGGCCACGCGCCTTTGCCACCCCCTTGATGGACCAAGTTTGGCCAAAAGGTGGAAGTAATATCCCAGCATCGCCCGAACTTGGGTATCAGGCTCGTTCCACGCAGCTCATACTGGCACTGGCTCGGCAGCGACGGCAGTACCACGAGTCATGCTTCGAGGGGGTTTGCTAAAATGTTTCCACAGAGTGAGTCTCATCGGCCTGTGTTGCCATTCGGTGGCTTATTTCATATGCGCTATTAGCGTATCGCTGAACCAGTGGTGATTCCGCCAGATAACCCTACTTGTAAACACCTTGGCTTTCATGAGAATTGTTCTGGCCATTACCATGGGTAGAGCACCCAAGAACCCAAGAAGCCCGACCACCCGACAACCCAAGCACCTAAACCTGAGCATGCCATAACGTCATACTGAGGGCGCACGTACAAGGGAAGAAAAGCAAGCAGAAGAACGAGTGACAGAGTACATCAATTTGTATCGCCTTAAGTGCCTACACTCATGTCAGTAGTGAACAGCTTGCTCTACTCTTTGGGCTTTGCTCCGCAAGCACCACATTCAACCTCCTATGAATCGCCACCACACGCGTTACAAGCCCCCTCCATTGTAAGGGCAAGTATCTTAAATGAAGTAAATGTTAAGGTTTGCCGGCAAGGTCGGATGATATTGGGGGATGAAGTTTGGGGATTGCGAATCTTTCAATGATGGATAAGTTGTATAGTTACTTTCTTACCAGGCCCCGGCTTCGGCCTTATCCTCCTGGAGCCTAAGTCACTTGGTAGTCACGCCGGCTTTTTGTTTTTCTGCCTGGCTTGATCACATTCCCATGATCAGTTTACTGATCCCATCGTCCAGAGTCGCAAAATGTCCCATACTAATCCTCAGATCTGGCACCAATATTTTGAATCAGAAGACATTCAAGCCTGCCTGAATCTGATAGATGGTGCCAAAAAGGTCATCGCGAACAGTTTGGTTGCGACAGAAGGTGCAACCAAGATCATCTCAGATAACAAAGTTGGTATTCCGGCTCCTAGGTGGTTGTAACACAGCGCTGACAATCTTCTGGGCTCGAATATCTACCCTAATAGACGGACATGTTCAACCGAAACCTCTCTCGACTCAGACTTCACCGCTTTCCCAATGATTCTGATGAAGATGACCGCAAACCCAATCATTCTGATGCACCCCAATCGCATGCTAATATCAACATCTCTCCTGACGATCTATGGTGCCCCGAATGCGGTAAAAACAATACTAACAAAAAGGCTCGAACACGACACTACGCACCCCGCGAGGCATCAGTCATCAGTATAATCGTAGACAGGTTGAGCTGATATCATCACAGACGTTCTTTGCGCTCAATTCTCGGCCAGTGACGAGATGTGTGCCTACTATAGGGCATCATTGAAAACGGCATCAGATTTTTTCAAGGATGATACAAAGTGTCCAAAGCGAATGGTGGATCAGCTGCCTGAGTCGAAGAGAGTGGAAGCTTCACGGCAGAAGAGGCGTATAGGGACGGATATGGGCGAACTCTTAAGAAAGCAGACAAGCCGGGCTCGGAGTAGGGTGGACTGTGAACCCTCCCTTAAAAGACGTATTATGGACGCCGATGTAATGTCTAATCTCCAAATCTCTTGTTATACCGGTTGCAGAAATGAAACTTGCATTCCAGGTCTGTATCTATATATCATAATTTGTGGTTAAAATACTAACATTATAGTAGCGAATTTAGATTCTTATCCACCTATATAATCATACTTCGCTAACCTTGAGGCTAGGTCCAACAACCAAACTGTAATATTTTTGCCACAGCCTTCTGAATCATACCTAACTCTTCATAGCACGATAGATGTCTGCCACAAGACTGATATTCACGTCACGACGACAAATTTCAAGGATGGATACTTCCGAGGCCTGGCCATGGTTCTCAATCCAATAGATGGAGTCCTAGATTGGGATATCTCGACCGCGTGATAATATATCTTCATGTTCTCTGCATGGTGGCCAAAGGCGCTCTGCCCAAAGTGTTACACATCTGGTACGGTGCTCTGAGGCTTCACGAATATGAAGTTTGTCTTGATTTCTTTGCGATTCAGGAATATCACCAGCTGGTATCGGCTATTGCATATTTCTTTTTGTCTTTTGCTGAGCTTTTGCCCGGATGTTTGTCTCGGCAGGGACGGGAAATGCTATGATCCGCCATTAAACGAAAGAAATCGCTCAAGCAGCCGAACCTGCTAGAGGCAGTGCGGCAGGGTGTCCGTCCGGGACCTGCGGGTAACAACGGGGCATTGCCAAAGGATCATCCATCGGTCTGTGCTTTGGTGAGGCCATCTCGATCTACGGCGTCACGTCAGTTTTCGTACATGTCGCCGGTCCCACACCTGTTTCATCACGATTCACGAGGCAGTATCTAGCAAGGCCCTCTTATTCATTCAATTATCATTCAATTCGTGAAATGTTCTACTTTTTTCAATTAAGGCCAGATACCCCTGGTCCTTGTCCTCGCTCTCTTGGACACGTAGCTGTTCTGCCCCAGCCAATTGCTCAGGCCGTAAAGCACATGTTTCCAGCTTACCGGACAGTGTAGCCACCGTCAATGACGATATCAGCTCCAGTAGTATAGGTCGACGCGTCGCTGAGTAGGTAAACGTAAGCCCCCTTGAGCTCCTTGGCGTCGCCGTTGCGGCCGAGGGGGATGAAGCTCCTCCACAGGTCCTGGGTCTTCTGGTCGATGAAGTCGGACAGGCCCGTGTCGATGTAGCCCGGGGAGATGCTGTTGACGCGGGCAAAGTCGCGCCACTCGTTGGCGAGCGACTTGGCCATGTGGATGCAGCCGGCCTTGGCCACGTTGTACGAGGTCTGCTCCTGGGGGTAGTTGGCGATGTGGCCGGACATGGACGCCGTGATGACGAAGGAGCCCTTGCCCTGCTTCTTGAAGTGGGCGCCCACGGCCTTGGCGCAGTATGCCGTGCCGGTGAGATCTGTACGGATCACTCGATCCCACTCCTCGGTAGAGCCGTCGATAACGCCGCTGTTGGCTGTGGCACCAGCGCTGGAGGGGGGAGATGTTAGCTAGGCTCAATGGCAATGGTGGGGATGGGAAGTCTGTTCACGTACTTGGCGACGAAGCCGTCAATCTTGCCGAACTCGGCAACGATCTCATTGACGACGCGCTCGACATCGGCGTAGTCGTTGACGTTGAGCTTGTAGGCCTTGGCCTTGACGCCGTACTTCTCGACAATCTCCTGGACGTTCTTCTCGGCGCCCTCCTTGCGGGAGGAGTAGGTGATGGCGACGTCGGCGCCCATCTCGGCGGAGCCTCGGGCGGCCTCAATGCCCATTCCTCGGGGGCCTGAAGCGCCGGTGACGACGATGACCTTGCCCTTGAGGCTGAAAAGGTCCTTCAGGCTGCTGGACTCTGGGATTCCGACGGGCATGGTGGGCGAATTGGGTGAGGGGGATTAAGGTCTGGTAGGTGTTCTTGGGTGAATTGAATGGCGGGGTGGAATGAGCTGAGCAAGAGAGGACAAAGCCGCGAAGGAGGAGAGGTGGTCTGTCTATTTATCTGCCACGCGAGCGACCGTCGGCTCCATCCTTTCTTGATGACGAAGGAGGGGAGGGCGTCCGAGAGTACCGGCACCGGCAATACCCCACCATGAGCAAGGCAAGACGAGAAGTCCATCCCAGAATTTTTTAGGCGAGAATCACATCCCTAGCCCACGGGAATCGGCTTATGCGGTTCTTACACAATACGAGCCTGTGTGGGTTGACAAACTGGATGCAACGGTTGGGCGCGGAGGCATCCGTACCTGGATTTGGGGTTACATCACAGCACGCTGGAGAGTTCAGAGACCAGCTCCAGACGCTCAGCCCAGAGCCCTTGATGTCATTCTCGGCCTTGGTGTGCAACCCCCGGAAGTATCTGCGGCAATGCCATTGGCTGGGAGGCGGTTGGCAAGATGTGCCATGCTGTATCCGGCTGGAATGGTGGTGTGACCGACCAGCAGCTTATTTTCATTCTGCAACTGCACCTGCACAGTCAAAGCTTGATTAATTGCTGGGAAGACCGAGACGGTGGCAGTTTGTGCTCTGCACGTGATGGCGATGGCACGCCACTGTTTGCTGGGCTTTTGAAGAGGCGGCGCGACCGAGAAAAGAGACAAGACCGTGATGAAGCTTCTGCGTGTCGATGACGCGCACTGAGGCCATAGATGGGACCACAGAGCTGCCAATTGGCCCCATGTCACTCGCCAATCGCCATTCGCTTTGCCAGTGGAAACTGGAGACTGGGCAGACAACGCGACGAGCGAGAGAGAAATGTATGGAGGGGCGGAGCAATCGGATTGTCGGATATCGAGACCCAAGATCCATCCATGTAACTCTTAGCTGCAACGCGCCCAAAAGCGCTCAGAGATGCTTTAGAAATACACCGAGCAAAGTCGCCTGTTGCCTGGCGGGGATGGAGGGTGTGACTAAGCGCTGAGCTGGCTGACCAAACCATGCGATAATCCAGCTGCGACGCGTTGATTTGCGAGCCTCATGTAAGGGATTGTAATTCTGAGACAGACTTGGCATGAAAAGAGCAAGGTGCGAAACAGGCAACCAAAGCCGAACAAATCGTAGGCTTGCGGGATGACAATTGATGGGGTAAATTTGTTGCATGTATTTCTGGTCGTCGTGATGCTTCATGGCGGGGTAATTGCCAAGTGTTCTCGTTAGGAGAGGAGAATTTGTTGGCCAATGCTTCCACTTGTTTTGGGGCAGCGCTTTCATATACCTGAAAACAACAATTTAGGATGAAAATAAGTAAGTATAGTCACGTTGAGCCTGGATTTGGTTCACATTGTTGGCTGGAAATGAAGATCACATCATGACATGATGGCGGTCTAGGGTAGGTAGCTTATCAAAATGATTTAGAAAAGGAGAATGCACGTGTTGCGACAAACATCAATTGATGAGGCAATTGGGGGAACAAGTTCCATTCGCTAGACATCTAAATTTTTTCACACTACGCTTGCTTCCTTCATTAACCCATATTTCATGCTTGGACACCGCTTACAAGAGGTCCATGATCTTCTCTCCGGCGTAGCTGGCGTTGTATGACCACTTCTTAGGGGCGGTCTGTTGCAATTGGTCAGTCTCAGCCTTAGTGGGGTGAGGAGGGATAACGAAAGGTGACAAAAAAAAACACGTACCTGGATGTAAAGAATACCATCCTCAATTGTAACCTCGTGGTAAGAGGCCTTGATCTCGTCGAGCACGCGGATCTCAATCTTCTTGGCGCTGACCTCCTCGAGGAGCCCCTCCTGGAGCATGTCGTCGGATCCAAACTTGTTGTACTCTAGCTGCGAGTAGAGACCCTCAAAGTAAGAGTACAGTGTGCGGCCGAAGCCTTGGTCCCAGTCGGAGTCGATGCCCTCAGCGCCGTTGAGCTTAGCGAAATTGGCCTCGGCGTTGTTGTTGAGGGTGATCTCCGTGTTCAGCAGCTTGCCGTACTTGGCCTGGAGCTCGGCAATCTTGGGCTCGTAGTCCTCGGCGAGGCTGAGGCGGGCGTGGAAGTTGAGGGGCTTGGTGGAGGGGGCGTTCTGGAGCGCCTTCTTGAGCTTGCCCTCCTCGAGGGCGCTGCTGATGTTGGTGCCGAGGGCGTTCTCCCTGAACACGATGACGAGCTGGCCCTGCTCGTTGACGACGGCGCCGTTGTAGTAGATGGTTGAGTCGTCGGTGTAGTCAAAGGTGATGACATGGGCGTGAGCGAGATCATTCAGGTCGTTCTTGTAGATCTCACCACCGGTCCTTCCGATGATGTAAGAGAGCTGGCTGTGAGCACCCTCGATGTACTCGGCGATCAAGTTGCCGGGGCTGTGATTGCCGTATGAGCCTTCCTCAGCATAGGGGAACAGAGCCTTGGGGTCGACCTCGACAGTCCAGGCCACTCCGAGGACGTCTGAGAGCTTCTTCTCAAGCTCCTCTTTCTTGTTGTCCCACTCATCACGGACTAAATGAGATGTCAGTTCACCATTCGTCGAGGAAATGTAAAGTGAAGCTTAATGGAGTGTCTTACGGTTCTTGCGGGCAGCAAGGGGAAGCTTCTCGGCGGGAGGAAGACGAGGCATTGTGTATGAAGAGGCTGAGCCGGTTGTGGAAAGTGAGGTTGATTGAAGTTGTTGTTGATGATGGAGAATGAGAGCAAAGCCAAGATTTCTGAGGGAGGGCGGACGACGTCTTATATATCTCTTGCAGGCTTTACAGGTAATAGGTTGCCTGGGAATGGAGAGCCGTCGCCATAGGGAACCTTGCGCTCGTCAGTTCAAACAATAATTCAGCCTCCATCATTTCAACATCTCTACTCTCGGGCTAGCTGGCCCCGTTAGGCTGGTTGAGCTCAATGAATGGCCCTGTGAAACGGACTTCGGCGCTAACGATAACCACAGTGTCTAGCTTACCTACCCCCTTTCCCCTCTCTTTCACCGTAACGGCTCGCTTGGCTTCTCCCAAAGCGAGTAAAGTGATGCCTAGCTGAACTTAGATCCGCGTACCTGCATTTCAGCTCATCTATACACCTCTCTGCGCAGGATGCGTGCACAGCGTCAGCTCCTCCCAAAGGCGGAACCGCCGCAGGCAACAGGCCAGCAGCATGGCGGGATTGGCAAATCGTAACCGGATTAACTAGACAGAGTTGGTGGGATAAAGCCTCGACCGACCCTTAAAATTGTCATTCCCCACACAAGGCTGTCTTGGTGGTGCGAAATGCGGTCGAGCTGACATTTAGCGTTGTTTGGCGGCACCAGGAACCGAGCATGTCACAGCGCGGCTCACCTCCGCACTTCCTTTCCGTGATCTTGACACCGTTTCATTTTCCTGTTCCTGTGTTTTTGTTGAGCCCGAGCTCTGGTTCCCACTCCCGGGAGCGGAGAGTGATCATCAGCCCTGCCGGTGGATGGAGACCTGGCCCCTCCAGGCTGCGATTTCTTGGCTTGACCTTGCGCCAAGGCACCCTTATGGGCAAATGCCGCCATTGAGTCAGCCGGCGTGAGGGGTTGGATGTGATACAGTGTTGAACTTGAAGCTAACAAGCCATGACTCGTGGGCCCAAGACTGTGGGAGGTCGGGGAGGGGAATGAAGCGGCTGGCAGCTTCACTCGCTGGGCCCGAAGAGCACTAGCTCTCCTTTCTCCTCGAGTGCACTGATGAGACTTGAGCCACACTTATAATAGTATCGTTCCAGAGAGCAACACGTGTTGCTGACTGGAAGGTGAAGCGTTGGAGATGGCCCGCTTTCGCGTTTCGGACGGGGTCATTCGAAAAAGTAATTCATGGAGGGCTTTTCTGTGGGTGTTTTAGTCGACGTTACTGAACGTTGGTCTCTTTTGCCAAGTGGTGGAAGACTCTCAGCACTTATAATGATCTGGCCGACAACACGATCCACGTATAATCGCTTATGTGGGAGAGAATATACCCCTATTCCATGACTGGTCTGAGACTTGTTCAAAATCTACGCCACAAAAGCTTACAGGGCGGCGCTCCAACAGCATTCGCGGGACCCATGACGCTTGGTATGACTTGAGCGCACTGCTTGGCGATGGGGTGTCACTTCTACTAGGAAAGGTTTTGTGCGTGATTGACGGTTTCCATTGGATAGACGATAAGACTGCGTTTCATTTTTTGAAGGATCTGGTGACGGCATCGAGGTCAGCGAAGCTAAAAGCTCTTTTCACTACGACGGAGTGATCAGCAACTTTGATGAGATGAGAGACTTAGCATCTCTGATGACTACCTCTGATTGGACTCACGAAAGTAATGAATATCACTTATGGACGTAAAGGACCCCTTCACGACCTCTAGATTAATATGGCCCGTTCCACGGTAGTCTATTGAGATATGCTTTTCTTGACCTTGTAGGCTGTGAGTATCCTCTTCAGCTCCCAACATCCGGGCGCGAAGTGCGAACCTTGAGCCGAGTAAGCTTTTGGGATATAAGTTGACTTTTCAAGTGTGCCCAATGTGGCAGTGTCGCATCTGACCCGATGTGTTTCCTTATAATTGTGTAGGTTGACCAAGACTTTTTTTCTTTCTCAACTCACACGTAGCTTAGGCCAATCTTTATTGGATGCCAACAGTGTGCTCTTGAGTCGCATCGCTGACAGCTTCAAACAACTCGGTACATCTGATCGAAGGCAGAAGACAGTGGTCTTTGTTTGCTTTTGGCGGGGATTTTGATGGTAGCAGAATTGGCAGGAATGCAGTAGAATCGACTGGCTCTTGCCTCCAAAAGCCCATCTCGCGGAAACCTCACCGCCCTGGCAGAAGAAGCAGGTGACACTCCAACCTCAGGCAACAATCATTCAGCCTAAGGACGTCTTCAACTCGTCTTCATCTGTTGGACTTCCTACGTCCTCAAAACATACTCCTCGTGCACGCCACTGCCTACTCCTTTCTCAGAAGATACGCCTTTTCAGTGACTCACGAGTCTTTCTACCTAAAATCTACTCCCCGAACTCTCCGACATGGCTTCGACAGAGGAAGGCGGCGAAAAGCCCTTGAACGCATCCGAGAAGGCATACTTGAAGAAAAATTTCCGCAACGAATTTTACTTCTTGCGCGGTCAAGGTCTCAACATCTACAAGGAGGAGGATCGCAGCGAGGGCAGAGCGATCCTGCGAGCTTTCCAGAAGTGTGACTCCCTCCCCGAGGAGGGTCAATCACCCAGCGGTGCCAACGAGGCGGCCCCTGAGCTCCGCCAAGACAACCATTTCCGCGCGGACGACCGAGCTGAAGAGACCCAATATCAGCACCAGGCTCCGAGAGGCTTCAACCCTACGCACGGGTTCGATTTTGCTGGATCGTCGATCGACGGGCCGGCCCAAGACCCTGCTCTGGTATCTGCGCCTGGCGGCGGTGAACAGCACCAGGGACCTGCGCACGATTATCGTATGAACCCCGATCAGTTTGGGTATAATCATGAGCAAAGTGGCGCTTTCGATGGGGGATACCAGGGTGGATTACAGGGTGGACGGCAGGACGGATACTATGGTGGCCGCGATGATGGGTACGTTGGGGGATACAGTTCTGGGCAAGCAAATGGTTCGCATAATCCTTTCGCGGGTGGTCCCAATTGTCATCATGAATTCCTTGATATGTCTAATCATTGGCACGTTGAAGAGTTTAGCTCTGGGCACGACGGGAGCGACAATCTGCACGATGCTGGCTATGATGATGGTTACGACCATGGGCATGATGATGGTTATGACCATGGGTATGATGATGGCTATGATTGTGGGTACGATGATGGTTACGACCATGGGTACGATGGCGTTTATGATGTTGAGTACACCTATGGGTACCAGGATGATGATTATTAGAATGTTCAGCAGATCATCATGAGGACTACGACATGCAAGCAAGGCTCGAGCCCACCACTCCTTTAGCCTAGAGGCTATTCTGGGGTGAAACATGGGTTGTGTTTGCGTGGACAGTAGTCTGGCTTCAGTCAAGGGAATGCGGAGGGATTTTTGGGAGTTTGAGTCTTTTTGGAGGGTGTGAAGAGATGAGTGTCGTGTTGGGAGCCTGTATCGGTTGTGGTATGTATTTTTATCGTAGATCGTGACATGGTCTTGTTGGAAGGACATGCAAGTTATTCACTCGGTGAACAGAATATACCAATATCGCAGATTAGCCATTTACTATGGAATGAGAGAATCATAACACAGCTCTAGTCTAATCCTTCCGGAGACACATGCTCACATTTAATCAACATATTGCACAGGCACAGACAGGATATAGCATTGCATGGTAACACACTCGATGCTCTCCAAGTTGGTCTTTGGAAATTCGGATAAGGTCATAGGGACCTGTCTACTCTTCGAGAAGCTAATCTGAAGTACCCACGACCCTGTGGAAATATCAATCCGGCCTTAGATATCTCATGAAGTCCAATGTAAAAGAAAATGCGCGATATCTTTTGAAAACCCCTTCCATCAAAGTAGAATCCCAAGTGGATCGCGCGCTGCTTTTTCAACTCCAAACCAGTGGGCTCATAGTCAAAGTTCCTAAACTGAAGTGCGTTGTCTCTTCTGGGACATGGCCAGGCCAGCGCTCTGCCCCCTCAATGTTGGGAGCTTTATTACCACAGGCCGCCCTCGTAGTCCCACCCTTCATCCACGTCGTCAAACCCATCGTCCTCGTACTCATATGCTCCGTCCTCGTAGGTCTCCTCTTCCTCCGTGCAGGTAGCCTCGCCCCCCCAATAGGAAGACTCTTCCTCTCCCTCCTCGGCAATGTGCCCCCAGCCGTTCCCAGGGATCCAGCGGTTGTCAGCTCCCTCAGTCTTGGGCTTGTATTGTATCTTTTGCATCATTTCGACAAGCATCTCAGAGTCGGGCGAAAGCTCATCAAATACGGTTCGGGGCCTTTGCACACATGCCATAGCGAGGAAGGGGTGAGCGTAGAGAAAGTCGGAGATTTGAACGAACGGATGAGCGTGTACCCCGGCCAGGGAAGGATAGTGCTCCAGCGAGGGAACATAGGGCTCTTTGCACAAGAGGCGGACGTCGATGCACCATCGAGCAGTTTGAATGGCGATCAGCAAGTTGGAATCGGAGACGTACTTGAACAACTTGAGTCTTGCTTCTGTGGCGAGCCGTGACATCCACTGAGTAGGCTCCTCGTAGATGAACTCTACATCGTTTGGGCATAGAGTCGTTGGCTGCCCCTCGTCCGTGTCCCAGGACTCCGCTGGGACCCTAAGAACAACGAGAGAATAACGCATTTCGCTGCCTCCGATGAAATCAAGATATCCATATACTGGTTCTTTTCTTGGTCAGCACTAGTAAATTCGGGGGTCAACCAGCGGTGGATGGCCTACCTTGAACCCACTGGTTGGTGGTTCTTCCAATTAATCTCTTGACTGCAGGATTGAATTCTTGTTCCACAACTGTGGATGTAATCTCGCGTTGAAGAAGAGCTTTATCGTGACCGAGGACCAGCTTCAGGAAGCCCTCAATCTGAGTGTCGGTAGGGACAGGATTTGGCTGACCGCTCGCTTTCATCGCAGCGTGGAGGACTTCGAACACGTCCTTACACTGCGGGATTGAAAGATCGTCGACACGGGTAGACGCAGAAAGTCCAACATCCTTGGAAGAGGAACCCTGATCATCGGTATTGGTGACGGCCAGTTCCTTTCGGCAGGCCCTGAAGATGTTTGAACGACGCATTTTGCCTCTTTCAACCATCATGGCAAAGTCTTCGATGGTGGCCGTTCGGAGACAGAAATACTGTTGAGAAGCACCAATGATGGCTGTTTGGAGAATTCGGGAGTAGGAATCGGTGGAGGGGGGGAGAATTGAGTGAGGTGAAGGTTGAAAGGAGGAAGAGAGGAAGAAGAAGAAGAAGAGAAGGGGGAGAAGGAGGATGGGCAAGCAAAGCTTAGAAGTTAGAGCGAGGTGAGGGAAGGGTGAGGTGAGAGCCTCAGGCACACTCGTCCAAAGAGACAATAAATTTGCTCACTACGAGGTAACTCTCAGAGGTACTTGGCGGAGTGTGTCTCCCGTGCGGAGAAATTTGGTCACTTTGTGTGTTTGCACAGAGATTCAACTCTGATGAAGCGCTATTTCATTTCGTGCTTGTTCACATGCTGAAGATCAAGTGACTGAAGATTTCCAGTCCATTTCTGGCTGCAGCGCCATCAATTGCTCCTGTCACTCTTGAAAACAAGACATCCCACTGCCTGAATTGAGCTTTATGTATCTAGTGAACTAATGAAATGGCAAAAGACTGGAACTTGTACCGATAATCGTGCCTCCGTAATCCTAGGCAGCCTTTCGCTGCGACCGTCTTCGAGTTTGCCACGATACGCTCCTCAGCTGGAACGATCTCTCGGAGCACGCCTCTGGTCCCCGTTTTACTGCGTTCACGCTGTGATCTCGTGAAGAGCTCCTGTGTTTGTGATATCCCGTGTACCACTAGCGCAGCTCGCCGTCGGCTTGGAAGTCTTGACACTTGACTTGCGCTTTTTCTTTCGATTCAAAGCTGACTGTGATTGACGTCGATGGAAATTGTCGCGAATGTCTCCAATGACTCGATGCTGTCTGACGAGCTGCGTCTGGTTTGTGCAGAGGCTGACCTTGAGCTATCGATATACACCCTATATTCTCCTTTATCATTATGTTTACTGTAGTCTAGTTGGCATTTTAAGTCCCCAAGAGTCTCTCGGGGTGTATATTCAATCTCAAATGTTTGAAATCGGAAGCAGAAAGATCGAAGTGATTGGCTACGCATGTTTGGACTTGATGAAGCATGATCAGGGTTGTCCTAGTCGCCCGCCGCGTCCGAAAATGATGGTTTCACACTTGATTCTGAGCCAACGCTCAACACCACGTCTCATCCGGTCAATTATCTCTAAGCCCACCTCGATGAATGAAACAAAAATATTACCCTCCACGAAAGTATTCTTGACTTGCTCTGGAAGTTGCTGACGCGCTCCAGCGACACTCGTGATGTCAGTCGATGGAAGGCTCCATTCTGACCAACCCAAAGGGAGAACCTGTTGAGTCAATTTCGAGTTGTCTTGAGCTTGACCTTGTTGAACGGATTACTTAGCCTAATCTTAGAAGGCTGGACACAATGTCGCCAAGCGTTCTGTCGATAGATGAGCACAGGCCTGACGCTGATGTGTTGCGACTTTGTTCAAACGCGCTTTCAATTGGTTTGGTCGTCAATCGCGGGCTATGTTACCTATTGATGTAAAGCAGCCCTTGCAGACTGCACGGGAGTCTGGCCGTATAAAGAAAAGGCTGGTCGCAAGCCGGTGCTTGGTCTAATTGCATGATGGATCATATTCGTGCCTTCGGTCAAATCAGCATCATATTGGGCTTTATCTTCCTCGGAGTGGCTTGTCTCCCAACCTAGCCACATCAATTGTTCAACCAATTCGCCGGTTTGAGGCCGATCATCGTGGGCCCCTGGGCCAGGACACGGCCTTTGGGATCAGTCTGCAGGAAGTGCCAGTCATTTGGGGCCTCTCTTTCTACGTCCATTTGTAATCTCTCACAAGGAAGTCCGGGTGATGGTATAGCCCGAACTTGAACTGGCTACGGATAAATCTGTCCTGCATTGTAACCCATCGCATGGCATCCTAACAACAATCGGACATCTGGAAGCCGGGGCGCGTTGCCGAATCGGTCTAGTGTAAGCGCGGTCACTTATTGCATCACGATCTCGTTGGATCCAGAGAAACACCAAGACTACGTGAGTTGAGTATAAGTACATGCCCCGAGCTGTTAATTTCTGTGTTTCCAACAGGATTCATACCAAATACTAATATCTCAATACGCTTAATACCCCCTCAATAACATAAAAAATCTCGATTCTTCATCCTGTAACAATCACCTACCTAAACACCACATTCTAACATGGCCCCATCTGTCCTTGGCATTGGCATCCCTGCCACCTCTAATATCGTCCCGTGGATCGCGAGAGGTCGGCTACAGAAAATCCTTACTGCCATGGAGGCTGACATGGAAGCTTCCCCATACGACTGGGAAATGCTATATATCACTCCAGAGACTTCATTTGATGTCTGCACAGCGAAGATTCGCGAGAGGCAGTGGGATGTAGTCATGGTTGGAAGTACGTCTGTCTTTCTGCAATCTCTAGCAGATTCTCTTCGAGCATGTGGACTAACAATTGCCACGATAGGAGGCTTACGAGCAACCGATTCACTTGTGCCATTTTTCGAGCGAATCGTCAATGCTGTACATCAGGAGCTTCCGCAAACAAAATTGGCTTTCAATGAGACCATCGAAAAGACGCGGGAAGCTGTCGATCGAGTGCTGTCTAATCAAGACAAACCGTGAAGCCGGATGATAAAAAACCTCTCCCATTTGTTCAATAATTTTAGCCATGTTTAAATGATAATAATCTGTTCTTTCCTGCGCCCAATCGACGGATCATAGGTGACGAATGCAAATCGATGAGTGCTACTTCTGCTACTGCTTTTAGACGAGCAGAACTTGATTGCCCAGGCTTTTCATGGCCATCCTCCAATCGCAGCAATCATCCACCTCCGGCTGACACTTTCTTAGACGCCAGCATTCTTCCATGACCATCAACCCTTTCCATGTCATCCCCAAAGGCCGCTTGTGTTCCATGAGACTCTTTACTGGTCTCCGGAAACGCTCATGCAGGTCTTCATGTGCAAAGCATCCTATGATTGTAAATGCCCAGTTGGCACGGATTATCAGCCCGAATGGAAGAGCCTCTAGCCCTTCCAAGCCTCGGCGTACTAGACGTACAAGTTCAGGATGATCTATGCCAAAACCATACAAGACGACGTGCAGGTATACCTGAGCAGCGCAGGCGAATTGCAAAGTCACCAGACGGCTTCGGGCTTCCAAATCATCCAAATTAACGATGGACTGTGTTTCTAGTTCGTGCACTTGCTCTATCAGTTGCAACGATATGGCTGCACCACGCGAGGAAAGCTCCTCTGCGTCCAGTGATCTACTCTGGATCTGAGCAGTCTTCCAATCAGCCAGATGTGTAATTTCAGCGATAGTTGCCATGATTGTTGAATGACAACCCATTATACCCTGCGTTTTAAGTTTATTAGTGCGAAGGTATGGTATGTAGTCGAATCGCCGGGCATCACGCGAGGGAGAACCAAATGTTGCGCAGGCAATGACATCTATCCAAATGACACAAGCGACGTGGAATTCAAGTGTCCTCTGGGTATCTGGACATGAAAAATCCCCGAGCGCCACGTCAAGGGGGGATGAATGTGAGGAAGCCCCCCCTTGGTCGAGTGAGCCCGTAGCGTTGTAGTTCTGAACAGCTTCTAGTAGAGTCATTGTCGCTTGGTGATGCATCTGCCAAGTGCCCTCCAACATGCTGAAAACTTCAAGACTGAGTAGTTGATGCATGACTTCCAACATTTGAATTGCTACTCTGATCATGTCCTTGGGGCCAACTCGCTGTTGATGGAAGCGTGTGACCAGAGTCTGCAGTCCCTGTACGGCGACACCTTTCCGCTTCGCTACCTCTACACTTAGGCCAATGCCATCTATCCTCTGAGGTTCTTTAAGCGAGGCATCGAAGCAGGCGCTGACACTCAAAGCACCCTGATACCGGGCAAGGTTACTGCACAGGCCACTCATAAGCCAGCGATGATCCGCCGGGGCAGATAACGGGCAGAATGTGAACTGAACCGGGAAGACAAATTCAAGGTATATCTTGAGTAGGCACGCGTCTTCACGAGAGGTCTTTTGAGTAGGCAGCGAGGAACAGACCCCTCCATCCCACCAAATGGGCGGTGGTATAGTCGGCGGTTTGCCTCCACTCACAAGCTGACCAGCCTCGGGCCTGCTCACAGTCTGCCCGGAGCGCCGGCGAGCTTTGTATTGCGTTTCTGCGATGGACTGAAGATGTCGGGCTTCCGAAGTAGCCATGACCTCCTTCCAGTTTTGCTTGCCTTGCATCCAGTCGGGAGGAGGGGTGTCAAAGCCGTAGCACTGTAGATTCCGGATGGTACAGCTGCCGCAGCGGGGATGCTGCTCGTCGCACTTCTTCTTGCGCACGCGGCAGGTATAGCAGCCGTTTCTGCTACGCGAGCCGCCTGATGCCATCTTGGATTATTGGACCAGTGCCCTTAGCGAAACACGTTGGAGTGGATAATGGCTGCGGTCATCTTGGCTCTTGAGTGTGAACATGCGTTGACAAGATCCCGGCTCGGTCATGAAACTGGGCCAGATACCCGAACATCAACGGCCCCCATAAACATCGCCGATCCTATTCCGAAGAGGGTTAGTTTAAGCGCGGTCAATATCGTGGTGGTCAGATCCATGATCCATGCAACAGGAACAAGGAGTCCACTCATAGCTCGGCCTTGATGCATGCCACTACCGAGTGCATTACAAACCAGGGTTGCTCGTCTCGGTTATCGTTAACGCCGTTGAATGTCACTAAACACACCCTCAAATATTGTCGATGGTTGGTCGTTTCCAGAAATGGTCAAGTCAACCGCAGCCATTTTCAGCCCGGGTTCAAAGAAATTTGACCGATACTGCTTGTAAATCCACGCTCGGGCATGGAAATGGCCGATGTTGATAGAAGAAGTGTCTCGGGGATGGCTCACCACCGTCGCTGCCTGTTGTTAAAAGCGAATTATAACTATTCAGCCAGGGCCGAACAGCCGCCTGGCTCGTATATATAAGGTCGAGATGTGCCTGCTTTGAGCTCATTTATTTATCAACCTTCATCAGCATCTTCTTACAATACATTTATTCACAAAGTCCTTTTATATCATTAAGATGACAGAAGTCGCAACTCTTGAGCCTCTGCTCCCGTCTCGGGTAGTTCACCAGTTCCCGGCGCCTTCATGGATTGAGAATCTTGCAGTGCGGTCCAACGGACAGGTTCTGGTGACTTTCATTTCCGCACCTGAAGTCTACCTGGTAGACCCATCCGACCCTGCAAAGACAGTCCTGATCCACAAGTTCTCCAATGTCACCGCCATGAGCGGAATCGTGGAAGTAGAGCATGATAAATTCTATGTCGCAGGAGGTGTGTGCGATGTCAAGACAATGACCAGCGAAGCAGGATCCTACAAACTGTGGGAGATCGATATGGCCGCATTCGATGCGAGTGGAGAGGCTACAGTGAAGGAGGTATTGAAGCTTGATAAGATTTCTTGTCCGAACGGACTGGAGTTGCTGTCACGATCCGAGAAAATTATCCTTGCAGCCGACTGTGAGCACGGCGCCCTCTTCAAGATTGACATTGCGAATGGGACGCACGAGATAGCCCTAGAGGTTGAAGAGATGCGAAACCCTGAGAATCCATTCATCCCTGTTGCTATCAACGGTGTCAAAGTCCTGAAGGGTTACCTCTATTGGACGAACACTTCCAAAGCACTATTTTGTCGCGCGAAGATTGTTGAAAATGGCAAGAGTTTTGGCGACGTTGAAGTCATACACCAGGGTCTCATAGGCGATGACTTCTGCTTTGACTCTGACGACAATGCTTGGGTCACCCAAAATCCCTTCAACACGGTCACCGTGGCCAAGTCAGCGGGTGGACTTGTGACAGCTGCAGGGAGGATAGATCTTATGGACGTTGCAGGAGCGACGGCATGCCAATTTGACAGAAGAAAGGGCAAAGAACATCTGCTGTACGTTGTTACTAATGGTGGTCTGGCTGGGCCTGTTAATGGAAACGAGGTGGAGGGTGGCAAGGTTACGGTTGTTGATACAACAACGTTCAAAACTGGATGAACGAGTCTGTGCAGTTGAGTATTAGTTGTTGAGTTAGCACTGAATTAATAAATACAAGTTTCCATTTCCCAGTCGTAGAGCATACCCTTTTCTCATAAAAGTGACCACTCTTCTAACGTCCTTGTCATTGAAGTCATAAAGCTACAGGCTTTTTATTATCAAGCCCTACCACAAAAGCGCGGCTCTGGAATTCTTTCAGGTAATACCCAATTCGATTTCCCTGCGTTCCGGGTGAACTATAGTCATAAATCGCAAGTTCCATCAGCTACCAGCCATACATCGTTACGCTCCATCCGGACTCTCAGAGAGGGTCACACGGCCTGTTACTAGCATCGCGTGGTGGACGATGGTCTTTTCCAACTCATCTCTGTCGATTGGGAATCTTCTCTTATAGCGGTCAGTCTCCGCAAAGAAATCTAGCAGACGCTCCTTCTCGGCCCTTGTCGCAAACTCAAAGGTCGAATACAGCCCAAAATGGAATATCGAGGCAATGAAAGTCTCGAGCTTGAGTAGGTACGGAATGTATTTCCAAAGATGGATGCAGAGACTTCTTGTTTTCTCATATAGCGCCGCTTTATTTGGTAGCTGGTATATGTCACTCCAGTCATATCGCATGCGTAGAATGGTAAGCTTCATGTAGCACAAGGCCATGAGAATCCTGGGAACAAAAATGTTGGGGAATTCGTAACTCGTTTCGGTGAGGCCATTGGAGTCCGGCCGTTCTATCATCTGCTTAGCTCGGACGCAATTCTGGATTGCATACGGCAAGGCCTTATCTGCTTCATCATCCATTTGCTGAAGCTCCGCTATGGTTAACATGGCGCGGTCAAATGTCTCTGGGTTAAACGGATTTCGTCGGAGAATGGGACACTCGTGGAGTATCTTGGGTATCTTGTCACCAATCGAGCAGTGGACGAGTAAAGGCAGTAGTAGATGCGTCCCCTTCGCTTTTTCGATTATGCAATCCTTGATTATATCACCCCATGGTGCCTGATTCATGAAATTGGTTTCGCCTGTCATGATGAAATATGGGAGCTAAATGGATATCAGCACTAGAAGCTCATGTCTGCATTTCACAATGTTCGATACGTACCAGTATTCCAAATGCTTCAACCATAAGAAACCTATGGAGGTGATCATCAGGCTTTGGAGCGCCGAGTTGCATGATCATGTGAGCCAGCCCCTTCTCATGCATAGACTGTCCCAAGTTTTGGCCTGGATCGAAGAACTCCCCGGCACGACCCAGTATCACCATTGAGGCTAGTGTTTGCAAGGTGATGGCCTTGTCGCTTTGCAATGTCCGGCGTAGGCTACGGATGGCTTTGCCGTATGCAGGCATATCAATGAATTCGTCCGCTTCCTGACCACGACGGTAGGAAGCCCACGCAGTGCAGAAGAGGTCAACCGAGTCTCGGAGGCTCGGATTGTAGCTCATGTGTTGTGGAAGGTCGCGTAGGTACTCTAATAGAGTTAAGATACCTCGACTTGAGGCAGTGTTTAGATGCGTTATCAGCCGCGCAGAAACACGCTCTGCCCCAGTGGTCAGGTTCGGGGTAGGTTTCGCCGCATGTAATCGGAAGGTGTAATAATACGCCTGATCTTCATTCTGGCCGGCGACTCGAAATTTGACCTTCTTCCGTTTTGTTGGTTGCAGCTCAGCACCTTGTGCTGGCTGTTGGGCAGAGCGTTGGCCATCCGTGATCTTGTTCGGGATAACTGGACCTGATGATTTGGGATCAAAATTTACAAACTTAGTCAACACTGACGGTCCAGGGCAATTGACATTCTTAAGTTTACAGGGCGTGCATGTTGGCCAATTTTGGTCGCACTATCAGGCACATACCAGTCAGCTTGTCCAGGATACGTGGGCTGGATTCAACCGCATCATGCTGGGGTTGCTGACCTACCTTGATTCTGCGGGCCTTGCAAACTTGGCATGCCTTTGATCTGGGTGCACTGGGCATATTTCTGGCTGAGAGCCTGGTTGAATAGATGATCCGATCGGGCACTGGCTCGCCATGGGATGATCTTGCCAGGTTGCATTACCAATGGAGCTGAGAGAAGCTTGTTTTACATATGAGAAGTGGATCATCAGGGGAAAGGGAGGATAACCGCCAAGTCCAAAAGTCCCACACTTCTTACCCACGGTCACGAGACCATGAAATTCCATTCCATTTGCATAACAACTCGGCCACTCAAACACCATCACACTCCCCTATAGATCGACCTGTTTCTCCTCCTCGTACCAAAGAATCAGCGTTGTAAAACCACTGAGCCAGCTTGGCAGCCTCTCTCATGAGTTGAGCTTCCCAAGGATTAAAGGGGCTGAGGTGTCAGCCAGGAGCGACGCGCTTAGTGGAGACAGGGGTTGGGAATTTTGGTCGTTTCCGAGTCTTCTGTCGATCCGCGTGAATCTCGGAGCATAAAACTCGCAATGTATACAGATTACCATGACGATGCCGGATCATTCTTGAGGGCTGGCGGGACAGCCATGACCAGGCGCATACGCTGAGAACAACACGTCACTGCCACTGCTTGCTTGGTCTACTGTGGGACATTATTTGGACACGGAGAATTTGTCGGCGGTCCCTCTCTTTTCTCGTGTCTGTCGGTAGCTGCCGCCAGGGTCTTTGCAACTATCTGGCGAATGAATGAAGCGGGTGGCTAGCCAATAGGAACTTCAAGAGGGAGCCAAGCCCTCACATTGAAGGAGCAACGTAGCTTTTATTCTCAGCTGGCCAGCGTGCTGGAAACCGAAATGGGACGGCAGTGCGGCGATGATACACTGCTCCAGCGATTGGAGTTACATAGCAGAGCAGCATTCGATGCAGTAATCATGCCATCTGCACTGTAACTACGCTCCAGCCCAGCGAAACCCACCTGGAAAGCAACCTATTTATTGGCTCAAATTCCTCGTCGTAATATTTGGTAGCAGCCAACTTGGAAGTTGCCTATTCCAACGTTGTGTTGCAGGACGGAGACTATATTATGCATTGTCGGCAGCGCAGAACTGAGCTTCCGCCGCCGTCAGTTGTCTGGGGCGCTACCTCATTGCTGCATGAGCACTGAGAAGACAAGATGAATACCTGGAAGTCTGCTAGACTTCCACCAATTACGTGGGCTGATCTATTATCGAAACTGATGTAACATGGTCAATAGGAGGTGTGGGCGTAAGGTCCCTACGCGTTGTTAAATACTCCTTCGCCAATCAATTTCCTGCTGCCAGTTTGGATAGGGTAGAATCATACCCCGTGACAAGCGATGTCGCATTGACATTAATGTCATCGACCTATCATATAACCTTCTCCCGGACTGGTAGCGTACGTTCCCTGGACCTCGCTCATGACACAACTCTTTCGAATAATGCTCAGCCAAGATGAAGGACGACGACGTCCTCACTATTGTTGGAGCCATTGGTGCCATCTTGGGTATCATTGTCGTTGCAATCCGCTTTTATGCCCGGCATATGACGAACAATAAAATTGGGTGGGATGACTGGTGCATTCTCATCTCGACAATCGCAGTGATAGGAGGAGATGTTCTTGTCGTCGTCGGTTTGTTAAGCCTGCAATTTGTCCGAGTTCGAATCACGATTATTGACACAAATCAGCAAACTCTATGTATCCGAACAGTGCGGAAGCAGCCTCACACAAAGATCCGAGTTACGAATATACTGAGGACGACATCCATTATACGAAGCTGAGCTTTGGTGCGACTAGCATATATTTCACAACAGTTTCGGCAACAAAGCTTTCGATTCTCCTCATGTATAACCGCATATTTTCTATCAGCAATTCGTTTCGACGTCAAATTCTTCTTCTTATTTTGCTTACGGCTGCATTTTGGATAGCAACAACGATCAGCAACTGCCTCAACTGCATCCCTCTCAAATACGTCTGGATCAATGCCAAGGCCGACCCACGATATTGTATTAACTACAATCTATACTGGATGGGATGTGGCGTGGCCGAGTGTGCAATTGATATGCTCATTCTTTTGGTGCCTATACGGACCATATCTAGCTTGAAATTAAGTCGGTCCAAGAAGATTGCCGTAGCAGGTGTCTTCATGTTGGGTACCTTGTAAGCATATTCGATGTTTCAATTTGTTTCATACTGAGACAGCATAAGTTACTCACACAGTCTATAGCGTTATCATATCCGGGGTCGTCAAAGTAGCACTGAGCTACGTTCCTGGAAGCCGACAGCCGAACTTTGGGCAGACTTCATTATGGTCATCCATCCATATATCCACTGGGATCATCGGAGCTTGTCTTCCGGTTTGCTGGCCCGTCTTCATCCGACTCAGCGGCTTTTTATCAGGCAAAACGCCTCCCGCCTCATCTGTTCGAGGACACTGGTACGGCTCCAGCCGTGGATCGACTCGTGTCACTTCTAAAATAATACGCCCACAAGAGCATCCGGCCTATGACCTTCACGATCCATCAACCGGCCAGTCCGACGTTCATGAGCTACTGCAACATAAAGAGAATGTGCGCACATCAGTGCCCTCAATCAGCAACAATACTAACCTAGAATCCGATACGTAGTTACCAGGTCTGAAATAAAACTAAAATTTAATATGTTCAGCAACAGGGGACCGGTATATTCTCAACGCGGTGTCATACTCCAGCCTACCCAGAATGTCATTCATATCCTCTACAGCTGATGAATTGGACATTTCAGCCGAATGATACATTCTACCCACGAATATAAACGAAACAGAGGTAAAATCGGAAAGAGAAGATGTAGAAATCCTGGTGAGACGAAGGAAGGCTTGTGACAAGATTCTTGGAGCTAGCTAGTCGTTGGTGAGGAAGTGTGTCAGAGGCCTTTCGACGCGCATGAATGAAGCTTCTAAGAACACGAACGCCGGAAACTCATCGAATTGATTGCATACATTTGCTCACTTTCTTTGTGTTCAATGAAATTATATCTTCCTAATATCTCTTTACCGCTAGTCAAGTAGGATAATTTAAATACAATCTTATAGCTCATCTCCAAGCTCAAGCATGACAACGCGACCCAAAGAACTCCCCAGTGCAACTCTTGTCCCTTTGATATGGGCCACTGCGAAACCTCGATACTCGGGTGGGAGCCATAACAGCCTCTCATTGTTTTCATTGTTTTTTGATACCCACGACCCATCGTTGCTCAAGCCATAACCTTCTAGACGGGTAGATCCATCGCCCTGAATGCTCCAAGTGCCTGCGTTTGTGAATAAACGGTCTTCATCGACCGGGTCAAAATCAAGGCCACTTATGCGCTGTAGCATAGATATGGCTAAGGCGGGGTTTTCGTTTGTTAGGTCCTTGACATAAAGACGGCCATAATCGGTAGCCATAACAAACCACCTGGTATTGATGGCTACCTCCGAACCTACATGTGGGGGGGAAGAAAGTCTTTCCACCCGAAAGATGCCCGGTTGAGGATCTTCCACGTCCCAGATCGCGAATCCCTTGTGTGTAACTATTGCAAAGCTTGTTTTATCGGCTGACAGCGCCAATGCATTTATGTATGGCCCGAGGTCCATCTTTATTTCTCTGTCTGTGTCACTGCCTGTTTCGCTGCCTGTTTCACTACCTGTTTCGCTGCCTGTTTCGCTGCCTGTTTCGCTGCCTGTTTCGCTGCCTGTTTCACTGCTTGTTTCGCTGTCTGTTTCTCCACTTGAAAATACCTCTATTATATCTTTGATGTCGAGTCTCCAGAGCTCAGAGCCTACGTCGGTATCATACGCCTGAACACCCAGTTCTGAATACAACACTAAGACGCGGCTGTCGGGTGAAAAAGTCAATGTCGAAGCCCAGAAAGGAAAGACATGCACCTGTTCGCGTGCTTCCAAGAGTATGACGCTAGTTGACCCCTCATCCCTCGTGGCTCTTGCCATGAGCTTACCGTCGGGCGACAAGCCCACAGCACCTCCATCTCTACTGTTTAGATTGGCACTGGACTCGTCGACGATGGTCCACGTAGCAGTCTCCCAGATCATAAAAGGGGTCGTTCGATAATGAAATCGAGACGCACAAAGGAGCCACAATCCATCAGAGGAGAATTGGAGTGAAGGAGGTGCTTTTGTTGTAGTGGCAGGACCGTCTATCGTTCGTACGCACGAACAGCTGGCAACTTCCCAGATCTTGATGGTCCAGCCTGCAGCAGATGACACGAGCCATCGACAGTCAGGTGAAAATGTGACAATTTTGATGGGAGCATCGTGCTCAAAGTCGGAGTTGCGATCAGATGGCACATTGTGTATCTCCGGCGTGGTGGAGTTTGTCCTTGTGAAGGTTCCCTCGTTGTCCGAGGATGAGAGGTATTCTCTTTGATTAGATAGGTCCGAAGTTCCCTTAAATTGGTCTGGCACTTTGTCATTATATCCTTGATCATCTTTCTTGTCATCACGATATTCCTGGCTTGAGGTTTCGTCATCACCGTCGCTGGTAGCCGCAAAGTTCCATAGTTTGAGTGTGCGGTCGATTGCGGATGAAACGAGTAAACCATTGTTAGCAGAAAACGCCAGGTCCGTTATGCAGGCCCCATGTCCTCTTACTTTGCGAACACAGTGCCCATCGTTGCCCCATAACCTGATGGTAGCCCCTGAGGTTGACGCAAAGAGGAGCCCCGGAATATTGAGTGGGATTAATGCTTGGGCAGAATCGCCACACTCTCCCCAAGTCTGGGTATTAACCCAAGTTTCCGTATTCCATACGCTGAAGGCGCCATCGCTTTTCGCTACTATTAAGGTTTGCGGCAGAAATGCTAGGCCCCAGGCAACAATATCGATGGTATGGAGACACTGCCCAGTTTCAACGCCCCATATACTTACACCATCCTTCGTGGTCCCAGTGGCCAGCATCATTCCATCCTCTGAGTATGCAATAAATGAGCGATAGATACAACCATCAGGAACCCTGGGAGGTGTCATTGTTCGCACGCAGCAACGTGTGCGAAGATCCCAAATTTTGGCCAATGCCTTTGTCGAACAAGCGGCTAGGTGAAGCCCGCTCGGGGAGAATACGATAGATGTTGCATTAAATTCTCCAATATCCTCAAAATCCTCATTATTATTCAGGTCCAAGGACGGCCTATCCGAGTTCAGGGGTGGGAAGAGGAGATCAAAAAGCACAATCCTGCTAGTGGTCACATTGATGCCAGAAAGAGCTGCTACCTGCTTTCCGTTTGGAGAAAAGGCGAGACGACCTGATATTGTTCTTTTAAATTGATAGCAATATGTGCAGCAGCCTGTCTCTGTATCCCATAATTTAAGCTGGCTAGGGGAAAGTGAAGCCAGTGTTTGCCCATCTGGCGCGAGAGCGATTGCGTAGAACCATGTGGTTTTACCTTCCAGAGTTTGGGTACAAGTATCCCAGTCTGAAGGAGGCTCGGACCTCAAATTAATCCATGCGGGTCGATCAGCCTGATAGAGGCTTTTGACCACACTTGAAGTAGGACTGAAGATAAGGGCGGAAATATAAACTTGGAGAGGGGCGAGCTCGAAAGCATGCCGAAATGTGAGAACAAATCTGCATGCGTCTTTGACAAGACTTTTGAGGCTCTTGTCTGTGAAATCTGGCTACTTAATAATTAGCTCAACATTTCGGATCAATCAATGATATTTTCAAGAACAGGACTAGTACCAAAGAGCTCAAGAGTCTGCGGCAGGTCGCCACCCCCTCGGGAATCTGCTGTTTTAAGCTAAGAGCTTCCAGCCAGTTGAGTAGGTTCTTTTTTAGAAAGGCATCAAGTAAATGCTGGTCTTCTCCTCCTCGGACTAGGCCGCCTCCGGCTAATAAGTGACGAGCCCAATGAATAGAGACATATCCGAGGCAAGCTAGGGGGTCAGGATCAGGTGCGTCAATGATGCCCCCAGGAGATGGAATATTGTACATGTTGCGATAGAGGTTCTTTAAAGCCTTTAAAGACTGCCTGAACATATTCAGGTGAGATTCTTTTTTGTTGAAATGTGATAACTTGTAATAGTTTCCCGATTCGAGCAGAAAGTCCTGAGCCGACTGGTGCACGAAATGGACTGTATTCTCTCGAATGCATAAGAATGAACCACATTCTCCAACAATTTCCTCAATTTCCTCTGGCCGCAAGGCTTCCGGGACATCAACAAATAACAGAAGCTCGCCAGTTAAAAGTGGACGAAATGCGATGGTAGAACTGGCGAGGATCTGTCCACAGAGCGCGGAATTACGAGAGGAGAGGATTTGTTGAAGCATGCGGCCATACAGCTTCTCTAGGCCCCGTGGCATAGATTTGACCTGCTCAATGGTATTCCAGGATCTGACATCTGGTTTTGATAGCTCGACGCAAACCAAGGCTACCCATAGAAACGTCTTGTCAGCCTTGCGGTGGAGCTCTCTCAGTACCGCTTCTGTCGTCTCTTCGCTATACCGCTTAAGTCTGGCCAATTGCGAGACTTTATAGTTAATTAGCATATCAACGGCTGTGGAGATAGAATCCTGGTTTAATTCCAGGGACACTTTGACTTTATCGGCGAACTCAAACTGTTCTTCGATGGTGGGCCAATTTCGACTTGACACTACCCATTTAGCGTTATGAATAGAGTCTGAAAGCTGGACAATAAGGTTGATTAGGTCTGACCTCGTATTATCAGAGGACTCATCCAAGGCATCTATGATGAAAATGCTGTCTCTGCAGTTGGAATCATGCAGCATATCTATCAGGATCTCTTCGAGGGCTGGGAAAGCTGTAGTCTCATCCTCGAATAGATCTTTGCCTTCACTATCGTATCGCTCTCGAATATAGGACACCAGGTGTGGTTGTTCCGTACAAAGAAGCCATATAAGGCTGCGGAGTACCGCTGTCGCATTCCTCTTCTGGTCGCTTTGGGTTGCTTCACAGAAGAAAAATGAGATGCTTTCTCGATCCTCACTCAGCAACTCATCAATAATGCCACAAAGAAGCATGGTTTTCCCTTTTCCAGGATCTCCCTTTATCCAGAGTAGTCGGTTATCAGGATTGTTTCTGAAACGCAGATAATCCTTATGGTGGAGGACCCAACGATAGGCGTCCTTCAATAGGCCTCCCTTGGCTTTCTGAATCGCCTTCTTATGATGCGATGGATTAATCACCCTTAGATCAGTGAGACACTTTTTATTAGCTTCATCTTGAGACGTGTTCTGAGCCTTTTCAATTGCTTTTGTTTGCTTTTCCATGGCAGCCTCCACGGCGCCAATTCTTGCATCCCAGTTACTTAATTTGGTGATGATACTCGACCAGATACTCTCTGGAGAGTCACACGCCTCCGGGAGCGCTGAAAGTATGCCTGTAAAGAGCTCTGTTGAGACTGTCTTTCCATTGGACTTTGAAGAAAGATTGGGTATTTGACGGCGTACCATGTCGGGAATCATTCCGACTAGGGGACCCATGCCATCCGTCACCTGGTTTTCATCCTTGTCGCCTTCACCTTGTGTTTCAGGGCCCGAAACAGCATGTCTCATTGCGTTGCGAAGCTCTTGCTGATCTGGTTGCTCGTCGCGCTGGTCTAGTTTATCTTGCATGTATAATAAGCAGATGGAATAGCAAAGTGATAACCCATGTGAGAGGTCAATAACCATCTCGTCCTGACGGGACATCTTGCCCGATTTCTGCTTATATAACAAAGGGTGGGCCAATTTGTTGTATAGGCTTTCTGGCAGACTTGTAAGTTGGATTTCGAACACTATATGACGGTAGACCTGGAGGATACCCGTGGCTCTGGTGTCTAACGTAACGTGATGGTTGCAGCTTTCGTAGGCTCCAAACCAAGCATCCCATGATTGGCCGACAGGCCGGTCTCGAGTGAAAACGTTTGGCTTATTTTCCTGTTGGAAGCATTCTAGAACTAGCTGGTTGGCGTGTTCCAGCTGGGATGGATAGTCGACAATGATCCGAAGGCCAGCAAGGTCGTGCATGTCGCGGAACATGTCCTCCACACGCTCATATACTCCTAAGCCATTGCTCATACGATGCTGCTCTCGGCGGTGGAGTGTTTTACTGATCGAGCTGGAGGCTTTGACCCTCCCATCGACCTTGGCACTAATGCCTCGCTGTTGAATCTCATGCTCGCAATAAATGATCAAGTTCCCTACCATCAACCTATAATCTTGCTCCAGCTCTGGCCAAATGGCGTCGAGGAAGGTGGATTTAATAGTCGCATCGCTTTTGCCATCGGATCTTGAAAGTAGCTTCTCAATTTTCGAGTAAAGCCCCCTTTGAACGACGCTGTCGTTCCTTGGTCGTATCATTAATTGAGCCATCACATGTCATGAACCGCAAGTTCTGGGCTTGAGTTGGCCAGCTGCGAATACTCGTAGAATTGGACTTGAGCCGAAAGGGATGATGAGATTCCCTGTGTGCTACGCGCCCCCGATGAGCACGAAGCCTGCTTTGGCGATGGTTAGATGCGGGAGATAACTGAGGAACTGCCCCCGAAATTTCTACGAGGGGCAGAAACACTTGGCGTAGTTGATGACTGTCCTTAAAAGGGGGCCAACACGAATGGAACATTGAACGCAGATCTTACTGCATCCCGCCACGTCACGTTGCAGTTTTGTTAGAGTTGCCCTATGCCTACGCCGTGACATCAGTTGCGACCCATGGTGGCGAACCACTGCCTCATTCTCACACTTTGGTACTGCAACCCCTTTAATCGCCCCCTCCCCGATCACAGAGGCCTTGATAACAAATTAACTTAAGTAGCGGCATATCTTAAAGAAGCATAGCGACCATGGATTAGTCCTAAACTGAGCCGAGCTATCATCATAGCGTCGTGGTACCTGACCCAGCTCCTGCGAACCCCATCAATATCATCTTAACAATGACTTCCACCAGTATTTCTAGTGCGTCATGAACTACCATTACAGTTTTGTCCCTAATAACCCTTGTATGAGATGGTTAGCACCCAACCAATTGGCGATAACTTTGTTAGTACTAGCTTTACCTAACAATCCTAATTTATATCTACTAAATCATGGCGAGATCCACAAAAACAGACATCAAGACTGATGTTGGTTTTGGTTGTTGACCGAAAGCTCAGCGCGTCCTACGTCTAGCTCGGACGGCTGCTTGAATCCAGATCTTGAGTGCGATTCTGGCTCCTGGGAGATGATGGGATTCGCCTGCGTCGAGTTGTTTGAAATCCTAGCACTGTATACGGCGGGAGGATATATGTGTTGAGACGCTTGGGGCGGCATCGACTCGGCCGCTGGCTTTCTATGTATCTTCCAAAATAAATATCCAACAGCAGCAACTAGCAGCGCCAACACCGCGGCACCAACGCCAATTCCAGCTTTTGCTCCCACAGAGAGCCCCCATGTATGTTCACTATCGCCCACTGGGCTACTGGTGTTCGTCGGCGCGTGGGATGTTGTTGTTGCGGTGCTCGATGCACCAACGGAGACAAATCTCTTCTGGCTGTCGTCCCACACGGCGTAGATCGTCGGCTTCTCTGGGAGAAGGTCGAAAACTCGACTGCTGTCGCAACAGCCAGGGTCGAAGTCACAGCAGTACGAATTTTCTTTCTTTGTGGAATTGGTGCAAGATATTAGGCTGATACCCTGACTCCTCGTCTCTGTTTGGCGAATCAGCATGAAATGTTTTGTTATTATATACCATAATCCTCCGCTTGGAATACCGCACGATGTTCAACCTACCAAGACAGTATTCGGCGCATTTGGGGTCGTTCTTTTTGGTGCATGATCCCCTGCTTCGATCTCCAGTCCCAATTTCGCACAACTTGTTTGCCAGGCAACTGGTCCCCGGTCGCCCCCCGCAGCATATGCTCACGTCTGCATTTGGATCGCATGGATAGTCATACTTACTATCCGTTCCATCGGGGTAAACACAGGTGGCGGCGGTGGAGCATTGCTGAACCAGGAGAGAGATCGAGAGCAGGAAAAGGCGTATGGCCTTCATGCTTATTGCCTGAATGGAGCAGGAGATGCCAGAGACGAACGAGAGATGAGGGATCGCGAATCACCAGCGAACAAGAATGACCGGCCATACGTGGGCAGGATTGTGAACTTAAATGTCGATATTAAACAGGTTACACAGTAATGTGGTGTACTCGTATTCACTTGGGTATTATTTACGACATGGGGGCGGGGCAACAATCCATCTACTCCTCTGGGATCAACCAAACATTCAGAGCTGTTGAGCCAAAATTATACTAGACGGGGCTGATTCAGCCGGCCCCCGTACGGTAGGAGGCTCAGCGAGTAGTACTTGATGTCCTGGCTGTGACAGGCGGCAAAGGTGTTGATGTAACTTATAACCCTCTCACCGGGAACCTTCTACAGACAAGGTGGGAATGCCTAGGACGCTTCGGTCGATTTATCGAAATTGGTAAGATGGATCTTCAATGAAATCGCACTCTTGAAATGTCCCCCTTCTTGAGAATGGCCAGGTTCATTGGTCTTGGTGTGATCTAAGTCTTCCACAAGCTTCAATCCTTCCTCCATGCTCTCATCACCTGTCTTATGATGTATGAGGATAGACAGGTTAAGGCCGTAGCACATATCACCACGTAACCAATGAATGAGATGAAGGCTGCAATGCGACTCATGTAGTGGGATGGCCACATGGAAAAGATCTTTCTAGTACCTAGTATGCTTCCTTCACTAGAACCCGACTTTTGTATTCTAACGTATATCAGGCTATCTCTCGCCCATAGCTTGTGCAGCTAGACTAAAACGGCACATACCTTGGTTTGGTAACATTGCTTGTATCGGAAGCTCCATTGTGAACTAGATTATTGAACGAGGAGCCAAGAACATTTTCATAGTCGCCCGCAGTGTTGAAAGCCACTCTGCAGTACCGACTCTGATGCAATCTGACGCCCAGAAAGGTTGCACCCATATTGCCCGCAACTGTGAAATTTCCAGCGAAGAGTCAGTCATTCAGCTGGCCGACTACTGATGCGAGTAAGTGATGGTGGGTAATTATCACACTTCAAATCCGTCACGTTTGGATGGGCAACATGTGACGAGCTCTTCTTACAACTTCTCATTGCATTAAAAATGTTTTTTTTTCTTTACTTTTCCCAATGAAACAGCTGAAGAATGTTCTACTCCTTTCCTATTTGATTTGGATATCCGTCATGCACTGCTGTGATAATTGATCAACGCCTCAACTAAACTGACTTGTGAAATAGTCTTGCTTAATAGCCGGACTAACTCTATGAGCTTCTACATCGATCCTACCAGACATCCCCAGTGACTGGACAAGGGAAAGCTAACTTATCACGATTTTGGTCGGGAGTCTCATTTTAATTTCCTAAAAGAGCCATTTTGCGAGGGTTCGGAAGTGCTCCCGATGATATCATCCCCGGCTTTCCTTTCCCGCCCAAGATCTAAATTGATCTTTCCCCTCATCTCTACATACATGGCATCATTGAGACGCCCAAATATTCAACATCCTCTTCAACGCGACCAGCTCCGATCCGAGTCTTTGTATCATAAAACATGGCCAAGAGGCATACCCAAGTTGCCGCGCAGAAGTACTATCTTCCCCCGACCAAATTGATCCCGAACTCGCAATATCCACTCCTCTATTATCCTGGCATTTTGTCTCCGGATACAAAGTCGATCGCTTCACAGTTCTACGACCTTCTATCCAGCAATGGCTGGGAGGCCCAGTGGATTTTCCGCTATGGCCAGACGCAGGATTCTCACTACCATTCCTCATGTCACGAGTGCATGGTTGTGCTCACAGGCAGTGCAACCATCCGGTTCGGCGTTGCCGATACAAGCGAGGATATGAACGAGAATACCTATGGCTCGGGCAAAGAGGATGGAGGTATCGAGCTTAAGGTGAAGGCGGGTGACGTGATTCTTATCCCCGCTGGCGTCGCCCACAAAACTTATGACGCCAAGCCCGATGACGAGTTCAAGCTGATGTCTCCCGGCAACGGCCACGGCTTCCCTCCAGGTTCACGAGAGAAGCTGGACGAGATCAATCTGACCGGGTTCACGATGATGGGATCCTACCCGGCAGAAGCAAAGGAGTGGGATTTTGCTGTAGGGGGTGAGGGAGCTTCGGCTTACGCGAAAGTATGGTCTGTTCCTCCTCCTAAGCTTGATCCAGTGCTGGGGGATTCGGATGATGGATTGGTTGGTCTTTGGAGACAGACGTCATCTGATGTGCCAGCACAAGGAAAGATTCCATCCAAACTATGATAATGCTCAACCACAGTCCATCAATATAAGTATTCTCATCCGCCAATCACCAAGGGAAAATCAAAGCAACGCAGGCGATGAAAGGGTATCATAGGGGGGGATCCGTGATCAGTGTCGATCTATTTCTCAAATATTGAACTAATTGACCACTATGTCCAGTCGATGCATATACCGGCGATGTGTTCTTACACACACGAAGTTCAATTTCCTTTTTCAAGACGAGGGATTGGAAGTCTATAAATACCCAGATCTTTACAGCGCCAAGCTGTGTTGATATGAGCACCCTTGTTGCATGTGTTTGATATACTTGGCGGTATGAATTAGCGTGAAAACCAATTGCTTTCACCAACAGACAACTTTACAAAGGTGGATTTTGTAAACTTGAATTTTGCCTTTTTAGGGATCATTCAACGAAGCTCTAGGGTGGGGCTCATGTCAGATCTTGGGCATTGCTGAGCCAAAGAATTTTTTTATTCGTTGTATTTATACCCGATGAGAACACCTGTTCCTGTCCGGCTAAATGTGCTGATATTTGCATGATCTTTGCCAGTGATCAGAAGCCTGACGATAGTGTACGGCTTCATCATTCATGAATAGACAGATCTGGCGAAGTTTTTTCATCCAAAACGTGGCACCGAGGCTAGGAGAACGAGCATCGTCGTTGTAGGTTCAATTTTACAGACTACATCGACCAGAAGAGACCATGGGCCAGTTCCTATCACCGGCTTGGGCGCTCCTGGCCGCTCTGCGGGGTACTAACAGCAAGCGACTCACCAGCCGAGACGTGCCAGATGCCGACTTTTCTGGGAGGTGGATCATCGTCTCAGGCGCGAACAATGGCGTGGGATTCGAGGCGGCCAAGCAGTTCGCCAGGATGGGAGCGAACATGATCCTCGCCTGCCGCGACCCTCCATCGAGTGAGACGCACCCGCTGGCTGCGGTAGAGGAATGCCGGTCGATAGCGACCGCGGCAGGCCATCCCAACTCGACGATAGAGTGGTGGAAGCTCGAGATGAGCGAGATCAGCAGTGTTGAGGCATTTGCTCAGCGATGGCTCGATACCGGGCGCTCGCTGGACGTACTGTGCAACAACGCCGGGATCACCTCGTTGGCTAGGAAGAAGTTCACGGGGGATGGGTTCGAGCGCGTCCACCAGGTCAACTTCCTATCGCATGTGCTGCTCACGCTGCGTCTTCTGCCTTCTATCGCCCGGAGCGATTACGCACGCATCGTCTGCTCCACGTCATGCCTTCACTACCTCGCCCCGTTCGACATGGAGCATTTCAACGGAGAAAGGGGAATCAAAGCGGATCCGTACTCCATCAACAAGCTGTACTTTCAGATGTGGCTTGTCGAGCTTCAACAAAGACTCCTGCAACATCCCGAGTACGAGCATATCACCATCAACGGCGTTCACCCCGGGTTTGTTAATAGCGGCATATGGACTGCACCTGAGGGCGACACAAAGTTTTGGCTTCGACTACTCATCTTCTCGTTCATCGTCAGCATGGTTGGTGTGACCAGTGAGCAAGGCGGCATTTGCATCGTGAACGCTGCCACCAGCCCCAAATTCAGCAAAGAAAACGGCGGAGGGAAGTTTATAAATCGCATCTGGGAAGATTCTCAAGCTGGTCTTTGCGCCGACAAGGATGCCAGGTTAATCCTATGGAACAAATTGGCTGATGATATGGCACTCCGCGAGAAGGGACTTCTGAAGCTCCTGGGGAATTAGCTTTGTTCCTGGGGAGATTCGAAGCTGGCTTTGTAATTTGTATCACGATTAGAGCCAATACTTTTTTCTCTAGGGTGGATGATATCGAGCGGTGGTAATAATCATGCGGGACATACTTGTGCCGATTTTCATGTGTACTGAAAGTGACGATGGATGTGCCATTGGGACATCCCAAAAGACATGGTGAGTCCAGGCACGTTCAAGCGAAGCATCGGTCGCGGTTTGAAGTCTTCGGCTATGGCCAAGTCTAGATTAGCTATTCTAGCAAGCGGGAGATGTGCTCAAGAGTGCCCACAAGTGTGCCGTCCAACCCCAGTGATCCCCCTTCAAAACCCTTGCGAACTTATCTCCGCGACCTCATGGTATACGAGCCGCGTTTGGCGAGTCTTTAGCGTCCTGGCCAAGGCTGGCTTGCCCCTTTGGGACAGGCTTCACATACGCATGATCGTGAACGCTTAGTTCGATGTAGGTGTAACAAGTCAAACTTGCGAGGCCAAGGAATGAGCCGATACGCCGTGGTCCTAGGCCGGCGCCTGGCGCTGGCTCGCCTCTCACAATGGTGCGGCGAGGACTGTACGAGTGTTATATGTGGAGGGGGAGTTGGTACCGCTCGGGGCGGAGCCACTACGGATCAGGATGTAGATCAAGAGACAGTGTAGATTAAGGAACAGTCCCATCTGGACTGTTGATTTTGTAGTGTATTGTGCCTCTACCGACATGACCTGACTGCCGACATCTGTGATTCCAGGGTTGTACTGGTCGTTCACAGTCGGCCCGTCGGTCTAGGTGTTGAATCTCCCTCAGGTCGAAGGTCGCACCACCTCAGCTGAAGAGCATGGAACGGTCTCGGCGCTGGGGTTTATGTCAATAACCCCCCTCTGATATTGAATGTTAAGAATTGAATGGTTAAGTATTACTAAATACGCGTGCTGGTGTGGGAAAAAGCAAGCTGATGGTTCATGGGCCGGGCCCGCTGTTATCCCCTGCGGCTTAAATTACCAGAATGCCGCAGAGGGGAACTCGCATGCAGACAGATCATATACGCAAGGTGACGCGGCTTAACGAACTGTCGCGTGTGCCTAGAGTTGGTAATTCGTAGTCTAATGCGTGGTTATGAGATAACATGCACTATGTTGGCAGTGGTGGGCGTCGTTGATATCTCCCTCGACTGGAATTCTCCGACTGACTGCCGTTGTTCTTGACCCAGTAGGACAGAACCGTGTGAGCATCATGTTGGTTGGGGTAGCATCAATCAATGCCCATGATCCCGGATGCTTGCTTACCGCTACTCTCTGATTCAGCAGACTCGCTTTCTGTCACACTAACGGCTGCCAACGACACACATACCACGTAGGTTGAGGAGGAACTGCGACGAGATGGCGCCGTTGGTAGCCTTGGCCAGACCTTCTAGAAGTGGCATAGCGATATTCTCTCCCCCGGATCCTACCGTGCCTCTGCAAGGTTCGACCATGTGAAATGTCATGTTGCCCACACAGAAGCCATAATTGATAGGACTTGGCCACTGGCAAAAGATCAATTGGCTGGATGATGGATGCCCCCTCCAATCTAACTCATTCTGGATCCTTCCCCGGGTACTACCTGCGTAAATACCACGCAGTCACGAGGAGAGGCACCACCTCTCCCACGGCCTGTGTTCTGAAACATGTTAGGGTCCCACCCCTGCGTCAATGCAGATCTGCCCTAAAGGATAGCGAGTTTTCTTCCTCCCGAGGTCGTAGAAATCCTCCTCTCATTTCTGGTAAAATGAACAGATCCAGAAGTTCTACACCGGCGCCCGGTCGGTTCATCCCCTGGTCACTCAGCCGTAGCTTGATCTGATTTGACAATGGCCACCATCAACGGCCGTCACCGTGTTCCTGCGTCTTAGCTTACCTTGTAGGGCGGCTCTGGCGCCGGGAAGGTTAAGGCTTTCCCTCTGGCTGTTGTAGACTGCCAGCTTGAAACGCCGCTTGCTCTAGTTGCTGACACGTTGTTGGCCCACACGCATACGATAAATGCCCTCAGTCACTGTTTGTCTGCTGAGTCGTGCACCAGGGATGTGACCAATTCCGCCACTTTTGTTAAGGGAAGGCGACTGTTGAATCTAGAGGTGGACCGAGAAGTTTTTTATTCATACCACGCCGTCCCATGCCCCGGCTCAGCTTCTTTCACAGCCCTGCAAGCTCGGCGCTGCTGTTTAATTTGCATCATCTTGGTCGACGTCCAGGGCAATCATCCATCGCGAAATGCCTGCGAGATTATCGATGGCTACTGGGCTGACGATATTACTATACATACTGCAAACCCACCGACCGTGATCCCGAGGAATATCACTGCGTGTCTGCTTTGACTCTTCCCCTCGTTTTCTTCACTTCCGCCCGTCGGCTGGTCTGCCACCTAAGGAAAGGTTTCCCCAGCGAGACATTCTGGAAATATCTTGCCGTCCATTCTTTTGAAGATCCATATCAATATTCTCCGGCATCCCGACCGACTGATATTGACAAAAACCCACCTCGGCTACACTCATTCGCCTAGAGGAACTGTTTCATAAACGACCTGGTCCAATCTCGCCCGTCTGGGACTTGGTCGCCCACCCAACATGAGCGAGACCGCCGTCGTCGAGAACGCGGTCACCATCGTCAACGCAGCAATATGGCCCCTCGCGGGCATCGCCACACTCTTTTTCGCCCTCCGACTGTACTGCCGCATTGCCAAATCTCGGGAAACAGGATGGGACGACTACGCCCTGGCGGCCGGCTGGGTACTCCTCCTCGCCGCGGGAGGAACTCTTGCTACTACGACCATTGAATGGAACTACTTTGGCACCTCGCTGGACTCGCAAACCAGCGCCACGGTGCCGCTGCTGGTCAGCCTCACGCATACGTTACACGTCCTCTCCCTGGCCCTGGCCAAGACGGCGTTCGCCGCCACGCTGCTACACTACTCCTCCCGGGCGGAGAAGGTCGTCGTCTGGACAATCATCGGGTCCATCAACGCTCTTTTTGTTTTTCATGTGTTTGCGCAGTGGAAGAGCGTCTGCGGCGACGAGTCGCAAGCCTACAGGCTCCCGGGGGACTGCTGGGTGGTCCGCAATCCGGGCATCGTCAACATTGTCAGCTCTAGTAAGTTGCTGCCGGCCACGAGGGAGATCCGTGTTCTGACCATGTTTGTAGTGTATTCTGCCGCCACTGATTTTCTTCTTGCTTTCCTCCCGTGGCGCGTGTTTCGGCGCCTGCAGATGAACAGAACCGAAAGGATCGTTGTTGGCGTTTCAATGACTTTTGCTCTTATGTAAGTCTGCATGCGCGCTTCCTCCAGGATCATCCGTCTCAGATGGTTTGCTCGCTACGTCACCAATTAACCAAAAGGCCATATCATATATGGATGTGACTAACCTTTCGTCTTCAGTGCTGGGGTGACAGGCATATTGAAAGGCATCCAAAGCATCAAGACGCTGGACAGGTCAGACCCGCAACGTAAGAACCCAACTCTCGCCGCAGCACTGCGCCCCAGCCCAAACGTGCTGTGCATGCACGGGACCATGGATTGATGTACTGACACGTGGTGGCCCCTCTAGTAATGTGGAATCTGCTGTTATTTTGGATCTTTGCCTTGGCCGAGCCCAGCGCCACCATCATCGCCGCCTCCATCCCGTCCTTCCGCGTGCTCGACAACGCCACGGGGAGCGACTTCAGGATCTCACGCAGCCCGGCGGCCTTCCTCGCCGACATCGAACAGGGCCCGAAGCGCAGCAAGCCGAGGGCCGAGGAGCCCGTCGAGCACCTGCTGGAGGACTCGGACAGCGACAACAGGAGCATACTGACCACCCACCGCGACAACGACGGGAGGCGGACGCGTGCTGTTACCACCGCCGGCGGGGGCATTACGCTGAAGACGGAGGTGTCGATCGAGTTTAACCGCAACAGCGGGCGGACGTTCAAGAAGAAGGGGGAGGCGTACGAGATGCAGCCTGGGGTTCAGCGCTCGAATTCGATAAAGGTGAAGGGGAAGGAGCAGGTTCTTCCGTATACCCCTGGGAAAGGGACTTTTAACGAATGAATGAAGATTTGATTTGCTCGGTTCTAGGATGTCTTTCCACTTCTGCAATTTGACTCCGATGTTTTGTGTGGCTTGCGTCTAACGGGAACGATAAAAGAACCCAGTCCATCTCCGTGGAAGGTCGTTTGAAAGCAAAAAACTTGGACAACACAAACAGCAGGAAGCGAATCATTTTCGAGCCACATGCCAGCTGGCAACCTAACACAGGAAGGAAAGCTGATGAAAAAATGAGCCAACTCGAGCGCCTAACAGGTTCGCGCCCGCCCCAACCTTCACAGCTACAGACCAGCTTCGAGCGTTGACTTGTTCTTCTCTGAAGAAGGGGAATCACTCTTGGATTTATGCTTACCTTAATGAAAGATAGATAGCTGTTGACTTGTACCATCGGTATCTGTATTTGGTGTGCATCAAGCTTATGGTTGACGGGCGAGAGTTTGAATAAAGAGTTTAAAAACAGCAATGACAGATGCGAGACCCGACATCCGAACACAGTGAATAAGCTCAGGGTTTACATATACTGTTACTTCTTAAACCCCTCACCCCCTCTTTTTTCCCCTTCTTTTCCTTTCATCTTTAGGGTTCCATTATTCGTTGGCCTCTGAGGATGCATTTATCACGTGATGGCTTATTATTAAAGTTGTTTTCGCGGTTCGTCCATCCATCAAATCCCTATCATTATCAACTGTTTCTCTCTCCCTGAATTCTTACCGTTCTTGGCTTTCTCTCTTCTGAATTGTTCACTATGGATATCACTACGTGGTCCCCTCATGGTCTGATTACGACGCCGCTTTCGGAGAATCCTATATCTTTCTGCACAAATATCGGTGGATCCATTTGGAAAAATCATCGATCCCAAAGAGCATCAAACCGTTGAGCTTTTTTGTGCCCTTTTCAACAAACTCACTTTCAGAGAGAACAAATTCATCTGCTTTTCACAAGCTCAACCTCAACTTCAATCCAATGAGGCTTGCGGTTTTGTGATTAAAAATTACGTGGCGGACGAGAATGCCTATCACATCCTCTGCTTTTTAGAAGTAAGGAGAGCTAGGAACCAAACTGGATCACACATCGTTGCCCTCGAGACCCAGGCTTTGGGCAACTGCAGACAGTTCTTTCAAGCGAACCCTGACGTTCCGTTTATCTATGCTTGCACACTTATCGGCACTTACATACGATGCTGGAAAATCCACGCAACGGAAGATGGAGATCCTCAAATGCAAGGCTTCTGGGGCGGGCACGATAAAGGAACATTTGATCATTACTTGGACGTGGGCCTTGAGCAGAATAAAGGACAGCTGGAACGCACGTTTCAACATATGAAGACGACGCCCCCCAATGAAGAGGCCAATGAATGTTGATCCAAACAATGTCGCAAGTGGCTGACAATGGTACGCCAAATAAAACCCTTTTCACATAAGGTAGAGACTTGATTTTCTTATTAATCGTACTAAACACAACATTAAGAAAATAATAACTTATCCTATGCCGTTTAGCTTGATATTATGTCTATGACTACGAGAATTGTTTTGATATTACGTTAAAATGCAGCTTACAACATAAAACCTCCTCCTCCCATGGCTCAACATCTCGGGCTTTTTGCCCTCTAAGGGTATTGCATTCCGGCACAGGATGCAATGTGGTTCGAGAAGAATATGTCTGTGAGGTCGGTGCTACATTCATGTTTGATTATTATTAATTCGACCTAGATATGCAACGATCGAGTGACAGGATATACCCTGGTGGTTGATTGAGAAACAGAAAAGCTATCGCACCAAAGTTAACCCCTCGGCGCACAGGAGGGCACGTGATCATGTATCACGTGCTGCCCACGAAGCAAGACAGATGGACGTATCTGAAGCATAACATAGTGTTTCCATTTACATTGATTACTAGTAACTAACCTGTGCCTTGGATATATTCGGTTTGGGCATCTAATTGATGTAAATGTTTATTTACCTTGCTAGGTGCATGCATTCAGTGGTCGCTTGCTCAGGGGTCACCACCTTGTTCAGCGCATTTACACCAACAATGATCGCGTTTTAATGTCAATGGAGTAGGTTAAGCAAACTTTCACTGCCAAAGGCCGTGAGTTTAAGGTTATTTGACTTTTTTGTGCCTCACACATCGGACAAAGGAGAGCAGAGCACACGAGTGACAAGACCATCGGATTGTGGTACAACCTTTATGTATCTCGGTGTCTCTCACCTGCAGCTCACCTTGCGATCACTCCGATTGTGTAACCTCACGCCCCAAACACGAAACAAAATGAAAATTTTTCACTTTGTGCGTAGAACAATAACTGTTATTTCATAGTTCGCACTGTTCATTGACTGGCAGAATAAAGGCGGTCGCCAAATTCACTTCCTTTCTTTCTTCTTTCTGCTCTTTCTCTATCTGCGACCCTTTGCTCCTTCCTTCGATAAAATCTTCGTCCTGCAGTCACCGATTGTTTATTTGCTCTTTTTTCCCTTCCTTCTTCCACAACAATTTTCCCTCCTTGTCTCTAGACTCTGGCCTTTTCCTCAGATCACAAAACCACTTCTCCTTGCCAATCATTCGAAGTTGAGAGTGTGTTCGCTGGACTCTCGCCTGATTTTTCCTCGATCCGTGCTTGACGGGCTATCGCACGGCTCCGTTCATCTCAGCTAACGACCGATTCATCAAGCTTTGCGTCAGCCGTGAGTGGTTCATCCTCTTCTGCCCTCGCCAACCTCGTTCATCAACCCCATCGTATCAGAGATATTTGCTTCCATCATGTCTTCATCAAACGGAAGGGGTGCTGGTGGCAACCAGATCTGCCAACGGTTCCAGAGGGGAGCATGCCGATATGGCTCCCGATGTAAATTCTCTCACGACCCGAGCACCGCACGGTCTCGCCCCTCTCGAGCTTCACGTCCAGTCCAAGTCTCTGTCACACGAGCATACTTCCCGGATGAATGCGACGGAGACCGGTCTTCCCAACTGAGTGACCATCTCACTTCCGCTTTGACAGATCACACTTATCTTAGCCAAGTCTGGGACACGACGCTGCAACTCTTCGCTCGATTAGATGAGCAGGTCAACCATCGCACCGTGCAAACTCTTGTGATTGAAGGCCTCAAGGCTATTACGGCCACAATCCAGCTTCCTCAGAACGCAACCCCGGATCACGTCAAGACGGTCGAGAAGTTTCTGCGATCACTCAGCCACCCTGAGCTTGTGAACTCTGTGACTCTTTCAACCCGAGTCGATAAAATGTACCGCACATTTTCTGGTCAAAACGGAGAGGAGGGCCTTCGATTTATCCAAGGCTACTGTGACCTTCTTTCAAAAGACTTTCCCCTCGTTCAGTCACTCCAGGAAGGCAAGGGTATCAAGGCGACCATGAGCGACATGCTAGTTGTGACTTCTCAATTGTTCGCGAGAGTTCCCCAGCATCGACAGAATGACCAGCTTGCAGCGGTTTTCAACTCGGTTGAGGGATTGCTTGCTGTGGCTCGAAAGAACAAGGAGGTATCAGAGATTGATTACAATTCGTTCATGGCCAGGATCTCTGCCATGAGAAGTGCTGCCATCAGAGGAAGATCCGATGCCCAGAATCGTGCGAAGGACAGCAACATTGAAGCTCCAGGAGGGCGTCACGACAATGATTTCGACAGTATCTCTGATATCGAGATCTTCCCCACCTATAGCGAGATCATGAGCGACAAGCCCGAGTATCTTCCAAGCACCTTGTTGACCGCCCCCAACACCGTGGAAGATCCGCTGCAGCGATATGTTGACACCATGTTTCGCTTAATGCGACATGACATCTTTGGTCCGATGAAGACGGTTCTGAAAACCCTTCTTGCGCAGGCGTCAGACTCTCGAACTCCCACGTTATCTAATAACGATGCCCGGGCGAGCGTCTACCACCAATCGAGCATTCGCAGCATCTTCGTCAATGACCGGAATGAACTCGAGGCTGTCGTCTCTTTTCAGGGACCTCCCCACGTTTTGACAAGGTTCTTACCTGACCAAACAGATTGGTGGAAGAATTCTTCGCGGTTCGAGGAAGGGTCCCTGATCGCTTTTTTGTCCCGCGCAGACGGCAAGAACAGAATGTTGTTCTTGCAGGTGACAGTCAAGAATGCTTCGCAGGTTGATCATGGTGTCAAGTGGTCCCGATACCCCAGCACACTGGTATCCAAGAACAAGATCTCGAGTTTCACCGTTAGGCTTGTGAACTCGTCCTCGAAAGACTTGGATCATCTCTGTGATCTCTTCCAACAAAAAGCGCAAGGCTTTTTGGTAGACTTCCCTGGTTTGATTCCTGCAACCTTCCACCCGGTTCTTGCCAACTTGCAGCGGGTTCAGCGTGAAGGTGACCTGGCCTTCCGTCAGTGGATCTTGCCCAGTGCTCATGGCAACGTGAAGAACATCCCACCACCAGCATACTCTAGGCACCCAGACTTTGTGTTCAACCTCGATCGCATTGCCAAGGGCGAGATGAAACTGGATACCAAGAAGCCAATTGAATCCTTCAGTTTGTCTGAACTTGAAGAGAAGTCCGGCTTGGACCATGGTCAATGCCGGGGGCTTGTGGATGCACTCACCAAGGAGTATTCGCTTATCCAAGGTCCACCTGGCACCGGAAAGTCGTTTCTCGGGCAGAAGATCATCGAAGTTCTCACGGCTCCGACGACTACGATGAATATGGGCCCAATCTTGATCGTGTAGGTGCTTTACTTCCCATCATACATATCCATGATGTTTGCTAATTTGCCTCGTTTTCCTAATAGATGCTACACAAATCACGCGCTCGACCAGTTCCTGAAGCACATTCTTGATAGTGGAATCACCAAACTAGTTCGTATTGGAAGTCGCAGTGAAGCACCCGAGCTTGAGGACAAGAACATTCTGGTGGTCAGCAAATCCACCAAGAAAACCGGCTCTGAGACCAATACGCTCTCCTATACTGGAAAGGCCTTGGATGAGGCCATGGAGAAAGTCTCATCTGTTTTGATTAGCCTCGACAACCGCAGCACGCAACCCACGTGGGCCGATTTGGACGATTTCCTGCTGAAGCACCATGAGTTGATTCATCGTCAGCTGAAGGCCGGCAGCCCACGCCGATATGACAATGCTAAGACAAAGGATCCGCTTGTGAGTTGGTTGGGACGCAGGCCCGCGACCAGTAGCTCCCAAAACGGAAGCCAAGTCAATTTGGCCAAGCTCATCACCAAAGCGGAGTGGGATGTCAGGGCTCTTTCGAATCAAGAACGCTGGGAGTTGGTGGACAGTTGGCTTAGTGGAGCAAGCGTCTCAGACAACTCTGCACTTCATAATGCTCTTAAAGAAGCCGATGGTCACCGGGCGGCGATGAACAGCGTTCGGGAGGAAGTGCGCCGACGCACTCTGATGAATTCGAAGATCATTGGCATGACTACGACCTCGCTTGCGAAGAACATTGACACACTCCGCAGGGTTGGCATCCGAGTCGTTATCTGCGAAGAGGCTGCAGAGGTAACCGAAGCCCACATGTTGTCTGCCTTGATGCCAGGTGTCGAACACTTCATCCAGATTGGCGACCACAAGCAGCTGAGGCCTCAAATCAACGATTACAACCTCAGTCTTGAGTCTTCGTCCAAGACGAAATGGCAACTTGATCGTAGCCAGTTTGAGAGGCGAGCCATGGGTGAGCCTGGCCTTGAGCCAGTGCCAGTGGCACAGCTCAGTGTTCAGCGACGAATGAGGCCCGGGATCTCAAGATTGATTCGGCGAGTATACCCTTCGTCGGAAGATCACAAGTCGGTCGGAGGTTTCCCAAATGTGGTTGGGATGCGCCAAGATCTCTTCTGGCTTGATCATCGGCATTTGGAAGACAGTCAGTATGGTAATGGCTCAATCAGGTCCCACAGCAACAGGTGGGAAGTCTCAATGGCTACGGCTTTGGTTCGTCACTTGGTTCGGCAAGGAGCCTACGACAGCTCTGATATCGCCCTTCTCACACCCTACGCTGGCCAGCTCAAGCAACTGAAGGCTGCCTTGAGCAACGAGTTTGAGATTCGCCTCAACGAGGCTGACCAAAAGAAGATGACTGAAGAAGAGGCATGGTTAGCCAGCCTGAACGGACGGACTGTGGAAGTAGCTGAGAAGTTTGTCAAGAAGCCACTCCTTCAGACCCTCCGCGTTGCAACCGTCGACAATTTCCAAGGAGAGGAGGCCAAGGTGATTGTGGTCTCGCTTGTGAGGAGCAACAATTCCCGCCAGGTTGGATTTTTGGCTACAGAGAACCGAATCAACGTGCTTCTGAGCCGAGCGCAGCACGGCATGTATCTCATTGGAAACGCCAACACCTACCAGAACGTGCCGATGTGGGCTGATGTTCATCAGCAGATCTCCGAGGCTGGGAACGTCGGTACTGAGCTGGAAATCTGCTGCCCGCGACACCCTGAGACATCCATTGTATGCTCCGAACCCCGGGACTTCAAAGACAAGAGTCCCGATGGAGGTTGCGCCGAACTCTGCGGAAAGCCATTGGAGTGTGGGCACAAGTGCAAGTCCAAGTGTCACTCCGACATGATGCATCAAAATACCCCTTGCAACGAGCCATGCGATCGCCCCAGGCATGACTGCGGCCACAAATGCCGAAAGCTCTGCAAGGACGATTGTGGCTCCTGTGAAGCCAACACGGGCGACCTGAAGCTATCCTGCGGCCATGTCCTGAAGAACGCCACGTGCAAAGAGCGAAACTCGACTGGCACTATCATCTGCCAGACCAAAGTTCAAAAGCAGCTTGAGCTCTGCAACCATCTTGTCCCCACGGAATGCCTCGGACATCCCGATGAGATCAAGTTTGATGAGAGGATCAAGTGTATCTCTCGTTGTGGTCAGAAACTGGAGTGTGGGCACGTTTGCGGCTCCATGTGCTCGGATTGTACTATTTACAGCGGTTGGGGGCCTATGTACGAGCACCAGCCATGCCCATCATGCAAATAAGGTGGATAGATAGATAGAAAGTGATTAGTTAGTCAAGTCAAGTAGCTTTGAACCGAAACTGAATACAGAGACATAATTTCTCACGTCCGTTTCCCTACCGTTCTCTGCCACACTTTTTGTTCTTTAAGAAACTCTTCCTTCCTTCGTTTATACCCTTCGTGCTGTTTACAGCTCTCCCAGTAACCCTTGAAAATCCGGCTCGCCTCTTCCTTCTCTTGCCTGCCCGCGTGAATTCTACTCTTTGGGAGCTCTTCCCTTGTGCCTCTTTTGTATTTACGCCCTCCTTCGTGGTTGGCATAACGCTTGGCGCGGGTCATGCCCATCTGGATGAACTTGCGCGCCATGTCCATCCCGACAAAGTCTCCCTCGTCATCGAACTGTTCGAATCGGTGCCAGAGGTCTTGTGCGCTTTTCCGGGCAATCGGCGCCGTTTTGAACCGCCAGAGGGGGAGGAGGGCGGACTTGTAGGGTTCGTAGGTTAGGACGCCTTGCTCGCCGCGGCCGATGCGGTATGTCATTCGAGTGGCGTGGGGGGTTGATTGGATCAACGGGACAGCAGTTGCGTCTGAATCTGACATGATGTACAGAGGTTTTCTTTATGAGATGGTGGAAGAAATATGCCCAAAGGCAAGAGGAGTCTGGTCATTTAATCTGATGGATGATGTCATTGACTCTGGTTTCTAACCTAACGGCAGATCTAGGGTCCAACCACTTGCTCTATTTTCCTTGAGATGAGAAATTATTACTTTTTAGATGTAGTTAATAGCCTCCGTTGATCTCCTGGTGAGTTATGTGCTCATCCTCTGCTCGAAGCGAGCTATGCAGTGACAGGTTGATGTGAGACATAGGGTTGCATGCGAGATGAACTCTAGGACTCGCGTCAATAATAGTGCCAAACTGATAATGCAAAGTCAATAACAAATCATGTAAACAACCCAGCGGGAAAAATAAGAGTGTTCTCAGAGAAGTCATTCAACTTCCAAGGTTAAAGCCAACATAGGACACAAACAAAGCTTTTTGTTCAATAGGTTCTTCGCTATCATTTGGTTCGTGTGCTTTTCTCAAACGCGTAACACTTTGCTTGCTAGCCTCTTCTCAGACGAAATCTAGGAACAAGAATATCGCTCTAGAGTTTGGAATCAACTTTATAGTGTAGCCCAGAGTGTTGCATAATTTCTGCTTAACGTAGGTACATGTAGACATTCGTGACGCGGTACAGGGTAGCCCGTAGTGAAGCGCCGATGCACGAAGAGCAAAACAAACAACAAGAGAATTGCGGCTGAGGTTTGCGCTATTAATAAAATGAGACCCAGCCGCTATCAGCCCCAAGATTACGGTCAATAGTGCCGCGATTCCGGATGCTTCTTGGGCCTATTATGTACACGACTGACTCTGGGAACACCAGGCGATCTCCTGGATATTCTTCCTTGGCGCTCGTCTGCGGGTGAAATCTCTCCTGCTTCATCATCCCGTGAAACTCGTCGCTCGCTGCGCGCTCATCCATGTCTTAGCTTTGACGCGAGAGGCCGCCAGCGATTCAAACCACCAGACCCAAGCGCCACCTCCCTGAGCTGAATCATCATGAAGCGCTTCGGCTCGCTCGTGTCGAAAGCTGGCGATGCCGTCCAGCAGGCCAACCAAGAGTATCAGCGGCTGAGGCAGGAGGCGAAACAACAATACAAACAGCAGCAGCAGGACGTGCAGACGTATCAGGCCCAATACCAGACACAGCAGTACGGACAGACCACTCAGCAACAACAGGGCTACTATCCAGGCCAGCAACCACAGCAGCAGCCTGAACAGTATCAGTATCCAGGCGCCTACCAGCCAACTCCTACTCCCGCCGCTTCAACAGCTTGGCCATCACCGGCATCTACGTTTGACTCAACGACAACCGCTACTCCTACGTCAGGATTCTCCGGTTCAGACGTTCCGGCAACCCCGGCCCAGTATCAGACTGCATATGCCACGCCAGGGCAGCCAGCAGCAGCAAATGTACCGCAATATGGCGACGCCAACCAGCAGATGCTTGCTGTGCAGAATCAGATCCAACAGGCTCAGCAGCAGGCTCAGCAACAAGCCCAGCAGCACCTCGCCCAGCACCAGACTCAGTTGCAGGCGTCCCAGGCCAACTACGAACTCCAGCTCAAGCAGGCCGAGCAGCAGCTGGGCAACATCCGGCTGGAGCAGGAACAGGCCGTCCAGCAGGCAACATCACAGCTGCAGCAAGAACAGCAAGTTCTGCAGCAGCAGATAGCACAGGGTCTTTCACAACCAGCTGTCCCGCAGCAGCAGAGCTTCCCTGGCCCCTCACCATCAGCACCTACACCAGCCCCCCCTCCAGACACGTACAGCACGAATACCCCGGGAGCTCATGATGATAGCTTCGAACCTCCTCCAGGACCTCCTCCCGGGTCTCCACCAGGCATGGACCAAACAGCTCCATCGGGACCACCACCAGGCGCACCGCCATCCGCTCAGAGTCAATCGCCCGTTGTCACCCAGCAGCCTACGTATGGAATCCATGTAGGCGCTGCGCCAACTCCATTCCCCCAAGTCCAAGGCTTCCCCCCACCAGTGCTCCCTTCAAGTGGAACTCCTGTTCAGCCCTCGCCAGCTCACCCTGCTTTTGTCAGCCCCTCACAGACACCACGACCCCAAAGTTATGCTCAGCCCCAGACCGCTGCGTCAAATGCCGCCCCAGGCTATCCGCAAGGCTTTCCTGCGTACGGGGACCCTTCACAGCCAGCTGGCGCATATGCATCTCCAATTGCTCCGGCTCCCACGGGGAACCACTTCCAATTCCAAGCGCAGCCAATTGTTGAACCTCCACTTCCTGTGGAATTACCTACAGCAAGCCGATTGGAACAAGATGGGCCGTGCGAGCTCGCTGCTCCCCTGGGCGATTTGCAGCCTCAGTCTGACAAGGGCACCGAGTCATCAGCAAACGGCTCCAGGTCTACAAAGACTAGAAAACCCCAGGTAAAGCGAGTAGGGACCCCAGAACCAGCGACGATGGATGAGTCGGGTGTAACTCCTCTCTGGGAGTGTGCTACAGACCCCGTCACATACGAGATGGACTGGCTGTATAATTCAGCTGCACCAAATTTCCTTGTTTGTGGCCGTTGTTATGTTGACCATATTTGCGATACCCAGTTCAAGGGGAGTTTCACTAAGATCTCTTTCAAGGATAAGAAGCCGCGAAGATGTCTGTTTGGAACCGATCGCGTCAAGGAGAAGTTGTGGCCCGAAGCCTTATCCTCGAACAACTTGGAGCCGCTTACAGCATACATGATTAGGCGGGTAGCGATACCGGAATGCTCCAAGGAGACCATCAAGGAGGGTGAAAGCTGGTACACAAATGAGAAGATTCCGGGAATGACCATCTGCAAGGCTTGCTATGAGGACAACATCGAGTGCACGTCGTTTGCCTCGTACTTCAAGCTAGAACTAAAAGAAGGACAGTGTTTCTGTGATTCTAGTGTCTGGTATTTCAATCGGCTGCTTGAAAAGCATACCGAGACAGAGAATTGGGCGGAAGTCATTGAACAGATGAATATCAGGGAGACACTCCCCTTGTGTCCTAAGCAGACCATTGTCCAAGCCAACGATCGAGCTTGGTACACTTCGACCAGGGGACCTCAAAATCTCACTCTTTGCGTGGCCTGTTATTACGATTACTTCCATGACACTGGAGACGAGCAGTATTTCCAAACGGTTCCACCCAGCCAAACAAATGTGAGGTGCATCATGGCGTACCTCAACTTGTTGATACCAACGAAGCAAGCCCTGGTCAAGAAGGACCGCGAGGTCTTCTGGAAAGCCCTGCAAGCCGTGGACGAACAACCCTTTTGCAACCCAGAGGGAACGACGGACGCACTGTGGTATACACTGATTGACGAGCCCCAGGAGTTCGCCATCTGCGGGGGGTGCTACGGAGGAATCGTCGGCAGCTCGGGCGGCAGGAGATTTTTCAAACCGCACCGCACCTTGACGAAGCAGGACAGTTGGATTTGCTGCTTCAGCGTGAACCACATCCGCGGGCCTGCGTATCTCGTCAAATACTCCGAGTGTCTGGCCAAGGGACATGCGCGCCCCCTGGCCGAGTTTGTCGGCACTTATGGCGATGTACCGCTGTGCAGTGGGAAGGAACTCACGGCAGACCAGAAGTTTTACGGGTGGGATGACCTGCCCATATGCCAGGAGTGCTACTTGACATGCGCTAGGGGAACGGCGTTGGAGCCTCGGTTCACCCTCAAAGGTGAGACTAGTCCCAAGGAGCGTGTATGTGGCCTCTATTCTACTAAGATGCGCGGGATATACGCGGAAGCGTGCGAGAAGAATGACCTCAACGGCCTGCTGGCTGTGGGCAAGCACCGGCAGGAAGTTTGGGCCAGGACCGTCCCTGTATGTAAGCAGATCTTGCAGCAGCACAAGATGGCGGCTGAGCGGGCTATGACGCTCTCAATGGCGGGGACCATGTTCCATGCGGCCGGTGCGCTGACGGATGTCGCCCAGGGGCATACGCACACAGTAGGAAACTCCCAGGTCGGTTACGGGTATGCCAATTCGATGGAGATGGAAGGGGCGGTCTTGACCCAGCAGTCCGGAGAGATCGCGGCTGGTGTGAATAACTCATCACTGTTTGTTCGCGCTGGCATACTTGACAAGGAGTGGGCGGCGGTGGAATGAACACACATGTTTCCAGTGGTGCCATGTTTCCCTGCATAGCGATATACTCCGTGATGTGGCGGACACATATATGCATAGAAAACAACGACTTACGTAGCTGGTATGACAAATTTATGAGAGCAATTCATGCTTAGAGAGAGTGCCCCTTTGCGTCTTGTAACTCAGTGTTTGTATGCGCTCTAGAAATTTAGTATTCCTTCCCATACGCCGATGAGCAGGGAGGTTGGAAAGCAAAACACTTCGCTGGTACGATATATCCAATTCGAATAAAGGAAAAAGCGCAACATAGATTATTTACTTCGACTGCTACCTAGCTGGTGATGCCGACAACAATGTCCACAATCTCCTCGGGATATTTGGCATAAGGCGAGTGGGCACAGTCCATAACCTTGATGTCGATGGGAACGCCTGCGTCCTTGGCGTTGGCGACGCAAATGTCCTGGTACGGGGGAGGTACACAACGGTCCTCAGTTGTGCGTACGTAGGTGAGCGGGCTATTCCTCCAACACTCGTATGACGGGCCCTCGTAGATACACTTCGAGTTGTGCGGCACTGCGAGAGTCTTCTGCTCCTCCTGGTCCTCAAGGCTCAAATCGTGATACATGGCCCATACGGGGTCATTGAGCGTCCAGACCCCATCTTCGTGGATGGTCAAATGAGGCGTCACGTCCTGCTCCATTCCGGACTTCTCAATAACGTTCCAAACGCTCTGGCCCTTGGCGAGGAGGTAAGCGCAGAGGTAGACAAGGTGCACCACGCCGCCCGGGAGGTTGTTGGCTTCTCTCTCCTTCCGGGATAGGTCATTAGTTGCGTCGGTGCCGACAGCACCTCCGTAAGAATGCATCACCATGACAATTTCGTTGCCTTGTTCGACAATCGGCTCGATGAGAGCCCGGACAGCAGCGACATCATCTTGGAAGCTCGAGTTTGGAGGGCGAGCACCGTTATTGGTGGCTAGAGAAGGCACCTTGACCTCGAATGATCGGGCCTGCAGGGCTTCGACAAGCTTACGATAATGGGCGGGCGTCGACCAGGCACCGGGCACGACGACAATGGTTGGCTTTTTAGCGGACATGATTGACGAGTGTTCAAGCTGGCAATGTCAAATAATGTATGAGGTAAAGAACACTGCATTTGCGGTTCTCGGACTCTTGAAGCACCGTGGGTCCTAGTTATCTTGTCGCAGCTTGAAGGTGGTTAGGTATATGTAAGCCGTGGATCCAGCCCCCCTGCCTGTCAGGTCATTCAGTATAACGACTCAGGCCAACTGATTTATCTTACGTACTTGAGTGCGTTTGAAAATAAGCAGCAGCCAACATGAAACTACGCGGAAGACCCGGCTTGAGTGAGCATCCACAACGACCCCAGCCCGGAACCCTGTCGAGATATCCATGAAGACATAGTTGACAGTGCTATAAGGCATACTAGATGTCTATTTTACCGTACAGTAGCTTGAGGGTGGTGCCTTACTAAGCTCCTCGTGTACCGAAAACGCGCTTGGAGAAAGTGATGCGTGTCCCTCGCGTCAACACCATGAATCTCTCCCTCGTAACAAACTTGTTGATGCGAACACCCACCCTCGTGATCTAAACTCACTGCCAATTTAATTCTTCATTTGTGGAACTCGACACGATGACGAGAAGAAGTGCTCACCGACCAGATGGTGAGGCCACAGTGGCTCAAGCAACAACTCCCGTTACACCAAAGACCAACAACCCAAGGAGGCGCAACAGAAGGAAGCGCAACAACGGGGTGAAGAATAACAACGGGGTGAAGGTCAACAACGAGGCGAAGATCAAACAGCCAAACGACCCAGAACTGCCTCCGGAGGTGTTGGCATTAATTCTTGACAACGTACAGGACACTCCACCACTGCTAATGATTCGTGATTGGCCATGCCCATACTGATTTGGAATAGGTCCAGGATGCGTCCACCATGTGCAAGGTCGCCCGAACTTGCAAGAAATTTCACTCGCTTATAACGCCCCGGCTTCACAAACGTTTTGCTTACCAAGTCGATTATGATCTCGTATTTGTCAAATTTATTGCAGTAATGCAGCGGTACCTCAGCGTACAACAGAACAGGAAACTTATAACACAGTGCCGTTGTCCTGGCCAGAAGGAAGGGGTTCACTACGGGTCTGACTTGGGAGCTACTCCACCGTGCGCGGCCTATGTGTGAGAGCTGATCATCGGTCCTTTCCATGTATTCAGGAAGGGTGAGCACATGGTCTACCGGTATCTGGAGGAGGTGCTCAAGAACATGCACGGGTTAGAAATCGTGGAGCTATGGACGATAACAGCGTAAGTGATGTGATCGGGTCTGATTTAGTCGAGGGCAGACGCTGACTGGTTCTGCCGTATCTCAAGCTCCATGGCAAAAACCCTTCCAGGACTCACGAACCTCAAAGCCCTTTCACTGACTGCCCAAAAGGCGAGAGACGGAGACAAAATCACTGCCTTGGCAAAGGTTAAGAGTCTCCAACACTTCAAAATACGGGCCTGGGAACCCATTGAGGAATTTGAAGTGGCCACAAAGTCAATTCTTCTCAACTCCAGATTGACTTTGCGAAGTTTGGCCATCATGAACCTTGATGATGTCGCGGGTTACCGTTTTAGATTCCTCGATAGTTGGCAGAGAGAACTTGGTTCAGACAGCCCGACGCCATACTTCCCCGCTCTGCAGTCTCTGCAGCTGATCGGCTTGGAGGGGCCGGGCGAGGGCCTGAAGCGAGCTTTTGAGAACGCCGTTAATTTCATGAATTTGCGGTCACTAAGCCTGGAACGGATCTATGCTGGTAGAAGTGCCCTCTACCGCCATCTGGCCGACCTGGCCGCCAGAACCCCAAAAGAAGACATCAAATTACGAAGCTTTGAGATGGATCATCATTCCGATGCAACCCTCGACGAGCATCGGCATGACATGGAAACGATATGCAGGTTTCTTGGCTCTTTTGGTAGTCTAACAAGTCTCCACGTACTTGAGTACGACAAGTATCTTCCGATATCGCAACAAGATAAAGGCCTTCTCCCTGATCCAGTGCAGCAAGCGATACTCAAGCATAAAAATCTGACCAGCTTGACTTTGCGGTCTCGAGACTCTTTCAATAGGGCGAACATGCACCCCTATCTCTCGCCAGACGTCATCGGAACCATCGTGGACAGCTTGCCTCTGTTGGAGGAATTTGACTTCTTCGCACGTCCTCAAGACATGGTAAGAAAACTTCCTCACAATATATTTATTCATTATATGGAAGAGACGAGAGCTAACTAATGCAAATTGTCATAATAGGTCCAAGTAGGAGAAGCTCTAGCCCGCGGAAGGAACCTAACCACCATATCTGTTGCACAAGTCGACAGAGCTAGTAAATTATTTGTCCCTCGAGAGCTTGTGACCAAAATTCTCGGGGGTATTCTTGACGGTAGAGGCGGTGGTTCTCCTGGAGATGGGCACTTTCGTTGGGGGGATCACAGTAAGCTTCGGCGAATCATTATCGATCGAATGTTTCCTGATAACAAGCGCATTTTTGATATCACCTCTTGGTTTCCGGAGGTCAGGGTCAAGGGGGATAGGAGGTATCAGAAGCCTTTCAGTATCCGCGGCTTCCAGAATACGGAGCGCGAGGTTTTGGGTCAAGATGTGACGATGTTATTGCGTCCTGAGGATATGGAACTTGCCTCCAACTGCGACTGGGCAGATGATGTCGCCCGTGACATGATCTAGGATGAAATTGTTACCTCCATTTAGGTATCAAAGATAAAACAGCAGACCCTTATTGTATTCGATCAGAATTTTGCATTATCATCCATTAATCTCAGGCTTCCATGTACCCTAATCCGTATGCCCTCAAGCTCCAGCAGCAACAACGCGCGACAAACAACATTGCTAACCGCAAAACGCATGACTACCGGCAGGGTATCCATGAAAGAGATTGGCGTCAATGCCGAGAGTATTGCCATCCCATACACAAACTGTACAAGCGCTGCAAGTCTCGCGAGTAAGAAGAGAAGATCACTGATCCATTGACCGCGCGATTCGTCTGTCGATTCTGCTAATGAGGGTACCAACGTCAACCCGTCCTCTTTATCCTCTTGTGGTGCTCTAGCATCAGTGTACTCGACGAACTGAGCAAACGACGCGAGGTTAGGCAGGCAATGTCGCTGTCGGATAGCCCCGATGGCAAACATCGTCGGGGTGATGCCCAGCAACACCCAGACCAACACTAAATAGACCGCATTGCACCTGAATCCAACAACCGTTCTCGCATCTAGATAGATGGCTCCTTGCACACTGTTGATCATCGCACCGATGGCGAGCGCGTACGTTGCAGCGGCGGCCAGCCTTTGAAAAACAATGGGGAGATTCCAAAGCCACCCGAAGTACATACGAGCGACTCTTGAAGACGGTCTATTGATAATCTCGGCGACGTCTACTGAAGAGAATATTTGCCGAACCTGTTGTGTCGGTGCTCCGATAGACATGAGTAACGCGAGGTACGGCCGCTGTGTAGCTAGTACAGCCAACTCGGCCATGTCGGATCCCGTAGGCCAGAATACTGGGAGTCAGGCCCAGAAGGACCTGGGATCCGGCCAAGTTTGATTTGATCGACTCGCTCGAGTTCTCGAGAAGACAGTCCAAAGCGGCGGCACATGGCGATGTTGTTCTCTCTCGGTTATTCTCGTGGTAGTCGCTTATTTGGAGGGAGCAGTTCTGCTGGGCGACTTCGAGCCAGTGATACTCGAGTGTGGGAAACCATAGTGTGAACTTTTCCCCTCTGAGGGCTGACACCACAGGTGCCTAAAGGGAAACGGATAAGAAAGTTGAGAGGAAAGTGTTAGACATTGCAAATGTTATTTGATGGTCCGAGGATGAAAGGATGCTTTCTCGATCAACCAAGCCGGGGAATATTGAATGCTATATACACAACGAGTAGTCTAAATGGACAACCATCCTGATTTCGACAATAAAGAGATGCAGAGAAATGCAAGGTGTGTTTACTGGTGGACACTGAGCTGGCAGTGGTTATTCCCTCTTTATGTCCCGGCGCTTGTCTGCAATGCATGGCTACCTTCGCTTCGAGGTGCTTAACCAATGAGACGAAGAATATAAATTAAAAGATGGCTTCTATGGGGACCAGTCGCCTCTTTGCCCGCCGTCATACTCCCAATTATAGCTTCTAGTACCATTTTCTAACGAACTTTGATCAAAATCAATATCTCATCTGATTTGACAGCTGTCCCAGGAATAAACGTGTTATTTCACCGGATGTAACCCAAAAATCCCTCAAGTGATAGACGATCTGCCCGAATTATGTCTTGGTTATTCACTACCGAGTATGTCTTCTTAAAAAAAGCCATGGTTAATAACCGACCCAGATGTTAAGTGTCTTGTCAACCACAACTGCGCGGAGCAACAGTTGTTGGCCTCGAATAACAAAAAGATGATTGATGGAACCAGATCCTTTGAGATGATGATATAAACAATAGCTGCCCTGTAAGCATATTGGTCATCTGCTGGCTCTGCTCTATTGAGTTATCACCGAGGTTTCAATATGCGCCGTCTCCACTAGCCCCCTGCAACATTCTGTCTCAATAACAAGTGAAATAGCAGTCTCTGGACTTCCATTCTCGTTGTGCAGTACCCTCGAAAACTTGGAGGTGATTGATGCGTTATTACGAAGATTTTCGCAGTTGAATGCGAGTTGCATCATCGCCGCTGCTCTGCCACTCCAACTTCCATACGCCATCAATTCCAGACTTCACAGCGTACCAGTAATCTTGCAAACCAACGCTGTCGGTCTGCACGAGGATAATAGGGTTGTAAACATAGAACTCATGCCAGTAGTTAGAAAGGTCGGCAGATGGGTCCAGGAGAACAGCGGAATACCCAACGTTTGTTGACGAGGGCACGGCAAGGTAGAGACCAGACCAGGTGGGAGTGGTATCACTAGTTGCAACAGGCGTGGCTACCCATGCAGTTGCAACGGAGTTGTCAACTAAAAAGCAGGGTCAGTTACAAGAAATCATAACTCGCCAGTCTGTAGGAGACTTACGATCCACTGGTGCAGCCTCGCTGCTGCCCAAGCGAGTGTAATCACCGAGATATAAGGTCTCTAGTACAGTTGGTCAGCATATGACTTGCTTTGTTCTGATTTAAAACTCACTTCCGTCCGAAAACAACTTTTGAGAAATGACGGTCGAAAAATCGGTTCCAATAGCCTGGAATGCATTGGTGACCGTAGAAAAGCCGGTAAGGGCAAGAGAAATGAAGGTAAACTGCCTCATGATGATTGATAGGTGGTCGTTTGATGATACTGCACTGATCTTGGGACTGGTAGTTGTCTAGACAAGGTTGATGGCAAGCGGTTCTTGGCAGTACTTATGTGTAGATCATCGAAACTATCCGAGTTCTCTCCCCAGGCATCTTGTGCGATTTCCGATGTTGATTCCTCATCGGCAAGGATCGCGCAATATCAAGCCAAGGTAGCGTTTCATCTTCATGGTTGGACAGGGTTATCATCATTGATGTGGAACTACCGAAGCAGGTTCAGTGACAACTTACCGCCTTTTCTTTATCATATCGCCTCGTTGCTGCTTTATTCCCGGGGATTCGTCATCTTGATGACCTGATTTCCAATCTTTTCGTCAGCGGACGGAAGAAAATTTCCGTTGCCTGAAATTCCTGGCCCACCATTCTTGGAAAAAGAAAACCGATGTTGTTGATTTAAGCCATTACTGTGGATGCAATCTAGACATTGGATGACGGGGAGTTTCGAAAAGAATTTCTTGGATTCATAGCAGCACACAAAAGCACACTGCAAGGCCTAATATGAAGTGATGTACGCGTGATGTGTGCTACAGCTTTGAGTTAACCCCCACCGCCCTGCATGTTGCACTTTTGACACGCAGGGGTTGTCTTACCTGTAAATTGAACGGAATCAGGAAGGCAAATTCTTACGACGCATACGTATTCACCGCAAATACCGCACAATTCCCACCATCAAACATGAAACATCAGCCAGGGAACCAGATCCCCGCCTGGTTCTGAAAGTCTCGCTGTGCTTATACTGTACCGGTGCCATAGCCCTCGGCTATAGGATAAAAGGAAACAGAGTGTTTGCCACCAGACTGCAAAATCAATGTACGTAAGAGAAAAGAGAACAAAGTTCAACAGAAACGGAAGCTGCTAGAGCCTGACAACTCACCGCAATGAATGCAAAATCAATGTAAGGTTATGTTTCAAGTTTTAGAAAACTTACCACGGTGTTTTGCATAATCTTTCTGGGAGAACTAAGTGCAATAAATGGCTTGGAAAATTACGGCAGATAGAGTCTCGGTAAGTTTCCTGGCAAAACTATGATCTATTTTTGAATCTGAATATGTGTAGCAAGGTTTCAGAACCAGAATAAACTTAATCTTCTATTTTTGTAGTTTTTAGTCCTTTTGTGGGAATAGATGAGATTTATATTATTTCATAGTACACCCTCCAATGTGCTTTTTGTTTTATGCGCCGGCTGTCCGAATACATAAGCTGGACCAAACTTTTACCGTTCCAACAGCTTGCCTCATTCGATTCATAATCTCCGTCGTTTTGCCATGTTTTCTTCAGAATATAGGTATTCAAACGTCCTGTGTTTCAGTTCTGAGCTTGGACTGTAGCTGAGACTGAATGGGGAAACTTCGTTCAAGAGAAGTTTGCCATAGGCCGCTGCCGTCGCTGCAGCATACTCTTGCCATTTCTCATTCTTGTACGAGTCTGAATAGTCACAGATCCCCCGAATAACAAGACATGGAAATGTATTCATGACGCCTGCGGCTTCCATCTCGAAACACATCACACCATATTTTTTTACCCATTGGTCTCGAACCTGGGCGTCTTTGATCACTAGATTACCAGAGGCAATGAGGCCATAGTGTATCTCCGGACTGTTGCTGGGTCGGGGTGCTCTACGCCTAAGGTGCCTCTCTCGATTGAAACAACGCTCTCGGACCTGGCATTTGGAGCAAACTTCATGGAATAACTCGTCGTATTTCTCGCCAGGATGTTGATATCGTGATTTCTTTGAATCAGGAACTCGCTGTATGATCTCTTGAAGGTATGGTTCAAGAGGATCAGAAGGTAGGTTTGGGTCTGATGAAAGGGAACTGACCGCTGTCATGAGAAACCGAGGCGGCCGCTGCAGAGCACCAGTCAACTGGAAGTCGCTATTCTCATTTGCCTTGCCGCGATCGTATTGAATCACACCTGGAAACGTCTTGGTCGGTTTGCTCACGACCACGTCGCCTAGTCGAATATCATTCTGCTCAGACGGTGCACCACCACCAATGCCGATCAAGAGACAGAATTGGATGGCTGGAAAACTCCTCTTCATGTTTGAAGCTGACTCTGCCGCTGGGTTGGTTCCATATTCGCCTTCGGGGAGGCAGGCTACGACCACCATGTGTTTCCCAATTTGCCCTAGAGAATAATGGTTGCTGTCTCCAAAGGAAAGTTCAGGCTTGCCATTGCACTTATCAAACAGCGCCCTAACGGCCAGAGATTCCTTTGGAAGTGCGCAAAGTATCCCGACAGTGTAATTCATTGGATCTCGTAGGCTGTGTTCATGAGATCCGCCCATTATTGAGGTAAAGGAATTGGCCAGGACACTCCCGTTATCGTAATCCAGCTCAGCCAGGCGCCTCTTTAGTTCCGGGGTACTGCTTTCGCGGGAAAGCGTCGACTTGCTGCGCTCTAGGCTGATCCCACTGTCCGCGAAAGATGAGCCTGCCTCTGACCTTTTCGATGAAATATCAGATGACAGCTTCCCCTGCTCGGGGTTACCGTAGTCGCCCCAAACCCAACTGAATGTAGAGTGCTGTCCGAAAATCACTGCCCCACGACCTTGAGAAGGAATTTGGACCCTTCTGGGGAGCAGTATATGCGACAATGATACCGGCACCAGAGTCTGCACTGGTTCGCAGTGATCTGGACCGAGTGATCCTACACATCGACATGAACCGAAGAGGTAGGGCGACGGCGTATGCCAGATTATATTTTCCGTCAGCCTCACCTGGTCGTCATTATAATTGTCGTTATTCTCGACCCATAGATCGAGATCTGAAAGACATGCGGCAATGTAGTAGTTTTGCTTCGGCAACTCTGACCAGTACTGACATATGCCGCTGCCTGCCGGCTGAATGAGCTCTCCGAACCCTTTTCCAAAAAGTGTTATCACCTGCGCAGCACGGGCGAAGTCTACCCACGCCTTACCGGTGGCTTCAAGGTGAGATATCCGTGGATACAGCGGATCTCGGTTTGTGGCGAGGTCTTTGAAGTCCCAGCCCTCAAGAACCCCTCGTGCTTGATTTTCTATATTGACGTCACCATCCTGACTTATGTCAGATTGATGATCTATGAGTTTCTCCAAGATGTTGTAATAATGCTCTATGCGACCTTGAAGGAGCAGAAAATGATTGTTTTCTTTATACAACTTGAGCGCGCAATTTTCCTCATTAATCAAGACGTCGTTTGCCGAGTCTGCGGTGTAGGGACTTGGTGATTCTTTGAGATCCTCTTTTTTGAACATGAAAGCAGACCTGAACTTGTCGCGACTGTTATGTTCCAAAGAGCTCCTGACGAGGTATAATAGCGCACTGGTGCCATTGATAAGCCATCCACGCTTATCCTGCTCGTCCCATAAGAGGACGAGTTTAGTGGAAAGCCACTGGAGTTTTGGTATGTAGCCATTGCGTGCCACATGAACGGGGGTGTCTTTTTTCCCCAGGCTGTATAATGCATTGCTCACTATGCATCTTCCTGGAGATACAAAGAGATTTGCCAAAGCACAGCCTTGATGAGGTTTAGGAAGCCCCGAGGCGCCAACGGTATAGTTGCATTGAGCAGATCCTATAATTTGATTACTTGTCAGTTGAGATATTTTGAGAACTGATCTGGGCCCTATTTACCTGGAAAGAACCGTGCTTCGGAGCACCAACCGACAACATGCCGGGAATTCGTAAGTTCCAAGCTACTAACGCGTTCGATATGAGGCAATTTATGGTCGTTGAATGATATTCGACTACCATCCTCCTTGTAAACAAGATGCCATAGAATGGTCTCTTTGACCTTTTGGGTTGGGACGAGCAGCGTGGAGAATCCCTTGATGAATGTGATGCCTTTGAACTCATCCACCATATTTGTGCGTGCCAAACCAGCCATGATGTCAAGCGTCATCTCCACGCCGCTATTCTTCTCGAGCTTTCGTCGAATGGGATAACCTTTGACAACCACGGGGTTAAGGAACATGTTATGCCAGCATTGACCATTCTCGGGTTTTATTGGTCTTGAGACCTCCTCTGAAAGGATGTTGATGTCGAAAGTAACATTGGGGCGAGGTTTTGACTGCGGGACCCGGAAAGCTGGATAGACTCGAGAAATAATCGGCGTGCAGGAAAGAAGCCCGCTGGAGAGGTACGATCTACGGAGAGAAGTCGATATCCAGGCGATTTGTTCCCCAATTTCCGCTATAGAGTCTGCTACTCCAGTAACTTGAGCGGTAAATGTTGAATCATGCAGTCTTGCATCCAATGTCGTCCCATCCGGGTAGGTGCCTGTTGATTAACATATTAGTTCCGGCCCAAATACCAAAGCTCATGTGGAGACTCACATTTCTGCAAATGGTTTGGACCACCGAGTAAAATGTCTTTTATCACTTTCAAGGTCAAGCAACCTGTGGTAGGCCACGTCTGGCTCAGGTACTGTGAGCACGTCAAGGCTTGGGCATCGTTTTCCGATCCCGTGAGTGCGACGATTCTTGAAGTGACCTCGGACGCATTCAGCCCATATTCTTGGCTTTGAAAGAACCCAAGCAAGTCCCAGTCAACACAAAATGAAGCATTGAAGCACTCAGATGATTCATTCCTGCTAATCCGCCGTGATGGACGGAGTGATGATATGATCTTTGTTCTAATGGTCTCCATGGCTCTTGGTTCTGCCGCAACCAAGCTGGACTCCACATATAGGCGGCCAAGGAGCCACTGGAAAACTTCAGAGCTCCGGATAAAGTCACGGTAGCTGCGAAGCCAAGCGTCATTGTCTCCTTCAGTCACGTCTTGGCACGTGTCAGTATGGGCGGATGCCTGAGACTCTGCGTCTGAGTCGTCAGATCTCGGAATGGGATCCCAAGACTCGTTTTCGGGCCTGATCTCAACATTGCTCAGGGAAGAAAACCAGGACTTCATCAAATCTTGTAGTGGAATTCGATCGCTTTCGCCGGGCAACAATTTTGCGTCAGATCTGTCCTCTCCTTGGTGGAGACTTTTCTCTTTGAAGTTGCTTGAGATCATCCTTATCCTCGCCGTTAGCCAATGTTCAAGGAAATCGATAGAAGAACGGAAATGGAAGAGTGTATGATTACCCTCTATATTTATGGATGAAATACATAACATCACGATGCATGCGAGATGGCGCATTGTATCCTACTCGTAGAGCGAAAGCTTTCAATAAGTCCGGGAGAAGCGCCGAGATTCTGCTCAATGTCTCTTCATCTGGCTGCAGCTCACGGACTCTAGCTACCAGGTCATCGACGAATTCCTCGATGTAGCTTTCTTTTTTCCAAGTCGCAACACTCGAGGTATCTGAATATTCTGTTGCGCTGTCGTCGAAGCCCGTATCAGTCTCGTATTGCGCATCTACAGCATGATGCTCGATGAAACTTTTCTGGCTCCCTATTGCTAGCTGGGAGCCATATCCTGAGTCAGTTGCCGCTTCGATGGTCCGAGCCAAGTCACCATGTCGTTCTTGGCCGGTATCTGCAGAGCCAGAAGCGGTGTAATCGAGGGAAAATTGGCTGATAAAGTCTTTAAAAGTACCAGGACCAAGAATTTCATCTGGTACATGAACCTCATCAGCACCGATAGGTCGAGTATTCTTGTTCAACTGACTGTCTTGATCGGCATCTGCAGAGGCAGAAGCGGTGTGATCGAGCGAAAATTTGCCGACAAAATCTTTAAAGGTACTAGAGTCAGAGTTTCCATTTGGTACCGGAAGCTGATCAGTATCGATATGTCCGGAATTTTTATTCAGCTGATTGTTCACCGGGGGTTGGCTCAATGGCTTCCACTTTGGCGGCGCCATGTCAGGCTCCGTAGGATCTAGCCCTTCCTTTAACGCCCTGGACATCATCTCCTGCTTGAAAATTATATCCTCTTTGGACAGTATCTCCTGAATTGCATCCGGCTTTTCTCTTGTGAAAGGCTCAGGCGACGCAGAATTCTCAAGGCTACGCTTCGCGTTATCGTCGCTCTCAGAATCGTCCTCTACACAGTTCGGACATGTCCAGTTTGTGGTGGAAATTTCGGGCTCTGGGAACATGCTCAAAAAGCCTGTGTCGCTTTCCATATCGAAATTAGAGCTAATAATAATATCACGGTCGCCCGAGTTGATAGTATCGTTGGCGTATTGTGGGTTGGCGGCGCATTGTTGGTGAGCTTCGCAGAAAGGTTAGGAAAGCGAGTTGGACAAGGAAACAGAGAGGACATACCATGTTCGCCGCATTTTCTACAGGATAGAGAAAGTGCTGATTCCGCATCTGGATCACGGTCCAGCTTCTGCTTACAAAACATGCATCTGCTTGACCGCCCGTTGGCAGAGGGGTTGTAGTCCACCGAGAACACGGACACGAAGTCTGACGGCGTGTAGGTCGGCGCAGACCTGCCCAGATAGCCATCCGCACCGGGCCCAGCCCCTTTCGTTGGCCCCCTCGGCTGTACCCTCGGCAGTTGGGGGTGCGCCGCCCTGGGTCCCGGCTTGAACGCGCAAGGGTCCGGGCCGACGGTGATGCGGTCGGTGGCGAAGAGGCTGTTGTAGATGCGGCGCCAGGACCAGGCGGCCTTGCGCTCCGAGAGGCCGTTCCTGGACCCGCGGTCGACGCGCTGGTTCTGGCTCCAGTTCTTACACTTGTCCCACTGCTCGGCGGTCATATCGAAGCCGGGCAGCGGGGTGCGACCTGTCCTGGGGCACTTGTGTCGGTGGGACGCCTTGAGGTCCTGCAGCTCCGCGATGGAGACCTGGGAGAACTTATGGTTGCAGTCGCTGCATCGGTACTCTGGGGAGTGCACCTTTTTAAGATGTTCTCTAGTTATAGAAGTATTAGAGTCTCTAATTAAAGCATGCAATTTCGAGAATTGAGGATATATACGAACCTAAGTTTCGATATATTGGGGAACTGCTTGCCCTCGTTACAGGGCTGGTTATCCGGGTATGACAAGTTGTGCTTGGTGGCTCTGAACCTAAAGGGACAGCAAAACTTCTGCGGCTCCGGTATCGTATTGTCGTCAACCTTCAATTTCAGATCGTCAATGTAGCTGGCTGGTGATTGAAACGTATACCGATCATGGTGTAGGCCGAACCCATCCGACCAGGGAATATTCGATCTAAGAGGGTATGGTCAGTTATCATGGTGAGTATCTCGAAAGCTAAACAGGAACACGATCCGGCCTCGCGTAGGTTTAGGTTGCGCATACTTGTGGTTGCCATATCCTTCATCTCGTTCCGGGCTACCGCGCTTCTTCGGCCTACCCGGACGCTTCTTGCCGCAGTTCTCGATATGGTCTAGATACTCGACCACACTGGATGTTTTGAAAGCCTTGCAAACGCAAGTATGAACACCATCCGATGACGTAGGTCCACAATTCCTAGACTTGAGGTGAACTTTCATCTGATCCTTCCTATAGGAGCTATAGTTGCATCTGCACTTGTACAGATCTGAATCAATGGCGTGGATGCTGTTATAGTGTCGTTCAAGATCCTTGCTGAGCCTAAACGACTTGTCGCACTTTGAGCACTGGAATTTTCCAGACCTGGGGTGACTTCGTTAATAAGAGCTTCTGCGTAGATATGGAAGTAGAGGGGTAGAACGTACTCGGGATACGGCAGGGGCAGTCGGAGATCAGATGCAGCCTGATGATCGGTCGGTCTACTGGAGGTTTCTGGTTGGCCTCGTGATGCCTGATCCTCCACGGGATGATGGCTGGGTTCAGGACGTAGCTCGCCATCAAAACCATGCTCGTACACTTGCGATTGAGGTTCGAGGTCGTCGAAAGCTTGTACAGGAGGGGAATGAGGCATTGATAGTACAGGGGGATATCTCGTTGGAAATCCAATGTGCGAAGGCGGCAGTGGCGGTGGAATGCTGGGTACAGAGAGCTGAATTGCGGGTTCAATCGGATGTCCTGGGTAGTAATCCCCAGTACCGAGCTCGGGTTGGATGTTGGCCTCTTGTCCCTGCCCTTGCATGTTCCTAAGCCTAATTGACGGGAGAACAGTTCCTGATTTCCTCGGTGAAATCGTTGACAACCCGGCGATAGGAGGCAGTACCAGAGGGTTGGAATCATTTCCAATCTTGACTTGCTTCTTCGGAACTGTGGATAAGTGGTTGGCAGCAGGATTGTCTGGGCTATTATCCGTATCCTGGCTTGATGGAGGAATTGTCGATATGTCCTGGCGGATTGTTGTAATCAGATTTGGCACGAGACTGTCTTGATGACCGCTTGCAAGGCCGAACAGTTTCGCCTGGTCCATTATCTCCTCGTCCTTGACCTCGAAACCGCCTTCCTGCTGTCTCCGGACCCAATTGCTGAGTACTCGTTCGAATGCTCGTTCGAAAGGGTCAGGACCTTGCGCGCGGCTTGGCGCTTCTGGCACGTCCGGAGACAGCGATGATTCGACAAGAACAGACTTCAGCACGTTATAGGACGGTCTTTCGGTGGTCTGGCCTTGTAAGGAGTCGTATCGACTGTTGAACAGGTCAGGATCTTGGTTCTCAGCCCTGGTTTCGTGACTAAACAAGCACCTGAAGGCGGTACAGGCACTCCCATCCGGACAGTCAATTGTGCGTAAAGCATTCCGGGCGGCATCGGATGCCTCGTTTGAAATGTCCTCATCCGGTGCACGGGGAAGAGTGTCGGCATCCTCCCCCCTCTTCGAGTGTCCCTGTCTCTCCATTGCCTTTGATTAGAATCAATTGGAAATAAGGGAAGAGAATAATAGTCGGCGATCGCTTGTCTCCCGAAGAGGGGTGACTTGGTCCAGGGGGACCGCCGACGCACAGCTGATGACGGGCCAACAACCAGCTGAGTGCCTTGCCAATTGATGAGTGGAATCGCAGCGGCCTTCATTCTGCCTCAAAGCACGTGCTGTTACACCGAGAGAGGCAGTGCACTGAGACTCGACCGCCAATTGGCCCTAAATGGTGATTCATGCATGCAGCTCAGCCAACGGCCTGCGGGCAAATCCTGCTTGGACTCCGCAGTTTCCAGCTAAGTCCAACCAGTCAACGCCTTTCCAGACTCGACAGTCCTTCTGGAGAGGTCAAAATTGCTGTGCCGACCCCTACCCCCTACGCGAAACACAGAGAATGGTTCGCGAACCGCGTGCCCCATACTGATTGCCTCGCCACGCCTCCATCTCCCTTTTGACTAGCCGGTCAGGAGCCAACTTGGCAGATATCATCGTGCATTGCTACTCGACTGTAAAACCTGTAATACAGATGCGAATAGAGCTTGTGAAAGAAGAGCCCTTTCTGAAGAGAGAATCCAAGACACCTTTCCAGAGCGTCTAATAATCACGAGTCTTGAGCCCTCCAGATAACTCAAGGCTTGCCCGGACTCTGAATTGGTGTTCCGACCAACAACAGTCCCCCTGCATCAAAGTTGACTGACTAATAAGCTGCTGTTGGTCGGAGACAAAGATGATAGCAATCAGGCCACACAACTTTACAAAAACCTCCATACCTACCCCTCCTATCTTACCAACTTACATACGCATTCTTGTAAAAGCGCACACCATCAGTCCATTGAGTTTCCCCGTAGAGAATCAAGCGGCAGGGGAAAAGCTATTGGTCAAAGGCAGGGGGCTTTGCCGATGGTCACTCCTGCTTATGCCGAATTCCAGAGCGAATCCCAGATTTAGGAGTAGGCAGTACGGGCAAGACTACCAATGCCACTCCAAAAATGATCCCGGACAGTACACATATCCCAGCCGAGGACAGTCATGACGGAACGGTGTCTCTCACCCAACTTCCCACGGAGATCCGACAAGCCATACTTGAAGAGGTCATCCTGAGCCGCCCTGTCCCGGCGCGAAATCCTTCCGAGAGCCAAGCAGAGCGCTTCAACATGCTAACCCATCGCGGCGTTTGGATTCTTGATCGACGTGGCTCTTCAGCCCCCAGCCTCCTCTTGGTCAATAAACAAATCAATGAGGAAACTAAGGTGGTTACAGCAAGAACGCCAGTGCGGTGTTATGTGGATTTAATGTTCGTCAAGTCCTGCGGTCTCTGGCCATCTTGGTATTTCTCCCAGCAACTAGCGACAGAGTACATCGATTCTGTCGAGGCCACCATTCGCCTTTTCGAGCCCATGGAGGACTTGGACCCATGCTTCTCAGGAAGCATGAGTTTGGTAGGAGGCGCCGGCGGGCCTCCGGGAGCTGTATGGGACTTTTATAAAATGTTGGCTGCACTGTTCATTGAGCCAGGATTTTCTTTTCTAGAAGACTGGTTTAGCCTTGAAAATTTCGAACCAAATTATGTCGTTAGGAAGTTAGTCATTGACGTACTTCCACCAACCGATGGCTATCCCCATAGAAGCGTCACCTTCACCGAGGCTGAGCTGGACAGCGACGCTGGATACTGGGCGGAGGGGCGCTATGGAGCCAACGATGCTTCAAAACCAGCAGAACTTCGCCTTGCAGATTTTTTGCTGGGACATTTTGACTGTCTCTGGGACGTCGGACGAGGAACCGAGTATTGGGCCATCTTTTGCGAGTGCGTGACGGATCGCATTGTGTTTCGAGTCAACGGAAACGACTATCGTGTCTACAACATTGACAGGGTGATCGAAATGTGTATGCGAGATGACTTCATCGACATTGACCCGGTAAGGAAGCAAACAAGGCTGGATAATCTAGCAGTCTGGAAAGCCTGGTTGGATAAGCGGAGAAGCAAGATGAAACTTGGATTACCACTCGGTGATAATCCGCGACCTGTAACGGTAATTCACAATCTACGTTAGAACTGTATCAGTGCAGGCTTCGGATCACCAACTAGAAGGGGGATCACGGAGGGTAACAACTAGGCTGCAGAACTCCAGTGTTTTCGTACCAAACGTTTATTGCAATAGATCTCATCTCTGTCACCCTGCCCTATATCGAGATGATCCCCGCCCTATGTCTCCCTATGATTACATTTCGTCTACATATTATCCCGTAACGCACATAAATAAAGTACAAGACAATGGGACTATTTCATACGAGTTAGCCACCGTCAACTCATGGCTGTCTACCTGGTTAGATACGAAAGCGAATCAATTGAATCTTTGAGATCGGCTCATGTAATTATCTTGATATCACACGACACGGATCACCGGAAGCGGCGGGTCATTGAGGACTTTGGACCTAATGTTAACACTTCCAGGCCGAAGTTCTTGTGATGACTTACTGATTCAGACGTCAGCATGATAGGGCGTCATGGCTTTTGGACTTTTAGGATCTGCTATAGTAATATTTTATCATTGGCAAAGGATCCAAGCTCGCATTCGTCTTACTCAGATCGTGTGAAGTCTGCTGTTGTTATTCCTATCGGTGTATGATTTGAAAATTCAAATACAATGGAGCTGAAAACTCCGCTCAAAAACATACAAAATGGCAAAATCATTCGGTGGCGAAATTCGCTTTGTGCCACTGGCGGCGGTGCAATGTAACGTCTGCTCTTCATTAACCGTGCCGCGTTTCTAATAAGGACCAATACGAAAATATGGTCGAATGATCTTTTGAAGGAGCAACCGGAAGTTTCTGAAAGGGGAGTTATGGTACTGATTCCTAGTCTTGGGCTTAGAATGGACTCTGAAACTCTCACCCGACACGTATCTTCCTGCTTTTTCCAGAAATCGAAACCATCTCTCCTCTCGATCTACGGCCCATGATGGACTTTGTTAATTACGGTGGCTATGTGGCAACTCATCGGCCTTTTCCCTTTCCTCTTCTCCTTCATTTTTCTTTCTGACAAGGACAATCATTGCTGCCAAAAGGTATAAAATCAAGGCAAGGCACCTCCTGTCTCAAGCGAACTTGGAGTAGCAACGCCATTTCTCATCCACTCATTCCTTTTCCTGAGAAACTGTAAGCAGCTTCACCATCTCCACCAATCCCTGAGTCTCAGCCCAAAAAATCTTCAAAATGGTTGCTATCACGGAGATCCTTCTCGCTACACTCTCTGCTGGCGTTGTAGTTGCCAGGGAAGGCAAGATGACCTGGTACAACCCTGTTCGTGGTAACTTATGAACCTAAGATATCCTTACCTTTGACTAACAGGCGCATATAGGGTCTCGGTGCCTGCGGCAAAACCCATAATAACAATGATATTATCGTCGCGATTGGGTTGCCTCACTGGACCGCGGCCAATCCCAACAAAGATCCCAACTGTCAGAAAAAGGTCACCATCCATTATGGCGGCAAGAAGGTCACGGCTCGTGTTGTTGACAAGTGTATGAGCTGTGGAAGGAATAACATCGATGTTTCCCCTGCCGTCTTTAAGAAGTTCGGCCCCCTCAGCAAGGGACACTACCAAGTGAAGTGGAACTTGCATAACTGAGCAATATGGGTGGTCGCAGCGAAGAAGTAGCTATTCAGCGTGACTCAAATAAGGATATGGTGCAGCACTGGCTATAAGGGTGATGCGGAGCGCCTTTGATTGTGTTAATTAACATACAGTCAAAATATTTATCATTCTTTTTCTTCATCTTCTAGCGCTCGGCTCTGAATCCGTTTCTTTTTCCTTTGAAAGTACATCGAAATTTCCTATTCCAAGTCCACCGAATGAGCAAATATTGATGCCTACTGCAAAATTACATTTGACAGCAAGTTTTTGTGCTGATTCAAATAATCAAGTACTCCGAATCCAGCAGATGATTCGTGGAACTAGTTGCACTTCAACAAGCAGTCTATTGATAGTCAAATTGTAGAATAGAATCAAAGAAATCCCTGCATACTTGCAGCTTTGCGGATTCTAAGCAACTTTGTGCTTGATCATTTCCGCCATTTTGGGGGTATCATAAGGGAGTCAACACCCGTAAGAGTTTGCGGCTACAAACCCCTTATCACTACATCTTCACGCGGTCCATATTGACTAGTCTAATGACCTTCATATTCAGCAAGATCATTGTGGCGAGACGAAGTTCATTCATCGGGATTACTCCATTGGGAAACAGGCGAACGAAATCACCAGCCTTACTTTGACCAACTGTAGCAAGTTCAGGCGTACACTTTGAGACAGGTTCAGAGAGCTCAACTCACGTGAATGGATTTCCCAGGTTAGCGTGATCCAAAGAGCAAGATCCTGTGAATGGAGTAGCTGCATTCCAATATTCTGAAACCTGTTCATCCCGGGGACCTCCTGTATAGCGATATTTTGCTCTATGATTCTAGTTGAAAGAGGAACTGAGTTTGTAATCCTTGACCAAGATCTGACGCTAGAACTACGTTGATACTTAACCAGAGCTCACCATCTAATTAGTTGCTCTTAGCGGTGTTGTGAATGTTCCAATTCATCGAGAGAAAATAGGGTAGTTGGCCGCACACTTTTGACATGTTACTTTAATAGGGGGTTTGCGGTGGTCAGCAAGACCCTGGCTCGTCTGCCTAACAAGGCAGAAAACACTGGTCCCATCCCTGGTAGCCAGCCGTGGTTGCCTAGTCGCCTGGTTGTCACTACTGGTCGCTTCACTCTTGTTCACGGTGCTACCTAACGCATGCAAAGTTTATGAATTGAGGGCTAGAACAGAGAATTAACGTCAATCGCTCTAGAAATTTTTGAAACTTCTCCATTAATTGCCGACTTACTTTCTTACCGATATTGATTGCACTTCTAAGAACGCGTCTTCATTCTATAGATTACAGACAAAGTACCACCGCATTATGGAGACAAGCAATGGGGGTGACCGTGCTGAGATGTTCACAGCCGCGAGATCGGGTGACCTAGACCAGATCAAACGTCTCGTCCGGCAAGGAGAATCACTCGAAGAGCAAGAAGTCGATGGACGGACCATCCTCTACTTGGCCTGCAAATATGGCCGCTACGAATTGGCCAACTTTCTGCTCAATGGAACAAGGGACACGATTCCTTCCCTTAATGGATCGACAGCAACCCCTACAGTAAAGGAACAGTTCGCTACCCAAAGCCCTGAAGTGGCAGTTGATGCGGAAAGAGATGACGAGACTATACGGGAGAACCACGGCCTCGTCATTCGCCTGGCCGGCGACGTCGATACTCCCACAGGTGCTCCCGGCGCCCCTCAACCCCTTAACCATAGCGGCAGCGCCCTACTACACATACCGAATAAAAGAGGGCAAACGCCGCTATTCGTTGCAGCTTACAAGAACCACAAGAAGGTGGTGGAGCTTCTACTCGATGCCGGCGCCGAGATTGATACACCAAGCAACGTAGGCCAGACACCACTCCATACAGCTGCTGAGAGGGGAAGTCATAGCATAGTGAAGCCACTCTGCCAAAGGGGTGCGAATCTTAACTCGAAAAGCAATAACGGTCAGAGCGTCCTTTACTCGGCATTGCTGAACAGCCATTACGAGACTGCAGGGTTTCTCATCTCCGAGGGTGTTGATTTGAACAATCAGCACGAGCCAGGTCGAACGGCTCTCTACTTCTCCATCGACCATGGCCTGCTCGATATAGCCAAGTTGATCATCAAAAAAGGTGCAAATATCGAGATTGGCAAGCCACTGCGCCAAGCTTCTGCCAAGGGATATTTGGAAGTAGTCAAGGAGCTCTTGGCTGCTGATACCAAAGTTGTGAACCAGCAGGATCCAAACCATAGGGATCAGACGGCTTTGCATGCGGCAGCAGCTAGAGGCTATTTTGATATTGTGAAGCTACTGGTTGAGACTGGAGCGAATTCGAGGGCGACAATGAGCAACGGACAAGTGCCGTTGCATTTAGCTTGTGCCCGTGGCTGGCTCGATGTTGCCAAATACTTACTCGCTGATTGCCCTGAGCAAATCCATTCTGTTGATTGCAATGGCTTCACGCCACTTCATCTCGCTTCCCAGAGTGGTAATCTTAAACTTATCAAACTTCTCCTCGAATATGATCCCTTCACGATTGTTTCCATCAATGAACCATGTTCGGCAGACCATAGCTCTAAGTCTCAACAGCATCCGGAATTAACCATTATCACGGATGATGTCAACGTTCGAAATAAGATGGGCTGGACACCGCTTCACTCAGCGGCTAATTCGGGTCATCATGATGCTGTCAAACTTCTACTTGAAAAGGGTGCCGATCATTCGATCTCAGATATTTCGGGCTGGACCCCGCTTCAGTCCGCGTCCTTCTACGGGTACAATCAGGTTTTCGAATCGCTTCTCGAACTGCCAGATTGTGAGCCTCTCAAGACTGATGATTTTGGTCGCACGGCATTATTCATAGCCGCTTCACAGGGCCACCACGAAATAGTCAACAAGCTACTTGCTTTACCTGTGATGAACACCGACATCATCCTCCAGAGGGATATTTACAACTCAACTCCATTATGTGCAGCCATGAGAAATGGATATCATAAAACCGCCGCCGAGCTCCTTAAGGCTGCCAGACCTCCATTGGATTCCAAAGATTTCAATGGAAAGACCTTGGCCGGTTGGGTGCGAGCTTCCGCCAGTGCGCAGCTTAAAGACTTGTTCCTCGACACCGACTGGGATGGGGAGGTTAAGAATCGCACTGTAAGCAAGGCCAGGAATTTTTGCGATTCATTCTGCCACGTGTGTATGAAGCATGTGACGCATAAGGACTCCCGTTACTGGTGTGATATATGTGCAGGTGGGGTTTTCATCCTCTGCAAGGGCTGCTATGATGAAGGTTCGACATGTCCCGGCTCCCACGAACTGGTAGAGGTGAAGAAATGCTTGATTCACTAGCTACATAATCCAAGTGTCATCTCAGTAACACCAGTTACTTTTTTCTATACTTCGGCTGCATGCGTTCATATTTCAAATAGCCTCACTGAGTTGTCTTATTGCTTCGAGAGTGTTAGCTTCGGGGTCTTGTTTCGTTGCACTTTGTACTTTGATATTCCTAAATATGAAAAGATGAACATCACGGACCTTGGAGATCAACCCAACGTCTTGCTTTATTCACAACATTGCGAAGGATAGGCCAGCCGTCCCTGCTCTTGTTTTTTATATTGAAGGCAAGCTTATGTGAACCTTCGATGTCATCTGGTGTTCTTTGTGATCATTTGTACTAGGCTGCGTTTACGCCCGGGCTACGCACCATACGTCATGATCGTCTGAAGCAACACCTTGTGATTTGCCCAAGCAGTTGGTTCCAGTCACACTAATCGATGACATCGTGGCTGAGCTTCCCACTAAGTGGTGTCCAGCCCCAAAAGTCAAACGTTGGGCTTCGATACTAAGAATGGAAACTTATGTCAGACGCCACCGGTAGCTGAAAGACTTCTTGGTTGATAAAAGCCTTAAAGCCAATTGCTGTTGAGTCAGTGCACAAATGACAGTAACCCGAAACAACCCAGGATTCACTTTCAATCTCCTTGCTTTGTTTTTATCTCGAACATCATGGGCAACCCAGCCAAAGACGGCCCTCCTCCATTTCAGCCGAATGATGGGATTCAATCACACCAGTCTGTAGTTCAGCCACAACATGTCCAGCCCAATGCTTTCCGAACCCAGCTGGCATGCGTCACGCTCAACCTAGGAGACTGCGTCCGCTTTATTCGTTTCCCGCCCGAGGTCGTTGGAACTATGCAGGGAGTTATAAATACCACCTGGCCAAAGGGAATCCAAGCTGTCCGCGACTACGCCGGGTCGCGTGAGTTCAAGCTGCACGGCTACCCTTGGAGACCACATTACAAAGGAAATGATGACTCTCGACAGCTCGTTCTCAAGATTATCGAGGCGCTGCATGACATCGGGTGGGTGCTACATGCAGCCGCAGATCTGAGCAAAAAGCAGACCGCCAGAGGTTCGTTTCATACCTAACCCTAAGATCTCGCGGTTGTTGGGATCATATTCCTCTAACAGAGTCCTCCAAATAGACACTCTCATTTTTCAACACAGAAGCCCACCGCCGCCTCCCAGCGATTGGATCTGCATATCGCCTTACCGATTTGACCGACTGAGGATAACACCTCCTCCCCAACCAGACCTCAGCGCGGCCCTAGTACAAACATTTGGGAGTGAAGTGAGCAGACATGAGGTGACGCGAGAACACCTCGAGATTAAATTTCATGGCCACCCCTGGGTACCCAGTAGCGAAGACACCGTCCACATGCCGTTGATGATCCTCGCGATGCTAGAAACGCTTGAGAGATTTGGTTACTCAATGTATGCAAGCCTCAAGGATCAGATTAGTAACGAAGGACACGATGCAGATATTTTGGTGATGCAGCGGCATAAGAATTGGGCTCCAGGCATGCCGATATTCCATAGATGATTAATTTAAAACTAATCTGTCTCTCTATTTGTCCCTTTATGCATAAAGTCTGCTGAATCAGAGAGGAATCCATCATTCCCTCAAGCCTCCAGGATGCCAGGGAGAGAAACCACCCCAACGAATTCATTAGCTGTCAGCCAACGATCCAGCCAGCGCTCGGGACTTACTTCCTTCATCCTGCATCAAAGCTACACTTCCTTTATCCTCCACAATCTTCCCCTTTTCCATAATGACGACCCGGTCGCAGCGAACGGCGGCCTGGATGCTGTGTGTGACCATTAGGATGGTGTAGTCCTCAAATTCGCTCCACACAAGTTCAAGCATTCGCCTCTCCGTCTCCTTGTCCACACTGGCAGTTATCTCATCCAGCAACAAAACGCCTCCCTCTGGTAATCCCTTCTCAGACATCTGCCTGGCTCGAACGCGACGACGGAGGATGGCGCGGCCCAAGGCGAACATTTGTTTCTGGCCAGCACTCAGCTCTGCGTTCTTGACCAGGGCATCCAGACCGCCTCTGTCTTGCAACACGTCAAGCAATCCGACCACAGCGAGAGCGTCCATGGCCTCTTCACGGGAAGCATCATTCCAAGGGTCGATGTTCGCCTTGAAGGAGCTACCTTCGGGGAGGAACACAGCGTCTTGTGATAGTGCGATGATTCTCTCACGCAAGACAGTACGATTAATGTTCCCGAGATGGGTTCCATCAATAGCCATCGACGGAAGTTGTGGCCCATGAGCAGTGAGGGGGTCAATCATGCGAAGAATCAGACTGATGAGTGAAGACTTGCCACTGCATTCAGTGTTAGCTATATCCAAAGAGACCTAGTAAAGTTCAAACTCACCTTCCAGTCCTACCGCACACAGCAACCTTCTCGCCTGACTTGATATCGAGCGCGACCCCTGATAGAACCAGGGCATCAGGATCATTCGTGTAGCTCGCTGCGACGCCAGAGATGGCGATGATTCCGTTCGGCGGCCACTCAACAGCAGGTACAACATCTTCACCAGGCTTGTCTTCTCCCTCGGTCGTCTCACCAAACGCCTTCAGTCGGTTGATCCCACAAAGTGCTATTTCCAAACCAGTATAAGAGTTGATCACTGCCGTCATCGAAGCCCCTAGACCCATGAGCATGACCAGCCCAGCACCAACCGAACCGCTGTTGATCTCTTGTAAATTGGTAGCGAGCGATACTAGGATGATGGCGAGTATCGCGACAATTATGTTCATGACTAGAAGTAGCCATTGCTGTGCCATGGCAAGCAGATAGCTCGGGCGCTGTGAGGAATTCAGGAGATCCTTGTTTCGAGAGACTTGGTTCAGGTATCCACCCAAAAGCACGGAGGGTGGTGATTCCATCTTGAGTATCAAGGAAATGTGTGCTATGTAGAAAGTTTGGCGTCAGTTATGGACTTCAAATATTGGAAATAGGAGAATGCGGCCGGTCGTCGTTCAGGCATGTACAGCGATAGCTGAATTGCTTGGTCCGGAAGGAAAGACTTACAACAATGGAGACTTGGCCTCCAAGTCCAGGACTCGGAGTTGTTTAGAAGTAGGCAAATACACCCTCTGTAGACCAAAGAATCAGAATGAAAAACGGATAGCTAATAGCCAGGTACCCGGAGGACAACGCCACAATGATTGCCTGACCAAGGGAGGAAGCCAAAGTATTCAAAAAGTTGTTGACCATTCGTGGCAGCTGAGAATCGATAATCGTCATATCCTGAGAGAACAAGTTCAGGATTTTCCCCGTATCTGTGGTGGTCAGGAAGCGAAGGCTGGAGTGCATTGCCGTCTGAAGGACCTGCTCGTGAAGATGGGTTCCAGACAAACGGACAAATGTTTGCAGATTAATCAATCCCATTGCAAAGACGGCGAGTACGCCCAGGACCGCGACTAGGACGAAAATATCGATGTAGAATGCAAAGGAATGGTTCGGAATGTCTTTGACGCTGTCTACAGACCATATTTTGAGCCAAGTTGCCGGAAAGTTGAAAAAGAATCCTGTACTGGCAGTGACAATCAAGAAAAATATGACAAGAGGCCAACCTATCGATGACGTGTAGTGGAGATATAACGAAGTGTCTGTTCTAGACGCCGGCTTCGCCGTCACGTTCACCGCAGGTCTATCCTTTGTCCTTGTGGGATCTTCTTCCAAAGGAGATCCTTGTAGAACGTCATCTGTATCTTCTTTCTTCTGTCCTAGAGGCAGCACTTCGTAGTTTTGCGGGTAGGCAGTTTCTGTGATGAAATTCTCCGCAACGCCTTGTTTCGATACAGTGCCGTCAGATGAAAGCTCGACCATCTGGTCAGCAACGAACATGAACTGTGTAGCTTGGGTGCAGAGCACGACAGATGTTCGCCGAGAGCGTAGCAAGCCTTCAGGGCCGAAAACTCTCCAGCAGGTATGTTGGCCGGTCTTCTCATCCAGACCTGTGAAAATATCATCAAGAATCAAAAGCTCAGCATCGTGGTAAAGAGCACGAGCCAGCGAGATACGTTGCCGTTGGCCTCCGCTCAGTGAGACGCCCTTACTGCCAATTTTGGTCTGGTCTTTTTGGGAAAACGTCTTCAGGTCCTCCTCCAGCATTGTTGCTGATATCACGTCATCATATCTCTGTGAGTCGAAGGACGATTTTCCGACAATGTTCTCCATGACAGTTGCATTCATGAGGAAAGGGCTTTGGTCACAGTACCCAATCTTGTCGGCAGCGGCGTCAACCATGATCTGGCCAGTGCAGAAAGGCACTTCCCCCAGTATGCCTTTGCAGAGAGTAGACTTCCCGGAAGCAACTGTGCCAATGACAAACGTGAGCGATGACCTCTCAATGGAGACGTTGATATCTTTCAAAACAGGCGTCTCAGCAACCCAGCCGAAACTAGTGCCTGAAAGAATAATCGCTGCGTCCAAACTCATTTCCTTCCTTGAAGATTGCTCGTCAAGGGATGTGACCAATTGTCCTTTTGCTAGTCGAGGGTCCTGTCTGTTTGGAGTCAAAGTGAATTCACGAATCCGCCTCAGACAAGCAAAACAAGCCGAGAGAATTGGGATCACTTGGAGGACAAGCATTAGCGGTGAAGCAAGAAGCGACAGGAATGACAAAGTCGTAAAGGCCTTGGTGCTGTCGATAGCCTTCGATCCAAAAGCAAATGTTAACACCGGTGCCAGTGCCTGAGGAATGTAGGAGGTCGTAGCAGAGATTCCGATGATTCCTCGAGACTTCCCACCTTGGCGGATTTCTTCCACACGCTCCTCTTGAACCAGGTTCTGGACTGGAGAGGCCATTCCTGAAATCCTGTACTATTTGATATGCGAGAGCGCGTAGCTGGTTACCCCGATACGCTTCTCGACGAATTTCATCCAATTTCGCTGATAGTTGGTAGCGTACTTTGACAAGACAATGGAGGTTGCAAAGGCGAAGGCAACCAGTATCAACGGTGCAAGGAAAGACAAACCGATCACACGGTACAGGTGCCAGGCTGAAAGAGCAATCTGAATTATGTTTGCCCAGATTTCGTGAACAAAACGTACTCCGGTGTATATTCGATCCACATCAGTGCTCATCAAAGTGATTGCTGCCTTGTTTTCAGACGAAGTTGCCTGAGTTGCCTTTTGGTAGATTGAGGTAACAAGAAATGCTCTCAAGAGCGACTGGGAGCGTTCCTGGTAGTACCAATATAGAGAGGTTGAGATGGCAATGCCGCGATAGACCAAGATTGTTGCGCCCACGAGACCAGCCGCATCGTGCTCTGAGCCATTTTCGTCATCGTGGGCGAGATATTCAAGCAGACGGTTAATCAGAAAAGGCTGACAAAACGTAAAGCCAATTAAACAAATCCTTGGAATGACAGGTAGTAAAAGCGGCTTAGCAAGAGGTTTGGCTGCCCACATGAGCACTGCCCAATTGCCCTGTCGCTTGGTTGATTGCGGGATCTGGTCCTCCGTAGCCTTTTCAGGGAGCCCGGCCGCGATGGCTTGATCGAGGGGATATAAATCGTCCAAAGACAGCACATTGCGATATCCCTTCCATAGAAGTGAGTTGAGCCAAGAGTATAACCCAAGGCTGAAGATGCTGCTTGTCTCCTCTGGGCTATGAGCATCAGTATCCCAAGAGAGCCAATCCGGCTGCCACTTGGAGTTCGTGCCCAAAAAGCACATCTGCATGACAACTGATGCTGTGAATAGGGCAGAAATCTTCCTTGTCTGGGTTTCGGTAGCAACCGTCCAGAGAAGTTGGCATTTGGCAACGTTTGTCAGGAGAGAAACGAACAGAAACGAGCAGAGCAGAGTAGATGGGCGACGCGACTTGAAATGGGCACACAGCGACAGGATCACTGCTAGGCATAAGGAGATGACGTTCAGGATACTTTGTGCTGATGAGCATTTTGACGGTCCAGTCAGATCCGTGGCGGTTATCGCCAGGGAGAAAATAGTGAATGCTGCCCAGGCAATGCCAAATATCTGAGAGGACTCATCAGTACCAGGTGAATTTTTAGGAGCCAGAATCCAAGGCAGATTAAAGCAAATTTCTGAGGTCCATTGCATTTCATATTGTGAGTTGGCTACTTACCAGTTTAGATACCAAGAGCAAGGCTGGAGCGCGCACGATTGTTGGTCTGCGCATCAGATAACCCAGCTCTACCAACGAGAGCACGCCAAATGCACCAGCGACACCAATGCTGAGCCATGTTGCAAAGAGTGACAGGTCAAGCTCGTCTCGGCATTTCGCGAAGGCGCCTTCGAACAGCTCGCCAGCGCTGTCGCTGTCGGCCATGATGAGACTAACGATTTCGACTCCTTCTCACTCAAGACTTAGCACCCGTAGAGCGCTTTCCCAGGGAGTTTGAACATGTTTAAATCCAGGTATCATGCCTTGGCTGCTTAGCAAGCAATTTCCTTGACATGGGGGAACTGGGTTGCAGGTTTACCGGAACCTTGTGGCATCGCTTATCCCGCGAATGAAAGGCGATGCCGGTATCCGTGTTGGAATCAACAGCAAAAGATCCTAGACTACCACCAAAGAGAAATGAATCCTCACGGACCCTGACCAGTGACAATGACAGCTGATCATATACTGTTTCTGGCACCTGGCTCAGATTGGTGCCATATCCAGTTTAGTAGCTCTTCTCTGTGAGAAAAGTAAACAAACTTTGCGTCTCGGCCGTTCTATTTTGCTTACCCTACACTTAAGACTTTAACCATCAACCAATAAGCAAAAATATAAAATGACGTAGCTTAGACAACTGATATTGGAGCTAAATCTCTCTCGAGAAAATCTAATTGAGCTCTACTAATTCGAAATTCTAGATTTATATTTTATAACCAAATCGCTCTCTTTGGCTCTGTGCTGAAGTATTAACTTTCTTCGTGAAGAACGTTAGCCTCACAATCCTCTTACCGAATCTTCCTTTCATCTAGAATATTGCTGATAATATTCGGTGAAGTTTTAAAACGACTGGGTAAATCCCAACTAGCTTATATTTCTGACATGAACTCACTATAGATACCTTTCGAATGGCATGGGGTACTCTGTGAGCTGACTGAGCGACCACTGGATTCTATAGTAGCTACACGCGATCAAGCATGGCGTGTCTGGACAACTCTGCAAGACTAGGAATCTAGTAAATTTAACATGACAGACAGATTATTATGAAGATAGGTGCAGGTTTCTTCTGTGAAATGTCTAACTACATCGAAACATAGACCATATATATCTGCTAGCGATCTCAAATTCGTATGGTTCTTCTATGGTCCGGAGTTTTGGTTGAACTTTGTGATGAGTGGACTAAAGCTTTAAAGACACTCTTCCACAACTTGTTCGGTTCATCATGACACCATGGATATTAGTTTGACCAAAAAAAATCTCAACGAAGTACGAGATGTGATGCCGCCGATCGAATTTCACGGGATGAACTATCCATCTGCTAGGTTGTATAAATGACCCCTTCGACGTTCTCCTCCACGGGCTTATTTTTCACTCTTGTTCTATTCACTTTCTCTGGGATACGCATTCAATTGGACAAGCAAACTGGTGAGGAAGAGGTCTGAACATGATGGTGTTCAAAATTTCGCGCTGGAGACTCATTCAACCCTCCACAACTCAAAAGGGACGTGAATTTCATGATACAAATGAGTCGTGAAGTTTTCTTGTGTGAAGTTGAATTTAAAAAGTTAAGTGTAATATGTAAAGTGCTAAAATATAAAATCAAGATATTCTACGCTTAGCGATTTTCCCATCAAATGAGTCTCAACCATGCTATCTTTAATTATTGATAGAAAGACTCGCCGACTTCCCGTAAACCTTAACGTCATAGTGAGAAGGAGCTTATTCTGCTTATTCGCCAAGCAACTGTGGGGGCATTTCGCGTGGAATGCACCCGTCAGCAAAGGCAGTTTGACCCGGCTCGCGTCGCGATGAGGATTATCTCCGCTATAAAAGCGTGGAGTTTATATCCCCGATCAACAGACAAACCCGACCCTATAATTGCGCTCCGCTGACGCCGCACTCGCCACCAAGATCTAAGCTATATAGTGGCAGATTGTCTGGCGCTTTGAGCAGAATCCTAATTCTTAACTTTCGTACTTAATCGACAAAGTCTCCAATCTCTCCAATGGCCCAAAAGTTCATCATCAACATTACTGGGGCAGCCAGTGGCTTCGGTGCCCTCGCTGCCAGAGCTTTGGCCAAGCAGGGCCACACTGTGTTTGCAGGCCTGAAATCCATGGACGCAAATCTTCTGGAAGATATCCAAACATTCAATAAGGAGAATAATACCGACCTGCGACCTCTGCACCAGGACATGCTGTCAGACTCATCTGTTGCTGCTTCCGTTGCCGAGATGCTTTCGCAGACTGAGCACATAGATGTCATCGTCCACAACTGTGGGCACATGGTGTACGGACCATTGGAGGCTTTCACCACAGAGCAGTTGGCTGAGCAGTACGATATCAATGTGCTATCTACACACCGGTTGAACCGGGCTGTACTTCCACATATGCGCCAGAGAAAGTCCGGTCTGCTTGTATGGGTGAGCAGTTCTAGTGTGCATGGCGCCGTCCCATCCTTCATCGCACCCTACTTTGCGGCCAAGGCCGGAATGGATGCTTTGGCATCTTCATTTGAGCTGGAACTGAGCCAGTGGGGGATCGAGAGCTGTATCGTTGTCCCTGGAGCGTACAGCCAGGGCACCAACCACTTTGCGACTGCCGGGAGGCCACGCGATGAACAGGTTGCCAATGAGTATCGTGGTCAGGGAGCACCATACGAGGGCATGGAGGAAGCTATCGGTGTAGCGTATGGTGCATTTGAGCCTGCAGATGCCGACGTAAAGGACGTCGCAGAGGCAATAGTCAGTGTCATTGAATCCCCTCACGGATCCCGACCCCGGAGAATTCATGTTGATCCAGCCAAGGATGGCTCGGAGATTGTGAGCCAGATGAGGGACAGATTGAGGAAGGACAGGCTCAAAATGGCAGGATTTGAGAAGCTATTCACTGTACGTCGGGAATAGTTCGAACTAGAATGCGAATTATTGATTAAATATGACCACAAAATTTTGATGGTCAAATATGTGATCGCTAACGGGCCCACGCTTATGAGACTTGAGTGTTGTTAACTTCATCTGTCATTTATCATTGATTATCTTCGTGTTAATATAGTGTAGGAGATGAACATTTTATAGCTAAACGATGAATACCTGATACTCTGCCAGAACTTTCGTTTGGTGCGCCTTTGCTCATCTCGGATGATACACTGAACACCAAGGAGCTGCCGGCTTTGAGAATTAGTCAGATACATTATTTGGCTCTCTGTTAAGGAACCTAGAAATTTGAGACATAAAGGGAGAAGTAGCGAGCAGAGCAGTATCTCTTAATTGTGACGATGCAGCTAGTAATATCAACTTGGGTCTAGTCAAGTAGTTGGGCTCGTCTCCCCGTCCATGTCTGTTGATTTAGGAAAACTCCCGAGGAACTCACCTTGTGCACTTGCCCGGACAAATCAGCTGAGGCACCACCTCCAACTTGAGGGCATATCAATGCCGGCTCCAGTTTTATGATTATACCAGGTTCCTCGCAAAGTATAACAAACTCCGGAATGTGGCGTTACGTGTCGAAAATAACTACCTCTTTTTAAATGAATATCATGATCTTCCTCCCCCACCTTTATCAATCCCTCTTGTACGTGATTAGGTTGATCTTGTAAGCTTTACTTCAACAATTGATCTCAGACCACGGAATTAGCTGTGATATTACCTTAAGGCAATTGTTGCTTTGAGGAGCAAGTTTGTTGGATCACTTTATGGAGCCATCCCCCCAAGAGCAGCCCCTTAGTCCATCATTTGGAAGCTATTGAGGCCGCTGATGGAACCAGGTTCAACTTCGCAGATTGATCTAAAAATTCTCATTGATTCCTTTCCGTTTCTTTATTTCACAGTTGACTTACACATACATTACATAACGTCTCATCTTATAGAGTCCATGAAATCCATGCGAGCTATGGATTACCATGTTTTAGTAGGCAATTCCGTCTCCCCACACGTAACTGGCAGTGGCGTGAAGAGTTATCTTCTAGATTTAATCAGTTGCGACGTCAGTGGGGATTCGGTCCTAATACACCGGGCTCGGCCCGTGATGAGATCCTTCAAAGGATTGCAAACTACCATTCGGCCTGAAACGTATCCTACCACATTATACATTACTCGACACAACATCTAGGACAGTGCCCTGATTTCAGCTTCAAACTGGCCAGTAATATCGCAGAATCAGGCCGGGGTACCAATTAGCCGCTACTACATCCCATATAGGCAATGCCCGCGCATGGGTGCCTTGCATGATGTTTGCGAGTTGCGACCAAATACTTGGTGAAGGAGCAACATTTGTCGTTTATTTCGGGAGGAGGAACTTTGGCTTTGGCCTATAGCCGTTGGTAGGCTGACACCACCCATGTAATATGCAGTTGTATTTCCGAAATTAGAGCAGATGTCATCCCACATGCACAAACATGGAGCTCAGCGCGAAGTGGTTTGTAGGTCGTCCAGGTGTTCTCAAAATTGAAATCAACCCATTGACTTTCCTTCTTCGATTTCACCACCTGGCCATTCGCTGAATCCATCAATCTTCGCGTCTAATCATAAGTCAAAATGGTGCAATTATCGTCTCTTTTCGCCTCTGCCCTCCTCTTCGTCGCTGTGGCCGCTACAAGCAACAAGGTAACTCAGCCACAAAAGGAGCCGGCCGTGCTCGGCAGCTTTACACCACAGGGCTGCTGGAAAGATGTAGTGCTATCGAAGGACGCCATGAACAAGCAGGTCACATTCAAGGCATCCAACATCTCATCCTCAGGCTGTGGTTCCCGGTGCCTCGACAACAACCAGCCCGTCTTCGCAATGGCTGGCGACAGCTGCTACTGCGCCAACAAGTATCCCAGCGAAGGTGGGCTGGTCGATAATTCTCAGTGCAACTTCCCTTGCAAAGCGAACGATACGGAAGCATGTGGCAATAAGGGCCAAACGAGGTTCTCCGTCTGGAATACCGGAATCCAAGTCGAAGTGCCATATCTTGACAAGAAGGCCAAAAGCTCTACCACGAAGAGCTCTGCCACTGGTACTCCAACGAGCAAGAAGTCTGTTAAGAAAACAGCCACACCCGCTTCCAGCTCCGAGGTTACACCCACCAGCAGCGTTGAGAGCACGACAACGCAGTCTGAGACGAGTACCACAGCTACTTCAGCCTCTACAGCTTCTACCGCCGCGGCTCAACCTTCTAACGCTGTTTCCAAAAACATGGCTGGGGCTGGTGTAGCTATTCTCGCCGCTGCTATAGCCTTATAAACCTCTCATCCTAGTCAACTTAGCTCATGCGCGCCTAGTGAAGGCCAACCTTGCATGATTTAGGCTATGCTTCCGAGCCATAAACTGGGGATGTTTCATTTTTTCAATACGACTACTAAGAGGGAAAATACGGATGAAGCGTTGCTTGAACTTGATCTTAGGTGCAATGATCCATTACGCCCGAGAAATCACCGATGCATTCTGGCGCTCCGTACAAATCACACCCGCCCTATCGTTCTCATCATTCATTATACCTCTCTTATTTATCACCATAGTTATAATTTAATTCAACTATATTCAGAATCCCCACGGGAGAGACCACCTTCGAATGCAACATCTGACAAGAGAATTGTGCAAGTACTTTAATACTGCTCTGCTAGGGCAGCGCGCCTTGGATATATCTGAACTTGTTCCAACCAATAGCTGGGGCTTCCTTTGAAAGAGCTTCATACCGACTGGCCGGATGGGGCCGAGTGGCATCCCTCATGGTGGGTATCAAGATGTCCAGAATTTCCAGACCTTGTCCCAGTGTTGGCCACATGTTCGCTGTATATTCGGTTCTTTGGACTATCATAATTCTTGTTTCATATTCATTATGTCAACCAATTCAAGAATCATGCGCGTGATGAATCTTGCCCTTAGGGGTATCATAAAGCGCTGCCAATACAACTATCAAGGATCTCTAGTTCATGCGGGAGGCATCGCTCTTGTGTCCCTACGGTATTGGGTTGAATCTTTTATTGAGTCCTTCTGACAGATCAAGACATCTTGGGCCCCTCTAGTAGTATTACCTACCTTACCTACTTATCATCACGGTTGTCGTTCACACTTCCGATGTGGGAACCAGGCTGGAGATCAGCAGCCTACGTGGCCAAAACAACACACGGATGAAACCAAGAGGGTTCCAACAATTCTTCATTTTATCAAAGAAGCATGCCACTTTGCTGAAAGTAAGCCTGCCTCGCCCTCAACGATGTCTTCAGACAATATGTCTTCTCGCGAACCAATCCTTATCCAGGAACCACCGCCGGTTATCTCACGTCGCCGTGCTGCTTCTATCATTGCTTGCATCACATGCATCACTAGCATTGGTAACCTGTTAGTCGGACTGCTTACCGTGTGCGTCCCGGTTATCGCCAAGGAGCTCAACATCGGTCTGGCACTGCAACTGTGGCCCGTGTCCATCTTCGCACTCACATGTGGCTGTACATTGTTGCCTGTGGTGCCGCTGCCGATGTCCTTGGTTGTCGCCGTACATACCTGCTGGGATCCCTACTCCAGGCTGCAACCACGCTCGGCTCAGGACTGGCCAAAACATCGTCTCAGCTTCTCATTCTCCGCGCTCTCGCTGGTGTCTCTGCCTCGTTCTGTCTCCCCAGCGCCGTGGCTGTAGTGACAAGCACCTTCCCGGCAGGCCCACGCCGAAATCTCGTATTCGCAGCCATGGGTGGTGGTAAAGCTGTAAGTCAATATTTAATGTCACTCTTCCTTGAAGACACGCCCGAGGTCGACTCTTGTTTTTCTCAGATCAAGCGATCGTTACTGAAGTCTTGACTTTGCTTTATTATTTTACGCGTAATGATATATGTTGACGAGGCTGTTCAGGTTGGCTTCGGACTTGGATTGACACTCGGTGGCGTGTTCTCTAACACCATTGGCTGGCGATGGGGCTTCCATACCGCAACTTGCTTGAACATCGTTGTACTTCTGCTGGCATTGTGGACGCTACCTCGAAACATCGATAAGTCACTTGGAAAATCAACGCTAGTTAGTCTCAGAGATGACGTCGACTGGGTCGGCGTGCTGATTCTGACTGCCAGTCTTGGGCTACTGTCCTATGAGTTTGCAGTCATGACCAGTTTGGGTATCCGGAAACCGATCAACATTTCACTGTTAACCGTTGGCCTTGTTCTGCTTCCTGTATTCGGCCTCTGGATGCACCGGCAGACGCGTCTTGGGCGCCCTGCGCTGATCCCAAATAACCTGTGGACCAACATCCCGTTCACTACTGTCTGTATCACAATATTCCTTGTGTGGGGAGCCCTCAACGCGAGCGAGCAGCTTACCGCGCTCTATCTTGAAGATGTGCTCGGAGTTTCCCCCCTAACATCCGGACTATATTTCCTACCAGCGCCTGTCTGCGGTGCGCTTATGAATGCTGTGATAGGGCTTATGCTGCCTTACTTACGCCCCTCATTAGCGATACCCATAGCATGTCTGACCAGCAGTATTGCGCCTGTTCTGCTTGCGGCATTATGTCGAGTCAACGGACCTAGTTACTGGGGCGCTGTGTTCGAGGCTATGGCCCTCAACCCTCTAAGCGCAGACGTCATTTACACGGTTGCAAATCTTATCGTGACCGATGCGTTCCCAGAAAAGACGCAGGCCCTGGCGGGTGGCGTGTTCAATATGATTGCCCAGATTGGGAAGAGTGTGGGCATTACGACAACCGCCATTATTGCAGCACGAATCTCTGCCCAGGCTGGAGAGGGGCCTAAAGAGGCTTTGCTCTTGGGTTATAAAGCCGGGTGGTGGTATAATAGTGCAATGGGCTTAGCCACGGTTCCCTTGACCCTTTGGGGACTGAAGCGGGTTGGGAAGCTTGGAATAAAGAGAGAATAAATCTCCCAGATCTAACCTAGGTTTGTGGTTGTTACTGTTGGTCTTGTGTTTTTTCTCATACCATGAGCTCTATTTTTGGAAACAGCGGAACAATCTATGAAGAGTAGTTGTTGTGGCGTTCCTCGGTGTGTGCTGCTAACACCTCATCATAAGCAATTTTCTCAACATCTTATCGTTATCAGACCGTTACTCAGCCAAAAAGGATTCATGTATTGCTTCCAAATTTATCTATCGCCTCGGATGATATCTTGCTATTACCTCTTAACTGCAATTCCTTCCAGTCGCTACACCCGCTCCCAGCCAAGTCTATGTAGTTAGGACTAGGATAGAGATGACTGTCCAAATACCATGATGTATCGAAGGTGATCGTTATCCTCTGCTTCCGGGTGTGTCTGTAGGCAAACCCCCGAAACATGAGTTAGACTTTCAAATTTTAATCTAGTTCTTGCACAACTTAGTCTTAAGCTTGGCTTGATCCCGTGACTTTAGAAGACGAAGCAAACCGACATATCAAGATTTACCAACAAGGCCATGCGGAGTGCGCTACCGCGAGTTTTCAGCCCATCGTGTTATGTTCGGAACAGGAGCCACCGCAATTGAGTGAATCTCATGATTCGAATAAACGTAAAAGGAAATTATGAATAACATCTACCGGATAGAGACGCCGAGGTTGCTGAAGCATCTTGGCAAATGCAACCTCGCCTACCAAAGTACAATAGAATAGGCTCATGCTATAGACACGTCTGAAAAAGCATAAAGACGGCATTTGTCACTGATTTTAGAACCGTAACTTTTCAATTCGTTATCCAAACAGTTATATGGCAAAATAACGAAATGAGTGCATTGGCACTACTCTCTCTCGCCAGCTTCGCGCTCACCATAGCGGCCGAGGCTCAGACCGCATCGACCCAAGATACTGATACGCCCGCAGTGTTTGGGACATATAGATTCCTAAAATGCAATCCTCAACTTGAATGGGTCAGGGTCTATTCCGGTGAATGCATTTCTGTACCGATCGAGACTCGATCTGTTGGGGAGTGTTTCCCCGAACTGTACATGTGAGTTATCCTCTTCATGCCACTATAGAATGCGGTAAACACTCCCTTGAGACTCTAGAACGCTGATATCAAGAACTCCAAGTCACTCTCTACTCTGATGGGGAGTGTTTGAATGCTGAACGGACAGTTGGGCTTGAGGAATGTGCTCATTCACCGTGGTACTGGGAGTATGCGGGACTTGACTGTGAGGAGTAATCAATCGGATGAGGTCTAATCCTCCCTTAGGCTCCAGTGCTATGCCTTGAAATAAATATGTAGAAAAATTTCACATGTCCCTTGCATTATGAGACTCAAAAATGATGGGCGGAATGGCATTGTTGCACCGAGTAGTTCGATAGTGGTGCATCACAGCCAATTTACATGCACTCCTCTCATGATGGGAAAAATAAATACGTAAAATATTTCAGATATCCCTGAGTGCCTTGAACCTGAACGTAATTAAAATTAGGGCCCTTGCAGTTTGCCAAGGCACATGTACCTAGTAATTGCCTGGGTGCTTGATGAAAAATCGCGTATCGCTGACACATGCAATTGTACCCCTTTATCTGGGTCAAAATTCAAATTCGAGGACCCAAGCGCATCAGATAAGAATAATCATTTCTACTGAAAATGAACAACTTTGAATCTTCTCACTCACGAAGCCGCCCGGCATGGTATTATCGAGTGCTACGCCTAAGCCTCCAATGGCACCACGATCTCGACGACTATGGAGATGTTAAACCAGGGGACTTTGACGAAGACATCTCTGAGTTGGGAGAGTCAGATAAAGAGGACGAGAGCGAGGCTTACTGCGATTGCGACAGCGACGCGTCTGAGTGTGATTGCGAACCGCCCGTTGATGATCACGTGTCCGAGAGATCATATACTGAGGACGACGCGGATTACTACTACGAATTAAAAGAGATGCGCAAAGATCGGAAGCGTGTGCTACGAGATCTCAAAGAGCAGGAAGCAAAGATAAAAGAGCAGGAAGCAACCATGAAAGAGCTCGAAGCAAGAGTGAAACAAGAGGAACGCAAGCATAGTGAAGGGAAAATCAACGAGGTGCGCGAAGCGTACAAAAAGCTGAAGCAAGTCATCCAGAATGGTGATGAACCGCCGATTCTCGATCCTCTAGCTATGATAAGTCGTTTTCACCTATTCTCCGTCGAACACGTGGATTACTGCTGTCATGGCGACATCTATCCGACGAGGTTCGTTTCATTTTGCCACCTATCGGAACTTATACAAGTGGCAAATGGGGCTACCTCCAAAGACTCCACGGATGACAACCCCAAACCATTGTATGGCGACGTATATCTTGGGGCGAAAACGGACTGTGAAATTGACAGGTTTTTCCCTCCTACAAAGGCTGGAATGGAGAAAATTACGGTGACAGCAAATGAAGGCAAATTGAAGCTCGATGTGCGCTTCTTAAGCAACGACTATCTGATTATTTCCATACCTGCGACGGTAGTTTTTGGGAGTAAACCTATTCCTCCATCGGCTCCCAAAAAGTTCAAGTTCGCGGGGATTCGTCACAAGTTCGCGATGTCGATGCGAAGCTGGGATAATAGGCATAAAAGAAAGCGCTCAGCTTCTTCCGATTCTTGGTCTGAGAGACACCACCCATCGGGATACTGGTAAGCAGAGCGAGCTTAAAAAGATTATCATTATCAATGCCGTAAGCCATTGCTCCAGATAGGCCTAAAGTTCCGGTGGATGAGGCACGGCTGTGAGCTCAAGGGGCGAATCTTTTATTAAACTTTCAGGATGATCCTTAGCCCCCAGCCATTTTGCTTAACTGTGTCAGGGCCCGGGTTGGCTTTGACAGTTAGTTTTCTTAACTTCCATACCTAGATGCTGCACTAAATCAGCCTCTTACAATGTACATGTATTTATCTTGTAAGAGGAGAAGGGCATATAGTCGCGGACAAGACGCAGAAGAATCAAATAGAGAAAGAGCCATGTCATGGTTCGAAGAAGCAGTTATATGTTAAATGGTATCATTTATGTGCTTTCCTTAAACAAAAATTAGACATACTGCTTACTTTTAGCTTGTGGTCATCGTTCATATTGTACAACCTATCCCATCGAAAAGGCTTGCTTCACATCTTACAACGGCCATCCCAACACAGTAGATACAGAGGCTTGCGATGCCATTCGCGCCAATTACACGAGCAACAGCTTGCGCATCGATAACCCGCAGGTTTATATGCAACTCACCAACCAGATTTGCGTGTCCGACCCCTCGGATCAGTGCGTATTTGATGCTAAATCGCTGCCAGCCACTATGCCCTCTTCAAATAGCACCTGCAGGCCGGGAAACACTCCTTCCTACTTCCTCGAGGTTAAGACAGCCGCTGATGTCTCTGCCGCATTCAATTTTGCCAAGGAAAACCTGGGCGTTCAAATCTCTGTGAAGAACAGCGGTCATGACTTTATGACCCGAAGTTCCAGCAAGGGAACTCTGAATCTCTGGACACATAAATTGAAGGGCATGACCTATCACGACAATTTCAAGCCCAAGGCATGTGGGAAGAGCGTGGGGGCTGCCATGACTGCCATGGCTGGTGTCTCTACTGGTGATGCCTACGACTTTGCAGATGCGCACAACGCTCTGATCATGGGTCCCTATGCACCAAGTGTACCTATTTCAGCTGGATGGGTTACCGGAGGTGGACATAATGCCTTCGCTCCTGTCTTTGGTCTAGGTGCCGACAGAGTTGTTGAGTTCAACATCGTTACTCCCGATGGAGTTGAGCGAGTGGCCAACGAGCAACAAAATTCTGATCTTTTCTGGGCCCTTCGTGGAGGCGGGGGAGGTGCGTTTGGTGTTATTCTCAGTGCTACTCACCGCGTGGAGCCCAGAACCCCAATCGCCTACGCCGACATCCATCTCCCGAGCAACATCACTACTAACCAAGCTCTGGACTGGGTGAAGCTCCTTGCTGAGGACTCCCTTGCGTGGGGCTACTCTGGCTGGGGTGGTCATGGTATGTAACATTTCTCCGCTGCAATATGCGTCCTAATAAATCCTAATACTTACAACACACTACAGTTGGTGGAACTTTCGTCACTCACTTTAACCCTCTTCCAGCCTTAACCAATGACAATGGCACCACAGCTCGCGCCGCTTTCCAGCGTGCTACTGACTTCGCCCTTGCCTTGGAAGGCACAAGTCACGTCGCAGTTGAAGAGAGTTTCAGTACCATCTTCAACAGAGATATGATCCCCAAGCATAGCAAGATGGGCGGTAACTTCCACTTCACGACTACCAGTCTCATGCCCACCTCTATGTTTGAATCCGCTGAGGGCATTGAAACCCTAATACAGTACATGCGCGAAGCTATCGACATGGGCTTTGACCCTCGCAGCTTCTACACCCCCGTGACCACGCCATTTGTATACAAGGCCAACGGAACCGAGAACGCTAAGCCAAAGGACTACGGTACCAGTATGACCCAGGCCTGGTATAAGGCCCTCTGGCACGTTGAGTCCAGCAAGGTCATCCCCGTCGGTTCCACCCACCAGGAACGCCTAACCGCCTTGACTAACTTGACCACGCTTACCGTCAAGCTCGAGAAGATTATGGGTGCAGATGGTGGTTCATACATGAACGAGGCCGACCCTTACACTCCTGATTGGACAGAATCTTTCTACGGTCTCGACAACTACGAGAAGCTTCTCAAGATCAAGAATAGGTATGACCCTCAGGGTCTCCTCAAGTGCTGGAAGTGTGTCGGATTCGACGAGAAGGATTCCGACCTCGAGAGGTTCGCTTGTAACAAGAAGATTCAGGCCGACATAATCCAGGGCCTAAAGGCATAGCGATTCATGGAAAGATACTCTCAAACTTATGCCCCAACCCGTCTCGTAAATTCCTCTCCAAAATTCCTCTCCATGTGATCTTGTAGCAACAAGTTTAGTTTCCAGTTTCAGTATGAGACAAGAACTTTACAATAACCTTTACTTCTTTTTGGTATTTTGAGATTTCGGTACCTAGTGTACAAGAAGCAGCAGCAGTTTGATTTGTCTACTGTGATCTAGCCGCGGCTGCTGTGGCGGTGCAGAAGATCATTAGGGAACAACACCTGCTGGCAAAACGTAGCAAAAAATGGGCAGGATTCTTGAGGAAGCTCTAGAAGAAATGATTCGACTGCTGCCTTGCCTTCCAGATATTCGAGGCCGGGGGCTGTTTTGGGCAGTCGAATTCTCGGTCGACCCAGAGAACGGTGCGGCATTTGCTGAAAATGCAAAATTCTGCAACCTAGTAGAGGATGCAGCCTTTGAGAACGGCTTGATGTTCTAGGTAATCTTGGCGTAACTGGCGATGCACACGTGGAACACGTTATCATCGCGCCACCTTATATTGTCTCTGAGTCTGAGATCAGAGACATCGTTCAACTTCTCAAAGTTTCCATCGAGGAAGTCAGTCGCCCATTGCTTAAAGCACCAGATAGCGTAAATAAGGGAAAGGTCGGTATCAAAGTAACACCATCTTCTATTGGACAAGAATTGAATAGACAGTAAGGTGCTAAGCCAACATGAAAACATAGCTCTCCAGATTCTATACTATACTGTCTACTTGACCACTTCCTTGAGCTTCTTTAGCCCTTCGCTCCTCGCGCTCACTGAACCGGTCCCCGAATAGATCAAAATGAGGCCGCATAACAATGGTGTATTTTACCAACTCTTCCATGCAATCAACAAGGCGATCGCGGTTTGAGCTAGGAAGCATACGGCTCCCCTCATGCTCCGATGTGAACTGGGTATAGGCCTTGGGCACTGAACTTTGGTTGGGAATCGCAAACATGCGCATCCATCGTCCGAGTATTCGAAGGGAATTGACAGAGTTGAAGGACTGCGAACCACCACTGACTTGAGCGATAGCTAATGTCCTCCCCTGGGTAGGACGCACCGAGCCAGTGGACAGTGGGATCCAGTCTATCTGCTGCTTGAAGATGCCCGTCTTTGGATGCTGGTTAGTTCCAAATTGATCTCACAAGTCCTCGCCTGCCGATTTACTTACTAAATTTCCGTGCTGCTCGGGGCTAACCCAGACGTGGCCGTCGCTCCATTTACTCAATTCACGTAGTTCCTGCACTTTGGGGTGACAGTGCTGCACATCGTCCTTCTGAGGCAAGCCAGCTGGGTCGAATACTCGGACATCGCAACCAAGGCGGAAAAGTATGCGAGCCGCCTCGTATGCTAGGAGGCGGGAGAGTGATCTAGGAGTGGTGAGTAAAACCAGGAAATGTCCGAACGAAAGCGATGCGTAGGAGATCCAAGGATGGCATTCATCGTTCCGCGTGATGCTTACCTGCTTCTAAGACTGCCGTAGAGAACCAGGATGCGAATGCGATCTAACCCCTGGTCCAGGATCTCCGACTGCACCATCTTAATCGCTGTGCCCAGCTCTAGTTGCGAGATCCAGTCATCGGTGGAAAGGTCGCCATCAATAAGAAACGGACGATACTGCTTGCGTATCCCGGTGTCGTCTTGGTCGAACTCGAGGGCGAGGGATCGATAGCTGTAGGTGGGATCGGCTATGCCCGCGACGGCCGTCCTTCCAGCGTGGGAATTGTTCAAGTCCCCGTGTCCATTCATCATGAGACCAAGGGGCCGCCTCTGGCTTGCTACGGTACTAGCAGAGAAACGGTGGTGTTGAAGAAGCGCTTGAGAATTCCAGCTTACGTGGAGGTAAGATATGCGGGCACGAACTCGGAGGGTGTGGCAGAGAATGCTCATTTTTGCTACTGGCACTCGAGGACACAGGGGGAGCCCATCCAAGAAATAGTGCTCTTTTTATGTGTTTCCATCCCCACTAATGCCCTGGCAGTACAGACTGAGATTTTTGGGGCCTTTCTAATTAGACCAGAGTAGTAAAGAGCCATTCATAGGCGGTTCCGCTGCCACGCTTAGCGACCAGATTACATGTTGAGGAGGACTATTCTCACACGAGCCACCAAATTGGATGACAATTGTGGTGTCTACGCGGCTGTGATTCATTGCTCTCGCCACCAAAGACTTGACCTTGCTAGTCTAGATCTACTTGTTCTCCCACACAGCCGCATCGTACTCATCAATCCACTCTACAAACTCTCCGCCAGCTTTGGCCCATCCGCTGATGCCTTCAAACAGTATCAAGCTCTCCATATCGCTGTCGCTTTGGTCGTCGATATGGTCTTTGAACCATCCAGCTGCCCGAGAACCTCTGCCTCGGGAGGATGCTGGAAAGAGTCAATATGCCTGTGTCTGTACTGTATGCGGCTTGTTTTGGAGGTAGTAATTAAGACGTACAGCAGTACCAGATGATTTTGTGTACTCCAGCCGCTTTGAACAAGCTGTAAAGCGTCGGTATGGTGGGGTAGAGGCTCTGTGCCGGTAGATTAATAGACCCGCGAATCGTACCGCCCTAGATGGGAGGAAAGGTCAGTCGCTGCTCTGCTGACGACTCTCTCAGATGATACCTCGTGATCTGTTCTGCGGAGATCAACTAGAACGTAGTTCCTTCCAGCTATGTTGTTGCTGTTCTTGATCATATCCAACATATCCTGGCGCATCATAGCCGCAGGCGTTTTGTTACGAGGAGAAGGGTAGGCAGCATGCCATGGTGCGGGAGCATTAGTGGAGGCCATCTGTTTGAACCACCAGGTGCGACTACTGTTGAGTGCAGCTTGGAATGCGGGCTTTCGGTAAGGAGGAGATGTTACTCTGGAGAGATACCTTGGGATGACCATCGCTATTGGAGTAGGAAAGAGAGGGCACTTCAAATCTTAGTTTGAATACAACGAGCAGATCCTCGTGTTCGGACGTTTTTGGGACCGTGTCATACCTGGGGTATGATTGGTCAAGCCTTTAGAAGGCCAGTTTGAGTCTCACATTCTTGGAAGGGAAACAGACGGAAAAGGGATAGCGTTTCCGGGAATCTCTGTCATGCCCAGAAGTTTCTGGCCGACTAGCAGGGGTTAGCTATGTAATCTAGCAAGCTCTGAGGACTATGTCAGACCTGGATCATGATTGGCTCGACAAGGATTCTCGACCAGCAACTCGCCATAATCTTGAGGTCCCAACCAATTTCGGGGAGTATAAAGAGATCAAGGTGATCTGCACATACAGATTGCGTTTTTCTTCACAGAAGTGATTCAGTCACAGGAATTATCTGCATTCTTCGACTTCTCGACTTCTCCAGATCACCCAGAACCACCACAGATCACGCACCACATTGCCCCAAAAGATACCACGGAAGCGACTGTCTCAACATGGCATCAGAAATGAAGGAAGGGGTGGACAGCCAGCGAAAGCCTGCCATAACCCGCTCTGACCACAATACTGAAGCTGCGGCTGGGAGCACGAGTCCCGATGCGCAACCGCAGCAACAGCTGTCTGCCTTCAAAGGCCTCGGTGTTCTAGATCGCTTCCTAGCCCTGTGGATTTTCCTTGCAATGGCAATCGGTATCATCTTAGGCAACTTTGTTCCAGAGACCGGGCCAGCCTTGCAGAAGGGCAAGTTTGTGGGCGTTTCGGCGCCCATTGGTATGTATTCTCTGATGGGCCCGAACTTTTAACACCTGAAACTGACGCATGCTTCAGCTGTTGGTTTACTCGTCATGATGTATCCTATTCTCTGCAAAGTGCGATATGAATCGCTGCACGAGCTCTTTTCCCACAGAGAGATGTGGAAGCAGATCTGTTTTAGCATCTTCGTCAACTGGATTCTCGCTCCCTTCCTTATGGTGAGTCTCCCTTGCCCAGCACACATTTTTTTCTACACTCGGTGTACTGACGTCCATTAGCTCGCTCTCGCTTGGGCTTTCCTCCCTGACAAGTCAGAACTTCGCACTGGTCTCATTCTCGTGGGCTTGGGGAGATGTATTGCGATGGTCGGTTCCCCCGTCACCTCCAGACAATTTTACCAAGTTGACAATATTTCCTTTCAGGTCCTCATTTGGAACGGTCTCGCGGGGGGCAACGATGAGTACTGTGCCATCCTCGTCGCTATCAACTCGATACTACAGATGGTCCTCTTTGCGCCCTTGGCCATCTTCTTCATCCGTATAATCAGTCACGAGTCGGGTACGGTTGATATACCCTACAGCATTGTTGCCACAAGTGTGGCTGTTTTCCTGGGCATCCCCCTTGGAGCAGCCATCATTACAAGAGTTGTGCTTCGCAAGGTCGCTGGAGCAGATTGGTTTCGGCAGACCTTTCTCAAGTTCCTCGCCCCTTGGTCCCTAATTGGCCTGCTCTACACCATTCTAGTTCTGTTCGCATCCCAAGGCCGACAAGTTGTTCACCAGATTGTATCCGTCGTCCGGGTAGCTGCACCGCTAATTGTGTATTTCGTGTTGATCTTCTTTGTCACCTTGTGGGTTAGCAGACTCCTCGGCTTCCGATTCCCCATGGTAGTAACACAGAGTTTTACCGCCGCAAGTAACAACTTTGAGTTGTCGATCGCTGTAGCGGTGGCGACTTTTGGCCCCGACAGCGACCAGGCTTTGGCATCCACCGTTGGCCCGCTCATCGAGGTGCCGGTGTTAATGTGCTTGGTATATGCTGTTCGCTGGATGGCCAACAGATGGGGTTGGAAGTAAAGGAGTGTGCCAAACTTCCATCAACAACACAGCTTTAGGGATATAATGGAAATGCTTCTATAGATATTAATACATAATCATTTAAGCTTGCACAGCCTTCTTGACGCGAAATTTAAGACTCGACCAATAGTATGCTTCTAGTGCTCTTTAAAGTAGCAAACCTCCGGATCCTCATTGACGTGCGCCTGCCTAGTCAAGATGATCCATAAGCTGAAATATTTAGTGTTCTTAACATGACAGTAGTTATTTCCATAACATCCCAGAGCCGAACGAGCCCAAGATAGATCTACACGATTGTGAAGCTCCAGGAGTATTGCTGTCGCTTTGTCATATGAGGTTTCTAGTGCACCTAAATGGTTAGAATAAGGGCTGGTGATTTGGAGGAGTCGAAAGAGTCGGAGAGCGGCGAGAGCCTGTCTGTTGGGGCTGAGTAACAGTCGGCAATTATGTTGTCAAGCCTGTTGGCAGAATGTATTTGATGGTGAAGTCTGCGTTCTTCTCCTTGAGTGAAAAACTCTTGCTCATTTTCTTCTCGGGTTCGTATCGATTCAATCGGCGGCTCAGTAGGCGCCGACTGCTTCCGGCCAGGTGTCGATAGAGGTGGGTGTGACACAAGTGATGCGGTCATGCTTGAAGTAGACCCAGGGGAGCTCTGAGGCGGATCATCTCAGCACTGGAATGTAAGTGACTTCTTGACTGCATACATCGGGACTCCAGCCTTCCTTATTCTATACATCGGTCATTTAGTGTGTTACCGGAAAGATACTTGGGCTAGTACGTCAAAGTAAATAGATATGCACGAGGGTTTGGTAGAGTTCTTGGAGAGCGAGGAAGAAATTTTCGTTTCGGTTATGAAATAAAGAAACGTTAATCGAAACAAGAAGTAGTCTGCGCTTATTATAGGCAACAATGATAGCCGCGGATATCTCCATTAAACCAATCCATAGCCAATTCACGACCTTAGCTATGGCCATTACTGTCACGCCTATGCGGAACTTTTCACCTACTCAGGCTGCCAGCTCCGCACTCTTCTCGTCCACGTGAGATCTGGCCTCATCTTCTGGAATTGGGGACAAGTTCCCCTCCAACAAGGCGCTCAAGCCTATCTCCCTATTAATCTCCAGCATCCTTTCCGTATCTGCCTGTGCCGTGCCCTCGGATCCAAAGATAATGTCCTATCATGCGTTAGTACACTTAGTGGGGAAGATGGTAGTAAAACAGGTGACCAACCATCTCTTCGAGCGAAAGACGCTTAGTCTCCGGTGTAAAGAACCATATGAATGCGGCTCCAATGGAGGTAAGCAGTCCAAATATGATGTAGGTACCATAAGTGATTCCACTGAGCATGTCTGGTGTGACTTGTCCAACAATGAAGTTATTCCTAAATTCCCAAAGTCAGTCTTTCCACTATTTTTCAGTCTTTTCGGTACCAGGATCACTTACATCCAGTTACTAGACGCGCCCAAGCTTACTCCGTATGGTCGAGTGGACAAGGGCCACACTTCGGCGATGATGATCCAAGCACAAGGACCCCAACTGTATCCAAAGTGAACCACAAAAAGCCAAACCATGACAACTGCAGCCCATCCAGCACTCTGATGGCTGTCAAAGTTGTCGATATTACGTGCAAGAATGACAGCAATGATGAAGTGGCAAAGAGCCATGCCAATAGCACCGATGGTAAGAACCGGCTTGCGTCCCAATCTGTCGATCCAAAGCACAGCAGGAATTGTGGCGATGAACATGACTATACCGACAACACCTGTCGCGAGAAGGCTAGTTGTGTTCGAAGAGAGCCCAAGCTGTGAAAAGATAGATGGGGCGTAGTATAGAACCTAGTCAAAGGTTAACGGCCGTTCGTTAGTTCTATTTTCTCACCATGCTACTTACAGCATTGATTCCAGTCCATTGTTGGAAAAACATCTAAGTATATTAGTTAGTAAAATAGGAATGCAGTGAATGGCCGTCAAATGGGCTAACTCACAGTCACCGTGGCGACCACTACCCTCCGAAACATAGCCTTCGACTCGAACAAAGACTTGATAGCCGCAAATTGCAGTTTGATAGTGTTGATGGCTGTTTGCTGCTGCAAAGTTGGGAACTTTTCAGCTATGCTCCTCTTTTCGAAAAGAGACTGAGCTTTGATCTCCAGGAACTCAAGCTGGATGAGTTCGTGATCCGGGGAAAGTTCACGCAGACTCGCCAGGTTTGCACGGGCTTCTTCTTCGCGATCGTGGTGGATGAGCCAACGAGGAGAGAATGGCATCCAAATCATTCCAACGAAGAGAATAACAGCAGGGAGAATCTGAAGACAAATTGGGACGAGCCAAGCCGCGTCCTTCTGGGTCTCAACGGTTGTTCCTCCAATGTAATTACATCCACTAACCACTTGGTGAGTTTTTCCTGAATTCTCCAATATGTATGTATAAAATGGGGGGTCACATACTAATCAATCCAAAAACTTATCATGATTCCAAAAGTGATCGCAAGTTGTTGGAGAGCTACGAGGGCACCTAGATGACGATAAATATCAAGTTCAGGCATCAATAAGGTGCAACATACCTCGAACCTCGGGAGGCGCGCACTCCGAGACGTATAGTGGAACAATCATGCTGAGGCCACCGACTCCAATTCCACTACAACATGGCCATTAGTAAAAGTGAATACCTAGAACTAGAGGAAGGAACTTGCGTAATAAATCGACCAGCGAGGATTGGATTAACGCCGCCAGCAATCGAAGTGGCTTGGATAATAACACCAAGAATGAAGACCCTGGAGATTGGTAAGTTCTTCGAATCGAATTCGCGGCTGCTGGTCTATATCTTACCCCGTGACAACAAGAATACCGTATTTTCGAGACAGTATTTCAGCAAGAATACCAGATGACAGGGCTCCGAACCATGCTCCAAGCTCGAGAATAGCCGTGAGCCAGCCCTTCAGCGATGGTTTATCAATATACCCATCCGTATCTAAAGATGTAATAAGTAAACTATTGGCTTCATGTAGGGTCAAATGTCCAGGTACGTACGCTTGCCGAAAGAAGGCATGGCCAGAATGCCAGAAAACATTCCTTGATTGTAGCCATAAAGAACTCCTCCTATACAAGCGAAAGCCGCAATCCGAAAGACTTTGAAGTTGGTTAGAATCGCTCGAGCACCGCTCTTACCCATGAGGGCCTGACGGCGCTCAAGGGCGGCTTCATGGGCCGTATGTGTTGTAGCACCCATCACGATGGTGTAGACGAATGGCAGAGACTATAAATCATTCAATAGTTGCCGGGCTGGACATCAAGATCTCCAGCAAAGATTGAGGGAGGAGACCCCAGATTATGTATCCTAAGCAACTCCATATCACCACAATTTACTGTACCCTTTACCAGGGTCCTCACATCCCTCTGACACACTTCTATGATGCCCCTCATTCTCGCCGAAGCATCAAGTGCTTTCATATGAGGCAAGATCAGTAGTTGGGGACAATGCCGGCCGATCCCGCAGAGTTCAATCTGGGGTATTTAGGCTGAATAGTGTCAAGAAACAACCGCACGAATGACACTTGGGTAAGACGTGGCCGATCCTGCCATGACCTGGGGTGGCCCCACACGTTTCCTCAAGCATTGACCTTCTCTCACCTGTCAAAAAGCACGATGGCTTGAATATTTGTACATACAGGTCCGTTGAGGAGACTCTCCACGTCTAAAGAGCCTAAAGGGGTTTGATGATGGTGGGGTAATGCTACGCTTGATGATGTCGCAGGATTTCCATCTCCAGAACCTGTAGCCCAAATCGATTACTGATGGATAAACAACGCTCGGTCAGCTTCAACCGATATCTTCAATTCGGGGAGCGCCTGAATCCGCGTTGTTAATGGGGCTAAGGAGATGGCAGCATCTCTACAGGAAATTCTCCTTAGCCGAATATAGCAACACAATATTATGCACCATTGCTTCAGATTTACCATCATAAGGGTTGTATTAATAGATATATATAAGTAGTTAAAGGACTCCATTGATCAAAATCAAAGGAAGTGGCAGGCAGCAACCACGGCGGCTAAAACCAAGCTTGAGGCCGTGCCAAACACCCGGGTGGCACCACTGTCTGTAGTCGTGGGTGAGGTTGCACCCTGCGTGGAAGACCCAGTCGGGGTGGTCACGGCAGTCGACAGGGTGGTGGAAGCGGTGTCAGACGAATCGGTCGCGGTTGCAGTTGCGGTTCCAGTGGAGGTGGAGGACGACGAAGCGGTCTTGGAGGAACTGGCAGTGGAGCTTGATGACTCGGTGTCCTCGTCGGACGCCTTGATAAGTGTATCCCACGAAGGCATGGTGGTACCTGGGCACTTGGTCATGCACTCATAGATGGGCTTGTAGACAGCCTTGTAGGCTTCGATGTCCTCGGAATTGCCCAGCTTTGTCATCTCGTCGAAGCTATCGTCATTGCACTTTCGGATACACGAGTACGCAGAGCACGGGACGGTGTCCATGTCGCCAAACCCACGACCGGCCAGCTCAGACTTGCCCCACGCGCCGGTGCCTCCCTGCAGAGAAAAGGTGTTGCTGTACTGGAAGCCAGATGGGCCGTCCTTGTTGGGGTCCGAGTTCCACTCCATAGTGGTGATCTTGAGTTTGGCATCGCTGGGCGCAACATCGGCAGGGATGGTGACCTTCACGGAGGTGGTGTCGATCTTGGTGCCATTGGCGAGCAGACAGACAGGGCCGGTACCCCAACCCGGTGGAGTGGTCGCAAGATAGACGTTAAAGTTGGTGAATCCGCCATCGAATGACTTGGCTCCGTCGTCGAGGTCGTTTCGGATCTTGACCTCAACCTCAGTGTCGGCTTTGACGGTTGATGCGATGCTGATTCGGTCAAACGCAAGAGCGGGAAGGGCGGTTGCGAGCACGATTCCCAGTGGGCCCAAGAGAGATGAGGCGACCATTTTGAAAATTAGTGATGGTGGAAAATTAATTAGTTACGTGGCGATTAGTTAAAGAGTGACTTGGTTGAAGCGGTAAACGAGTGAAACACTGCAACTTTTGGCGTTGACGAAAACGACAGAAAAGAAACAGAAGGGGTGGAGAGGGAGAAGAGGAAATTTTCTAAGAGTCTGGGGATCGCTTGGCAAGTTATCATCGAAATTGGATGATCCTATTCTCACTTGGCATCCCGCCTGGACCAGAGGTGGAAATACCGGGATTAGCAAGCGAGCCACAAACTCGGGCCGACCGAGTAAGCAGGGAGTCTTGGCACTTGCTGTCATACTCTCTTGGGCAGTTGCTTTAAAATGTTAGGGCTACAAGCACGGACAATCCGGAATGTTCCAGGCGAGATCTGTTTGAGCCAATCATTGATCCTTGGCAAATGAAGTCCCAAGCATCAGTCTAAGGCTGGTGACCGACGAGATGAAACTCTTTCGTCTCAGAGTGCCAGGGATTGCACCGCATCTTGTGACAGTCTTGTATTGGTAGGAGGAGATGGGCCAAATGGGACACGTTGATAGAGGACACTGATAGAATTGCCGACATGCCGGAATATGAACCCACAGATTACTTGGGCCAATCAATGACTTGTCGACCGGGCCTAAGATTGAAGCTAGGCTAATATCCTAGCTCTTTTTATTCTTTGGACCGGCTTACAATGGATTGCTGCTAAATATCACTAAAAGCCAGTACATGTGAGTTGTTGACAGTACGCGACTTGGGGTAATTCTTCTTTGCTCGGGTAATTTAAATAGAACCTAGAGGGTGTCGGAAATGATTTTCATATCCAACCCATGTAATGAAAAAAGCTATCTGGCGCGCGCATCGGGCAAACGGGTATTGTCAACAGCTCAAGGACGAGTTGGCATAAGGTCCTTCTTCATCGTCCGCCCTTTCTTGCTATCTCCATAGCTACTCATCAGCGACATGTCTTCCGTAATCATGATGTAGAAGACATCAACGCTTCCCTTCGAGAGCAGCATATATAAGAAACGTCGATTAGTCTAGCCCAGATTGAAATCAAGTAACCAAGTCACTATAACAGGGCATTGCCGGTGTATAATGAAAAGCACAGGTAAATCTACATATAGCACAATCTTTAATAGTCCAATTTCAATCAGAATTGATTTATCAGGTTATCAGATTGTGTCTTTGATTTGGCTAAGGCGGTTCGATACCATACTTCTAGACTTGTGATGTGAACAAAAGATTTCGATATAGTTAAACAATCTCAAGATCGAAGTAGCCACCATGGCTAGGCAGGCGTTTCATAGTACCAGGGCTATGAAATTTCCGTTCCGAAATGTTACAAGGGCCAACAAATCTGTATCGCGACCCAGCCTTCCGTAGAACAGCGAAACTGGGAAATCCTAAGAGGCTAAAAACATGATCCCCTTCTCGCAAACCTACTGGCCCAACCCCCAGGAAATTTTCATCTGTCTGAAAGGCCACCATATTTCTGTCCATTGCAAGGGCCGATGATACCCAACCTCGAGCCTTTTCCCGCATCTGGAGGCTTACCATGTGTTCGTTTAATCCACTTTGAAAATTGGATTGGTGAATTTCCTCTAATCCGCGAGTATTTTCAAGTGCGATTCCTTTCAGGTAGCTCGGGCAAGAATCCCCCAGGAACTTCTCCATACTTTGTACAAACTCCAATAACAGGACAAAATGCCAGATATCGTCAACGTAAGTCTCATTCGTGATTCCCAATGCGAGACGGAAGAAGGACCAGACATGACAGAATCTCGGTTCCGAGTCTTTGAGCAGCTCCGCAACCAAGTATCTATTTTCTCTAGAGAAAAAGGGAGAGAATTTCGGTCCTAATCGTGACACAACCAGGCATCGGGCGCCACTCAAGCTCAGAATCAGTCCACGAATGCTGGGGCTGTTCAATTTGCGTGCCTCTTCCTCCGGAACAACCTTGGCAAACGTATCCCAAGAAGCATGCCAAACATTTTTCGACGCTGCTGGGTAGTTCGGGACCCAGGATGGAAGACCAAAATCATTTCCAACTCCTGCTAAATACAGGAATCTGAGTACGGCGCTGTTTAGCCTTTTTGTTTCTTCTAATAGAAGTGACGTGAAATCCAAGTAAAGAGTATTCACCGTCATCCGGTTACTGTAGTCGACCTTCAACTTGCTCTTGATTCGGGGGTTCAACAGCCCAAGAATGCCATAAATATGATCTTTTGGCTCGGTGGCTTCAAAAGGGAACCTTACGAGGTATTCGAGCCGTTCAATCTCAAGTTTTTGGTACTCTTCGGCCTTTTGAGGTAGCCTCTGGGCTCGGTACACCGTCGAATACAACATCGCGACTCTGACAAGATGCTGTATCGGGTCTTGGCCCACATGGCCTGGGAGCCCAATCGATCTCCAGAGCCTCGTTGGGATGAAATCCGGTATGCTTTTGTTCCCTATCAGCTGCGCTCTGAGGCTTCCTAATACAAAAAGCGCGTTGAATATGTTGGCTCCGGACACAGCTATAGACGGGCAGCTAAACACGAGGGCCGGTGCAAGGACCTGTTCTTGCAGTGTCCATACTCGCCTCCAGTAAGGCAGTGAATTAAGAAAGAATATGGCATCCCAGACCGGATTGCCAACTTGGTTTCCCTCGGGTGTGTTTTCCTCGATTTGCCAAAGGTACGGGTGATTTTTGAGCCAATGTAGATCCGCGAGTATTTTCGGATCATATTTCGCAGCTTGAAATTCCTCTACAAACTGACACAGCATTTTGAGAGCGAGACTAGTCTTTTGGTCCTCACTACCCAGCCAGGCCATGACCAGGTCAGGACAGGAGTATATACGTTCCATGAGTCGGACCTGACTGCTAATTTCATCGGTGTCATTTTGGTTGATACACAGGGCATCGGCCCAAATTCTCATCGAAGACAGATTGCGGCCCGGGTTGAAACTCTTCCAGTGCCTGCCAAAGTGTCTCAGTGCAGCCTTGAGGTTGACTGTAACCGGGACCATCATTCCATTGACCATGATGGTCTCCTTGTTTGCAGCATCACCCCATACATAGGACAGGGCAGAGTATCGAGGTTTTTCGAGCAAAGATACGACACTGAGTTGGCACACGATTGGTTCTTCGATGGACAAGACCTCGATGAGGCGAATTTCCTGGCGGAAGGCATTCAAAGGCTGATAAATAAATGTTCCAGCACTCGCTCCCTCCGCTGAAGTAGGTGCCATTATCGGCATTCCGCGGCTTCAGGTAATGTCGTTTTACCTTTGGTGGGATAATGTTATCTCAATCAAGATCGCATGCGAGTCGTGGGATTTCCGTGTTGCGATATTGGGCTGAATGCTAGGCTGAAACTCGTGATCAACCACGCATCAGGCGTAGAATGAGCACCATGCTGCCTAGGTAGCTTGTTTCCTTTCGTCTGAGTACCTACCAGCCTGGAAACGAATTGGCAAGCCTGATTCAGGAAGAAGGGGATAATTAATTAATTCCCCGTCAATTAAATGCCCGGTGAACGAGAGGCGTGTACTTGCTCTGAGTATCCTTCGCTGTGCGCCGCAAACACGAGCGTAGGGAGATCTATTCTATGACCGTTAACGATCATGGCATCTACAACTGAGCGACTTCATCTAGGTTTCGCCACAAGCAGGCGGATCAGAAACGCGAAGGAATCGGGAAGATCGCGGGTTACAGAGCAGACCATCCATGCATTGAGTATTTAGCCAAAGTCATACTACAAGAACATTAAATTATTAGGTGTTATAATGCCCAAAATCCATGCCATATACATTTTCACCCCATATAGCCATCCAAAAACACGTCGCGACAAGAGATATGCACGCTTAAGCAACAATGAAGGTGCCGAGGAGCAGGGCGCCGACCGCGACGGCCATCTTGCTGACGCCGAAGCTGGCGGCAGCGCCCTTGTCGTTGCTGCTGCTGCTGCCGGAGGTGCTGGAGCCGGTGGCAGAAGAAGCAGTCTTTGTTCCGGTCGCAGAGGTCGAGGAGCTGCCGCCAACGACCGAGGCCGTGAGGGAGGCGGGGAGATCGACCTTGGTGCCGGTAGCCTTCCTGCTGTCGTCGGTGCTGTTGCCGCTGCAGAAAGGGAACTGGTCGGGGACCTTGTGGACCTTGTTCATGCAGTTCTTGAAGTCGCCAACGGTCTGGTCGACGATGAGGCAGGAGAGGCCGCAGTTGTTGTAGTAGCTGACGACGTCGGCGCCCTTGCAGCAGTCCTCCATGAAGCCAATATACTCCTGGGTGTAGGGGACGCCGCAGACGATGTCGCTCTCGCCGGGTTGGCTGTAGAGGACGGAGGCGCACTGGCTGGTGGGAGCAGCAGAGCTGCTGCTGGTGGTAGCGGAGACAGTGGAAGACATTTTGGAAAGATGATCGCTTGGCTGGTCGACTGAGAGGCTGATTGGGATCGAGACGCGTCTGATAACGAGCGAGCGAGTGTCGATGAACGAATGGACGAGCGAGAGAAGGGCTTGCTTGGGGGATGGGCTGGGGAGGAAGAAGAAGAAAGCTGAACCGACGCAAAACTCTTCCAACCGGAGCAAAACGAGCACGGCCAACAGACCACCCACACGGCCAATGGCACCAGTGCTCCGAACGCGAGATTTGGTTTGATTGCAGTACCAGGTTCCGCAGTTCCTACTGGCCAAGACGAGCACCACGGCCCACGTTCCGGCCAAGATTACCAGCTCCAACTTTTACGAGCGTCATTGTGATGTTGATGTCGCCCAGAAGCGGCTTAGCCTGTCCCCTAAATATAGCCCCCTCGCACTCAGAAAGGAGAATCAGGAGCTCTTCCCCAGCTCAAACTACCGCCAGTAGTAGCGGGATCGAGCTGTCCGTCCCTGTCCATGATCGATCATATGCTTCAACGATTCCCGCTGCGGGCCTCGACAAAAGATGAATCACAATTGACCATGGGCCAGAGGAGCCGTTGAAGGAAGATCAAATCTTGATGGGCTTTTCCGCATCGCATGTGCATGTGGACAGTGACCAGGCACCGATCATCAGAGCTGACCCCCTAAAACCTCGTATTCTTCACTCTCCAATCATATCGCCAGCTAGGCCGCTTTGTCAGCCAGTCTATTGACGGAAGCCCCAGACAGCTGAATCAGACCCATTGAAATAAGAACGCGAACTACGCCACAGCCTCAGCCCTGCTACCTACCCTGGAACCATGTCCTATTTTACCTTAATCTACTCTCCTCCATTAGACTGATAGTCTTAAGGGATGGTCTAAATAGGAGGGCAATAGCTCCCTTGATCGGAATGCATGGGACTCTTCTAAGGGGAGGGGAAATAATGTGTGGTTATTACACAAGTTTCATAATGAAACACAGGCGTCATCGGATTCAAATTCTTGGCTATACCAAGCTACGCATCTGAACTATCTATTAATGCTAATGTTGGAACTCACCGCCCAACAAATAACTATTGTCTAGTATCTTCCTTTTACGTAAGATAAGTTGAGTGTAAAGTTAAACAGCAATGGAAGATGCCAGAGCCCGGCATCTCCGCACAATAAATGTGTCTTCCTTTATCAAACGAGAAGGCCACATTCCGTACGTGTTGTGAGCTAGAAGATGTAGAAAGAAGGGGGGAATATCCAAAGCCTTGGATGTTTGTATTTCAAAGTCTAAACCAGATCCATGTATTCGTCCAAATTGATAATATATACAGGCCAAGATATGCAAATAGGAAAGCCAACTTCTGGTTGGAAAAGAAAATCAACCTCAAAGAAGCATCTCCTGCCTCCTCCTGGCAAACTCTAACAGCGAATTCACATCGTCATGATGGAACCGGTCCCTGAGCTGCATGGAATGCAGATCACAGAAACGATGGTACGGATCCTTCTCTCCGTGCAGTTCAAATTTCTTCCCGGCCGGCGTTTCTGCCAAAAGCCCTCCCTTGACACATGCCGCGCATATGCGCAGCGACCTCCACCCCCACCAGCGCTTGCTCTTGCCCTGGCCCATGCCGCCCTGTTGGCAACCCGGCAGTCTGCTGAACCGCATGATGGTGCTCTCGAGGCGGCTCAGGTCTCCCAGTATCAGCCCCTCCGTCAGCAGCTTTTCATGGCGCCGAAAGAAGGGGTGGTAGGCGTTCATCCAGCAAGCGAATGATGACTTCTTCCCGACATCGTTCTTCACCTTGTAGTACTTTTCACCACCCAAGGGCTTGATCTTGCCTATGAAGCATCCCTCACAGACGCCGTAGCCACGAGGGTTGTTCGGGGTGGTGTACCACTTGAGTCCCACGGTGCCCTGGGCGTAGCACCGCCTGTCTGTTCCGTGGACGAGGCGCATGATCTCAGCACGATTGTATTCGATGTCTGCAGTCTCCGAGGTCTGGTTACCCTTGAGACTGGCCATGCACTGCGGCTTGACGGGCAGCCTGTCACCCAATGTGAAAGAACCTTCCCTGTCTGTTTTGTAGACATGATCGAAGTAGCAGGCTTCACAAATGTACAGGTCTCTGGTCAGACTCTTGGTATACTTGTACCACCAGCCACCATCGGAATCATCACCGTTGGCATTCTTCCGCTGTTGGGAGCAGCCGGCAAATCGGATACGAATCTGCATCAGCTCCGCGAAATGGTCCCAGTCATCATTTTCAAAAAGTGCATCCACCATACGCTGAGTATAGTGGAACGCCCCGTGGCAAATGGAGGGGCCAGGGGTGTCATCATGGGACCAGTATTTGGAGAAGCGAGTGCCACCGAAATGCTTCTGGCGGCATTCCTGGCATATTCTCATGCCTGGGATGGACTGCGTAGAGAACCAACTCACACCAGAAGTGGGAAAGGCATCACCAGGACAGTATTGGGGGACTTTCTTACGCTGCATGATTTTCAAGAAGGAGAGAAACTCATCGGCAGTGTGCACTTTGCTCCAGCGCTTGTCCATGTGTGGGATGGCGCCGAGATGGCACCTGAGCGACAAGCCAGTGCTGGGTCTGTACTTGATGAAGTCACGGCGCCACTGTTGGGTTTCGTATATGCGATCGACGTAGCACCGGCCACATATCACAAAATGCGGTGCCGAGGGGTGGATGACCCAGTCTATGGGCACAGAGATGGCATCCTTGACGCAGCGCTCTGTTGGTGAGATGCCGGAAGGGTGGGTGGCCGGGAGACCGTCATTGCTGATGTCGTGAACAGGCGGTGGCGCATGGGCTTCGGCGATCTCTTGGTAGGGCGGTGGGCCGAGCTCGGTAGCTTCGTAGATGTCGGAATCTTTCGAATCATTGTTGTATTGGGCTTCTTTGGTGTCTTGCGACGTTGTGGGCTCTGGCTGCTCGCTCGATTCTCTGGTGGATGCTCTCCTCTCTCTCCTCTCTCTGGGCTCTCTTGGCTCTCTGGGCTCTCTTAGCACCCTGGACTCCCTAGACTCCCTGAGTTCTGGATACTCCCTTGATTCTCGGGACGCTCTCCTCTCTCGGGCCTCCCTAGGCACCCTGGACTGTCTGTGCTCTCTAGGTTCTGGTTGCTCCCTCGATTCCCTGGATGCTCTCCTCTCTCGAGGTTCTCTGGGCTCTCGGGGCTCCCTAGGTTCTCTGGCTTCCCTGGGTTCTCTGTGTTCCCTAGGTTCTCGATAGTCCCTATGTTCTCGGGCTTCTCTGGGTTCTCGGGCTTCTCTAGGCTCCCTGTGTTCCCTGCGGTCTCTTTGGACTCGCGACTCTCTGGACCCTCTCCTCTCTCGAGTCTCCAGAGGTTCCGGATAGTCTCTGGTCTCACGGGGGTCCCTGAATTCCCTGGAATCCCTATCGAATTCCCGGACCTCCCTTTCGGCGTCCCTAGAATCCGTAGTGGCATCCCTGGAATCTCTGGTGGCGTCCCTAGAATCTCTGGCGCCGTCCCTGGAATCGGAGGTCGTGTCCCTGGGATCTCGGCTGCGATCTCTGGCGTCTCTGCTCGAGTCTCTGGCGCCCCTGCTGCGCTCCCGGGTGCTCCTGGGTCTTCGGCCAGAGGTGGTTCCCTCTCTCCAGGTTCCTTGGACGTCCCTTATGCTGGCATTGTCCCGAATACTGGCGTTGTCTCGAATGCTGGCGTTGTCCCGAATGCTGGCGTTGTCCCGAATGCTGGCGTTGTCCCGGAAGCTCGCATTGCCCCGGAAGGTGGCGTTGTCCCGGAAGCTCGCATTGTCCCGGAGGGTGGCGTTGTCCAGGAAGCTGACAGTGCTGTCCGCATATCTTGGATCCCGGAATGGGTCCCTTGGATCCCTTGGATCCCTAGATTCTCTAGGCTCTCTAGATTCTCTAGGCTCTCTAGATTCTCTGGACTCTCTGGACTCCCTGGGCTCTCTGAGCTCTCCAGAATCGGGTTCTGGCTGGCGAGGGGAAGCGCGGACCTCACCGCGTGGCTTGGCCTCCTTGGAGCTCAGGTCGGTGAAGAGGTTGAAGAGCTGTTCCATGGCAGGCGAGGGATGGTGAAGGCGATGGGGACGGGGACGCTTCCAGACGGGCTGGCAGCATCTCTCTTAGCGTAAGCGGGAATTGAAAAAAAAGAGGAGGAGGAGGGTCGAGAGAATGGCAGAACATTCTTCTGGATTAACGCCATGGTCCAATGCATGCCGGGGGAGTTGTACAACTGTTCAACAGTGGGTTGGCGGTGGAGTTTCCCCGACGATCCAGTTGCCAATCGTGACGGCGCACCACAGGCGGGACCAGGCGACCCGCGCCGTGATTGGCCCGTGCAGAGGAGCGGTCTGCCCTGAGGCCCACTGGACGCTGTGCGCTGAGCAGGCATCGGGCAGCGCGCTTCTGCCCATTGGGCTCGCACCCCAATCAGTGCCCGCCGATAGCAGGGAAATCCCTTTTTCGCGTAGGGATGCACCTGCGCCGCCTGCGAACCGCGAGTTTCAGCAGTTGGTGACTCAGAGGCTGGCTGCGAGTGCGCAGTATTTCACGCGACACGCCTCGGCTTAGGCATCAGTCAGGGTGATCACGTGCCAAACTTGCCTCAAAACGGCGGTGATTAGTCAGCTTAGCAGCTGCTTATTTGGGCTGTATCCGCGATTTTCTGCATTTCGTGCGTCAATAGCTGCCACGACTCGAATCCTCCTGGCTAGGCTGCTGGCTTGGGCTGCACTGCATTAAATCTCGATGGAAAGGGACCCGAATCTGACCCTCATGACTGCTCATTACGACATGTAAGCCGAGAACCTTAGCATCTGGTGTTATTGCTGCTTATTCTCGCTTGACGGAACGTCGGCGGGGTGAGCAGGGATCTAGGGTAGCATCTTATTCTTGGTATCGTCGATCCTTATCGGAGCACATAGACCCTCTCATCAACATCCAGACCTTGTACCATCTCTCCCCTCATCGCTCCGTATACATATGCGTCGCCTACGACGAGGTAGAAATCCCCATCCGGCCGCAAGACTGTGCATCGTCGTGAGCCGCAGAGCACAACAGCCACGTCTCCAGGTTGGGTGTCGTACGGCCCAACGCCGGAAAACCCATTCTCAGTCGTGAAAAACGTGCGATTGCTCAGAGCTCTTCCTGCTTTTTCATAGAACGGCCTTGTATATTCCTTGTATCTGATATGAAAGGGAATATCGGGTAGAAATCCCGCGGGCAGCGTTTCCTTTCTGAGGAATACCCGGCCCCTCGCACCGACCTCGTCACGCGCAGGAGAGATGCTCACTCCAAAGGGTGTGTCTGAATCCAAGTCGAGGATGAGTGTCCGCCAGAAGATCTCGAATGCATCTCCGTATAGGCTCGATGCATATTCAATTAGGCTGCTCACAAATTCACCCTGACCTAGGCCCTCGACTAGCTGCCTAAAGTTGGCTGGATTGCTGCCCGGAGGGAGCTTCTCTAGGTCTCGCATCGGCCCGATGACAAATCCAATATTTCCTATTGGAACACCTGTGGCAATCATTGATTCCGTTTCCATATCGAATTGCACTTCCGTATCCACCCCTTTCGATGCCTGCCAGGTTTGGTCGTCGAACAACATGACCCCCCACATGTCGAGAGCGTGGTGTTGACTGTGAACTTCAAATGTCCAGCTGGGGACAGATGAGCAGGCGGTTCTTCTATTCATGTTGATCTCAAGATATCTCAAATCCTTATCTCGCTCAACCAAGAATCTGACAAACTCCATCATTGTTCTGCGAAGCGGTCTTGAATAATTGGGCAGGAAGACTTGGTCCTCATTCCGTGCCAAGCCCAACAATGCGTAGAGCTTGTCTCGTTCATCTGTAGCCTGGTAATTTCTGGTAACATAAAGCAGGAACTGTATCTTAGGCGGATCAGCTCTCGTGATGGCCCCATTGAAAGCTGATATCACCTGTAGCATGTTGACTCCCGGAGGGTGGCCGTTGTTTCGGCGAAACATGGAACCCAACGGTTCTGGCATCTCGCCTGTAGCAAAGTCGATCATTTTCCCTGAATCTAAGAATAGTTGAACCAGCACACCGCAAGTAAGTGCATATTCTCTCATATCGAATCTTGAGGCGCCACAATAGAATATACAGGGCCATGTTTCTATTCCTCGAACGGCTAGTTCTTGGATCACCCATACTCGGCTCCAATACGGCCGCTCGAAGAACGCCCAAAGAGCGTCCCATGGCATATCCGTCGTGCGGAACCCTACCCTGTCGAGACGACCCAACAAGTTCTCTCCCTCAGCCCGGTATATCTCGTCCAAATCGGCATGCGTCAGAAGCCTCCCCAGGGTTTTAATAATGTTCACAGCCTCATCACTGTTATCGGCAGAATCGCCAGTCCACGCAATGACACAGGATGCTTGAGAGTAAATCCTAGTCATCCTTTGTACCTGTACTGTCTTTTCACCATTGTCAGATTGATTGATGCACAATGCGTCGACCCAGAGCGTTCGTGATCGCCTGGGCTCACGAAGGCGACGTAAAGCAGCTTGGAGGTTGGATGTCACGCTGAATCGGGCTCCTTCTAACAAGATTTGCCTCCGATCTTGTTGATCTCCCCAGAGGTAAGACAGTGCCTCATATGATGGATTATCATCTAGCGCTGAATGTACGAGTATACACCGGACTTCTTCGTCTTCGAGGCCAGGCATCAACTCCAAGAGCCTGAACTCTGAGCTACCTGGATCTAGAGGTGAGTAGTCATAGTCCTTCAGGTGAATCATTTTGGCCTGGTTTGGTGACTCCCGATCTGGAAGAGCTGGTGATGACATCCTGCCTCTTTCGAAATGAACAGGCTATAGCTTTCGACTGAGTTATTGTATATCGAGACGGTATCCTGGGAAAGTCATATTGTTGAATGAATAAAGGAAGAGCTACTTTTGAAGCCTTGTTCAACAGAGCGAGCGGGGTTTGCTTATGCAGCCACTCAGCCGCACGAGTGAATACTTGCGCTCTTTCATGATAGGGTGGCTCAATACAGCCAATGACACGTGAAAATTCAGCACCATAAGCAGAGGAGCGCTTGGCAATTGTTTCAATTGATCTATTTGGTATTTTCAAGGTGGAATGAGCTTTGGTAGTAGCCTTTGATCACTATTGAAGAGCCAAGTATGTATGGACCCTGAAGAATATTGCCTTCCAGTAATTGAAATGAACATGAGACGGATTAAGAGATAGCATGGCCGATCCATCTTCATGCCTTCAATTACAAGCTGCTATCATCTACTTGCTAACTAGCTGGAGCAAGCTGTGCAGCAAGCTGTAGCATGGGCACAACAAAATGTGCTCTCAACGCAGGAACAACAGCACTGAGGCAACCGTCAGTTTTTGGGCATCTGATTATTATGAGGCTATCCTTACACATTCCTTCATTTCTTGGCTTCTCTGCTGTCCGTGTCTGTCATTTTCCTCGTTACCACCACGGAGATGGAGTTGCCGTTGATCTGATGTCTTCATCTCCATTGATTGATATGGGGCCTGGACGAAATAAACAAATGTAACATGTTAGCTTAAGATAATTGCTGCTAGAGTATGGTTATGTCTCTTACTGGCTGAGTGGCCGTGGCTATTTTGCCTGTCATAGAAGCCATTGCTCTGCTGGGGTCGTCTAATGTTGGCGTTACTGTGATGCTTAATGTAGATACATTTGTCGGGGCTCGTCTTCTTTTCCGTCTTTTGCTGCTTTTATTTTACCAGGTATGAGAGTAATAAAGTCACTGGGGTTCATCGCTGCACTCAGCCCGTCCAGAGTAGGGTTGCGATTGGCTCGTTAATAAAGAGTGTTATTTTTGGGCAAGTTGTGGATAAAAAGGCCACGCCAAGAACAAAAAAGCCCCAACAAGGCAGAAATAACGGCATCTCACATATACGTGTGAATAAGGAAAAACGTGGTATCTGGTTATTTTCTAGGGAGATCATGAAACACAGAAAACTGAGTCTGACTTTCTTTCAATTGATTGATGTAGCAGAGAGAACATGATGGATCTGGATTAGGCCTACTTGAGGACTAATCTTCCAATATTTATGTCTGAGTCTCAACATCTATATATATAATAATCACCTAGTTCTTGACTTTACTTGCATGGGCCAGGGCACTGGTCGTGACCGGTCACTTCCAAGTTGGGCGTGTCCGATCTCCTGTCTCCTCAAATAGAATATAATCTCTTTCTCGACATTCCCGCTCTTTTGGTCTGCAATCAACGCATATCCTTTCGAAGTGACTTGATAGCCGGTCACCTCTGATCCGGGTGCACTTGACCAAATTAATTGCGTTTGCTAATGGGTAAGAAGTGGTCATTTCCCAAAAACCAAAAACCTCTCCACAAATGTCGCACCAAATACTACCAACGTAGTCAAAATATTTCAATTTGTGCAGAAGCGAGGGCGAAAGTACCTATTCCAGATTTCATCCATGCCCTGTAGCGTGCTAGGCAAGCTAAATAAGCAGGTGTGATCACGATACCCTGGTCCTCAGGTGTTTTTCTGAATCATCAATACTCTTGGCATGGCAATAACACGCATTCAGTATTTGTGCAATATATATAAGCCCTGAAATAGGCACCGGCGCCCTTGTTCGCGTGCAAAGGTCTAATGGATGGGACTTTGGCTACAATAGATATGCAAGCTATCGGAGCTTCAGCGTTCTGACAGCGTGGCTTTTTTCTCCCTTTTCCCTTGAATGACTCTTGTTCTCGTGATTCTCGTCATGATGATATCAGCCCTTTGCTACATCCTCACCTTTATGTTTTCTGTAAATCAACTGCAACCTCGATAAAGCGATAAATGACCAAGAGCTTGGTCTCATTATAATCTAATCCCACCTGCTACTCGGCTCGTGCGCCCATATAAGACAGTTCAAATATGAGTGGAGGGTCTAATTCTCATGGAGCAATCCACGCGAGCTCATATGAAAATGGCAACGACGAAGTCGAGGCCTCGTCTAGGGCTACGACGAAAGGCAGCCAAAATGCCCAGGATACACGCTCAGCCTCTCCATTGGCATACGAGACTGATCAGCAGCGCGAAGTCGTAAAGCATGGAAACAGCTTTCGTACTCCAGTCCACCGGAATTTTGACAAATATGGCAACGAAGCAGGCGGTCCTTCAACCCAGCTTAAGCCAGCCGTGCAAGAGCCATCACCGGTCTCTTCTCCAACACCCGATGCACCTTCCCAGCAGCAAGACGCGATTAACAACACAAGGGAAAACGCTCGTTCCCACGGCCCAACATACCATGGCTACCATGAATATGGGAATGCAAAAAGCGGCCCCTCGAATCATAAGCGTCACACGGTGCCGCGGGATTCTAAAAGAAAGCTTCAGAAGCCTAGAAAACCGGATCAGAGCAAGACGAGAATGTCGAAGGCTCACGGCCCGGTATATCAAAGTTACAATGAATATGGCAACGATGGGGACGGTGCCCTGCCTCGACCTAAGCCAGGGCTTAACGCCAGAGATCAGAGTTTCGGGACTCCTCTGGTATCTCTCGTGCCTGACCAGCAACCTGGGAGAAAAAAACGAGGAATTGCCGTGGGAGGACCCCCTTACAAGAGCTTCCAAGACCATGACCAAGACCACGACGAGTGGGGCACGTCCTGGCATCCAAGCCCAGCTAAAGCTCCGGCCGACGATGGGCCCTCATTCGCAGATGGAACTAGCTGGGTCTATTTCAAATTGGCCCTCCACGTGATAGGAATGATGGTTTCTCTTGCCTCTTTAATCTTGAGTTTTACCTTCATTCCACATAAGCGCTACCATGGAGACTTGATAGCAATTTCATGCCCAGTTGTAAGCCCTCCCTCCCCACAAGCCTCTCAACAATTGTTGTCTAACATCCTTTGAATAGCCTGGAGTCGCTCTCATATTGGGTTTCGGCGAGTTGGCCGTTCGAATTGTCTACGAATACACGGAAAAGCCCCGCCGCGGCGCTGCTTCCAAAGGAATCCATCCAGCTGGCCATGTCGCCGTCTGCCTAGTTCTTTGGCTAGCTAGTATCGTCGTGCTGTATTTCTTGACAACATACATTAAGGCCACCGATAATTACTGCTATGCGCCGTTCGACGAAACAATATTTACGAATTTTTGGTGGGGCGTGTGCCAGGGAGAATGGGACGGTCAACGGCCATCTGCGGTAGCTCTTGCTGCATTGACGGCTACGATCTGGCTTATCTACTTTTTTCTATTTATCTTCGCTTGCATTGAAACCTCCAAGAGAAGTGAGAAAAGAGCGGGGAAAACAACAGAAAAGAGATCGACGCCGTGATTTCATCTTCAGCGACTTTAAAACATAGCACCTAATGTATTCTTTGATTTAATTTGTTCTTCAATGATTTGGTAGAGGGTATATAAGGCCATACGGAATAGCTCCTACTAAGCTTGCAAGGTGAGGCATCCCGAAGACTAGAGGAACACAGCCTCATAGGGATGGAAACTAGCACATCTCTCTCGAATTTTTGTTTGTCGTTTGTAGATTCGACTCTTCATTTGATTCCTTTGTCTTTTGTCTTTCTGAAAAGCAAGTACCAGGTTGAATAGGATACGGCTACAGCCCCTACTGCCGAAACAACAAACATCCAGATATGTGGCGAGAAGGTGACTAGTTTATTTTCATCTAGTTCAACCAAGTTCATTCCCCAGAAGCCCTTGATGTCCAATCATATCAGCTGTGCCCAAATGGCGGTCAAGATTGGATAGGTACTTACAGAAACAAATGTCACAGGAAGGAAAAACAAAGTGAGATTGGTGACAAACCTGGTCAGGTCCTTGGACTCATCACGGGCCTCCTCAAGAAGGTCCTCGTTGAGTTTTAGCTGCAGGATATTAACTAGATTATTGGCCTAAAAAAAGGCGAAGTAGGGTATTAGAGTATTGAAGCAACGGCTTGGAGGATTCGGACTGATTTTCAGGCTACTCACCGTTTGTATCTCATTTCTCACCCTCTCAGCGAAAGCATTGGCTCGCTCCTTCAGACTCTCAAGGAAACTGCTGGAAAACTGTATACCTGCGACAACATTCTCCAGACGCATAGCGCCGCTGGTCAAACAATCGACAGAGCGAGATTGCGTCTCGGCGCGTAGCAAAGCCATGCTTGCTGTTTTCATCGCGACACTGATCGTTTCGGTCATATGGAGGGTGTGGCGGGAGAGCTCAGCTAGCTCTTCTGGGTGGTCATCCGAAATCCCACCATCTTCGTGCGTAGGGTCAAGTTCCATTCTGCGTTTCACGACTCGACGGCGTGTCTGGTGGGATATCACTTAGTTTACTGCAGCTTTTATGTAATTCTTTGGCTCACCTTTTCAATTGTACGAATCGGCATTCTAAACTTCCAGAGCGCCTTGTCGAATTGCCAGACAATTACACCAAGCATAGCGTCAAAAACGGCATATGGGCTGTCTCTGATGTTACCGAGCGTGTAATTTCTCAGTCCTTCAACGATCTCAGTCTTGATGTCTGCAGCATCGTCATAACACACTAAGACGCAAGAAACCTTGTTGGTGAAGCGATTTTTGGACCACAGAACAGAGAAGGACAAGAACGACCAGCTGAAATCGGTGGCCCCTTCGCCATAGTTTTCAGCCAGAAATTTGATTAGGAAGCGACTTCCATAGCCTGGTGGGGAAATTCAGCAATAGAAAGATATAGGCTCTCTATGGGCACATACTATACCCATCCTGGGTCTCGGACCGGACCAGCTGCCGGCTACTGAAGAAACCATTGGAGTCCCATGCCGAAGTTGTTAAGAAGAATGGTTCAAGGTGAAGCTTATCCGTAAGCTCCCGACATAATACCGGATCATCGAGCAAGACTTGCCCTTGGCCCTTGCTTTTTCGAAAGATGGGTGGGAGAAAGCTTTAAGGCTGGTCAATATAATGCGATAACATGCATGATTTTTTGTACGGGTGACTCACTAGATCTGAAGCTCATCATCCTATATCTCAGTGTCAGATACGGAGGGAAAGCTGTTGGCTGGCATGTCCACATATGACTTACCTCTACAAGCTGAGGTGATACATGGCCAATAAGGTGATTAATGGTGGCGGAGTCTGACTGAGGGGAAGTTGTCCCTTGGGCCGCACTTTTTAGGCTTCAAGAACACGGAAACAGATGAGCGCTTAGCCCAAGAACTTTGGTTGGTTTCTTTCTGGACATCAAACTTACCTGAATCGTACCCGTTCTACAGTGCCCTCACTCATCTGTAGCTTCTCATTTATGGTGGGTGGTGTGGGGAGCGGCGCGGTCGACACGGATCCGGAGAGGCTCATGATGGCGCATTCCGCCTGTCGACAGAGCTCATGGTAGAGAGGTGGGTGGGTGGGTAGTACACAGCATCAAAGGAACCAACATTTACGTCTTTGCATTCATTGATTTATTGGGGTTTTAACTCATGTTATGAACAATGGCTGCCTGACTTGCAGGGATGGGACCTAAGCCTTCGGTAGCTCACAAAGCACAATTGTGTTGTGATACTGAACCAACACTGGCGATCCCCTGCAAGGCATTCTCCGTATCCAGTGTTCGTCCAAAGCATTGGTCAACCATTGCTCAGCCACAATAAGCAAATCGTCGTTGCTTGCCCTTCCGAAAGAAATGGCGTGACACGCGTGCCAAAATCCTGGGCAACCTAGCCTCACCCAAGGGTGCAAATTTCCATCATCTCCATGCCTTATTGTGCACATCTCTCACTTCGATTTCCGGCCCAGGCCTGAGCGCCTCATATAGCAAGGGCTGCAGCAAACACAGCGATCCCGCCGTTGATCATCTGTCTATGGACGGCATTTGAAGTTGATGTAGGGTTCGGCACCGTGGCGATAGTAAATCCATTACCTGATGAGTCGGTTCCAGTGGACGTGGTTGTAGGAGGCGCTGAAGTCGGTGTAGATGTCTCACTGCTGGCTGCTGCCATTGGAGTCGTGGCGGTAAGCAGGAGAGCAGTGAGTAGCGAGAATTGAACCATTCTTAATGAATCTAGATAGCTAGAGAGGCGAGTCAAGAATAGAATAAGGATGAAAAGAGTGGTAAAAGGTTGAAGAGATGATGCGAAATAGGATATAGGAGATTTTGAGAAACACCCATCCACTTTCCCTCACACGACGCGACGGCAAGTTTCTGTCTGACGATTCAGCAAGCGCTGGATGGACCTACCAGAGCCTCTGGAAGGGTTGCAATTAGCGGTGGATAACCGCTGACAGGGACCTGAGACGTCTCACATAAAGCACTTGGCTCGTGGGCCAGTGAATCAATCCTCTTCTGGACTGCTCTGCCTTAACATGCGTAAAATGTTAGGCCTAAAACGGGGATAATTCGGCTGAGAAGCCGGAAAATAGCATTTTGTTATCCGCTTCCAGAGCTTTCATTTTCCCAGGTCTTATGGGGTTTGCGTGTGTGCACTGCTGCGTCGATATTTCTGCTAACCAGACAGTCAAGTCTCCCGCGCTCTATAGCATATAGCATGACTCGATTCTGAATTCAGTGCCCCAGCTTCCTTCCCATCCGACCGAGATATGATAACAGTCTTCACGTTCAACTATGAATGATGGATCGCGGCCCTTGGTTCTGCGAATTACATGAGGCTATCCACAGGTTTAAGCCTCTCGCGGAATGATCCGGTGGCTGAGCCCTCGGCCGTTGTACCCGCTTCGGCTGTGTATGGCAGATCGTCCCAGTGACCCAGTCTAACTCGTGCAAATCTCAGCTCATCATCATCATCATCTCGTCGCCCTGCCATGCCCATTTGTCCTGGATCCAAATAGCTTCTGAGCGGCCAAGCCCCGTGCCAGCTTTTCCAATCCGACGTGTATAGAACCATTCCCATCGCCTTGTTCATGTCAGCATGAGGCGGCACGCTGGCCCGTTGGACAAGCGGAAAAGGGTGACGCGGTGCCACTCCTGCTCCAAGCGGCGAATCAAGGTTAGAAACACAATGGGTCAACTTTACATGATACTTGCAATCTAACCCGAGGAAACAGTGTGAGGGAGGCTTCCCGTGTGAGTACTGTACTCGGACCAAGAAGCAATGCCATCCTCCTGGTCCGTCTTCCCGGAGAATAGAATTTGTCCTTGTCAACAGCTCGACACGGCCTGATTATCAAACGCTGGGGTCTCCTGCTCTGATCCCGAGACCAGATGACAGCCTGTATCTGGATTATTTTGCGCTCTTCGTGGAAAGATGCCAATTTACTAGGGGGTTTGCCACCATATCCACGGATCTCCTTCCTCTAATTTCTTCGTCGAGGCCTTTGAAAGATTTAGCACTGGCAATTGGCGCATTGGAAGCCAGCAGGAGAGGATCCTTACACACATATCGTGGGTCAGATTCTCCGCAAGTTGCGTCTTTTGGATTTTACGGGAGATCGATCGAAGCGTTCCAGATGCAGATACAGACCAGCCAAGGGATTGAAAGGGAGGATGTCCTTTGGACCACCCTTTTCCTCGGAATTTTCGACGTTTGTTCAAATCCTTCAGTATCGACTGGTTTTGGAAGCTAATTGGTTGTGCAAGCTCATGACCGAGAATTCCGGCGATGGTTGGGCCAACCACATGTCGTATGGCATATCAAGGATTTTGCAAGCAGTGAAGCCTGTTGATGAACCATCGCCACTGAGAATGACGCTTCTTGACGCATTCCAGACCCTCGAGGCTAACCGGGCTATTATATACGGAGATGCCTCATTCCTGGTTCAAAAGTGCTGGTCATCGCACTTCCTAGGGCCGAATACACATCCCCATGGCGCGATGCACAGCATCATTCAACTCATGCTCCAAGTATCTGGCTTTAGCCAAAGGTAAAATATTGCAAGCTCATATAATTTACACGAAATAACTTATATTCTGTAGATTCTTTGAAGAGATAGAGTCGATCCCGAGCGACGACAGGCCTCTCCACCCACTCATAAGCGAGCTTGCAGTTGATGGTTGCCGCCTCCACGAGAAGCTAGAATCATGGTACAGTGATACAGCGCCCCAGAGAGACGAGTCTGATCCATATAGCAAGCTTGCATTGGCAATCTACCATGCTCTTGGCCTCTTCTTGAGTGGAAATTATGGGTACTATTCATGCTGGGAAGGCCAGAGACTCCCAAGCTTGACTTTGGTCGAAAGGGAACGCCGTTCGAATACAGTACTGAGCCTGTCCGTCTCCATTCTGGAGAATTCGAGTATTCCGGGGCCATTGATTTTATTCCCGCTGAGAGTCACTGGTTTGTATTCCACAGGGGAACAACAGCGTCAAGAAATCTTGGGTTTACTTGGGCGTATCCAGCGACAAGGGTTCAATGTCGCCGAGAGAATACAAGGTGATTTGCAGCAATGCTGGAACTATCAAGACTCGCACATTTCACTTCTTCGGATGATCGATAATATCCCCGAGTAATCAATTAGTCAATCGATACGGAAAGCAAATCAGATGTCATCTTCAATTTTTGCTATCAAGTGGGAGAGACGTATGCTAGTTACAGTGTGCTCACACAAAGCCTTTCTGATCGACGTTCGAACTTGATTGTGACTAATCCTACCCTTAAAGGTTATGAGGAAATCTATATATCAATCTCATAAGATGGTCGAGTTCGATAGAGACTGGGGTAGGATCATATACGCTTTGGTAATTTACTCAGCCATGAGGTTGAAAAACTCGGTGATAACGCGAGTTCTCTCCACTGGCGCAAAGTAGTCATATCCAACGACAACATTGCAGGTGTTGACGAATACAGTCACAGGAATCACTCCCTGGTACATCATGTTCCACTGTGCGTATAAATCGTTAGGAATGAGACGGGCACGGAATATGTGGAGGATTCTTACTGCGGCAACTTGATCTGCCAAAAAGGTTCTCTTCACAAGGCCGCTGAACACAGCACCAGCCTGGACCAAAATGTCTTCCTGAAATATGGGGAAGTTTGAGTTCACATAACCCTGCCAGATGTTCGGAGTCGTAGAGTTGGCAGTATACATTGTAAGGATGTTATCGACCTGGCCATCATCGGTGACGTTTGCATAGTTGAATAGCGAGGTCCCAAACCCCTCATCGTTTGCTTGATCGACCCGAACGAAACCTTTGGAGGGAGAGTTGACGATGTATCCGGTTGTGATGTGAGACAGGTTTTGGTTCCTGCTGGCAGTTAGGCTGGGAAGAAAGGGATTACTTTCCTATACAGATTTTGCTTTGTGTGACTTACCACTTATGCTGGACAAACTGTGTCTGAAATTCGGATTTGACTAGCGGCGGTTCTGGTTGTTTGAAATCGCTCGAAAAGGGAACAACGGAGGAAGGAAAAGGAGTGCAGGAGTCAGCCAGGGCAGGTGAAAGCGCCAGGCTTGTAGCCACGGAGAGACAGGTGTTAATCTTCATATTGATGTATCAGATAGAAGTAAGGTGAGGAAACTCCGTATGTTATTGCAGTCAAGATAGGATATGACTTGGAACTGACCAGGCACACATCTCCGGCAGGAAAATTCCTCTACTTATAGATGTTTCTCTCCAAGCTATGATCCTCATCAAGGCGGGTGCGTTCAAATGATTCTTCTTTAGGAATGGTGGCCAGGCAAAACATCTCCCGAGGCTAAGTTGTCGGTTCTGTGGAGCTGCGTTCATTTGCTTCCGTTTTGGGCTTAATAAACCTCGTAAATCGACAGCCTAGGAAACCTCACAGATATGTTGCAGGGAATACGCGCGGCAAATGAATGAGGGATGTGCAAGATTTGCTTTCTTTGCTGGCTGGATTATGACCAACGTTCACATAGGATATGTTATCTGGGAAGGGTGAAACCTGGCCACCATACAGATAGGGGACATAGAATTGCCGACAAGCGATTTGTGCAAGGCATTAAGACACATGTATATGAAATGTACTCTTTCACCCCTTCCTTTTCTTTATGAAATTCCGAATCCTCTCCGATATCAGCCCCTTTTCGAATATCCTCATAGCTGCCTGCTGACAAGAGCAGACGAGGTTGAGGGCAATGTCATGGCCAGCAGCGCGCGCTTAGCTTCGCCCATGGATTTTGGAATCGCTGCGTCATCCCTACCTCCCATTCTTGCAATCCTCTGCTGCTCTATCGGCCACACAATCCTGCTCTCGTCTTCGAAATCCCACCAGCCTCTACCTCCTCTGCTGAATATCGCGGCCCTCTTCTTCCACGAGGCTAACCACCTCGTGTCAGACACTTCTTGAGTCACACCAACGATATTCTGCGCTCTCTGGGGAGCAGGGAAGGGCATCATTGCATCAACGCGAGCTTGGTCCCACATGACATACCCTAGCTCACGCAAATGATGGTGGTGAGGCTGATATACGAAGCCCGTGCTCAGTTCGTCGAGATGTTCCCGCTCCCAGGCATCGCTCGGCCCCGTGTCGGGATCGTTGAAAAACGGTCGTCTGATATACTCCTCCCGGTCCTCGGCCGAGAACGCCGACAGTGTAGATGTACTTTCAACAGCAGACCTAGCCGTCAGTCTCAAAGCCCTGTTGAGAAAGTCAGGTCGGGCGAGGAAATGGTCAGACGATAGCTGGGCATATCGATCATCGTACGACTCTGCAGTTGAAATAGCATGTATTTTAACCAAGCCTTGCGACAGTACGCCCTGGAAGGAGATGGAGCTCAGGAACAGGGCGGGCTCGATCTTGAGGTTGCCCCATGTAATATCATGCGCGGCTACATCATTGAAAGCTGTGAAAGAGTCAGCATCTGGCTTAGAATCTCCAAGAGAGGACCCATTCTCTTCCTCCATCTGTCGCGAAATCACCGCCGACTTACCTGGAGATGCAATTCTGAAGAGGAAATCCAGGATAGCACCAAGTTGTTCATTCTCCCATGGCGCGAAGCAGAGGCAGAATGCAGCCAGAGAGTCATGAGACACCGGCTGGCTAGGAGATTTTCGATAGTAGAGATTGCAGAATATTTCAAACCGGTAGAGCGCCCGCTTGATACGAGCAAGTTCGCTGGCAGTTGGTGCAGCTGCTCCGTTGGAGGGACTGTCGCCGCTGGTTTCTACCCTGGCGAGACAGTCGTCCGCAAACCTCTGCGCCAGGCTCTCAACGCAGAAATTCAGCTCTTCCAACTGTAAATATGCACCGACGGTCGCAGATATTGGATGAACAGTACGACGGACGAGATAGGTGGTGATGAAGGCATCCGACGCTTCCGGAGAGTGGGGTGGCAGACGAGAAGAAGCAAAGGCGATGGTGACCTCTGGCAGCACGTCGCATCCCACTTGGTTGACTAAAATAGATGCTGTAATGGCTTCGGATGGTTTGAGCAGATAGGCAGAATGCAAGGCACGACAGGTCAAGATGGCAGCCGCCAAAGAAGAGAAGCTGTCAAGCTCTGCGAGGATGAGCCTCCGAAGCTCAATGGGCAGCGTGTCAAAAGCCATTACAGCTCCAGGCGTGAATCACAGAAGGTCTCGATCGTGGAAGAGCCTCTGAAGAGTACGGTAACCGGCCAGACAGACACAGGTATTGAGAGAGTCGTATGTTGTTGTAGCTTCAAAGTTGTTGCACAGGTGAGTTGAACCGACTTCCCCGCACGTAGAACATCAGGTGGCTCCTCACTGGCAGGTCATTAGCTTCATCTGGCTCTTTTATTGCATAGATGGGACCTGACGTTATTCTATTGGGAATTCCTTCATCATGCGATCTATTATTTCCCATCGTGTTCCAATCCATGATCACTCGCAAAACAATACCACAACAATAAAACAACAAACCCATGATCATACCAATGATACATCGTCCCGACGCATTGTCCAGTCTACCAGCAATTGAGGCCGCCATTTGAACTCCTCTTCGCAGTCAATCACGAACTCCCAGTGAGACCTAAAAATGTTGAAGAGCTCCTTCCACGTGTATATCCGCCTATTCCTCTCCAGGGTCGGCAAAAGCTTACAGCCAAACATTAAAGTCATAGCCCTGAAACGTGAAATCTGCTCTGGGGGCGGCGGGGGTCTGTTGCCGAAAGGGTTGCGGCTGCCACTTCGTCTCTTTCTGTCCCAAAATTCACGGAATTGGTCATGATGTCGCTGGAACAACCTTATATCGACATAACGGAGAAGTCCAGAATGATCTCGCCGAACATCCTCTTGTTGTTCTGCCACCATCCCTTTCAGATCCCAGTCGTACTTTGTGAAGCTCTCAAGCTCCTGGGTTGGAGTGCGGAGTCTTTGCTCAAGTTGTTGGCGGTATTTCAGCATAGGAATCTGAAGCCATTCGAGTAAGGCCACAGCCAAAGCCTGAGCTCCATGTTCGTTCATAAAACATCGGTTGCATAGTAGGTCATCAAGCTGTGTCCTGACTGACACATTCCAGGCCATACTGGCCTGATTGTACGCCTCGGATGCCACCACACCGTCACCTTGGTGGTACGGGAACCAATTGTTTTTCACACTTCCAAATCTGAAATTGCGCATTTCCTGCCATCTGGTACAGCAAGGGCATCTTATCATGTACGTCGTCCATCGCAGTGCGGTGACATCCAACTCGGCCGGGCGTCCTGGGACTGTTAAGGATGAAGGCCGGCGAAAGAAAGGTGAAAGCACATCCGAGAGGTCTGGGAACCAGCGATCAAAGCATGATTCGAAGTAGAGCCCGCGAGATTTCTGTATTGGGACATTGTGAGTGCCGCCTTTGTACATAGGAAATCCTGAGCTGTCGTCAACTGAGCGCTTGGGTCCAAGCTCTCCTGCCTGAAACCGGCACTCATTGCATTTACGCCGCCATCGCCTGTAGCCAATGCAGGCGTGCCCTGAAGACTTATTGCCCTGGTCGGACACTTCGAATCCATTCTCTGCATCGTCAAATTCAAGTCCATTGTCTCCCCACTCAACTTGCTCTGGTGACTCTGTGCTTCGCCCCCTGACTTTCTCACGCAAGGAAGGGAGCCAAGAGGTCGTGGGGTTAGCAGCCGGGGATGAAAACGGTGGCTTTCGATACGCGTTTCCCAGAATGTAATGATTGTCGAAGTCTGTATGTGGGAGGAGGCTCACGCAAGCTGTGCATGCCCACCGATGAGCCTCCCAATCATTGAGGTCCCAAATCGGCTTGAATTTTCCGTCCTTCGTTATGTAACACAGTGGTGTCATGCCTCCGTAGCGTTCGGAACATTCTACTTGCAGCAGCCTTTCTGCAAAATCCTTCCTCTTCGGATCGATAAGGCGACTGAAGTATCGGCAGCTTTGGCTAAGCGACACGAGGCCAATCGGATCGAGGTGCGGGATGATCTTGTGTTGAAGTTCGACGGCCAATAACTGGAACGCGCTCGGACGTCGATGTTCCTCTCTGGACGCCATCGTGGGCCCTGATGAATCCGTTAGCAAGCCATCTCACAGTGGTGGCACAGGATTTGTGTCCAGGTTTGCTTACCTCCGTTTGTTGAGCCCTCTTCGGAACCCATTTGGTGGGAGTGTCAGACAGCCTGGCAAGCGTCGTGGACTTCGTTCCTCCACCTTGATGGTTTTTGATCGTTCCGCGCTCTGCCCAAAAGATGTTTGAAAAGTGAAAGAGATGAGAAGTGATGGTGAGGAGATGATGATTGAGGCCGCGTGTTTCTCCTCTGCTTCTTTATTTTGATTTGGAAGCGTGCCACAGGTTCGTTCCTTCCTCGAGGAGGACAAGTGCCCAACTGCCGTGATTTATCCGCCGATTACCCTCCTCACCGTCCAAGTTGGCAGAATGCGCCTTCTACCGCACTCTCTGCCCTGGATTTGAGGGAATGAAGGGTAGGTAGGTTTGTACTGAAAATGGGAGGTAGGTAGGTAAGTCTCTTGCTTCATGGTGTGTGTGTGGATTTACACGAGGTTTGTGGCTTCCCGAAACATTACGTCCATTTGCTCCTAGTGCTGGCTTCAGACACTGCTCACATCCAACATGGCTCTCTCAGATAATGCTCAGTTTCATTTGAGAACCATTTTTAAACCCATGCCGTGTGTGCACTGTTAGATATTGCGTTGCGGGTATTCGGATCCTAACTCCACAGTCCATGGTCTCAAGTTCTTCATCCCCGGTTGCTTTTGTCTAGAAAGCTGCAAACATCTTAGAGGATAGGATTCTCTGCTACAATTTCTTCACCACTCGCAACGGCCTGTAGCGTTATCGCGGTCTGCGTCAGGTTGGCTGCTTGTTCATTTACCTCCTCGCTTGCTTCTGCCATAGATTTTATGTATCTGCAAGTATAGCCACATCGTATATCTATGGCCACAAATGCTATGCCGCATAGTTTTCTTGTCCAATTCCGCGCTTTATCATTGTATGATTGCCTGTCAACCAAATAATGGCGGCCAGCTTCTGAACAAGACAATCGTCTGGTTTGGGGTCATTCAACAGTGAACAGATCGAAATTAGGACTGGTCTTCGCTTTAGTAGTAAGAAAATTCGTCCACAAACAATAGAACTGGAGAGTCATACCTTTTTCAATGGTGAGACTTGGGCTCCAGTTGGAGTCAAGAATATCAATAGATATTTCACTAGAAGGGCTGATGTTCGGGTGGTACATTCGGGTGTTGAATGTAAAATCGGGGGGCTTAGTGGGATACTCAGATGGTAAATATACTGAAAGGGAAAATAGTCCTCTTCATAAGGTGTATCGACCTGAAGAGAATTTGGCCCCTGGTTAGGTCAGTGGCAAAAGAAACGCATGGTCTACTCTTACCGCCCTTCGGCGCACATTCATCATTAAGATTCTCCGGGACGGTGCATGGACCTGATACTGAGGCTTCTCGTCTCCATCCGTGGAAGCTGCCTGTTAATATGCTTGAATTCCCAGCGAATGAGTTCGCATGTCAGAGACTCCAAGTGTTCATTGACTCTCATGAAAAGGGGACATCGTACAAATGGGTTGTGGAAGAGACATTCAACACAAGAATAGTAACTAAAGCCGGATGATACTGCCATAACAAAAGAAGGGGCATTCTTAACCCATGTGGCTAATAATACGCGTCCTCTGTGTATGATCGATTCCCGGCCCGGTATGCGAGTCATCTCACTCACCTCCTTTAGATCCCAGTCTAGATATTTGCCACATATCTTCTGTTATCTTGCCCTTATCAACGATCGATAAGTCTCAGATTAAGGGTTTTGCGCTATCATAGACGTCCAGATATTCTATCTAGTCGTCTTATCTAGCCGCCTTACTATCTCTTGGAAAACACCTGTCTTGACTCAGGTCTGGCGGCTTCGGGGCTCTCCGTTGACTCATCTCTTAGGATTGTGGATTGTACGGTTTTTGGAAAGTTTCTCAGGTGATAATGTTGTTACTCTCTAGAAAACTGCGCAACCGAAGCTGTGATAATCAGCTCTGAAATGCTGCCCTGCTCAGTATCATACACACGCGTCTGCAGGAACTTGTTCTAACTTCGACTTCGTCTCCTCTTAATATCAATAAAGATCATAATTAGGGTCAATGCATCTCGCTACTTCCAAATAAGAAGAGTGATCAAAATACGACTGCTCTCAGGTAGTGTATCCAGCCAGCGACACTTGTAAATATCTGACTACGAAGAATCCAACAAAGATTGATATCAAATCACAACCACGTTTCTACAGACCTACAAGGTTATAGTAACACCTAATATAAATCAAGAATGTAATCTTTGGCTATTCTGAGTACTCATGACGTTTCGTAAACCCAATGTAGCTAACGATGGACTTAGTATCTGCGGGAAAATGCCTCTTGAATCAATGAAACGCTTTCCCCTCCTGGATTGACTTTATTGCCACCTAAGCAACTTCTCTTGGTTATTAACAAGACGGTGTTTATTGCAACAGCATATCGTAGGTCCATTGATCCTCAGGAACATCCTTGTACTTGATAGCTGTCGGGTGCTTGGCTCTTGCAGGCAAAATCCTCCTGATGTAAAGATCACTGACTTTGACCTTTTCGTACTGCTTCTCTTCTCCCTCACGTTGGCAGCACTCCAGCACATCGACCTCTGCATCAACGTCCATGGTGAGGAAAAAAGGTAGAGAATAGCGCTCGAGGCCAGTCAAGTTTCGTACTCGGTGCACTGTAGCGGGGAATAGCCCGTTGGTCTGTCGCTCCAAGAACTGTCCAACATTGCAGACGAGTGTCCCAGGAGTAGGCGGAGCTGATACCCACTGTCCAGACTGGTTGAGCACCTCGAGTGCTGGAACGCTGTCTTGAAGCACGAGCGTGAGCCCTAAAGACACAATTAGTTACCTCCAAGTAAGATTCAAAACAAATGTATCTGGCGGACTCACAGTCAAAGTCAGAGTGCGCTCCAAGGCCGACGTTGGTAACATCCTTGTTATCGTTGTCGACAGGTGTAGGTGGATAGTACAGCGGACGCATGCCAGTGATTGGAAATTTGAAGTACTGGTCTAGTTCGTCCTCTGGGAGACCAAGCCCGAGGGCAAAAAGCTTTACCAATTTCATCGCGAGGGGAAGTACATGATTATAGTATTGGTACAAGCCCTCGCGCCACCATGGTGCCTCAGATGGCCAGATGTTCTGGGGGCGCTTGAGGTGTGATGGGGGAGGTTGGCCTGTTTTACCAACGTAGTCTTGTTCGGGCTCAAGCGGACAGTCTCCCATGGTGAAAGCCTCCTTGACATCTATTGATTTACAAGATAGTGTTAGACAAGAATTCTAGTCAATAGCTCAAGGGTGACAAGGACTTATCGACGTAGCCTGACTCACCTCCTCTAGTACGCGGGTCCAGTTTGGTCTCGCCCATAGGTTCATAACCTCTGATGGCAGGATTCTTCTGCACATGAGCATCCATCTTGATATCGCGCTCAAGAGCGAAGAATCGCTTCAGCAGTTTGAAGGCATCGTCAATGACACTTTGGGGAATGCCGTGGTTGACAACGTAGAAGAAGCCAACATCGTGACAAGCCGTGTACATTTCCTTCGCTATGGCCTGGCGAAGTTCAAGAGAGGGCGAATCGATATTCGTCAAATCGATTGTCGGAATGGACGTAAAGGCCTTCTGCGTGCTAGTGATAGGCCTGTATGACGCCTTGGAGCCGGAGTGAAAGTAGACAAACTTGGACGGATCCTGGGGTGCGGGGTTACCACGTGTCGCCTACGGGTATAAGCATTGACATAGAACTTACCTTGGTAGCATCAGGGAGGTTATGGTTGTCCAGGACGTCGGCCATCATGAGTAGCGATGGTGGTATGCAAGATGGTGTCGAGGTTTGTGGATTAGCAGTCTGTTGGTGTTTGATGTTGCTTCCTTCGGTATTGGCTGCGTGAAGCTAGAGGAGGAATTATCCTTGAATATGATGACTGTGATCGGAAGTTATTCCATTTCAAAGCACGAGGTGCGCTTGTCGGACCGGACACCGGAGACCGTGGAGGATCGGCTGCTCATGCGACCCTCCCTTATCTAGCCGGTCCCAGCAGGGCGGAGACTCGTGATGGAGACTCTCCAGGGCCATGGTTCAACGCGGGGAAAACGAAATCAAACCTGATATGCCTGTCTGTATCAGTGGAGATGCTTATCCGAAAAGATACCAGAGATATGCCTATCTCCATGTCGGTTCCACTAGGGATCAATAAGTCGCCAGGCTAAATTACCAGTAGCCAGAATAGCGGTGGCAAGCATGGAAATAACACGATAGACCGTCGGTTATAAACGAAGACGCTCGTTGGGTTCGTGGGTACTTCTCTCTGCTATAATAGGCCGAGGGCCGCTGATCTGTCATAAAATCATCTCATACGACAGAGCTTGCTTTTCAATCAGGGATCTACCCTCGATTGTATTCGTCGTCTTCGTCATGGCTAAAGCTTCAAGTTATTTGCGCCATCTCTTCTCCTCGTCCTATAGTGACGAGGAGAAGCCCGGATTCTTCATCTGGCATCCGAAGGGGACCTCTTCCTCTGAGAAGAAGCTGCTCTTCAAGATTGACTTCTTCATTCTCACCTACGGATGTCTGGCTTATTTCACAAAATGGCTGGATCAGGTACGGAATCTTGCTCAATTTACAATGACTTCTCATTGGAAGAACCTCACTAATATCCTCTTGTTCACATAGAGCAACTTGTCCAATGCCTATGTCTCGGGCATGAAAGAAGATCTCAGCATGTTTGGCACAGAGTATAATCTGGCCATGACATGCTTCTCTGTTGGACAAATTATCGGGCCTATTCCTGCTAATCTTCTGCTGACCTGGATCCCTCCAAGGATTCTACTCCCTGGATTAGAATTCCTGTGGGCAATCCTTACTATTGGAACATATGCAGTCACTGATGTCCGACAAGTAAGTCTACTTGAAGCGCCTTTTGAAAGCAGAGCTTTTACTAACGCGGACCAGCTCTACCCCATCCGATTCTTCGTTGGCTTCCTGGAGGGCAGCTGCTTCGTAGGAATCCAATACGTCCTCGGCTCTTGGTACAAGAGGACCGAGATTGGAAAACGGACTGCCATCTTTGCATGCGCCGCTTACGTCGGCACCATGATCAGCGGATATCTGCAGAGCGCCGTGCTTGCTGGTCTTAACGGGACAAATGGGCTGGCGGCCTGGCGCTGGGTGTTCATCATTGATGGTATCATCACCGTCATTGTTGCCGTTTACGGATACATCTTCTTCCCCGACACTCCGTACAACACCAAGGCCTTCTATCTCAGCGACGAGGACCGGAAGAGATGCATTGAAAGGCTGAAAGAGGACGGGAGAGAGGAGACGAACAAATTCACATGGGATTTGTTCAAGCGAACTCTCACCTCATGGCAGCTTTACGTTCTGACCGTGCTATGGATGTGAGTCTTTTCTGCTTCATGGAACTACATATTCCTCTGAACATGGAATCTAATGATACAATTCTTCAATTTCAGGTTCTGGAATACGACTGTTGGCAAGGTCTCTAACACGGTCTTCCAATTGTTCTTGAAAGGCGACACTGAGCACAAGTGGAGTTTGTACGAGGTCAACAACATCCCCACGTGCATCAACGGTTTCAACATCGTCATGGTGTTGCTTCTCAATGTTTACGTTGATACCACTGGCAGGCGTATGGCGGCTGTAGCTCTGAACTTGGGCATCCTCCTCTTTGGCACCATCTGCCTGGTCGTCTGGCAGATTCCTCTTGGATTACGGGTAACTTCGTACATGTTTGCTGGCCTCGACGGTCCACTCAGTCCTATATACTACTCTTGGGCCAACATTCTCTGCAGCGGCGACGCCCAGGTCCGAGCGCTGACACTGGCCATCATGAATGCCTGCGGTGCGGCGTTGACAACGGTGATCCAGCAGTTCTTGTATCCTGTCACGGATGCACCCAAATACGGCAAGGGATTCAAGGCCAGTCTCGGCTTTCTTATTGGAATGTGTGTGTGGGTAGTTGTCGTGCGCCTGTTTGAAATGCGGGAGCTCCGCAAGGACAAGGACCTGACTCCGACGGAGGGCATCGAGAGTGGCAGCGAGACTAACGTAGGAGTCATGGTAGACGAGAAGAGATAAGCATGGGGCCCCGTATCTGCCAAGCTGCGGGTACTGATATCCTTCTCATGACCCTGATCACTCAGATAGCACCAAGATAGTCCGAAGAGGAGGCCGGCCCGGGATCGGGGGAAGGCCCCTCTCCTCTTATCATGCTCCACCGCTTAGGTCTGTACTTAATTTGCCTAATGTCTTGGCCTGTAGCATGGTTTAATAAATTGAAGCACCTATTCCCCATACTAAGACCACTCTCACCCTGTAATATAGTGATCAGGCAGCTGTTATCATCATGGCTTCGGAAACACTTGTGGCTCCCCCCCAGACCGTCCCCACGACCAACCTCCGTCTCTCCTCCGGAAACGGGCCAATCACACTCAAGATCCTCTCAACGCCTCTTCGGGATGCGTCACCGTCCGAAATCCCCCTGATTGATATTGGGCCGCTATTTAGCTCGGCTTTGGCAGACCGACAGTCGGTTGCCCGCCAGATCCATGCCGCAGCCACCCACAACGGCTTCTTCTACATCTCCAACCACAATGTCCCTTCTTCTGTTACAGACGAGGCCTACAAAGCCTGTCTTGACTTTTTCCGGCAGGATGGGGAGATGAAGCTGCGTGCAGACTCTAGCCAGAGTACCTACTTCAACGGGTACAAGGGCGCAGGTAGCCAGCGCATCAACCCTACCGAGGGCGTTGATGTCCGGGAGACCTTCTCGTGGACGTACGACCCGAGATTTGATCCCGCTGTCGATGACCCAGCTGCCATCCCGGCACATGCGGCCAAGTACATCCGCTCCGAAGACTTTCCGTGGGAGGCTACAGCGAACATGCCACAATTTAAGGCCTCTATCGTGCGCTACTTCGAGTCCTGCCTCTTGCTGGCCAGGGCACTGACTCGTGCGTTTGCTTTGTCTTTGGACCTCCCTGAGAATTATTTCGATGAAAAAGTGCGGTATCCAGACGCTGCTTTCGCCTTCAACTATTATCCTCCCATTGAGAATCCTGTCAAGGTCGGCCCTGACCAACAGGTGTCGATCGGGTCTCATACTGACTTTCAGCTCTTCACCATCCTGTGGCAGGATACGGTTGGTGGCTTGCAGGTGTTGAATCGAGATGGACAATGGCTTCGAGCCGCACCCGTCAGCGACACTTTTGTGGTCAACATTGGCGACTACCTGCAGCGCATCACCAACGATCGTTATGTTAGTACCGTGCATCGCGCACAGAACTGGAGTGGCCGTGAGCGGGTGAGCATGCCTTTCTTCTGGGGATTTGGTCTTCATGAGAGTTGTGGAGTGGTTGAAAGCTGCATCGGGCCAGAGGGGAGTAAGTACGAAGAGATTGGGTGTGAGGAGTGGGTGCAAAAGCGGGTGAGAGACATGCTCACAGTGGAGGATGAAGTTACCAAGAAGGCCTAGGATAGAGACTAGGCAAATTTTCTTTCTAATAAATGAAGATGATGAAGAAACTATGACAATAATGAAATTCGTTGACAGCTTTCAGTGAATAACGAAAACCCCAGGAACAAGGTATATGTCTCACGGATAGGGTAGCGTTCTGACGGTCGGTCTAATCAAGGATCTCGAGCATTGATTGAGCCACAGAATGCCAACAACAATAACTTGGAAGAGTCGAAGAAAAGTAGTGTGGTAGGTAGAGGTAAGGAACGCACTGAGATAACGAGATCCAGAAATTTCAGATATTCCTTTTTGTCGCAGAAGAGGAAGAATAAAGTATGCGAGTCTCACACCATTTATCAGTACTCTATTGCTCACTATCATTAATCATCAACACGACCGCAAACTCCTCAACCGCCAGTCTCGCTAAAAACTCCCAAACAATTTTCTCTTTTTCTCTCTAAACCCCCATTGGTGTAAAATCTTATTTGACGATTAGAACGGCCTTGAAATGAACCTTGCCGCTATCTAGCTTGTCCATTGCTTCTCTCATGTCCTCCACGGTCAGTGGAAACGTCTCTACCACGGGCTTGATTTCGTGGAATGCGGCAAATGCGAGCATCTCACGGTGAACAGTCCTGGTGGCGACAAGAGGTCCCTTCACCGAGATTCCGTCAAGAATGAATGGCATATAAGGCATCTCTAAATTGGCGAACGAAACAGAGAGAGCGTATACAACAGCGCCAACAATGGTAACAGGATCTCCCATCTGGGCAGTACGGATGTTGCAATGAGCAGACGATTGATTCTCCACTCATCTTCAAAGTCCTCGGGCTTGTAGTTAGCCATGGAGATGAACTTATGGGCGCCAAGCTGGAGGGCTTCCTCTCGCTTGCTGTTGATTCCGGAAAGGACAACAACGCGGTATCCAAGCTTGTTGGTAAATTGGATGCAAAGGTGACCGAGTCCCCCGACACCCATGATAGCTACAGTGGCCGTAGGCTTGGCTCCCCCGAGAGCCGTAAACGCAGTAGCTCCACCACATTGAAGAGGTGCTGCGTCCTCATCAGAGATGGAGTCAGGGACGACGTGGAGGAACGCCTCGTTCCACACGGATTGACTCGCAAAACTACCTTCGTCAACGTTCTGGAAGCCATAGATGCTTCGTTCGCGGCAGAACACTTCTTCTCCTTGAAGACAAAGAAGACAGTGGCCACAGCTACTGGTGGCGAAGCCTTAAGCTACTCTAGTACCTTTCTTCAAATACTTGACCCATGGGCCAACATCTTCAACAATACCGACACCTTCATGGCCAAGGACAACATCGCGTTGTCTCTGAATTGATTATTAGTAAAGAAAGTGCATTATTCTTTTACTAGGAAGCTACCTACATGATGAAGATCGGTTCCGCAAATTCCAGAAGCGATAATTTTCACCATTTTTTCAGAACATTGTCGCCAACGGGCTCATCGAGCTTGGTGGCAGTGCTTTCCTTGGGATAGCCATCCTCGGAACCCTTGAAGACTTTGAAGGTAGGCATGCTGAAATGATTTAAGGGTATTGCAATCACTCCTTTGACTTATTGAATCATAGTTTACCAAGTTACCCTTCATTTTCCCTTCTATCGGGCAACTAGTTTAGTATTTATAGGCAAGTAAACTTCCGTTCGCCCATCTTCCTTTTGTCAGACCAACCGCCCGTCATGTGATAAACCATGCGTTGAAGCGGTAAAACCAGACCATATTTGTATAACAAAAGGCCCAAATCGATGCTTGTGCTACAGTCCTGCCTTGGGACAATTCTCCTAGCCGAGCCAACGCTGGCAGACAATTGATATTATCCACAGCCAACGGCCTGCCATCGCAGCCAGATGCAGCGTGCGCAAGGTTTGGGCCATGATGATTGGCGTGATTGTTTAGAAGCATCTCAATCACCCCAGGATAGACACCGCCTCCTCCGTATTCATGCACGTACCGAATCAATAAAATGTCGATAACAGAATCGCCAGGTGTACATCTCTCCTATCGAGGCAGCCAAAGGCTGTCGGTAATCTAGCCATAGCTGTTCTCGAACCCCTAACTGCGGGTAACTATTGATCTATTGGGGGCTGACTTTCCTAGTCAGCGGATTCTGGCGCAGCCTGTTCATCGCCATGGCTGCCAAGTGGGTGACATTGAAATTGAGACACTCAAACATTAAGTTGCTTATTCTCAAGTCTGCGACCGGTATTATCAGATTATTGAGTCCCAATAATATATAATACTGTATTTATTATTACTTTCTTTTGCTTTTATACTACTGAAATTCTCTATTTATTGCAGAAAGTAGTCGATTAATAACCAACTATTCCATTAGGTGTCTCATTTCTCCTGTCACCCACTTGGCTGCTTTCAACGTCGGCCTTCCTTGTACGATACATCAAATTGTGATCTGCCTAACGGCCAACTGATGAACGTGGGATCAACAATGCAGCTGCTTTGTTCGAGCATGACTAATCATTAGAATGCTTTCTATAGGTACCTAGGCTGACTTGCATGGCATGGTGGTGGCTGTGAAAAAAAGCCACACGGGTTGCCTAACCACTTGGCGAGGCAGCCCAATTCTCAATTCTGCTCCATCATCCTTGAATCTCGACTCTTCGATCCCCGGTCGATCTATCCCTACGAGCCTTCGCAATCCATCAAAAACAACCGTTTATGACTTTTCCTAGCGATTCGACCAAAAGGCCAACGAATACGCATGCAGCATGACCGTTGTTGCTCACCCGACATGAACATCAGGCTGCCCCTCGAAGATGGCAATCGAGCCCCCTCCCGCGTCCCTACGAGAAATATCATACCCCTCGGCCGCTATACGATTGCTTGGATCTGCGCACTTCCCATCGAGATGGCTGCGGCTCAGGCCATGCTGGATGAGACTCACGCCAACCTGGGTAGATCCGGCAATGATACCAACTCCTACTGTCTTGGAAGCATCAAGAACCACAACGTCGTTATCGCATGTCTGCATCACTATGGTACTATCAATGCTGCAGACGTCGTGACAAACTTGATTCGCACCTTTTCATCTGTTCGCCGGGGGTTGATGGTCGGGATTGGAGGCGGAGCGCCCAGTCAGGCAGATGTCCGTTTGGGTGATGTCGTCGTCGGGACACGTGTTATGCAATATGAGTCTGGAAAAGTGCTCTCAGGTGGCATGATGCTAAGAACTGCAATCCCTAAGGTTCCCGAGCTCTCCCTCCGCAAAGCTGTTTCCAGCCTACGAGCTGGGCATGAGCTGCACCCCAGCCAGATTCCACTTATTCTCCAGGAGAAGATGAAATCCCACGTGCATTTCGGCCTTCCAAAGACTCCCGATCGTTTGTTTCGGACGGCATACAACCACGAGCCAACAGCTGCGACATGTGAAAACTGTGACAAGTCGCAGCTAAAGGAGCGGAGAACGCGTGTATCTGTGGATCCAGTAATACACTATGGTGTCATTGCATCGGGTGATAAAGTTATGAAGGACGGCGTTACTCGCGATGCAATTTCACAAGAGTTGAATGCCATCTGCTTCGAGATGGAAGCCGCGGGGCTCATGGATATTCTCCCTTGTCTGTCCATTCGAGGAATCTGTGACTATTCCGACTCCCACAAGACTAAGGAATGGCAAAGATACGCAGCTGCTACATCCGCAGCATACGCGAGAGAGTTTTTAGGGGCCTTGGCTGCGGATGGTGAAGCGAAAGAGCCATGTAGTGCTTCTTCTTGTGATAGGTCCAACTGGTCAAACGTGGGACAGGCAACAGCTTCTAATATCACCATAGAACAACCTGTATCGACCAATTGTCCTAAAGAGCTGCCGAAACGTCGCGAAGAACTACTGAAATCACTAATCTTCCAGCAGTTTGATGCCCGCAAGGCCAATCTTCAAAAGGCTCACAAAGAAACCTGCGGGTGGTTTCTTGACCATCCTGACTACAAAGACTGGCTCGATCCTGAAAAGACACCACACCATCATGGATTTCTGTGGATTAGGGGCAAACCAGGAGCCGGAAAATCGATCATGATGAAGTTTCTTTATTTGCATATGAAGAAGAAAGATTCCCCCAGAAAAGTCCTTACTGCATCCTTTTTTTTCGTTGCTCGAGGAGATCTGTTGGAGAGGTCAGTCTCCGGCATGTATCGGTCCTTGCTCTTGCAACTTCTAGAGGGGTTTCCTGACCTCCAACGGGTTTTGGACGACCAGGAGCTAATTCCTCGAAATATGATGGGATGTCCTCCTCTCAATGTTCTCAAGAATGTATTCCGTGCCGCTGTGTCTTTTCTTGGAAATCGATCGTATACTTGCTTTATCGACGCACTAGATGAATGTGATGAGCAGCAGGCCATGGATATGGTCGATTTCTTTGATGAACTGACTGAACACTGCACTGAGAATGGACTCAGGCTCCAAGTTTGTTTCTCAAGTCGCCACTACCCTTATATCGACACCAGATCTGGAATCCGCCTGACATTAGAGAACCAAGACGGCCACTCTCGGGATTTGAAAGCGTATGTCAAAAGTCATTTGCGGATTAGGAACCCATCTCTTGTGGAAGAACTCATACCAACATTGCTCGAAAAAGCAGCTGGTGTCTTTCTTTGGGTTGCTCTTGTGGTGGATATTCTAAACAAAGAGAATAATCGTGGGCGCTTGGCACTTCGGAAAAGGCTCTCAGAAGTGCCGAGCGGCCTCAGCGAACTCTTTAAAGACATGTTATCGAGAAATCAAAAGGATGTGGAGGAGCTACGACTCTCTATTATTTGGATTCTTTTCGCGGAACGACCGCTAAGACCTGAAGAGTATTATCACGCTCTGTGGTCCGGCTTATCGTCCCAGGGACTAGCAGACCTCGAAATGCCCACCATCGAGACTTCAGATGCCGATGACTGTTGTAAGCGGTGTGTGACAAGTTCTTCGAAGGGCCTAGCTGAAATCACTACGGCACGAAGGCCTATCGTGCAGTTCATACACGAATCCGTGCGGGATTTCTTACTAAAGGATAAAGGCCTCAACGACTTGTGGCCAGATCTAGGATCAGACTTTGTGAGCCAATGCCATGACACGCTTAAGGCATGCTGCTTTGCGTATTTCTATCATAGCAACATCCGAGAGGTTATCTATAGTAAACGCGCGGCTATAGCGCCAATCACGAAGAAAAGTATGGAGATGCGGTATCCCTTCCTAGAGTACGCCTCCCGGTCTGTTCTCTTCCATGCCAATGCTGCTGCAGATGTGGTACCTCAAGAAGGATTTCTCAAGCAATTTCCCGTTTCAAACTGGAAACACACATTCAATATCTTTGAGGATCACAAGACCCAGAAATATGATGAAGGGGTAGATATCTTGTATATCCTTGCAGACAGAGGCCTTCCAGCACTCATCCGAACAAGACTAGAAACGGATGTAAACATTGAGATTCGAGGAGGAAGGTTCAAATATCCACTTCTCGCTGCGATGGCAAAGGGAAGAAAAGACACCGTGGCAGCTCTATTAGGCTTATCTTCATGTTTCTGCGATGGAATCGATATTACAGAAAGCTTAAAGGCAGACGAGAACTCAGTACGGAAACACCACACACCTTTCACTTGGGCGTGTGGGAAGGGTTTCGTTCCACTTGCTCGACTTATTCTCCAAAAGTGTGTTCACATAGATGATATGATTGAACAGAAGTCGAGGGCCCTATTGGAAGCTTCAACGAACGGCAATTTGGAAGTAGCAAAGTGGCTAGTCGGCTTAGGTGTTGACTTACAGACTAGCAGAGGCCGAGCGTCGCTCTCGTCGGCTGCCAGCGAGGGCCATATAGCTGTAGTACAGCTATTGCTTGAGAAGGGAGCAGCTATTGATTCCCATAGTGGCATTGATGGAATGAGTCCACTCTCGCTTGCTGCCCAGGGGGGTAGAATAGCTATGATAAAGCTACTACTTGAGAAGGGAGCAACAATTGATCACCAAGATGCTTATGGCTGGACACCGCTTTCGAGGGCTATATTTCTAAAGCAAAAACTTATTGTACGACTACTACTTGAGAAGGGAGCACCTGTGGAGGCTACAAGGGACACAGATCGCTGGACACCGCTTTCAGTGGCTGCTTTCGTTGGGTGCATAGATACTGTACAGCTACTATTTGAGAGGGGAGCAGCGGTGGATGCAACGGATAAAAATGGCCAGACACCGCTATCATACGCTGACAAATATGGGCATAGGGGTGTTATACAGCTACTCCATGAGAAGGGATGTCAATGGTAGACGATACATGCAAGTTAAACTTGTCTGCTTCGCACTAAGGTGACCAGCCTAAATTGAGCACAACATCCGAACTTCTGACCAAGTTTCCCCGCTTCTCTTGGAGCTTGGCCGATTCCTTTGGCCCGTTCCACACACTCATGTCATGTTTTCAACAAGTGGAGGAAAGTCAAGAGAAACAGACAAACAAACAGCGCATCTCATCATGTCTGAGCCGTCTACTCCAAGAAGCACCACCTACCTTCAACGCGCATACGCCCTCAGCGGAGATGCACAAGCCCAGCACTTCTATGACGAATGGGCCGACGCCTATGAGACGGACAACAACGGGCTAGGCTACGCTTCCCCCCGACGCGCCGTAGAGGCTATCCTTAAGAACGTCACGGGAGATGCTCGTGATACTCAATTGAAGGTCCTTGATGCCGGTTGCGGCACCGGCCTCGTGGGCGCTTGCTTGGCCCAGTCCGCCCTTGCCGGCCGGTTCGTCCTCGACGGTCTGGATCTGAGTCCCGGGATGCTGGCAGCTGCGCGCCAAAAGGGCGTGTACCGAGAATTGGAGGAGGCAAATCTCAATGAGAGGATCCGAAAACCAGATGGAAGTTATGACCTCATCGTCTGCGTGGGGACACTGACCGTGGGACATGTCGGCCCAGGTGTGCTGCGCGAATTCGCCCGGGTGGCCGCCCCCTCGGGGTTGATTGTCGCCACCGTGCACAGTAGCATCTGGGAAAGCAAGGGTTACAAAGCTGTAATCGAAAGCCTGAGAAATATTGGGACAATACAAATTGTGAGCACTGATGAGTTTGGCCTCGTGGAGGAGGCAAGCACAGGCGGCATTATGGTTGTGTTGAAGAAGAACTAACTTGGGGGGTGTCAAAATCAAATTAAATATCTAGATCCTCATTTTGTTTTTGAAAATTAAAGCTTGCCCGAAAAAAGAGAAAATGCTATTGTGTTCCAATTCATTCATAAAAAACCAGGCATCTAACTTCGATGCTCTGACGACCCTTGGCATCTTTAGGGGTGGCTGGATCCTCGAATGCTGTGTGCGGCGTTAAAGCAGCGAGTCCCTCCTTGCCCCCAGGCTGGCCCTGGCTTCTCGAGTCGAAACATTTGATAAACATGGCCTCGTCGGGCGTCATATCCTTCATGTAGTAGAACTTGTGCTTTTCGCTTGGCTTTATGGCCCAGGTCTCGCCTACGTCGGAAGATGTGTGAGCCATGCTATCTGCAAAGTCTTCTAGGTGGTTCTCGGTTCACTTACCTCGTACTTCATAGCCCTCTGTCGACTGGGCCTTTGTTGGGTCTGGCAGAACCTCCTTTCCTCTATCATCATTGTCGGTAGGATCTTCTCGCTTGGGATAAAGAAGTCCAACCTTGACCAAATCTTCGGGCGACGTGGTACGCCAGTCTATTACAGCAAGCGGGAAGTCTGATGCGGGGTTCTCAATCGGGCGCCAGACATTAATGATCTGATATCGTCCTTTGAGCAGCTCCTCGGCATCTTCGGCGGGCAGATGCCGCCTCACGCGCACCTCGGCTGCCCAGGGCGTCTGGTCCACGTGCACCTGCTGAACAGGCTGTCGAGGTGATGACTTCTCCCGCCTCCTGATGGTATGATCGAAGATGACGACTCTCTTTACTCCGGGAAGCTTGGCCCGCAGGAGCGCCTCGACCTCTGCGTAGTAGCCTTCCCTGACCTTGGCATCGTCTGTGAACAGTTTTTCCTCGGCTGGGGAGTTGTAAACTGCGAAGCCAGATATGTCGGTGCCGAATTCCAGGTCAGAGGTACGGATGTCGGCAACTGATCGCCGCCGTTCGGTACGTTGGAATGAGGTCACGTCAGTATCGACTTTGGACCACACTTGAGATCCGTCGCTGCGGATTGTCGCAGGGTCCAAGTAGCGGAAAAGGCCGGTAGTCATGGCTGCGAGGAGCTTTTGACGGATTTCCAGAGATCTGTTGTAGGGTATCGATTGATGTGAGACGTGAATTTGAATTGAATACGGCTCTTATGCGGGGAAGGGCGTGATGTTGTTTTATGCCGTCGTGGTGATTTATAAGCCGCGGCTTGTGACGTTCTCAATGGGCAGTGATGATGCCACAAACAAATTAATAATCATTGTTCTGCCAAGTATGAATAATCGAGCAAAATTTTTTCCACGCCGCTATCCATCGATTTCAATGGAACAGCATTCTGCGATCGCATCTTCCAGATCGAGCAGCCCCAGAAAATGTCACATTCGTATGTATGTGACTGGAGCTGGCGCAACGTCCGACCTCGCCGACAATCGGACAGCTTCCGTCATCTCGCTCGTTTTGCAACAAAATTCCCTTATCCAAACTTTAATATGACTTCATCATGTGGGTGCTTCACGAAGCCCATAACAAAGAAGCGTCAGTCATCAAGGTAATTATGCTCTGCATCCCCTTGGAGGGCTACCCCATTCCTGGCTACCTACCTACAAAAGGAAGCACATCTCGTTCACATTGAGAAAATCTCACGGCTCAATAATCGCCAAAGTAAGGGTAATACATCACACATGAGGGCCTGCCGAGTGGGATGCCTCCCCCAACAGTCAGATTCAAGTCATATTGCTTTCTCGAAAGTGCCTGATAAACACCTCCTGGTGATCTATCACACATAAACCATCTTGCGTGTATTAATCCCCTGATTAAATCCCAATTTAGTCCTCGCGATTGAGCCACAAAAGGTTTTGACCAAGGCTACTTGGGATCAACCTAAAGCCGGGTATGTGTCATGGAACTAATCCTCTTGCTGCTTGTGAACGTATCCTCTCCCAGCACTGAAAGCCTAAATAGTTTGTATAGTCGTATATAGTATTTGAGCGGAATCCATCCTGAGATGAAGCGTGACATCGGCACTACCGCTATGAAGAGAGGAAGGAATAGTTGCCTACTCTTGATATTTTCATAATACGATAAGAATCTCCACGGGAGCATAAATGATACCGTTTTGTAAATGTATAGTAGGATGGCCATAAAATGCACCTGTTCATCAAAGGGACTAACTTTGACCTATGGAGCCCGTATTATCACTTCATGTAGCGAAACATTGAAATATCCACCCTAGTGGTAGGTGAAAGAGTCGTGACTGTTTGTTATTGACTCTGATGTATATAAAGGACGGGTTAGGCATCGACTCATCGGTGATAACATATCGAGATGATATCTATCAATTACGGCATATATCATGTTTCTTAACGGGCAATGTCACAACATAGTTTCTAATTATGGCTACATATCTCATATCATAAGAATGGGCCAATTGGGGGATAAGCGCTGCCTAGATCCCCCCCTCTCACAATAATATCCCACGCTCAATATGCATGCGTTTGTTTACAATTTTTGCCCATGCCAGCACTCACGGTAGGGTCGTAACGCAGGCTTCAGCCATGAAATGCTGCCACATAACTTACATGTAGCCAGCAGGCAGCAACAACATCAATGCACGTCTGAGGTATTATAACGCGGACCCCCAAATCATAACAGGCCTCATGGAGGTGCGATACGACCTAAAGGCGTCAAATTCACATCGCAGAGCTAAAGATTGTCGAGATATCATCATACGTGTCAAATTCAGATGTACCATTGGACCTCCCGAGTCGATATGCGAACGTCAGCCGCTTAGCGAGTGCACCCACGATGGAACAATATTGCACCGTTATGTGACTGTCTCGCAGTGGCATTGGCGAACAAATGCTCCACGATGTCGTCTATGGCGATCGGCATGACACACCACTGGTAGTAATGCACCACCTATCGTATATTGACACGACGCGCCATCCCGCGGATCTGTTGATAACGGCAGCTGTCTTAGAGCACATGCGCTGGTTCCATGCGTCTCATAGGCATTTCGTGCGTCAGGGAGGCCGGCGAGAACGTCGTGTCAGACATGCTCACGACACCGGTGCATACGGAACGCCGCCACAATGACACCTTGATGGCCTCGAGGACCTCTAGCATACGGCCACGACAGTAGCTGAGACTGCGCGGCAATCTGCTATTGAATTACGACTAATAACTGATAGGTCGACGACGTATGACCGGACCCGTATGCGGCCTATGAAGCGCCATCACTGGCCCAGGGCGAGCGCGGCATTGGCGCTCGCTGGCCGGAGGATGAATGATGGATGTGTGGATTGGAGCAACGACTGGCAAATCACCTCACAACCGACGCGGTGCGCGACTTCGATGATGGCCAGTCAACGGCGAGCTGAGCTGGCCATGGCTACATTGGTCGGTTCGATGCAATGCAGTCACTAACACCGGGGTTGCGCTCCATACACATCCCATGTCATGCCATCCCATGCCATTGTCGTACTGCGTGCTCTGCCTCACTCCTCTAACGCGAGCCAAGCGCCGGAGCTTCTGCACACTATTCCCAATCAATGGACAATCGGCGGCTGGCGCTGTTGGGAAATTGTTCCATTCGCCAAAAGCATACGTAGTAAAACTCTGGGGGATCGTATGACCCCTTAGATCCTCCTCGAGCTGGTATATCGCTCGACGACAGCTCGGGGGCGGTGAAGAGGTTATTGCTCACGCGGGCAGCAAGGATCCAGCCAGGGGACATGACGAACCGTCCCCCACCTACGCTTTTGGGGGCGCCGGTCTAGATGAGACAAGGATCAGGTAGGGGCTCGCTCGTTCACGCAGCAGGGATGGCAGTCGTTTGTTTGCATTGAGCTTGCGCGCTAGCTCGCTGCTAACCCAACGGAACGGAGGTCATACCACCTAGAGACGAATGAGGCCATTCAGTTTGATATTTCGAAAGCTGTTGGGAGAGAGGGGTAGCGAAGGAGCAGAGCCGAGTGATGATGCGTGGTTAAATAGATTGCAGTGCCTCGTGGTGTAAGAGAGGCTGTTCTCCTCTCTCTCCCCTTTCTCTTCACCCGCCCAATTCCAGAATAAAAAAAGCTGAGGAAACATCATTATGTCCGCAGTCCCCAATTCCGTTCCAGAGAACAATACCACCCCTGCTGCTGAGGCCGCCGCCGACTCCTCCCAGGACCAGGCCCCCGCAACCACCACCGACACCCCGCCTTTGGCGGAGACTCCTGCTCCCACCGAGGCCGCGCCCCTCATCAGCGAGGCCCCGGTGGAGTCTGCGGTCGTCGACGAGGCTCCGGCAGCAACAACAACTGCTGCTGCTGCTGCCACTCCCGCCCCCGCCGACGAGAAGGTCGAGGAGGTGTCCAAGGTCGAGCCCGCACCGGCCCCGGAGGTCGCTGAGCAGCCTGTTCCTGTCGTCGAGACTGCTAAGGCAGAGGAGACGCCCGAGGTAGAGTCCGCCAAAGCCGAAGAGACTAAGGCAGATGCTACCCCGAAGGCAGAGGAGTCCGTCAAGGAGGAGGTGGCCAAGGTAGAGGAGACCAAAGTAGATGAGGCCCCCAAGCCCGAAGAAACTGCCAAGGTAGATGAGACTACAAAGGTGGAAGCGACGGAGGAATCTTCCAAGCTTGAAGAGACTCCCAAGGTCGAAGCAGCAGAAGAAACTGCCAAGGTCGAGGAGACTCCAGTGACGGAGGAGACTCCGGCGACAGAGGAGACTTCCAAGGTCGAAGCAGCAGAGGAGACTGCCAAGGTTGAGGAGGCTCCCAAGGTCGATGAGACCCCGAAGGTGGAGGAGACCAAGCCAGAAGAGACCAAGCCAGAAGAGTCTCCTCAGGCACAAGCGACAGAGGAGACTCCAGTGACAGAGGAAGCTCCCAAGCCTGACGAGACTCCCAAAGTTGAGGAGACCAAGGAAGAGACTCCCAAGGTAGAGGAGACTCCAAAGGTCGAAGAGACTTCTCAGGCTGAAGAGACCAAGCCTGAGGAGACTCCTAAGATTGAGGCGACAGAGGAGACTCCAAAGGCGGATGACACTCCCAAGGAGGAGGCCAAGACAGAAGAGACTCCTCAGGTTGCAGAGACTGTAAAGGCTGAGCCTGAAGCAGCTACCGAAGTTGATGAGAAGCCTACCCCCGCCGCTGAGGAGACTGTCAAGGCTGAGGAGACAAAAGAGGAAGCGACTCCCAAGGTTGAGGAGACTTCTCAAGCTGAAGAAGCTCCCAAAGCAGAGGAGACACCAATCGTTGAAGAGACTGTGAAAGCAGAGACACCAATCGTTGAGGAGACCGTGAAGGCTGAAGACACGCCCAAGCCTGAAGAAGCTTCCAAGGTTGAAGAGGCTCCTAAGCCTGAAGAGACCAAGGCAGAAGATACCCCTAAGACTGAGACGACTGCGAAGACTGAAGAAGCTCCAACGGCCCAGGAGGTCGCACAGAGCGAGGAAGCCGAAGCTCCGAAGGCCGAGGTTTCAGAGGTGGTCAAGGAAGAAGTGACCCCAGCGCCAGAATCCAGCTCCGTTCCTGTGAAGGAAGAGGCTGTGGAAGAGGTCAAGACTGATGAGGTTGCCAAAGAAGAACCCAAAATCGAAGCATCTACCGCCGCTGTTGACGAAGTCCCTGTTCCCGAGAAGAGCAGCGAAGAGGAGGTCAAGCTTGCTCCCGAGGCGGCAGACGCTGACAAGTCAGTCGCCGCCGAGACCCCAGAAGCGACACCGGCCGTTGAGGTGACTGCCGAGCAACCAGCTGCTGAAGTTCCAGAGGTAGCAGCACCAGAGAAGGAGGCTGTGCCAGAAGCAGAGGAAACTCCAGCCGAGATACCAGTCCCTGAAGCTCCTGCAGCTGAGGAGAAGGCCACCGAGAAGGTCGAGCCTACCCCAGAAGTGAGTGAAAAGAAGGAAGAGCCAGCACCTGAGCCCGAGCCGGTGGCGACGGAGGAGATCAAGGCTTCAGAAGGGACTGCAAGTGAAGTCAGGCCAACAGGGACAGAGTCGGCTGCCGTGGAGACTCAAGAAATTCCTGAAGCGAAGGAAGTTGCTGCCGAACAAGCTGTGGTAGCAGAGACCCCGAAGGCTGAGGAGGAATTCAAGCCTGAGGAGATTTCAAAACCTGAAGCGACTTCCGATCAAAAGAAAGAGCCCAAGTTGGAAGACGTGTCTCAGCCTGAGGAGGCCGCTAAGGTTGAAGCTTCTGAGGCTCCAGCAGCAGAGGAGGTGCTCAAGACTGAAGAGACCAAGCCTGCGGAAGAGGTCAAGGCTGAAGAGACTTCCAAGTCTGAGCAGGCCACAGCAGAGGAGACCAAGCCTGCAGAAAAGACCAAGCCTGTGGAAGACGTCAAGCCCGCAGAAGTCAAGGCTGAGGAAAAGCCAGATGATACAACAGCACAGGCTGCAGCGCAGCCAGAGGTTCAGGATGAGGTAAAACCTGAAGAGACATCCAAGCCTGAGGAAGCCACAACAGAGGAGGCGCCGAAGCCTGCAGAGGAGATCAAGCTTGCAGAGGAGACGGCCAAGCCTGTGGAAGAGGTCAAGCCCACAGAGGTCAAGGCTGAAGAGAAGCTGGATGACACAACAACACAGGCTGCAGCGCAGCCAGAGGTTCAGGAGGAAGTGAAGCCCGAAGAGACAGACAAGCCTGAAGAGACCACAGCAGAAGACAAGCCTGCAGAGGAGGTCAAGGTTGAGGTCAAGTCGGCTGACGCCGCCAAGGTCGAGGAGGACATCAAGCCTGAAGAGACAATCAAGCCTGAAGAGACATCCAAATCCGAGGAAACCAAGCCTGAAGAGGAGTCTAAGCCTGCAGAAGACATCAAGGTCGAAGACTCCAAGGCGGAAGTCGTAGCAGAGGATGAGAAACCTGAAGAGGTTAGCAAGGTTGACGAGGAATCCAAGCCTGAGAAGGCCACCAAGGTAGAGGATACTTCCAAGCCCGATGAACCACCCGTTGTGGCAGAGACCATCCAGACAGAAGCTCACCAACCTGAAAAAGCTACAGAGACTGTCGAGGTTCCTCAGCCCGTGGAAGTAACCAGCACCGTGGAGGCGCCGGCCCCTGAGCCTTCCTTCGCTGCAGCGCCAGTTGCTGACGAAAAGGTGGAAGTGGCAGATACCACTGCCAAGGAGGTGCAAAAGACTGTCAACGGGGTCGAGACTGCTGCTGAAACTCCAGTCCCTGTCTCAGAAGTCCCTGCTGCGGAAGAAACAGAACCCAAGGTGGAAAGTGTAATTGCGGTGGAAGAAACAGTCGTTGTCCCAGTGAACGAGGTCAACCCCAAGGAACAAATTGTTGTAGGTGGTATTGAGCACAAGACGCCAGTTGTCGCAGTGGCCGATGTCTCAGAAGATGCGGCTGCCTCTTAAATGGGGACATATGTTGTGTGGCATGGATCATGTATTATTGCGTTACTATTTTTTCCCAGCTTTCAAAAATGGTGTGTATGGAAACACTTTTTGCTCATCTGTCCAAATCTGTATGTGTGATGTGTAGATGATTTCAGACAATGATCATTTTCACGTGAACAAGCCAGGAAGGGATGTGTAGATTCACATGCAGACCGACACCCAGCTTTTTCCAACCCAAGGGTTATTATTATTCCTCGGCTACGTGGATAATGGGTGGAAAGTTGCTCACATTCCAAAGTTGTGATAGACTCTCCAAACTTACCCACCATTGAAATACCAGTTGTAGTAGATGTCCCCGTTGTGAATTGTGTGTTTCTTTTTCTTAACCGCTTGTCGCCATCGTGGGAAAGAGTTTGAATAGCGTTGGGCCGAACCTGGAGGTCTGAGTAATGTGCCTCTCATAATCCTGCGGCAACATATTTAACCATTGTTTCATAAGACTTCAGTACATCATAGATTACTTCTTAGCTCGGCAACATGTGGGAACGGAAAAGCCTTCAAGAGTAGAGAAACACGCATATCACCAAACGTAGAACTCTAGGATCTGTGACTGAAGTATGACAAATCATGATCCTTTGAAAGGGTGCTTTTAATATAATACTGTTCACCATCGTACAAGTTGTAAACAAATATCGTGTGCTCTGATATGATTTCCAATCAGCTAACAAGTCAGCATCCGTAAACATATTTGAAGTCCTCCATCATGAAGGATGTTAATAATAATCATCAAAGTGACTCCTATGCAGTATTGATACTATTCCAAGCTCCTCTTGCTCCGCGTTGGCAAGTCAAGCTGGTCATGATAGCCTAATGGTCTACCTTCATCACCGCGCTTTGGAAGTCAAGATGCTCTGTCCTTGACTTAGTAGCTAGACCCATGCTCGTCAACCCTGTCGCCCGATAGTCATTACAGAAAATAATTCAAAAGCAATTGGAACTCTAGTAAGAAATTGGTAGATCTATGCATTAATATTCGTCGCATAATTTTGGCAGATAGTCATTCCATCGTCTTTCATATTCCCATGTGGCTATTCTCCTAATTACTAGCTAGAGCTCATTTTGATCGTCGGCTCATCCCTGTTATGCAAGCGGCAGAAGAATGCCCCGTGTATGTAAAATCAATCGTAGGCTGCCAGTCGACGCAAGTGATGAATCCCAAGGGCGTGACGACAGAAACATAGAGGCGGAGGTTAACCGGCTTATAGAGCAGCAACATGACCCTTCGAAATCGACGGATTATATAGTCGTACCAGACACATCGCTCAATGAAAATAGGCCGCTTCCCCGCATGAGAAACCACTAAACTCAGCGGAGAAGGTCGGGATTTCATTCCCGATCCAGAATGTTAGGACCAGACTTGAACTGTGCGGGATATAAGATCATCATCCGCGGATTCGTAATCCGGCGGGGAAAGCCATCTGATGTTTTAAATCGTAATTCATTTCAAAGCTGCCCTGAATATCGGATCACAACTCTTGTCTTTCAAAGCAGATGTTCAAACTCCAATGCTAGATTTCCCAGCAATTAACTTAGGTCTAAACATTCATTCTTTCTTGCTAATTGGCGCCTTGCGAGTCCTCTTCTGCTCGTCTCTCATCGCGGTTTCACCATGTCGAGCGACAACAAAGATCGAGCCATGCAAAGAAAGTCGAACGTCGGAGTCGTTGTAATTGGCAGGATGGGCCAGAAGCATGCGTTGAACATTCTGCATTTGGTGCCACGAGCCACACTCTTTTGCGCCTGTTCACCAGCTGAAGCTGATCTAGCGTGAGGCAACAAGTACCTGAAGTCTTATAATGTCCGTGTGGTTGCTACTTTCGAGGAGCTCATCGATACGCCTGGTTTGGATGCAGTCATCGTCGCTTCTAGCACTGAATTGCACGCCAGGCACACGACAGCGGCCCTTGACCGAAATATCCACGTGCTCTGTGAAAAGCCAGTGTGCAAAACCGTCGAAGAGGTAGGTAACTCGTGAACCTACACTTAGATTTATCTTATATTTCGAATAGCTCGTCCAGCTGGTCAAAAGAACCGAGGCCAATCCCCGAGCGAAGTTGATGGTTGGATTCGTACGTCGCTTTGACCAAAACTACCAAGACGCACTTGAAAAAGTCAAGGCCGGTGCAATCGGTCGCCCTATGATAATTAGATCTCAAAGCTGCGAGAAGTTAGACACAAGCCCGTTCTACCAACAATACTTAGAAGCTTCTGGTGGTATCTTTATTGACAGCATCATTCATGATATTGACCTTGCGCTTCTCTTTTTCGGCGAAGACCCCAAGCCCAAGTCCGCGTCTGCCGCAGGAGTCGCGGCAGTCCATACCAAGAGAGCGGAAGAGGGGGACGCCGACAACGCTGTCGGGATCTGCGAGTTCTGGGACGGCAAGATCGCCTATTTTTACAACTCAAGAACTGCAGCGCATGGCTATGACAATGCCACTGAGATTTTTGGGACAGCTGGGAAAATATCCATCAATATGATCCCGAGAAAGAACGCCGTCGAGCTCTGTGATGGGGACGGCTTTGTAAAGGTCCAGCCCACACCTGGCTGGTACGATCGTTACGCACCAGCATTTGTGGAAGAGGCGAAGGCCTGGGTGGATGCGCTGCTAGACGGCAAGCCCATGCCGATACCTCTGGGGTCATCCTTGCGGTCTCTTGAAATTGCCACTGCATTGCAGGAGAGCCTGAGAACCGGGAACAAAATATTTTTCCCGAGGGAGGGGGCCATTAGGCGAGAGACAGCATTACTCTAGAGGATGAAAGAATCAGCATGGCTCAGCTCAGTATGACAAAGCTGTTAACGAAGCTGCTAACGAAAACCAACGATTAATATATCCGAAGGTTCCTCTTAGATTTTGAATTTGTTTGCTACCACTCGTATTTTGCCAGATGAGTGGTCAGTATACTAGGATGATATAGATTCAGTGATGTAGCAAGTGAGAGAGCTATGCAGTTATGCGGCAGCTGCTGAAAAAAAAGGGGGGAATTCCCAAACACCAATAATTAACAACTTGATACCATACCCAGTATCACAATACCTTCAAATAGATTCAGTGATAAGAATTGCTAGAGAAATGGGATCTAATGGCGCCGATGCTTATAGGTCGCGCCGTTCTCCTGCAAAATGAAACGTCTACGCTTAGAGCTCACGGTCATCTCAAGATGCCAGAAATCGTAGGGCACCTTCTAGATGTAGCATGAATTAGTGAAGTACATCCAAAGCTGCGAAGAGATGCATCAACCAAAAGATATGAGATTTTTTACCCACGCTGACTTCTTTGGTACGTAAAGCAGCCGATGGAAAGAGCTGTGCCATACTGAACAAAGCGGGGAATTGTTGCAAATGTATGTCGATTCAGCCTGTGTCGTAATCATTGGAATCTTCCATCACGGCGAGATTTCTCCCGCAGGGTCATGATGGTGCCAATTCGCAAAGTTGGTTGGTTGGCTTATTCAGCGTTGGGGGTTGAGGCACAGCAAGTGTGATGCCCAAAGGATTCTGGCGGGGCCTTGACTGCCAAGCAAGATGTTTGATTGTCTAGGCTGACAGAATCTTTAGTCAAAATTAGAATCCAGTGAGAGCGCCTCTCAAGCCCCCGAAGGCTTCCCGCCAGCAGAGAAGATGCAAGCGTAAAGCGATTGCCACAGCTCGCTTTCTAATGTATTATGGTGATGCCGGAATCCTAAACATAAATTCAACTTGTGGGTGTCATACATAATCCAATATTTCGGGCTCTTTTATGCGCCAGTGATTTAGCCATGTGCTTCATGTGATGTTCAAGCGGTCAGTCAGACCGAACCAATGATTGTAGGAATGTAGCTGGCTCTCCCGAATCAGTCGATAAATTATCGTATTTAGCTTCCAGTCCGCAGCAAAGAAGCATCTGCACTTTTCATACATTAAAGAAAACCCCAAGCGCTGGGTTGAGCTGAAGACGTCCAATATCCCCACTTTCCCCCTGCATTCGACACCAACACTACCGAGTGTTTCAACATGATCAGCCCAAGGTTTCAAACAGCTTGTAAAGCAAAATTATGCCCTGTTGAAATCATCTGATATCTATACATAGTCTAGATGGAGCATAGCGGGTTTATCTCAACAGCATATAGCTGGGAAATTCCCCCTTCCCACATTGATCGCCATCCCACATTCTCTCACTTTCCTTGAGCCTAGAGCCCTTTCCCCACACTCTTTTCGTCAATACGTTCATTTATTGTAGTTGATCTACAGTCACTCACTACTCTTCAAAATGCTTCAATCATTTGCCAGGAAGCTGTTGACAGCCGCCGCATTCACCCTTCCATTGGCCACCGCGCATCTTGCCGCCTACACCGATGGAATGTACTGCCCCGAAGTACGTCTATCGTTCATATGACTGCTATGGCTTAATTCTCTACTAACAGCCCTTTGAAGAACTCCTACAAGGGCTCATTGACCAACTTCACCGACGAAAACCGTGTTGTTTTCGATCCTCTTTACAATCTTGAATTTGATAGCTGGTATACCGTAGCCCCCCCATGAGCCTTTGCAAAGACGACTTGCGATCCAGGATTGAGACTTGAATTTCCGATATAAGAGCAGTTTCTAACACAACAACTGTCTAGGTTTCTATCCAAGGGCCGCAACTGTCATCTAGCCGACCCCAAGGGAGTCTGGGAGATCCAGGCCAACTCCCAAATCACCGTTCCCTGGGCCAACTGGCAGGACTCTACAGGCTTCTACGCCGATGGAAAGGAGGAGAACGAGCGCCCCATCCCCTACTCGACCAGCAATCCCGAAGTCGTCGCACAGGGTCTCGTCAGCTCGTCAAAGGGCCTCAACTCGCCCAACCTGCACGCCGCCAACAAGTCCACTGCAGCTGGAACTGCCATTGCCGTCGCCTATGTCGATAACATCTGGGCCGTCACGATGGACAATCTCGTCGTTGTCTCCATCGCCTCTGAGACTCCCTTTGAGCGTCTCGCCAACTATGAGATTCCCGATCTCGCTGCTTGCGAGTCTTGTATCTGTGTGACTGGGTATGTTCCATCCAGACCGCTGAGGCAATTTGTGAATGGCATAGTCTAATATGAGTTGATAGATGGGTCCCCGATGGATACGGCCAGCAAAACATGTACATGGCCGCCCACAAGTGCCGCATCGTCAACGCCAATGGCGGCAAGACCCCCAAGATTCCCAGCAAGGTCCCCGGTGCTGGCGTCACCGGCGCTAAGCAGATGATCGCCGCCTTCCAGAAGTCTGGAAACAATGTCGAGTACAAGCAAGGAGACAAGGTTCCCACATATTCCACTCGCATGGGCTACCTGAAGGGTACGTAGGAACTCTATGTCGTGTACCACCAGAAGATCCCGTAATGGCTAATCCTAAACTCACTTCTACAGACGCCCAGACAGACATCTTTGGTGATGACTCGACCAACGACAGCCCCTCCTCCTCCGTATTCTCGCCTTCATCCTCGACAGCCGTAACCCCGGCCAGCACCTTTAGTACTGAGACTCGGACTTCGACACCAGCTACCTCCACCGCTGCTGCTCCCACGGCTACCCAAACCGGTGTCCGCTGCTCCAGTTCCAAGCACCGCCGTAACTTGCACCGCGCTGCCATTCGACGTAGGGAAGAATAATTGGCGGAATAATGAAAATGCTCTTCGAGAGGTGCCTAGCCCAAAGAATGGCTAAATGTTGGACATGAGTACGGAGGCTATAAAGCAATGAGTGGTGGGAGATGGATTTCTGTATTATACCTTGAGGTGATAGCTTGGTATACTTACTAGAACTACTGATTCCACAATATGGGATCATGAGTAACGGTGCTGAACACTTCTGTGACAGTGGTCTGAGATGAATAAGAGCCTGGAGACTATCCGAAGCCTTGATATAGTAGTGGGAGTATTAGCGGGCAGAAAGTTTGTATTACTTCCTGTATCAGGTAGCTGGATCAGTTCTCTTTCAAAGCTTTGCATTGTTCCAGGTCAAAGTCGGGACGATAGCATACCGTTGCCAGTGACACGATAGAGGACAGGCGTCCATGGACCAAAGCGTTGAGACTCATCCAATCCTCCAGTGATGGCCAATCAACATCACCCGGCAAAGTCCGGCAGCCCACCATCCGGGCTGCTACGCAATACGATACAGTGAGTAGAAGAGCTAAGACGTTAAGCTCTATGACGTAAGTGTAGGACGTTTCTATAATGACGAGAGGGGAAACTTGAAGTCTGGGAATGTAGGTGGGAAGTCATGTCGTTTCTCATGTAGGAGCAATAACTTTCTCAAGAACTACAAGCCACCTATTAAAATAATACACATAAAACAATCCGTGTTCTACTGGAGGACAGATTAGCCTGGGCTGGGCGGTTTGAGTAATCTACTGGTTCTTGGCGCCTGGGATGTAGCTAGACTTCAGAATACTACTTCAATGGGTTAATGAGGCCTCCGGCGTTGCTACGGTGAGGGATTCAGGAGTTGATAATATGTGACCAATTTGGGGTTTTGCACGTTTCACGAGACTTTTCTCGCGGACCTACCGTTTTCGCGGACCATGAGGGCTGTAGCGGTGCTCTGTCAATGCGGCGGCCGGAAGAGGGCCGTAATGAAAGCTTTGAGTGTGTTGGCTCCGGCTTCGGCTTCGCATTCGCGCTTGTTCTAGGGATCCATCGACTTTAGCCCGTATCGACGTTGTTTTCAGCTCTTGCGTGCCGTTGATCTTACCCAGCTTGAGGTTCTAAACCCGTGCAAATTCAATAATTCCGTTTAGGCTAATACTACTACTACTGCTGCTGCTACTACCAAAAAGAAACAGTCACTGGTCTCTGCCTTTCTAAGGTGTGATATTCGAAGGTAAAGAAGCGGTGACATTGGGATCGGGGCCTCCCTGCGTTGTTGAGAAATGTGGGCTACGGATGGCTGTGGCCTAGTCCATAACACAGCTATGTATGTTTTGTCGCAGCGGTTAGAGCGCTGTTCGATCGTAATGGTATTACTTTTGGAAAGGACTCTTTAAAGGAATTCAAATACATCTTATAGATCTATAAGCCGAGCTTCCTTAATCTTAGTCTACTACTTACAGACTATAACAGTTAGCGGAAGGGATTCAATAGCTTTCAATAGCTTTAACCGCGAGGCTAAAAAGATCATAATATCCGTAGGTTATTATGGATATTTTCAGGAATTGCAGTCTGTCATCGCTGGCGTTCACTAGTTAAGTAAGCCCCATCGATATACGTAGCTTACTGTCTTACAACAAGATACAAATGCGATCATTGGGCCTGTTTGGATGAAGTAAGAGTTTTTTTTTCTTATCTGAAAGTTTATGAGTACCTCCTCAAAAACCCCACTGGTACTAAAGAGAACAGAATCACACTCCGCTCATGACCCTCCAGCACAACCAGACTTTATTCTTTACTGTGAAACACCGTGGTTCCACGCGCCTCGGAGATGTCGATCTTTCCCTCCAGTCTGTTCTGTGATACGACTTGCAAGAGTTGACAAGGGCTTGGTAAGCATGAGCTAAATTAGTTGACGGACTAGAACGTTCCATACCGGTTTTCCGCTGAGTTGACGCAAAGATGAGAATGGTTGCACGGGACTCGTTTTGGAACATCTTCGTTTGGTCAGCAGATGGCTTTACGGGGATATCCAAGCGCAGCCAGAGGGAGCAAGCCTACGGAAGTACCCTTTTCCATGCTTTGTAAAAGCCGAGTAAGCGCCAGGACATAAGTGTGGTGTGCAGAGCTCTATTTTTTCACGGGGAGAGTCGGTTGGTATGATATTGCGAGGCGCAGCCCTAATGAAGACATCGAATTCAAGTAGTTCAAAATGGATAAAGGACCGAGGGCAGTCAAGCTGAAAGATAGTCACTATCTGGGGGGCCCCTGTTTCTGGGCAGCAAGTTGGCTAGCTTAGCCAAAAGAATGTACAGTACACAAACAGTGGGTGGGCTATGCCTTAGCTATGCCTTACAGCCTTGGAAAGGGCATTTATACTATCCTTTGTGAGTGCGTATAAATGAAGAGACATGTAGAGAGGCTTAAAAATAATGTTCAAAGAATATGTTGTCACTGCTCTATCATTCTATTGAGAAGAAATTGCTGTTAGAAGGGATAGCTGCTGTTGGAAAGGAAAGCCGCTGTTGGAGCTGCTGTTAGACCTTCCTTCTTGAGTTCCCTGCCCAGGGTAGTAAGAATCTGCTTCTTTTCCCTTCTATGATTCTATTTGCCCTGACCCTCATGAATACGATCAACTGGTGTAGCCTCGAGCGGCCTCTAGTAGGTAAGTCAGATCCTATTTACTGCGATCAATGATGTAGCTGTAAGCCCCTAAGTCAGATAGACTATAGACCTCTTAGTAGTAAAACTAGTAGTAGTAGCTCTATAACCTACCGTAATCTATTGTAAACAGGAGGAGTAATGTGTTGTGATACTGGGTAAGGTATCAAGTTGTTAATTCTTGGTATTTGGTAATTTCCCCTTTTTTTTCCCCAGCAGCTGCCGCATAACTGCATAGCTCTCTTACTTACTGTAAACAGGAGGAGTGCCCAGACAGAAGTACCTATCTTGAAAATGAACATTATATCACCGTTGACAGTATATACAGCCCGCATACAAGAGAACACATGTACATTGCAAATGGTATCAGAGCAAGTACGCGCTGTTGAGGATTTCCGCACGGTGTCCAAACCGCTGTCCACACACAGCCTCCATCCGCGTAGGTACCCCACAGGGCTGGTCTAGAGTTCAACATCCCTGTCTCTCCTCCTGTTGAAAGCTTTAGGGATATAAATAACAGAGAGACTGGTAACGCAGGTAAGCACGGGTTATAAAGTTACGAGACGGCCTTGATTAGTTCACTTGCGTTATGCTACAAAAGTACCTGAACATAGAGCGTGGGGATGCAAATTCAAATCCAACTTGCTGAACCGGGTATTGTTCCCGTAAAATAAAGTTGATCATCTAATGTATGATCATCTAATGTATGAAAGACGGGTAACTGCTGCAACCTACACCCGCGGCCCGAAACCGTACCCCGGGGTGTATTGGCTCGTCAATGATGACAGAATGACAGGGATATACATAAGCGCTTGCTCATTCAGCAGCATTAAAGGGCAACTTATGCTATGTGTCGGTGAACATCTATTCATTGTGTTGAGTTGTCGGGTCTGGCATCGTCTATGGCTGTTTAACTTTCTACTTGAACTCTCTCCCGTCTGTGAACATCATGCCGTCTTTCAAACAGTTACCGTCTTCTTCTAACTGATTTGCTTTGAAGACAGACATGAAAACGGCCAAAACAAGAAAGTCCCGTCCGTGAGTCTATGGATAGCTTCACTTGCAATAGTACCTTTTGATGCCTGTTGGTTCATCTCCGGTTGCTCATCACCCTACAAGGGAGCTCGCGAGGTAAGGCAGGGGAGACGATGGTATCCAGTGGCCAGAATCTGTAGTTTAGACTTCAGACTATCGTTTCACCTCAAAGTTCTCGGCAGCAATCTGAAGAGAGAATTGATCACAGCGTGTGATACGGCCGACAGGTATGACACAAAGGAACACCAATCGCGTGAGCCACCAATACACAAGTAGTTGTATTCTCGCGGCAGAACGGCAGCGTGTAATAGCATCATCAACGAACATCCCATCGGCTGCTCCGTGCTGCTTAGAAATAGCCAGCACGTCATACCCAATAATACTTGGAAACTCGTCGAGTCGGCACCTGCAATGACATAGCCCTGCATCGGGGTGTCAGCGTATTGAGAATAGCGCCGGTTTCCCGTAACAGGGAAATACTACCAGTGACAGATCTTGGGCATTAATACGTATGCTCTCTTTGATGTGGAACTCTGGTGCGCTTCTAGATAGCCGATCAATAACATACTCATGTCGTAATTACTATATGCAACAAGAGCGGTTGCTACACATATCGAGACTTGGTAGAGGCTGGAAGCGTTTTTGAGCGAAAGAGACGAGTAGAGACCTTGGCGTTCTTCCACCCTCACCCTAAGAGGAGGAAAATTTCACTTCTTTACGAGGTTAAGCTCTTCCGATGGGGTTCTCCCGAAATCTCGTTGCTGGGATACCTGCTTGAACTTGGGCCAATACTCGCATCAAGTCCCAGTTCGAGTACGTAATCAAGGAAGCACTCAGCCATGGTCACAAGAGGCCTTCAGATGTTGTAGCATGTACGAAATTGGTGTGTTATCCTGTGGCCTCTCTCTATAAAGTTTATGACGCAACATTCAGGCGTAAAACTATAAAGCTGCGACTGGTTGGCATGCCCAAACATGAGAAACAAGATCTTCATTCTTCCACGCGCTTCCTCTTTCACTGCCTATTTGAAAACTACTATCCCACCCTAGATCAAGATGCAGCCTGACCTCAAGTCCTCCATTGCCATTTTTGGCCCTACCGCTTCTGGTAAAACCAAGCTGGGAGTGGCCATGGCCAAAACATTTCTGGGCGAGGTTGTCTCCGTCGATAGCCTCCAGTGCCTTCAATCGGGGGGCATCGTCACAGCAAAGCCTCGCGCCGAAGAAATGCAACGCGTCCCTCATCATATGATAGACTATCTTGAAGCCGATGAGGAGCTTCATGACTTTGTAAGCATGGCCGCTGAAAAAATGGACGAAATTGCCAGTCGCGGAAAGCTGCCAATCCTTGTTGGCGGCTCGACATCCCTCACAATTCCTATGCTGCTTTAAGCATCCAAGCGTCGGTACCGGATGATGGTGGTCTTTTTGGTGCCTGGTCAATCAACATACCAGTCACTAATACAGGCCAGAGCTGACGAAATGCTAGATATGGGCCTCTTGGATGAGCTCACCCAGCTGAAGCACCTCCAACAGACCTTACTCGGTGATGAACCCAATTTTGATAGAGGTATTTGGAAGGCAATCGGATATTCAGAGTTCTATTCGTACCTCCAGTCTGATGCAGGCACCGACGAGCACGGGGTCTTGAAACAAAATGCCCTGACATCAATGTACGTCAATACCTTACGGTATGGCCTCCTCCAACTGGAATGGATTCAACACACCTTGATGCCTGTTCTGCATAAAGGGCGAGTATCGTGTATCAGCCTTCCCGTCACTGACAAAGCATCCTGGACATTGGATGTTGAAGGGCCTGCGATTTCAATAGCCACCGAGTTCTGCCACAACTTACGTCAATGTGGCTTCCATCGAAGGAGACCCCAAAACAACGCATTGTCTGCTTATTGCTAGATACCTCCGCCTATTCCCCTTGAATAGCTTGAGCTAACTTCGTGTAAGTGGTGGAGCCTCTTCCGGGAACGACCCCGCGCATATCGAGGCGGCCAAGGCCCTCGCCCATGAGTTGCACCGCTACGGCATGAGACTGGTATATGGCGGCGGCACCACTGGAATCATGGGTGCCATTGCTGGTACTCTAGTGGAATTGTCTGGCCCGAACGCGGTCCATGGCATCATCCCAGCCGCGCTTGCGAGATACGAGGAAGAGGTGACCAAAGAGTGCGCCGACCCTTCTCGATTCGGAACTCGGACCGTTGTGAGGGATATGCACACCCGCAAGAGACTCATGGTCAAGTCTGTTCTCGATGGTGCCCCAGGCAGCGGCTTCGTCGCGTTGAGCGGGGTTAATGGCACCATGGAGGAGCTGCTTGAGGTTACTACATGGTACCAGCTGGGTATTCACGGCCGCAGTGTTTGCATCTTCAATGTGAGCGGTTCTACGACGGGCTCTTGCACTGGATCAGTAAGGTTGCCCGAGATGGGTTTGTAGACCCGAAGGACGCTGGCATTCTCAGGGTTGCGGCATCGGCAGATGAAGTTGTTTCTTGTCTAGGGGATAATCATTTGGGCTCACGAATTGGTGAACTCGAGTGGATTTAGTCAAGGTAGCATGTTAATAATACAATCCGGTTATCTGAATCTTGTATGAATAATGAAAATACAAACGTATCCTGCTGATCTACCTACCCGCATGGTGACTATTATTATTAATAAGCTACCACTCTATAGGCTCAATATCTCAGGCTCCAAGTTAATGTCACCCCTGATTCTGATTGTTAAACATGCCAACCACCTTTAAACTGGTAGACTCACTATTTTGAGCAACGAGACAAACACAAGAAGCCATGTCGAAATCCATAACGCACGGTCTGTCGCCTCTCGACTGGCTGATGCCACGATCCTATATTAACCATATCATTTGCTTCGCGTCCTCGAGCTCATCCGCACCACAGATTCTGCGCCAAGGTCTGGCGGACACGTTGAGGGATATTCCGTATCTTGCCGGCGAGATTACCGATCAGGAACATCCCAAAGGATCGATCGCGCTCAGCGAGCGTCATGCCTCTGTCGATGACCTTTTCCGTGTCCGGGATCTTTCTGCAGCCGCCGACTATAAAGATCTCCGCGCACACAATTTCTCCCCCTCGAGCCTCAAAGGCTTGGACTTTTCCCTTGAGGACCTTGTCTCTAGCGGTCGATGGCCTGTATTTCGGGCCGTGTTCCTGCTTATGAATGGCGGTTCCGTGCTTTCTGTTAGCGTGCACCACTCGACGACCGATATCACTGGTTTTGGGGCGTTGCTCAAAATTTGGGCGTCGCATTGCAGCTCACACTCGTCTCAGCCTATTGGCTTTTCTGTAGACTGGCTAGACCGCAGGGCACTACTCCCGAGCAGCTACGTGGCGCCAGATGCTGCGCAGATCAACCTGCCAACTCTTTTACACAGAGAGGTTGCCGGTGGTGTCAAGAAATCTGGAGGGCATGATGATCCTGACCATCTTGAGACGTTGGTCTTCAAGCTTTCTGGCGATGCGCTTCGGGGTTTGAAAGGCAAAGTGACCAAACACCTTGACACCAATGTGGTACCTTGGGTCTCAACCAGCGATGTCCTGTACGGCCTTCTTTGGGCCGCTGTGACATATGCAGAGGACCAAGAAGATCTAGCACGGCGAGGTATCTCGGGCCGGAAAACAGTGCGACAAATGCGCTTGCCTGTTAATGTCCGCAGTCGATTGAGACCGCCTCTGCCAAAGAACTACCTTGGCTCCGCGTTTGTCGTAGCTCTGGCAACTGTTGATGATACTGATCTCATTGACATTGTCATGAAAGACGCCGAAGCATCTATCGCAGCTTTGTCACGGGTAGCGACGGCCATTCGCACATCTATTTTAATAATCGATAACAAAGCGGTGGAAGAAGTCGTTGGATTTCTAGCAGCACAGGACGACTTGACCGGTCTCAAGCTCGGACAGCAAGCGACCGACTTTTCGATTGTCTCATGGGCTGATGAGAGCGTCTATGAGCTGGACTGGGGCAAAGAGATTGGCCGGTGTGAGGCTGTGAGAATACCTGCGCTTAAGAACAAGAGATACCCTGTCATCTTGCCCCGTTGCTTGAATGGCGACCTTGAATTATTTGTTTGCTTTAAGAAGAGCACCATGGGTTTGTTTAGCGAGGTGCTAACTAGATATAATAGTAACGCCGGGTAGATAAGTAAGTAGTTTATATTCATGGATCCATATACTATTCGATCTGTTGGTGCTAAGCGGGCAATAGGAAGATATTATTAACTACCGAGTTGATTAATAAGGATTAGAGCTCATCGTCCAGCCTATTTGAACATATACATAATTCGATAGTAAACATTATTAGGAATTCCATGGAAAATTATGTTCTCAAGCTCTTAACTCGTCCCGATTAGGGATTGGCAGACCGCAGGGCAGACCGCAGGGCGGACCAGTCTCCCGTTCAGCCACTTAAACCATCAGGAGAAAGCCAGGAGTTTGATGTCATTACCCCGCTCCAAATTAGGCAGCAGTTTCGTTAGTATTGATCTTTTAGAATCGTGCCTCACTATTATATCTTGGGCTTAATCACTAGTAACATTCTAGATGCTTTCTGCTATTGTAATCCTATAAGCCTTAAATTACTACTCTGAGGGAGCGGTGCTAGGCAAAGTTCATACAATTTCACTTGTTTAGGATGGCCAGTCTACGAGAAGATATTAAAGCACCCATGCAGTCTGCAAAAGCATCTTCCCCTTCCAAAACTGCGCCCTCTGTTGCATGGAGCTCGCTTGTGCGTCGGAGCATTAAGGCCTGGGGATCACACGCTACTCACGAGACGCCCGGCATGGAAAAGGAACTCTTGCAATCCTACACCGATTTGAATCACTTTTTAGACGAGCCTCCGGACCGTGTCTTCTGGATGTTTCAGTGCAGAAAGGCATTCCTATCACAGAAAAGAATGACCAAGTGGAGCAGTGATCGCCTAGACGATTATGTCCTTTTCCCGGCTTCTGACGGGTTTGTTAGACGACAGGAATGCGTTTTTGTCAGTCACTTTTGGCAAAAGCCAGATGACCCTGATCCTAATAGCAAATATCTACGCCTTATCCAAAAAGACCTCAAGCAAAAAACCTGGTCATACATTTGGGTCGATTGGTCATGTATACCGCAACATCCTAGGAATGAGAGAGAAGAAGCTTATTTTCTTCGATCGCTACAAACAATGTCAGGGATTATTCGGAACTCCACCTTTATGTGGCATTACCCGCCTTTCGAACCTCGACTGTGGATATTATACGAGATAGCCGAATATACACTCACATGTGACAACGGGCTTCAGGGGAATAGAACCCCAGATATTAAAACGTTTTCAAACCACATCGACGAGATGATAAATTTGGGGGTTGATACAGTGTTGAATGCGTATGGTTATAACTGCACGCACAATCGCGACAAAGAATTCCTCACTTCCTGGCTAGAAGTCCTTGTTCTTCTACGGAACCTGTCCCTCGACACTGACGACGTCAGGCGGTTACTGGACCATCTTACATGGTCGCCGAGCACAGGAGTAATTATGTTATGTACCCTGAACGGCCTTGTAATATTCCACCGATTTGAAGGTACTTTAACTCTCAACGGAGTTACTCATGAATTTACGCCATTTCCAAAATGGGTAAGCCGTCTGTCGTCACGACCAAACTGCTCTTTACTAAACTATATCAAATAGGAAGACGGTAAGTACTCCACGGACACTCAGTCTGAATCCGCAGGCCCACTAGACCAAGCCATGTCACACGTATCAGGGTATTGGAGTTCAGCGGTTAGCGAGGCATTGGACCTTTTGTTTCTTAATTATATAGGAACGTTGTCTCTGACAGAAGTTATTATCTTCTACCCCTTAATTTGTCTGGTCTTATGTCTATCTTTGTTTTTTATGGAACTAATAGTTAGTTCAAGCCGAAAACTTTGAAGTTCTAAATCCTCTGAGCTATCTGAAATTCTCTTATTTAAGGCTGACTACTCATATTGGCACTCGTTAGATGGAAACAATACTAAGTGTTGATTATACTATGGATCATTCTTGTTTCATAGATCAGCAGCTGCAGTCTCGTCAGAGTCTCCCTACAACCCGTTGCGGGAAACTGAAGGGCTTGGGCGCCATCCATGGCTGGAACCCTATAGATAACCTTGTAGCTACCTGTCAACTTCTTAGCGACATCTGTGTGTATGGTGTGGCGAGAATGATTCCATTGCGGCATTTTGGTAGGAAGACTGCGAGTGGCTGCGACGCTCAGCACAGCACGGTTCTCGTCCACCGGATGGTGCACTACCCCATATCTTCCGGTGCTGGGGTTGGATTAAGAGAGGCTGACTTCGTTAATACTGCCTAAGACCACCAACCACGGGCCAGCGACCTGCGATTACTGCGGCCAGTCAGCGTGATGATGGTCTTGTGTGAGCTCTTTATCTACTTCAACAGGTACGCAGATCCACCTATACCTATGAGAGCCACGTGACCGACGATATCAGACCGGTCGACATGGTTGGGATTGCGTTCGAACGGGAAGTATCTTAGATTAAAGCAGCCCTTGCGAGCTATTGGCACATCGTCTTTAGCTAGTGAAACGTTGTCGATCCTCTACTATATGCTGAGCAAATTATACTGTAATAAATCTCGTTGGCCTGTTCCATAATGCTCAATATTTCCGGAAAGTTTGCTGGCTTGCGTTTGGTGCATTTGTAGTGGCGGCCCTTCCATAGCCCGTGCTTTTTCGATATCTTTTATAGAATATCCCTTGCATCTCAGGATTATTTCCCTTTCAGAAGGAAGTGGAGAAAGGATCTTCCTTCTTCATTCCCCCTCGTAAGCCTAGGCTATAGAATGATTCATCGACTTTCACACCGCCTTATTCACTAGGATCTATATGCTACTATTATCTCCTTGGTATATCGGAAGCTATAGCAATATATTTCCCTACTTTTATTAAAAGCCTTAAGCTGTAACTTTAAGCTATATATAGAAGGGTTAGAACCTTCCCTATATAAATTACTATAGTAAGTATTCCTCTGGCTCCTGATCTATCTGTTATAGTAGCTTTTAAGGTTTCTAATAATATTAAATTATATATACAGATTAATAAAGCTAAATATAAGCAGCTAGCTAACTGTATCTATTACCTGATAAAGCCAGTAGCTATATAATATAGTATATATTTTAATTCCTTTCTTATTAATCCTATTTATAAACTATAGATCTAAGAGCTATCTTTAATATCTTTATTACTATTCTAAGTATTTATATATAAATCCCTAGTAAAATTATAGACTAGCTATATAAATTCCTAGCTTCTAGCTAATAAGGTAGATAATTAAGCTAGCTTTAAAGAGAGCTCCTTATAATAGCTCTTATAGCTATATATATATAGATATAAGCTAATAGTTATAAATACTAAGCTATCTCCTCAGATTATATATATCTCTTACTTAGGATCCTAATTTATATAGGAAATTATTATAAAAAGTATATATAAGACTATTAGGATATCTATAAGCTAGGGAAAATAAAGCTAATCTATTCTATTTTATAATTTATAAGTTTTAATATCTTTCAGGAGATTTATTATACCTTCTACTCTTATAATCTAAATAGCTCTTATAAGAGCTCTTTTAACTAGATTTATAAATAGTTAGAGGCTATATAAGTAGCTTCTTTTTAATACTAGATCCTAGGTATAAATATAGCTATAAATAAGTATATCTAGTACTTTAAAAAAAGAACCCTTAAGAAAATTATTATTCCTTTTAAGCTTATATCTAAAGGATTTAAAATCTGGACTATAGCTAAAGCTAACTATTTTCTCTTATAGCTACTATATCTACCTAGTAAGATATTTAACTCTATTAATAATAATAAGCTTTAAATAAGAAAGAGGAAGAGAGATAATAAATATAGCTTTAATCTAATATAGACTATAGTAGTTAATCTAGTAAAATAGCTATTACTAGCTATATATTATATCTTCTTAGATAATCTCTTCTTAAGCTCTAATCTTTTTATAGTTCTATAAGTATTAAATATTAGAGTAATTAGTACCTACTATATTAATAGTAGTATCTTTAAATAGCTTATATAGCTAAAGAAGGATAATATAAATAGTAAGCTATATTAAGCTTAGGGTTAGATAGAGATAGTTCTAATATCAGATAATAAGATTAATTAAGCTAGAAAGAAATTATCTAGAAAATCTCCTACTAATAGCTTCTTAGATTAATTAAATTACTTAGAAGGATAATATACTTATATTACTACTTTCTATAGTCTATAAGAATATAGAGTTTATAATATATATCCAGAAGTAGCTAATAATAATATATATCTGAATATATACTATTAAGTATTTCTTTAGTACTAAGCTAGTTAAAGAGATCTAGATTTTATCTATAGCTACTAATTATAATAATTATATAGGAGCTATAGATAGAGGTAATTAGCTATAGTAGTAAGAGGGATTAGATTACTAGATTTATAAAGGGCCTTAGTAGATATTGTTAATTTTAAGAGACTATAGCCACTATAAGTTAGTGGGGTCATGAGCGTTATAGCGGTCATAACCACTAACTGCTAGCGATCGTAGCCACTGGCTATTAGCGATCAATCTGGCTGTTAGAGATCGCTGCTAGCGATCGCAGCCACTAGCTGTTAGCGATCGCAGCCACTAGCTGCTAGCGATCGTAACCACTAGCTTCTAGCAATTGCAGCCACTGGCTACAACCGCTAATAACCCCCTGTTATCACTAGCCAATAGCGGCTGCAGCCACTGTGGGTCAGTAGCTATAGGCCGCTATGACCGCTACGACTTAGCGGGCCCTAGGAACCCTCAGGGGTCCGGGCCACCAGCAGAGCTATTATTAGGTTATCAGGCTTATCAAGCCCAAGATAAGGGTCTAATAAATTCGGAAAAAATCCTAGGATATTCTCAGACGACCTAATCTAAACCCAGACTACCCTATAGCTAGCCTATCCTAGACTAAGTCTTAGATCTTAGATAATTTCTTCAGCTTTAAAGATAAGGTATCTAATATCTATACTCAACTGATCAGCTTAAGAGCCTCTTTCAGATAAAAGTAGATCTTATAAAAGCTATATATATCAGTCGAAGGTTTTAGTAGTTATAAGTTAATTTTTTAGATTTTCTATAGTAATAAATTTTATAGAAAATTAAAAGTAGTTCGGGAAGCTGCTATAGCAGGTTTTAGAGTAGTTTTTAGTCAGTAGACCTATAAAAGAAATTAGATAGAATTTTCTGGTCTCTCTTATAAAAATAAGATTCTTTTATACTATATTTTATACTATATTTAATCCCTCTAGTACTAAAACTTACTGAGTTATAGCAGAGTTAGTAGTTAAGAACTGTAAGTTATAATAAACTTCCCTACTGTATTATAGAGGCTTATAAGGGTAAATACCCTATAAACCCCTTATAAAACTAACAGGTTATAAGCCCGGCTTACTAACTTACAGTACTCTTACTGCTATATCCAGCTAATTTCCACTGGAAAGCCTGTATTTTTACTGGCTAAGACCCCTGTTAAGCTCTAACATATACCTATTTATTAGTAGTCAGTCTACTGAAGACCCCCACTATAAGGCTCCTTCCTAGGCCCTATTAGGCAGCTAAAGCCCCTGTAAGGCTTCTGTTTTTAGGCTTTAAACCTACTATATAATCTTTTCCTATAGGCTGCTCAGGCCCTTACCTAGGTCTCTGACCCTGCTAAGGCAACTGCTATTATTAGCTCCCTCGGACCGCTAGGTCTACTGAACAAACCCTTCTAATTAGCTACTAGCCCACTGAAGAAGACCCTGTTTAACGCTGAATCTCACTGAGTTACAGCGCTCTTAGTACTACTAGAGCAATCGCCGTATATAGCTGCAGACCGCTAAAGCTGGCTACTAGCCCTCTGAACGTTAGATCAATTAACCGCTAAGCTCCAGGCTCCTAAGCCCCTAAGGCTGCTAAGGCTATAGTACTATTTTACACTAAAAATCAACTTTTAAAGCTACTAGCTTCTTTTCTCTATAAAAGGCTTACTTTAAGCCCTAAAAATCTATAAAAAATATATTTAAAAAGTATAAAATCAGGAGATTTCTATACTTCTTAATAATTTACCCTATATCTCTTCCTAAGAGATTTAAAAAGGAGTATTTACTAAACCTCTAAATAAGCTATATTAAGCCTTTACTAAAGCTATAGCTTATAGACCTATAGAAGTTAAAATAGCTACTTCTAGATCTAAGGGAAAATAATCCTTAGAGGGTTCCTATAAGGTTCCTTCTAGCCCTATAGATTCTAATAAGAATCTAGAGGCTTTAGAGGAAGAAGTAGAAGATATAAGAAACCTTCTAAACTCCTAAACTGAAGAGTTTAAGACCCTTAAAAGCTCTATAAGTAATCTTTACTTAGCTCTTTAAAACCTTACTCAGGTTATCTCTTCTAATTCTAATAAAGAAGAAGAGGTTAAAAGAGAAGAAATAACTAGTAAAATAAAAGTTAATAAAGAAGAAGAATTATCTTCTAATTTAGAAACTAAACCTACTAGTTTAACCTCTGCTTTAAATACCTCTATAGTTAGAGAATTATCTAAGAGAGTATATAGTTTCCTAGAAGGTTATAGGCTAAAAGATAGCTCTAATTTCAATAATGAGAGCGTATGTAATTTCCGTAGTTAGTTAGGGTAATTTGCTGTATGCTACTTAAGCAGTAAATTATTTACTGCTCTAAAAATAAAAAACTGTTTTTTACTCTTAAATTATTCTTTATTTTTAAAATTGTAATCTTTGACTTGTTATTCTGCAGTCAGTTTAGCTCGTATAATAACCTGGATAGTCTTATTTAATTAATTAAATATAGGAGTCCCTAACTAAATACTAAATATATATATAATTAATTATAGTTATTAGCTTTAACTATACAGCTTAGTTATAATTCCTCTCCTTTAACTAATATTAATATTGCAGCTGTAGATCTACCCGGTCTTTAGTTATAGTATTATTAGTTAGAAAATTCTACTGGTACTTATATAGTAGTTTTACCCAGGCCTAATCCTTAAAGTAAGGAATTCTAATTAATTAACTACTATTTAGTCTCTTAGATAACTTTACCCTAAGGAGAAGGTACTTCTATACTACTAGAGTAAGAAGAACCTGGGTATATCTAGTAGGAATTTCTAATTACCTATCTTTTACCTATAAACCCTTCTCTCAGCTGTAAGGAGATATTCCAGGGATTACTAACCTGTAGAAAAGACTCTTATTACTCGTACTCAGGTATTATCTACCTATAAGTAGTTAGAACCTAATTAGAGCTAGAGCTTTAAAAACCCTAACCCTAATACCTGGAGATAAAATTAGCAGAAGGACAGGTATATAGTTACTCGTAGAGATTATAATCAGTTAATTAAACCCTTCTTAAGGGTAGTATAATACTAATAGATCTAAAAAGGGATTATTCTCTTATAGCTCTGGAAGTAGGAAGTACTTCCTAAGATATTATCTGATACTGAGGATTTAAAAGTATAGATTATAGTATAATTAAGACTCTTCTTCTAAAAGCCAGGGACCTCTACTAGGACTACTCTAGCCCTAGTTCTATTAGATTATTTAGTAAGAACTATTTAATAAGAGCGAGAGTCCCAGGTTATTAATATTACTTAGAACTACCAGAGGAAAGCCTAGTAGAGCTTTATAATTTAGAAAGAAGGCTTAAGAGTAGTATAATAAGTACTAATAGCTAAGGGTTCTTTCTCTTCTATATAGAAAAGAGAAAGAAGAACAGGCTAGTCTTTCTTCTTATTAGATTTCTAACTTAATTAAATCTCTTAAGTCCTACCTATTAGATTAGTATAGGGGAAAACTAAAGAGTAATCTATAATAAAAGTCAGATTCTTAATCTTATATCGGGATTCGGGGAGCTATTAGATCTGAGGAAAGGGAATAAGCTTATAGGATTATCAGGATAGTCCAGACTATTAGATTAACTAATCTTATATAACTCTGTAGAACTTTCTATTTAATCTAAGGATTACTCTTTATAAAAAGTATAGATATTACTATAATCTTACTTCTTATATCCTGCTTAGGAAGGACTACTAGAAAGAAAAAAGAAGTATTTAAAATTAATACTATAAGATCTAGTATAAACTATTTTATTAAAGCCTCTTAAATTAATAAAATAGCTAATAATAAAATTATACTAAATAATAAAGCAGCTACTAATCTAAAGGGATTAGATCTAGCTACTGGACTAAAAGACCTGCTTTATTCTATAAAAAACAGAATTAATCTGCAGATAACTAAGGAATTTAATAGTTATAGAATTACTTCCTTTCTGAATAGCTTTAAGAAGTTTATTAAGTTTAGAAACCCTAATATTAATCCTACTATAAAAAAGAAGCTTCTTCTTTTCTATATTATTAAGAAAGAGAAGTAGAGGGTTAAAGTTATCCTTAAGAGTTAGGATTACTAGTCTGAAGTAGTTTAAGTACTTAAATAATAATACTATAGCTATAATCCTAAATAGCTTATTTAACCTGAAGAAAAGCTGTAAAGGCTTAATACTATAGTAGTTATATTTGATTAATAGCAGATTACTACTTTTATTAATACTTATCAGCTTCTTTACTAGAAAATTAACCCTGCTAAATAGAATACTAATATAATTCAGTTATAATACTTACTCAGGGCCCTACTATCTGACCTTATCTTTAATATTACCTATAAGGAAAAGAAAATATATAAAGAGCTCGAGAGAATAGAATATAAGAAACTCTGGGTAGTAGTTAATAAAGCTATATACTAATACTTTCTAATTATAAATTATAACTTTAATTATACTAGTAATAGAATTAGTAATAAGTTTATAGCTCAGGAGTATTATCTCGGTATTAGTAAGCTAAGAAGTAACTAATCCTCTAGGGTATTTAGAGGAATTAGAGCTGATAGAATTAATTAAATTAACCTTATAAATTACCTATAAAAGTAGAAGAAGAAGGAGGAGGAAGTAAAGTCCTTAAAGGTAGAGAAGAGGATTAGCTTCTAAGATCTTTAAAGGGAGGCTGTACAGTTAGTATAGTAGAAGAAAGAAGAATTAGAGGTAGAAAAGATAAGACTTAAGTTTAAAGAAATAAGAGTAAGCTAGGTCTAAATATAGGAAATACTTATATCCCTTATTAGTAATCTTTGCTTTCTTAAGAAAGAGAATATAAAATTAAATCTGGAGAGAGATAGGATTATACCCAGACTGAACTTACTTACTCTAAAAGGAGTAGATAATAGAGAAGTATTTAATTAAACTTATAAT